ATATTATTTCTTTAATACCTAGGTATCTCTATTCCCTAGATTTATATAGCTTCCTAATTAAGATAGGTACATATTAGTCTCTAATAATTATCCTTTATTAGTGGTCCCTCTAGATTTTATTAAAACTATTTTAGAATAGATTATATTCTTCTCTTTATTCCCTAGAGAGTTAGGAGTAGTCTTATAAATTATATACCTCTAGTCCTATATACTAAAAAGAGGCTACTTAAGCTTTAATTTTTAGTTAGTTATACTCTAGCGTCCTATCCTTATACGCCCGTAATATAGTATTATAGAGGTTAGATTTATTTTCTATTAGGTTTAATCTTCTACTTAAGGCGTCTATAGCGCTATTAAGCGTTCTAGGTTAATAGTAAATAGTAAAATTAAAGTTTACTAAGAATTCTGCCTATTATACTTATTATTAGTTAAGTTTCTTAGTTAATATAAAGCTAGTAAGGTTTTAGTAGTCTATCTACACCTTAGTCTTAAAGTGTACTTTTATAAGTTAGGCTTTCTACTACTTAAAGGCATCTACTACCCCTAGTAGTTCCTTATTATAGATATTATAATTAAGTTCTACTCCTAAGAACTTTTATAAATAGTAGAATACTAGTTTCTACTTCTTATCTCTATTTAGCTATAAGAGGATTACTCCTATTACGTAGTTAGATATATCTATTTCTACCCTTATAGGTTTTCTTAGGTTAAATATCTAGAGTAGAGGTACTATAAGGAATATTTCTTTTAGCCTCTTAAATACCTCTAGAGGCCTTCTAGTAATTAGCTAGATAGTCTTATTATTCTTTTTCTTTATAAGATTAGTTAATAGTGCTGTTATCTTAGAATAATCCTTAATAAACTTCTAGTAGAAGTTAGTAAACCCTAGGAAGGACTAGATATCCTTTACTAACTTAGAAACTAGCTATTCCTATATAGTGGCTATCTTCTTAGGGTCTATAGACACTTCTTCCCTTAAAATAATAAATTTTAGATACTCTATTTTTTTAATATAAAACTTATATTTATCTAGGTATAGGAGTAACTTATATTTCTTTATTTTCTCTAGTACCTTCTTTATATATTCTATATATTCTTCTAGCGTCCTACTAGAATAGATAAGTATATTATTAAGGTAGGCTATATAGAATACGTCTAAGTATTTATATAATACCTTATTTACTATAGCCTAAAATATTATAGGCGCGTTTATTAGTCTAAAAGGTATAACTATATATTTATAGAGACTAAACTAGGTTCTAAATATAGTTTTCTACTTATGGCCTTTAGCTATCTATATATAATAATACCTATCGTGTATATTAAATTTAGTAAACTATTTAGTCCTATAGAGCCTATCTATTAGCTCTATTATTAGTAGTAGAGAGTACTAGTTCTTAATAGTAGTATTATTTAGCTACCTATAGTCTATATAGAGTTATAGCTTACTATTTTTCTTAGGTACCTATAGGATAGGGAATGCTGTAGGGCTTTAACTATCTTAGATATAACCTTTTACTAGGTTTTTTTATAAGTACTCCCTTAGTTCCTATTCCTAATCTATAGATATTAGCCTTAGCTATTCTAGTTATAGTTTTATACCTTCTTCTAGTAGTATCTTATAATCCTATTTCTAGTAGTTAGGGAGTTCTTCTCCCTTAATTTCTTTAAAGAGTTCTATATACTTCTTATACTCTAGTAGAATTATTATCTTTTTTATTCTTTCTTAGAGATCTAAGTATTATATCTAAATAATTCTTACTTATCTAGGGTTTTTTTTTAGAAGTTTAGCTATCTAGATAGCTAAGATTCCCCCTATTTATCTTTTAACCTACTTATTTAGAGCTTCTAGGGTTATAGGTTGTACCTACTTAGTATATTAGGCTCTAGTAATCTTTAAGATTACTCCTTAACTTCTTATAGTCTATTTTACCTAATCTATATTAGGGTTATATATAACTAGCTAGTTATATCCTATAATAGCTTCTAGGCTTCCTAGGTCTATTATTGTAAAGCTATATTAGCTTTTAAATTCCTTAATTCTAACTAGTAGTAGTATTATTTCTAGGCATAGCTAGCCTCTACTATAATCTTAGGAGAGCGTACTATCTACTATTTCTAACTAGGCTAGTACTTCTTTATTTTAGTATAGTAGATCGTGTTTTTCTACTATTTCTAGTAATATTAGATATCCTATTATACTAGGGTCTATTAAAGTCTTTACTTAGAATTCTCTAATTATAATCTACTTTATTATTTATAGTTTTACGGTGCCTTTAGCTTCTACCCTATAAGCCTTTAGAACACTTTTACTAGCTTAGCTCCCTATCTAGTAGTATACTAGTTTTTTAACTATTTTTATTCTTTATTATATGCGCCTTTATAGTGGCATTATTTATATAGTAGGTAGTTAGTTCTTAGTTATTAGAGTACTATTCTAAAGGAATTTAATACCTTCCCCTTTAGGTATTATACTTTAGACCTTACTTCTAAGGCGTCTCTTAGGTACTCTATTATTACTCTTCTCTATTATTAGTTTACTATAAGTATACGTAGGCGTTTAGATTCCTTACCTATTTTTTTATACTACTAATAGCCCGTTATTATATATTTCTAGTATAGTATAAACTTATAGTTTAGATCTAATAGATCTATTACTATAGATTCCTTTTTACTAAGGTATCTAAGGTATTCTTACCTTCTATAGTTTATCTATTCTTAGGTTCCTATATAGTCTATATCTTTTTATTTTAGATACATGTCTACGCATTTATATTATAGGGTTTTATTATATTAGTTAGGGCCCTTTAGCTAATTATCTATTAAGTATTTTTAGTTCTAATAGATAGGGTAGTTATCTATATAGTATACTTCCTATACTAGAGGCCTATAGTCCCTTTTCTAGATATTAAATTAGTGTACGTAATAGTTCCTATCTTTATACTTATTTTTATCTAACCTATAGTATTTCCTATCTTCTAGGTTCTCTTATACCTAGCTCCTTCTATCTTAGTAGTAGGAATAGTCTATTATATAGTATTACTAGAACTCCTTCTATATATATACGTTAATTATCTTAAGTTACTAGGTAGGATTCTATAGTTTCCCCTAATAGGTTACTACCTATTTATATATTTAGTGTACCTCTAGTCCTATAATTTTTATTTTTATATAGTATTACCTAGCTTAGTGCCTAAGTTCCCTATAGACCTAGTATTACTACTTAGTTACCCTATACACTACTATACCTCTCTTAGTAACTTAGTAGCTATCTTTATCTAAATACCCTTTAGAATTAGTAGGTTAGGTTTCCTAAGATTCCTTTTTAGAATCTAGTATTATAGTATTATTAGGGACTTTACCTAATTCTAGCGTTTTAGGTTATAGTATTACTATAGCTATTCTAATTATATTAGCTCTTTTACCTTACTTCTTATAGTTAGGGTAGTTAGCTTTAAAATACCCTTACTTTCTATAACTTAGGTAAGCCTTATTCTTAAAGTATTATTAGTAGATTTTATTCTACTTCTTTTACTATAGGGTATATTCCCTTTTAGTTTATACTTTATCCCCTATAATTATATTACTATCCTTATCCTATTTATCCTTATAGTTGTGCCTTTTTTAAGTATTAGCTTTCTAGTAGTATATAGGCCTAGTTACTTCCTACTTTTTCTAGTTTTGCTTATATAGGTAGTTATCTATATATATAGCTAGTTCTATTAGCGCTTCTAGGTTATTAGGTTCTATATAGTATATAAGGCCGTCTTTTACTAACTCTTTTAGACTATTATAGAAGGCTAATTAGAGTAGTATATTATCCTAGTCTATTTTAGCTTAAAGTTACTTAAATATTAAGGTATACTTACCTATTAATATAGTTTATTTTAGCCTTTAGATCTATTACTTAGCCTACTTTACTTTATTAACTTTACTAAATATAATAGTTATCTATTCTTAGAACAACTTCTAGTCCTTAAAGACTAGTTTAGTATCCTCCTAATATTCCTTAATATTATCTTTATTTTCTATATAGTTATCTACTAGGGGTTATATCTATCTAGTAGCCTATTCTACTATATGTATTCCTATAGCTAATATTTAGTCTTATTCTTTACCTATAGTAGCTTTATAAGAGCGATTATATAACTCTATATTAGTAAGAAATAGTTTTAACTTTTCTTAGTCTCTATTAAAGAGTTTTAGGACTTTAAACGTTCCTTTAACTAGGGTAGTAACTATTACCTATCCCTAGAACTATTCTATTAATTATACTAGTTACTCCTAGAGTTATTAAATCTAATTAGCCTAGTTAGCTATAACTATGGCTACACTAGTTATAGGTCTAGAGGTAGAGCTTCTAGGTGCCACTCTTAATACTTATAAGCTAGTTAGTATTACTATTACGTCTTATACCTTTAGGTAGTTAAAGTATTATAAGGGGTTTCTATATACCTAACCTAGGTTAGACCTTATAGGTATTTAGTAGACAAGAGTAGATAAATAATAATAGGGTAAGAGAATATTCTAGCCTTACTATAAAAGGTAAGGTAATAATTATATAAGAAGACTAATAAATCTTAGTATAGAAGATGTGCTCCTATTTTAACTATAGAATTTTAACTATAAAGAATAGAAAAGATTCTAAAGTCCCTTTAGACTATATACTATTCTTTATTATCTAGGAGATCCTATCTAGACTCTAAAGTCCTAGAACCTCCTAAGGTCCCTAGGGCCTTTAAGGTCCCTAGGGTCTCCTACTTATACTAGACCTTATTATATAATAGATAATATAAGCTACCTATCTAGCTAGCCTATAGGGCTTAATCTAGCTTACCTTTATTCTTAATATCCTAAGTGCAATCCTCCCCACTCGCCTTGCTTAGTCCTGCCGTGATCGTAACATTACGCTGCTTTAGCACGAAGTATAGATAGTATGTTCCGTTAATGCCTTTGTTCCGTCACGGTTGGATGAACATTATGCCTCCTCCGAAATTTCATTACCTCGGCTGTTTTTTTGATGTGCTGATATCTCCATCGTTCATTTTGCGCCATTTATGAGGGGACGGGGGAGTTTGATGTGAGGTTTCCGCCTCTTCGATTTGAGCAGGGATTCTAAGCAATTCGTGTTGAGGAGGTGGAGCTTTTTCGATCCGAGCAATCGACTTAAGCTTCCTATCCATTATGCAAGGAAATTGCCCGTGCCTTCCGTCACTGAGACTGTAGCTTTCTGCTGCTCGCTTATTGAAGATGACACGTAAAGACTCTGTCGAAGACGTGGGAACCTGAAGATTGACAGTACTGTTCTCGGTACTGAACGACTGTGGCAATGATGAGATCTGGAGGTATTCGCTGTCTTTAGACATTCCTGGTTGTACAGACTCAATTTTAAGCTCGTTATCGGTGGTTGTGACAAGGAGAGCTTTTGAGCAATTCGATCCGTCTTCAGTATTCACGAGGTGCGTGTCCGGAAGAAGCCTTCCAGGATGGATCCAACTCTGCTGAAGGTCTAATACACTGGCCACCGATGTACTTGGAACATTCGTAGTCACAAGTTGCCCAATTTCCAAATCCGTAGGTTGCGCAATGGTCTTCAGAGCTAGCATGTCCTTTGGGATTGGTAACACCTCGACATCGTTCTTGTCGCGCGCGAGAAGGTACATGCCGCAAGCAGAGAAACTTAGAGATTCAAAGACGCGACTAGGTCGAGTATTGGCTGTTGGAAGACATACGGGCGCGGAAATATCTGTGACGCGTGTCAGTGAGAACCGAGCGATATTGAGCGATTTTGTTACTTGCTTTTGCCGAACTCCCATACCCACACCTTGTTTTCAGACAGAAAAGCAACGAACGCTGAGTCTTTGTGAAACAATACTTCCCTTACGCGCGGCTTGCCTCTCCGAATCATTGTTGATTGAAGAAGTCGAGCACAGAATGCAGGTTTTCGGAAGATCTCAAATATGGCGACGTGTGTTATGCAGGGCATTTGGTAGTCTGCGAAGGCGATGTACTGCCCCGTGCCACTGAAAGAGATGGAATATGCGTACCAATCGCGCCAGCCAACCTGTTCATTGGGAGGCAGAATGGCAAAGTAATCCGGTCTGAAAGGTTTGAGATGAGAACCCCACCTATTCTCGAAATGTGTCAGAGATTTCAATGGAAGGATGAAAGATCTACTGGTGGAAGTGGCTGGTGAGTCTCCTGGGGCGATCGCATAAACTGTTCTAAGAACAGAGAAGGTGAGACAGTCAGGGCCTATAGCCAAGGCGAAGGAAGTGTCGAAGCTCCTGTCATCTTGCTCGCTATATGATATTGCGCCGCTAATTCTGTACGGGTCTTGACGGAAGGACTGCCGAATGAGAAGGCGTATCTCAGATTCCGGAAGAGCTAGACTGGCACTTGCTATACGTAATTTGGATTCAGTTGACCAGATTTCATACTTGGCCGTCCAACCAGGGCAATGTCTTTCTGCTTCGTTGTAGGCTGTGTTTGGGTCGATCGATTTCCAGAACCACTCGAATGACGACGAAGGATAGATGTTGAGCGTCGCCATAATAGCTCCGTCGCTCGTGAGGGAAGAGATAGTACTCAAACAACGAATGGCGTCTCCATTGTCGTGGGTTTGGGCGAGCGGCTCCATCTTTTTTACAAGTTCCGTGCCTAAAGCCTTCCCCAACTCGGCTGCAATTCCAACGTCAGCGAAGACAGGCACATCGGTCCAGATTCGTGCTGGAACCTCATGAAGTTTCCCACCCCACTCCTTGTCTATCGCCTTGAGGTCATTTGACAATTCCCTTAAGCGGTTGGCTGTCTTTCGCACATGATGTGAGTGTTTGCTTGCGATCCAGATTTCGATTTCTTTGAACCATCCATCCATATCTGCTAAAAACCCGTAGATGCCTTCGATCCAGAAAGCTACAGCACAAGGGCTGCTCAAAAAGCCGCAAATAGACTTTGACATACTGATCGTAGATTCACGGTCAGGATGTTCAACACAGTCAAGTCCGGAGTGTACGGTCTTTGACAGGTGGTAAGACCAGTATCTGATAGCATATTTACAAAACGACTGTTCTTTGACAAAATCGGTAGGATAAGACGAAAATCCCGACTCTACGGCCGGAGATTTCGTAGGGGCGCGGCAACGTATGTGATGAATACACCTTGCTGTCATGAATTCCGCGGCTGAAACCGCATCCGGAATAAACGCGGTTGAGCCACTGGAATGTAGAAGTGCTCTTTCTTTCAAGTAGTCTTTGACCGTGAGATGAGTGAACTGGAAGTACTTTTGATGGTTGCACTCAACTAGACCACCACAGACCGAGATGACGGTGGAAATGAAGTCATCCGGCACTCTTTGCTGGCTATGATCACTGGTAGCCTCGTGCAAAAATTTGCAAGTCAGGTAGGAGCCGTCGGTCGCATGATTCATCCAAAGGAGAATACGCTGCGCAAGATGGGATTGAGGTGTGCCAGCGGTCGTGATCAACGACAATATCCTGTCATACATGGTATTCAGTCCTTCCGGATAATGTACGCTGTTGATTGTGGCCAAACGTGATTGCGGTGATAACGCGAAGGAACTGAGATAGTTGATCATCAGTTTGGCCCAAAGGAACATCCCATCAGCCCCGTAAAGAAGCGTTTCTGCTAATCCCTCGATGTCTGCAGAGTCCGGAAGCTTTTCATTATCCACAAATTCCTGTAACTGATGTTCGAGAAACAATCTTATATCTGAGCTCATGGCTTCTCTGTTCACTGCAATACGATGTCTCTGGTCGACCAATTTATGTAAGCTGTTGACGTTGGGTCGACTAAAAAGGATAAGCTTGATAGGGGATGCTGTCACCAATTCTTTCAATTGGCGACCCAGCATATCTGGCTGTATCGCTTCATCGATACCATCCAAAATGATTGTGAGGTGATCGAAGTCGCTAGCAAGCACCCTAACGAGCTCGTGAAGCTCCTTCGATGTCGCTCTCTGCTGACCAGACAGGGGGGATGATGAGACCCTTGCAAAAAGAAATTTGTCTAGAATGCCGTCCGCCTGTCGAGCACGGCGCAGGATCTGAGCCAGGATAGAGCGATATGCGGCATCGAGGGTGGAGTTCTTTCGGTCGTCATGCTTGAAGAAGAAGTAACATATCTGGTGACTTTGGAGCTCGGACTCGCTGGCTTCAGAAACTTCTTCGACAACAGATGCAGCCAGAATCGTTTTCCCAGATCCAGGGTTGCCTATAGAAATTATTAGGGAACGTGACTAAATCGCAGTCAAACTTACCATGAACCCAGAGTACCCACGGGGGCATTCGCTTCGATGTTACACCTTCCCGGAGCTCCACCTTAGATCTGAGCCAATCCTTGTAAATTTGGTTTTCGAATATCCACTCTGCTGTGCCTTCTTCGCGCTGTTCTTGGCTGTTTTCCAATGCCTCAACAAACAATGGGGGCGCTAGCCAGTCGAGTATGCGTTGCAATGTGGACTCTGCAGGCGCAAGTTAGTAAATTTTCTGCACCTACAATCATGCCACGTACCTCTAAGCTCCGCATTCAGAGCCTGAATCCTAGCCTCGGATTGTCTGGATAAGTCATCGGCTTGTTTCCTATATACTTCCGCCCTCTGCCGCTCCTCTTCTGCGCGTTTTCGTTCGATGGCAGCAGCTCTCTCTGAGTCCTTCGCTTGCTGAGCCTGGTGAATCTCTAGCTCATCAATGATGAATTTCCGATGGTCGTCCATAGCCTCTAGCAAGCTACTGAACTGAGCATCAAATGGTTTCCATATGACATTCGTGATCATACTCAAGGGGCGTTTCACTTCTGGTAAGGATGAGTATTGCCCTTCACTCCTCATTTAAGAAGGACTTACTTCCACTTGAGGCAGTGAATATTCTCGTAGCCATTTGTATGAACCGGAACAGGTCTTGGTATACACTCTCTAGATGTCGACGCATACGCGCTGGAGGATTGCCCTCAAAGAGCTCGATGATCGCAGAATATTGCGGGAAGGTGTTGGACAGTCGCTCCAAAACAAGAATGAGTCTCTCAAACAACGTGGGGAACCCACTAGCAAGCTACCAAAGCTCATTAGATACCACAAGCATACAGAATGCTGCCACAACGCACCTCAAGTACAAGCCGAAAGGCTCCGTACGCGATAGCAACTGTGTCATTCGCGCTTGCGATGACGTTAATGGCATCGAAGTAAGGCCGAAGTTTGTCATTGAAACTCTTCACTACACCCAAACAACGATTCAGAGTCTTCTTTTGGCGTTTTGTCGACATGATTTTGAAGTTTCTAAGCGTCTCCAGCAACTCCTCGGGCGAAGAACACTTGGCGAACCGAGCCTTCTCCTTCTCAGACAGGCTATTGATGAACGCATTGTGCGCTTTCTCGAAAATGTCATCCGTGTTCTGGGTGCTAGAAGAATCAGCGCTGCTCAGCCTTGTCTACACGACATTGTACAAAGTTTACCTCATAATGCCAATGGAATTGGAACGTTACACGTAAGCACATAGAGGGAGTTCGAAGAGTGATACTCGCTAAGAAAATTGGCTCGATTGGAAGTAAGCCGTCGCGCAGTAGACATTCATAGCAGTAGGAGTAAAAGCGGGGCGGTGTTGGCCAGCACATGTGGTGCATGGCTGTGCAGTGAGGCGGTGCACTGTGCGGGGCTTATGATTCGCAGCTCCCAATGATCTTGTCGCTCAACCAACCAGATACACCCCGCTCGTGAGTAGATGCATGATTCTGCGTTCAAGTAGCGGTCTGCAAATACGAGCACAAGGCTTTCATTCGTACTCCTGGTAGTCGACATCGCTCGTATCGTGGTCGCGGCGTTCGGCAATTGTACTACGAACGGCATTAAGGTAAGGTGACCATATTAGCTACGGCTTCATCCAAATAAACCTTTTCTGTCAACGACACATTGGGAATTTGTGCGAATACCATAGCATTCGAAACGGCGAATCTCCTTTCAGTCTAAGTACTCGTATCACATGGAAATGTTATACGTTGAACCACATCAAGGTAGTTTGCAGAACGGCACTTTAGCAAAAGGTTCTTCCACGACTATGCTCATCACTAGGACTCTCATCACTAGTACTCATATCACTAGTACTCTTATCACTAGTACTCTTATCACTAGTACTCTTATCACTAGTACTCTTATCACTAGTACTCATATCACTAGTCACAGCACGTGATCACACATGCCCTTGGGCCCACAGCAACAGTCCGCCCCTTGCCCATTCCGCGCAGACTTCCCATCCAGACACCACTATGTATGCTCCAAAATCGCCTTCCCTACTCCCCCAAAACCTGATCATACATAGTCGCAGTCCTCCCTACCAACCTCCCTAGCAGTACAAATCCACAATCACATCCTCCCGCGCACTCTTCAACCCCACCTGTCCAATCTCTACGACTATGCTCAACGTACCAGCCTCATCACACCCATGCATGCAACCTCTCTACGACTCTCCTACATTACCCTTTATAATCACCAGCTCCTGAAATGCACAAGCACGCACCAGCGAAACGCAATGGCATGAAGAATCGAACCCGTAAGCATCCCTTCAGCGCCCGCCATCCACCGTAAGGCTCACCCATCTTATCTCCGCAGCCATCGAAGTAGACCCAATTTAAAAAGCTCCGATTCATGTCAAGCTACTCTGCGCTTCAAGGCGTTCGAGAAATGCCGCAACGTTGTGCACGTATCTGTATACGCCCACACAGGGGGCACAGTTCTCGACGCCTCCCATCGCCTAAACGCGTTCCATTGGACATAGTGTTAAGATTTTCACGGTAGTTACGGTAGTTACGGTGGTAGGCTAGGCTCGCATGGCAAGTCCCCACGACGTGCTTGAGTGATGAGTGAATATGTTGATTGACATGTCCCCCCATTCCTCACACCCCTTGCAAACCATCACGCAATACACCCATCACCCGACCGTATGCAGAAACATCACTCCCATCAAGCATGCCTTCGGCGCACTGTGGTGTTACGTAGTCGCCCACCCGATAGTGCAGTCTAGCAGCAAACTACGAGTCCCCACATAACCACGTATACGCACGCTCGTTACGTGTACATACCCAACCTTCACGCACACCCCACATGAAGCCACACATAGCATCGTATATATTCATTCTTCTCCTCCTCACCACCTCCTCAAGTTCTATCTACAGTCCAGGCCTCATGCAAACCACGTCCTCCAGCCAAGCCACAACACAACGCGATGCGCGCTCGCCCCGCTCCTTATGCACTGACAATGCCACCACCGTCTCGCAACGTCGCCAACCGAAATCAACAAGAAAATAACCGGACGAAAACGCCCCCGCCATGAACCCATAGCTGATATACACAAATTTCGTATCCTGTCCTGTTCCCAATCATATACCTCGGCCGCGCGGGTGCAGCCTTTCCTCCAATATACACACCAAATCCCCCTCGGAAGCGCATCAAAACCCAGAGTCAGAATCCATGGCCGGTAAAGGAGCGAGGCACCAAACCAGCCGGTATATAACGCCACCAAAAACGCCAAGCTCATGCAATAAGAAACTTCGCCTCGACTCGTATAACAGTAGGCTCAAAGGGATTTACGACGAGACGGTCTGCCCATCGCAGTCCGGAATGGTAACTCCCTTCTTAAGATTGCGGTCCACGTCCATGAGGCCCCACTTGTCCTCCCACTCCTTGCCTTTCTCGTTGTACATGATCTTCCACGGCTCGTCGAAAGCGGAGAACCTAAGTCCGTTAGCACATCTCCCTCTTTAACTACAGGGTGTAAAACAAACGACCTACCAAAAGTACTCAGTATCGTTCTTCATGCTGGGACAAACCCAGTCCTCCATGAACTGATTGAGCTCGGTAATTCCCGCGATAGATCCCTGCGTGTCGGACGTGCAGTCCGAGTCTCCGCAATCGTTACCGCCGCCGGTAGGCCATCCCACTTCTGCGATGACCTGCTTGATGGAGTTGTTGCTCGCCGTGAGCGCTACATCGTGCTGAGTCCAGAAGTCCCAGGTCCAGTCGGCAGCCTTCTTGACCTCGACGCCGGCGAAGAAGGGATGGACGTTGGACATGACGACGTCGACTTTGGTGGCCATGTCGGCGGTCCAGTTGTCACCGAGATCGGACAAAGCGATGGGCAGTTTAGCATCATCGACGTTGTTCTTCTTGGCCAAGGAGGTGATGTTGTCCTTGATGGTGGTGATATACTTGAGGAGTTCGGTTTTGGAGAGGTCTTTGCGGAAGAGGACTTCGTTTCCAACGATGACGCCCTTGAACTGGTGGTCCTTTCCATCTTTCCATTTGGTCACGACGTGCTTGTCGATGATATCCCACATGGTGGAGACCTGTCGGTCGTTGGTCGTGTCATTGTTCCCAAGCCACACGCCAAGCCAGACCTTCATGTCTGTGAGCTCAAGCTGGTCGATTGAGTGCAGGACCATCTCGGTCTGATTGCAGTCAGTTCCGTAGAGACGGACCGCGTTCGTTAGCTGCGACATAACGGCCATGTCACGGGTGATGTTGTTCTGCGAGGGACCGACGTGCAGGCAGTCGGGGTACTGGGTATTAAGGGGTGTGTAGTCCATTCCGGGGAAGACCTTGTGGAGGTTCTTGTTGTTCATGAGCTTCTGGATCTCGTCCGATTTGATGGTCAGATCGTTCTTGTTGTCTTCTTGGACGTCGCTTGCGGAAGTACCACCGCTTGTTCCGGCACTTCCTCCACCCTGTTTGTTCAGTACGGTTCCCAGAACGCCTCCGAGTATAGCTCCGAGGACGACAATGGCGATGACGACAATTGCTATCCACATCTGCTTTTTCCTGCCGTGGTTCTGCTGGTCTAACCACTCAGACTTCTCTCCTCTTCCGGCTGCATGCAAAGCGTTGTCGCCGGTTGGTACGGCATTGTAGTTCCCGCTTCCGTCTCGCGATCCAGCCGCTGCGGCACCGGCAGCAGCACCGGCAGCGACTCCTGCACCTGCTGCAGCTGCGGCTGGTGCGCCGTCTCGGGTGAACAATCCTCTTGACTGCCTTTTTCCCTGCGTGGGCGTCATCCCCCAATCGTCGTCATCTGCTAGTTCATTCGGGTTGATGGCGCCCATCTGCGGTGCGAGATCCAGGTGCGACGAGGAATAGCGGGTGTAGGGATTGTCCGAGTAAGGAACGGCTGTCGGTGATGTTAACGGCGCGCTATGCTGTGAGCTGTGCATGGAGCTGGCACTTGAGTATGCGGCGGCTGCCCCAAATGGTCCAGAGCCGAGTGTTTGGTTAGAGACGTTGTAGGGGGAATGTATGGGTCGCGGAGGCGTTGGCGAATCGTAAGAGTACGCATCTGCGAAGGGTGTCTGGTGCGGCGGCACGCCCATGGGGCCACTGTAGTTGTTGTTCATGTCTCGCATGGCTTGCACGCCGCTTTCTCGCTCGTGTGAACTGGCGACGCCTGCTGCGAGCCCGTTGACGCCTCCGCCAGCTGCATGGTTTCCTAGATTGTCTGCGCCGGGCGACGTTTCTGGAGGGGAATAGTTGGAGTAGTTGTTGCTTCCGGGGCCCTGCATCTGGCCGTATGAGGTGTCCACAGCGACTGGATTGCGGTGCGGCGGCGGGGGCGGGGGTATCATTGCGCTTTCTGGTTGCACGGGGGAGACGTCGCGCTCGTCGTAGTAGTGGTTTTGCGGCTGGTATGCCATTATGCAAGTGTTGGGGTGGCTGCCGGCTACAGTGGGTCAATTGAATGGGTTGAGCGACGGCGGGAGCCGGTGTTTCCTGTGGCAGGCGCCCAGCCTCGCAGTGATAATGGGCGGGTAGATAGCGAGCGATGCGCAATTTGGAGCGACTGTGGTATGGTCGACCGACTTCAACGAGGGATGGTAGACGACAAATTCAACACTGAGGATTGGCTTTGGTCTGATGACAGGCGCCTCTGCTGGGGAGTGCGTCGAGGACAGCCAAGGTCGTGCGCGCAACACACACGGCTGACGTGCCTTCCCGCTTCCAAGTTAGCGCCCGTGCCCCGGGGCAACCACCAGCCTTCGTCTGACGCACCAAGAGAGCCGCAACGCTGCTAGCAGAAGCAGGATTTGCCAGCGCCATGGCGATCCGTCTATTCTCTCCTGCGTCGCGCGTTGGCACCAGCCTTAGGAATGCATTGGCTGGAGCAGCGCTGTTCTCTGCGATGCAACCGGCAGCTCTTTCCGCCTTTGTCGCCGCTGGTGTTGTCCTACCTTAGTACTCAGCCCCCCGATCCAATGTATCGTCTGCAGCCCGCTGAAATCTCCATACTCCTGTCCGGTGGCACCGTGGATGCGGGCGCCCAGGATCCCAACGGCCGTCTCCACTGCTCATTAAAGATAACAGCGTCCCCGAATCCTGCAACACTCTGCGAGATTATCTCCCAATCGATACTGATGGACGTCTTGCGTCTTTCCATGGTGCCAGCGATTGCTACACATCTTGCGGCATGAACGGGGACCCGTGTGCTAGACGAGAACCGAGTTGCTCACGCTCACTAAGACGCTCAGCTCCCGCTTCGAGACCGAGCCTCTCCAGCGCCCTCCCTTTCGGAGGTGAGATGTGGTCTCTGGCGATGCAATCACCCGCCCGTCTCTTTGCTGCAGTCGGACAATGCTTGCCGTACGTGAAACACCGCCGTCGATCGTCCCGATTGCGAAGCGATGCCGATCCTCCACTGAGGAACACTGCCTCCACCCTTGAACATCCTCCTTTTTGTGATCCGCGCCGCCTTGACTCGGAGCTTGTATTTCCCTCTGCTCGAAGCCCTTGGAGCCCTGGCGATTCGCCTTCTGCTGGGACGTGTCCCACCACGCCGTCCTGTCTCATGGACCATGAGCTACACTATTGGAGGAAGGCGCTACCCTGCACTAGCCACCGCTAGTCTATATGCGGCAGCCGATATAACCGTTCCGCCACAGGGTTGCGGCCGCGTGCATCCAATCTTACATTTCCTGTTTCCTAGGTTGGCGATACATGATCCTGGCTGTGTCTTTCTCCACGCTGGATCCTTGGTGGCTGATTTGAAGTTTGCAATGTCGTATCGTCACTGCATAGAATGCGCACGCGACAGTAGTGGTGCCGTGTCGGTATAACATGTATGGTGCTGCAAAGTACATCAAGTCGAGCATCGTACTCCAGAAGCCATGCACTGTTGACTTATACAAACCATGTTCTGCTTCCTTGCACCAAGTTCATGAGGTCACACCTGAATAATATCCCATTCCGCGCAAAGGAATGTGCCTTCTGTTGCGAAGAATGTCCGGCTTCACGCTAGCACCAGGAATAGTAGAGAGAAGAGTAACAAACGTGTCTTTCAAGCTTCCACCGATAAGTGTCTTAGATGCCAAGGGCAGATTTCATATCATCTATTGGCGTCTGTGTTCAAAAACTTCAAAGGTAATTGCACAGACATGCGCTAGTCCAAACGCAGACTGTGCAAACAATTGTCGAGATACAGGTAGATACCGTCCAGTCGTCTCGATAACTATTACCGTCATCACTGTGTTGGCTAACGGCTAGAGGCATACACGATCATTCGGGACGTCTATAGTGATAGTGATACGTGTTGCTGCCTGCCCCTGTGCATGTGTGATCACGTGCTATGGAACATTCACAGCAAGACGAGGCTGGATGGCAGGCAGGCGGGAGCCTCGTACTGCAATTTGGAACACGAAATATTCTCTTCTCGGAATATTCTCTGCCCAGGTGAGCGTTCGTGCGCGCGAGTACTCTAACGCTGTTAGCTGGTGTTTCACTCACTTTGACGGCAAGGTCGCTCTTTCCTTCTGAACGCGCCAAGAGCAAACGCTGGTGACCGTTTGTGCAAACAAGCTATGTGATTTCTTCCCGCACTTTGAATCTTTCCATCATAATTACCTTCAATTCGTATACGCACAGTGGAGAAATCGGTATGGCTTCGTTGCCAGGAGGTCAGAAAAGGCCTTCGCGCATGCCGCTTGGAGGCGCTGGGGTTTCTGCGCGCGGCGCAAACACGGGTGAGTTCCATGAGGTGTGTTGCGCCTGGCCTCCGCTAACACGTACAGGCCATAATGCGAGAAGAGGCCTGGAAAGCGAAGAGGGTGGGGCAGACTCTGTAGCTGGAGCAGAATCGTTGCATGTATCACAACAGAACGTGTCCTGGGACCCCCGTGCTGAAGATATTGCGACATTCGTGCAGCGCGCTATCGAGAGTTTCAAAGAGGACCAGACACGAAGGATCGAGCGAGACGTTGTCACGCCAATACAGCAGGCTCTGACAATCCACCAAGCCGAGGAACACAAGCGAGCAGAGCTTGACTGGCAAACACGTGCAGAAGACTTGCAAAATGAGTACGCGGAAGAAATCAGGAAGCGAAGCGTGCGCCACACCGAGTATGTTGGTCTCTTGAGGAATCGAATAAAGGAGTTGGAAGCCGCTCATACTCCTCGACACACGCAGAAGCAGCCCATTCTTCCGAACCTTATGCTCGGACGGAAGCGACAAGCGGACCCATCTTTTGCAGAGCCGCCACTCAGTCGGACGAGAACCGACCAAGCTCATAGTGATTTCTATCATGACCGCGCAGTTGCTGTGAGCGATCTAGGCGGGACAGACCACTTGTTCACTGCTCGGCACCAGTCATCGAATGTAACATCACGAGCTCATCAGATCATATCTAGGGAATCCCGCAATCACAGGAGCGAACTCGGTATCCGAAAAGACCACGATATCACCGATCTATCAGCAACCCCAGCCTCGAGCGTCAGTGAACGTAGTCACCAGCTTGATGCTGAGGATCGCCGCGACCAGGATCAGAGTACAGATTTCGAAATCGAAGAAGGCAAGGACGACGAGAGTTATCAAAACAGTAATAAAGCCACAAATGAGATAGGGTCAAGATCCGAATCCGCCGGACACCAGGGGCACGACCAATCGAGGCCGCAGGCACTAGCTGCAGACGGGACGAGCTTGAGGCGAAGCAGACGTAATAAGGACGCTCACCTGTCGCCAAGCCAGGCTGAGGTTCCAGCCCAACGGTCAACGACATCTAGGTTGCCAATACCACCTGGAGCTATGATGGGGCTTCCAGGGCTCCCGATAAAAGTCCTGGCACTAGATGGTACTGGAAAGTACAAATGGCGGACAGAAGATACACCTAAGGAGCTCAGCGAGGAGCTAGAGAAGGCACTGCTTCGCTTTATCGGCGAGTATGAGAGGAGGACTCGAAATTTTCGGCGCTGGCTGAAGAATCCAAGGGACTGTGCGTTGACATTCACTATCACAACCGGGAGGTCTGTTTCCATATTTCCTCAAGAGCTTGTGGCATGCACCGAATGCACCGGGGGCCGAAGGCCTTGTGTGATAATCTTGACCGACGACCAGGGCGAGCAGCAGTTGGGATTTCTGCGTGCCCATGATGGCCTGAGAAACGGAACCGTGGATGATGTAGCCTTCTACATGCCAACGCGGAATGACTGAGGCTTTGGAAAAAATGTTGGCCTCTATTGAGTTTCTGAATGTTATTGAATGTAAGGAGGTGGATGTACTATCGTGGTATGCGATAAAGCTAGCTCACGATCTTGGAAACATGTTGTGTCTCCCAGACAAACAGGTCACGACTGTTGGGCTTTCCGCCTTGGATACTGCTAAGGGTATACGAGGAGAGGATCGAAAAGTACATACTGAAATTACGAGCAAGCTACCTACATGGCAGTCTATGATTGTTACCATTCAAGCCACAGTTGTGCGTCGACATACAACAAGCGTTGAATTATGTAGCTTACGAGATGTTCGTTGTTCAATCCTCATGGCCCTCTAGAAGGAATCAAGATACTTTCTACTAACCGGAATGAAACGGCAGAATACAAGCTCACTCATCCATCACCTATATGCTCTCCCTCCCCGCCCAATTCACCCCCTACAAGCACCATCCAGATCCTTCTTACAATCGATCCCCACGCCCGCTTTCTGCATACAATGCAGCTTCCCAACATTCATCTTACATAGCCGTTCTCCTGTACCTCCAACTCTTGGCCATTCTTCACACGATACCAAGTTCTCCTCTTCGCGCCACAAACCATCATCTCTGCTTACAGTGCTACAGCTAACGTCAACGATGCTGAAGACCCCTTAGTTGTGCGAGACATGCTCCGTATCAAACCCTCCACGTACGTGCTGCCTATATCAAGATCTCCAACTCTCCCTACACACCCACATACAACACCGCAGCAGCCAGCCCGGCGATGAGCGCCCCAGGCACCGCATGAAATAACCCGCCTCCTGACGAGCCCCTCCGCGCGATGTGGTAGCCATCCATACCCGCTACCACCACCCCGATGATACTCAGAATGGTCGCGGTCTCAACCCACTTTCCCTGGTACGCGAATACGAGAAGCGTGATGCCTGTTGCGAGTTGGCGGGCGCCTAGGAGGGATATGTATGAGGTTGTTGTTGCGGGGTTCTCGTGCTTGGGCGACGGTGGTAGGGGAATGCCAAAGGTTGTTGCGAAGGTGATGGGGGAGGTGATGGCTTGGAGGCCGGTGGAGAGGGAGGCTAGGGCGAAGATGAGGGTGACGGCTTTGATTGTGAGGGTGAGGGTGGTGCTGTTCATGACGTTGACTTTGGAACGTCTGAGTGATCAGGTCTGGTTCCATTTCACGAATCAATTTTTGGATCTCGTTGATGTGTCTTTCAGCTCCATTGTGGTGACGTCATACATGTAGGATTGTGTGCACCTTCCTACCTCTATGACTATCCTTCCTCGCCGACACCCACATGTTGGTGGACTTACTCAATAAACGTGTCTAGTATGTCAAGTCGTTTATTTCGCGCTCTGTGATACTTTGTTTTGGATGGCGGCAATGAGTCGCGCCTACATCATGTGCGTTATAATGCCGGGAATAAGGCGTCGATGATGATTGAGAAGAAGAGATATACACAAGTTTGGCACCGGTGATTGCAATTTGAAAGCTAATGTACGAATGGCGTACATATTAGACATCGGAACCACAACTGGCGACAGCCTGCAGTGAGCTTTATAAGACCATGCTCCCCTATCATTTCTCTATATGAGTCACATTTTCCAGCTCGGATTTCCTCCTGTTACTTAAGACATCTCAATGTACCGGACCTGGCCTTCCTGCCACCTCCGCCACATCTGCCAGCACCCTTCTAAAGGTGTCAGGGTCAATACTGATATCGCTATAACTTAACCGGGTATCCTTCACCAACGAAGTACCCTCAGCGGCTTGCTGGTACCCCACAACCTGGAGTGCATAGTTGAACTTTGTTCAAGATCATCCTGACCGTGCCGATGACGATTTTCTCGAGGTACCACTGCCGCCTCGCTCCACAGGTCACTCGCTGGGGGCTCAAAATCCGGACGAAGGTGTGGAGGTAAATATACACCTCCTGCTCTTCCTACCGCTTGCGTTTCTATCTCATCATCGCTATCATCGCTGCTCATTTGTAGTGCACCACTGTTCGCTTCATCGCTGGCATAGCCTGTTGTCATGTCGGTCTCCTGGTCATCTTCCGCATCACTGCGGGCTGCTCGGTCATTCCACGCTTTGCCGTGCGGTCCTGTGGTATTCCGCGCTCTACCGCGCAGGCTTGTATTGCTACACGCTGTTCCGCGCGTTCCTCGATGATTATACGCATTTCCACGTGATCCTCTGCCGCTGGACGCAGTACCGCGTCCTCTAGTACCAAGGGCATCATTGTGCCCACCTCTGCTTCTGGACGCATCGCCGCGTCCTCTAGTACCAAGGGCATCATTGTGCCCACCTCTGCTTCTGGACGCATCGCCGCGTCCTCTAGTGCCAAGGGCATCATTGTGCCCACCTCTGCTTCTGGACGCATTGCCGCGTCCTCTACTATTGATAGCACCACCGCGGCTTCTCATACTGGTCGCACTGCTGTGCTCACCTCTGCCTCTGGACACATCGTCGCGTCCTCCTCGACTGCTACGCGCATTACCGCGCGAACCTCTAACGTTTGCCTCATTGGGCCATGTCTCTTTATGGTCGGTGCCGTTGGAGAAATAGTCTTGGGATTCTTCGTCATACACCACATCGCTGGCGTGCTCCTCGTCACTCCGCTGGATGCGGACCAATGCCTGCACCGAGGTGCTTTGTTCGTTTTCCGCTATGGCCAATGCTACGCGTTCTGCGCGTTGCTGTCGGAGGTCTCTGCGCATCTGTATCATATCTTCTTCCATCCGTTCGAGGAATCTATCAGCTCCATGATCTCCTGCATGGATAGATTCTGCGCGAAGACGCCGAATCTTTTGGAGCTGTTGCCGTAATTTATCACCCAGGAGTCTCGTACCTGCCGAGGCACCCGAATCTTCTGAGCTACTCGAAGCTGTTCGCGTATTTCGCCTTGTATGAGGCGAGCCTGACTCTAGAAGAGCGTTTTCGTATTGTTGACGCGGAAGTTGAGCCCCCCTGGTCCGCGAACTGCGCGAGCACGACCGTCCGCGCCTACGAGGAGAAGGCGATATTGCGTATCGCGCACCACGCCGAGATGCTCGCTCACGGCGCGCTTCCAAAAATGGTTCCAAGTCATCGACAGTGAAGTATCGCACAGGGGGCGGCTCTGGCCGTACTTGATAGGTGCTGGATTCACGCCGCCCGTAGATTGAAGGCGATCGAAAACTCTGCTGTTGATGGAAGTCTGAGACCCGCTCATGGCGACCGTCATACCGTCCTCGCGTCTCATACTCAGTTTCGTACCTGTCAGTCACAGGTGAAGGCTCATGTTGTGCTCGATAGGTGCTCAGTTCACGCCGCGCGTAGCGCGAAAGCGACCAGGAAACCTGTTGTCGGTCGAAGTCCAAGAGCTCCTCATAGCGAGCGTCATAGCGAGCTCGAAACTCATACTCAGTTTCGTACCTGTTAAACTCACTGGACGATTCTCTGTGGCCGCGGCCGTAATATTGAGTTTGTGGAGGTTCAAAGCGCTCATTGTCGAAAGTATAGTCCCGCACCTGGCCGGGGTCCGGCGGCATACGACGGTGATACATGATTACCGAAAGCTTTTGGTCAGCCAGAGAAGATCTAGTGTCAAGGGCGAACTCACAATGCGTACGGGTGGTGTGGGTTGTGGGTGAGGTGAACGAGGTAGAGGCGGCTTCAAAAGGTAGCAACTTGCCAAGACTACAGGCTGACGCGTCTCTGACTCGGCCACAGTGGTGAGTGAGAGTGAACAGGAAGGAGCGGCATCGATTTTTCGAAATTAACACCTACAAGAGCAGATGCTATCAAGTAGCTACTTCGCGTACCATGGTTCTGTCCTAGGCATCACCACTCAACAGAACACTAACAAGTCAAATCAAAGCTATGCCCACGAACATTGCCTAGCAGGACGTGATAAAAACATGTTTTTGAAAGAAAGAGAACACCTACGAGAGAGTCTACGAGAGAGCCTCGCCTCATTGCAATAATCTCACCACCCTCATCACTTTCCAAACCATACCATCACTGCCACCAGGCCTCGCTCATGCCCTATCGAACTTCGACACCTTCGGCATCCTCGGGTTGGAGTAATTCTGCAACAGCCTCTCCAGCCATCTACCAGGATGGAACCTCATGTTTTTCTGAGGAGGAACCGGATTGGTGCGAATCCACTCGAGCTCCTCATCATCAAGCGGTTCATGCCGACACGGACATTCCTTGCCGTTAGGGCACTCCTTCTCGGTGTCGAACACCCACTTGCACAAGGCCAAGTCTTCCTGCCGGGTGCCACCGTAATGCTCTGTGTATAAGCGGACACGGCCCATGTCCTTGGCCACTTCGTAACCTAATGTGCGAGGTGGAGCTGGTACCTTTTCTGTTCGTGGAGCGTAGCCTTTGGCTAAGGTAGCGAGGACGCGTCGTTCGAAGGCGTTGGGACCCTTATCGTGTTGAGAAGCTGGAAGAGGTGTCGGGACAGTAGCTGCGGCGGCAGTACCCCTGATTGTCAGCTCAGGCGACGAGGTGAACATGTTGTTGCGTGGTCCGGAAGGGGCGCTGCGGTCGCCCGCGAAACCTCTAAGACTCCCGCGGGGTCCAGCTGGTGGATTGAACTCTTTCATTTCGTCCTTGACCTCAAAGCGTGCCGGACTTATTGTTGGCGGCCGGCTCATGAGCGCACGACGACCATGATGCGTAGTCGCTCCGTCGTCGGCTACTGTCGATGAGTCCCGGACTGACTCTTGTGCTGGTGAATCCAGTATGTCTGAGCTATAACGCGACATCCTCCTCCTCTGCTCCTCAACCATGGCTTTGATATGATTCCGCTTTTGGACGCTCTCTTCTAGCAACAGCTGCTGGTATTCTGCTTCGAAGTCGGCAGCCTCTTGATCGATTCGAGCCTTCTGCTCTTCGAAGTCCCGCGCTGTACGTACACCAGAACGGGTTGTTGGATGCAGAGGGCTGCGCGAGCGGACTTGAAACGTCATTAGTAATTCCTCTCATTTTTTAGGGCGCAACTTACAAGACGTCTCCTCGATGGGTCGAGGGGAGGCTGACCGACGTTGTTGTGTCTGATAGTGAGCTGGAGTCTATGTCAGCATTGGAATTGTATTGAAACAAAGAGTAGCGTACGATGGCGACTGTATCTATATTCGTGAGGGTCTCTCGTGTCAAGATCATAGTATTGACGTCCGTTGTTTAGGCCGATGTTCTCGATATGGGCGTCGCGCGAAGCCCACGATTGATCGGGGTCTTGAATATGGTTTCCTTGTTCGATATTATCCATGTTGTTGTCCGCAGACCACTCAATCTGCATGCTAGACCTCTGGTCGGGAGTTGACTGGTTAAGGACATCGCCTTGGACAAGCCCATCGCGCATACGCTCATCCAGAGCTCCAATGTCGCTTCGGATACTCGACAGTGGGGATGACTCGCCACTACGCATAGGCGCCTCGCGGGTGCCGTGACTGCAGCGTGCTTTAGCTCAGATTCGCCCGAATGGGCCGCGTATCCTGGAATACTTACTTGAGGCCAGGCAAGTTTTGACTCGGACGGTAGACCTCTTTACGACGGGGATCTTTACGGTCGCGCATTGCGTACCTCTGCTGCTGATTGGAATGGTTGCTCGTCGCCATGTTGTCGACTTTGCGTGTGGGTGACGCGCGGGCAACAAAGAAGGATTTGTACTTGCAATGGGGACACTGGCGGCGAAGTAGAAAGGTGCGCGATAGCTGGCTTTCAGCCGAGTTGTTGACCAAGCGACTGCTGGGAGCCGGGGAGACTTCTTGTCGCGGAGACGGTTCAGACTTCAGAAATTCAACTACTAAGTACTGCGTGCTCTAAAACAAATATTTCAAGAGAGTGGCAGCGCTTTCTAGGCAAGCATCTGCAGTTTGGTGTGGTGTGCTTCCGATTCAAACACAAACAGAGACAAAAGTGTCTCAAAGTGGATATTTTCGACAAGCACTCACGGCCTATTGTTCACCGCGTGGTCTCTAGACACTCCAACATAGCTCGAATAGTTCTCAATGCCTACATGTTTCATCTTGTGTAGAAGAGTGGCTCGTAGCGCTGTATGAATACAGCAGGCAGACACGTTCTATGCATGGCATCGTCTCAAATAAGATTCTCGTGGATCTTCTAGCGACTTTTCGTGGATCCGTTATCCTCCCTTTCATCTTCCGATTCAGATTGTTCTGTCATTGTCGGTCGAATTTGACAGCCCATACACCATTCAGCCACGCCCAACACAGTTCCTGGAGTGTCCATGTCGCCGTTATATCTCTTCTTGTCAGTCTCCCACGTCACCTCCGTGAACCGAGCATCCTCATCCGAAACTTCACCCTTCTCATTCAACTCAATTACCAATTTTGCTATTCATAGTTGAGCGAAACGTCTTGCACAAATAGTGGTAAGGTGAAAGTATAAAATCGTTCCTGAAACATTCCTATCGATGCAACCTACTCAACAGTCTCGTGGCTGTAGAAGACGATGAAATCGTGTCCATGAAGGATCTCACGACCTACGAGGAGGACAGTATTGAACTTCCGTGCACAGGGATCTGAACTTTTCATTCCTAACGACATACTCCACTCACTCAAGTCTGTGGTTGCAAATTGTCAGAAACGGCCCTTTTCTCGCTACGATGTGTGGAGGATGGCGGTGACGTCATGCATCGATTGGACTTCATCCTGATACGGAATGCGCTCCGCCGCGAACGTACCAAGGTACACGAGCACGACTCATGATCCGTAAATTTCCACATACATGCTCAAATAGTCGGTTCGATGACTACAATGACAGGAATAGGTAAGGTTGATGTTTGTCTGAGTGAAGCACCATGCATATAGAAAGTACCATAGGAACTGCAGACCAATTTCAATGCCGAATTCGCTATACATACTTCACAGCAATCTTACAAGTAATACGACAACATGGGGAAAGCCACAGGATACGATGTCAACTCTTCCACTCAGGTTCCGCGAACCCACAGCGGAGTGAGCGATAGTGAAAACAATGGTGAGTGCAGCCGCGCCGCGATCCACTGCAACTCTCAAGCCCCAGGGGCATCATCAACGAAACCAATCGTCTCACAAAGACGAGCACCTGTTCAACATCAACATCAAACCATACTAACCGATTCATCTAGTCCTCCAACAGCCTCTCCTCCAGCATTCCTCACGCGCCATGTACCCCATGGCCAGCAAGTCGATACCGCCCGACGTCTTCAAGCCCGGCTTCTGCGACTCGCAAACCCCCATTGCCGCCGAACTCACGCAATCCTTCCTCGACTTCGCATCAAAAAGCGGAGGTATAAATCTCAAGCAGATGGGCGTCAGGCCAGGCCAAAGATGGTGCATTGAGGCGAACAAGTGGCAGGAAACATTACAACATGAGAAGGAAGCAGGAGTGAAGGTTCCGCCGATTAAGTTGGACTGTACGCATGAGAGTGCTTTGAAAGTTGTTGGGCTGGATGTGCTGAAGAAATATGCGGCGGCTTCAGACGCTTAGTGCATCAGCATGGAGGAATCGGTGGATGGGTTCAGTAGCTCAGCACGAGGACTTCGGAAGGATATTGAAAGATGAAATACTAAGAATCGGTGTATGATACCAATGAAGCGAGGATATGACTCGAAATAATCAAGGTGTATGTTCTATCCTTTCTACCAAACTCAACGTCTGCTCAACGTTGGTTATATTCAATGATTCCATACGGACTGGTTGTACCTGTTCTAAGATGGGTTTATTGAACTATCCCACCTAGCGCTCACATAATCACCTACTTGGTGGGTCAACTATTATTTCCGTTGTCACACTAACTGTATGGGTGCTACCTGGTCCCGATGCCGATCCTCAGTCGTCTCGCACGAGCCGTGGACGACATTTAGGTCTGGCTACCACTCGCGTCATTTAGCAAGCAACCTCTTTTTCAAAACTACAATGCCTTCGTCTTCAAGTCGCATAGCTGAGCTGGCAGCTGAAATTGCCCAAAAGACGCAGCTCATTGATCAACATCTCGCAGAGAAGGGCTTGCCCTATCCTTCATTCGATGCCGCAGGCCCAACGGATCTCAATCTGCCGCCCGACCTGGAGAATGTGCGCGTCTTAGTATTGCAAGCGACACAAGAGCTGAATGACCTTCTCCAGGGTCCCAGAGATCTATTGTTCAATCACCATGTCTGTAGACAAACTCACATAATGCATCCTCGAAGCTAACCTATCAACAGCACAACCAACTCGTCCCTCTGAAATTGATATCACACTTCGACCTCGCACATAAAGTTCCCGTAGATGGGGAAATTACCTTCGCAGAGCTTGCGAGTACCACGGGAATTGAGCAAGGAGCACTTGCCCGCATCCTTCGCCTCGGCATCGCCAATCGCATCTTCAGAGAACCTCGACCTGGAGTTATTGCCCATTCAGCGGCCTCGAGGCAAATCGCGGAGGATGCCGCGCTCGCCGGATGGGTAGGCGCGAATGTAGACGAGATGTGGCCAGCCGCAGAGAAGGTAGTCGATGCGCTGAAGAAGTGGCCACAGGCTGCGGAGCCGAACCAAACCGTAGGAAAACCTAGTCCTGATACATGTGAAGATGTTCCAACGCTGACGACACGTCAGGGCTTCGCGGTAGCTAACGAAACCGACAAGCCATTCTACGCTGTACTCGCCCAAGACCCGCAGCGTGCAAAACGTTTCGGCCAGGCCATGAGCTTCTTCACCACAGGCGATGGCTACTCCCTGCGACACCTCACAGACGGCTACCCATGGGACACTATCTCCGGCACTGTAGTTGACCTCGGAGGCTCTCACGGCAACGCAGCGTTTGCGCTAGCTCGAAAGTACCCAGATCTTCGGTTGATGGTCCAAGAACTGCCCGAAGTAGTCGCAAACGCAAAGCCAGAGGAAGGTCTAAATGTCGAGTTCATGGCGCATGATTTCTTCAATGAGCAGCCGGTGAAGCATGCGGATGTGTATTATCTCCGTTGGACGCTGCATAATTGGCCGGATGCGTACTGTGTTAAGATCTTGAGGGCTTTGATACCCGCGCTGAAGAAGGGTGCGAGGATACTAGTGATGGATTTTGTGATGCCTCCACCAGGGTTGCTTCCGAACGACCTTGACCGGAAGTTGAGGTGAGTTTGTGCTTCCGAGTGGGCCTATCCAGACGATGCTAATGTAGATGTAGAGCCATGGATCTTACGATGCTGGAGATCGCGAATGCAAAGGAGCGCGATCCGGAGGAATGGAAGGGGTTGTTTGCTGAGGCTGATGAAAGATTCATCTTTAAAGACATAAAGCAACCTCCAGGCTCGAGACTTGCTATCATCGAGACAACGTGGGAAGAATGAAGCTAGGGTTTTGGTTGATGAAGGGAAAGAATGACGTCATCGCATAGCCGTGCCCTGCAACCGTATTAGCCGAATTGACCACCTGAGCTGCCTCGAACCATAAATCACGTGAATGATGGATCATAGAAGCTTCAGGAAAACGCGTGTTTCATCCTGCGACGCGTCGTTGCGATAAACCTCTCAAGTTTGGCAGATCTGCGGGGGCGCGCATCCCTCACGAAAAAAAGTGGACCACGACCCTTACTGTATTTCTCCAACCTGCCGTGTGCCTCTCCAACGAATTGTGCAACCACACATGAAATTCTGAACTTACTCGACACGCTCCAATCCAAAGATCACAATGCCTCGCACCACAAACGATCCCGAGGAATACATGATGGCCCTCAAAAAGGTCGTCTACGAAGACCCCAGCACCACCACCCGCGAACTCTTCACAAAGCATCTAACAGACGTCCCCATGCCCGGCAGCTTCGTACACGACGACTGGCTCAAACACGCCACTGCACACCAAGTCCTCCTCGAGAAACTGGCCTACCATCCCGCCATGGCTCCTAACCTCCAGCAAACCTACAGCACCCCCGCAAATGATAAGAACAATGTTTATTTTATGTGGGACTTCGTCGGCCGCACGCTGGGCCAGTTGTTCCGCATGGATCCGGAATTGCCCAATGGGATTACGCAGGAGATGTGGGATGTTATCGGGCGGACGACCATGGCTGCCAATTTGATCCTCGACTCGCAGAAGGGGATGTTAGATGAGATGACCGAGTTGCAGTATCCAGAGCAGAAAGGCAGGCATCCCGCATTCGGCGAGGAGATCCTACAGCTTGCGCGCGACATGCTGTTGCTCAAGGACGCCGTTGGAGAAGGCTGCGAGGTGTGCGCGCGGAAGACGGCGAGAGATGGGGCGGGTGGGTTGTTCACGTGCGGGGGTGCAAGAAGGCGAGGTATTGTTCGCAGCAGTGTCAGAAGAAGGACTGGAAGAAGGATGATCATAAGAATACGTGTAAGACCTTTCAGAAGAATAAGGGGCAATTGATCGCGTGCAGAGGAGTGGGAGTCTGGGGATCTGTACGAGCAGATTCAGAAGGAGGGGGCGTGAAAGCTATGGCGAGGAATATGCCAAGGAACATGCCGATCAGGTGCGGGATGAGGAGGAGCTTCCGGGTGAGAAGTAGGTTGTTGAATCAGCGCCCATTTTGCAAAGGTGATATCCAACAATGACGGTTCTCATTTCATCTTACAAAGTCGCCTGCAAACCACCCATCAACACGCCAACCAATTCCCCAATCCCCGACGCTCCCTCCCTCCCCGAATACAGCTGCTCCCCCTCAAGCATGCCACTCAACCGACCGCCTCGCACCCGTAAACGGCATATACTGACAATGCGAGCTCGTCTCCCCCCACGCCTGCTGACTATACACCCCATGCTCCAACCAACTCCAACTACTCCCATCCTTCAATATCAAGTTAATCGTCGCCGTATACCCTAGATCACTCTTCCCGCTCTTCGCCCTCGCTTGACACCACACATGCTTTCCCGGCCCAATCGGCGCCTCATACGTAATCGTACGCGAGATATCCTCCTCCTTCGTCTCGACCTTCTCGTTGGTCTCAGAGTACTCGTAGGACATTTCTACGCCGCCGCCGACGCTGAACGCGAGGATGCTGGCTTCCCAGGTTACGCTGACGGCGACGCCGTACGTTTTGGTTACAGAGGTGGTGGTCGAGACGGACGTGTGGACGTCGACGGTGGTTTCGAAGGACCAATTTATGGTGGTGTTGAGGTCGTTTTGGTGGTCGTAGGAGTCGACGATTTGGAGTTCGATGCCCCTGTCCATATCAGTATATCACTCCTAGAAAGAGATTGTAAGGAGTGAGTAGGGAGCAACGTACTTCTGCTGAGCGTTCAAGTTCTCAGGGGAGTCGTCGAAGACGGGGTCAGTCATAGTGATGTGGTCGATCTGGCTCTTGAGAAAAAGCGCGTTCCCCTGCTTGATGTCGTTGGAGCCCCAGCCGGCAAAGCCCAGCATCACGCCGGCCCCAACATCAACAGGAAACTCGGTCTTCTTGGACCGCGTGTCGTGCCTGTTACCCACATCGAACTCACGGCCGTCGGTCAACACCATGCGGATGTTACCGAGCTTTGCGCCACCGCCGTTACCCCAGAGACTGAAGGAGTCGACGAACGTCTTGGAGTACTCCCAGTCGATGGACTGGTGTTGAGGAGAGGAGCCAGGTACGCCGAAGATGCCGTGGCGGTCGCCATTGGCGTATTGGATCTGAATTGCGTTGACGCCTTCGTCCGTATCGTACCAGACGTCGAGCCCTGTGACTGGGACACCGACATCGTGGAGGGTAGAGCAGAATGGGACCACGCCCTCGTGCGTTTCGGGGTCCCTCATGCCGATCATCATCATAGGAGCGAAGGGTCCATTCGAGCAGTCCCCCGCAATGGCGATGTCAAGAAGTGCTGTAGCGGCGAAAGCAGCTCCTAAAAGAAGCTTAAAAGGAGAGCTGACCATGTTGGGTGAAGTCGCCGGATGGGGTCTTCGAGCTCCGGCTGGTAATCAATGAACTATGTAAAGAATCAAACAAGTTTGAATTGAGTAACGACTGTAGTAGAACGAGTGAATGTATTACAAAGAATCTAGTAAAGATGAGAAGCGAAGTGTTGTGCCTGAGTGCTCTGCCAGTGGTGGTACTGAGGAGCATTATATACGGCATGAATGCATCGGAGTTGCGATGCTGGCTTCAGACTTCATGGACTTTGCTGATGGAGCCAAGAATCTGCTGATGACTAAACAGCGTATTCTTCGCGCAAGTGCTTCTTTGGACTCCGTAGCTGAGCTGAGGCTTGGCATCGGCGGGCACGTTGTGTGAGTGCAGGACTATTGATGGGCGGTTCTTCGAATAACTCGTAACCTGAGACCAGCTTAGCGAGACAGTTATTTTTTGCTTGAGATCTACACGTTTAGTCCCGTAGCCACCGCACTCCTCGCTCCATGTTATTGAACTGTATAGTATTCAGCGTTAAGAAATTGCATCGCGGTAATCGTGTACAGCGCACGATGAGCACACAGAGGGATAAAATTTGGTGTGCCCAGGAAGAATTAGGGACTCGCTCTTGGTTTTTGGCACGGCGCTTGATCAGGAGTCCTTGGATTCGAGAACTGGAGGGTGAGCTGCACGGAGTGCGTAGGGGCGGAAAGTGCTTATTCATCGCGGAGCCGGCATCGTCCAACCGCAACGGACATTGCGCTTCAATCAGCAACAACACCGGCGTTCCGACGAGCACAACGCCAAGAGATTACACGACTAAGTAAATACAATCGCGTCATTTGCAAGACTTAATTGAGATTTGCAAACATATGCTTGATAACAGAACACCACAAAGGTGAGGGTATAATATTGTACTAAGACATTCTTCGCAGGGTTTAAATCGCATGTATCACAGCACATGGACACCCTGTAGAAGAGAGCGATGCTAACGAGTGAGATTCTATATTACTCAAACATAGATCTTGCACCTTAGAACAACCAAGAGACAAAGGTGCGGTAGAACCAATTCTGCTTCTTGGCAGGTTGCGCAGCCTTTGCGGCCAAGAAGGCCTCTTCCTCGCGGTCGATCTCGTCTTTGCCAGTGTAGAAGTCCGCTGGTAAAACATTAGCATGAGTATCAGTACAGGACATGGAAGTTATGTTTACCTTCGTGTGGCCGGACTCGCTTCGATTTCATTAAAAACTTGTACCCGAAAATGCAAATAAGGTATACCGGGATGGCGAGATATCCGGTAATGAAGTTCTTGTAGTCGAAGTCTCCATATTTGGGGCTGCGAGTGAAGACATTGAAGTTCTTCGTCAGGGCGATCAAAACGCAGAAGAATAGTGCGAAGTAAGAGCCCCAAAGACCCAACGGCGCAACGAAAGGCATCATCTCGTTTGTAATGCCTTGGGCTCTGCGGGCCTTGACGAAGAAGATATGCGTGACCAAGAGTGAAATCCAGGCGCACAGACCAAAGATGGACACCAAGTTGACGAAGTAGCTGAAGACTTCTGTGGAATCCTTTGCAGCGTTCATGAAAGCGCTGCAGCAGAAAAGCGCTGAGACACCAAGGGCGGGAACAGGCACTCCACGCTTGTCGGTCCACTTGAAGATCTTAGGCGCATGGCCACGGTCCGCAAGACCAAAGAGGGTACGGGATGCAATATACAAGTCCGAGTTGGAGGCACTGAACGTGAAGAGCAGGATGCAGCCGTTAACGATGCCCGCGAGATGCGGGATGTTGGCATTTCCAATGGCAATGACGAATGGCGAGGCCTTCGCGCTGGTTGTCGCTGAATTGGCTTTGATAAGAGCTGGGTCGTTGTACGCGATGAGCATGCCCAAGAAGAATACGCTCAGAACGTAGAAGAACAAGATCCGGTAGAACGTGAGCTTGATGGCCCGAGGAATGGTCTTGCGGGGGTTCTGAGCCTCTCCCACAGTGACACCGATCAGTTCCGTGCCCAGATAGGCAAATACGGCGTTGACGAAAGAGCTCCAGAAGCCGTAGAATTTGCCTGCCGATGCATCGCCCTTCTGGATGTACGGCGCAAATGCTCCGGGATTCTTCCAGTACTTGAATCCTGTCGCGGGGCCTGGACCAGCTCCAACGGCGAGGAGGAAGGACAGGAAGATGACGCCAATGATGACCACAACCTTAACGGAACTGAGCCAGAATTCAAGCTCTCCAAAAAACCGAATACCGAAGTAATTGATGGCTATGATGACAACCAGGAACACGGCGATGAACACTCCCGGGTTCACTTTGTCCGGTGGACACCAGTATTGAATGATCAAAGCAGTCGCGGTCAGCTGGTTCGGCGTGGTGATGATATATTTGCACCAATAGGTCCACCCGAGAGCAAATCCGAGAGCGGGGTCGACGAAACGGGATGCGTAGCCAGAGAAACCAGATGCGTGCGGAAGCCATGCTGCCATTTCTCCAAGCCCACTCATGACGATCCAGACGAGGAAACCAACGAAAGTGTAAGAGATGAGAATCGAAGCGGGTCTGCGTTTGTTAGCACATGAATACTGGACATGGGGTTGAAGTCGACGTACCCAGATTGTGCAAGCGCCTTTCCTGTACCGATAATCAAACCAGTTCCAATGGCACCACCAATTGCAATCATAGTAATATGACGCGATTTAAGTCCACGTTGTAAGTGCGCATGGTCGTTGTATTGAACGACTCCATCGGCGCCCACGATTGGTTCCGCTGTGACACCAGCCTGATACTCCGTCTTGCCATATTCCACGTTCGCGCCGTCCGAGGACGAGTTCGAGTGTCGGTTGATTATCGCCATCTTGTCTGGGTCTCAAGTTGTGCTGGCGAACTTGAGTGGATGTGTACTGTACTTGGCGACAAGCACACTACGTATGCGGCGCGGGAGGGGCGCTCTTCGTCGCAACGGGAACAAAGACTGTGCAAAGTGACAATCTTTGCAGGAGTGGAAGCTCCTGTAAGTACGTAGACGACCGACGCAAACAGCGAAATCAGCCTCGGGTACGTCGTGTAGCGGCTTTCACCGGTATATATACGATAAAGGCGGAGGAGCCGAGCACAGATTACGGCGTCTGCGCAGGCTATCAGCTAGGCTTACTCGCTGGCGCCACGACACTCGCGGCGTAACCTCAAGAGAAGCCAAGAAGAACCGATGGAAGAGGAAGCGAAAAAGGGACTCGCGCAAAGGCTGGCGGACGATAGAGCGCGCGGGCGGCCTATATCGGTTTACGTACAGCTCCAATGGCCAGTTCCCAGCCAGAGGCCATGAGGCGCATGTGCACCCCACAAAGGCGAACGGCACAGTGAGCTTCCTGTATAGGAACGGTGCGTTCGTCGACCCCGTCTGTGTGTACTTGGCAGACCGTATTGGCGCTGGGCCAAGACATGGCGACTTGATAAGGCTTCTGGAATGCGGCAAAGAAGACGTCGTACGAATTAGTCTCGTGCGCTATGGTTGAAAGGCCCAAGTTGACCGAGACGCTTGTCCCTGGCTTGCAACACCGTCTCCGAAGCATCCGCGGCTCTGCTGGACACTTCCATCCCGCCGTTAGTGGACATGTCGTGCTCGAGAAAAGGTTAGGAGGGGATATGCGGCGGGCCGATCGAGGGGTGGGGAAGAGGATGCCCAGCCGCCAGCAACGTGCTGACGTCCGGGCCTAGACCCGGAAGCGTTTAGGCGGGGAAGCGCACGATGAATTTCTTATCAGGGTCAGCTCCCACAACCATGGAAAGGGAAATATGCGGCTCGTTCTGCTGACACTTATCTGCAGACTCTTTCAAGGACTGCATGGCGTGATGATTTTTGATCCTTGAGATGCGTGACCCAAGGGTTCTGGGCCGAAGACACCCTTGCGCTACCCCCATCCCGGGCGCTGGGTGTGTGTACTACCATTAGTAGACTGCGACACGCGCGAAACCTCTTGAACATCTACGCACGCTACGATAGAGCCGCAAACTGCAAATCCTCTAGAGACGCCCAGTGACTAACTTGACCACATTAAAGGCCTAGTGCACATGAAGTACTCCAGGGGCCTGAATTCGGGTAGAAGTCACGCGCACGCGGATTGTCCAACCAAAGCATTTTGCATTACCCAACCGAAACTAGGGACTTTCTGGAACATGTCCTGGAACCTGTAGGGCTATCTTTTGAAAAATTCTCATGTCTATTTCGCCATCACTGGGAAGTACACAATACACTTACGAATACGTTGATGAATCCCAGAGGTCGTTATCACGCCAAGTTTTAGACCCACGATCCGGCCCGCAGCTCCACTCCTCAACATCCACAATGAAACGCGGCAGATAGATACCAAAGATAGGTGCTCGGCCTGTTGTTTGTTCAGCTACATGTCAGTCCAGAGGAGTCTCTAATCTTGAGCTTCTCGACTCACCTACAACCGCCGATCACATAATTGATCCTTAATTACATTCAGTGCCCACCAGGTGCAGCATCGTCGCAAACTTCAAATACAGTCAGGCGGTTCTTAGATCTATGACTACATCTACCAATACATTTCTATCCGCCTTTAACAATATACCCATAATCCCACCCAATGTATCGACCAAATGCTCGTCACACTCCTGCTGGAACGTCCTTCGCTCTCACGTCCAGACATGCAATGTAGTTCGTGATCTCCCTTCCATCAAACTCCTGATATGATCTGTCACCCAAGAAACTAAACGCATTCTCCCCCCAATACTCAATCTCATAATCCGCCCATTTCACCCCTCCAACATCGCCAAAAAATGCAGTCTACTCCCCGGCCAAATCACCATCTTCCCATCCGTCCTCTCGCCTCAGACCACTTCGGAAACGGATTCGTCCACTCGATCTTCATAAAAACAACCCCTCATTTTATCTAAACATTTCCGCTCGCTCCATTCCCGACTCACTAAAACAGTTTATAAATCTTCTGTTATATCGCAGCCACAATCTGCACTCCACTATCCCCCTTCCTTACAACAGCGCCCTTCTTCCCGAACCTCTCGTATCCCTCCTTATACTTCGCCTACGCATCAATCTTCCAATATAATCTCCCGAAGCCAGGGATATCCGGAACCTTCCAACTATCCAGCATACCCCGCATTAATCAATCAAAAGCTCTTCTTGGTCCTCGACAACCTCCGTCAGTCTCTACGTTTCGTGCTCTGGCGTTGCATTTCCCACGGGAGTTGTTTAATTTCACATATTCACGCGATGTCTAAATTTGACATACTTCTCGATAAAGTCGTTCTATTTTGATGGAATCGAGGTAAGCCCAGAGCTCACGTGCTTAGCTACAATAATGACTCTACAGCTTACTCTTCCACGAGAAATGGTAGTTCACGACGGAATGCCGCAAGCGCAGCCTGGGTAGCGGTTCTCGATGGTACGATCAGATGACACGGACCAATAAAAGGAAGCAAGTGATGCGAAGCATCTCCTACGAGAATACATAAGTTGAACAACGTACAATGTAGGAAATAGATGGACATCATGGCAATTTGTAAGTTGCTGATGATGAGGTCGTCAGCGATGACGCGGGGTAGGACTGTGTGACTGACTAGATAGTGCCTCCTCGGATCCTTCCTGTGCCTGTCGAAGGCACAACGTCTATCACGCTTTTTGGAACGAAAACGCACGTTTGTCGACGATTGTGAACTTTTGAGATGGTTTACATAGTACGCGCAGTGTCTGAGACATGATCGCTGGCCCCAGCTTGTTGTCCACTACGTCTGAACCAAGCGGATCAAAGTGCCGTCAGGGTCGAGCAACGCACCTATAGTCACTCCCGAGTCCTCCTTCTTGGGTCTGTGAGCACGCGGAAACCCGGTTGTCGCCTCAGGCACTCCAGCCTCGATAATCTCGGCGAAGAATAGTTCCACATCCCCATTCTGAAGCAGCAGCTGAACCAGCTCGTGTCAGGGTCCAGGTCGGGGTGCGGAAAGAACTCGATGGTGATGCTGCCGCGCTTGAGAATCATCCAGTCTGTATCCCGCCGTGCTTCGGTGAAGCCGAACTGTGCGTAGAACCGAGACGTTGCTCTGAAGTCCCGCGAAGGGAGGTTCGGGGTCGCATGGTCAGGCATGGCGGTTATTGTTGAGCACCCAGGAACCACGATGACATATGCAGCTATGGGGGGTGCCCTAATAAAAGGCATTCGACATTACTGATTTCTGAGGTTTGCTAAAGGAGAGATGGACAAGCAGTGATGCGGGGCAGGATTCGGCCCGCCTTCAGAGGGCATACTGTGTATACGGTAAACGGGCCTTGGTACCTGTCGCACTTCGGTCGTCTGTCATGGCTACCTATTTGGGTTAAGTTGGATAGCAGCAAACAGAAGCACGTGTGTTGACGTGAGTGAACACCTGGGGCGGGTTCGGTAGGTACCGGCGGCTGACCGGTGTATGAGGACGGTGTCAAAGCTATGCAGGCAGGGGTTGGGCTGCTGTAGTGCACTGTGTAGAGACCCTGTTCAGCTGAAGTCAACATTGAACGCCTTACACAGCCGGCCGCACGCCCGGAATCAGGCAGCTAACGCCGTTGAGAGGTGAAATCCTCGAAATGACTCCAACGCGAAAACCGTTTTAATTCCTGATTTGGTGACCTCACGTGGGTGCTTGAGCATCTTTGGGCGCAGAGGTTTGAAGGGTCCCACTGAAACACAATCCCCGTATTCGACGACCACAACGTGCATGTGCGCTTGGCGTGGAGGAACGAGCCGTGCGGCATCCAACGAGACAAGATATCTCACACTATCCACAGCAGACTCGCGCCCAGTGTCTTCCCCCCGCCGACCAACGCATACCTCATCGTCGAGTATCAACACGCTCGCAGCACCTCGAGTAGACTCAGGCTTCCGTGGTCCCTGATCTTGACATCGCCTGCGAGCGGCGGCATACACGCCCCGCGACCGACCAGCACGACAGCGCACCCCATTAACCGCATCACACAACACCTTCCAGCCAGCACCGAACCGCCCACACCCTCAACAATACTCTGAGCTGCATGCGATAGTCGCGCGCATTGTTCCATCGCCGTCTGCTCGCTTCGTGCGGTGTCCTCTTGGCTTGGGAAATTGCGCCCACCAAGCTCAGCTCCACGGGCCCGGCCATGCTGCCCACAAGCGCCCGCGACGCAGCCTCGTGAACGACAACGGACGACCGTTCCGTAGATATATACAAAGCCGCCCAGCATGTCGTACTACCAGAGCGGCGGCTCCAACTACTACAACCCGAGCATCCCGCCGTCGAGCTCGGGCCAATATCACAGCTCCTACGACCAGCAGCACCAGACTGCAGACGCTGGAGACGTTACCAATGGCGGGGCACATGGCTACGGCTATGCAAGGCGCAACAGCTACAGCCAACACCAGAACGACGAGTTGTTCATGGGAGGTGACCAGCAGCCCGCCTCGCCAACCCAAGCAAGCTACAACAGCGCATACCAGTACCAGTCACAGTCTCAGCAGAGTTACAACCCGCAAAACTACGGCTCGCCCGTGACCCAGTTGCCAAACCCACAGCACTATGGCGGCGTCAACAGAACATTTGCCCCGCTGCACCAGCCCTACAATCCAGCTCTTTACGCAGACAACAGCTTGGGTAGGACGAGCACTGTCAGCCATCCCTACGGTTTCTCTCCGAGTTCGCCCTCGACCACCTCATACCCGTCGCCCACGCAATACCAGCAGTCGCAGTTTGGCAGGACAGGCTCCGTTCAACAACACTCTGGCCGATCGGCCTACTCGCCTCCTCAAGCGCCACCTGTGCCCGCCCCTCCAGGCAGTGCGCAGATCCCAGCAGACGACTGGGCGAATTACCCGACCCGCCACTCGTCGTCTGCCTCACACTCGTATTCGCATTCCTACCAACGATCCTCCGACCCACACGCACCGCTACCTTCACCTCCGTCGCAGGACCAGCTTAATCGCTATCCTTCGACATCGAGCCACCTATCCAACCCTCTGCCACCCACGCCTGAGGTGCCGCCGCATCAAACTTTGCAAAGACAAGACACCGTGGGGCGACGGCCACTACCCCCGCCTCCTCCGCCCAACGAGTCCGATGGCGAAGACTACTTTGCGACGCAGAATGGGGGATATAGCCAGGATGAATTGTTCTCGCAGCTTGAAAACATGACTACTGGACCCGGGAGTCCCAATATCAATGTGGAACACGCGAATGGGGACAATTACTATAACGTGGCTGGGCGTAATGGTAATCGCGTGAATGGAAACCAGCTCGCACCGCAAAATAGTCAGACGGTGTACTCGAGTGATAGCGATGTGGAAGCTGCTGCTGGTCTGGCCGCTTTGCGCATGGCCGAGGAACAGGAACAGGCAGACGAAGCGCGGAGAAGAAGCGGCGGCGCCGGACTCTTCAGTACTTACGCATCCATACAGTCGCCACCATTACCAAGTACCACGAGCCCAACCCAACAGAGGCAAGAGAGTGCAAGCGACAGCGACTACGTGCCCGTGGACGTTGGCCTGTACGGAGATAGCTTCGCGCCCCACTTCACCTACGGGGGTGCTCCCGACCAGCTAGTCGCTCCGAACAGCCATCCAGTTTCATCTTCCGGCTCACAACGAAGATCTGAAGCACCAAGCGAAGACTTCGACCCCGTCCATCCTTTCCCACCTTTCGGTACCACGGCGCGAGTCGACACCTTCGGCACCGGTGGCCTCGAGGAGCCCAGCGCAAGAAGAAGGAGCTACGATGAGGGCGATGAGTCTACGCTCATGGACACCTCAACCGCAATGTCTGGCGAGGTCCCTGACATGTTTTTCCATCCGGGCATGTCTACTAACCGCCCGTTACCGCCTCCTCCAGCAAGTGGCAACCGACGGCCCCACCACGCCAGCACGAGCTCATCTGGTTCGTATGAGTACTGGCGCAATTCGCAATCCTCTCGTGGCTCATACCCTGTAGACCCGAATACATTGCACATGGTTTCTCCGACCGGAACACTCGTACCTCGATCTACGTCTCTCCTCCAACACAGCCACACGCCTCAGGCAGTGCCTCTTCCAAGATCAAAGACAGATGCCGAGCAAGGGTACAAGCCCCGACAGCAGGCAAACCGTCAAACGTTCTACGGTGGGCCGGTTGACAGCGACAACAACACACTGACCCCAGGCAGTGCCGACGCAGTGGCTATTGACCTGCCAACGTTACCTGCAGGAAAGCGCTTCAACCCAGCCAAGCTCTCAAGTAATGACTTCAAGAAGTGCACTGAGCCTTGGGCATTGAGCTCTATAATCACATGGCTCAAGCACATGACGGAAGGAGAGAATGACTTGAAAGAAGGGCCAATCCGAGAAGGGTTGATCGCGCTTTTCACGCATAAAGTACCTACAATGAACATCGCCGATGCCGAAACACTCGCGAGCCGCGTCGTAGCCGAGATGCACAAGGCCGGTACTCTCGTGCACGAGGAAGAGTGGCTGAAGTTTTCGTCCGAGACGATGACGGGTGTGATCTTCCAGCTGACGAACGCCGGTTGTTATGCGCCGAAGCTGCATACAGAAACGATGCCTGGACGATGCTACGCACACCATTGCCAGCGTACAATCAAGAAACTCGACTTGACGTCTCCGTCAACTTCCAGCAAGTCTGGTGACTGGGCGACTTTTCACAACTTGACCAAGGAGTCCGTTGAAGGCGCAGACAGGAAGGAAATTGAACGGCAAAATATTTTGCACGAGATTGTTCAAGGTGAAGATGCTTACATGCAGCGATTAGATGTACTCCGCACGCTTTACCGAGACCGCTTGATTGCCGCGCAGCCACCGGTGATCCCTCCGAAGAAACTGAACAAGTTCATCAAGGATGTCTTCAGCAAGGTGGACGCAGTGAAGAAGGCCAACGAGGAGCATCTCCTACCTCAGATGAAGTACCGACAGCAAGAACAAGGACCCTGGATCGTTGGTTTCAGCGACATCTTCCGAGAATGGATCAGAAAAGCGAAGCAAGCCTATATTGAGTACTCCTCCGCATTTCCGTACGCAAACTTCCTTGTCCGCCAGGAAGCCGACAAGAACATGCTGTTCCGGACATTCCTCGATGAAGCTCGGAACAACAAAGCAGCAAACAAGCTGGACTGGAATACGTTCTTGAAGGGTCCAATCACTCGATTGCAGCACTATGGTCTCCTCATAGACTCTGTGCTTAAGAAGTCAAAGATAGAAAATGAGGAGAAGAGAAACCTGGAAATGGCACGCGACGAAATCAAGGCGGTAACGATGGAGTGTGACACCCGTGTCGCGGAGATGACAAGAAAGGTGGACTTGAGCGACCTGCAGGCGAAGCTCATACTACGGCCAGGCATGCAGCGCGTGGAGCTCAATCTGGACCATCTCGGACGCGAGCTCATTTTCAAAGGCGATCTCTTGAGGATGGGCGGCAATAGATTCACGTGGCTCGAAACTCATGCCCTTTTGTTTGATCACTACCTCGTCCTGGCCAAGACTGTCACGTATCGCGAACAAGACGGCGTGACCAAGTCGGAGAAGTACGACGTCTCCAGACTGCCTATACCTATGGATCTTCTTGTCTTGGAAAGCGAAGATGATGATGCCGTCGTTAGGTCGGCTGTCAAGGGCATCGCTGCCGTCACGCCAGTGCAAAAGAGCGGATCGGAGGTCCGCTTAGGACGTGGTGCTGGTCTCAATGGGCCTATGCCCGGCATGCTGACTCACACTAACACGTCGAACTCGCTGTCATCAACAAATACTGGCGGATCAGGAAAGACAATAGGCCAACCTGTCAATCTAGAGAACGGAAGAGACGAAAAGATCATGTATCCGTTCCGCATCAAGCATCTTGGCAAAGAAACCTACACATTGTTCGCCCCTACCGCACAAAACCGCGCGGAGTGGTGTGACAAGCTCATCATCGCGAAGACGAACCACGCGACGGCTCTGTTCTCGCAGAATGCCGAACCTTTTAGATTACGAGTCATGGCAGATGCTGCATTCGCATACGAAAGCGCGATGCCTTCGCAGAAGAGCATCACGATCAAAGGCACTCCGCTTGATCGATCAATAGACGAAGTCGAGAAGCTCTTCTCGAATTCCGGTCGACCTGTTCCTATTTGTCGTGCTCGGGTGAATTGCGCCACTGCCTTCAACCAGCCGTACGGCAAGCACATGGTTGCTGTAGGTACAGATATTGGTGTCTACATCTCTGAGTACGACAATCCGCGAGGCTGGACCAAGGTAGGATCTCCTCTCGCAATGACTTGGATCAAGCTGACACAATGCAGGCAATCCAAATACCCAAGGTTACGCAAATCGCGGTGCTCGAGCAGTTCAGCCTGATGTTGCTTATTTCTGACAAGTCACTGATCGCCTATCACCTCGACGCCGTCTGCCCTGTGAGCGGTGTGCCACCAAGTAACGACTCTACTCGACGAGCACCCCAGAAGCTATCAGGAGCGCGAGACATCGGCTTCTTCGCAACCGGCGTCATGAAAGATCGGACACTAGTGTTCTACAAGAAGCGAGAAGGCCTTTCCTCTACATTCAAGGTCCTGGAACCTGTCTACCAAAAATCAACCGAGAAGAAATCTCGCATATGGAAATCAGGCCGAACGGAGTTCTTCCGCGAGTACGACGAATTCTACATTCCCACCGACTGCTTCGGCATCGATCTCTTCCACTCCTCACTCGCCATCTCCACAGCAAAGGGCTTCGAAGTCCTCACCCTCGACAAGAAACAACCCTGGTCCGTACCAGACCTCCGCCAATCCCACGTCGCGACCATCGCCTCGCGACTCCAGGACCAAAAGCCCCTCGGCATGTTCCGCCTCTCAGACCAGGAGTTCCTCCTCTGCTACGAGGAGTGCGCCGTCTACGTCAACAAGCTGGGCGACATCTCGCGCTCCGTCATCATGGAATTCGTGGGCAAGGCCAAGAGCGCAGCTATGTACGGGCCGTACGTGCTCCTCTTCGACCCGGACTTCATCGAGATCCGGAACGCGCAGAATGGGCGCTTGAGACAGGTTATCTCGGGGCGAGATGTAAAGTGTCTAGACGACGGGCTGAGCGGGGGAAGTAGCCACACGCGCACGATTAAGTTGAGTTTGCAGCATCCGCAGCAGGAGAGGTGTCAGGTTGTGGTGGAGCTGGTGCTTAATGAGGGGCAGAAGGAGTAGCGTAGAGTAAAGTCAGGCAGAGCGGGATCTGCTTTGTTAGTGCATATATGATGCGATGGTAGATGGGATGGGGCTCACGATGTAGTGTCCGATGGACTGCACATATTCTGCGATATATGGAGTTTGTTGTGGTGGGTGGGATGGACGGCGGCCTGACCCGTGATGATAGGCGGGATGGGCTGGCTTCATGTGGGAGGGGGCTTTATCTAGTGATTTGTTTGTTGTTTAATCGTAAGGATACCTTTCTGTTTTGGTTGTTTGAAGAATTGTCTTGTCTTATCTTGTCTTGTCTTATCTTGTCTTGTCTTGTGCGCTTTTTTGTTTGATGTGCTGTCGTGCGCGTTGAATGTCTTTTCGAAGTGTGACGTTGTGGGTCTTTTGCGGAGCTTCAATGCACTCGTAAAGGCTCTGCTCTACTAAGGGGACTGCGATGTGGAGGCCATCTCACCCCCAAGCTTATGTGTGAACAATGATTCTTATCACGGAATAGGCATAATGATGAGGCCAACTCTAATGTCCAGGATTGAAATGCTTGCCTTCTGAATCCCGTTCGAGAGATGCAGACGCATTTTTCTGAAGTAGAAGAGCAGAGCAGACTCGAGCGGGAAGCGTGATGTTTCCAGTCGGTATGCTCTTAGCCCCAACTCTGGCATCGGTAGATATAAGATGTCGTCTGGAGGCTACATTCTACAGTGATAACTCAGACATTCGAGTGCATTTGGCCGTCATGCTGAGTGGCCTGGGACTCGAACTTTTGACGCTGGTCCCTCACCCAGCCACTCTCCCGCCCTCACCTGCTCGCGCTGCTGTCGTCACAGGCGCTCGGACATGGACCGCGCCGTTTAGCGCCTTGGCTCCACTAGCGCCGCCCACAGTCTATATAAACCCGCTCGCCGCCCTCTCTCTTGCTCTTTAGCTCTCTTTGCCTTTTGGTATGTACCCCCAATGGTCGACTTTCTACACGCAATTTTTCTAACCCCCGCGACAGGCTTAGATCAAGTGTAGTATCTGTTCTTTTCAGTTTAATCTCTGAAACGAGACTACGGTCTCATTCAAGATTATTCCTATTTTTGTACCTGGGCCTCCTCTCACTGGGCTTGCTCATAGTTGAGGCCACAGTGTCGCCAGTCTTGCACTACATCTGGCCGACGCGACCCTTCTCTCTTTTTCATTGAGCTGCTTCAGCGTTGCTGGGCACTTGAGGAAGAAGCGCTTGTGGATTGTGGACGCGGCGGGCTGTGGGTACGCCGGTTGTGACGTTTGTTTACCACTCAGCGTCTGCGTCGAACACGACACGACACACCCAGCCGGAACAACACCTGGAAGTGTTTAACGACACCGACTGTCCAAGCATTCTCATGCGGCATACGCAACACGGCAGCAATCTGCATGTCATCCCACCGTTCGTTCTGGGCATTTGCCGTCAACGATGAGTTCTCTATTACTGACGCGCGCGCAGACACAGCTGGCGCAATCATTTGGCCCGGTTGCTCGCCATGGCCCTGCTCTCTCACCGCTGGATGCCCCAAAGCTGCTACAGCGACTTGTCACTATCTTCATACGATCATCCGATACGTCCAGCTTCGACCATATCCTCCCAGAAGCCTCAGTAGAAGTTGGTTGCAGGAACCAATACATGCTGGAGGAATGAGCCACCGGGTTGCAGGCCCTGTGAAGGCGCCGTAGAAAGCGACGCAACATTCCAGCAACGCGCTGCGCCTCGGGCAATTACCCTCATTGCGATCTGAACTCTTCGTGTAAAGGTTGCGGCAGTCACAATCTTCAAGTACCTTGAATGCTGGACCATGTAGACATGATGGCACGTCATAAACGATCTACCTACGGCAAGCGATGCATGCGGGGCAAACCTCAATTACCCCAGATCACGGCTATGTATTGCCATGATGCGCATCCTCCATCTCCATTTACCCCAATGGCCGCATACAATCTTGCTCCGTCAATGCAGCGCTCGTTGCCATTGGAGCGAAAATGCAGCCGTGGGATTGACGACCCACTACCGACATCGTCGTCCAAGCCGAGTATATATTCACCAAAGGGAGAGGAGGCTGTGTTGTTGCGCACTGGAACTGTGATTGACAATGCTACACATACTTGTCCTTTTGAGTGCCGTTACGGCGGTGCAGGGTTTGAGATACAACACCCGGGCAACCAATATCCAACTGTTTCCCCAAGATGGGCAAAAGGACATCAATCCCGATACTCAAATACGCTTGAAATTTCCTTCACCGCCATCAATCGGTGATTCGGGCTTGATTCGTGTCTACGATGTCGAATCCAAATCGCTTGTTGACTCGCTCAATCTGTCAATTCCAATCTCGCCCAGTCCCTACGGTAACGGCTCGACCAAGGCGAACTACACGGATAAGACCAAATACCAAACGAACATAATCGGCGGAATGGACTTCTACTTCTTCCCGATCATTGTCCACGACAATACCGCGACGATATATCTGCACAACAACCGCCTCGAGTACAACAAAACATACAGCATCACCATCGACCCTGGCGTCCTTACAATCGACGATGAAGAATACGGAAACACCACTTCCAGCTTCCCAGGCTTCTCATCCAATTCCTCCTGGACCTTCTCCACCAAGCCCAGCGGTCCCCCCTCAAACGCCACATCCGTGACCGTCTCCACCGACGGCACCGCAGACTTCACCACCCTCCAAGGCGCCCTCGACTGGGCCCCCTCCAATCCCACCACGCCCACGACCATCCTCATCGCACCCGGCACCTACGAAGAACTCATCTTCTTCCAGTACAAAACCAACCTCCGTATCCGCGGCTCCTCCCCCAACACGACACTCATCGGCTACCCCAATAACAGCGCCTTCAACCCGCCCAACCGCCAAGGCCCCTCCCGCCGCCCAGCCTTCTCCTTCCGCGGCGCAGCAGACATCCAGCTTTCCAACTTCTCCATCACAAACTACTTCCGCGGCCAAGCCGAGAGTTTACTCCTCGACGGCACGCGCGTAGTGCTCGACCACATGGCGCTCAACGGCTCAGGCGACGCCCTAACTACATACGGCACCGCGTATATAGCTTCCACGACGCTCTACGGCGACGGCGACACCATCCTCGGCTACGGCACCGTCTTCTGGGCGAACAGCACGATTGTAACCTCCGCCGGGGCAGTAATCTGGCCGCGAACAAGCCAGAATACGCACGGTAATGTGTTCGTCGATTGCACTATTATAAGTCTCCAGGGAAACAGCACGTTTGCGAGACTCCCTGATAATAGTGGCGGGGTGCTGGATAACTGGCCGTATGCGGAGGTAGTGCTAATTAATACGCGGACGGAGGGATTGCGGCTGTGGGGTGGGGGCCGGTGCAAGGGGAGGAGGAGGGCTTTGATAGCAGCTCCGTGAGGTTTTGGGAGTATGCGACTGTGGATTTGGAGGATGCCGGTGAGTTACAGTGAGCGGCTGGATGTTTCGAAGCAGTTGGTGGAGGTGCCGGAGGGTATCTGGAGCCGGAGTGGGTGCTTGGGGGGTGGAGGCCGAGGGTGGTTTGATGGGTGGAAAAGGATGGGACTGTGGGTCAGTGCTTCTAGAAGATATTTTGTGTGCATCGATGCTGGTCCTAGGAGAGTGACTGGATTTACGGGTGACGTGCATGCTTGACGCGAGAGTCTGCGATGTTCTACTACTTTGTGGGTGGAACCCTTGAGGTGGTATGGAACGCTGGTAGTTAGGTTCCTGGATTTAGACTTGGCCTTGTAGTGATACTCAAATCACTAACCATGAGGTAAATAATTCTTTAGATGATAATAAAGGGACATGACAGCTTTCATACCACTCCTTCAAGTAATAGAGTAGAGCCTTCAGCACTACATTAATACTTCGCTAAAGAATTCACACCTGGCATTTACACTAACGTCGCGCTTCTAACGCACATATCTGCGCTGCTGCTATCTAAGAGTCAGCATATCTTCGAGACGTTGCAGCGGGGGAATAAGGAGGTCTTTTGGTGGCGCGGAACAGGAAAGAAAGTTGGTGAGGAGGAGGCGGGTGGAGTAGATGAAGGGCTTAGAGGTTGGCTTGCTAAGCGGTGAGGGACAGGTTGTGAGGTTTGGCTGGGGGCGGGGAGGAAGATAATCCTGTGCATAGTGAGCGGGATCTGGGTGTGGAGGGCGAGAGAGTGTTTATGACGCTGTTGTTTTGGTGAGGGGGAGGTTTGGGGTGTTGTAGATGTGTGGGTGAGGTATTGTGTTGGGACCTCATGGCGTGTTCGAAACGGTGTTCGTACATGTCTTATCGGTGCTTTGCGAAAGAATGCCCCCACCCTACTATGGTACAGCTCCCTATTTTAATTAGGTGTATTACCTATGGTACATGTCTACTTAACTATTAGTTAAAAAGCGTTAGTACACCTATTTTAATAGCTTAGTGCCCTGTTTTAACGTCTACCACAACTAGATCTAGCTATTTAACAAGATCCAGCTAGCATCTAATAAGATCTAGCCAGTAATAGAGTGAATGTATCATATAATTGATAAAGGTTGGGGATCTGTACCATGGTCGGGTGGGGGCATTCTATTCGCAAACGATAATAGCTCTGGCGTCAACGAAAAAGTTGGAAATAGAGACGCGCTCACACTGTTGTTGACAGGACCTCTGGGACGGCAAACTACCTTGAGTACCTTCGGGTGGCGCTATTAGGACTCCCTCCCTCTTTTCTTTTCTCTGGTTTCCTTATTTCAATTTTCAAATGTTGCCCTTCCCCGCGAGAGCCTCCAGTCCGGGTAAGTTATGATCACGTGATTCGCTCCAGCCTTGTCGTATCTTCCAATTGATTGATGCTTAGATCAGCTTGCATTATTTCTGCCTTGCTGACGTGTCAAGCCAAGCACGACTCTTAGACCCACCTGCAATCCAACGTTTCGTCTCTTTCACACCATCTTCTGCTAATTCTATAAACTTTCATTTTACCGGTCTTCGACCTTCATAGAGGGCTGAATCTTGCTTGAATTGACTGGTGCAGTTGGAATTCAGATACCCCCAAGGGCCGTCCCAGCCTGAAGAAGTAGACAGCCTTGTCTACGTGGAAAGAATGGCTAGTGCAATTTCGAAAGGGAAACGAAGCCTGGCAAAAGAAAGGTGGAATCCACGGCTGTTCAACCTCAGAGCGCCTGTTGTCCAAACTGCAAGAAACTTCTTGATCCCCGCGTGCCGCACAGTAGTTTCCGGGGGACACTGAGCCATTTGATCCACTCGGCTAACGAATGCAATATGTGTGCGTTATTCTATGAGAAGCTGTGTCTTAAACTCGAGCTTGATATCGATATCATATCGGATATACATCTGGACGGTAGCGCCGTAAGTAGTTACAGTCACGACGCAACTTTGGACCCGACCGCGGGTTCCGGTCGAGTGAAATGGATCAATATGCACTTGTTGCAGGATCAAACTCCAAACGGTAGATCCCATCTCCATCGTGAATACATGGTTCTGGGTGTGGATTTTCATGCTGCTTGGGAAGGGCCTGAGTGTGAGTCAAGCAGATACCCTTGTCTAGTATAATCAAAATTGATGATCGCTAGTCCCAGCTTTCGATCGCGCTTATTGGAAATCCGCATATCCAATTGAACTTCGGGCGAGAATAGCTACCATTTCCGAATGGCTGGACGAGTGCCAATCCAGTCATCCTGAGTGTTATGTCGACCCATCGCCCAGGACGATCAAACCCGCTCGTGTCATCGAGATAACCGAACACAAGAGGAAAACACACATTCGACTAGTCACAGGAGCCAAATTGGAGAACCAGAACGCTCGATATGTGGTGCTAAGTCACTGTTGGGGTGGCAAGACTCCCCACTGCCGAACAACTCGCCTCAACATACATAACAATTACGAGTCCATCCCGTTTAGTTATTTTCCTCAAACGTTTAAGGACGCGGTTCAAATAACGAAGCTGCTGAATATTGGGTACCTGTGGATTGATTCTATGTGCATTATACAAGACGACGCGAAAGACTGGGAGAGAGAATCAGCAAAAATGGCAGCCATCTTTCAAGGAGCGGTTCTCACAATATCTGCCACAACTGCCGAGAATTGTTACCGCGGTTTGGGAGTCGAGGCTCCACTCGCTCCTGGTAGACATCTGGAAATCAATTTTGGGGAAGAGAGTCATATACAATTCGCAATCCGGCCTACACATGACGTACCTTCCTCGGGTACTTTGCCGTTTTCGAACATTCATGAAAGAGCTTGGATCTTCCAGGAAAAGCTCCTCTCTCAACGTATATTGCATGTTACGCATGGTCAATTAATATGGCAATGTGCCACAATGATAGAATCCGAAGATGGCTTGGAACGATCTCCCCAACAAATTGAACTCGAAGAAGAGCCCCGCTCTTGCAAGTTTTCGCAGAGTTATGGGCTCAGCCCCTCTCATGCATGGCTGACTCTGGATAGTCATACACCTTTGAAACCAGGCACTCCGGAGCATCGGTGTTTGCGCAGGCTATGGTGGTCTTGGGTGTCTGACTATTGCGGACGGAAGCTCACAGTGGCTGCAGATAATTATGCGGCGCTTGCTGGAGCTGTCAGACTATATCAAAAGATGTCCGACGACGAGCCGATCATTGGGTTGTGGAAACGAGATCTCCCAATACACCTTGCATGGCACATCAATCTAACGGATTACGAAGGAGATGCTGTACAGTCGTTTGAAAGAGTACCCACTTGGTCCTGGTTATCTTTTCCGCATAATAAGAAATACCCTATCAAAGCTCCCCTGGTTCCGTGGCTGCATTGGAGTTCTCGATTTCCACGGAGGCTCAACGATATGGAGTTTACTTATCAAGCGATGATCCACGATATTCAGATCGCTTGGAAGGGTGAAGGATTAACGTCTCAACCGACCACCGGCTCCTTGACCATACAGAGTTACATTTCTCAGATTCATACACAAGAGCGTCCAGACACAGATAACGATAAATCTAGAGACCTGGACAGAGAATATCCTTCGGAAAGGCTGGAGAACCTGGCCTTAGAAACCTTATACCGAGTAGACAATAGTGGTCACACTTTGCGGTACGGTATCCGTGACCGCCTCTTCATGGAGCATTGGGAGATAATGCTAGATCCAGGCTTGGCGACATCTGAGCTCAAGGCGGAGAAGTTTGATACCGTGGTACTGTATGCTTATAAAGACCATGACATCGATTGGGGTCACAGATATGACGAAAAAAAGACTCTACCGACTTGGCATATCGTCCATTTGGTGCTGAAGCGTGTCGACGACCGCAATGGCGTATACAAACGCATTGGCCTATTGCACCGGCAACCCGACTTCAAGAGAAGCAAAGAGGAAATCATGAGTCATCTTGGAGAGGAAAGGGAGATCACGCTCATTTAGTTCCGCGGGTACGTATCTACTCTCTTATGATTATCTTAGTACTAACATATACTTGCAGCCGCCCTTCCTGGGCTTGTACTAGACAAAGACCAGGGATCAGAATGTAAGCTAGCGAGCAGCGGCACAAAGAATATCACAAATGAGAGTCAAAGATGAACAGGCATGAGTATGGAAATATTTATATGGGTCTCGTCTAGAGTGGTCGGCGGACTGTTTCCGTATCTCAAGTTCGGCGTGGGTCTGATGGCCATAGAACTGTACCCAACTCAACTCGCAAGATACCTCACATCAATCACTAAAAGTTTTCTTTCCTCGTGAGAACGTCTGGGAATCTACACGGCTCTTACCCCTGAAGCAATGACCTTCCCACCTCGCCTATGGAAGCATCCATTCAGTCGCATAAACCGTCAGTATACGCACTGCCCGTATTCATGCCCGAAAAAGGTCCTTGATGTGATGACACGATGCTCAGTAAGAACGTGGCCACCAAGGGCTTTGTATACACAGTGCTTGTAAGCTATTTACTAACTTAAGTGATGTTCCACGTTCACAATGAACCATACGCAGCTAAGTCGAGGCTGAGCGTGGAACTACGAATCGCGCTACCCTTGTTAACGACCTGAGTTTGTGGAGGAAGCTTCCCGTCAGTGCACACGAAATAGTATCATGCATGCCGCCTAAGACTGGGTCCTAACAGCGAGAGGAAGCGTCAGGTAAGGATCCAACATCGGAAAGACGTGATGCTGTGCGACCCAGCGTTAGAATTTCGAGTACATCACGTTGTCCAGCCCAGGCATTGTAGAAACCAAACCCACGCGAAAAGAAGGACTGAAAGAGCACACCAGCGAGGGAATCTACATGGTAAATAGTAAATAGTATATATCTGTAAGAAAGGTTACCCAGCTTGATATAGCAAACATCGCTATACACATAATCCAGCCTATGGAAACCCCCATAAAACCCTTCCCTTCTCCCCGCTCCTCACTGCTTAAACCCCTCCACCAGCCCCGCCAACCACACCCCCGCCGCATACGCCCCGGATCCGGAATCCTCGACCTCTCCCCCATCCTCACTAATATACGTCGCCCTCCCAAACCTCGCCTTCATCCCCGCCGTCCTCCTCGCACTCTCCTGCGCCACTTCCACCGCCCTCCCAAGATCCCTCGTCCCAGCCAGCGCCCCCACAAACGGAATCAACACATCCATAACCGTCCTATCGCCCTCCCTCGCAGACGTATACTTCTTAAGATTCTCCAGCGCCAGTGCAGCAGCCTGACTGCACGTTTCGACGCTCAGTTCAGCGTTATGCTTGAGCGTTGCGTCGGACAGAGCGTTGATGAAGGCGGTGAGGAGGATGCTTAGGATTGCGCCTAGGGAGCCGCCTACGTCTTCTACGTTTTCGCCTATGTGCGAGAGGAGCGTGAGGAGGGGCGGAGGGGTGGAAGAGAGGTTGGATAGGATGGCTTTGCAGACGCCTGATACGGCTTCGCCGCAGTCGCCGTCGCCCATTTGGAGGTCGTACTGCGTTATTGTGGGCTCGGCGGCTAGGCCTGCATTACACGCCGATGTGAGCGCTGTGATGAGGGAAGGGGGCGTCGCGGGGCCCGTGTCGGACGCGCTGGGTTGGTTGTGGGCGTCGTGCGCTTGTTGGCGGCGGGTTTGCATTGCTGGGCTTACGTCTACGGGATTGTAATTGTTTTTCGGCCAGGCGGGCGCGTTGGTGGGGGCATCTAGCAGGGAGAAAATCTCGGCGTCTGAGACGGACATTGCGTTTGCCATGCCGCTCATGTTGCCTAGGGTGATGCTGAAGCCCTGGCCGTTCAGGCTCGTCTCCATTATGCCGGCGTAGATGCGCTGCGGGACGATGTTCCAGTCGCTCTTGAGGACCTGCAGGGCGAGGTTGGTCAGGGCTTCGAGCTCGAGGCCGGAGAGCCCGCCGAAGTTGTTGATGAGCATGACGACGTTGTCTTTGGGGTTGAAAGTGACGAAGGCGCGGTCAGAGTCGTTCGGGTCGAGGAGGTATTTGAGCATTTCTTTGATGATGTCGGTGGCGGAGGGCATGGGGGAGACGTTTTTGAGGCCCTAGGATGAATTAGACAGTACGACAGTAGAGAAGAAGTATACTGACGGGCTCGTTGTGGATGCCCATGCCAATCACACACGTGTCGTCCGGTACTTGCTCGAAGGCTTCGCGACCAGGTACGTGGCAGTGATCCAGACTCGTGCCGATAGTGACCAACTGGTCATTCCCCAGCTGTCCCATCTGTCTGCACTTCTCGAACGCCCAGCCCTTCTGTGACGCCGCGCCGATGAGTTTAATCACTGTTCAACCCATCAGTATACCGTCCCCCAACGAACCCTGGGTTTATCCAACTCACCAAGCAGATTCCCAGCCAGTCCTCTCCTCCCAACCTTCCCGCTCTTCGCCCGCCCCAACGCCGCATCCTCCGCCATGCACACGACATCAACCTTATACCCCAGCGCCTGGCCCTTCTCCCTCGCCAGCCCAAAATGCAGCATATCCCCCGTGTAGTTCGTAATACAGAGAATAATCCCCTCGTCACTGGGCACATTCCGTATACCGCTCATAATCTGCTTAGTACTCGGGCTCGCAAAGATATCACCACAAATAGCAGCCGACAGCATGCCATCACCCACATATCCCGACCACGCGGGCTCATGTCCCGAGCCGCCGCCAGATATGATGGTGACCTGGCTGGGCTTGTGTGCGGTGTTGTATACGACGCGTTCCTTTGCATCGAGGGCCATGTGCTTGTTGCGGGAGACGATGGAGGTAAGGGCGTGGACGACGACGCCCTCAGGGCTGGAGAAGAAGTGCTTCCGCGACATGGTGGACGGTTGAGTGTGTGAGATGTACGTGTCGAATTGGGGCTGCGACGCCCAGAGGGATAGTTTTGCAATTGATCAAGCCACCGGTTATACTGGGCTTGGGGTATCTGTAAACCATAAACTACACTGTGCTTGCGGTGCAGAAGCAATGGGAGCGAGAGCAGATATGCTGCGTACCCTAATTGAGAATAGTTATATCCAACGAATTGCTTTCGTACAGGGTTTTCACAGCGTCAAGGGGAGGAAGGAACACAAAAGGAAGGATAAATAGCCCGCAAGCCATAGCAGCGGGTACGAGCTGTATATAAAGCTCCCCGCGGCGCCCGCCTTGTTCCCCACCCCGCCTGCACTCAGCAGCTGTGCACTTCCTCTTCCGTATTTCCCTTCTGTCAACATAACGTCGGCGAAAGCGCCGTCGCGAAGACCGCTGGCTTTCCCGCTTTAGTATGTCAGGCGCGTCGCTGGCTCTGTCGCGTGGTGAGAAGCCATGGAGTTGCGCCGGCTTTTCCATTTCGGGAAGTTCCGGTGGGGTTGGCTGCTGGGGCTGGGCTGCGGAGGGCTGGCGGTTCGGACTCGTGCCGATGCAGAGGCATCCAGGCCCAGCTTCGTGGGCTCGACACGAGGTGCTCAGGTCCCCTCAGTATCCGCTATATATGCCGCGGCCCACGACGCGAAACCTCGAGTGAACTTCGAACCGCACCACAAATCCTCTCCAGTAGCTGAGGGCCTCGTCTCGAGGCTTGAGCGACTTCGAGAAATATCGATACGCTTACCGATGCAAAAAGCTCCCAAGTCATTCTTCCCATTAGATGGAGGCTTTGTCATATCACTTTGTACACGAGAATCGGAGAGATCACATACTTGTTACAAGAGAATAGACTGTGTCTACATTAGGCTTTACCTACTATTACTATATACATGCTATCAATATCGATGGGTCTTGGCCAAATATACCTGTGGCAGTCCCGCTACGCAGAGCCAAACCCGATTCCATCACTTCTACACATCAAAGCCGCCTCTCTTCGCACAAAACTCATGATGATGCGGCAAATGCGCGCGCGCTCAACGCCTTAACTCCATGTCATGCAAACGTTACAATAGAAGGGGTAATCTCGAATGGTCGAATAGAATAAAGCAAAATATCGACATGTCGAAAGCTAGTGACCAACGGCCGAATAGTGCGATGCGCGAGTGTACGGCTGCTGATAGACGGACGGAGCGTATTCAGACTCGTTGTAGATGGTGCCTCGCTTGTCCTCTTCTGGCAGAAGGTCCTTGACCTCCCAGTTGTGTGCCTTGACGCCGACGGAGAATTCGAGATCTTCTCGTGTGATTGAGTCCCAGTACTTGTAGACCATCATGACGGCGAGCAGGTTGCAGATGGTGGCAACGAAGAGGCCGTCCAAATAATGCTGAGCGCCTTCACATATGGTCTTGCTGAAGACGTACAGGATAACCTGTCCAAGGACGAAGAAGAAGACCCCAAAGGTGATGTCGCCCAAAGGCCAGCGGTCCTCGAGTGTTCCAACGACAAGGAGGATCTGGCTAGACAGGTAGACGAACAGCATAATGGCGTTAATAATGTACGTGATGACGAAAACGCCGACGGGGTTCTCGTGACTCAGACCAGCCCAGTCCTTGAAGGTGAGTAGAGACACGGCGCCGGACACAACGAACATTGCGAGCGAGCAGAGGCGCAGCAGCCAGACGGAGAGAGTTGTGCCATCTTCGTAAAGCTGGAAGCCGACGAAGCCGTTGATCAACAGACAGGTGCAGAGGGCGGAGACGAGGCCGTTTTGCGCGGCTGCGAAGTATGGATACGAAGCGGAGCCGGGCGGGGTGACGCCGGCATCGAGGACGAGCGATATGACGGTCAGGGCCATGTAGATGTAGAAGAAAGACGTGATCTCCTTGCGGCCTGTGTGGTGTTAGCGTCTGCCAGCCAAAATACCAGAACCAGGTAAACATACCAACAGCAGTGAACTTAGATCGCACGTGTATGATCATGACGACCGTCATGACGAGGGCGAGAATGTGCATGAAGTCGTTGGCGGCTTGGAAGATGAGCGTGTTGGCCAGCATCAGGGAGCGCGAGTAGCAGTCGGCCTGGATACCACGGCTACCGCTGATGTCCTGGTGACCGACCAGGGCGCACAACGGTATCGACACCTGCTTGCATATCGTCGTGAAGTCGCCGAAGCCCATATTGTCGCGGGCGAGCGGCGAGCGGTGTTCGTGCGGTGGGTGGAAGGCTGATGAACAAGGAGGCGCAACAACAATAGATGGGTTTGAGTGGCGTTGGTGTGCCGAAGAGCGAGTGCGTTGCGCGCGTGGGTAACGAGTGACAGAATAAGTATGCCTTGGAAGGCTGGGAACTGGGAAGCGGCTGTGGGGGAGTGGGTCGGTGATGCTCGAGGTGGTTGTCAAGGAGACATGGTGTTTCAGGAGCGACAGGTCCGCCGCCAAGACGAAAGCACGGCCTGGCCCCGCGTACAAGGGTCCGCTTTTTTCGATATATTCATCTTCAACACCATGGTCCCATACACAGCCAATATATCTACACACATGTCAAACTCCAAATGAGCTATAGACCCATTGTTTGTCGCTTGTGGGATCTATAGTAGTTCTCACCTTGAAATGATGCATCTTGACGACCGCACCTCCCGGAGATTAAGCTTCGGCACTGCAGATTCGCGAAGAAAGATAGACATAATTCCTATCGTGGGCGTCACTTTCAAGAACTATCGCATCTACGTAACAGGTCCGCAGATGCATACGTACGACATCCGGCGGTCTTGCTGAGCGATAGTGATGGCTCCGACTGTGGGCTCTCTAAGTACTGCGGAGACGGATATCAATAGTATACTTTCACCTTCACTGCTGCGTTGCCGCTCCTGCCTCTTCCGTCAGTACGCGTTTGCCGCTGCTTCCCTTCCCTTCCAACCTCCAGTGCCTGCCTCTTGGACTACTCTTTCCTTGACCACTTAACATGGCGCAACAGGGCTTCTCGCCCGCTGCGGTGTCTCCATCTACATCACCAACTCTCGCGAATCACCACCCGCTCCGATGCGCGTCCGACTACGGGGATTCAGCCTACGATCCATATCTTGAAGACATTGTTATCGATCCCATTCAAGCCCGATTGTGTACGTGATACCCGAGGCGCTGGTCGCGACGTCATTGCTATGGCCCAACAACATGATTCATCCCCATCCACTTGGTACAGCGACGTGGCTGAGAATCGTTGCAATGGAGCGGACAACATCAGAGGGTTGAAAAACATCACTTGTACCTTATCGACGATACTCTCTTTGCTACAACGCAATGCTAACCTCTCGCTCGAAAACGACAGACAACTGGCTGAATGGCCCGACCACGTTGAATCATGCAGAGATCAATTGTCTCGTCAGTAAGTGTACCCGTAATTATCGGAACTGACCGAGTCACCTCTGGCTTAATCTTGGCTTCGTGCTAAGCTTGGATTAGACAACATCACCTTCATCATCCGCAGTCTCCAGAGAAACGCCAAGTCAAGCGTGAATGTCGACTTCAGCGAGATCCGCGACAGCGACCTTCACATCGTCACTGCTGCCGAGAACGGCGGCTTCCGTATGAGCATCTTCTTCGGAAGTCACTTGATCTGTGTGGGCGAACACGTAGATCAACGCGAACAGACCATGGATGGACTAAGAAAGAAGGTTGAGAAGATGATCTCCAGCATGGTCAATGTCAAAGCCAAGGCGGCCAAGAAGCATCAGCGCGAGGACTTCAGGGTTACCCTCCAAGATTACATCGTTCAAGGATCGAGATTTGTAAACGGCAGCCTGGGTCCTGACCGTGTGGCTTCAGAGGGACATAATGGTACGGCGGCGGTCAATCCTCAAGACTTATTGCCACCAGGAGAGGTCAGCACGGCGGTGGTGGGCAGCGCACTGCAAGGAGCGGGCCGTGAGATACCCAACGGCACGTCAGTCAGCCCGGTCTCGCAAGGCCCCCTCAATGGACCCTCGCTACCTCACAATCAAGGGCAGGATCAAGTCGATGGGCAGGCCACAGGTCACTCGCAATCCTAGGCCCATCGCCCTCCCACAGGCAATGCATTTCGAAATATGAGTGGATCTGGAGCGCATTTCGGAGTTGCGGCCCAAGATGGTGCGCATCCCCCTACTGGACCGCAGGTATCGCGTGAATCTGCTCCTCTGGGTGGCTCTTGTTACACTCTTGGACATAATACGGCGTTTTCTGAATAAAAAAAAGGCGACGGCTGCTATTGGACAGTTTCGAATAAGTATTGAGGTTTTGACGGGATACGTTGGGATCATTGACCGCAAGCTTCTAGTGTCGATTGAAGTGTTCGTACGACAGTGTTCTTCGGTAATACAAGCTCGTGCCCAAATTTCGAGCACACTGTGTTACCCCAGGCCAGGTAATGCAACGACTGATCGCGCCCAATTTCGTGCTACAAATGACGTAAAGATCTCGAAAACAGACCTTTCTTCGATGCCCTGCACTTTACGAGCCAAGCCTATTACATGAGTGACACGATTCCAAGGTTGCTATGGCTTGATAGCCGCAAGTCGCGGTACCGGAAACCACGTCAACGGAGACAGATGGCTACATGACGGTCTTGTGAAAGGTGCCACCAAAACTGCGCCTCATAAAGTGAGGCACAGAAGTTTGTCCACTCCATCTTCAACGTCATACTACAAACGCATTGACTCTCCTTTATATTCACAAAACCATTCAATGTCTCGACCTCAAACCACTATACTCCTGCCATGTCTTACCAAGATTCCGTCTACAATGACTTCGCGGCTGCGACTCCGGAATTACTCCAAAATTCGAACACCTATCCTATCTTCCAAGTCCAATAAATACTCGACCACAGCACAATGGCAGACACAATGCACATCTTCCTAAATGAACGCCTTCGCCTTGCTCTTAGCGGTCATATCCCCGGCCATCTTCTCGACGCCTTCGTTGGTACTTTATCCGCCCTCGTCCTACTCCTCACCTGCCCTCCTCAGATCTGAACTCTAAATTCTCCCAGCGTCCCTCTCCCACCTTTTCAAAGTCGTTCGCCCTGACCTCACACCTTCCAAAGTCCTCATCGCCGTCTCCGAACCTTCCGTCTGCGGCTTGCAATACTGCTCTTGTAACAGCGCAGATAGTGCACTTCATAAATACAAGATTACTCTATTTGTGGATAGGAAGGAGCAGGGGCGTAGAGTTTCGAAACCATGGTTGAGGGCGAGTACGTTGTGTCCCTGCAGGCAAGGAGTTGGCGTGTGCTGGACATGGAAACCTACTCCCTAGCCCCCTTCTCAAAATGTTGACTGACTTCGTACCCGCGCTTAGGTAGTGAAGTAGGCTTCGAAGACGCGGTCATAGAATTGATGGAGCAGAGCGACGAGCTGGTTGCTGAAGTTGAAGGTAAGAAATGCGCGAAGGCGGAGGCGGAGAGTAGAAAGACGTTGTTGGAGACGGAGCGATTCAATGTTAGGAGTAGGAAGAGTGCGACGTGTCTTGTGGAGGTGTTTGAGAAGGAGAGGGGGAGGGAGAGGGGGTTTACGATGCCGAGTAGGTCTGGGCGGATGAGTGGTGGGAAGTTGTAGGTTGTTTGTGGGGTTCTAACGAGGGTTAGAGGCTGGGGTTGGTCTTATGTACCATAGGTATGATACGATAAACATGTACATGTTCTTGACTCTTAAAGAATACACAGAATGACCGAGCGCAACGCCTGCACACATTCCATGCGAGATAATGTTCTTACTGCAAATGCCTTCAGAAATGTTGTGTCTTCGAGAAAATCCATGATTGCAACTTGGTGTGCAGCCGTGCGAAGACAGCACTTGGATTTGTGCCTTCTACGACAACATGCTGCTGCCTTCCACCACATCGTTCATCAAAGTCGATTATGTAGCTCGGCGTTAGCTTACCTAGGCATTATTAGCCCCAAGTAGGCCCCGGGCATGGCTCGAAAGTCGCGAAGCTGCGATCTGATACGGAGCATGCAAATCTTTCGGAGCGATGTATCGCGTCGCGTCTCCGCGGACCGCAGCTCTACGTCGGAAGCGGATGAAGTGGACACAACCCCAATTCAACCAGAAAATCAGCCACTCGGTCATGGAAAGCGACTAAGCACAACTAGATTCCAGGCCGGCTACTCCATCTACCTCGGCGCCCCAAATGCACAGTGCAATGAAGCCCTACGGTGCTGCTGCGGGGTCGTTCTGCTGGTCGGATATAGTTCCCATGGCCCCTCACGGTGGCTGCAATGTTGCGCGTGCGGTCAATTGAGCTCTGGACAACGTGAAACTGCCTACTATCTTCATTTGATATCGTAGCAATACTTTCGTAGTCATGGCAGACTCGCAGTACAAGTTCCCTACCTTCGACGAGCTCCCGAAGGTAGAAGGCGAGCCTCAAGGGTGCATATGGGGTTTCTTCGACAAAGATGGAAAGAAGGACGAGTGTGGAAGTAAGAAGCCGCCGCGTCTTCCCATATCTATCAATTTTAACAGCAACCGCAGCTCTCAATCTGCTCACACCATCCGTCGTACAAGCCGCCTCGCGCGAGATTCAATCCGGCGAGCACATCCAGCTCGACTGGCCGCTCCACAACGTCCAATTCCCCGGCTTTAACCGCAAAGAGTTCAGCCAGAAGAAGATCGATCTGGACGCTTTGCTCGGTTTTAAAGCCATGGACGATGAACTGTATATTAATACGCAATCGGGCAGTCAGTGGGATAGCTTGAAGCACTTTGCGCATCAGAAGACGGGGAAATATTACAATGGGCTGACGCACGAGCAAGCGGTGAAATCAGACACGAATGGCATACACAACTGGTGCGAGAGAGGCGGCATTGTTGGAAGGGGCGTGCTGGTAGATTGGCTGGGGTGGTATGAGGGGCACAAGGGAATGGCGCCGAGTCCAGTCACGAGACATGAGATCCTGGTAGATGAGCTCGACGCGGCTCTGAAGTGGCAGGGAACTACGACGCGGCCTGGAGATATCTTGCTGATTAGGAGTGGCTATGTGCGGTGGCATAAGTAAGCTCGCTAAACAGCTGTCCTTGTGCACTCGGTGTTAACATACAGTAGCGATGCTTCTGAGGCTGAAAGAAAGAAGGGCACTCAGGATAATAGCATTGCAATTGGCTTGCAAGGAAGCGAAACGTCAGTGCGCTGGCTGTACGACCACCACTTTGCCGCGGTCGTGGGAGATACCGTCGCTTTCGAAGCGTGGCCGCCGAAGATCGCAGAAGGATGGTGCCTGCATGAGTGGCTTCTTGTTCAATGGGGCTCTCCGATTGGAGAAATGTGGGATCTAGAGAAGCTGGCCGCGGTGTGCAAGCAGAAGAAGCGGTATACGTTCTTCCTGACCAGCGCGCCGCTACACGTCAAGGGAGGTATCGGAAGTCCGCCGGGTGCAATTGCTATTTTCTAGTATGCGAACAGCGCGGAATCCGTTTCTTGTTCTGCTATCTGCCTTCTAGCACTCTACTCATATCTCCGCATGTTTCACGAGGATATTCGAGAGCCTATTCGACCTCTCCATTTCACGTTTCTACTCCTTCAAGCAAACAAACTACCTCCATCCGTCCTCACCATACTAGCATCCATGTTCCAATCCTTCATAATCACGAGATAGCTCTCCGCTATATCCTCCGCAGTAGGTACTCTCCCAGTCATCAGACTCTTCTTGCACTGCTCAAAGAATGCTGCCTTTTCATCCTCACCCATCTTCCACAGCTCCGTATCCACAACACCAGGACTCACCCCATTCACTCGAATAGGCTTCATGTCAAGCGCGAGATTTCGCACCATCGAGTGGTGCCCGCCCGCATACGCCGCAATGACAGACCAGTTCGGGATAGGCTTCTCGCTGATGCCGCCCGTCGTTATGGTGTAGGACGAGCGGTACGACACATTCAGGTAAGTGGGCAGGTATTTGGCCAGGAGTAGCGGCGCAAGCCAGCGAATGGTGCCAGCCTTGTGGATGCGGTCGACGGTCATGTCGCTCAGCTTCATGGGGGCGAGAGCATCAGCCGCGGTGAAAACAACGTGGTCGAGTTTCCCGCCTAGGGTCTCTGTTGCACGCTTGAGGATGCTGTCGAGCTCGCGCTCTAGGGTGGCGTCGTCGAGTAGGTCGACGGTGAGGCCGTGGACGCTGGATGCGTAGGAGGGATACGCTTTCTTTAGTTTGGAGACTGCAGACTGGATGCGCGACTCGCTGCTAGAAGAGATGGCGACGAGAGCGCCGTGCTCGAGGGTCGCTTCTGCGACGCCATAGCCTAAGCCTGAGGAACCGCCGATGATGAGAACGCGGGAGTTCTTGAGCTTGTTCGTGTACTTGAGCTGGTTTTCGGCGGACATGTTGGCTTTTTTGCGTTGGAAGGAATTTCAGGGCGTAACTGAAATAGTGATGAGGTTTTGGATTTGGCAAGCTTCGAATGAGGCTGTCACGATGATGCAGGACCCTCTTTTCTCAAATGGTCTTTATACGTGCCTCCTCTCGAGTCTATCCCGGGTGAGACAAAACTCCGGTTTCCTGTCCAGCATTGTTATAAAGCCACAGTTGCTGATCCTGCTAGATAGCGTGATAGACCATTCGCACGACAGGTGAACGCGGTAACTGATCGGATATATACGGACTTAAATACACCAGGGTCCTACTAGTCGCGTTCAGTTCCAGCAAACCGATCGTTGTGGTGATGGCATGGATTACATCATGCATTAGGCTAGCGTCAGCATACCATGTGGATGAGGCGAGCTCTCGGGTATTGCTAGTGCCCGAAGTATATAACCGTAGAGACCTAAAAGCCGGGCTGTCGATCGTAATGGCTGCAATAGTTTGCGGCATACCTTGTTCAAGTTATGTCAGGTGTCGGTCATGCACATCAAGTGTGACTGCAAGATTCTAAACCTTCCGTCATGACGCGCTGGCTTTGCGTTTATCAGTGTGCCATATATATGGTATCTGTGTCGTACTGTTGGGCACATAAGCAGCAATGGAAGGGTCTAGAAACTCCGAAACATCAAATACAGGTCGATCTTCGCTCGAAAATAAGGCCCATCGTGCTATGCGTTTCGTTCGGTTTCAAGAATGTCCGCACGTATGGATCGACCAGGAGTGTATCCGGCAAGACGATGCTGCTGATATCGAGCGGCATTTGAAGGCCATGCATCCTGTCTACGAGGAGAAGGAACGGACAGTTGCAGTTTAGCCACACCCATACCAGATGAGTACAGCTTGGAACCTTCGCATGGCTAAGCGGACGAGACATTGAGATTGCAACCATCATTTCGTTGAAACTCATTTTCAAAGTCCCAAGGATCGATAGGGCAGTCGTAATGGGCGTTCCAAGAGAAGCCATGCGCTTCATCGTTGTACATATCCCAAACGCCCAGTTCAATATTTTAAGTTACTTCAAGAAGTACCTGCTCGGGAACGAAAACAAGAAACAGCTAGGACTTCTGCCTTCCCATGCGGGGTGTGGGGATTCTTCTCATGCGCTTGCGGCAAGGACCCTTTACAGCTTCGATTGCAAATAAATGGACTTCGAACTCCGGATTTTGATTCGGAAATGCATTAAACCACTTCGATATCTGGTTCAACAACATCGGCCTACCTACCGATAACGACCGAACGCTAACTTGGGCTGAGGATTAGCACCTCACCCACGGCGCATTTGGCATGTTGGAAAAATGCAACAACAAAGTCATCGCAGACGGTGTATCGACTGTTGTCGAACCGGCTCACTAGAATCTTGGAGACGTTTTACCTAACGTATTTGTTTGTGTCCTTTTACTATATGTGGTACCATTTCCTAGGTATATGCCTCTGTGACTTTCCGATCGACCTATGTAACCCACTTGCTGACCACCTAAACTAATCGCGATCCTGTTACTACTATCCCTGCCTCAAACTGCCGCTAATTAAAACAACAATTTCCCGATTTAAAGACCAATTTCTTACTTCATTATTCAATATCTCGCCTAACAGAGCATCGAGTCCCCAAGCCCGCTAAGAGACCCTCGATTCTTTTCACTCTGTAGATAGCCAATGTACCACAAGGAGCGAACTGCCAAGGCACCTACCATAAGCAGTCAGTCACGCACCATTGTTACTATCTTCCTCTCATAGAAATTAAATTTGCGTGAGGTCTTGGTAGAATCCTTCAAAGAGCCTAATCGATGAAATTACAGAGCTTCGACAGTGTCGACTGCGTGCGGAATTGCGTCAGAACTGCTGTTCGAAAACCACACTAGACATTGTCCCTCGACGAATAAGAACGATTATTCGACCTTGCGTCGTCTTGGATGGTCACCTGGGTCGTCTTTACGATCCCCGACCCGGATGCCTTCCTGTCCTCAAGCTCCAGCATATACCGCTCACTCTCATCGTCCGCGCTATTGTCCAACTTGGTGTGACCCTTCATGCTGTATACCGACGCAATCGGGTTGCTCTGACTTTGTTGCTTTCTTGTCGTCACTCCGAGGGTGCTTGCAAAGTTGGCGGGCAAGATCTTCGCAAGTATGTTGTTGATAGTCTTGCGTAGAGGCGGAAGATTTGCGATGACGATGCCAACTGCGATTTCGTTCGTACTGCAGATGCTTAGGTCGATCGCATCCCACATCGGCTCCTTAGAGCGAAGGAATTTGTACGTGATGGGGATCTTGGCAATCGATAGAGCGGTTCCTCTGGACGAATTGTAAGCACAAAGTTGGTTGTTCAGTCGCGCGCCTACTTACACGAGTGCTAGCAGGAACACAATTCTCACTCCCCATTGAGTCTGTTTGCTGAGTTGCACGTGCCTCAGATACATGATCGGAGCAGCGGCATAGATCTGAAGAGTCAGCCTTGGAATTATTAACGTTGCACGCGATACACTGACCAGATCAGTAATGACGTTCGCTGCAATTTGTGCATAGGCGGTGCCCTCGCTGACCGCAGCAGGCCAGCACTCCTGATGTACGCTAAAGTCCCATCTCGAGTAGTATGGCCGGCAAAACGCAAAATGCAGGATCAGCATCATAACGAAGTTGCACAAAACGACGATAACGACGGAGATCCAAATGAGGACGCGGTAGGAGGGTCCAAAGTTCAAGGCCATCAGATATGCGCAAATCGAGGCTTTGACCAAGAACATAGCATAGACATTGAGGCACTGCGTGATAAAGATCATGTGCAGCTCATATGACGTGTGCGCCATGTCCGTCCACCAGGGATCTGCCATCAAGCGCCCTTGACCGCCATTCGCTGCTAGAATGGCATACGGAATGCAAGCCAGGAAGTTCAGAATCTTTTACACATGTTTAGCTGGAAGTCAACACCCAAATGCTCACAGAACATACCACTCCCCCGATCATGAGCCAGTCACTCAGCCCTAACCATGGACTGACCCTAAATCTCACAACGACACGCCATATCGCGACCAACGTGCAAAGCGTAGTCATGGCGATCGCGTCCGCGATGAGTTCCCATGCTCTGTTGGGCCATACGAAATCGTCGTCGGCGGTGTTCGTGCCGCCGGTCGTGTGCCCAGTGTTCGACATAACTCACAGCGCGAAGTGCACAACGTGGAGGGAAAAGGGAAAGATCAACAATATGTCTCGATCGACAGGCACAAGGGAGGGTAAGGCCTTATGACAATCCCCTTGATGTACAGAGATCTCTAGGGAGCACCAAGTGACAGGAAGGCCCGAACTCACCAGGCCGAAACACCTTGCATTTGCGCGCTGGCCAGAGGACGACTGCAAGCGAGACCAGCTCAGCTCGTAATCCGTGAGTTCGTCACGCCAATCACTCCACTACCCTCGTACGCAACACCTTTGTGATTTGTCCAGGCTCGGCCAAATCCTGTGTATTGTTCTTTTCCCTTCCTTGATACGACTGTACACCCGCACTTCCCGCAAACCCTTCAAACGGGCCGCATACTTAGTGAGAGCTCCTGCGTCGCGGCTTCCTTCCGAGAAGAGGGCTAGCTTGTAGAAGCTAGAGACGTTGAAGGAAAAGCAAAGGATGATCATGCACTCCCACGGTTGCTATCCGAACGGGACAGAAACCCGAACCTTTCGGTAGGATTCCAGGCGTTGATTTCAAGGGATGCCTTGTGGGCGTATGTATCGAGAGAACCACTTATCCTCTCTAATACGTGGCAGCAGATTCCGCGATCCTGACTTCCCCACCGAATGTGGGTGATGCATACTTATGCATTTCACAGACCGTAGCGTCCCTCACCGATCAAAGCTTCGATGGCTCTTCTACACATCGCGCGTGAAGCACTGTTCCCCCAAGGAATTGATGAGTAGATGGACCACAAGAGTCACGCCGAATTGCCTATCTGCAAAAGGTCTCCGAGTCATTGGGATCCTTTACCTCATCCGAGATATCATTTGAGCCTCGGCTTTCGGGTGAACCTGTTCCTGCTTAGAAGCTACGGAGCATTGCTCCGTCCACCCAGTCGATACGGCTTATTGTCGGTGCTTTATGAAACCAAGGAACGCCACCCACGGTGCTCTCATCTCAGCTGTGCGGCGAACTATACCAGTAGCGGACTTATTTTTCCGTTCATATAGTGCGCAGAGCCCAATATCCTTCGAGTCGGTTTCCGTGGGGGTGAATCTTGTGTCAGGAGCCACATCTTGGATCTACTCTCGTTGCAGAGAACCCTTATGAGCAGAGATGCAGCGTCGAAAAGAGAGGTCGTTAATAGTGGGGAGTCGATGGGCAAGATCTGATGTCCCAGCTGATCTTGGGTCCCACGTGTGATTGCGAATCGATTGGGCGACCAAGTACCTGGGCATATCAATCCACGCAAAGCAGCCGTTATCGGAAAAATGCTGGTCGATCACGGAGCGAGAGCATTCCAGGAAGTTGGTAACGAGGCCTAATGCACGATGCATATTGAAATCGTAGATGCCAAGCAAGCAGTGTTCGCTTCTTGAGCGTTGATTTGACTCAAATTCGCACTTCACTCCCAGCTCGTGAGTGTTCGTGAATAGCGGCACGAATGGCTGGAGATTTTGCGGAAGACAATGGAAGACATACCTCTGACCGTAAATTTTAGGCATTCCTGGCTGAATGCTCCTCCTCCTCCTCCTCCTCCTCCTCCTCCTCCTCCTCCTCCTCCTCCTCCTCCTCGAGAGGATTCCAAGGCCATCGCTCCTTAGTGTGCCCGCCACTCCCCAACGTGCACTGTTAGTCCGCGCGAGAGACGCGGGGAAGCGCTTCCTGCGGCCGTCGTTTCATCTTCTACCTTATCCCATTACTCACTTCGTACGATACTCAAGATAAGACATTACAGCTTGTTCTTAATCATCGTTCATAATGCAGTAGGAAGCGACTGACGTGTCGCTTCAGGCATATCATGAGCCCACCGTACCTAGGTATCGTCGGGAAAGCCTACGATCTGCGCTGGGGTTTAGTTTGGGACTCTGCCCGAGAAGAATTTTCTTGGTATGCTTGCGCGGCTGAGAAACGAGGCTCCGAGAGAAGCGCCGTACATGAGGCCGCAATTGCTTCGCTAGCGAAGAGGCCTCATACGCGTGCTTGTGACAGCATCGACAACCAATTCGGGAGGAAGAGCCGATGTACATGTAGAACAACACTTCATAACAACGCAAACAAAGATTTGCAGGCACAGACTTGCACTAGGTCCTGCGACGAGTAAAGATTCTGACAAGATGGGGTTGAGGCGGGATGCGATGTTAGGTGGGATCCGGGGTCTCGCAGGAAATCGTTCTAGAACTTAAGCGAGCGAATGTGACAAGGTGACAGCCCCCCACTCGCCTTCAGGAATTGGCAAATCCTCCTTGTTCCGACCTGCAGACTCGGAAATTTTATACCGGACCCACGGCTTCTGTTAGCTCGGCAGTGCAGATTACAAGCAGTCTTACGTGGAAAGCAAAGCCACACAGGCGTCACTTTCATCGTTGCGATGATATTGTAGCATGCCTATGGTAGGCTTCTACATTGTGTAGACCTCACTCACTGACTCGGAGGCGTACTCCTCCCGTCGCAATCCCTCTAGTTCGCGCGAGGGACGGGCCTTGCAAAGGGTTCAACTCGCGCTGAAGATCGGCCTCTGAAACTAGACGACTTGCTCGCCAATCCCCTCCGCTGCGCGAGTAATCTCTTGTAGTTGGATCGAGGTTCGCCTTCCAAGATACACGACCTTCTTCGCGGAGTAATGATCAGCACTGCTAGGAACACCCTTGCCAGTATATTGAAGCGCTCTTGTTCCTGCCTATGGGCTCATCTCCGATTTTCGTCCAAGCGTTTTGTTCTGCTTGTAGCACGCCCCTCTCGCTACAATGCTCTCGTCGTTTACCGAGCCGTCGGTGTATATGCGAAGGAGCGTTCGATAGGATGAATCGCTTTGACATGATTCATCATGCTCTTCGCCTGCCTCTCAAATGAGGCCAACGGCGGCATTACAACCCACAAGGGTCTGGACTGTAAGCACCACGTGCGGACGCACTCCTCCGACCACAGCGTCGGAATCATTTAAGATGTATCTTCCAAGACCTCGTTCCATCCTGTCCACTCCCTCCTGTACGCTGCCAATCATTTCTTCAACGGGTGCTGTTGCTCGTTAGGACCTGTTAGGGACTCTACCTTTTGCGTTTGTGACCCTTGATCTCGCGCAATAGCCACTCGTTTGTTACATATTTTATCCACTAATTATAATGCTTTGGTCAATCCTTCCTGTGTCGGTCGTGCTGCCGGTGCTGTTTGGTACTGCGGTGTCTGCGGCTGCTCAGCCTAAGTCGTACGATTATGTCATTGTTGGTGGAGGTACCACCGGTCTCGTTGCGGCGAACAGGCTGAGCGAGGACCCGAGCAGTATGTTGTGCCATTTTCTATCATCCTGAAAGGTCAACAAGGCTGACTGTAACCACTCCAGAGACTGTCCTGGTCATCGAGAACGGTATCCTCAACAATGGCACCCTGTCCAGCATCCCAGGCAATTCTGGCGGCCTCAATCTCGCAGCCATGTACGACATCTACAGTGCCCCAGTGCCAAACCTCGGAAACCAGACTTTCCTTGTGACAGTCGGTAACGTCGTTGGCGGCGGCTCGTACGTCAATGGAATGCAATTTGACCGCGGTGCAAACGCCGACTACGATGCCTGGGAGGACCTCGGCAACAAAGGCTGGGGCTGGAAAGGCCTAGAGAAGTATTTCTTCAAGAGCAACCACTTCGATGCGCCATCCGCTGCGACCACCAAAGAGTTCAACATTACCTACGACGCGAAGGCCTATGGCGATGGCCCAGTGAAGGTCTCTATCCCGGACTGGCAATTTCCTGACATGAAGAAGCTCTTTGCTTCTTGGAACAATGTCGCTATTCCGCACCCAAAAGAGGGTTTCGAGGACCCGGTCGGTGTGTACTGGAGCCCTAACTCAATCAACAAGGACACGGCTACCCGGACTACGTCGCGCTCTGCGTACTACGACCCCATTGCTTCCAAGCGTTCGAACTTGAAGCTCTTGACGAACACCCACGTTGACGAGATCACATTCTCGAAGGATAGGACCGGTGCTCTCACCGCAACTGGCGTGAAGTACACGAGCAATGCTGGTGGCGTACAGGTGCAGGCCATTGCAGCGAAGGAGGTTATTCTCGCCGCTGGTGGTGTCTTCTCTCCCCACTTGCTTATGGTGTCTGGTATCGGACCCAAGGATGTCCTACAGGCCGCCGGTGTCACCGTTAAGAAGGTAAGCAAGATTCCGATCTTCAATGATTAGCTCCACTCTGACACATCTGCGAACAGGATCTCCCGGCTGTGGGTTCCAACTTCCAGGATCACATCGCCAACTACATGAACTTCAACCTTGAAGGCTACGCCCAGGACAGCATTCCCTCCATCAACACCAACGCGACCTACAACCAAACCGTTTACGACCTCTACCTCTCGTCCAAAACGGGACCCTACTCCGTCGGCCGCGCCAACGGCCTCGTCTTCATGGCCCTCCAGCATTTCGAGCCCACCTACAAAGCCATCGTCAACAAGATCCGCGCCCAGAAAGCCGAAAACTTCCTTCCCCCGCGCTACTCCAAGAACGCCGCGCTCCTCCGCGGCTTCGAGAAGCAAGCCGACATCCTCGCCAAACAGTTCGCCGCCGCGAAGGCCGCCGTCGGCGAAATCGTCATCCAGCCCTGGGGCTTCTCCGGCATCGCAAACAACAAGCCCCTCTCCCGCGGCACCATCACGCTGAACAACACCCACCCCGAGGCCTACCCCATCGTCCAATGGAACACCTTCATGAACCCCGTAGACGCAGACATCATGGTCTCTCTAACAAAGTACAACAGAGCGCACTGGGCGCGCCCCGAGCTAGCAAGCTACAAGCCCGTAGAAACGAGTCCCGGACCGCAGTACCAGACGGACGAAGAGATCATCCAAGGCGGCATCGCGAGCGGCTCACTAGCGCCTTCTTTCGCGCATCCCAGCGGCGGCTGCAGCATGATGCCTGAAACTCTTGGGGGCTGCGTCAACGAGAAGCTGCAGGTGTATGGCGTCGGGAAGCTGAGCGTTATAGACGCTAGTATCATTCCCATGGTTCCCGCTGCGCATCTGCAGGCTACCATGTATGCGATTGCGGAGAAGGCGAGCGATATTATCAAGGCGCGTGCGTAGAGGGAGGGCTAGTGATATAATTGGCAATTCAGCGTCTCAGTTCATCAAGTGTGCTCTAGCTCGTGTACCCATCGGCGAAACAGTGGTCAGCCGTAGTGAAGATATGGCTGCCACGCGTACTTGCATAGTTCGGAGCCGTGATGCATGGTAGCTGAAGATATGGCTGGTGGGACTGACATGCTCGCACGAGAGGGAGTCGAGCCCATGGTTGTCGAGCGGTGTGACTGCTGTTGAGGAACGTCGGCAGTTTCGAGCGAGCTCGGTGTTTGCGGGGTTAATCACGTTAGATACCTCGTCTTTAAACGCAGACAATCCAATCTCAACTGCTTTGGTACGATTTTGCGAATTTTCTTACTCCTTCGTATTCGCGCCTCTGTCTTGCACATCAAATGGCATAGAGCGAAGGACTTGTCTACGAGAAAGAAACCCACATGATCTGAAAGATAGGCTAAGCGGACGAGGACAGGAGTCTCTTAGTTTTCAAGAGACATGGATGAATCACGCGTGCATATTTCCATGTTATAACCATTGATAATTGACGCAGGGTGGAAAGATAGCTGTGCCAAGGAAGCAGACGTGAAAGAGAAAAACACATTGCACTGCATAATCATGATGCATTATCATGCTTTTCAAAGACTACTCTGAATATGTGGACATTAGTTTAGGAAGCTTCTGAGTGAAGTGTTACACAAGAAGCGACCCAAAGCAGTGTCTGGTCCGCTCCATGAAACCCAAGAAACGATACAAGCATGTTGAGCCAGTTGCCAACAACGCGAGCTCTCTAGTAGCGACCGCCTGGGGGAGGTGCACCGTACTGAGGCTGCTGCCCTGGGTAGCCACCACCTTGCGGAGGGCGACCACCTGGTGGAGGTGCTCCATACTGACCCTGAGGCGGGTACCCTTGGCCCTGAGGCTGCTGGCCGTAGCCCTGCTGGGGAGGAGCTCCGTATTGCTGACCCTGTGGAGGGTAACCACCTTGCTGCGGCGGTTGGCCGTAAGGAGCGCCGCCTTGGGGTCCGCCGTAGCCTTGCTGGGGAGCACCTCCATATCCGCCAGTGGGGGCGCTGCTCTTCTGGTCTTGAGAGTCGTAGCTGGAATCGATGGCACCGAGAATAAGCTTCAAGATCCACGTATCGGGGGTCAGATCGACAGGGGGGTTCGCCCGGGCCATCTCTTCTTGCTCGTTCTCAAAGTCTGTGTCACGTTAGCACATCACTCTATGGCACGGATATAGACAAAGAGTGCCCAGAATTCTTGCTGAAAACTTACTTGATGTGCAGTCAATGAACTTATCAAGCGAAGGGTCCTCGTCCAACTTTCCTAGGAACGCACGGGCGGCTTGATCATTACCAACCTGCGCGAACTGGAAAGCGATACCGCCTTGTGGTAGCGAACGAACGGCTTCATTGATGGCCTCCAAGACGGCATTCTGCGGCTCGCCAGCCGGCTGCCCATCGGTAACTGTGATGACGAGCACGGGCTTCCTGAACTGACCCGAGCGGGCTTGCTGGATAAGTGGCTCAATGACCTTCTTCTTCAAGCTTGTTCCCATGGGAGTCAGACCCTTGAACTGGACGCCGCGCATAAGGTTTTCGATCTGAGCTTCCTGTGCTACGTGATTTGCCAGGTTGTCGGGCAAGTTTGTGTTCATGAATCGGACGTTTATACCGTCAGCATCGAAAAGCGTCGCGGCGAAAGCGACCCGCTCCAGAATAAGGCGCAGGTCCTTGATTCGCTCGCCACCTTCCTCGAATTGCATGGAGCCGGAATCATCTACGACAAGATCAGTATTGTGTTATGTGATTTCTCAAGCGTCCTGCTTACCAATGTACAGCCAGATGTCGTACAGAGCGAGCTTCACCACGTCATTCGCAATTTCCTTCGGAAGCTTCCATCGCGACATGACCTGGCTGATGAGCTGAGGAGCCTTCTGTGCGATCTGTTCAAGAACAGGCGATCCTGGCGGGTAGAAAGATTGCAGGCCTTTCTCCTGAATGCAGGCCTGCAGGAGCTGTCTGAATGCGGCAGGGTCGCCGGGCGGTCCCTAGGATAGATCAGTAAGCCATACTCACAGATTTCATGGAATTGATGTACTAACCTGCTGCTGTGGGGCTCCACCATATTGACCGCCTGGAGGTGGACCTCCGTACTGTTGTTGGCCTGGTGGACCTTGTCCAGGCTGACCCTGCGAATTACGCGTTAGCATGTATCCATGAACGACCAAAACATAACGCAAGCCCTGTATCATGCAATAACACCTCCACCAAGTCGGTTGTGTAGGTGTGGTTGTAGACACAAGGCGTGTAGGAGGTACGGACATGTGGATTTCCATAGGGCGGTTGCTGGCCGTATTGGTTCTGTCCATAAGGCTGTTGCTGTTGCTGTTGTCCATAAGGTTGTTGCTGTCCGTATGGCTGTTGTCGGTACTGGTCCTGCTGTCCGTAAGGTTGTTGCTGGTATTGGTTCTGCTGGCCGGGGTACGGCGACTGTGGCTGACCCGGCGGCGGCGGTGGAGGCCTGTTGTAACCGGACTGTTGTTGAGGATATGGTGAATGCGAGCCGTAGGGAGCCTGAGTCGACGCGGGAGAGTAGGGCGGTGAGAAGGGCGGTTGCGGTTGTGCGGAAGCTGAGGGATAGGGCGGCGGGATGGGCGGTTGTCCTGGCGGCATAGGAGACTGGTATCTGTTGTTAGGGGCGTAGTTATACGGCTGCTGTCCACCGTAGTATGCCATGGCGGATGTGAAGCACAGCGAGGTTGCGTGGCTGGTGTGAACGCGCGCAAAGAGTGGCAGTTGTCAAGGTCCAAAGGCAGAGTCCAAATGAGAAGTAAGGGCGAGAAGCGAACACGTCGCAAAGCAATCTAGGCAAAACCAGGTGGCGTAAAGATGGTGGAGGATGATTGATGATGATGATGGAGCATGCGACGCAAAGGAAAAGCGCTTACCTGTGGCGGGGGACCGCCGGGGTACGCTTGGTACTGTTGCTGCCCAGGCTGAAAAGGCTAACGGTTAACACGGCTCTGGAGCTTCGTAACACATGCGAATGATTAAGTCAACTCACATAGCCACCGGGTGCGCCTTGACCTTGGCCTGGAGGCGGATATCCACCACCGGGTGCGCCTCCTTGGGCTGCGGCGAGTTTGCTGGCAAGCTGTTGCGCAATGTTAGCATCGAGGCTGATGACGTTGATGCCTGCGTCGAGGGGCAGTGAGGGGTAGCTGCGACAACATGGCGGCGACTTACACCCATGGTTGAGGCTGCTGGCTGCTAGATTCGTGTATGTGAAGCTGTAGCAAGAGTCGATGAAGGTATCTTTACGGATCGAGAGTGTTGGAGGATGAGGAGTTTTGTAGTAGAGAGAAATTAGCCTGGGAGGTGGAGGGTGAGAGAGCTGAACAATGACACCACAGCGTCTGCGCCACGTTCCTGCCCCGCTATCGTTGTCATTGCGCCTGCCCCACGCTATTGGCTCTCGTTCACTGGGATTCACCACGCCATGTCCCACCGGTGATGCTATTGAGGCTGAGCTGAGCACCTCGCTGGAATTTGCGCCTCGTGTGTCAAGTGTCAAACGCATCGTGGTGGGGTCAATGGTGAACGCGTGGGGCCCGCGGAAGCTTCTTTGAAACGACCGCCCTCTTCACATATCCATGGAACATGTCAGAGCTGGATGTAGGTCATAATCACACGTTTACGTACTGTGATAAGCTCTCTCGTCCTGCTACTGTGCGCATTTTGCAAAGGCCCAACAGTGGGTCGATCTGGTGATGGTAGCATGCTCAGCCCTACTCAGCCACACTACTTTCCAAGGTTCTACTGCGTAGGGCATAGTCACGACATCAACCGTTGCCGCTGTGACGCAGTAACATAGCAAGGATTGATGCATTCTCTTACTCCATAGTTCTTTGAAGATGAGTCTTCCAAGCAACATGTCTGAGCAATTCTAACGTAAATGATCATCAAAATCCCCTTGCGACATTAACCTGGTATTTTTGTGCCACTTTTATGCAATTGTTTTTATTCGAATGCTTCTCGTCGATGCATCTCATCGCCAGAACGTGTCAATAATCCATTTTGATCCTAAGATTTTGCCGAAGTAATCCTTAGTAGGAGGGTTTGATTTGCTTGATTTCAAGCTTGTTGGTTGAGATTGTTGATATGGGGTTTATCTCCTACTATACACTGGCTGAGCAAAATCTTACGTTTACTCGTATGTGCACCTCGAGCACGTGTCGTATCAATCAAGTCGTAGTAAGAACACATTTGTAAGCAATAGGCAGATGAAAAAGGTGTAAAGATGTTATCTTGGTTCTATGCTGCGGTGCAAAGTCTATTACTACTGTACGCACTTCCTAGATTTCATCCGCCTGTGCATAGAATGGTGTACGTATCCTGCAGCTTTCGCCCACCCATATCCAGTCTAGAAGCCTCTGCAGAAGAATGTACTAGATGCTGTGTATTCATAAGCGTGGTTCACCGTAGATCTCATTCATCACTTCGAATGGGGCCAGGCCATTTGCTAATTTAACCACCTGTGTACCGAGAAGTCTTCCCGGCGCTAGCATCGTTGGAGGGGTCTTCCCCATGGGGTACTGCGTGGAAGCTGCGGATCAGGTACGGTACGAAATGCGAGCGCGGGGCGTAGCGTTTGGGGTCGGGGTGGTTGTCCTCAAACGCGGGTTCGTTTTTAGTACAGCCCAACTTCGGGTTGTTTATCTTGCTGGAAGCGTCAGACTACGTAAGCCATGTGTTTCTGGCTCGACATGTGAGTGTATGCGCGGCTCATGGTTTTTGATCGGGATTTAACGTTCATTGGACTGAAATCGGGCCGAGCATCGTTCTTGGTGGAGGATGATACATTTCGCGATTCGCGAGCGACGTTGAGTACGAACACGATGAACTGCGGTTGTACGAAATCTCTGAAATGGGTGCATCGCGTGTTTGTCTTCAAAGAAAGCCGGTGTGCCCTTCCCCGCAAAGTGTTGAAACGGATCGCAGGAATGCAGCTTATATGGCGGAATTATCCTCCAATCATACCATCGCCCAGAGGAACATTGTCTGTGACGGGGAATATTCTTGCCTTAGTCTGAACTTTGAACGGTTTTGACGGTAGATGTACGGACTCGGGCAGGATCTGTAAGCTGCCTATAATAGTTCGTAATTAATAAAGTTCCGTGAGACCGGAACGCAAGACGTCGAAACCATGATAGCAATTCGCATTCGCTTTCGCGCGGAAAGCTTCTGAGTGCATGTTCCTTGAAAAACGTGTACGAATGCCCTTGAAGCCCTGCCCCATTGCAGACGCCACGGTGCTGACATGCTTTAGGTCCCACACGGTCGGCTCGTCCCGCGTTGTCATCTGCCACGTTACGTGTCCTTGCGATATTCTTCTGCGGAATTCGATTCGTGCATGCTGTTGGTACATACGGGCAAAGGATCGGAGTACCCCTATACCAGGTCGGTGAAAGCCGTGACTTCAAAGTGAGGCTGAAATCACAATTCTAGTACATGCATGGTAATCGGCGATTTCAGATCTTGCTAGGCCTGGCTGAGACGGTGTAGGACTAGCAACCGAGGCACATCCGGAGGCCGACCTGCTCTTTCATCGTTGATTGGGGGATATTGCGGATGTCGCATTGCAGAGTATGCAATGTGCCTCGCTTTCAAGCCTTGTAGAGTAGAGTTCTCGGGCTGAGGTGAGCGACCCATCTTTCCAGTCGGTTACGACACGGTTGGCTGCGTGGTTCTCTGCGGGTATGAGCCCACTCGTGCAGCCGCGAAACCTTCTTTGGGATGTGACAATGAGGCTAGTTGGGGTACATGAGCCACATCATATTCTTAAATGGACAAGGCGGGATGAACGATGCAGGTCGTTTTTGGCGAAATTTGCGTGCAGGAACATCGCGCTAAACGACAAATGCCGTCATCCTCAATTTCGTGAGCCCGCGAGATGTGAGGCTTACTCGACGTACCCATGCGAATTGTGGTTGCAGACGTGGTTGCAAGGCACTCGACCTTCGGAGATGCTGCCAGCTGTTTCCTCATGATGAAGCGGGACAGTCCGCAGCACGGGCCGCGCATCGGACCTTCCCGGCCTCGACACCCCACGTCGGGATCCTGCGTGGGTAGGCCGAAATAGCACAATTCCAAATGAGCTTCAGCAGTGACAGTGTTTCGCATCGTTCCGTTTATAGTAGGAACGGTGATCTATGACCGAATTGACGTAGACCAGACTGAGGCTTGCAATCGTGCCAGCAGTGTAAACTTTGCGAAGAGCGCGCGTGTAGGGGCATCGATCGAGGTATTTGAATTTCATGTCTAGTAGTGGAAGCGCTATGTTGACCGGTCACCGCTTGCAGATCACTAAGTGCGAGACCTGGCCTGGCGAGCGGCACCAATGGACGTGACGCGACTGCATCGAGGAGAATTTTTTGTTCTTCCAATTCGATGCACTGCTGCACGGTTAGTCATGCCCCTTGTTTGAATAACAGCTGCTTGCACGAACTTGTGCGGGACATCGTCCGTTTAAGGCAACGTGGCATGTGATAGTGCACGATCTCTTGTAAAAGTACGCCATAGATGCGGCGGCGGATGTGCGCGTACGACGCAAGGCCACGGTAAAAGAAGGATCCAAATACATTTTTGCGGCGACCCGAAATCTAAAAAAACTCTTCTAAAGGTAGGTCCAATGCCCGGGGAATCGTACTAAAGAAACATTGCGGTCGTCTCGTATTCGTCAGAGTATGGTGCACCTTGGCCTGTGATTTCGTCTGGTTCGCCGGTCGCCTCGTCCTTGTGGTCGACGCGTTCCCCGGCGTTCGAGTGCTTCCCTCTGATCGCGATCCTTGTGTATGATTTGGCGGCACAAATCCACAAAGACTTCGTCAACATTCGCTCGGCGGCGAGCGCTGGCTTCGTAATAAGGTACACCACCCCATTCTTGTGATAATTTGAACGCTCGCGCTCTTGGAACCGCTCGGTCGTCTTCAAGATCGGATTTGTTGCCTACCAAGACCATGGGAACATTGTCGTCCTCTTTGATGCGCCGAATTTGTTCACGTAGCTCTTGAAGTTCGTATAGCGACGACATGCTAGTTATAGAAAACACCAGGAGGAATCCTTGTCCCGTTTTCATGTATAACTCTCTCATCGCCGTAAATTGTTCTGTTCCGGCAGTGTCGAGGATTTCCAGAATAACATGTCGACCCTGCGAGCCACAATTAGACAGTCCGATCACACTCAAGATTGGGCAACGAACATCAACTTCGATCGCTTTTCGATACGAGTCCTCAATTGTAGGATCATAGCTTTCGATCCACACGTTCTGTACGAATTGTGCTTTGCAACGTCAGTCAGAGAGTTTGGGGTTCATGATCGAAGGCTTACCAGTAAGGCAACTTTTGCCTACACCACCAGACTGCGTTTGTCAGTATCAACTATTAACCAGTCGTTGGATAGACTTGCCCCCAAAACTACTATATGATATTCTCGTTGACTCATGTTGACAGTTTCGGTGTCGACCCAATGTTACCAATTTAGCTTCCGTGTAGCAAGCGTCCCAGATCGTCCCGAAAATCACCGTTCCTCGGCCGAGCGAAAAGCAAGTGCGCTCACAATGCGAATGTCACGATGGGATGGCCAGGAACTTTGGTATTATGTTGGTTCTATGTGGTGTGGCTTAGTCGAGAAATTGCGACCTCAGGCTGCAACGGATAGCGAAACTAGACGGCGAGAAAGTTGAACGAGGCGCAAATAGGCAATGATAATCCGGGGCTTGCAGTAGAAGACGTCGCTGGCAAACGCCAAACTTGTTCCTCTCGAGAGCTGTTGGTGGCTGAGGTGAAAAGTCTTTTCCCGTAAGGCTTATCGATTAGGGAGGGCCAGGGAGCGAGTCGAATATGGTTTCTTGTCTCCAACGGTGCGGGATGTCTGGGAAGTGCGTCAGGGCTTCACGGGCAAAGGCAGGGCGGAGGACATGGTTAAATGTTAGCCCTGGCCTGACATAAGTCAAGTACAGGCTGGTGCTGGGCACAGGCGAAGGCATCGCGTCAACCCGGGCGCGAATCCAACGCTTGAGACGTCCAGTCCGCAATGGTGTCCGTGTACCACACTGCGCAGGGCTACAATGCGCACTGCTGGATTCCGTGCGCGCTACTCGACGAATGGGCATGCTGGTCGGGCGGCGCTGAGCGAGTCGACGCGTTGGCGGAGGCATGACTTTCGTAATTTTGGCACGGCCACGCCCACCGTGCGAGACGGCGCTACCCCGTTCCTCGTCTTTGGGCCCGGCTCTGTGCCGTAGGGTTTTCTAACCGGCGCATCGGGAGAAACCATGCCTCTTCAGGCCGCTGTGGCTTTCACTCGCTGCTGTCAGAGCCGTCTGTCCAAGTGCCGTTACAGGTTGGGCATGCGCGCTCATGCGGCCGACGTGTGATAATGTTAGAAGGCAGCGAGGACCCCGTCGGAGCACTTGAGCACGCCGCACACGCACCCCAAGACCGCCTGCGCGCCCGCCCGATCAAGAGGGAGCTTCCCCCGAGCGGCACAGACGCAGCCTGCACCAAAGCGCAAACGAACGGTTGCCTCCGGAGCAGGAAAGCTGTGACGTCGCACAGCGGTGAGATTCGCCAGCAAGAGTCAGTCCCGCGCGCTGTCGGCAGTCGACTGGCTCTGTTGTGGTACCGTCGCAGAGTCGCAGGCAATGAGGTCTCTCATTTCCGCCGGCCGCCACGATGCTGGCTCTAGCGGTCGGGCTGATCTGGGATTCCAATGCACCTTGCTAATCCGAACCAAGATTGTCGAATCTGCGCTACCTTTGCAGCGTCCATTCGGCCTCCTTTGCGCCGTGATGCAGCTGGAGCACCTCTCACCGCACCGAAGCTCCACGTCAGAAGTAACTCTGCGCGTCGCGCCAATGCGCAGACGACTAGATCGGACCGCGCTTGCAGACGGTCAGGATGTTAGGATGGCTGGGCGGAAGCGGCAGACGTTCCCCGTGGCGATGTGCCGCATGTGTCGCTCCGTGAGTCAGTGGGCCTTCGCTCAGGCGAGGACGCCGGCGTCGAGCATAACGGGTGGTAAACATGGCATTGTCGTGCATATCTTCCGAAGGGTGTGAAGGGATGATGTCAGCAATGCAGGTTCCTGGTCTGTGCGAGCCCTGATCACGTGCGCATGAGGTCGCGCGGAACAAGGTAACACCGACCCCGCCTCAACCGTCCTAAGGTAGGAGCTGTGGAGCCCTCGCATCGTCGACAGCAGCCCACCACGATGCGTGTCAATGCTGCGCTCGCCCTTGCAGCGTGTCTAGCCCCGGCCGCTGCCATCTTCGAGGACGATGCATACCACATAGACTTCCATTATGCCCTCCTGGGCCACCCGAAACATGAGGCCACCTTCTTCCAGAAACCTTATGCTGCCAGCAAAGCCTCCCTTCTGTACACCGTCTCCGAGAATGGCACTGTCGGCGCCATAAACCCCAAGGACGGTGCGTTAGTGTGGCGCTCAGCTCCGGGCGCAAGTGGGAACGGTCATCTCAGGGCCGGTGAAGAACAAGACACTGTCATCAGTGCAGTGGACAACCGCATAGCTGCATGGAGCGCCTCGGACGGAAGGATCGTCTGGGAAACCAATATCGATGGCGCAATCGCAGAAGACCTGGAGATTCTAGAACAAGAAGATGGCATATCGAATGACAACGCCAAAGATGCTGTCGTGCTAGTCGCCCACGGCATCAACGGCGTGAAGCGACTGGACGGCAAGACAGGGCGGGTCAAATGGACGTTCGAGGACACGAGGTAGGCTATGCGAAGTAGTGCCCAAGCAATATCACTGACACTCGCAGCGGCGACACACCCTTCCAGGTCTCGTCTTCGCCCACGACCATCTATTACATCTCACTACACTCGCCTCTTCTCGGAGGAGGCTCAAAGCTTCGGGTCACATCTTTGAGCCCAATCACCGGCAAGAAGCTCGATTCCTATACGCTAAGTTCCGAAGGCGAGGTATATACCAAGGAGAACATTCTATTTGCCGGAGCGAACACCGCGGCACCCATTCTGGCATGGACGGATAAGGCGCATAAGGTGTTGAAAGTCAACATCATTGGGACGAAAGGCGTCTCTAGCTTCAATACTCCCACAAGCGAGAGCATCGAATCGATTGTTCTGCACGCGCCCCGAAAGGTCAACTCGCTTCCACACTTCCTCGTCGAATATCAGACCGCTACCGGGCATTCGGCTGAGATATACCACGTTGATCTGAAGAAGAGTACTGTTTCCCAAGCCTACAAGCTTCCGCTACTGAAAGGCAAGGGCACATTCGCGACCAGCACGACAGATGCCAATGTATATTTCACGAGAATTACCTCTGAGGAGGTTTCGGTCGTTGCATCAGTGTCCCATGGAATCCTTGGCAAGTGGCCGATCAAAGGCTCTTCAGCCCTCGCTGGAGCGTACCCGGTTCATGGCGTAGCTGAAGTTGTTGTCAAAGACAACTCTGCCTCCGCTGTAAGATCTGCTGCGCTCTTCTCCAATGGCCAGTGGGCGCTCATTCGCAACAACGAAATAGCATGGAACCGGCCTGAATTCCTGTCCGGCACCATATCGGCTGTCTGGGCACAGCTTCCTGAAGAGGAGTCCCTTGCTCATCAGCTAGAAGAGGAACATCACCAGGACGTTATCAGCGCATACATCCATCGTGTGCAAAGGCATCTTCGCGACCTACAATATCTCCCGGCATGGCTGCAGAACCTACCTAACCGGGTTCTGGGCAGCGTTACCGGCCAGTCTGACAGCACTACGATCGAGGAAATCCAGCATGACACGTTCGGTTTCCACAAACTGGTCATTGCTGCCACTGAGAAGGGGCGCTTGTCTGCGCTCGATGTGGGGTCTCAGGGCAAAATCGTGTGGAGTATTGACCTTCACCAATTCGCACCAGGTTCCATCATCTCAAGCCCTTCGCTGAAGGCGTTCCGAGGCTTTGTTGAAGTCAAAGATTCTAGTTTGACCCGGCCTTTATTTATCAATTCGACGAGCGGTGGACAAGTATCTTCGCAAGACGCGCACGATCAATGGCTGCCAAACTCAGATCAAGAAACTCTTGTGACCTACAAGCTTTCGGAAGGCAAGCTTCAAGGTTTCTTAGGCGCTGAACCCACTACACAGCCTGTGTGGGCTTTCACACCTCCTCCGGGAGAGAAGATCGTTCGATACACTGCACGTCCGGCGAAAGACCCTGTGGCTTCGATCGGCAAGGTTTTGGGAGATCGTAGAGTGCTTTACAAGTATTTAAACCCGAATTTGGTCCTTGTCACCACGGTCACTGAAGCTGGACGTCGCGCTTCGGTTTACCTCCTTGACTCCGCCTCTGGACAGTTGCTCCACACGGCCTTACACTCCGGTGTAGATGTCTCACGGCCTATTCCTTCGACCTTTTCCGAAAACTGGTTCACGTATTCTTTGACCCTTGACTCTACCTCAAGCACCGCATCGCGTGGTTACCAACTCGTCGTTTCTGAGCTCTTTGAGTCTCCTTTACCAGACGACAGAGGACCACTTGGAGATTCTGCCAATTCCTCCACGGTCCTGCCAAAGGGCGAAGCTGCAAAGCCCCATGTCGTCTCTCAGAGCTTCCAGATCCCAGAAGAGATCTCGCATATGACTGTAACACAAACACGGCAAGGCATCACCAGCCGTGAGCTTATCGTTACCCTGCCTTCTTCAAACTCGATCGTCGGTATTCCTCGCGGAGTGATCGATCCTAGACGCCCAGTTGGCCGCGATGCCACAGCACAAGAGCAATCTGAGGGGTTGGTTAGATACGCACCCATGATCTTGTTTGATCCCAAGTGGCACCTCAACCACAAGTACGAGGTCGCCGGCATTAAAGATGTCATCACCAGCGAAAGCGGCCTCGAGAGCACCAGCCTGGTATTCGCATATGGAAAGGATATCTTCGGAACAAGGGTCGCACCTTCTTTTGCTTTTGACGTGCTGGGAAAGGGCTTCAATAAGGTGCAGATGTTGCTTACCGTCGCGGCATTGTTTGTGGGAGTGTTGTTCGTGGCACCGCTGGTACGTGACGCGTCTATTCATTCCTGCGTATGCATGCTAACTTATCACTTCTAGGTTCGGAGAAAGCAGATCAACTCGTTATGGACAGTGCCGCAGTGAGCGCTCGCGTAATTGGACTCGAATACACATGACTGGTGCACTTCACAAATGGCGCTTGAGCGCCAAAGACACGCACCACGGCTTCCGGCTGAAGGATACCCAAGTTGGAGCGCAAGCTCGCAGGGATGAAAGGGTCCGCAGATGAGACGAGAGCTACAGGAGATGATTTACCAGGTAGATACGTAGCGGAATGTATATGCTGTCGAACCGACGCCTGTTCAATATCACACCATTGGGATGTACTATTCAGCTGTGGCATGTACGGTCTAGGCGCTGTGGCTGGTCTACCAAAGATACGAGGTCCTTCGCATCTCGGAAGTGGCTTTGGGGATGGCGCCAAAGAATCGCCTACCTTCAACCCGTTTAATCGCAATACACATCTACCAACATTGTGGTAAAATGCGATACTAAGAACTTGGAGTCCGAAAAGATGACGCTCGCGTCAGGTGACTGTCCAGGAGCACACACAAGCGCAGGCCGAGATAACGCGGGAGCTCAGTCCTGCCATTATATTGTGCCAGCATTGTCCACAGGACACTACAAAGCCCCAGATACGGCTCCTTCGACTACTCCAGCCAGCCAGCAAGAAATACCTCTGAATTGATGGGTTATGTATCGATTAGGCGAATATCTCCGAGCGAAGTTCATTAGGTCAAGCTTGTATTTCAGATCTATAAGCACTGCTCGCGGGCCATTGTTTAGCTTGACAATTTGTCCTACGGTACTGCCTACAGCTACGGAGAAAGCTACGGTGGGGGGACATCTATCTCCGTTGCTGCTCAATCCATAATTCTCTCGTATCTGAATTCACAACATGTATCACAGTTCTCAGGGCAAGATATACGGACTTTTGAGCCTGGCGACCTGATGGCGACCTGATCGAGGCGGACTACCACAAGTCAGTAGGAGGTTTTTCTCGACACTATTTGGCCGATAGCTAGGAGTACGTGGCCCACAACGAAACAAAAGCCGTTTTCAATTGTCTGGGAAGACGTGAGAAGACTTCCAAACCTGTTCGCAGATCTTACCGGAGCGATGAAGCTTGTGCATCCTACAGAGCCAGCATATATCCATCCTAGAGTTCTTCTTTGAACATATCCTTGACGCTGAATATCGGGCGTACCTAGTACCAGACCGACGGATTACTATTCATTACAAAAGTTTTCCTTCCATCTTATTAGGGCTCTGGGTACCTCTTTCTGAATATTTCAGCCGATCTATATGTACTATAAAAGGCTGAGAATTGGTTAGATTCTGCTAAATCTAAATTTCTAGGCCAAGTAGACGTTAAAATGAGAAATCAAGTCATTGAAAGCTAGATAGCCTCACAATTAGCCTCCTATAGTATACAGATTAGCTGGAATATTGTGAACGGGGTACCTAGAGCCATATTAAGGTGGGGGAGGAACTTTTGTAAAGCACCGATGATCCATAAGCCCAGTTTCGTGCGTTCATACATTGAGTTAGAGCAGCAATTCTGGCCATGTCCAATGGTTGGATATATTTTTCGGAAAGTTCGAGCACTTGGAGACAATGTCAGATTGTCTTACGCGCTGCTCATAGCTACCTATGGGATATTGCATGTTATAGACTCAAAGGAGGACACGCCCGCGACGAGGGTGAATGTCGACATCGACTTATTTGAGGGGATGCCTTCGGAAAGCAGAGCGGATACACATAGTGCAGGAGGGGATACCTCAGCTTCGCGGAGGTGGGTAGCGCAATCGTAGTGCCGCGCTTTTAATCCTGAGAACATCGTACAAGTCGTTGAAGGCGTTGCCTAAAGCAGCATTATTCTTAGGACTGGCTGGGGGGGTGAGGCCTACTGCGCTGCGCCACTGTGGGCTGACTTCAATTACCAGGGCGATGGCCCACGCGAAGTTGGGTCTGATTGCGCCACACATGGCATGCATCCTCTTTAAGCGCAGAGCTCAGCCTGCCATATTTCCAATGTTGAACGCTACTCTCAACCTTCAAAGTACGGATCACGCTGCGTTAGACCGGCTCGCGCATCGCTGTGATACATGGGGTTTCGGCTCACATCCTTACTTGTTGCAGTACATTTAGCAAGCTTATTGCAAACCGAACCTTCGCGTGCCACAGTTCAATCTCAGGCACCAGTGAATTACTCAGGGCAGGTATTGCAATGAACTCAAGCGCCACCCGACTTTACGTTTTACAATCAGCCTCGAAGAATCTCAACGCCCTCGCCCCCATGCAACAGCCTATTGGCAGGCTGAGGCGTCAGAAGAAGGTGCGCAGAAGGACCCATGGACAGCCAAAGATGGATGCGGGGGTGGATAATGGCGCGGCTAACACTGGCCGGCAAACACAATTGACAAAAACCAAGCCGGCTCGTATGTACGAATATACCCCTCTGGACACGAAAAAATCTCAGATCCGGCTGCTGAGGCTGGAACCTAGCCGTAGCCTGAGATCACGTGCATTGCCGATTCTCTGCAATATCCAGACGTTCGACGTGGACAAAGCTCCGCAGTACATTACTTTGTCCTACGTTTGGGGCCCGCCAGAGCCTACCTACACAATATTTCTAAACGGACGCTACTTCGAAATTCGCGAGAACTTATTTGACTTCCTCGAGATGTTCCGGGATGATCCGCATAATACGCACTACATCTGGATCGATCAGTTATCCATTGATCAACAAAATTCAATGGAAAAGAACCACCAGGTTTCGAGGATGGCTCAGATTTATCGGGGTTGCCATTTCGTTATGGCGTGGCTTGGAAACCTACCGGACTCGGAACCTGATGCAATCACTCGACAATAGGATCATGAGCTTAGTCAGAGATCGGCACAGATAATTCTGGGGAACCGGTACTTTACTCGCCTGTGGATTATCCAAGAGATACTGCTTCCACCAAAAGTTGTCCTCATCTATGGACGCAACTGGATCGAGTGGGACTATTTCCGCGTACCCGCACTCGCATACCTCGGAAATGACGCAACCCACAAACAGGAGACCGTCCATTATCTGGTAAGGGCTAGAATAGTGGAATATGGCTATTCAACGGATGTGAGCTCATTGGGGTATGCGTTGTTGCTGTTCTCGGGGTACGAGTGCCAAGATCCGCGCGACAAAGTCTATGGGCTTCTCAGTCTTGCAACGAGTGACGAACATGTACCCGAAGTAGATTATCGAAAGTCTAAATTCGAGGTTTTCGTTGATGCAGTAACATCGATCTCTCGGAACGTAGTTACCTCTCGCCATGTCGGCGGAATATTCGCGCTTGCAGTAGCCATGAAACTCAACAACTTTCAAGACCCTCCAGGATGGTTCGAAGATACGCGTAATGCTGGTTATTTTTGGAGTAACGAAGGATATAAATTGAAACCTTCAATCGCGGAGGGCTCGTTGAAACTCGAGGTCAGATTCAGAGACGTGGTGCACGAGTTGGTATTCTCGAGCGCCGACACGGGGTAAAAACCATACTTCCGAGTGCAGTATATTCCCGCCAGCTCTCAGAGATTAGCGCATACAGGCTTTGTTCCGAGTGTGGCTGTGCATCAGAATGATCTTCACCTCCAAAACGTCCAAGCAATGCGCAACTAAGAAACACCCACGATCGTACCGCTGCAACACTCCCCGAGAAATCTCATGCTCTACTTGCCCTCCAAAAAGTAACATTTCTGAAATTGATTGAAGGGGCGGACGGCAAGCTCAACTTTTCCCATATCTCTTTAAGAAAGATTTAATATATGTCTGTAGCTGAACTCCCGACGTCGAGACAAATTTCCAACGCTATGCAAACGCACACAAGCTCCCGAGGCAGACTACGATGTCTGTGTGATACTGGGAAGCACGCCGCACGGTTCAATTTCTTAAGTGCTTAGAGCCTTCTTTTTGTTTCCTAGTAACTAGGAACTATGCTATGATCAGGTACAGGGGCTTTACGTGTTGATCGCCGGCATATATATCATACGGACTGAGGAAGATCCGAAGTTCAGTTGCAGGATTGTACGGTATTCTAATGCATGAGAAAGTGTCAGGATCTATGATGTCTATCGGTCCTTATGGAGAGCCTAATTCCACTCGTTCTACAAGTTCATGCAACGACAGATAAGAGCACTCGGAAGTCATTAAAGCATAGTCGCGAAGCAGAGTGACGCCAAAGGTGTGTTTGTGAACAGTTTGCGGCCTAAGGCTGCTCGTGTTGTACGTTGTTACCAGTGTTCTATCTGGGATGGTTGGCAAGTAGTTGCTACAAATTCTTAAGCCGTGAAAAGACAGTTGACACGCGATTCTACAGCAACAATCCAGCGAACACACCCGCAGCAGCCACCCCCACCAGTCCAACATTCGATCCCATGCTCCGATCAGCTGCACCAGTGCTCTCTGCCGGTGCAACAGAACTGCTGTTCGATGCCGAAGCTCCGGCCCGCGTAGAAGTCGCCATTGTAGCACTCGCCGAGCCACCTGTAGTCGCAACAGCACTCGAGCTTCCTTTCGAGCTTGCATCCGGTGTTGGCGTAGCATCCGCGCTTGCAGCCAATTTCTCTGCGCCGGCGGTGATGGTCACAGGCAGACGCGTGATGTCTTCGTATGTCTCGGTGCTGCTCCCAGGGAAATTCGCCTCGCTTCCACTTGCGCTCTCCTTGCAAGTAGCCGTGGCAACTCCGATGCTGCAGTCTTGGGTCATGCTGAAGTCTTCGTCTCCTGGTTCAGACATGTCCATAACGTAGATCGAAGGTCCGTATGTTAGGAGTTGTTGAGGGAATAATCCGCATTCACTCCCGTCTGTGCCGGTTGGGCACGCGAGTGCGAAGACTGTCTGCGACGGTTTCGCAGAGACAACAGAGGCATGGATGGTCATGTCGTCATAGCCAATGAACGGCAGCTTGATCGTTGTTGTCTGAGCAAGCGCGAGGCTAAGCAAAGTGGAGAAAGTGAATAGGGAGGCCATTATGTATAGTAATTAGATCCAGTGATATAACGAGTGACTGTGAATGCGATTGTAATTATTGCGGGCTCTGTTCGAATGAACGACAAGGGTGGGAAGAAGTAGGGAAACAAAGAGCGCCGATCGCCTACAACGCTCTGCAGGCGAGCGCTCGAATTTATTGCAAATATTCACGGCTCGTAGCGCATGAAATGGGCAATAGTCGCTGGATGCCTAGCAATAGGGGTGTCCAAACAATTCTGCGATTGGCTGGTATTTTAGCCTTCGCGTTTAGTGGGCAAGCGCTATTCGAATAGAACCTTTTCTTCGCCACTTGCATGACTCGCTTCGGCCTTTTTGTACATATGGCTTAGATTTCGTTGCAATGTCGGAATCATCTCATGACAGCGTCTTATATACAGTTCTCTGTCGGTATTCCCAGAAACGACAATACCATCAACCTACATAGCGCCAGACTCGTGATAGCTGTGAAGATGTGCTGAGCTGATCCATTCTGTATGAGTGATGATTGAGCTGATTAGTATGCCGGAGGCTCCCTACATAAGATCCATGCCAAGACCCAGATCCCATGACAATAGCACCTCAAAAGGTCAAACTCGCATAACCGAGCGATTGAACCGAGTGCGAAACTCCACGGTTAAAAGTGCATGCTTCGTCTTGCTAAACACCATTTTCGCAGACGAATGTGGTAGGCAGCTATGCTAATCATAGTAAAACGATGTCCTTAAGTGTGTTGCGAGATTGAGAATTGCAGCGGACCTGCAAACGCTATATGCCCGATAATGATCTGCAGCGAACTGACACCCGACTGGACGGGTAAAACAGCATGGGCCTGGTTTTCGACGCATATTGGAGGCATATTGGAGCAAAAACATCATTTAGATACTTCGTGTTCATTTGTTTCAGATTAGATGCCTCGACGATCGTTCGAACGACCTTCAATTATGGATCAATGTCAGTGAACAAAAAGCTATAAAGCATATACACGAGTTGGACGACCACAACATCCATTCATTTAAAATCTGCCATACCATTGAAGATGAAAAGCCTCCCAGCAACTCTGGCAGTTGTCGCTGCCCTCGCTTCAACTACTTGCGCCCACTGGACATACGACCGCATAATCGTCAACGACCAAGTCATCGGCGAACCCTGGCAATACGTCCGCCACCACTCCAACGGCAACAACTTCCTCTCAGACGTGACATCCACCGACATGAGATGTAACATCGACGGCCTCCTCTCTGGCGTTAATACCTCAACTTACCCCGTGAACGCAGGCGACAGACTCGGCTTCACCATCAAGGACACTTTCGGACACCCCGGACCCCAGCAAGTGTACATATCGAAGGCCCCTGCAGATGTGAAAGACTACGATGGCTCGGGAGACTGGTCGAAGATATACACGCTGTCTGACTGCCGAGCAAAGGACTGCGGCACGGGCGACGGCGTCGTGAAGTGGGCGACGTACCGAGCGCAGACGTTCAACTTCAAATTGCCGGCGGAGCTTCCAGCTGGGGAGTACTTGCTGCGTGCGGAGGGTATTGCCATTCATGCGGCACAGAAGATCAAGGGTGCGCAATTTTACGTCGCGTGCGCGCAGATCAGGGTGTCGAGTAATGGTACTGGAGTGCCGGGACCGACGATTAAGTTCCCTGGAGGGTACACTGCGAACTCGACTGGGATCCTCATACCGCAGATCTGGAGTCAGATCACGAATTATACGAGTCCTGGGCCGAAGCTGTGGCCGGAGGGAACGGAAGAGGCGCATGTGCTTGATGGGAAAGTGAAGCAGTCGGATTGAGGAGGCGGGTGGGGAAAGTACTACTGCATGTAGCAACAGAGGAGGAAACGCGAAGTCGCTGGTAGAATGTATGGATTTATATCTTACAAAAAAAAATGCAGTCTATGAAATATATAGCACATCTAGCAACCAAATGTATCCGAGCTCTCGACTCCAATATATCCAATGCAATTTCTAATCTGACGATACTTCAGATCCTCTAAAAATCCCACAAAGTACCGAAGGCGTGCAATCCCGCTGGTAAAAATCGAGTTAGCAAGGTGCATGACTAGGCCACAAGAACTACTCACCTGCGCGACACCCTTGCATCATCTCATCGTTTCCCTGCATGTTACTCGTGATGAAGATCACCTCTGCACCGAAACTTCTCCATGTGTCTTTCAAGAGCTCCATTGTGTTCGGCCGTCCACCGCGCTTCTTGCTATCCCACAGTATCATACGCTCAGGCGGAATATTGTTGTGAATGAGGCCCGTGATGGTCGGGCCGAACGTGCGTTCTTGGTCTGACCCGATCCAGATGAGAAACCAGTTGGGCGACTGGATGCAGGTGGATAGGGCGGCACCAATGCCGGTACCGGTGCAGACGCGGATGCCGCGCTTGAACATGGCGGAGGCATGGCCAACGCCGGCTGTCACGTGTCAGTGAAAGGGACGCACGAGGAGAGTGTGAATCGTACCAAACTTGAGTTCTCGTGTCCACACTGTCTTGGGTGGGTTAGCGACGAGGGCTTTTGTGAAGTCGCCTTGGACACCACAGATCATGTAGTGGTGCGGTGAGTTGCGGCCCTCACTGATGATACCGAAGGCGTGGTATTCCATGATGGAGGTACGGCTGATGCGGCCGAGTAAACCTTGTTGCATGCCGCGCTGGAAGCGGACGACTGCGACTTTGGGGGATGGCTGCGCTACTGTTAGGTGAGGACCATTGTGGAGAGTGCAGTACTTACGATTTCGACTTCTACGGGCACCTGGCGGAGGGTCACCCAGGGGATGATGACACTGACGGGTGTAAGCGAAGATATGGTGTGAAAACGGGCATTGGACGCACAAGACTGTCATGAAGAAGGCAAACCAGAGCTCTTGTGTGCCGATCAGGGCGTGGGCATCTGATCTCCATTGCCCAGTTTTGACGTCGTAGACGTTGCCCATTACTACAAATATCCAGGTAGTCTGAAATACGTCAGTGCCATGCTGCCGATTTTTCACGTGAAAACTCACGGCTAGACCAAGCCACCCGATGAAGCGATGTTGCTTCTCGAAGACATTATGATAAGTGTTGCGAACCCAGGGGAAAGCGCTCAAAACCGAGATGATGATGAAGATGTTGGTGACGATGCCACTAACGAGCACAGCCGTGTGTTGAACGGCACGGTACCGAATAATGTCGACGATCTTGAAGATTAACCAACTGTGTTCTGTCAGTAGGCTGTCTTTGTGGTGAAGTGAATCTCCTTACGCAGCACCCGAGAGTGCACAGCCAGAATGGACACCTCCAACATGTTGAAGAATAGATGTTGCCGCGTACTTGATTGGTAAAGGAGCCCACTATTGTAGCATAAGTCAGTGATTAAGGAATAGGGTGATGCACGCACACTTCGTAGACCGTAGATAAAGATGAAGTAGAGACAGCGCATGAATAGCTCGTTCCGGAAAAGGATCGCGCAGAGCAGGTTGCCCAGCACTAAAGCACCCAAATGATTCTCCGCATAAGGGAATCTATTTAGTGCAGCCAAGACGATCCCGGTCAGGTTGAGAAGGGTAACCAAGATGAAGAACTTTCGGTATGTGTTGAACCACAGATTGAACAGAATCCACCGGGAGATCATTGGCTTCGGCGGACTGGGCTTCTTGACAGCGACTTCAGGAACTTTGACATCGCTGTTCTGTGGACTTGCCGCTGTCCTCAACAACGAGAGTTCTGGTACGCTGGACAGAGGTGTGATACCTTCGTGAATTGGTGAAGTGGGACACAGAGAGTCGAAAACCCTTCCCCTTTTCTGACCTAGGTAAACAAATGGTGACGGAACCATTAGTTCGGTTGTGCTATCGTACATCCCCTTCTCAGCATCATCGATACTGCTATCGCTGGCAGTCCGGCCACCGATAACGTGACGTTGCAATTCGTCGCCCATGATTCGCTCGCGCACGTTACGGCTCGGAATAGGACTCGGAGGTCAGAAAAAGACGAGAGAATGTTACCGCAGGGGTTTTGGAAGAGTGATTGCTCATCATGTCTGTCCAGAGCGCGAGTTTTAATCAGTGTCTGGCAGGCCGGCCCCACCGCTCGGGCTCCAGTGAGCCCATAATGACAGGCAAACGCGAGCTGGAAATGCCACATGCTGCATAGTACGGATGTACTAGATACTTACTTCTCCAAATGATAGGGACTTTGGTTCGTGCAACGCTTGCCACTGCCATAAGAAGCAGGCACAAGGGTCAGCACGCCAATGAAGTAGACGAATTAATGGCAATATATGAGATGAGAATGCTAGTGCAGGCGAAGTCGCACAGGCTGACCGTTACAAGTCAGGTGGGCTTGTTTCTTATTCCCACGCCTTTCAGCTACGGAGGGCTCGGATGTTGCCTTTTGACCTCATTATCGTCTTGTGGTAGAGAATAACGGAATTGCGCAGCTGAACGATAAGGCAAATACAGCTGCACGGCCCAGATATCAGCAGCCACCTTCAGCGCTTGTTTGACCCAGAGTCGAGCTGTACATGAAGGTACACCGCTTTGGAAAAAGTTCGAAATAACCTTCATCGTCAGATAGACTACGTCGAACAGGCCAGGCGCATGTGCCGGGGGTGCATGAATTCCCAGACAAGGCTACTCTCGGTTCCGCAATGGCACGAGGTCGACTGCCGTTCGCGCGCTGCCTGCATGGCGGGGGAGGCAGTGCCGTTTTAAGGATGGAAGTAATAATCGAGGCAATATGATCGCCATGTGCGTATCATGTTTGGCGCTTGAAATGCTGTCATAGGGCACCCGATTGGGCGAGGCTCTATCAATTCAAGCTTTATCCAGATTGCCGGACGAGGGGATGCAGAGCCTCAAGATTGCTTTGGAGCTTCGAGACGTCTGAGCCACGATCCTGATCCTGATCCCGATCCCTGGACTATGGAACTTGGTGCCTTGCGGGCTGGCAAGGTCGGCAGTGGGGCCTTTGTTTCATTGCCGGAGGCGTGTTGGGGATGCAATGGCTGCAATGCTTAAGGTACCCCAGATTTTCCCTGTTCGGTACCTGTTACCGACATGCTTCCCCAACGGCGGAGAATAGATGACGTAGGAAGCATGAAATTTTAGTTACAAGGAACTAGGCGGAGAGGACGTGTGCAAGGTGCAGCAGAAGTTCGGGAGGAGGAAGAGGGTTGGGAGGAGAGCGAAGCGCAGGTGAGATAACGGAGATGATTCGGCTTGATCGGAGATCAAAAGATAATTTGAGCATTTGTCAGCACAACCTACAGCGGCCGCCTATAGAAAGCGCGGCCGACACAGCCGACGCTGCTTGTTAATTCCTGTCGTGCGAGACACAGTTTCCGCGTCGAACACGAACATTCTTGCAAGCATGGACGAAGTCGTGACCTCGATTGATCGGGACTCTCAACCAATCGTTGAAGCTGAGGAACACCTGAACAATTGGGAGAGAGCTAGCATTGTGTACGTACGAAATGCGCTACTTCCGCCGGTGCAACTTACGACCGAGTTGGCTATACCAACACTACTTAAGGGCTACCTCCTGTGCGGTCGTGTAGGATATAAGATGCAGCCTTGAATCTCAAGTGACCAAGTCAGAACATCTCGGAGACAAGACTCGAACTTGAAGTCAAGGACCTCAAGCATTCTTCCTAGTCAATTCGTAACTTGAATACAATAATGGCACCCTCATACCTCATCACCGCAGCCGGCGGACATATCGGAAAGCGTCTCGTACCTTTGCTCCTCTCTCACCCTTCCAACCCCACGCTCGTCCTTCCCACTAGCAACGCCGCACGTCTCACATCCTCATTACCAGCCGATGTCGACAAATCGAGAGTGCACATCCTGGAAGGCTCCGTCCAAGACCCCGCCTTCGTCGACGCCGCACTCAAAGACCACAAAGTGACCTCCGTCTTCCTATGCCTTACCGGATCCGACGAACTCTTCACGACCTTCAACTTACTCGGCTGTCTTCGGCAATCCGGCACAGTAAAGCATCTCGTGTATCTCTCCGCCAACGGAGACTACAGCATGGAAGCCCAGCAGAACGGCTTCCTCGAAGAAACGTACTGCGCACATGTCGCTGTTAAGTTCATCGTGGAAGCGAAAATCAAGCATGGACTGCTACCGCGGGACCAGGAGGGAGGCTTCAGCTGGACGATCCTCGGACCTTCGCTGTTCTTTGATAATGATCTGAGGAGTCAGCGCCAGATGCTTCAAGACGGCGTGTACGGTGAACCGCTCGGAAGCAGGGGCGTAAGCCGTGTGTCGGAAGACGACATCGCGCTTGCAGTTGTTAAAGCTTTTGAAGACGATGGGAAGCAGTGGGGTGGGAAGAAGATCATGGTTGGCAGCTTGAAGACGTATACGAACGAGGAAGTTGCAAGGCTGTGGTCGCAGGCACTGGGCAAGGAAATCAAGCCTACTTATAGTGACAAGGCTTCGTTGGATGCATACGAGCAGCGCTTCACGAAGGAGGCAGGGCCGGCGTGGGGAAGAGATATAAGGCTAATGTACGAAATATTTGAGGCGGTGCCATTTGGAATGACGGAGGATCAGTATAGGGACCAGGTCGCGTTGTTGGGGAAAGAAGCTGAGAGCTACGAGAAGTTTGTCGAGACTACGGCGAAGCAGTGGAAGGAGCAGCAATAGAAAGTGCGGCAGTTCCAGCAGCGATCTGGGCCCTAGTACACGCATATGCGGGTCCTATCTGCCTCAAGAGTATACGAGGGCTGTTATAGACTCATAAGAAAGCAGGTCTTGAACCGTTCCATAACCTGCTGTGCAGGTTAACTGGTGCCTATATGGTCGTTGATCTGTTTCCGCCAACAAACACAGCTTCAATCTTCAGCTGCTACTACCTTCCCCATTCTCCAAGAAATATGCATCATATCCAAAGCTTCAATCTCTTACCACATCTCCCAAACCCCATCCGGCAACACCGTCCTCATAATCCTCCAATGACTCACTGCCCCTTCTTTATGGTACTTTTCCAACTCACCGACATCCGCCCTCGTCATCTCCCTACCCCCTTGGCTCCTTGGCACATACTCATAATTAATCTCCAACTCCTTCTTCGGCTGTAGATAACTCCTCCGCGCCAAGCTCTCCATGATGTCTTTCTCTGTAGCAGCGCGGAAGGTGAGCGCTTTCTTGCCTTTCCCGTTATCTTTCTTGAGGCAAAAGACGACCATGTTGATAAAGTCCGGGTCGCCAGGTTTGTGGTCCGAGGAGGGAGGTTGGTCGCGGAAGAGGCGGCACGCAGGGAACACAGTGTGTATTGTGTTGAGGACGAGCTGGGTGGAGCCAAGCGCGAGGTCCCCGGCGTAGTTGATTGCTACGGCACCGTCATCGGTCAACAGATCATATAGACCTGTGAGGAACTCCTTCGTGAACAGCGCGGCGGGCTCCGCGCCACCGGTGAACACGTCGTGGATGATGTAGTCGTAGATCTTGGGCTTCGCACGGGATGTGCGATCTACGTAGGCGACTGCATCGTCGATAACAGCATTGTGGTTAGGGCTGAGGTTGAAGAATTTGGAGGCGTAGTGGTGGACTACGGGGTCGAGCTCGACGATGGTGGTGTTGATGCCGTGGGCAATGAGGGCGTTGGGCGCGGTGCCGATGCCGAGGCCTACGACGAGGGCGGACTTTTTCTCATCTGGTAGTACGATGGTTTTGTCATCAGCAGCAGTGTTTTTGACGAGCCGCACGGCTTCGAGAAGCACAAAAACGGAGAATATTGTTTCGCGCTGGCGCTGGCCGTTTTTGTACGCTTCGGGGGTTACGAGCCATTCGCCGCCAAGGAGGGAGTGGTCGCAGCGCAGGATGCGGAAGGCGATGTCGGCATGATTCTCGAGCACGGAGACGTATCCAGTGTTTGATTCTTGGCGGGCAAGGATGGTGAAATTCTGCGTAGAAGCTAACGTAGCATTTGCCTTGATGAAAGCGGATTCAGAGGGGTGGTGCGGGTTTGCCCAGAGGGTGTGAAGGATTGCGGGGAAAGCGAAGAGGATGACGCGCGAGGGTGTAAGGAAGGCTGAGACGGAGCCAAGAAGCATTTGAAACCCGATTCGGGTGAAGTAGATGTGGTTTCCGACGAGCGAGGGGAGGGTTGCACTGGCGATCTTGGCCGTGGTGGATACGGTGAAGTAAGATGCCATAGGGAGCAGGATTTGCTTGACCGTGTTAGGGAGATTAAATTGGCTGAGATCGATGCAGTCCAGTAGGTCGAAAGCGGCGTATACCGATAGGAAGAGTACAGGAAAGTATGTCGCTGACTCTATGATGAGCGGTCCATATTCGATGCCGAGCTGACTGCTGTACGGAAACAGGAAGAATTGAATTACTGGCGTCCAGTATGCAATTACAGCAATGTACTCCGCTATGGAGTCTGGTACATATTTCTTTAACGAGTTTCTCGCGATCAATGCTGCAATAGCTGTGAAAGTCATGCTCCTCTGATGATGGAGTGAGGAGGGAATAGAGCCGTATACCGGCGACAGGTTCAACTGGGAAACTGGGGAAGCAATGCCGGCAATGAGCAGCAGCGCGGCTGCTCGCCCGACATTCTTTAGAATTGTAGACGTTGGAAGCTGTCTTGCTTCCTTCTCCGCCTCCTTCGCCGCTTTGGGCTTCTTCGGTGTCTTTTGCCTTGTTGACATGTCGGAAGGCTAGGTGTTGCCTAACACTGTATTTCCTCTAGCTCTTTCTGATAACGCCCTCGCGCGGCAATTATTAAAAGGGTATCACAACAGTGCAACGTGGTATCCGCAACTAAAAGCAATGCCAATGTTCTAGTAATCAAAGCACAAGAAACCCAAGTTCTTTCTTCCCGCTGTTACGGACCGCTGACCCGCGCGATGGTGGCAGAGGAAGGAGTGACAAAGCTGCAAAAGCTGGCGGAAAAATCAGGATCACCTCATATATGGGTTCAGCGAGAAGGACAACTGTTGTTCGCAACGATTCATGGAGAAAATGTTTGAAGCATTGATGAAACAACCGACTGCAGTTCATCTCGGATAGCGTTTTAGGATTAGCGCGGGCTGGTGGGGAAGCCGCGGCGGAGCGTGGCGCGAGAGCTGTGGCGTCATTACGAAGCGCGTCTGTCATTTCATGCGAACGTGCTTCACTGAGGCTCCCCACTGGACATTCACTTATAAGCGCCCTTCGTTGGAGTTACCCAAAGCATGCCATACCTTCGAAACGCCACCATGCAGTCGCTCGCGATTCGATCTGCTAACGAGCATCCGGACGACGCAAGCGCGCACCCAAATGGCGTCGCAATGGGAGACTTAATTACGATAGCAGAGGACGATGCGCGCAAAGGAGGAAGTTACGATACACCCATGGAGGATCAAGATATGCCCCAAGTCCGGGAAGAGCGCTCGCACCGACTCAAAGCGAAGAACAGGCGCAAGCGTTATCTCGACGTCCACCCCGAATACTTCACCGACTCTTCGCTCGAACTCGCCGACCCGCTCCTCTACGATCGTCTCATCCGCCGCTTCCAAACTGCCGCCGAACGCGAGGCTGAGGGACAACGAAAAGGCTTCTCAGGGCAGATGGCCACGGACCTGTGGCGCGTTGAGGCGAAGAAGGAGGCTCTAAGCCACCCAAGCCCGGCGTCGCTATTCACGTACACTCGAGGACCCCAAGGAGAGATACAGGAGGCGGATAAGGACGAGGTGCCTATGTCAAAGGAGGAAGGGAAGGCTTGGTGGAGAGATGAGATGACGCAGCGCTTTCTCCGCGGTGATGATGAGGACTTTGATTATGTGAAGGTGGATGGAAGTGACAAGTACGATGATCCGGAGGAGGAGCGGGATATTCAGGAGGCATACTTTGACAGCATGGAGTCCGATTTCGACACGGATGGGGAAGGCAAAGAGAAGATTCTCATCGGAGAGACGGGCATACAAGATTATTGACGTATTCAACTAATCTTGCAGTTGGAATACCGTGGCAAAACCTGGAGCCATCTGTAAGTCAGGGAAGGCTGCAGTTACGGCTTTGGGAAAGCGGTCCGAAGTTAACCAGCCTCTACGCTGTATCCATGGCCTCTAAAACGACGAGTGGCCAGTCTTGAACACTGATCATCAGAAGAGCAACATTCGGGGTGACTCGGCTTTGTCAACTCCACAGCTAGAATTTCGGGCGAGAGTGTGTCATTCGGCTGCCCTAGCTAGCCTTCCACTCTTGGGCCTCGTCACCAAAACGCAGACTGGGGTTTAGTCAGACCACAGACACGTCACACAGGAAAACACCTCGATTCCCCTGGGTGATGCAGTTTCCTCCGATGCTCCGATACGTCCGGCAGCATCGATGAGCACAACAATACGAGCTACCGGAAGAAGCCGATCAACGACCCGCTTCCAGGCCTCCCCACACAACACACTTCCGTCACTCGACCCTCCGCTTCATCACAATTTTGGGACAGCATTCCTTTCTGGTGTAATCCGAGCAAACGTAATGTAACTACAAGAAGTAACGGAAATTGATGGCACGATCGCCGAGCTCACTCAGCTCTTCTGGCGTATACCCGTTGTGCGCCCCTTCTGCCATCTGCCTTTCTCGCTTCTTATTAATACGGGTGTAATTCCACACCAAAAACAGCCCCGCGAGGATGCCAACGCAGATGAAGGCAAGTTCGAGCGCGTGTCCTAGGATATAACGAGGCGAATCTTTTGACCGATAAAAGTTGGAAGCCATGGCTGCATATCGTTAGGTGAGTTTCCAAGGAATGACTGGAAACATACCTCCGGCGAGATTGCCCATGGCAATCTGGATGGCCTGTCCTGTTGCACGCTTTGTGGAGCCCGCAAGATCTGGAAAGAATCAGTAATTGGTCTCTGCTACATTGCAATCAACTTACTGTTGGATAGCCAAGTAATGTTACCCGGAAAAGCTGGATATAGAGCTGCTGCTGCGATGAACACCCCAGCGTACACCACTCCAGGTGTGCCAGTTGAGAGACACATGATGAAGCCGACCGCCATGATACCGAGGCACACCAATATAAACGGTGACCGCCGGCCATATTTGTCACTAACCCACGCCGTGCCTACTGCAAGGACTGACGCTGTGATATAGATTGGTACGGTCAAGAGCTGGGCTGCCGCGCGTGAAAACCCAAGCCCTCTGATGATGGTTGGCAGGAAGAGCGAGATGCCGTAGAGCGGTGCTACGATTCCCCAGTATACCAAGATCGACATGTAAATTTGCCAGTCCAAGAAAGCAGCCTTAACATATTTCCACTGGAATGAATCATCCTGCGCAACCCTGACGTTGTCGTCTTTTTGCTGTCCTTGGTACTTTAGTCGATATACCACAAAGGCTCGCTCTTCCTCGTTTAGGAAGCTGGCGGTTTCGGGGAAATCGAAGAGTGTGAAATATGCGAGGATTGCGACTACGACGGTCAAGATGCCCTCTAAGATGAAGATCCAGCGCCAGCCTTCGAGGCCTCCGATGCCGTCCATCTTGGCAATACCAAACGCGAGCAGGCCTGAGAATGCTCCGGCGACTGAGGCGGCGCTGAAAAACAGAGCTTGTCTGAACTGAGCTTCATGTCGACAATACCACATGGTGATGTAGTACGCTACACCCGGGAATAGTCTGTTTTCCATTAGTTTCATGATACCTCGTTCTGCTGCGTAAACAAGACGACAGAGCCAGATCAAGCTTAACTTGGCATCTTTTCCAAGATTTAGCACAAACTGAAATGGAAATGCTCACCCAGCTTCCGTTACACCAAGAAATATCCGCGCAATCAATAAACCATGATAATTCTGCACAATCCCCATCAAGGTCATAACCACGCCCCACGCCACCATAATACTCGGTAGCCAGATGCTCGGCCTAAGCTTCTTCAACAGCAGATTGCTGGGCACCTCGAACGCCGCGTACGTGAAGAAGAACGCCGTCAAGCACCAATTATACTGAGGCCCCGTCATCCCGAGATCCTCCACCAGGCCCTCGATCCGAGCATTCCCTATGTTACCGCGATCGAGGAAGGAGAGGAGGTAGAGGAGCGCGAGCATGGGTATCAGGCGTAGATCCATCTTGCGCAGGATGGCCTTCTCGTCGAGATGGGCGAAAGACTCCCGCGTGACGCCCGGCGCGGTGGCGAGCGCGTCGATGCGCGATATTTGCTCTGCTTTGGTGGCATGCTTGTCTTCGTGAGCTGGTGGCTTTTCCATCTTTGCGACGACGGCGAGACGCAAAAGCGCAATGTAATTCAGTGCTACACAGCACGAAACAAATATGTTTCTGATGGGGCGAACTCAGATACCGGCTCGCACTGCCAATACTTCTCCGCGAAGGGGGTGGATGCAGTGTGAGTCTAATGTCGAGTTTGGCGCTCGGAATACAGGACGCGATTTGCTACGCTGGTGTCTCTGTGGAAGCTTGCGAATTGAGATCCGTCGTAAAGGACGCCAAACATGTAGGTATATTAGGATCTAGTAATTTCATGGCTCGATGACCAACTTATGACCTTCCCAAGGCGTATAGCTTTCTCCCCAAGACAGATAGCTCTCCTCCACAAAGCTCTAGCCCCAACGCTGCATGGCACCCTTAAAGATCGCCTGCTGGCGCGTCTTGTCGCTCTTGGCAATGACGATGTCCGGTATACCACTCAGTCGCTCCATGAAGCTGTTGTTGGTTGCCGCGGCGGTCAACATGACATCCTGCCCTTTAACCACCTGCCTTCCACGCTCCTTCTCGTTGCCCCATCCCCTACTGTGCTGTGCTATGCTATACGAATCTGCTTCTGTATAATGCGCGACCGTATACCGGGCTCCCAGACACTACATCCCCGCGTGGGCGTCACGCGTCAAAGAAATACGGATCGTGGCGCCATCGGCATACGTCAAGAATCTAGCTCCGAACCGAGGCGTTGTGCCTAAGAGAACACCGTGTGCTCGGCATGCTTGTTTTGTACAGACGCGGGCTGGATTGATTGGCTTTGTGTGGAGTGTACGGGGACGCTGAGTGGAGGTCTGGGGTGCGGGGAAGCCGTACCCGTAGGCGAGTTTGGCATCGGCTCGAGATGTCGGATGCGGAGTACTTCCCTAGCGGGGGGTTTCCGCACTGCTAGCTATCATATTGAATGATGGGCGCCCTGCGAGAGAATAAATGAGGGTGTGGAGATGAACAAAGGAACATGAGCGAATTGTGAATGTTTTGGGAGTGATGGTGAGCTGGTTTGGCAAACTTCCTAATCGGGTAATATTGGGTTAGGTGTCGATTGCTGTGCGGTCACCTTCACTTTTAAGTTCAAGGTCTGTGCGCTGAGGCCTGCGTTTTCTCGGAGTGATGAAGAGCTGTCTAGTCAAACTACCTAATCGGGTAATTTTGAGCCAGGTGTGGATCGTCTAGTGGTCACCGTCACTTTTTGACCACAGGTGAATGGCCCGTGCGCAATGGTCCAAGCTCACTTGTACACAACATTTGAAGTGAAGTACGAGGATTCCGATGAAGTATTGAACAGCCAACGATGGTACTTTAAGCAGGCGTTACCATTTAGCATGGCAGTCGCTTCGTTTGCAGTGCTATACATGAAGCTTAAGATTTTCTTCTCCACCTTTCAAGTTGAGCCACATTGCTGACTCCCTGATAAGCTTGTTGATCTTTGCCAGGGTGAGTAATACGGCACGACCAGATACCCGTACACCAGTATCTCGCTTGTTTTTCCAAACCTTAGAGACGATACCCTCATTCGCTTCCCCAAACGATATTCCGACCGAGTGCTATGTCCTCAACACAAAAATTACACGTCGCGATAGTCGGTGGCGGCCTAGGCGGAATATCGCTAGCCATTGCCCTCAAAGTCCGCAACATCTCCTTCACAATCTACGAAGCAAAGGGCGCTTTCACAGAGATCGGAGCCGGTATCAACCTCGCGCCGAACGGTCTTCGTGCTCTCAGAGAAATCGAGCCGTCCCTCGGTGACCAGATTTACAAGCTTGCCACGAGAAATGTGCCGCCAAACGAAGATACTTGGATGTGGGTGCGATATGGCGCGGCGTCTGGGGAGCATGCAGATGGCGAGACGATAATGGAGCTGAAAGCGCCGCCCACGGGGAACTTGGCTATGCATCGGCAGGAGCTTCTCGCGACGCTTGCGCAGCGGATGGGGCTTGAGCACGCAAGATTCAACAAGAAGTTGCGGGCTTTTCAACAGCACAGTGACCATGTCAAACTCGAGTTCGAGGACGGCACAGAAGACACCGCCAGTATATTGGTAGGATGCGACGGCGTGCATTCCGTCGTCAGAGCAAGCATGTTCGGCAGCGATAACATTGTCAGCCGCCCGCATTTCAACCAGGACGGTGCCTATAGAGCTGTCATCGCAATGGAGAACGCGCTCGAAGTGTTCGGCGATACAGCGCGCCAGAGTCAAGTCCTGCTCGGTCCGAACGGGTACATGATTTACTACCCGGTAAACGGAGGCACAGCCGTGAACGTGGGCGTCTGGATCTCCCGCCAGGGGCAAACCTGGGGTCGGAAAGACTGGGTCGTTCCAGGCCAAAAGCAGCAGTTCCAGGAAGATCTTGAGAAGTGGGGTCCTAGAGTGCATAAGCTCCTTGCGTTCTTCGATACTGACCCTGCATTTTGGGCTGCGCATCAGCATGTTCATCAGCCGGAGTCTTTCGCAGATGGCCGTATTATTTTGATAGGCGATGGCGCTCATGCAATGCCACCGCATGCGGGAGCTGGCGCTTCACAGGCCGTCGAGGACGCATACGTCCTCGCTGAAGTACTAACCATGATTAGCGACGGAGACGATTCTCTAGCCACAGTGAGTGCGGCGCTACGTGCAGCCGAGAGCGTGCGGAAGCCTCGGTTTCTGAAAGTCCAAGATATCAGTACTCGCTCCGGACCCGAGTGGTACTCATTCCATGTACGGCAGCTTGAGGGCGCGCAGCTGGATGAGTGGAAGACGTTTATGAAAGAACGTATTGAATGGATATGGAATGTTGATATGCGTGCTGAAGGAGTTAAGGCGAAACAGATCGTTGCCGATGAAGTACAGACTAAGGATTGAAAAGTGTGCAGACATGGGAAGCCACTTGATGCTTGTGAATGAAGGAGGGCTGAAGTAGGCATCAAGGCATGAAGTGAGCATCGACGGTGGACCACCAAGCATTTTAGGCAGTATTCTCGGCGTTGATAACACTAGATTACTCATAGCGTTCTTTCCACAAGCAAAGTGGGCGAACACTCAAGCAGAGGTTTAGATATCTACATTTTATGTCTTAATTACTTGATGCTAGTAATAGAGTCCGTAGGTAGTTGTTTAGTACCTGACCTTTCATCTATTGGTATGCAGGACGTGGATCAGACTTACGGTCTAGATAAGAAGTTTTGATGAAATTTGTCGCTCGGTTTTCCGTGTTGCTGTTTTATGTGGTTCGGTTTCATCCCCCCTCATTCTTTTCTGGCTGGATGATATTTTGAGTTTGCAGACATTTTTGGCTATGCGGCAACGATGAATGTTCAGTATTCAATCTCGGCATTTCGAAAATCAATTCTTTCTAGTAAGTGGATAACGCTATGAATAGAACACGTGAACCGAATATCGTTCTCAACCTCCCTTTACTACATTCTATCGCAAGACAATGAACGCTGAGAATACAAATGCGACTCCACGACTCCTTCTAAAGATGCAAATTGGAAAAACAACAAAACGTACCACGACAACTCCATCAAAATTCCTGAGGCTTACTTCACAGATTTATCAAGGAATGTCTTCAAGCTCAAAGAGCATGTCATGTTCCTTAAGCTCGCCTGATGATGAAGCCGACCCCTCGCTGGCGGGATCAGACTCAGGGTCGCTCGCGGGACCAGACTCAGGGGAACTGGAGGAATCGCTGTCCGATTCAACATCTGTCATCTCGACATCCGAGTCGTGAGACTGAGGTGAATTAGCGTTGGGTGTATCGGTATCAACGTCGCTAGCGGGATTGTCGATGCTCGCTTGATCGCGCATAACGGAGACTTTCTTGATGCGACGGGGGCCGAGCTTATCGACGTAGCTGCAAGATGGTTAGCGTGGCTTTATCTGAAGTTTAAAGCAGAGCAGTAGAATGAGGGGGACAGAGATGATCATGGAGAGTTGGGGCTGCAAAACGTACTCTACAAGCATCTGCAACATGCGCTCCCCGTGGATTGTCCCCATGATGGCTTCGAATTCCGGCGTGCCCTTGTCGAAACTCACTACATCATCAGGGCCGTCTAATTTTTGTCCAGACTTTGCCAGAGCAGCTTGGATGACTTTGTTGGTCTCAACAGTTTCGATGTTGCGGCGGACAATGTTTTCGATTGGCTCGGCCTTGAGATCTTTTCCTGCACGTTCATAAACTTTGGCCAGGCTATACATAACCTGATCCGTGTATGTAATGGCTTCCTTCTGATCATCTGGCTTTCCATCGTCAGAACCTGCTCTCCGGTAGTTTTCCTCGTCAATGGGGTCGTTGTCGTTGCGGGGATATTTGCGATGTAGGTCGACTTTTTGGTTGAAACTAAAGTCCATGACTATCGATCGAGACTCGGGGTTGATGGAAGTTCTGAGCATTGCGCCGTTTTGGGGGTCTTTGAGATCCACTGCAAACTGATCAAGATCCGCATTCTGTTTCGCAATTTGCTCCGGCGACAAGCTTTGGTCGATCTGAGCTCTTTTGCTGGCGATGAATGAGTCGATGTCCGCATCTGTATTCCTGACTGAGATATCGGTCCTTCGAAGTAGGATTAGCGTGAGTTAACGGTGTGCTTAGCATGCATTTTTAACTTACCATGAAAAGTCTCCCTCGACATCCATGTTCTTCACAACCCGGAGAATATTGGGGCTTTCTGCATTCGTTCCTTCCGTCTGGCCGACCGCATATCTCGACTCCATAAGTTCTCCAGTGGGCACATCTTTTGGTGGTGGCGGATTCGTCTTCACATTATCCAGACGAGTGATCGCTGTCCTTCCAGCAATCGAAAACTGGTTTTCTGTTTGCCCCTCTCTTACTTTCAAGGCATTCCATTTATCCTCGCTGGGTGTACAGGCTGCCCGCTTCCTTCCGTTAATGGTGCAAGAAGTTAATTCCGGTTGCTGATTGGGGGCAGGGTCATTGGGGGTATCGGGATTCTGAGTATTGGGGGCAGGGTCTTTCGGAGTATCAGGATTCTGAGTCTCCGGCGGCGGCCAGCGGCCATCTTCAGGAACAGCTTGGTTTGGGTTATTGAAGTTAGGAATCTCAGGAGTTACTCCACCATCGGGGATTTTCGGTGCATCAGGGAGTTTCGGTGCATCGGGTAGTTTGGGTATGAAGCCTGGAAGAGGTAGTGCGGTCGATAGTAACCCGTTGAGGAGAATGAATTTTGCGGCGGTAAGAAGCATCTTGAAGGAATAAACTGCGGGGAAGGAATCCTGAGTGAGTGTTGTTGCTAAGAGAGTTCGCACTGTGTTGTACCTTTCACACCCTTCCAAAGGTGTAGTATATATACGTAGAAATTTCTATCGTCTTCGAGGTCTGGATATCGTCCTCGTAGCTACAAATGCCAAGTTTCCAGACATAGACATACACTGCCCTCCACCAGCACACGAAACATTGCTTGGCGCTCCGTTTCTTGGAATGTTTCTCCTTGAGACCTTGGGGTCTATTCTGAGCTATACGGAATTAGTTCTGTCCGTATGATTCTTGCGGGAGTTAATCATGTGTGACCCCGTCGGAGCATTCACCCTCACAGCTCATTCGCCTCGCAATGACCTAAAATGCGGCTTGAACCAGGTTACATACTAGAATTAATACCTCAAGACAACCTTTGCCATCAAGACTAGAGGTCGTATTCTGTCGATTCGATGTTGAGGGAGTAGTCATTGCGTGCACTGTGCTAATGGTATGGGGTGGCCTCCAAAGAAAGCTCTTTGGTCAATGCCGGGCGCTTAAGTCACCGATAGGGCAATTATTCGCAGATCTTTAGCCGAGATTGGGTGTAGAGTAATTCCTTGGTGGTTCTCGTGCGAAAGCCCTCACTATCTCGGTTCTCCAAGATCGACTAAGCTGACTGATTTGACTAGTCTGAAACAACTGTCCAACTACAGCCTGTGTTTCATGTTCGTGGTAAGAATCCTTGGCGTCTATCTCTGCAGCGACAGTTATGGCAGTAGGAGGATCTGGAAGACTGTGCCGCTTGCAAAGGGCAGTGCTATGGGCTATTACACAGCCCTTCGCTATTTCGGAGTTGACCGCCCCAGCGCGAAGGGAAGATTCAGTCAGACATTGCGGAACCTGACTTACAATCGTCAGGCAAATCTTTCTGAGTGATCCATTTTTGGTTTACAGTCATGTCCCCGGAGCCAGCCTTCGAGACTCAGAGAAATACAAAAGACGTCTTCATCTTCCTCTGGGAGAGCAAACTCACAAACTCAGACTTCCACACTCAACAAGACACTATTCTCTCCTCTGTTGTGCTTTTGCTTCAACTTCTATCTTCTCCTCTTGTCGTTGGACTCTCCTCCATCTTCCCTTCTTAAAAAAACTGCATCATATCTACACTTCTCGCTTTTCCATCTAAGAAATGGCGACATCTATTATTTTGGGTGCAGCAGGCCTAGCTGTCACCGTCCTCGACATCGCCTCGTTCTTGCAAAGCCTTGGTGGTACTCCCGACCCCCTAAAGCAAACCCAAGTCACGCTCGTCGTCGGCAATGCTCCAAACAGCGAAGGAAGCATGCCCGATATCTATGCCAAAGGCCCTTTTGGCTTCCAGCTTGCGCACACCTCCGATAAATCACTTTTCAAGGACGGGCATCTCGAAGGATCCCAGGCCAAAACATTTATTATTGACAATGATCCTGGCATCGATTTCCAGACCCAAGTCCATCAGCCGCAGTACGTATCGGTAGTCATGACCCAAGGCGATGCGATCTGCCTGTCTGCAGTCATTGCAAATGGCGACGGTGCGACGTATACATGGACCGGAGACATGGGCGCACAGTGCGGTGCAGAGTGGTATGAAAGTGACTTTGCGTTTGGAAATTCGAATGTCCCGCCGAAGTGTGTGTGGTTGGATTCTGATCATAGCAACGACATCGTGGCCAGTGCTGTTAGCATGCACATGACAGACTTCGCCGGTCCATTGCTCCCGCAATATCAAGAGACGAATGAAGCAGGCGATAATATCGGAGATGCTCGACTCTGCAAGAACTCGGCACGGATGACATTCTACCATGACTTCAAGTATGAGAATTGGGCGGTATTCGAGCAACCTCTGAAATTCAATGGAAGCGGCGCGTTCGAGGAACCTGATCTAGGGATTGACAGAGAGAAGCGTGCTTATCCGGACGGGGTACGAGTTCTCCTCACAGCTCGTGCGAATCACTGAATATCAGCTGACTTTTTGAAACTTTAGACAGAATTGCCTTGGGAGCAGCCGGCAAAAGCGAGGAGAAGTTACCCACGCAGTTTGCCGCTGAAGCGCAATATGAACCATCAACCCGATCACCTAACCATCTCCCACTTGCCATCTCACAGCGCTCGTCGCTTGTGCGAGTCCGAAACGTCTCGAGGTGCAGACTTCCTGGCAATCCACGGGAAGGAGAAGTTGTTTTGCGACATGAGCCGTAAACAGCTCTTCGATGTATGTGACGAGACTCACACTCAGGCTTGTTTCGATATGGACACGCGAGAGATGAGAGATGTTGGCGCTAAGATCCGGCGGAGGGACGTGTCTTTCGGCGATCTTGTGCCAAAGAAGAGCTACAAGACTCATTCTGAGTGGAAATGAGGAAACTTGGCGACTGATAGAGATTCACAATATGGGATGGGACTTCACTGTATGATTAGCGCTAAACGTTCTTGTTAGAAACCAATTGTTGCTTTTTGAGTGTGTATACCTATGATACTAATATTAGCAATCTCACAATACGTGTGTCATGACTTTACCCATTTCTGTGGCCTTCATTAGGGCTAAACTTGCTGTCACGTTACAAGCTTAGCTAAAAATAAGGGTTGCTGATTTTGGCGATTACGGACTCTATTTGTAGGCAAACCTTAGGATCCCGTGCGAGAAACAATCCGCCAAGGCTATCGTGCAGCCAATGGGAGAAGACCTTTGCATTGATAATGCCGGTAGTAAACGCCCGACAATCTGAAACGCTATCCGTAACAAAGTGTGAGCACACTTTCTAATGTTGGCGACATAGCTTTGGAGCGTAGATTCCTGTTGTTGGATAGCATTTCCTACCAAGTACACCCAACAGGTGCCACGATACTAACCTATTCTATATAGGCGGCCTCCGCCACCCTAGCAAGCCATCACTCTTACATTCAAATTCTACTCTACCTTCAGCATTCTCGACACCCTCGTCAAAATATCGATTCACTCCAATATTTGCATCTATGCTCGAACCGATTGCCCCTCATCCGTCGAGTCTCTTAAATCTACCTCTCGAGACCTTTAGGACGATCCTGGCAGAAGTTGTTCGATTGCGCGGCCTCAAACGCGCCTTGAGGTTGCGATTAGTCAACAGTGGGTACGTTCCAACAAGACATATTCGTGGCTAACATGGATTGAGAGCTTTTCTCAGACGAACTTGTCGAAGCATTGTGCGTGTCGAATGTCATCGACGGTTGCGAGGTGAAGCTGGACAAATGGGCGTACGTCCGACCTTATATCGAGCGGCGTCTACTCGAACGTCGTACAAAAGGCTTCCCTACACTTCACACTATCAGCAAGGCCGCAGATATTCTGGCATCACAGCATGGAGCACCATTTGGTTACAAAGACTATGCGCTACAGCTTCTTCATGCAGCTTCTACAACCGGGGTTCATAACGTACGTTTGCTTCTTTGTAAGAGACGTGGAGACTACCAAGCGAAACATTTTCAATTCGACCTTCTCAGCGCAGCTGCATTTGCAAACAACGTTCCTCTTTTGGAGAGTCTGATAGAAAAGGAACTAAGATGGCAAGGAGATACTTTTGGGAATCCATTTCTGGTGGCCACGATGGCAAGAAATTACGAAGTCTTGAGTCTACTTTTTGCCGCGGGTGATAGGAAACATCTACTGTGCAGCTCAGGGCGCATCTATCTCCTGTCCAAAGTGGCTGAGAAAGGAGACATCGAGATGGTGCTGCACATTCTCCAGTCAGGCCCCGATTTTCTTACGGAAATATCATCAGTACCGAGGAAAAGGGGGCGCACGTGGCCAATGAGACAGATTCGATGTCTCCTATACACGCCTAGTGTGGAGATATTCGAACTGATGAAAAAGGAGCTGGAATCGAGAAAGATATCTCACTTGAACAGCCCGAAATGGACATTGGAGATACTTATCCACGCAATCCGGTGGGGATGGGTGGAAATGACAAGATATCTGATTACTTTTGGAGCACGTCTTGATCTTCCACAAAGGAATGCTGGGGTCACAGAAAATGCTCTATACTGGGCATGCAGAGAAGGGAACGATGATATTGTCGAAGCTTTATTTGACAGCGGTGCGCAGATTTGTGGCTCAGAAGTCGGCATCGCCGCATCGAACGGCCACACGTCAGTTGTCAAGAGCCTCCTAGAGAAGGGGGCAGATGTACATGCAACGGCTTCGAGAAACTCGCTCTACGGTGCAGCGAGGAAAGGCTACATGGACACCACCAGAGTGTTGCTTGACGCGGGTATGGACCCAAATACTGGTGATACGCCACCGCTATTTGGTGCAATTGAATCGGAGCACGAGGGTATCTTTAGACTGCTCGTTGATCGAGGGGCTGACGTCGCCTATGTTTCTCCCGAGGCTAGGAGACAAGCGGAGGCTGCGGGTTTGGAATCTATGATGGCACTGCTGGGCGAATATGAATCACAGGAGCATACCGAGGTGCTCCGGTAGAGAGACACAAACCCACATCTCACCATACCTTCAGAAGACTTCCGGACTGCACTACCACGTACATGCCCTTGATATACATATACAGTTCACTGATTGAAAGGAAAGTGTCCCAATGGACACCCTATATATCGATTGTATATAGTTTCTTTGCAAATAAACGTTTACTGCAAATAACAATATCTACGCCTACCGCGCACTAGACATCATTAATTTTGGCACAAACGTAGATGCAGCTACCGTCCGACAACTCAAATCTACTATGCACCTGTCCGCTTTGCAGCCGTACTGAATTCAAATGCTATGATCCTGCAGAGCTTGATTGCGCTCTCAGCGCTATCAAGCAGCTACTTCACGCACCGCGGTTCCATTTCAAGCGTCACCACTCAAGAATTAACCAATAAATCACATCAAAGGTAGTGACACGACCGTTGCCTAACGGCGCGTCAGAGAAGGTGTGCGAAAGAGAACAGATCAAGGGGACTACCCTGGCCTACCTGACTCTTCCCATTGCTCTCTGTTCTCGCCTACAATGTGTAACTCACCAAGCCTTTCACATCGCTTTTTCCATATCGAGTTCCTACACGATGCCGTAGCGCATTTGCTTGGAACCTACCTCTCATTGTGCAAATCGTGAATGTGGCCTTCTTCCCCGTGGACGGCGTCGCGAGCTCAGCAAGGGCGCACTTCATCGCACGTGGAAATGGATCACCGACATAGAGCCCGTGCTCAGAGTGTGCTGCGAAGAGAAAAACAATTGCTACGCTATGCGACATTCATACCTATATGCTCATGATAATGACAAATGAAAAGACTAGTTTTGGGTATCGTAAAAAGGAGCGAGTCCCACATCTCCTCACCCACCCCACCTCACCCACCATACCTAGGAGACCTCCTTCCTTTTTCTTTCCCCCTCTCTCTATCGCCTACTTTCATTCTCTCCCAGATTCTCAATGCTGCGGCGTATAACTCATCCCCCCACACTCTTATACCCCGTCGCCGGCCCCGCATGCTGCCGCTTCGCCTCCTCCCTCCCCTAACCTCCCTCTCATTCTGCACCGCAACACAGCAACAACAACACACACCCCGCACACAATCCCCCAACATATCCCCCTCCAACTTATACACGTGTCGTAACCGCGTCCGTTGAACAAGCGGATACACCCACCAAAAGCCACAGCTCACAGCCATCATGAGACAATGCCCGTTCGTCGCTTTGTAGCTCAGCAAATCCGTTGGGTCTGCTTTAGCGGATTTCTGAGATAGGCGGTGCGAGGTGCGCCCGTAGAGGATGCAGGGACAGAAGAGGCCGGTGAGACATTCGGAGGAGAGACTGCATAGCGAGGAGGACCACGCGCGCTTCTCGCCCGAGGGGGAGAGGTCCATGTTGGGATGCGCGACCTGGCCCGGTTGGTGCAGAGCAAAATCCAGACCATTCGGACCGTGCGCAGAGTCCGGGCTGAAGACGCCGCCTTGGGTCTTCTGCGTCGCGGAAACATTGCCGTTGTGGGGAGAATAAGCCTCGTGGGCGTAGGAGCGGGGTGTTTGAGGCTGGAAGTCCGCGGGGTCTTTTTTGATGGAGGAGGGTGTGAGAGGGGCGTTGTAAGGGGGATGTTCTGCTTGTGCGGCTGGCATTGGGGGACGGGGGCATGTTGTGGATGTTTGTGTTCAGTGGGGAGAGGGTGCTGAGATTGCGCGCATGCTGGCCTTGTTGCTGTTGTTGGTTTGTGTATATCCTCGGCGGCTCGGCGACGGGTGATGTCGCCGGGAAGGCCGGTGAGACTGGTGATAGTGGAAGTACGTTTGAATGGTGATGATGGGGCGATAACGGGGAAACGGGTGGCTTCTCTTCATATGCTGGGGATGGGGCCTGATACGAGGTTTGCGGCACGGGTTGCCGGGGCTGCGCCGCATAATTGGCCGCGCCTACGGGCTGAAAAACGGATTGGGGCCGCGGATCAATTGGTGTTGTAGGCGACTGGTGTGTAGGCGACTGGTGTGTAGGCGAGTTGTGCGGTAGGGGTGGAACAGGTTCGCTGGGCGATGGGATGAATTGAAATGCTAGATGTTCTGCTGGCGTCTGCGCATAGGAGAAGACTCGGTTGTGGCGCGGATCCATGTTCGTGTTCAACGGTGTCGTCTGCTGTGGTTGCTGCGCATTCTGGCGTGTTCCTGTCGCTTCCTCTGGAGGTGTCGACGGTGGGATCTGCCAGGAGAATCTCTGATGCTGTCTGCCGTTGCTCTGGTATTGACGTTGGTTTTGTCGAGGGTCCATATTACCGCGCAAGCAGACAACTGCCTTCTCTTCGCCCAGACAATATTTCTTTAAGCTCGACTACCTGGTGGCGAGGACTTCAGTGCTTCTTATCGCGTTGGTGTGTCTGTTCCTGGTAGGCGTAAAATGCGGAGTTCAGAGTTGCGAGGTAGTATATGTGAGGCGACGAAATACCAGCAATGCGCCCACTTGGGGGCTCGAGGACTGATATCTGCTCTCCACCCAGATGCATCCAAGACATGCATGACCATCGCCAGGTCAATCCACAGATGGCCATCCTTCGAGGCGCCTGTAGCCCCCGCGCGGGAAGCCGATTGGCGCCTCAAAGTGAAACCCTTCGCATTGCGCTCAGTGCGGCGAAAGCGGGACCGGGGCCAAACCTTCTGTTGGTCGGACGTCTGCCTTTGCGGCGTAGTTGCGGCCAATTGGTGTTGGCATCCATGTATGACGGCGTGGTGGAGCGATCCGATGAGCATCCGGGCGCTTAAAACGCTCGCTTGGTACGTGGCGCCGCATCAGGTAGACCAATGACGAGCTGGCCACAGCAACGTCCCTCCGGAGGTACAGCAGAGCTCGTGTCTGCAGGGTCGGAGCTGTTGGACCCCTCAGTCAGTATCTGGTGAGATGTTGCCTTGTTCCAAACTTGGCCTCTTGGTCGCGGCATGCTCATGTGAGATCTTACTCTGCGGCGGTTACACCACGGCGGTCGATTTGCGTTGAATAAAGTGGGTGCGTCATTCGAAGGAGTCAAGCCAGGACAGCGATGCGATGCGTGGAAATAGCCATGGAACGCAACAGGAGACGACCAGGAAAGATTGATCTCGACATGGCGAAGATTGTCTAGACCGACTGAAAGAACAGCTGCCCATTCGAATAGCCGACTGAAAGCGTGCTGCTTGGGTGATAACTCTCGACACTGTGCGCTTTGAAGTTCGCCATGTTGCCGAACAGCAGCCCGAAATCAACACGAGGGGTGCTGCGTGGCCACCATGTTGGTCAAAGGTATGTGCATGTAAAGTGTAACAGTGATGGAGTGAGCGTCGAAGGCGTTGCATTTGGGTATGTAAGGTGCTCTCCCTCGCCAAGTCGCAGAGCATGCTTTTGTGAGGACTCCATGACGACTGCTTTGACATCAAACAAAAGACGGAATGATCATGATCTGTCCCCATGACGATAGCCAGAAGTCCCTCCCCTGTACGCTCTAAGAAATGCGCCGGGGGATAAAGTCGCAGCTACGCCACCAGCGCACAGCTCCAAAGATCGCTTCGTCACTACGGTGTGTGCCTGGAATGTGAATTGATCGAATGAACCCAACGTCACGATCCGCAAGGTCAGGTGCAAGTTTGGAAATTGAGAAGGCTGAATTGACGGCTGGCATGGGTCTCGCAATATACACAGAGTGACCGACCTGACGTCCATGGGTACATCTAAGAGACAAAAGCAAGGCTGTCAACCAAAAATCTACTCGTCCTTGTCCTGTTTGGCCTTTCCGCGCTGGTCGCTCTCAGCTCCCGGTCGCTCAGTGGAGACGGTACCCTTGAGCTTGGCGGTCTCAGCAACACCCTCGCCCTTCTTGCTCTTCTCTGGCTCCTCGTGGATTGCGGAGGTGTGCTTGGTGTCGTCGTTGGACAAACCCTCCTGCTTGCCGGACATGTCGGTGGGGTCATGAGCCGGCTTGCGCGAGTGGGGCTGCAGTCTGTTAGCTTCCAGATGCGGACGAAGTCATGTTGAGAAACGAACCTTGTCAGCCTCATCGGGAGATTCAGAGGACTTGTCGTCAGCGGTCGCGTGGGGAGACTCCTCGCCCTTCTGCTTCGCAAGATCCTCCTTCACGTCTGACGCCTTGGCCGAGTTCTTCTCTCCTTCCAAGTCTTCCTCCGAAGCACCCTCGGGAGCCTCCTTCTGCTCCTTGTCCGCCTTTGCGCCACCATCTTTCTTGTTGTCCTTCTTGGGCTCGAGATCGGGCTTGTCCTCTTCGGACTTCTCCGACTGGGCCTCCTCGGGCTGGGTGGATAGCTTCTCAGGCTCGCTGTGTTCATCACCATGGTGCTCATCGTGTCCGCCGTGGCTCAGGTCTTGATTCAGCACAATGTAGAGAGCAGTGCTAGTTCCGGCAAGAGAGGTGACAATCCTGGGCATAAAATCAGGAAAAGCTCGGATGGATGATAGCTAATGGATTTGCAGAACTGCAGCAATTGCGTCCGTAGGGAACATACCATGGGAGATCGCTCTTCTTTGCCTGACCTTGGCCGTGACCAGAGGCGTACGTCCTGCGCTGAAGTGCCCGTTGCCATGGCTGGAGCTCGGCACTGCGGATGTACCTCGCCGAGCGGGCAATTGTGGACGCGCGGAGCGCTGTTGACCTGACGAAAGACATGCTAGAGCTGCGGAAATACCAATTGACTCGGACGAAGAGCAATTGATGGATTTGCGGAGGTATGCGGAGCTGCAAAGGTCGCGGACGGAAGATCAGGCCAGTGGCTGGGGAGCTGCCGTGATCACGAAAACGTCAGAGTGGATCGTGCGCGGGCTAAAACCGACAAGGATGAGCCCGCACGTGATCTCGAATGCTCAGTGTACGAAAGTGTAGAATCTGAATTACTCGGACATATCCGTGCTGTGTACAGTCCATATCATCCGAGTCTGTGGCTTGTTCGCTTTGCCTTAGAGCTGGTGTATTTCCGTAGAAGCTGCGTTGCTGCGAGTACTCTACGGCGTGCTCCGTGCGAGAGCTCTCTGTTTGTGCGGCAGGCAGCAAGCAGCGATTCACACCCACGACGCTCCTTTGGTCGGGCAGCTAGGCACCGCAGCTCGCCTCACGCCCTCTTTATAACCCTCACGATATACCTTTCCCTCTCTTCGCCCGTTTGCGAACACTTCGACTGCGCAGCGTAACCCCGCCAATACCCCGCCACGCGCTGGCAGCTCGAAAGTCGAGATACACGCAACTTCCCCAGACCCGTGCTCTGCGTGCCACTCGCACACACATACGCCATGGCGCCCTCGTCGTCGATCCCGCCAAACCCGACGTCTGCAAATGTCACGCAACTGCTCCCTAAGCTCAACGATGACGACCCCGACTTCCGCTTCATGGCCCTCAGCGATCTGCATGACATGCTGCTGCTGGGCCATGCCGCTTTTCTACAGTCAGACAACCTTGCCTGTGCAAAGACTGTCGAAGGACTGCTGAGCACGCTCGTGGACAGCAATGGCGAAGTGCAGAACCAGGCCGTCAAGTGCCTGGGTCCTTTCGTCAACAAGATCCCTGACAACATTCTGTGTCCCATGATTGAGAAGCTGTCGAATCTCCAGACGGATAACACGGTGGACCAGTCGATACCTTCCTTGGCTCTGCGTGAGGTGGTCATCTCGCTGCCTCGCCCGGTAGCTGGTGGACAGCGGACCAAGCAGGTCCAGGATGCATACAACGCCGTGAGCAAGGTCTTAATACCACGATTGGTCGGGTACCACGTTATCTTGCCCTCGCAGAAGGGCCTTCCCGGCGTACCGAAGGGCATGCTGCAGCTCGACTTGGAGAAGGGCACCGATAGCAACGCCATCGATGTCCTCACCGAAGTTGCCCGCTGCTTCGGCCCCATGTTGCAGGATGCAGAGATCCACGCGCTGCAGAAGATCACGCTCGAGATCCTTGAAAACGACCGGGCCAGCTCCATGATGAAGAAGAAGTCGGTTACTGCCATCTCTACCTTGGCCAGCTTCTTCTCCGACCAGCTGCTGAGCAGCTTCATCTCGCGAATAATCGAACACCTGCGAGATGTACACCTCACGCGCAGCAAGCGAAAACTATACATCACAGTCCTCGGTTCTATAGCACGGTACGTCCAAAGACTTGATGATCAATAATATCACTGACAGCTTAGATCGGTCCCGCGCAAATTCGGTCCCTACCTCAAGACGTTAGCCCCCTTTGTGTTGAGCGCCCTAAGTGCGCAGGAAGTGGATGAAGAGATGGATACCTCCGATGATGAGGGCGAGCGCGACCCTGAAGTCGACGAAGTACTCGAGGCTGCGCTCATTGCGCTGGAAGGCTTCCTCGCATCGTGCTCGTCTGACATGCGCGCATACACTACCGAGACCATCGAGGCGACGACGCGTCTTCTGAAATACGACCCCAACCTTGCCGGAGGCGACGATGATGATGATGACGATGCTATGGCTAGCGACGAAGAGGACGCACTCGAGGACGACGATTACGAAGAAGAAACTGGTTTCGACGATGATGAAGATGCCAGTTGGAAGGTCCGACGATGCGCTGCCAAAGCCATATATACCCTCATCTCAACACGAAGCAATGGTGATCTTCTGGAAGATGGTACTTTATACGGTCGCGTGGCTCCGGCGTTAGTCGCTCGGTTCAAGGAGCGGGAAGAGAATGTGCGCCTCGAAATTCTCTCTGCGTTGTCGAACTTGGTTCGAAAGTCGGGAGATGGCCCTACACCTGTCAAGTTCGCCGACGAGCATCCCCAAGGCGGCACCATGTTGCCCCCACCTAATCGTAAGCGCCGCCGGGGTGGAAGCGACGTATCAATGTTGGAAAACCACCACCTGAATCTCGGCTATGCATCTCCAGCACGTTCAAGTACGCCGGTCATAGGCCCACGCGCCGATCTCACGAAGCTCAGTCCTGAGATCGTGAAGGGAGTCGCGCAATTGCTCAAGCAGTCTACATCGCCACCATCGACGAAGCAAGCATGCATCGTTCTCGTAAAGGACATCATAATAACTCAGCGCGGCGGATTGGACTCGTATCTGACCCAGATCGTGGATCCTGTCGTTGAGGCTGCGAAGACTAGTGGCGGTACGACCAGCAGCGCCTCCGCTACGGCGAATAGCTTGAGAATTCAGGCTCTACAGCTCCTTGGTGCTATTGCTGATACACATCCTTCTGCATCTTTCCAGCCGTATCTTTCCAAGGTTGTACCTGCTCTGATCTACGGAGCTCGCGACAAGTACAGCAAGCTTTCCATTGAGGCCTTGGCCGCAACCGAACAGGTGATCAAGGCCCTGACACCTCCTCGCGGCGATAAGACTGGCTCTCAAAACCAGAAGCACCTGGAGGAGCTACACGATATTCTTGTCACTCGCATCGGCGCGAAGGACGTGGACCTAGAAGCTCGCCGGAGCGCGATACACGTGCTCGGAGTTTTCCTTGGACGCAGCTCCGGCACAGATCTGCTATCTCTGCAGAACCGCGTGTCTGCGCTTGAGCTCCTAGCCGGAAGTCTCAAGAACGAACTCACTCGTCTTGCTTCCGTGCGAGCAATCGACTCGATAGCCGAACACACCAACGCGCAAGGCGAGCTATCTACGAAGTGGGTGAGGGGCGTTGCACTTGAGCTTGGTGCTCAGCTGCGGAAAGCAAGCCGCGCACTTCGTGGTGCCAGCCTAAGCGCTTTACGAACACTAGCAAAGAACCAGATCTCGCGGGCACAGCTTGACAATCAGACAAAGTCGCAGATCGTTGAGCTGCTGTTGCCTCTGCTGGACTCCTCAGACCTGCATCTGCTCGGCCCGGCTCTTGTAATCCTAAGGACCTTTGTTGAGGATAATGCCCGGTCCACAGTGACTCCAGAACTGATCAAAGCCTTATGCACTGTCGTACAGGGTTCCATCAGTGGTAGCTCGCTAGAGGCTCTACTTGCCTTGGTGCGTACTATCGGCGAGCAGGGCGCAGGACAACCGCTTATGGGAGCTCTGCTCAACGATGTCGGCATCTCTGGCAATGCTGAAGTGGTTGGAAAAGTCATTGGCAATCTCCTGGTCTTCGGTGGTGGTAGCTTGGGTATCAAGCTGGAAGATTTTGTCAATGAGCTTAAGACGGCCAAGGACGATAGGCGGAAATGTCTCGCACTGGTTGTTATGGGAGAAGCTGCGCTCCGCATGGGCGAACAGTCGTCCATCGACCCCCAACTCTTCATACAATACTTTTCCGCCAAGTCAGAATCGGTTCCTCTGTCGGCTGCTGTGGCTCTAGGACGCGCTGGTGCAGGAAATGTCAGCAAGTACTTGCCCGTCATCCTCTCTACCATGGGTCAGCCATCGAGCCCGCAGTATCTTCTGCTACATTCGATAAAGGAAATCCTCCAGCAGGACACCGAGTCAGAAATCCTGCCCTTCGCGTCGCACCTGTGGAACAACCTTGTGGCAGCGTCCCAAGCCGAGGACAACAAAGCTATTGGCTCAGAATGTATCGGTAGGCTTACGATCATCGACCCGAAGACCTTCCTACCGCAACTGAGGGTAAGCATCGTCAATACCACTTCCTTAAAATGACACTAACAAGGCATCATAGGCTTTCCTTGGTGATCAAAACGTCGGCGTTCGGGGCATGGTTATCTCAGCTTTACGTTACACGCTTGCCGATACTGATGAGGCTTATGACGAATATCTCCGACCTATCGTCGTCCCTATGCTCATCCAGATGCTCTCGGAGACCGACCTCGACAATCGTCGCCTGGCTCTGACAACATTCATGTCGGCGCTGCGCAACAAGCCCGACATCATTTTGCCAGCTCTTGAGCAGCTTCTGCCGCTCACCATGAACGAGACGGTGATCAAGCCCGAGCTGATCCGTGAGGTTCAGATGGGCCCGTTCAAGCACAAGGTAGACGACGGTCTAGAAATCCGCAAGAGCGCATACGAGGCTCTCTACGCTCTCCTCGAGAATGCCTTCTCGCGTCTGTCTCCCACCGATCTTGACGACTGCTACGACCGGATTGTGGCTGGTATTACGGATGAGCATGATGTCCGCATCATGTGCAACCTGATGCTCACCAAGTTGATGCATCTTTCGCCTGAACGCACCCACCATCGCCTCGAAGTCATCTCCAATTCGTTCCGTGCCGTTCTATCTATTAAGCCCAAGGACAACGCTGTTAAGCAAGAGCTGGAGAAGCTGCAGGAGGGCTGCAAGGGCGTGCTCAAAGTCTCTATCTTGCTGAACAAGCAGATGGGCACTGAGAGCGGTGTTCAGGGTCAAGATGATCCGCAGCTGCGGGCGTGGGCTGGCTACTGGGACTGGATTACCAAGGAGCATGCGCTTGCCCACAAGGCCGCCACGGATGAGTTGAAGGACCGTGACCATTAGGGATGGGATGGTTTGGCTGCTCAAATGTTACGACGTCTTTCCGTCCTAATGAGGGTAACGCGCCGCCAGCCACGGCAATCGTAGTGCTTATATGATTATTAAGCGATGCATTCCATAGCATAGTTGGCATGAGTATGATTAGCAACGGGTTACCACAGATAGCTCGCTAGACTAAAAGCGAATATGAAGAACATGATATCCTGAGAAGCTTGATTATACGTTTGACTTGAACCTCTCATGATCATGCAAAGCCTTCTCTCGATAGTAGATGCAGAGACACGACGCATAGTGCATTGTAGGTACGCGTGCGAATCATGATGCTCGGCTAAACCTACCCTAAAATTTCGTCATCAACCATCACGGTACCACCACCTTCCTACAAGCTCTCCACCAAACGTTACACTCCTCTCCAACACAACAAAACAACAGAAAGGGGGACTGATAAGAGTTACATCAGATGGGTCGCACAGAAAAGTCGCAAGGCCTCGCGCCTCCAGCAATAAGAAAAGACATTCGCGCAAAGCAGGCTCGCCACATCGTTAATAAGGTCGTCCCATTGATATTAGCGTCGAATACAAGAGCAAGGAAGGGCGCCAACGGGAGTGAACTCATAGTCGATCCGGGCCCTGTTACCACACACTCGGAAAAGGGGACTAAAGAGAAGGATGTCACCGCCGACGACGACACAAAATACATCAAGCGCAAAGGCCAGGGGCGACGGAAAGCCAAGATCATATCCGAGGACGCTGAGCCCGAGGACTCGAAGCCCATTACAAAGGGACACAGAATGAAAGAATCTAATTCCGCGCCGCTCCCCAATATCAGTCTCGAGGACCGCCCGCCCATCAAACTCCGCGTCATGACGACGGATACTCTAACAGCGGCACAAACTCTCACCACCAAAGCGCGGAACCAGCCTAATCCATGCATTTTGAACATGGCGTCCCCGCTCCGCCCCGGCGGCGGCGTCCTCGCTGGCGCAACTAGCCAGGAGGAATACCTCTGCGCGCGCACCACGCTCCTGCCGTCCCTCGCTGACTCCTTCTACCGCCTCCCAGAGTTAGGCGGCGTCTTCACAAGAGACGTCCTCGTGTTTCGCAACTATCTTCCGCTGGGCGATACAAAGGGCGAGTTGCCGCCCACAGAGCGCTGGTACGTGGACGTCGTTTCGGCTGGTATGCTCCGGTTTCCTGACCTTGAAGGCGAGGAAGATGAAAAGCGACTTAGCAAGAAGGATAGGCGGCTAGTAGAGGCGAAGATGCGGGGGGTGCTTCGGATAGCGTGTTCGCGGGGTGTGAAGAAGATCGTGCTTGGGGCGTGGGGCTGCGGTGCGTACGGGAATCCAGTTCGGGATATTGCCGAGGCGTGGAGGGCTGTACTTATCCCTCCTGCCTCCCCTCCTTCATCTCAGAGCGACGCCAGGAATCATAAAAGTAAGCTGATGCTGGAGACGTGGCACGGCCTCCAGGACGTGGTTTTTGCCATTTCGAACGGGAAGATGGCGGACGAGTTTGCGCGGGCGTTTGGCGGGATTGAAGTCGAGGCCGGGCCTGAGAGTCGGGAAGACGACGAAGATGATGGTACGGGTGAGGTAGCTGAGGAGCTCAGGGCGAAGATTGTGGAGATGGAAGGGCAGGTGGAGAAGGTGTGGAATGCGGATTTGAAGCATCGGATGGGTATCATTCTAGAAGGATTGAGGACGCAGCTTAGCGAGCGGGAGGGGAGGCAAGGAAGTGACGAGGCGGGTGAGGGAGAAGGGCTTCGTGAAGAAGCTGGCTTGTCTGATGAGGATGCAAGTTGGGCAGGTTTGAGTGTGAATGGGGACGAAGAGGAGGAGGAGGTAGTGCACTCTAGTAGCGATGAGTGGCAGGTCAGTCCTTTTGATTAGAGTGAATAGTCTTGAGATGCTTGAAGTTGTAGAGTGATAAAGGGATGAGGAGTCATGTTGTAGATTCGCGATTCGCCGGTGTGATGATTAGCGTGATAAATTCGAGCAAAAGTGTGTAAGTCCAGAAGTCTACATTGCCCCTCTAGAACGCATCTATCATTATTAAGCGTGGGAATGAATGAGGGAGCTATTCAGCACGAGGATGCAGACGAGGCGGGAGAGAGCAATGCTGGAGCCTCCTCAAGACACTTCCGGACTGTCCCCAAAACACCTCGCCATCATAGCAGGCGGATACCTCGCGCCCTTACTCCCCCCCACACTCTCAATAGCCCCACGAATCCTCCGCTGCTCCTCGCCCGACAGCGTAATCTCCGCGGCCCTAGCATTTTCCTCCAAATACTTCACGCGCTTCGTCCCCGGAATAGGAATAACATCCTCCCCCTGAGCAGCTACCCACGCCAGCGAAAGCTGCCCCGCCGTACACCCCTTCTCCTTTGCAATACCCGCCAGCGCCTGCACGAGCTTGAGATTATCGTCGAAATGCTCTGCGCTGAAGCGCGGGTGCTTCGCCCGGTTATCAGACGGATCGATATCGTCCCGGGTTTTGATCGTGTTAGTTAAAAAGCCTCGTCCCAGCGGGGAATACGCCACGATCTTGACCCCCAGCTCCCTCGCCGTCTTCAAGAAGTCCGTCTGCTCGCTCTCGATTTCCAGCGCGAACGGCGAGTACTCCATCTGCGCGGCGGCTATGGGGTGCACTTTGTGCGCGCGACGCAGCGTCGAAGCTGAGCACTCTGATAGGCCTAGATACCGGATTTTCCCTTCTTTTTTGAGCTCTGCCATTGCGGACACGGTCTCTTCGATGGGGACTGTCGTGTCGACGCGGTGCTGGTAGTACAAATCTATGTGCTCGACGCCCAGGCGCTCCAGACTAGCTTTACAAGCCTGCTTTACATACTCTCTGTCACCGCGGACGGCGTGGTTGCCGTTTTCATCGATGTGGTTTGCGAATTTTGTGGCGAGGAAGATCTCGCTGCGGCGACCGGTTTGGGCGAACCATTTTCCGAGGAGCTTTTCGTTTGTGTGGGGGCCATAGCTGTGCGGCTTTGTTAGTGGAGGTTAGAATGGGGAGGAGGGAGGAGGCATGTACATGTCGCTGGTATCCCAGAAGGTGATGCCCAAGTCGGCAGCGCGGGTTAGAACCTCGAGCGACTCGCTGTCGTCGTAGCCTCCAAACGACGTGTACGCAAACGTCATGCCCATACATCCGAGCCCTTGCGCAGACACACTATCCTCTCCGATCTTGCGCTGTGGGAATTTAGTAGCCATTGTTGCTATATTTCAAGTTCTTGTTCAGAAGCGGCGCGGCGTAGATCACAGGTTATGCAAGCTAGATGGCACGACCGAAGCTGCTACTTCCAAGCCCTTTTATTCTTGTGACTGTTTATGATCGACGGCATCACAGTACGAAGTAGGCGTGGTAGAACACTTGTATGACGCTGCACGGAATTACCGCCTAACCCCGCATGAACCCCTCCAAAGAGCGTCATAAATCCGGTCGATGGCAACTTTGCATACTACACTCTGGCCATTGATAAACAATACGTGCAGCTCGCGGTACGAATTCCGCTGTTGTCTTTCTAAACCCAGAATGTGAAGAGAGACGCCGCGTGAACATTGCCCAGTATCAGCATCCCCAAAGAAAATGTTGTCCACAGCATACAGCGTATCTACCTTCATCGAATGCAAGATATGCATTACCAGCTTTGACGATAATACATTGTTTTCGTGAAACTTACAGCTCATTTTTGTAAGCGATTGGTATAACGCAGCTTCCATCGTAGCTTAGATGTCTTCCCTCGTGACCTACGCATGTTCAACCTTGACAAAAGTAGCCAGAGCAAGATCTGATCCTAGCCACATAGTATTCTATAATTCCAAAAGTAGTAAACCATTTTGAACGTAAAAGCACTTAGTCCACAGCACTCCAAAATTTAATGTTTCAGGGTCATTTAGTGTTGCGGAGGAGTGTGGCAAGTCATTTCGTTTTCACACTGACAGGATGTGTGCAGTGGGTTGAGGTGATTCTGCTGCGACTTTAGCATACAAGAGAGTACCAGTTTAGTAGGTCTAAGACTTGTCGTAAGTCAAGATTGGCCGTGTGGATGCCAAGGCTCATATAGGCTTCGGACGGCAATGGAACTATGCTTTGATCCCGTAAACGCAGATGTGTGAGCGTTATTCAGCAATTGGGTGTTGAGAGTCAATCGCAAAGTCTTAAACAGTGCATTGCTGCGTTCGCCTTTCGTGCTTCGCGCGATGGACAGTAGGCCTATCCAGACGATGATTGAGCTGCGGGTTCGACGACATTGAAAGATTTCCTGGGATAAGTCCGCCGGTCGCAGTCTGACGACTATTACTGCTCTTTGCTTTATCGGTCAATTCATCAAAGCAGCCGAGACATAACGCTGGCCCACCCCAGGACATAATGTTGTGTCTTACTATGACGCGACATGCGGCTGCTCACCGTATCGGGGCTTAGATTCAACAGTAATACCACAGTGCTACGATGTCAATAGCGTGCCCGCGTTGTATCGATGAGTTGTCTCGCGTTGTTCCTGCACGTCTTGGATAGCCGTACGTAGCGTCTGTCAAACAGTTGTATTGTGATACGGGACGGGTGCTGCAGATATTGTGTGTTTGGTGGATAATTTGCAAACTTCCTGGTATGTCGGACTGGTGTCTATGAGAGGAAGCCCCGGAGACGTACCTGCGGCCTCGACGAGCGCTGCTCCTCTTCTGGAGATTGCAATTGAAGAGCCGAAGTATGAACGTATTGCTCGGAAGTTTCGCAGTGATCCAAGACAATGGACGCAGATCTGTACCACTCAATTGCATGGCAACGCTATCCGGTCGGTCTGAACCTTCTCTCGTGCAGTCCGGCAGTTAGTGGGCTTCGCATACAGCTGTCTTGTGGGACGCCTAAGGAGGAGAACAGTGCGCCAGTCAATATGAACAACGAAGACTAGCCAAGAAGGCTTCCCCTGGAGCGTTTAGCATAGCGAGGCAGCCACCGTAGATCATCCGTCGAAGGCTCCACATAGGCGCATATGCAATGAGCAGGCCTCGTGATGTTTCTTGTCGATAATCTCGCACTTGCATATTGCGGCTACATGAGCACATAAATCTAGAAGGTGAAAGTTTCACGTATGCATACTCATGGATGCAAGGTCACGGACAAGACAGCCAAGCCCGCCGTGTGCGGCAGCTAGCTGGAAGGTGCTCCGGAATGTCCCTTTCTGACGAGGGAGTATTGTTTGTATTGCGCCAAGAGTGAGCTTGTGACGCTTGTACAAGCGGAAAGTAATCGGGTCATATGGAGTTCTTCTGGAAGGAGACTTGGCTCAGACTGTACCACGCTGTGATCTTCTTGGCGTACTCAATCCGCATTGATTGACATCTAGAGTCCAGGAGATTGATGAGACTCCGATCTCTGGACACCGCTTCGAGTCTTCACTCATAGCCGCGCTCTATTGTCGAATTCACAGCACTTTCGTGTCATCCGTCTGGAGCAGACGCTTTGTTGTCTTCATCGAACAGGATGTTTGACTTTGTCAGATTTTGGGTTAGTCGTACGTGCCCCACTCTACGTGAAGGCAACGCAAGTCCCAGCGCCATTGATATCGTATCGCCCTACGTGTTCTGTCTCACTCCTGTCGAGATTTCCAGTGGCGGTTCGTGCGCAAATGTGTTGTCCGCGCCAAGCAACGGACGTTTCGTGCAATGTTTCTACCAGATGATCGGACTCCCGCGAAACGCTGGCAGTCAAACACAGAAACTTTCCCTGTGTTTTTGTTACTTCATGTTGCAATTTCTTTGCATGCTCAGTCGCCCCGGGACGGCTACAGCTCGTGCCAAGCGCGGAATTCAAACGCTGAGGTTGCCAAGAATTCCGTCGCGGCGTGTGAGCCTGCCAAGGGCGGTGCAATGGATGGCTGCATCCAAATGGGGAATTTACAGTTCATCAAGGATAATTGCCAAGCGGATGCGAGTTCTTCGTGGCCATTTCTGTGCATCATCGGAGAAATTAGGAAGGTGCCTTCATATCGGAGACGATCGTCATTTGGCGAGATGGTTGACGTGCAGACTGGGCGACCCATCACTGAGATCTCCCGCCTTGGGCGTGGTATCGTATGGAAGATCTCTAAGATCTTCAGAAGAAGAGTTTTTTTCGAGCTGCGGGAAGGCGCTGAGACGCCAAGACTTGATGCATACATATCTCTTGTCGAATGTCGCACATCAACAGGACGAAGGGAAGGCTCGTCTTGGTACTGCAGCCAAGTGGTCGCGAAGATCGTTAAAGTTGATGTACTCGTCGATTAGATTGAGGTTGAAGAGGAGCTCGGGAGACGCAATGATGCACGACATTAGGAGGCGGCTCCACACAGTCTGAGCGGGAGGAATGAGCTCACGTGCTCCGTTCAGACCGCCGAACCCCCACGACGGCTGAAGATGCAATTATTCATCGTGATGTGACTCTCGGCCTGAGATAGCTTGTCCGATGCTGCAGGTGCGCCGTGTGTGACTGTGGGGGAAGTATGGGGCACGTAACGGCGGACCACTAGGATGCGGGAGTCGTATTTTGAGAGCCGCACGGTCAGACTCACCGCCAGAACGAGTGTCCACTCACGCGACCATAGACGGCATTATTCGATGCTGCGAGTGTGGCCATGAATAAAGCTGGCCCGTCAGGTACTGATCTGCACGATACAGAAAATGAAGCTGCAAGTGCCACAGGTTCACGATTGGCCTGCATCGGAGCGATTGTAACGACTTTAGGAACGATGCAAGAGGTCACAAGCTCCATACGCATTCAAGAGTGAGGAAGCACTCGGGAGCAAGGAAACACGGGACAGAGCCCGGGCAGCTTGAGTCGAATGTCGGAGCCAGTCACCAGGCTCGGGTGAGGTTGTTGTATTGGTTCCGATAAATGAAGTCGACGAGCATCGAATGGTATTAGCCATTTTGCGGGGTTTCCGTGGGGTTGGGCGCTGTTGTACAACCGCATATGGCCAGGGCAAGCCCATCGGTGGGTGAGCTGCAGCAAGGTGTGCAATCGATCGGGAAGTCTAGGCGCCTGCTCGGGTGCTAGCAGACATGCGGTCTTGTCGTTGCGATGGACGATGACGACCGAAGGGAGAAGCATGTTCACGGAGACGGACACCAGTGCACCCCCACGTGAGGGCTTTGGCTCGCTTCTCGCGGCTGGCAAAGAGCGAGGAATTGCGTTCGGTGACAGTGCTCTCCTGGAATGCGTTAAATTGGATGAGGCTAGATGTGAGCCAAAACCGGACGCAAAGATTGCCTCTACTGGCAGCGTGTGGTGTAAGATCAATGCTCCCACGCACAGCGCAGCACATCAAGGTTGCTGGTTGGAGCGGAAACGGGGTATGCCGCTGAAGCTTCAGTCCAAGGGCGGGTTTGATAGGAGTATGAAAAATGCCGCAGGCACGTCCACGGCGGACATGATCAGCACAGCGCTCGAAATAGAGGGCGGCCAGTCGCGCATCGACATGTACCTTTGTGGAGAGGATTACAGCCAACACGGACTGTTGCTGGTTAGCAGGTCGCAGGGTCGTATCGCAGCACGGACGCGGTGCCCGCGCAAGGCGGGGAGCGTGTCCAAGTGAACGTCTGGAGACGGTTTCGAGACGGCTGGACGTGGTCGAGATGGGTGCGACATTGCACGGGACGCAGGCCGAGGGCGAGAGCGTGCCTGACGCCGGTAGAAGGTTGCGCAAGAGTGTTCGGTGGATACCCACAGTCCTAGTAAGAAGGTGTGGGGTGGAACGTCCGCTCGGCACAGGCGCATGCAGGGCCACGGCGGCCAGCACGTTAAATTGACATGGTTCCGCTGGTGCTGCTTAGCTGCGTAGGGAGGAAATCGAGGCCGCAAGTTTCCTCCTTAAGCGCCGCGCTGCCGCCTCTTGGACCAGAATCGCGAGTCTGTTGAGAGCGGCCTCGGTCGTGCCTGCATTGTTTTCGTGCCGCGCCTTCTTCAATCGCGTCTGCCGGCATCCGACTCTCTGCCTATTACATCTTCTAGAACAAGTACCTCATCTTTCCTCGACATCTGCGAATTCTGGGACCTTCCCGCCACGGCCCGATTATTCTTCACTTCCTCACCATCCACGCCAGCAGCCCGCTCCCCATTCCTCACCATCGGATGGCTCTTTCAGGGCGACCCGCATGCAACACAGCGTCCCGCACCTTTCCCTCCCTCCACCCCTACGCCTGCTCCTCTCTCGCAACGTACCACCAGCCCAGCTCCCTCCAGAGGGCCTAGTTGTATCTCCACGCCACGAGGCTCGCTGGTCCCTTGCAGCTTGCACCCAGACCTTAGACTAGCGACCTCGCACGGCGTTTGTCGATCCCACTGCCGAGTATATCGCTCACCGCCCGGGAGACCGCCATGCCACTCGTGGCAGCTGCAAACACTCCACCTCCTCTGGTGACGGCGCCAACCAGCGAGGCGCAATTTCTCCGCAGAGGCTCCCGTGTGCAGGACTCCCCAATTGCAGAAGAAGATGAGTCTACCGCTAGCGAGCCGGGTGAGCCTCTCACTCCCACCAGCCATACCAGCGACTCTACTCGTTTCACCCATCCCTTCTCGGACCCCTTCCACAACAATGAGCCCCAAGACTTCCTGACTCCGGCTGCCGCCATGGAGGACGGCGACGTAAAATCGTTGCCAGCTGCGCCTCCGCGGGCCTCTCGTGTAGCGCGCCCGGTTAGTCGCGCCTCATCAAGCCTCACACCAGCAGAGCCGCAACCGTCCTCTGCGTCTGAAAAACCAGGCATCGGGAAGCGCGTCGGGTCATTCGTGCGCGGCAAGCTCCATCGTGGGGCGTCGCACAAGGATGGACCCATTCAAAATGAGAAAACCAAGGTTCAATCAAAGGACGCGCCCAAGACTGAGAAAATGATTGTCAAAACTGGCGTAGACGGCCCGGCAGAAGTCTCCACGCCCGCCGTGGAGATCCCACGAAGCGGTCGCAGATTCAGCTCGTTCTCGCTCTCTGGGCGCAATACTCCCAAGTCTTCACATTCCATTTCCGGCCCACCATCGCCTGGTTCCCCAAACAGCACCATCTCGCACGGGCAGAGCCAGAGCAAGTTGCGACCAAGTCACAAGCACTCGGCATCATCTACTGCGATTTCCAACATGACTAAAGAGAAGGCTCCGGGCGTTAAATTTGCTGGCAATGGCGGAAGGGGCGGGAAACGGCATGCATGGAACCGGAGACGTTCAGCAAGCACAGAACAGGTTGCCAAAGTGGATTTCGACGATGAAGAGACGACTGCGGCTCTGATGGCAACTTACTCCAAGCCAGCTAATCGAGGCGTGGGTTCTAAAGCTCGCCGTTTGAGCTTGAGCCTGCCTGATGAGTTCGTCGTTGACTCGTGTGACCTCGACAAGGAATTTAAGAGCTCTAGTCTGATGCCTGGCAAGAGAGGGAAGATTTTGGGCAAGGGAGCTACGTCTGAGGTCCGCATCATGGCTCGAAGAGGCTTCGGGGGTGAAGATTTGGTTGCCGTCAAAGAGTTCCGCCCACGCGACAAGGACGAGACGGAATCTGACTATGTCGACAAGATCAAATCCGAGTACAGCATCGCCAAAAGTCTTCACCATCCAAATATCGTCGAGACGGTGCGGCTGTGCACGAATCGCGACAGATGGAATCATGTTATGGAGTACTGCGCCTATGGTGAGCTGTTCTCGCTGGTAGAGCGCAAACTCTTCGCAGGCGGTGCCGAGGGATACTACTCCCCAGAAGACCGTCTATGCTTCTTCAAGCAGCTGCTGCGGGGCGTCGACTACCTACACAGTCACGGTATCGCACATCGCGATATCAAGCTGGAAAATTTGCTGCTCAACAAGGAGGGCCATCTGAAGATCTCCGACTTCGGTGTTGCGGAGGTTTTCTGCGGCGAGCATCCTGGTCTACGTCGTGCAGGTGGCGAATGCGGAAAGAACATGGGTGAAGTCCGGCTCTCTGATCCTGGGATCTGCGGCAGTCTTCCCTACATCGCACCTGAGGTGCTCGAGAAGAAAGGCAGATACGATCCACGACCGCTTGATATCTGGTCGTGCGCTATCGTTTATCTCACCATGACCTTCGGAGGTTGCCCGTGGCAAGCAGCGAAGCCGGATTTCCCATATTACGCCAGGTACAAGAAGGGATGGGATGAATGGCTACCAAATCATCCCCACGAAGATATCACCCCGGACAATCATCCCAAGTGCGGCAAACTTTTCAGTCTTATCAACCCTCCGCCACTCAAGCGTATGATGCTAAAGATGCTTCACCCGAACCCAGACAAGCGAATAACGATTCGCGAAATCCTCGATACGCCCGTGATCAAGAACATAGCATGTTGTTGCCCAGAGAGCTACGAGGATCCGAAGTACGTCATCGACGCTTCCAAGAGCAGAAGAGCCGGGCCTCCGCCGAAGAAGTACCTCCACCACCATATTCCGCCCAAGCCTGAACACAAGATCGCCAAGGCTTTCGCCCATCGGTTCGACATGGGTGAATGAAAATCATGATTGTCATTTTGTTGAGTTGGCCTTATCTTGTATCAGCATGTCAGGCGTCCGGGTCATAATGATTTTGACCAATCTGCTCATAGGGAAGAGCATGTGTGACTATACGACCATAAACCCACCGGAAAACGAAGTGGGGTTGGATATCCTTTGCTACGATATGATTTTAGTACTGCTGGGAGGGATGTATGTAATATGCGACTGAACTGGGTGTGTAGAACTGGGTGTGTATGATGGATGTATACCGGTATTTCCATTCATACGTGGTTCTCTATCCAATGGTCATCCCATTCATACGTATCCTTCTACCCAATTCGCGTCACCATGTATCCGCATCCCTCTTCAGATGCGCGTTGTTGACATTGTGCTCACCGTGTAACACGTTCGATCCGGGCCTTCTCTCATTGGCGCCGGGCACTCGCGTTGCGCAATCGCTCGCTCGCTCGCAGCCGCCCGCTCGTTGGGAGAGCTAGCTTAGCGCTACCACCCTCGCAAGCTTGACCCTTCCTTCGTCCAGCTCTCTCTCCCCATGGTATGGTGGCCTTACGCATCTGACTGACTGGCTTCCACCGAGCACTCTACTCCCTTCGCGCGACGCAGCACGACCGTCCGATCCGATCATCCGCCTTACCCGCCCCCAAACACTGTATTGCGCACATATACGTATACGCCCGACGCGCCATGCAGCTACAGCTACAAGCCCCACCTAGCCCCTCCCTACTGTATCTTCCCATCCATATCCTACCGATCAGCCCACACCAGCCCACACCAAGACAAACAAGCCCTTCTACCATCCTTCCACACATGCCAATCTTCTGGGCACGCAGTAGTCTGCTTAGGTGGATAACGCAACTGCCAGCGAACGCGCTAGAAGGCGCGAAGAGCGCTCGCATGGATGCACGTGAGGCTGGGCTTGCGCGTAAGGATGCGCTTGCATACAGCCTACCGTAGGAGATGAACTGTGTGGAGGGGAGTGTAAGCCGCACGGAGGGCACTAGTGAGGGTTTGACCGGTTTACCTAAGAGGGCTGGGCGGGATGGGTGTGGGGTGCGGACTGTGTTGTGCAGTGGTGCCGAAGCGATCGGTGAGGAAGGGAGGGTGGTCACGGGATGAGATGGGCGGGTGCTTATTTGCGTGTGGAAGATAGTGTGCGGTGGGGTGATTTGGTGGGTGGTGCTTCCGCTGTGCGTTGGTTGTCTTTGACCGTTTCCTCACAGCGTGATGGTGATGGGCAGGAGTTGAATCGTGGACGAGCAGTAGCCTGATCGACTCTGATCTGCGGCGTTGGAGCTGGCTAGCGCGGTGTAGAACCACATTGTGAGAAGCGGTATCTAGGGCGCTGCATCGAGAAACGCATGAGATGACATGCAGGAGTGGTGTGCGGGTCCGCAAGCGTATATGTGGCTGCATTTCAGAACGCGTGCTTTGAGGAGAGAGTTTGAGGATGACGGCGTGGATGGTGGGTGTCAAGGTGGTAGTTTGAAGGTGTCAATGCGACTTAAAAGGTGGGCTTGTACGTTGTACAGTAGGATGGGTTAACAGAGGTAAAGCTACGTGCTGCGGAAGTACGGACCACTGGCATTTCACTGTGCCTGGTCGTTCGAAATACGTATAGCAAGGACAGGCGTGTTGAAAGCTGCTGCTCTCTACGTGCGCACATGCTGTCTGTTCGAGGCTACCGCGTTCTGTCACAGGGGCTGAGACCAGCAAAATTTGATTTCAAGGCATTGGATTTGATTCAAAGGCAGTAAATGGGAGTTTGGGATGAGCAGGAATGTAGACGCACGCTCAATAGGGTTATATATCAGCGCGAATCAGGTATAATCCCAACACTTTTGTCTATATGTATATTTCAGAAAATATATGCTTGCTTCTTGTATACTTGTCTCTAAGCCGCCATCGCAGCAATAAACGCATCCCAAGTCTCACCAAAGGACTTGTAGGGATCGGCCGCAGTGTCAGTGACGTACACATAGGAAGCATTCGCCCTCAACTGCGTCGTGATACTCGCCACATCATCCGTGGGAGCGCCAAAAACGATGTAAGCAGTATGATCGCGGTCATACGGGTTTCCAGCTATCCACTCCTGCGACTCAGCGCTCTGGTACTGCTCCCACGTGCTCTCGAACGAGAGGGAGATGTCGACGTTTGGAGTGACGAAGTTGGGGCGGGTGCCAGGGTTGATGATGGCCTGCGTCACGTCAATACCCCATTTCCTTCCCCCCATGTTGGGCAAATGGTGTGCTACTCACGGTCCTAGGTTCCGCGAAGCCCTCCGCAGCTTTCGTCTGGTTTACAGCTTCCTCCAAGAGCAGCTCTACACTGTCGCTGTAGACATTGCTCACGTCATCGAAGAATAGGCCTGAAAGACCGACGCTAGCATCGCTTGCGTATGTCGTGATATCGTTGCCGATTTGCTCGATGGTGTAAGGGCCGCCGGGGACGTTCACTTGCGCGGTGTCGACGTAGCCGACGGTGTGGACGTTTGACAGGGCGTTCAGCTGGGCGATGGCAGCGGCGTAATCGGCATTGGGCCAGTCGTCACCGGGTCCGCTGTTTGGGTTGACGATGACTGTGAATTGGAGCGATGGATAGGCTGTAGCGCTGTCGAGAACGGGCTGCCAGGTGTTTTCTCCGGATGGGCCTTTCGGCCAGATGTACAGTGGTAGGAGGACTGCTGCTGCGGCGACCATGTTTGCGATTGTAGTGGAAGTGAAGTCCCAAGGTGCAGATGAATTGATGCGTTTGAGAGTAGGTCTTCTCGGGAATTGTGGTCACTTGTAAGATATGTAGTCTAGCGAACAGTCCATGCTACCGTGAATTCCGGTTTCCCATACTAAGAAGAATCCCATTTGGGCAAAAGGATATGGGGCTAAGATTGGGATGTCATGTTTCAAAACGGGGCTTTGAAACAAGGCTGTGCACTAAACCCCAAGAGGTAATTTCGTAAATATCCGATTGTTACACCAACAGAAGTGGCGCAGGGAGGTCTCTCCTAAAGCAGGCGATCTTGGTTATGAAGCCAGTAGAATGGTATCCATAGTTGTTCTTTTCTGAACGATTGTGGGTGCTACCGAAGTATCATACGAATCAACAACACGTGGTCATGAATGAGAAGACTTTTGGGAAACGGAGTCATCTTAGGTGGTTCCAGGCTTGAGAGCATGTGCATTCTGCCTGGAATCTACTCACTGAGGCGTTATATGACTCGGGGTGTAATTGTCTATAAGGGAAGCGAGTTAGCCAGCGCCCCCGGGTCTGGCGTTTAAGGCCTCCCGTCCATCCTTCGAGGAAGCTAGCGCCCACTGAACCTGCCAATTTCCGTGGGCAACGTACCACCAGTGACATACCAAATCGTGGAGAAACCGTGGAGTAATGCACTATTACCGCAACTACGCTTGCTCGCCCCTTCTCTTATTTCCAGCTCTCACCAAGTCTCCGAACTTACTTCCCCGCTGTGAAGACAACTCAATTGGCCTTCCAATCTCTACGATCTCACCTTTGTCCATCACAATGACCCTGTCAAAGTCCATGATCATGTCGAGTCGATGGCTAACCGCGATGACCGTATAATCTGTGAACTCCCTCTTAATGATTTCCTGCATGACAATCTCAGTCTGGCGATCCACGTTAGAGCTCACTTCATCCAGCAGCAAGATGCCTTGATCAGTGGCCCCATCTAGACTGCTAGCCCGAATGCATCGACGAAGCAGTGCGCGTCCAACAGAGAAGAGCTGCCGCTGCCCCGCACTAAATGTCCCTGCGGTCATGCCAGCACTCAAGCCACCACGCTCTTCGACGAATGTCCAAAGGCCGATAGCAACCAGGACTGCTTTGCAATCTTCGGGCGTCGAAGCGTCGTAGGGATCTAGGTTGGACTGGAATGTGGTGCCGTCGGGCAAGAACACAGCTTCTTGAGGCACCGCAATGAGACGTTGCCGTAGAGAAGGTCGGTGTATGCGAGAGAGTGGCGTATCGTCGATGAGGACTTGTTGCGTATTCGAAGGGAGAGGGTCTAGCAACTTGAGGAGAAGAGCAACAAGACTTGACTTGCCACTGCCTGTACGTCCACAGATGGCTACCTTTTCCCCAGACTCAACCTTCAAGTTGATGTTTCGCAGCGCTAGAGAAGGGTTCTCTTCATCCGCGCTGTCAAGTAATTAGTAATTAGTTGCATTCATTACCAGAACAGTCAAGATTCGACTTACTCGTATGCAGCAGAAACGCCTTTTATCTCCACGGCACCAGTCCGAGGCCACTGTTCCGAGGGAAAGACATCCTCGTGCTCATCTCTATCCTCCGGCTTGACAGACTCATTGAAAGTTCTCAGTCTAGCGATAGCCCCGATTGAGGTTTCCAGCCTGGTATAGTATAAAACTATACCTGCAAGGTTCTCCCCGAGCGTAATAAGGCTGTACAGCGAGGCACCGGCGAAAGCCGACTGTGCATGGAACTGAAGCGACAGTACCACGAGAACGACGGCTACCGCCATGACTACTAATCCAAGCACGAGATTTAGCCACTCTTGTATCATCTGGAGGAGGTACGCTGGTCGTTGGCTCGTATTCAACAACTGAACATTCTTTGCGATGTCGTTCGGCATGAATCCTAAGCGTAACGTCAGCAAAATGATTCATAGTGATCCGGACGCCGCAATACACGTCCTAGTATACGCTAAGTGATCTAGTATATGAGAAATACGTACCGAAAGCCCTTAGAGTTGTGACACCCTTGACAGTGTCAAGAAAATGTGTGCTAAGACGCAGGTGTTAGCACAATACCTGCGACCGATATAGTCGAGCAACTTACTACAACGGACTCTTAGTCTCAAGATCCAACAGCCTAAGCTGCCTCGAAGTCCGAAGATAGAACTTCCCAACAACATACAAGATTGCGCCGAGAAACGGATAAGCTATCGCAAGGTAAAGAGACGATGTAAGCATGACAGCCATCTGCCCCAACGATTGGGACACCTAGTGATCGCACGTTAGCCCGGACGTCGTTCATCTGAGTATCTCATCACACCGGGAGACTCACTGAGAATAAGATGTTCAAGGCAGATTCCGGTAGCTCCGTGTCAATAAGGTTCAAGTCTTGCGAGAACAGATTTGTGATGATTCCGGTATCTGTTTTTGTGAAGAAGCGAAGCGGTGCTCGCATTAGGGTTCGTAGTGCGTCTTGGTGAAGATTGGCTCCTGCTCGCTTTATGCCGAACACCCAAAGCGTTATGGCCAGCAACAGGAGCGAGAAGAGGGCGCAGATCTGAAGCAGCCCGTACAAGCCGGCATAATAGGCATGGGAATGTTTCGGATGCTCTGAGTGAGCATCGTTTGTCCAATATGTGAGCCCTGCAGCGGTATTTAGTTGGCGCATTTCTATGTTGGTGACATGAATCTTGCATAGCACATTCCTAAGATGTGGTGGGAATCCGTAGGAGGCATGATCACTTACAGATGGTTGGGAAATTTGTGAAGAATCCCCAAAAGGCTGCGAATAGTAAGGCAAGGCCAGCTATGTGCAAACCCATGCTTTTGACATAGACTTTGTATACAGTCTTGTCGCCGACTTGCCGTTTCATGTCAATGTCTGCCTCTCGAACGCTTTTGGTAGCCAGAGGGTCCAGTAGTGGAGCGTTCTGGTCACAACGGATCGAGCTGGATTCGATCTCGTCCGTTGAAACGTCGCTACTGGAAGAGCCCTCCAAGTCCAAACCTCGAACATACCCAGAGCCGGTCACTAATTCCGCGTAGCTGCCTTGCTCAGCAATGGTGTTATTCCCAAGGACAATCACATGATCCGCGTCCATTAGATGCCCTACACTATGTGTGCATAGTACTGCCGTGGCACCCCTCCTTCTGATAAGCCCACCTGGTGCAAAGACTTGTCGGAAGACTCTAGCTTCAGTGTCTGCGTCTAGACCACTAAAGACATCATCCAGTACCAGCAAGTCCGACTGCAAGTAAAGAGCTCGAGCTAGTGACACGCGCTGCTTCTGCCCTCCAGATAGGGTGATACCATCAGATCCCACGTTCGTTTCATCGCCATTTGGAAATGTCGCGATATCAAAGCCAAGTGAAGTAGCATTGATGACTTCAGTGTATCTCTCCTGATCGAATGTGGAGTATCCCACGATGTTGTCTTTGAGCGATCCATTTGACAAGAAAGCTCCTTGCTCGCAGAATCCGATGTGTGAAGGTCTGGTGTGCGATATGACGCTACCAGTTGCAAAAGGTATCTCTCCAAGAACTGCTTTGCAGAACGTACTTTTACCGGAGCCAACTGGGCCGACGACAACGGTAAGGGAGGCCTTGGGTATTTCCGCGTTCACGTCTCGCAAGACGAATTCGTCGGAGCGCCAACCAAAGTTACCGTCCGTGATGGTAATGACACACTTTGACGAGTCGGCAATTCCCACTGGTGGCTTTTCTATCCCTTGTCTGGTGTCGCCAAAGACCTTCCGAAAATCGCCGTGCGTTTCACGTTCCAGAAAAGCTTGTATACGTCCGAGACAAGCCAGCGTGGTCATGAGATGCGGTATGCCCTCGAATATGTGGCTGAGCGGGTAGGTGAGTAGCGTCAGAAACGCCAAAGAGGTAAACATCGTAGAAACGTCAAGAGTATTTTGGAGCAATGCGAATGTAATCGGTGGCCCAATAAGTTGCGCAAAAAACCCAAGGAGTGCCGCAGTGATGAAGATCTTACGAAATAGGACCGACGCAGCCAGCTCCTCGATGCGAAGCCTTTGCACAGTGCTACCGATGGCAGATGATAGGCCTGATATTTTGAGATTTTTCATGCTGGAGATGACTGTAGCCGTCAGACCAACTCGTTCTTGAACGGCTGCCATCCATTGTCTCTGAGAGGCGCCCATGTACTTTGCCAGGAATGCTAAAGCAACAAAACCGGCAGCAATTATACCAATGGGTGCTACGAAAACGACACCGAGTCGGTTGTATAGCATCCAAGCAGCTAGAGAAGCTTGAAACATACTAACCCAGACTTCATGAAGGAACCTCATGCCATATCTGATGCGCTCCATGTCGGTACTCATTAGTGTCAAAGCAGCGCTGTCATCGCTGACCCCGATGCGAGCCTTAGTAGCTTGTATGTAGATCTCAGTAACCAAAACTGATCTTGTCATGGTACGCAGTCGATCGCAAAAGTACCTGCACCAGTGTGAGGACAGCACTATATGTATGTTCCGAGGTGGGACCTCCAACTTACCAATAGAATGCCGTAGAAATTGCAATGCCTGAATAGATGAAGAAAGTTGCACCAATGAACCCGTACCCCACGTTGGCTTCGAGCGTCGGTTGAGACAAGTGGTCTAGGAGTCTTTCCATGAACAACGGTTGACAAAGGGTAAAACCAAGCAATGCTAGTCGTGGGAGTATCGGGATAAGGAGAGGTACCGCAAGAGTGCGTGCTAAGACTTTTACAAGACCGAATTTATCGCCTTTCAGTTTGCTGTAGTCCATCTCATTGGAGAATTTATCGTGCAGCGCTTCAGAGTCGAGGGCCTGATCCAGAGGATAGAGATCGTCTACGCTGAGCACTTTGCGATACCCCAGCATGAACATTTTGTTGAGCCAGAAGAAGACGCCAATAGAGAAGACACCGCTAGTCTCTTCCGGACTATGCTCTTTTTCATCCCAATGCACCCATGGGGTCTTTTGTTTAGCTTCCAAAAGTAGCATGAGAGCTTTCAAAGCTATAGCAGCGCAGAACAGGCTGCTGTAGATCACCTCAGGATTGCCATCGGCCGAAAGAAACAGGGTCCTTGCCTGAGCTGCATCCAAGAGCAGGGTCACAGACAGGTATACGCTCAATAACACAGAGGGTCTTGGGCTTCGGCTATGGTCAATGATGCTCAGGACAATCATGAGCAAAGCTGACACAAGCTTGAGCACCGAAGCTCCAATGAAGATGCCAGGCGTATGGAAGGACCCAGTCGCGACCAGCACCAGTAGTGCAAGTTCAAGGCCAAGATATGCCGCAATAGCGATCTAGAGCGAGAATTCGAGCCATTAGCATGTTTATCCTTGAATTGGAGTCAGTCATAGCTTACGGCTTTGAGCAATTGGAACGCCGGAGCGTGAACCACCGCTGGCTTTCGCGATTGGTGAAACGTGCGCCATGCCGATGTGATGATGAACAGCACTGACGGAACCACAGAGAAGAATAGTTGTTCGAATTGTATGTTGAAATCGAATCCGCTTTGGTTGAATTGGAATAGATGTGACTCGCCGGTCGAGAAGGGCATACTTGCGAAAAGACGGCTTGCTCGTTTGCTTCTCTGAGTTTGTGCTTCAATCAATGCTTCATAAATGGTCGCAGATGTCGAATTGATACAGCATCGAGAGTCAGTTGCGCGGCTGCATACGCAGCTGCGTACGTATAACAGTCATAACAGTCATAACGAAAGGCACGTACGCAAGAGGTTAGTGACGATAAGCAGGCAGCGAGATCACAATCCTGTCGGCCATACCGCGATTGTCCGATTCCGAGCGCCGGATTCCGAATCTCAAAACAGCCTAGCCTAGGATCTGTCCAACGTCGCGCGGCGCTTTCAAATTTAACACTTCGCTAGGCTGAGCTAATAGCTGTCACCGTATGTGAAGGATTGAAACGCAAGATAGCAGGAAAGTCGGACTCTGGCAGCAATGTAGGAGTAATCGGGCCGAACCGAGGTAGCTTAATGACGTAGTGACAGATCGGGCTAATGACTCCCGACTGTACTTTCCTCCGCCGGCTATGCAACCTCAACGACTTAGATATCGTGATTGCAACGTACCCCTCAAAGATCAACAGCGGGGATACTAATCCGAGTAATAGTATTAGGGGCGGACAATATGGACCAACATACGATCGAGGGCTGCAAGCCACAACGTATATTCTCCTACACCTTCGAACGAGCATTTCGTGCTACCCAAGAGGCACAGATTGATGATGGCTGGAAAGGTAATATGGTTTTTCTTCGCGACTGCGACTTCGCAGATGATTTTCATGCCGCAGAATAATTTCCAACCTATATCCGGCCAAGCACTATCACTTCCGATTGACCTGCATGAAATTTACGATAATCGAGCATTTGGCCTCGAGCCGAATGAAACGAACTTCGACGGTTCAGGAGGTGAGCGACGGGATACTAAGTTCAATGCTTTGATGCAGTACTCATAGTTATCTAGATTCATACCCTGCTCAATTCATTCCACCATCGACCTTCACTTACACTGGCCTCAATTATACTTTCCCCAAATACAATTCTTCAGGATATGACAATGCGATTGCAGCAGGCCAAACAGTTTCCATACCACGTGGTCAATACTTGAGCGTTCATATGCTCGCGGCTTCTGAAGATGGCATGGCTCAGGGAACCATCAACGCAACTTTCTCGGACAATACCACGAGCTCGAGTGCCGTACTGGTGCCGGCATGGTGGTCTTGGCCGTATCCGACGGGCGGTGATCTCGTCTTTCCGTATAGGCTAACGAATGAGAGTGTGGACTGGAATCGTAGCAACATCTTCCAGACCAGAAGTTGGCTTGACAGCTCGAAGGAGTTAACGTCTTTGACACTGCCAAATGTCACGGGCGGCTCGGCGACAGATCCCGGGGGCGCTGCAATTTCATCACGATTGCACATTTTTTCGTTGACGCTGGTACCCGTCGTAAGTGACGCTGAGGGGCCATCGTTGAGCGTGCAATATGCCAGATCGACGCAGAAGTGGGTGGAAGGTAGCGATAAAATCCAGGTATACGAAGTGACGATTAATAATGCCGGCGCAAAGGATATTCTACGAGAGCACGCTGTCGAAGTCAGCATCGATTCAGCGGGCGTCGAGACCGTTACACCAGGTTACATCAAGAGACTCCGCGCTGGTGACCAAGTCAGGGTCAATGTAGGTGTCAAGACTAAAGAGGGCGTGGAGTCAGGAAGCACTGGGGCTGCGACTGTGAGTGTAGAAGGCAAGGGCCTGGACTGTTCCAACTATATCTTCAATGCCACTTTTGGTATCAAGGAGTATGAACCGACTTACGAGTCAGTCTACACACATGACTCACCAGACTGGTACAACGACCTCAAATATGGTATCTTCATCCATTGGGGTCCTTATGCCGTTCCAGCCTGGGGAAATGTAGGAGACAACGAAACGTACGCGGAGTGGTACTGGTGGAATCTCAACAAGGGGCCGAGCACATCCGATCAGACCTATCAATATCATCTCGAGCACTACGGACCTGATGTAGTCTATGATGATTTCATCCAGAACTTTTCGGCCTCTGCCTACAATCCAAAGGACTGGGTCGACCTTTTCGCTGATGCTGGAGCCAACTATTTCGTCCAAGTCAGCAAGCATCATGATGGCTATGCGATCTTTGACCTTCCAGCGAACGTCTCAGAACGTACTTCCGTTGTACAGTACCCGCACAGAAACCTCCTCCAAGAACTGTTCGACGCAGCCGAGGAATATCAGCCACATCTGCACAAAGCAACATACTATTCCCTCCCGGAATGGTTCCACCCAGATTATCGCAAGTACGGCTTCTCTAGCTGGCCCGGCGGCAACGCGACGAATCCCTTCACGAACGCCACACTACCTTACACCGGCTACGTCCCAGTCGACGACTACGTAAGCGACGTCATCGTCCCCGAAATGCAGACCCTTGCAGACATGGGCGTCGAGATCATGTGGTGCGACATCGGCGGTCCAAACCGCACCGCCGAGTTCGCCTCATCCTGGTTCAACGCCCTTGCTGCGCAAAACAAGCAAGCCCTTATGAACGCGCGCTGTGGTCTGCCAGGCGACTTCGACACGCCCGAGTATGCGCGCTACGCCGCTGTGCAGCCGCGCAAGTGGGAAACAAGCCAGGGTATGGATCCTTACTCGTATGGGTACAACGCTGCTACGCCTGTGTCGGCGTATATCAATGCTTCGTCAATCGTGACGTCTCTTGTGGACATCGTTTCTAAGAACGGAAACTTTCTACTTGATGTAGGTCCTACTGCAAACGGGACGATTATAGAAATTGAGCAGAGAAATTTGAGAGAGGCGGGGACGTGGATTAAGAGTCATGGTGAGGCTATATTCAATACGACATATTGGAGCGTTACACCGCAGGAGGGAACCAACGTGAGGTTCACTACGACTGCTAATGCTTTCTATATCTTAGTTCTGAACAAGCCAAACGCGACACTGGCTTTGAAAAGCCCGGTGCCGTGGGTCGACGGTGACGAGGTGAAGGTGGTTGGAGGCAGCAAAGCTGGCACAGTTGTTCCAAGCCAGAAGAGGGAGAATGGCAGCGTTGTCCTTCAGGTGAGCGAAGAGATAGCAGATGCTGATGAGTACACTTGGGTATTCAAGATTGAGTACTAGTTGGATAGTCCATAATGTGACTACAAATCTTGATTCGAGACCTCTTCTTGCGGGATTTGAAGCGACAAAGATAACAGAAACCTTGCACTTTCACTAAGCTATTTAGACTTCTGAAACCAAGGAATGGACTCACTCGTCCTCAGTTTCAAAATGATATAGCTTCGGCTCTGCCCTATCCTTCTGCATCAAAATATACCTGCCCACCCACCACGGCAGCACCTGCGTAAGTTGAAACTTCGCGTGAGTAGTCGTCGGCACCGCAAAGACATAGTCCAGCTCTTCCAAACTCCTCTGTTTTGTCTCCGGCATGAAGCAGAAGATCCACGAAAGAGCCACCAGGTTCAGACCCGCGTAAAAGCCAAAACTACCCGTTGGCGTGAACTGCTGCAATATGCGGGGGAATGTAAGACCTAAGACAGCGGCCCAGAAGTTGTTGGTCGCAACAGCCCAGGACATGCCGATCTCGCGGTGAGAGAGTGGAAATACTTCGGCGGAGTAGACAAAGGCGCAAGGTCCCTCACCTGGACTGTAGAAAGCGACGAAGAGGGAGATGAAGAGGGCTATGAGGCCGAGGTGCGCTGCTGAAGACTCGGGAATGTAGAAGGAGAAACCGGTGCCGAGGAGAGTGAGACACATGAAAGGGAAGGTGGCGATGAGGAGCGTGCGTCGACCCCATGTGTCGATCGTGTATAGGGCGGGGAATGCGAATATGAACATCGTCTATACGCGTTAGTGGGGCTAGTTGTGCGGTAATAATGGGGATCAGAGCCTCTTACCATGCCAAAGCCCCAAGACACAAGCAGAGCCACGATATTACTTGCGCCAGCTTCTCTAAAGATGGTCGAAGAGTAGAACGCAATGATATTGACTGCAACATGTTAGTCGCGGAAGCCCAAGGAGGGCAAGAAGGGAAAACGTACTCCCACACATCTGCTGCGCAGTCATAATGACACCCGAAGCCTGCGTTGCGCGACGTACGCGCGGTATCGTGAAAAGCTCAATAAATCTAGTGACCATGTTATCGGTCTTCGCAACTTCCCGTGCTTCTATCATGGCATCTTCCACCTGGATCTGGGCATGGATGAGATATAGGTCTCGAGCTGCTTGTAGCGGCGAGTTGCGCAGTCTGAGGAGAGCTTGATACGCTGCCCGATGCCGACCCTTCTTAATGAGCCAGCGAGGCGACTCTGGCGCGAAGAAGATACCAATAATAAGTGGTACAGCGGGTATAAAAGCGGACCCGAGTTGAAGGCGCCATGCGATGTCTCCAGTATTGACAACGACGAGGTTGGCAGAGAAGCCAAGCATGATGCCAAAGGCGACGAAAAGCTGCCATGACATGACTAAGGCGCCTCGAATAACAGTGGGTGCATTCTTGGCCGAATATACTGGGACGGTGACTTCTTTGAGAGCCATGCCAATCCCTAGAAGGATGCGACAGACGAGAATTTGAGGCTAGGTTTGCGCGACGGCTTGGCCTATAGGACCGAGGAGACTAAAGATGGCGCCGATAAAGATCGTTCCACGGCGACCGATGAGGCTGTTGATTGGGTCTGAGAACCAAGCAGCACTGTAAGAGTCAGTCTGTTCTAATTGCATTGATCATCGAGCGACCTAGATTTACTCACAAGAGCGCAATAGTCATGTATGGTGTACTGTTGATTGCGCCTATAATCCATGAGTTCCTTTCGCAGGTTCCCGCAGCAGCGCATTCAGGTCCAACATCCGCAATACCGAAGGCCTGTGGGAAGGACAAATTTGCACCATTGGAGCCTGTCTGGTCCCAGCCTGTAGAATAGCCTATCAGCAAGGTCTATGTGTCGCCAGGAAGAAGCTGTGTTCGTACCTTGAATTGCCGCACTGATGGAGTTCAGGATGATCGTAAGGTATAGAGCCTTGGGATGCCTCCATCTGTGATCCCTCTCGACTCTCAAAACCTCGCGATCATCCTCGTCTAAATCGATAATGCTGTCATAGTGCTCAGGCGACTGAGCGGCAAGTGCACCCTTGAACAAGTACGGAAGCGCATCAGTGAGCTCAGAATCGTGCGCAAATTTCTCTACATCATGTAGTAATCTATCTTTAGGGATGCCGGTGAGTGGATTATGAATTCTGGAAGCGTGAGTCACGTCTCGTGGAGGAAGACAACAGATCTGCTTACTCGCCTGTAGTATTGCGTTTCATGCTGACCACACTCTTTCGACGCACGGAACCATCCACGATGGCTCCGTCGTCGAGATGCTCTTCAGTGCTCTTTTCCATTGCTTTGGCTTATGATTCACGTTTCGCAAGGAGAGGAGAATCAATGCTGGCCCTTTGACAGCTTTTTGGTGGTAATGACTGCAAGGAGAAAAGGGCTGGGAATATATAGAGACATGATGAGGCTCCAAGAATGCGGAGAAGTCTGGGGTGTGGAGTACTCCAGAGTGAGAGGCTTGGAATATCAGCAACGGCGATGGTTCGGTCAAATGCTTATTGGTTGCATTGCATGCGTTGGTTGCTTCGGCGTGGCGCCGAGCCAATCAGTGACTTTCGACTACTTCTCGGGCCAAGCGCGAAACTATCTCCATATTTTGTTTCTGTTTGATCAACTGGTCACAGACGGTAATATTCAGCACCGATAATGTTTACGCATTAGTGCGTAGTCGAAGGCAAGCATGACAGATAAAATCTCGCCGGCACTGGGCCGAAAGAAAGTTTTGACCTTCGACCACTTGGCTTCGATCACCCATAGCTCGGAATGGTGCCGACACGGGCACATGTGGGAACAACGCTGGATTTTACGTAACGACACCGCGATGCAGTGAGGTATATGACAAGCGACTGGGCCGAGATCGTTGTGGTATCGTATGTTTTGCGCGAAGCTCCTTTCACAATCAATCATGTCTTCCACTACCACAGAAGTTTTGCAGCGAAAACCACGCAATGTTGCGGTCAATACAAATCCTGAGCATGGCCTCCACCTGGTCGAGTCAGATGTTCCTGAGCCGGGCCCTAAAGACTGCCTCGTCCACGTTCGCGCCACAGGCATCTGCGGCTCTGATGTCCATTTCTGGAAACATGGAAAGATCGGTGATATGATAGTCGTCGGGGAGAACGGGCTTGGTCATGAGAGTGCTGGTATCGTGATCAAGACTGGTAGCGAAGTGACTCGGTTCAAGCCAGGTTTGTGCCACCTTGTGCCGAATCGACGTCCGCTGACACTGAACCACAGGTGACAGAGTTGCCCTCGAATGCGGAATACCTTGCTCGTTACCAACCTGCCATTATTGTCGTACCGGCCGCTACAACGCATGCCCAGATGTGGTATTCTTCTCGACGCCGCCGTATGACGGAACCTTGCGCAGATACCATGTACATCCCGAAGCATGGTTACATGCCTTGCCTGACCGTCTTTCGTATGAAGAAGGCTCGCTACTGGAACCTCTTTCGGTCGCTCTCGCCGGTATCGATCGGTCAAACTTGCGGCTTGGTAGCGCACTTGTCATCTGCGGAGCGGGCCCCATTGGTCTAGTCACGCTGCTTGCTGCACATGCTGCAGGTGCTGCTCCAATTGTGATAACGGACATGGACGAAAATCGCTTGCAAGTGGCCAAGAAACTCCTTCCACGTGTGCGTACGGTGAAAGTAGCCCGAGAAGATGCTGCGAAAGACCTGGGAACGAGAATAATCGAGACGCTAGGGACAGAGGCCGAGCTGGTGCTGGAGTGCACTGGCGTGGAATCTAGTATCCAAGCGGGCATATATGTAAGTGGAAAACAGCTTCAAGATTTGCAGGATGCTAACAATAGCATCAGGCAACACGGTTTGGAGGCTCCGTCTTCGTCATCGGAGTTGGAAAGGACTTCCAGAACATACCGTTCATGCATCTTTCTTCGAAGGAGATCGATCTGCGATTTCAATACAGGTACCACGACACCTATCCGAAAGCTATCAATCTAGTCAACGAGGGATTGATCGACTTGAAGCCTCTGGTGACTCATCGCTATAAGCTAGACGACGGCGTGGATGCTTTCGCGACGGCTTCGACTCCAGGTGCAAGGGCTATCAAGGTGCAGATCCTGGATGATTGAAGCATAGGTTTCCGTAGTACCACCCGAAGTCACGTTAAAACGCGTGACGTCACCATATTTTGGCTTATATCTTCTGCGTTCAGCATGTTGCATACGACGAGATCCACGTGTAAATAGACAGAAAATAGAATTGCACTTCCTTTCCTTGCATAATTCAGTGGTACCTAGGTATGTAGTTAGAGAGAAGTTCACTTTCCCCAGCCGATTGGCACGATCACAGGTGACTATTAGCGTCTTGGCGACCAGACCACTTTCCATCGCCTCCACTTCCACCTCTTCCAATGTGCGCTTTAGCGAACATGAATTTTCTGCTTTTGATCGATTCACGTCATGAGTGCGACGCAGCAAGCCTCGCGTAAGCCGCCGGCCTGTAATGAGTGTAAACGCCGGAAGGTTCGTTGCTCGGGCGGCGATCTGTGTGCCAACTGTAGACGAGATGGGAAGGTCTGCGCGTACAGCTCACCTTTAGTGTTACTGTCTGCTACTGAAAGGTTCGAAAACAGTCGCCGTTTATTAATTCATAGCTCACTAATTCAGGCGCCTTGGAGCAGCCGAGCGTCGCATTCAATCATTGGAAACGGCTTGGAGGCTGCATCTGCCAAATATCGATCTCGAAGATGCCATCAAACGCGTGGAAGCTCGAGCATCAGAGTCACCGTTGGCGTTGGCGGAAGCCAGAAGTTCAGATGAGATGCGGTCACGGATGCAAAGGCCCACACCAGAAACAGAACAACCTTCTCAAACGAGTCCAGCAGAGGCCAGCAATGCCGAAGACTACGAGTTTGACGAATCGCAGGATTTTGACAACACCACCGATGGCATGGGTTTCCTGGTTGCTAAGCCTGGAAAGGCCGGCTACATGGGTCCTCAGTCTGGAGTTGCCGCTGTGAAGTTCCTGCAGTCGTTACACTTGTACGGGCCGTTTCCCGATGCTGGCATGACCTCTTTGGATAGCGCCGACATGGAAAGCTTGCCAGTGGCTTCGACTGCCGATGCGACTCAGTATATGAATGACTACTTCTCCATCTACCACACCGCTTACCCCATTCTCCATGAAGGCACCTTTCGTGCTCGTGTCTCCGGTAGGCAAAGTTGCCAAAGTCACATATTCGTGCTAATTGTGCAGGTGCGCTTGCAAAGCCAAGAGACGGCTCATGGCCTATTCTATACAACATTGTAATGGCTATCGGTGCGTTCGTTGGCCAGACAGAGGACAACAATTGTGATATCGCATTTTACAGAAAAGCTCGGGCAGACTTGAAGATCGATGTGATGGAAAAAGGATCTCTCAGCTACGTACAAGCGCTTGTCTTGATGGCCAACTATCTCCAGAAGCGCAACAAACCGAACGCTGGCTTTGTACTCATTGGGATCGGATTTAGCATGGCTTTGGCAATAGGCCTGCACCGTGAATTCGGTCCACCTCATTCAAGCCCCTTCACCATGGAAATCCGGCGGCGTGTATGGTGGGTGTTATTCATTTTCGTGTCTGGCGCGCAACTCACTCTTGGTCGGCCACCAGTCTCCCTTGTCGGCGTCAACGTTCGCCTCCCCAACAACTTAGATGACCAGGATCTAGCGGTCGATATGGAGAGCTTGCTAGCTGCAAAAGAGGGGCCGACAGTTACATCTTGTCTCATCTCGCAAGTGAAGCTTGCTATCATAGCCAATTCGGTTCAAACGGAGCTTCTTACCAACCAAATTCCCAGCGATGCGAAGGCGCTCCAATTAGATGGCAGGATTACCAAATGGCGCGAGGACCTACCGGGCTACTTCGATCTGACTGTGATGCTGGATAGATGGTTCGAGATTCCGAAACGCATACTAGTATGGCGTTCGTTCCATCTCCGCATTATTGTTAATCGGCCTATCGTTTATCAAATCATCACCGCAAAGGGGGACCTTGACGAGAATCTCATTTCGGTTCAAGCATGTTTGAACGCTGCTGCGGAGTGCATCGCGTCGATATGCAACTATACCGACCTGGCAGCCGACATCCCGCGTGGCCTTGCATGGTATGCTACGTACTGGTTGATTACCGCAGCCTTCGTTCAGGCCACTTGTTTTATATATGCCCCATTGCACACGCTTGCTGCCGTCTGGCGACAACACCTGGAACATGCCGTACAGTGCTTGGGCAAGCTCGGTGTATCGCATAGTATGGCACTAAGGGCTCGGGACATCCTCAAGAAGCTGCTAGGTACGTTCTCTGGTGTAGCCTACTCGCTTTGCGTACGCTCAGTGATCTGTTGTATGCTTGAAAAGCGCTATTCTCCATTGATTTCTACTCTCCATGTCTGATGACAACCATTTGCTGATGTCTGCAGATCAAAGCGAGTCGCCGGCTTTTGCCACAGCATCGTCTACAGCCGTGCCTCACATTGGCTCCGAATCAACTTCAGGGTTTTGGCAATCTGCAGCACCTCCGTGGGGTACGGCTCAAGACTCAGCAGGCCACTTCCAGATGGGTCCTTTGTACGGCACAGAGGGGATGATGACGTTTCCATGGTACGCGGAGGGTTCCACCGACGCTGAGCTCTTCGATGCGACTGGTGCTATCATGCTCCAGATGGACTCCAACAACTCCGAATCTCACCTCAATCACGGTTCTTGGATGCCTGGATAGCACTGAAATCACCGGGTTTTCTACTGCTGCGCTTACGGATAACTGATCTCAAATGTCTCCGATGGCATCAACACGATGAGCTTTTTCCTAAGATTTTTGGACAAGTTCATTGGTGCAATCAACGATCTCGTACAAAGTCTACAAGCGACGCTTAGGTGAACATCATTCCACCATTCGCACAAACAATATCCCCAGTAACCCATCTAGATCTCTCCTCGCAGAGGAACAAGACTATCTCCGCGACGTCGCTTCCCGTCCCAGCCCGTGGTGCCGCTGGGGTCTTCTTATTCTGTTCCTCCATCCGAGCCAGGTGGACCTCTCTCCCGCGGACCTATACATATCTGTATCCACCGGGCCTGGATTGACAGCGTTCACATTGACGCCGTACTTATGGCCCAGCTCGGTTGCCCATACCCGCGTCAGACCCTCCACTGCAGCCTTCGACGCTGCGTATACGGACTGTGTCGCGAAACCTCCTCTTGCCGAGATCGATGAGATGTTGACTACACGTCCCCCTCGTCTCGTATGGGAGATGAAAGCCTGCGTCATGAAGATGACAGCACGCACGTTCACGTCCATCACGTTGTCATATTCCTCTTGTGTAACTTCCTCAAGCGTTGTTGCTGCGGATCCAAGGCCAGCATTGTTAACGAGGATATCTAGCGCCGCAGTATTGAAAATGGAAAGGGTTTTGGACACGATCTTTTGGGGAGCAGAGATGTCGCGGCTGTCCACTTGTATTGCGAGTGCGTGCGAACCGAGGTGTTCGACTTCTCGTACCAAGCTTTCTGCGTGGGGTGTAGAAGACGCTGACACGAACGTGAAAGCGACCTGTCAATGAATGAGCGCGAAAGTTCAATTGTTGTAAAAGGCACATATCTCTGCTTACATTAGCTCCTTCTTTAGCCAGAGTCAAAACAATATCTCTTCCGATACCACGAGCGCCTCCCGTTACGACTAGCAAGGAATTAGTCTGGTTCTCTGTGATATGGAAGTGGCTCCAGATCTCTCCGCCAATTCTAGCTGAGCTCTCCGTAGCATCAATACTCACTAGCTACTTTGTTCTTAAGCGACATATCTGGAATGCAATGATGGGAATACGTGGGCTCTAATCTTCAGGCGTCTGTCTCTATCAAAACCTTCTACAAGAGAATCGAAACCGCCCAACATTCTAAACTAGTCCCTCCTTGAACGCCATCAACCATCGGTGACCTGCCGGCTACTCGCCCGCTCGGCTACCAAGTCGACTAAACGTATTCAAGCGTTGCGCTTGATAGTGCGGAACCGACTGCACTTGCTGATCGAAGTCAGGCGGATGTCTGAGCACAACTCGGCGCGATGCCGAGCTAGCTCGGCACCCCTCCGATCTCTTGAGCACGACCCACAGGCAACGATATCGTGTCGCTGGCTGTATATTCGAGCAAGGCCTTATGATGAAGTCAGTTAGGATCACTAGAAGTCTTCCTCCTTAGGCTTTGTCGCCACAACGCCCGCCTTTATCACACGATGGAGCTCAGGACTGTGGAGTGCCATCAACGGTTGCACGCGATACGTCTCATCAGCAAGCTGCGCAAGTTGGGCCTCGACCCGCGCCTGCGCTGCAAGATGGTATTTGAGGCTGAGCGCCTCGACCAGATTTAGGTCGAAGGCGTAGAGCTGGACGAGCGCCACAAGCCTTCCTCTGTACGGCTTCATCGTAAACGGCCTACCAGGGCATGTCACAACGTCTGGCTTGGGTGATCCAAACGACAAATGGGACTTCTCCTACATCGAGGATTTCATCAGCATCTCTATAGGTGCATCCGCCATTTGAGACAGCACATCATGGCCCCTCGGTGATAAGCAACAGGGCCACCGTCACCTCTCATATTTTCCAATCAAAGTTGGACCCTTCAGACCCTTGGTTCTCATAGCCCTGCAATCTATCATTCTTCTCTGTGCTATTGCGATGCTTATATGCAATTTGCGCCTGTGTCGCCGAGAGACTACCAATCATGCGATTAGCCACGCTGAGCGAAATTCTGAAAAGTTCGCAGACTGCGTCTCTGTGTGAGGCAGCAGTTGGTGATATGAAAAGACCAGATGATCCCTCAGGGTTGGAGGGTCAGAAACTTTATTCTCGAAACCATTCGATAATGCCAACGGATACATCGGGGTACGAAGACTACAGACACTGAGTTACGGCGAACATCTAATACACTTCTTTCGAACAATAATCTAAGTTAATTGCGGGGATTGTCTTTCGAAGGATATTTGAGAGAAGGCGCCCACGTCCGGATCACGCTACCATTTGTTCTTCATATTCCTATCACACAGTATCCGTGCCACGAACAGGAAGAGTGCTCCAACTGTCAGTGTAAGGCCCTAGTGATTGATTAGTTGGCTTAAGACCAAGTTTGCGAAGGCGAATATACGTACGGCGAATACGATCACGTTGTTGTAACCGTCCTGCACACTCTTGCCAACAAGAGCACCAGCAATTGGCGTACCAGTGAGTGTCGCAATAGCAGCGAGTGTAAAGAAGGCGCCGATGCGGGCGCCGATGCGATCCTCCGGAGAAATTTGTGCCACAACTGCCGGGGTGACACTGATGAAGATGCCTGAGGTGAACCCGTATAGGCATACAAATGCGACTACGCTGGCGACGTTGATAGCTGGCAGCCACATAGCCAAGCAAAAGACACCCGAAAGTAGCGTCATTGGATATAGTAGGTTGAGTCGGCCAAATTTGTCTGCCAGTAGACCGCCGATGATGCGTCCAAAGAAGCTGGAACCGTTAATCAAAGGCAGAAGATAGCTATGAATCGTTGTAGATGGATGGTGCGCAACCATGTAAGGCTCTATACGGACCGTAAGCGACCGAGTTAGTGTAAGTAAATAATCTAGGACTGACCGATGTAGTAGTAAGGAACATATAATCCTAGGCTGGCGACGAAGCTTCCAACTGCTAGGACAATGTACCTCGGATCTCTGAAACCGTTGAAGTCCAGCAGGTTTCTATGCGTGATTGTTTTGCTTTTCTTTGGAGTTCTCTTGTCCGACGAGATGCAAATGGCGACAAGAAAACAGCATAAGAAGAGCAGCGCTGCGACTCTTACAGACCAGCTGAAACCTATCTTCGGTACAATGCGCGAGAACATGATAGGTAGACAGACACCACCAACGCTGCTTCCGCCAGCAACTACTCCCATTGCTAAGGCACGACGCTGTTTGAAATGTTGCCCTGCGACAGCAAGTGCTGGCTGCACAGCTAAAGACACCATCAGGCCGAACATGACACCCTATCACGATCAGACAAGTGCTTCATATCGTTCTGGTACTAGCCGGCATACTTGTGAGAGAAAAGGCTGCCATATGGCCCCGGCTTGAGAAAACGAAAGTCCAATAAGGGAACCACAGCAACCTAAAGCGGCAACGGGGTATAACCACTGCTGATAGTCAGAGACTCGCCTTGCTAGCAGAGCAGAGAGGTACCCACCTTCAGCCCGTACGAATCAAACAGGGCACCAGCGACAGGTCCAACAATGTACATCAATGAGATCTGAAGCGTGCCGATGAAAGAGATTGTAGAAGAGGAATATTCATACAAGTAGTCAGTTTGGTAAAAGTCTTGGAAGTAACCAAAGCTATTCATGAAGCCGAAGGATGCGAAGTAGACTAGTGCAGAACCAACGACGGTGAGCCATGCGCGAGCTCCTCCTTCCTGGATGTCCGACATGTCGCCATCTTCGATGTCTGAGACGTGGACGGTCGCGTCCACTGGCGTTTTCTCTTCCATTGTGGCGAATTATCGATGTGAAGGGAAAGTTGGGAAAGCGATACAATAGAAGGCGGATCGTTGGTACTGCAGTACACGAATTTAAGCTACATGAATGCCCATGCAGCACCTACCATTAGCCCAAAGAGGTAATAAGGCAAAGCTCTTGCTCACTGGTGGCGAATGCTGACGGCCTGCCGGTCTGGATTTTTGTTTTGTGTCACAGTAAGCGCCTAGGCCGAAGCCGGTAGCACTCAAGCGGAAGCTCCGCGACCCCTGCCTTGAGTCATCCGTCTAGACCTTCGTACGCTCGGTGTGGATTCTTGTTCAGACATGCAAAGCCTCGGTTCGGGAACAGGCATAATAAAACACCTCACATCAAACTTATGCAGGGACCAAGTCTGCCGGTACAAGCGTTGTGTTATTTTGGGTTTGCATGGTATCCTTGCGGGGACCTGAAAATCCTACTGTAAGTATCGCGGGATCTCATGGTGGCAAGACAATTAGATTATGGAGTCTCCGGGCTTGTATAGTAACAATTATATGTATTCAGTTTGCTTGGAGTGTCGTCATTGATGGTTGTATCTCACGTTGGACGAGTGCAGTCCAGAAGCATTAGATCACATTTCCAACAAAACAAGTATATGCAACCAATTGACTCTATAGCTACTACAAGACCATCCCTAAACCCCTTTCAGATCCGTGAGAAAGATTGAGAACAAGATCGCTATACCCGACGGGTGACGTTCAAACGTAAGCCGTTCTTCGCGCAAAGAGTAAAACTCGGTAGGAATTCCATTTCAAATCCAGGCTCGAACGAGAGATCGTAGCGGCGGAATACTGTCGCTATCGCCAATGACATCTGCAGCATAGCGAGCCCTTGGCCTGTTGTGCGTCAGCAACTCATCTATGTGGAGAAAAGCCAATGAGTTATGTACTCACCAAGACAGTTCCTTGGGCCATAAGAAAATGGAAAGTAAGATCCGGGCTTCGTGGATGGCCGATCTCCGCTCCACCGATCTGGGTTGAATTGATTCGCTGTCTGCCCCCACACGTTTGGATCACGGTGCACTGCACTTCGTTAGCTGTATGTCAACAGAAGTTGAGATGCATTGTCTCACCCTGTGGGTTCCAGAGTGCAAGGGTAGTGTTCGCAGGGAACATCACACCATCAACCTCGGTATCCCGACTGCAGTATCTGAAAGTGCCAAATCCTGGTCCATGCATGCGGAGAGTTTCTTTTATGACACAGTTTAGATATGGTAGCTTGACTTGCTCAATAGAAGGCATGACACAATCGGACGGGATGGCGCTGTCCAGCTCGAGGCGGAGCTTCGTCAAGACATCTGGATTCTTCAGGAGTTCGTAGATGCAGAAGGTAATAGTGTGAGCAGTTGGATCTCCTCCCGCGACTAGAAAGGTTACTGCCCCAAGGGTGTGAGAAGAAATACAGGTGGTGAGCTGAACGGATTTACAACGTACCATAATTGTCCACAAGCTCTTTCATATTGAACATGTACTGCCCTTTACTGTCGCGTTGCCTGCACTCGTAAGACGATGTACCGCTATAATTCTCATTCACCTACTTGGCAAGGATCTCGAAGATCTTCTTTCCCGGCTTGCTGTCAGGAGTGTCGTTCTCCCGACACTTCTGTACGGCGTGATTGGCCATTGATCTGAGCTCTGCAATTGCCGCATGCATATCTCGTGTGCTTTTCAACAAGGGTACCTTTGCTCGCAACGGGAAAAGTCCGCATTTCATTAGTTCAGGCAGCACGGTCTGGAAGATCTGCATTACGCGGCAGTTCTCCCCTTGCTCCATGGCGTGGAGGTCAATGCCAAAGGCAACCTCGCCGACGAAGTCCAATGTGAGTAGGACGTTCACCAGCGAGAGGTCAATCACTTGCTTGGTGACGGCAGCTTTATCGAGAAGCCCAACATATTGCTGTAGTCTGTCAACGGAGATCTCGGAAATAATCACTACGTTCATGACATACCGTAAGGTACTTCTTCAAACTCGAAAACTGAGCATTGACAACAGCTGGTCCGAAAGCAGGCGCCAAAGCCTTCCGCTGTTGATGCCATCGGGACTGATCCATCTGAGCAAATAATGCATTACCGCTCAGTGGCTTAAAGCCTTCATATTGAGCAGGCGCCTTGGGCCAATTCTGGTTCGCGATTTTTGCGACGATGGAAGGCTCTCCAACGTAGATGGTGCGGTCCCAAGGGCCGTTCCACTTCCAGGCTCTGTCAGGTTCGATCATCACATCGCGGAAGCGTGGATTACTCACGGTCTGGAAGACAGAGCCATACTGTACATGCCAACGGCGCCACTTTTCGTGTATGTCGTCCGCCATAGTTTGGTCCAAGTTCCCTGCCCAGAAGGAACTTATTGGTGGACCAGGAAATTGTTTTAAGGCCTTCCGGTATCGGTGAAGGAAGCGTGCCGCCAAGAGTACCACCAAAGCCACGAGCACGACGGAACCCACACGCAAGAGCGGGCCAAAGCGCGCTTCGCAATCGAAAGAAAAATTTTTGACGTTCATGACCATGATGATGATGAAGACTGTTCAGAAGTTGAAATATTCGCTGGAATCATCGAAAGGACGCTGATTTATATACGAGGATGTCTTGTATGATACCCTAGGCACAGTAGCGGAGTCAAGATACACCTATATCGTTTAGATTCTAGACTTGCTCTTGGGCCTTGAGGGATCACGAACAGCAGTCGTGTAACATTCAGAAAGCAGTCCAACATGCTTCGTTTCCTGAAATCGCAGGTGGCAGCACTGAAAGATGGTTCTAGAGCAAAGTCGACGTTCCGAGTACCCTGGGCGAACTCGTTGATAGTTACCGTACGCGTTGATTGATACACCCATGCCGCTAGTAATCAGTTGGGTCTTGGTGCCCAAGCCATGTCCATGATCACAAGACGAGCTCTGTGCACGGCTCACCGCGTGAAAATGCAATCAAACGTTACTATGTACCTATGGTACTCACCGTCAACGTGAAGATAGTGTCTAGAACGTGTGCCTATCTACAGCCGTCCGAATGCAAGGGGAAACTTCCATCTCGGTGTTAGTTCCCCTCGGGAAGATGGTCTGGCCATGGCATCAGGATGTATAGAGGTCGACCTTGGGAACATGTAGAGCTAAGATCGGCGGTCAAAGGAATCGGAGTCGCCGCGAGAGGCTTGCATGAACGAGTCGAGACTGCTGCTGTGAAGTCAAATTGCTAAAATGGTCATGCGGGACGGTGCACGGTAAGTCTGATGGGAGTCAAAGCTCGGATCGTTGTGTATGAACAGGTTCTGGCCATGCGCTTAGATCACTCAGAGGATCCCATCCTCGGTAATGCGGAGCCCTACCGCCGCATAGGATACACATATACCCAGTCCCCGTGCATTCGGTAAGGGTTGCCTTTCTTCTTTCAGACGCACTGCATGCAGATCATCATGCTGACGGCTGAGTTGATGGCGAACGATTAACGGCGCCACCTCACGCTAGGGGCGACAACCCCGGACGGAAAAAGTTTGTCAGCCTGTTGCACCCAATTCATTTACTCAATTGGGTATTTTGTCGGCAGACAGCGCGACTTTTGCGAGTTCGGTGTCGCACGTAGATCGGCGTAAACGACGGTAAGACTTACTGTTACACAACAAACCCAGACCATCAATGTCAGCGTGGAACACCTGAACTTCTGTGCCCGCGCAGTATCACGAATTTGCTGCGACTGTATGCAGCGCCATCAACAGGAACATACAGTTGGCGTTGGAAGGCCCGGCTAGAACCAATGCTCCAAGGTTCTAGGGATAGTTTAAATATATGTTCCCAGCAACGAAAACCAGCAACTGCATCTATCTTTTATTCATTTATATTGACTTAAACTGACTCTCTTTGAAGTGCCACAAGACTGAAAAGCGCAATTCACGATGCCCGGAAGACTTCTCTCAAGGAGCGTTGCCCCTCCAGCTCCCCATCAATTGCCTGCGTTCAGAATTATACATTTCAACGATGTATATAACATCCAACCAGACACTCGAGAGCCAGTTGGAGGCATCTCTCGGTTTCAAACGGTTTTGCGGAATTATCGTGCGAAATATGAAGGGTATTCGCCCATGTTGACACTGTTCTCGGGTGATGCGCTTAACCCTAGCCTCGAGAGTATCTTTACCAAGGGTGCGTAGTCATATGTCGCACAAACATCAGGACTAAAGCAAGCAGGCGAACATATGATCGAAGCACTTAATGACGTTGGCGTCAATTTCGCATGTCTTGGTGTAAGACCCCGCATCCCACGACCGAGAAAGCCCCGATCAAAGAGCTAACATATCTCTAGAACCATGAGCTGGACTTCGGAGTTCCGCATTTTCAAAAGCTCGCGGAGAAGTGTAATTTCCCTTGGCTCTGCGCAAACGTTCTGGACCCTGCGCTCGGAGAAGAAGTGCCTCTAGGGCGCTGCAGTAAAACAGCCATAGTCGAGATGAACGGTATCAGGATCGGTCTGATCGGACTCGTTGAACAGGAATGGTTGGCAACCATCAATGTGCTGCCACCGAACCTCATCTATCGCTCCGCCTCTGCAACGGCTCGAGAACTTGTGCCATTGCTACGAGATCAAGGGGCAGACTTCATCATTGCGCTCACACATCAACGAGAGCCTAACGATGTCCGACTAGCGCAAGAGTGTGGCGGCCTGATTGATTTGATCCTGGCTGGGCATGACCACTTCTATCGTGATTCCCTTGTGAACGGTGTACGCATAGTGCGGAGCGGCACCGATTTCAAGAATCTTAGCTACATTGAAGCACGAAGAGGTACCCCAAGCGCAGCAAGGGGCAAAATCTGGGAGATCGATGTTGTAAAGGAAGACATTACGGCCGATGTACCTGAAGATCCTGAGATGAAGGCATGGGTTGAAACCGTGTCCTCAACTCTGCGTGCACAGCTAGAGCAACCGGTTGGTACTACGGTAGTGGATTTGGATGCACGCTTCACAACTGTGCGTCGAATGGAGAGCAATTGGGGAAACTTCATCGCCGACGCTATGCGTCAAGCCTATGGCGCTGACTGTTGCATCATTAGCTCTGGTACTATTCGTGGGGATCAAGTGTACCCTGCTGGTGTGATTACCATGAGGGATATTCGTAACTGGTGAGTCATCTCAATGTCAGGTCTCATTTCAAAGTAAATCTGCTGATTTAATCTTTGCAGCCTTCCGTTCGAAGATCCAACAGTCGTAGTCCGCGTGACTGGACAAGCTATATGGCTGGCTCTTGAGAACTCAGTCAGTCTATATCCCGCATTGGAAGGCCGCTTTCCCCAAGTTTCTGGCATTACGTTTGATTTCGACCCATCCATGCCGCCTTTTCAACGCGTGAAGTCTGCATGCATTGGAGGTCTACCGATGGACCTGGAAAGGACTTATCTATTGGCAAGTCGGGACTACATGGTGCGTGGCAAAGACGGGTACACCTCCCTGGTGTCCGATGACGTTGAGGTAGTGGTTGGTCCTGAAGAAGGAGATCGAATCTACAAAATAGTGCTGGAGGCTTTCAGTCGATTGACAGCATTGCCGTTTCAGGCACCACTGCAACATGCTGCTGGAGATGATGCTAGGAGCCGTGTTTCGCAGAAACTTACAGTAAATGGTGCCATTGCTCCAACTCTTGAGGGAAGGATCGCCGTCATATAGCGCAACAATCCATTTAGATTTTCGTTCAATTGACTCCGTGGACCATTCGTTGTCGTCCGATTTGGTTGTAACAGACATGGTGCCCGAAGATGTGTGACGAAGAGTGTTTTCATGCGATCGAGTACGAACTTGAGAACGACTGGTTATTGACTGGCGTATACGACAATACAGTCCTGACAACCGCACAGAATGTCAAGATTGATAGATACAGGGACAAAATCTAGTGGATGGATTCTCTAGACGACCAAGTACCAGACAAGCAGGTACATGAACATGCTACCAGGCACAACGAGGCGACGGTGACACACTAGAAGCACTCGAAGGTATTCATATTACGGATAAGGACTCTAATTTGGCAGGCTCTACTTACAATTCGACAAGACTACTTAGAAGAATTGCTGGCTTCCGCTTCGCGACGCTCAGGACCTTAACCGGACCAGCAAGTCGCACTTGGACATCTGCAGCCATCAGGAAAGGCTACAGCATCTCAATCATCCGCAGGACACAAAATCAGGGCTCGAGTACTGCACAAGTTGGGCAAGCGTCGAAACGACAAGCCGTCAATGCTGAAGATGTTGAGGTCATCGACTTAACCAGGGAACGACCACACCTGCATGCATTGAATATCATTTGGTCGTTTTATCGGTGTTGCAAGTGATTAGGGATGTTTGCAGGACTAGATTGCGTTTGTTGCTGTACTACGCTCGAATCCGCGGTGAACCACGACGCGTCGCGCGTTCGCCTTCACTTCCACCTTTCACTTCCACCTTTCACCTCCACCGCGAGCGCGTTTTTGCGCCTTGGCAATTGCTGACTCACGCGCTAGCGTCGTCGCTGCCTTCTATAAAAACCACGGCCGTCGCGCTTCTCTTTCCCTTTCTCCACGGGCGTTGTGTTTGGTTGCTGGTACTCACCTTAATTGGTTCACCTCAATTGGCACTTCTCGAAAGACTGACCTCTTTCGACTCCCCAAGAGCTTCCCGTGACCACGCTCTTGGAACCTGTTCAGCGCCGGGCTGTTCAGGGCAGGTTCGTCATGTGTCTTGATCGACTGGCACGCCTGCAAACAGCTTGCCCGGGAGCTGTTACCCAAACGCATATCGAAGCGCTTTGATGACTGCAACTTGCTTGCAGTGCAGGTTCCTCAAGGTCTGTCCGATGATTCATCAGTTTCACGAACGCGCGCCCTCTATAAAAGATACAGTGCATCAGACCAGCCTGCGGGGCGACTCGAGAGTCTCGTCTACCCATTCCAAGGGGGTCTGTTGGTATGGCCAACTCCTTGAAGCTACCTCAGCGCCTTCACGGCGGCAGCGCTGAGGTAGGCGGGTTATCGGTACTGGATCTTCTGAGCTTGGCCTTGGAGTCCTTTACCTAGAGTCATCTGTGCGGTTCGCAGATGCGCCTGCGGCGTCGATCTTACCACAGAGTTTTTTATGTCGAATGGGTTGCCACATCCAAGGTCTTGACCTTGAAGGATCGCGAACAAGCGAAGTACCGATCAGGTTTTCAGAAGGTACGCTGAGCCACCGAGCGGAAACTACGTTCAGTCCGAAAGGGCGCTTTCGAACGGGCTTGTCTCCCTCATCGAAGAATTTTTTTACTACCACACACCTTTATAAGGCTTGACCATTTTTTTTCGTTGACGGTTCGGGCGATGCTCGATCGTCGAAGAAGATCTTAGGAAGAGAAGCGTACGGTTTGCTCAGTTTTATCAGGAAGGAGCGCATGTTATCCACCGAGTATACCGCAAGACATACGCCCTTGTCCAAAGTTTCAATCGAGCCCGAGTCGATCGCCAACGCGCAGTCCAGACCTAACCTTGAATCCGAAAAGCCGTTTCTTTCACACGCCGCCGCACTTTCAACAACACCTCGAAGGCATGTCATCACAGCCCCAATTCTCGACTCCCCTCTACTTCGCACTCTGAATGCAGCAGCCCGCAACGTTCGTCGTCGGCGTCATCGGCGTCATCGGTCACGTAGCTCACGGAAAGAGCACACTCGTACGCGCCTTCACTGGCGCAAACAAGATGGTATACAAGTCTGAGCTCGCACGGAACATCACTACCAAGCCGCGATACACCAATGGGAGGGTATATTGGCGCGATCACGGCGCGGGCGGAAGAGCGGCGAGAGATTACAGCTGCGGAGAGGCAAAGGACTTCGGTGAGACGGTTCGTGGGCATATGGTCGCTAGTAGTATATACAGGACGAACGGACATCGACTTACGTCTTCATGAAATATCAGCGGCTTTGCTTCCTAGCATTGAGCATCCACATTTTGTAACTGTCGTACAGAAGCTCCACTCCCACGTCCAGCATCCTTCAACTCAAGACTGAGGACCTGAATCATCTCCGCCATCCACTGCTCCACCTTCACTCCCTCCGCCTTTTCATCTTCCCTAACCTCATAGAACTCATGCTCCCAACACTTTCTAGGAAACTTCCCCACATCTATCCACTCATCGTCTTTGCCCTTTCCGAACCAGACATAGCATTCCGCGCAGAGATCGACATCCGCGCAAGTCCGGCAAAAGAACCACCTGTCGCCGAGACCGATTGTATTGGAGCAAGCGTCGCATCTCTTGAACTCGTGCTTCTCGACTTCTCCAATTGAGCATAGACAGTTGCGCTGTTGTACTCCCGATCGCTTGCCGGCTTCGTGGACAGTGTTTGCCAATCTAAAGGTCATGTTGCCGTCGGCGATTCTGCCGGCTCGAATAAAGAGGCTTCCTACTTGCTTGAGGTTGTGCGCGTAGAAAGACGGATGTACTGCGACGAGTATGAGCGCATCGCGCAGATAGCGGAGAACGACGTTGGCAGAGGTTACATCTTCTGGGACGGCCAACGCTTTCCAGCCCCGTTTGACGTATACGCCTATCAGCATGCCTCTTACCATCTGTGTGCCCCATGGTTCGGTGTTTAGCATGCCCTCCTCTTGCTCCGCTTCAGTCAGCAGCTCGACACAAAGAGGCTCAGCAGCTTCATAGTCCTTAGCCGTGAAGTAAGCCATCGCGCGCGTCTTTCTGATACACATGAAGTAAGAGCGTTCCATCAGAGCACGACAGTTTGGATCTTTGCGTTGGTGTTGGTTTTGCAGCTCCACTGCCCGAGTCAATTCTTCTGCGCTTCTCTCGTACTCTCCCGCCGCGAAGTGCAATTGTCCGGCTCGTGCTAAGCCTGGGATCAAGATCTCGTTGTCGTTTCCCATCATGTGCTCGAAGAAGTGGATATATTTCTCCATCATCATTCGTTCCAAATCCAGGTCCTTCTGCGAGCGAGATGCCTCGAGCAGGTTGATGAACGCCGCAGGCACATTGATATCGTAAGGTCCAACGGCTTCTTCGCTTTCTTTGAACGCCGTCTCGATCTCAGCCAGCGATGGCTTGGACGGTAGCTTGGACAGCCTCCAGTACTGTCGCGTCGAGTAATTTTTCCAGGTGCGCTTCCGTTCCGTATGCGCTTCGACATCTTCCACGACGCGGCGCAGGTCAAGGATCGAAGTCAGTTGCTCAGCGTTGAGGTGAGCATCGAACCGTTTCTTTCTCACTTCCTCTTTCACTTCCCGCCAAAACCCCCACCCGAATACGATAACGTATGGTATTAAGTTCACAGCCCCAAGCCAACCTTTATGTATACTTGTGAATCCAATATAAAAACTGCACAGAAGTATGACCACGCTGGCTATGGTTTTGACATGGCGCCCAACGCCGGGGACCTTCGGCGGGACACGTACCCCCATCGTTTGAGGAAACATCAGCAGCGATAGCAGTGAAAGGCACGAGCGACGCAGGGCAGGCTGCAATTATAGGGCCAACATGAAACGACTCCGCCTTGTGTTGTTGGCCGTAAGGCCTGAGGCGGGCCACGGGCTGCGCCACGATTGGCTTGGCTGTTGGCCGACGGAACTATTCGAGGAACCGGTGGGGTCCAAACGCGGAATGCAGTTCGTGCAGAAATGCATGGTAAGCGCTTGAGTGCAGAAGCAGTGTGCGAGTTCCTAAGCCTTGTCGAGTGTCGTGTTCCACGAAAGATAGGTACAATACGAGTAGAGAAGCATGACCCCGCCGCTCGTTCCTTCCTTTTCTAATATTACCTCACACTGAACACATTCAAAACATACCCAAGGATGACGTCCACAAGCACTCAACTACTTGACCTCCCCGATGAACTCCTCGCCGAAATCATCTTCAGCATCTCTGGCTCTAATCGCACACGTACTCTTGCCGCGCTCTGCCTAACGTGCAGGCGCCTCTGCCGCATCGCAGACAACCCGCTATACTCGCAGATACAAATGCAGCTCGGAAAAGAGGACCTCCTAACACGCAGCCTCCAAGCACGTCACGACTCTAACGATCAAATACTAGACGTAGGCTCGGGCTGTGTGATGACCATCTGGTTCACACAACAACGGCCTCATCTTACTCCTGCCTGGGACGACAAACAAGAGCGTACGCAGTGCAGCCCCTCAGTCCTGGTGAGCTCCTGATTCAAGTACTGGTGTTAGGTTTACCAAAGGACGACTCAGGCGTATCATGCCGAAATTCCACAGAGCACATGAGCAGAGAGAGCGAAGCAATTCTTTGATGCCAGTTCCGCCGCTCAATATATTCCGTACGTCCTCCTCATACACACCAGCGTCCGCGGAACGTGGGGACTGCAGCGCTGCAGCACTGAACACGTACAGACGTCTCTGGAATGCAGTACCTTCACATCATCGCCATCCTTTCTTGCATCTCTTCCAACCACCTGGAAAGACTTATCAAGCGAATGTGCCAAAAACGCATGACACGCCGCAGGCAGAGGATTCATTGCCCGTTGCACTTTGGAGCTGATAGCATGCATGCTGCTTCGCTGAGATGAGCCAGCGTCGTGGAGGGCTTGTACTCCGCCGCAGGACCAGATTACTATGCTACCGAAGAAGAAAGCGGAGGAGAATATGGCGAGGAGTTATACAGGGGGAATGTGGGGTTGAGACATCGTTGATTGATCGTGGGAGAGCGGGGGAGGAGATAGAACCCGAGGTTGGGAATGTATATGAGTGGGAGTGGGAATGAGACTATTGAGGGTATGGAATAGGTTGATGCTCGAACACATTGCAATTGTATATACGCTTGGATTGGGTTTGTGACGGACATCAAGCGCTGTGATAGGGTTACCTTGCTCCAGACATACCTCGGAGACTGCTAGTATTCACCTGTGGGCTGTGCCGACCCAGCCCAAGCTACCTCTCCTCCACCAGGTCCCCAACCCACCCCATAAGATCGCGCCCATCTTCACAAACCCGCCTATACTCCAACAGCAGCCGGAGTAAGTACACCAGCATATCCTCCTTCCTGAGCACCTTCTCCGCCCACTCCTTCCCCTGCACCGCAATCCTCCTCGCCTGCCAGTCATGCCCGCCCTCCAACACCACAGCCCCATCTCCGTCCCGTCCACCGCCCTTCCCCATTCGCCCAACAAAGTACTCCAGTATGCCATACAAGTCTACAAACGAGTTCTGCATCGGGACGAAGTGGTACCAAGGTACGAGACGAGCGTCGTGCCATTCCGAAAAGACTGTCGCTTTGATGGGCACGGACGTTGAGCGCAGAAACGCGAGGTAGCGCCCTGAGAAGCCGTGTCCGTCGATGTCGGGGAGGTATTTGGCTAAGAATTGCTTCTTCATGGGGACCTCCTTTTGGGTTGCAAAGTAGGGCGTCAAGTGCGTGCACTCATCTCCATCCTTGTTGTCATCCCCTATTGTACATTGCAGCTTAGTGAATGCCACGTCGGAGATAGCCTCGACCCAGCGTCCCAGCTCGAAGTCGTTTGCCGCGCCAGAAAAGCTAGCCGAGTACGGGGGCAGGTGCGTGGTGAGCAGAGGGTCGAGCGAGTAGATTACTGATGCGTTCATGAGGGTGACGAAGCGGTGGCGGTGGAAGCGCGTCCAGTTTTCGGGCGTGTTGCGGCCGCCTGAGGATATTCCGCGCCACATTACGCTGGTGATCTTCTTGTCCCAGGTCGGACCGTGGGAGTTGCCGGTCGCGTAGTCAGATGTGGATTGCCAGTAGGCGAAGGCGGGGAGAAGGATGTCGTTGTTCTGTACGCAGAGTCAGTCAGGTATACAGTAACGTGAAAGAGCCATTTTTGGTATGTGAGATCCGTACCATTGAAAGCTTGCCGGAGCCGAACATGGGCAACAAGTTCTGACTCGTGGACTGGCTCAGTGGGTCGATCAAAGCGCCGTGTGAGGACAAGAGGTCTGGTTGCAGACAGGGGTCTTTCGCTCGTGTCCAACTCGAGACAAATCCCTCGTAGGTGAAGGCAGGTGAGCTGCTGAGCGCGCAATTCTCGTCCTCTGCACAGAAGATAAGAGGGACTGACAAGTTGTTCGGCGCGGAAACGTTTCGTGAAGGCGCATCAGGAGCACACCCTGCGCGAACCGAATCCCAGTACGTGCTCTGGTCAGAGAAGGTGGGTTCGTCGAATTCAATCGTCTCGCCGTCGATATCAAGAGAAGTAAATCGTTGTACGACTTGATGCGCGGGATGCAGCTGGCGCTTTCCTAAACCGATCCTGGTATAATCCGAGATGTTTTCCCAAGGCACTGCAACCCGCGGCTCGTCCAACATGTTCAGCGGGAGATCCAAATCTGGCAGCAGATGTTGAATGTTCTCTACCATGTCGATCCATTGATCCAGCCTCTTGCGATCACCTTTGCGGGTTTGGACCTTCTTGTTACGGACGACGACACGATTGGGTAGCTGTCTGGCTTGCTGGCGTATCTGTTTTGCAGGCACGCCCCAGAAAGGACTCAAGTCATCGTAAATCTGATCGAAGAAGTCTTCTACGATGATCACATTGTGGGCAATCGCGAATGCGTACCATGCGTCGAAGCCGGGTGGAGGGTGGCATCCTCTTTGCTTGCGGTACGCGTCGGCGGTCTTGGTCAGGGTCGTTGCTTGTTTCGATAGCAACGTACTGAAGGCAGCTGTAGCGTTCGCAATCAGGTCGTCGATGGGGTGGTGACGCGGTGTACCGAGTGTAAGGACAATCTTTTTGGGTAATGGAGTCTGGCTCCAGAAGTGGTAGGTGCTGATGGCGATAGCTATCAAGACAAAGCTGCAGAGGAAACTCAGAAGCCGTCCACGATGTACCTGCCGCTGGAGGATATGAGAGATTGCTGGCTGTGCTACCATACCGCAAGGAATTAGCATGCGAAGGTTGCAGCGCACCATCAATCCGTAGATAGTCGAAAGCCTCGTGGACTCATAGGTGGTAAAGGAGAGTCAATGAAATCATGCTGAAGCGTGAAAGCGGAGGGGTTTTGCTTTTCGCGAGTGCCCTCCCGCTCTATCGCCGGGGTGACAAACGGAAGGCACGAGTGAAGTGAAATTACCCCGTGAAACGTCGCTCGTCATTGTGTGTGGCTCAGTGCAAAGGCGTGACGGCGGGTGTGCGCCGTGCTACCCCGAGTAATTTCTGACGTCGACATGTTCCTTCTTTAGTGGACGAATGCAATTCTGATGCTCCCATATCATTAGCTCGATACATATGCTTGGTTGACTGGCCAAGCATTTTAGGCTGGTGAATGTGACGCCGTCTGATCCGCTACACAGCCTCCGATTAGCGCACTTTGTGCCCCATTCAGTTTCCTAAGGTACGGAGCACGGTGGCGGCCACGTGGGGGTGGAGCATGCATATATGAATTGACTGCTTAGAGAGCCTTGATGCTCAATGTAAGTTAAGCCAAACATTTGACGATCAGTCTCCGAAGCCTCAGCGATCGAATAGCAGGTATTCTTGTCTTCGTCTGTGCACTTATCAACAGCTGGTATTAATTCGTACAATACTTATGAGCCAGTGGGATGAAGGAAGATTGAGCTTAACATGAATAAATGCGAGTGTAGAAATTTGTTACGTATCGACCGAGTTGATGTCTGGAATACCTTCTTACATCGAATAAGCCCAAGCTCTACCACGATCGATCCTTGGCATCGAGTCTTGGCGGAATGTCACTGCGGCGTGAACCAAGAGCTCCGACCATGATTTCAAGACTATAGCTTATCGCTGGTAAATGCTAGACAAGGCTTATTGTTGCTCGATGATCGACGCTAGAAATTGGAAAGAGCACCGCTTTCTGCGTGGACGGCGAGATCTAGCCGCTGTCAGTTTTGGCAATAATCAAAGTAGACACAGACTTGGAATCTCCGTGGTCGCTAATTGTCGAAATCTGGAAGACTTGCAATGACTGCCGAATGGGAAATGATAGACTTGAATGGAACGCGGAGAAGGCGGACATTATGGGACATGCATGAATCCAATGAAGAACGAAATCGACGGAAGGCTGAGTCAAGACAGGAAGATCCTTCTCTCGTACGGTATACTTGGCTCAAATTGTGGGTGTCGGGCAGATTTCGCCGGGGGTTAAGTGTACGATCAACACAATAGTTCAATCATGTTTGGTGTTGCTAGCCTCGGACATCAACGCACGACAACGCGAAGGATAGAGCTGCTTGGCGTGCCGCCAGTGTGGAGTTGCTCCCGAGATGGTAATAAGAACGATGAGACGCTTGTCTGTCTCAACTAGGCGAGCGGCTAACTCGAAGAGTCGTTTACCTTCGAGTCGTACAAATGACGGTATTCCTTCCCGCAAGACTGCATATGTAAAGCTGTACATGCCTCTGTGATTCTCAGACGACGTTGCTTTTCTTTGAAAGTTCGCCGAGACACCATGTCTCCTGTCTGAACGAAGTGAAGCCATGCGCGCACACAGAGCAGCCGCCACAGCCGAGCGAACGGCGGGGAACCACAGCAAAGCGACCGTCCTGTGGCATTTCCGCTGTGGCACGACAGCCTTCCGATGCATCGTTGATGATGTTGGAGCAACAGTGGTCGTTAGACCGTTGTTTCGTTCGCCATGAGGCTGCTCCAATTCACCGATCGCCTCATGTCATGCGACGGACCTTGAACAACCCACCCTGTGCCCAATCCGGCAGGTAAAGACTACCCCGCTCGTTGCAGGTCGTTTGAGCAACAGGAAGGCGCGACCACCTCATGGTGGTGAGGAAGTCGCGACCCTCGCAAGTCGTCTCATGGATCGTATCATTCTCCCGGCGCGGGATGGAGGCTCTTTCGTGCATCGGACAGGCGCAAGCCCTTCGCTGCCATAGCATTCCCGGGCAGAAGAAGGGCCACGACCGATGTGCAGGCGACAATAAGAGCACGCTCCACAAGCAGCTCCGTGTTCCCGCTTTCCCCGCACCCCACAATGCTGCCAACTCAAGCGACACGGCAAAACACGACCGCAGCAGTCTCGCGTGACGCGTGGAGGAGCGCGGCCGAAAGGTACCCATCTTATGTACCTGGCCTTCGCAATCAAGCCACCTAACCCAACATTCGCGCTTTGTGCTATCACTATCGCGAACGACGCGTTCGCTGTTTAGTGTAGCAGATGCGGGTCCTGGAGCTCTCCACCAGCTCGCCTACCTGCGTGACCCACCCCCCTCCAGCATGAATACCTCCGCCTGCCTCGTCGGCTGCCGCATCGCCGGCCGTTCGGGAGCGAGCGTGAGGCTCTTGTCGCCGCCCGTCGTCTTTCGTCCAACGCCAATTGTGCGTCAGGAATTCACCACTAAGCGCGTCCAGCCGCAGGAATCCCGTGTCAGCTTAGCACGTCCGCGCCCGTTGTCCCTGCAGAAGCATGTTCCCGAGTTTGCATCCACTGCTGTCGCCCGCTATGCATCCCTGGCGTCGGAACCGCATGACGAGGAGACACCTACATCCCCGCCTTTCACTGCTGGGCCCTACGAGACCCTGACCATCGGCATACCAAAGGAGAGCTATCCTGGCGAGCGTCGTGTAGCCATCACCCCTGCTAATGTGAAGCTTCTCCTAAAGAAAGGCTTTTCGCGTATTTTGATCGAGCGAGGAGCCGGTGAAGAGGCTCAATTCACAGACGAAGCATACGAACAAGCCGGTGCCGAGACAGTCGATAGAAGGAACGTCTTTTCCGACAGCGATATCCTCCTCAAGGTTCGCGCCCTTAGCATCGATGGCCCTGATAGTGAAGTCGACGCTATCCGCGAGGGCGCCACTGTCATTTCATTCATCTATCCAAACCAGAATAGACCCGTTGTCGAGAAAATTGCTTCCCGAAAAGCTACTGCATTTGCCATGGACATGATTCCTCGTATTTCTAGAGCCCAGGTATTTGATGCGTTGAGGTAAGCGCATTCGTCAGCAACAGTGTTGCATACGCTCGATATATCTGCTAACATGTGTGAAGTTCCATGGCGAACATTGCTGGCTACAAGGCCGTTTTAGAGGCCTCAAACCAGTTCGGACGTTTCCTCACCGGTCAGGTTACAGCGGCCGGAAAGGTGCGTCAAACATATTATTAACAAGATGAAAAAGCTAATTTGATCAGATTCCGCCTTGCAAGGTCCTTGTCATAGGTGCCGGTGTGGCAGGTTTGAGTGCCATTGCCACAGTATGTTCTATTTCAATTCCAGGGCTGCTCAGTCCCAAGTATAGACCACTGAGTCTTTCCCCGTTCCTTTCCCCGCCTATGAGATTTAGATGATAACCAATTCCTAGGCGCGCCGCATGGGTGCTATCGTCCGCGGGTTTGATACTCGTTCCGCAGCACGCGAGCAGGTGCAGTCTCTAGGCGCTGAGTTCATCGAGGTTGAACTGGAAGAAGATGGATCTGGTGCTGGCGGATATGCCAAAGAGATGTCCAAGGAATTTATCGAAGCCGAAATGAAGCTCTTTCACGAGCAGTGCCGTGAGGTCGATATTGTTATTACCACAGCTTTGATTCCTGGGAAGCGTGCCCCAACGCTCATCACGAAAGCGATGCTTGGTGCGATGAAGCCTGGATCTGTGGTTGTCGATCTGGCCGCTGAAGCTGGCGGTAACTGCGAAGCCACTGTCCCCGGAAAGCTAGCCAAGTACCAAGGCGTGACCGTCATTGGTTCGTGAAATTATGAATACGCTGAAGCAATTCCTGACATGCTTTGCAGGCTACACTGATCTGCCATCGCGACTACCGACCCAATCGTCCACACTCTACTCGAACAACATCACCAAATTCTTGCTTTCCCTTGTGCCGGAGAACAAGAAGGAGAAGTACTATGACGTCGATCTGAAAGACGAGGTCACCCGAGGCGCTATTGTATCGTACAACGGCAAGATTCTTCCTCCTGCTCCTCGACCTGCGCCACCACCTGCACCAGCTGTAAAGGCACCATCTCCCGCGGACCAAGTGGCAAATGTAGTCGCGCTTACGCCATGGCAAAGCCAAACCCGCGAAGTTGCCGCTGTGTCAGCCGCAATGACCACGGCTGTAGCACTTGGAAAATTCACTGGGTAAGTGCATTTGGAAAGTAGTGTACGACTGGACTAATCCCCAACAGCCCTCTGTTTATGTCTAACGCTTTCACGTTCGCCTTGGCGAGCTTGATCGGCTATAGAGTCGTTTGGGGTGTTGCGCCAGCACTACACTCGCCCTTGATGTCCGTGACCAACGCCATATCTGGCATGGTTGGAATTGGTGGCTTGTTCGTCATGGGAGGCGGGCTCCTTCCCGAAACTATTCCTCAGACTCTTGGTGCCGTGTCGGTCCTCTTGGCCTTCGTCAATATCTCCGGTGGTTTTGTACTCACAAAGCGCATGCTCGACATGTTCAGACGCCCAACTGACCCGGCTGAGTTCCCTTTGCTATACGCGATTCCAGCTGTTCTTTTCGGTGGAGGCTACATCGCTGCTGCTAGCACCGGCATGGCAGGTTTAGTGCAAGCAGGCTACCTTGTCAGCAGTATCCTTTGTGTTGCATCTCTGTCTGGTCTCGCCTCCCAGGTTACGGCACGTCGAGGCAACCTCTTCGGTATCCTGGGTGTGTTCTCTGGACTTCTGGCTTCGCTGCTTGCCGTTGGCTTTACGCCCGATGTTCTTACACAGTTCGCTGGTCTCGCTACTGTTGGAACCATTGCCGGTATGGTCATCGGTAGGAGGATTACTCCGACTTCCCTTCCGCAGACTGTTGCCGCACTGCACTCAGTTGTCGGTCTCGCTGCGGTTTTGACCAGTATCGGCAGTGTTCTTGGCCACTCGGGCGATATCTCAACCCTGCATCTAGTTAGCGCCTACCTCGGTGTGCTCATCGGTGGTGTTACATTTACCGGAAGTATCGTGGCCTTCCTCAAGCTGGCCGCGAAGATGTCATCTAAACCTCTGGTCCTACCTGGACGCCACCTGATCAACTCCTCCCTGCTAGGAGCGAATATGGCGACAATGGGAGCCTTCTTGACATATGCGCCTGGCGCACCACTGATTGGCGCAGCTTGTCTTTGTGGAAACGCACTTTTGAGTTTCATCAAAGGATACACAACTACAGCGGCTATCGGAGGTGCCGATATGCCTGTCGTCATCACAGTCCTGAACGCCTACTCTGGATTTGCGCTTGTGGCTGAGGGCTTCATGTTGGACAATTCGCTCTTGACAACTGTTGGTGCGTTGATCGGTGTATCAGGTTCGATCCTATCGTACATCATGTGCGTTGCTATGAACCGGTCCTTGACCAATGTCTTGTTCGGAGGCATCGCAGCGACGCCACAAGCTCAAGCCAAGATTGAAGGCGAAGTCACCAAGACCACGGCAGAAGCAACAGCTGAAGCACTTGCTGAAGCGGAGAATGTCATCATTGTAAGCACTCTTAAACTCAACTATTGAAACATCTCGACTGATAGCGTTTAAGGTCGTCGGTTACGGAATGGCAGTCGCCAAAGCTCAATACGCGATCTCTGACTTCGTCAAACACCTGCGCTCCAAAGGCATCAACGTGCGCTTCGCGATCCATCCCGTCGCAGGTCGCATGCCTGGACAATGCAATGTGCTACTCGCCGAAGCATCCGTCCCTTACGACATCGTGCTGGAGATGGACGAGATCAACGACGACTTCAATGAGACCGATGTCACTCTTGTCATCGGTGCCAACGATACGGTCAATCCGATTGCTCTCGAGCCCGGTTCCGCGATCGCCGGTATGCCTGTCCTGCACGCATGGAAGAGCAAGCAAGTCGTGATCATGAAGCGGGGTATGGCGAGCGGATACGCCGACGTGCCGAACCCGATGTTCTACATGGAGAACACGAAGATGTTGTTTGGAGATGCGAATGACAGCTGCAATGGTAAGCAACCTCCCCCGATTCGTCGCTGCATCGAGCTAACGAGTTCAAGCCATCAAACGCGCGTTGGAAGAGAGGAAGTGAAGGGTCAATTGGCATAATTCCTTGCGTAAAATGACCGCATTTCCCTTCATCATCTCCTGCGTAGACTCAGCTTAGACGTCTTGACAAATTGAAGCGGTTTGTCCTCCGTTCTTGCACTGGACACAGCGCTAGCTGGACTAGCCTACAAATGTTCCCGATCTTGATGCCTCAGGCACCCGCCGCCATTCCCCGCACAGACTAGCCCCAACCGTCGATGGCAAGGGTACACATGCATGCACGGTGACGTACATAATGTCCCGCACGCGGTTTCGCAACAAGCTTGGAATCACGCGCAGAGCTCTTTCGTAGCTGTGATAAAGCCTCGCACACAGCTGTCCTCGCGCCGTCAAGGTTTCCATTGCTAATCTCACATCCGGTGCTTCAAGACTCCGATACACTACTACGTAAGTTACACGCTCCCTTCGCGGCGTCGCTTTCGCAGCTTCGGAGATCCCCACGCGCATGCACATGAAGAAGACATTCCATCATAATAGCACCTCCCACCCGGCAGCATCCTCTCCTCGCCGTCCAAACTCGGCTCCCGCATCATCTTCAACGATAGCTTCAAGTTTCTAACGTACCAGTCTTTCGCGCGCGCAGAGCCACACACCTACTCCGCACATTCCCCGCCGACAGCTTCGCATAACGCAAATATGTCCACCTCCATCCCCATCATGTTCACGCTCCCGCCGTCCAACCGCCACGAGCTCATCTTGCTCGACATCGAGAAGCCCAGCATGAAGGCCCTGAATAAACAGCTTACTGCTACCATCGCGAGTAGTCCCAATTGCGCGGAGTGTACGTCCCGTTCCTCTTTCCCCACTTTTCCCTGTCCCCTCTTCTCCCTTATTCCCCATATGTTATTCCCTTTCCCTCGCATGTGGAACTGTCTACTTGTTCTTCTCTGGCGCTAAACCTTTCTCCCCGCTGACCCCCCTCAGTCATGGCAAAGCACAAATCGCAAGAGAGCGCCAAAGAGCAGATCCAAGAGCTGCGCGTCCACTGGAGCGAGACCGGGAGAGATAGGAAGGTCTGGCCTGAGTACACGATTGTGACGGAGGAGAACTTTGCGGCGATATTGGAGGTGTTAGGGAAGGGGGATGCGAAGGATGTGCTGGAGGTGAAGGTGGGGAAGGGGAGTAAGATGAGAAGGGGAGGGGAGGAGGGGAGGAGGGATGAGATATACATGTGCTTGGAGGTACAAGAGTTATGAAAGGCGTCCGGTGTTTTTTGCTAATATGTAGTGTAGTACATTCAAAAAGGCTCTTGTTTCTTGCTTCTCAATTCAGTGCTTCAATGCTGCCCTAAAGCTTCTTTGGTGCTAATCTTGAACGAGAACCTATGGCCCCGCATACGATGGTATCGGATTCATTAACTACGCGCTTACAAAAAACACTATGCATACTGTAGCGTCTTCGACAAAGCAGGGCAATGAAAGAAGCTATTGTGTTCCAAACCGGAAGCTGTACGAGGACATGTGCAAGGGCGATTCGGTCAGTATTTAGAATTAAGGTTCGATCCGGACGGCGAGTGATGCTCGACAGGACGAAGTCAACCCACGAACTGTAACCGTAGCTTCGCTCAGCCTGAGATACCTCAGCGTACTTTTCATTGAGAAAGCGCCACACGCATGGCCTCTTCTGGTCTCTCAAAGCTACAACTTCCGCCCACTTCTAATCCGCTCAAACTCCCCATTCGTATGCTCCCACACCGCCTCCTTAACCCCCTTCTTCCTCAGTTTCTTCAAAAGCTCCATAACCCTCCCCCCAGGCCCCTCACCATCCCAATCCACAGAGTACACACTCCGTCGTACCTCCTCAGTCGGTTGTCCACCCTCCACGCCATCCCCAACGCCACTCCAACCGCCTCCCCCTCCCCAGGCGCATACTTCGCACTCGTCCCCAAAAACACATGCCTCTCCCCACACTCCCCAATCGGCACACAAACCCACCTCTGGAACACCCACAGATATAATCCAAGCAGTCTCGTCCCTAGCCCCGTCCACCCCGGCACCCCGTCAAACAAAGGCGTTATAACCGCCCCCGGGAAATCATGCACGAAACTCACGCTCGGCGCTTGGTCTGCGAGACTTTCTAGTGCGAGAGTGTGCATGCTGGTTAGGTGGGCGCGGATCTGCCCGACTGGCACGCGCAGGCACGCGAGGTCTGATGTGTCGACGGGCCCTTCTTTCGTGCCGCCTGCGACGTCGAGGACGCGGGCGAGCGGCGTGGTTAGGCTGGCGTGGGTGAGTTGCGGGAGGAGGAGCGAAGGGATGAGGATGCGGTTGTAGTATACTGTTGCCATGAAGAGGTGGAGGCCTTCTTCGCTTACTACATATCCTTGTTATCAGTATGCTATGCTTGAGCTATATGGATTGGATTGGATTGGATTGGGTTGGATTGGCATTACGAAATGAAAGGGGGGTATACAAGCTCTATCCATGCGCACCTCGCCCATGCTCAGCACAACGAGGTTCACGCCCGTCTCCTTGCTTTTTATCACCTCGCACGCGCGGCTTGTCTCGCGGACGGAACTCAGATCGGCTTTTAGGACGGAGAAGGAAGAGGAGGGGTTGAGTGTTTGGCACTGCGAGACTATGAGTTCTGCGGCGGTGGTGTTGCGCGCGAGGAAGTAGATGCGTGGCGAGACGGCGTATTTTACGAACGCCTTGAGGGTGGCGAGCCCGATGCCTGTGGTTGCGCCTGCGAAGACGGCGACCATGTTGCTAGGCAGCTCTTGGGGGATTCGGGCGTTGGAGGAGAGGACTTGCGTGAGGGAGACCATGATGGGGGTTGGGGGGTTGAGAATGGTGGGAAGTAGAAATCAGGAAGTCATACTCGCGCTTGATTTAAGGCATGGGGGCGCCGCCGTACGAAGGTCCGTACCAGACGCCGAATGAAGGTGATTGGTGAGGTGTGGAGGGGAAAAGTCGTTTCGCCGTACAGAACGCCGTACGAAACGCCGAAGGGGGGTGCGGACTAATGAGCGGACGGGGAGGTGCTGTAGGCAGACAGAGCGCGGTATAAGATTCTGAACGGACAAGAAAGAGATTTGATCTGATTTGAAGTGGTATGTCAAGCTGAGCTTGTGAGGACTTGGAGAATGAGCGCCGCGGCTATCACGTGATCGTCCGTACGGAGTCTGAGAACGAAGAACCAGCACGACTGACGTGCGATGACCCTAACAACAGACTGCACTTTCAGAATGTAGTTGCTTCAAGGCCGCATCAAGACCGTGGTAGCCCACCCTGCATTATCAGACGCGTGATCGAATGCCTTCTCCCACTGGGCAAACCCGAAAACAGTCATATCCCTCATACCGCCCTGCTTTCCGAGCTTCAATATCCCAGTCTCCACCATCTTGATTAGCGCAAGCACCTGCTCCCGATTATACATCCACGTCCCTCTCAACGTCAAGTTCTTCCGCATAACCTGCCTCAGCGGGATTGGATAATCCTCCTGGATCCCACCCATCAAACTCATCCTCCCGCCCCTCTTCAAAGCCAGTATGCAGCTCTTGACATGCGTAGACTTTGCAGCCTGCGGCGGCGACACCTCGAAGACAGCATCGATTGCCCTCCCCCCAGCCGCAGCTTGCAACGCAGCTACATCATCCTCCACGCTCTCCGTAATCCGCACCGTCTTGACCCTCGGAAACGTCTCTTCCAGCCTCGCCAGGCTGTCCGCATTGCGCCCCATGGCAACCACACTCGCGCCCATCGCCACGCTGCACGCGACCGCCGCCCCGCCAAACGCCCCCGTCGCCGGCGCCACCACAATCGTCTCGCCAGCCTGCAGATTGATATCCCGCAGCCCCCCGACACACAGATACTTCGTCATCGTAGCAAGCTCCTCCTCGCCATACCCCAGCTCCTTCATGCGCTTCTCGTCCAGCGCAAACACGCTCTCCAGCGGCACAAGCGTATACTCCCCATACGTCCCATCACGCCACACCTCCTCCATCAACTTCTTGCTCCCGGTCGACGCCCCCGCCGTAAGGCCATGCAGAATTATATCATCGGGGTTATCCCGCGAGTGGATAGTAGCGTCTGCGTAAACCAATTGCCCGACCTTCAGGGAGGTCGAGTCGCGGCCTAGAGCGGCGACGCGCCCGATGCAGCTTGTGCCTGGGACGATGGGCGCGGTGTAGGGGTACTTGCGGGTGCCGTTGTAGACTTCGCGGGCGTAGGATAGGACAGGGGCGACGGTGACTTTGATGAGGGCGCTGCCTGGGGTGGTTTCTGGGGTGGGGATGGGCTTTAGGAGAGGGGTGGGCGTAGATGTCCTGGACTAGAGCGGTTTGCATTGTTGGGAGGGGCATTGCTGGGGATGGTGGGCACTGGTGTTGGAGATGGGTGGGAGTGGAGGTAGGGATAGGTGAGGCTGGATACTGGTGTTGAAAATGTGTGAGTGAAGTCAAGAATAGGTGAGGCTGGTGTGATATATGGATGCGATTTTGGCTGAGATCATCCTTGATCGAATGTAATCATTCCGAGCGTACATAGTCTATGAGGTCAGGGTGTGGATTTCAAGTGTCAGAGGTGTTGTTGGAGTTCAGCCGACGGGGAGGAAGTAGCGAGTGGATATGGAGGTTATCCCCGGCTAAGGCCGAGACCTGGTGTTAACGAATGCCGATAGGCAACAAGGTAAGGCTCACATCTCTGTAGTCACTTTACAATATTATGTGAGACTCAATCTGATTCTACAATCGTCCTCAAGCTGCAGTGAAGTCTACCTTCTTAGGCCTTTCCAATGCCATTTCTCAAGCCATAACCAAACCGCTAGGTACCAGTCTCAAGCCGCAAATGCAACATTGTATCCGTTCTCCTTCCTCTTCCTACCGGACATCTCCAAGCCGTCCTCGCCAAAACTCTCCGCCAGATCCCAACGGAATTCCTTGAAGGTGTGGAACACGAACTGAAAGGATTTGAGCCGCATAAGCTTGATGAAGCAAGCCATGATCATCTCCAGCACAACCTTGCGCAAGGCATCATGACTGCTAGCCGTGTTCCTCCACAGAAGCACGACCGAATCGAGGAAGCGGCTGACTTCAGCGGCAGCACACATATCCCAATAATGGTAGTTGACGCATGGCAGATCTTCAAGATGGTCAGATGGATCCTCACAAGAACTCGATCACTTACTCTCAGATTCGTCGTAGAAGTCGGGATCGTCGAACTTCCAGTCCAGCGCGAGAACGTCGGCTACGATCCTAAGATAGTTTACCGCAGCGTAATTGGCCAGCGCAGGAATATCGTATTTGTCCGCGACGATGTAGCAGTGCACGTGCAGGTCTAGCATCGTGATGCGCGGATATTGCTGTTGAAGAACTGGGTACATATAGTAGCTGCCATTCCTGAGGAAGTCGAGCATGGCGTAGACCGCCCAAGGGAAATCGTGGCGAAGACGAATGATGCGGGTAGTGGCTTCCTAAACATCAGACAGTCAGTGAGCATGAACTTCTTCCATCGCATGGAGTGAAGACAGTAGGTCTCAGAATAGCCATACCATGAAGGGTCCATTGAGCGCATTGTTGAAATATCGTGAGATGCTGCACAAGAAGTCCTTGTCCATTCTCTCGAAGGCCAGGCCACTGTCGTAGACGATTGCAGTCTCTAGAGGGCCAAGGTCGCTGAGTGACCTGGATCTGTTAGTGCTTACGACTCAGCATTAACTTCATTTTAACCCACTTCCGGATGCGCTGGAGGGCCTGAGCCCTGCTCTGGTGTAGCCTAGGCGGGCTGAAATTCACAGCGTCGCTGGGGTTGACTTCGGGCCTACTGCGAGCCTCATTCCTCTTCTTGAAGCTGATGCCTAGCTCGGCAAGCAGGTGTTCGACAATCTTGCGGTCCTCGTCAAAAAAGTCGTCCGTCGGAGGGTCGAGGATCTGCTGAGCCATGATGTGCGGATGGTACTAGGATATGTCAAGAGTCAAGACCTGGACAAGTGTTGTTAGAATGTATCCGCTCAGGCTTCAGCACACGGAACGCAGCAAGAACAGCAAGACGACAAAGGATCGTGAGGATTGACAGAAAGGGTTTGAAGTGACGAGGTGGCTTCAAATAGTAGAGGCGCGCTCCGCGTGGAAAACTCAAACTCGCGTCTTGACGCGTTTGGAACGCGGTGTATCTGCCTGGAAAGTTCGAAGGCTGACGCGTGAGTGACACGGGGAGTGAATGGTGAAGCCTGCGGTGAACCCCAGGCAAGGGCGCGCATGGTGAGAAACCCTTCAACTAGGCATGAGGAACTAGAGTGATGCTCGGAAAGGGACGCTGATGAAGCTGATATGAGTAGAGAACGTAGGGTAGGTTGTAAGGGATGAGGCCGTGATCATTGTCCATTGTGTGCCGCGAGGTTTGCGTGGGAAGGAACGACCTTGAACGTACGACACTTTCCCTTCGACATACCGACACCACAAGGCTAATGGAAGAGGCGCTCAGCATATCGCGAGCTGAAGACTCTTTGTAATTGACCGTATAGGTGGTTTGAAATTCGCTGATACTCTGTACACCTCTTGTCAGTATGCGAGCCGTGACTGAGGCGATATATGTTTTAACAGGCAGTCGGCGCTTACCATCGCCCAGCTACGGTACCATATTCGAGGATAGGATTCGCTTCTTGACTGCGGTGCAAAGTGCTTTTCCCATGTCCATTAGACCCTGTATTTGGGCACTGAGGCTTGATAAGAACCATGCCTGCAGCGAAACGCGAAGACTACCATGCCGAAGCGTGAGGTTGATCGATCGCAAAAGAATGGCACGTCAGACTGTTATCGATATACGATCAAGCGCCTTGCTCAGGTAAATTTACTCCACATACGTTTTCAGGCTCGCTATGACCGTAAGCGCAATCTTAACGGCGTATTCTATGTCATAGGGAATGGCGACTCATAGCCCCATGGTGATCTAGCCTTTGGCACACGTTTGACAAGCAGGATGTGTCACATATCCGTCCGCTTCTGCACAGTCGGCGGTGTGTCGCGCTAGCATGCGTAATTGGTGTGCCAATGAGTACCGTTGCGTGAATGGCTACAGCGACCACGGACTCAAATTGGGCAAACAGACCGCTTTTGTAGGTAGTCTTTGGGCAACTGCTGGCAAACGTATCTTTAACCTCCGCAACGTAGGCAGACGTATCTTCATGTCAGACGAGTACGCGGAAGATCACCCGCTCAAGGTTGGTAAAACCGGAGAGGAAGCCGGAAGAGACAGACGAGTCCACACTATGACCGCAATCTACGTTCAACGAGCGTGATATTTTTTTGTTTGAGCTCGGGCAGTTTTCCTTTCGCAAAGTGGACCAATACACTCTCAAAGGGACCGTGAAGTACTACTTCGCCGAGCTAACAGATGGCTTTGTCTCCTCGTACCTGATCCCTAGCAATTGAGCCATCTGCAAGCCTCATCCTCTACAGCTATCTCTTTGCCGAACCAGCGATGCCCCCCCGGAGTTGAGAACGAACACCTGTAGTGAAGCAAACCGAGTAGTACACATACACCTCCAGCACAGGCTCAGTACCTTGCAGCGGGCCGACTTGAAGCCGGTTGTTTCCACTGCGCACCCTTAGCGTCTACTCGCTGCACCCCACCGCAGCAGAAGATATGGCATTCGGTGGAGGAGCTGTTGGCGCGTCGAGCTGTCATCGCAGCCCCAATTCGCGGAGCGCTCACTATGGAGAACCCCTCCCGGAATGCAGCACCAACCGCTTACGTCGATGCCAAGGCCACATCATCGGCAGCTGCGAGTTCGCGACTTTCCAGGTCAACCGTCCGTCTCTGCCTCCCAACTTCGCTCCATTCAACCCCAGAACGCCCGGAGGCCGGCAACAACGGTGCCCAAACATACCATTCTCTGCCTGCAGCTTACTATCCTCTCCCTTCGAGCTCCCCGCGTCTCCTCGCTCGGTTTTCGAAATGCCGACCGAAAAGACGCTAAACTCAATCGGGATGAGCCGCCCATTAGAGAGATAATGCTGGGTGGAAGTGGCACCCTCACGCGTCGGAGCGTCCTCGAGAGTGATTTTGCGCTTCCAACCCGCCAGCTCCTCCACCACATACCCATTGTTCTCGCCCACCTCGCCGAGCACTTCGTCACCGCCGTAACATGACCCGTCAAGCCTCCGGCGCTTCTGTCCACTTTCCAATCCATCCCGTCGTGCTTTGAAGCTGCTCATCCTGCTTTCTCCGCACTTGGAGCGCTCCGTCGTTCAGCGTCACCTACGCTTCCCACCCACCAGACGGCGTATATTGCAACGGGAATACCCTCTTGGAATTGATGCGAACTACTGACAACGGTTTTTTCGTTCGTCGTTAGCTTCATCGAGCCATACTTCCCACTGCCCGCATCAACCGACCAGCTCGCATCGCGGCAGCGCCTACGACGCAGTCGGGCTCATACAGCGCATTTCGTGTCCAATCTGCGCCCCAATCTTGCTCGCAGACTTAAAGCGCAGTTCCCATGCCAATGTCACCGCGCCGGTCATCGCGGGCTCGTACCACGCAGCCCCCGCCCGGCGTCACCGCAGCGCACAGCACATCCTCCGCCTCCACCACATCTTCCCGAGGTGGCGACAGAGCGACGAGAATTAATCATAAGCAGTCTTCGCCGCAGAAATCCTTGACCCCACACTCGCTCTCTTCGGACGAGCTCGACGAGCCGCCTCGCGATCTGCAGGCAGAGCCGCCCTTGACTCGACGGCGAACACGCGAACATGACAACGACGGCGACGAGTTCGCAAAGCTCGATGACGAGCTAGACGATGAGATTGCCGAAGAGGATGAGGTCACACGCTGTCTGTGCGGCCAGCAGGAGTATCCGGGTCAACCCTCGGATGCCGGCAAGTTCAGAGACGGCCAATTGTCCTCTGTGATAGATTCTGACCTTCAAGGGGATGATGCAGGCGGTTTATTTATCCAATGCGATATTTGCAAGGTCTGGCAGCATGGCGGGTGCGTCGGCATCATGGAGGAAGCTGCTAGCCCCGACGAGTACTTCTGCGAGGAGTGCCGCAAAGACCTCCACAAGGTTATGACAAGTCCCAAGGGGTACGTAGCATCACACGTCTACTCACCCTACCCCGCGAGTGTCCAAACGCGCAAGAAGCCAGACTGACGTCAGTGCAACAGACAGAAGTACTCCCGATACCTGCCCGTATGGGACCAACAACACGGGAAGAATGCTCGTAAAGGTTCTTTATCGAAAGAATCTGACAAAACGCCGAAAGACAAGGACCGCCTTAGTAGAGCAAGCGTAGAGTCCTTCAGCAAACGGCGATCGACAATGAACAGCAGAGCGGCCTACGACGAGGATGAGGTTCTCCGCAAGGTGCTAGAAGAAAGCAAACACGAAGGCGCAGTGCCGTTGTCGGAGAATGGCAATCGCAAGAAGCGCAGCCGGGACGACAGCGAGGAGTGAGTCAACTGCGCTGCACAAACATGGATAAGATCGGTTGTTGACAAGCTTTGCCAGGGCTAAATCTGAGGTGAAACGACAGCGGACGAGTTCCAGATCTCCCAGTGGCTCTCCAGTATTTGAATCGGACGACGAAGGCTCCAAAAATGCGGCGCCGAAACAAAAACCACGCGGAGCAGCTGCACGAAGTCAACGCGAGAAGGAACAGCGGGACAAAGAGCGCGAGCGTGAGCGTGCTGAAGCGGCCAACAGACGAAAAGGTCGTGCTGAAAGAAGAAAGGGAGACGGTAGGCATATTTGTGTCATGACAAGATCTTAGCCTGACATGGGAGCAGAATCAGAACCACCAGAAGCGCTACCCGCCGAAGAATCATCCATGCCTACACCTGCGGAAGAACCGGCTCCTGCAGAGTCCCCCGCTGTTGAACCCAAACCCGCTCCCGCTCCGAGGAAAGGCGGACGGCCTCCGCAAAAACGTCGACTAGGTCGAAATCAATATACTAGGGACGCGCCAATGGCCGCAACCAACGGTGCCTCGCCGGCAGTGGATGATATACCTAATTCTCCCCAAGTGAACGGCACTGGGAATGGACACGATAGTAGCGATGGCGTTGCAAGCGGAAAAGTCGGCAAGCCGAAGAACTGGCGGCTGCAGAAGCTTTCCTGGCACGACATCCGACGACCCGCAGGTGCTATGCAGAATTACATATCTCAGCGCCAAGTTGAAATGGCAGGAGAGAAGCCTGCCCCGCCTGTACAGGAACCTACAACAACGAACGGTATCCAGGACCAGGATGATACGAACGAAAACGGCGTCCAAGAGGATCTGGACAAGTTCACGAAGCTCAGTACTCTACAAATGATGGACTATATTAGCAGGGATCTCACACATTGGCAGCAGATGATCAGTGAGCCGAACGGGAAATGATTTGCGCCCGCGGCACCGTCGCTTCGATCATGCTTCACTCCATTCCGGCGTGCTTCGTTTCGCCGAACTCTGGATAGCGGCGTTGAGCGACACTTCACAGCGTGCCGCGTTTCAGGATAGACCACATCGTCCTCGCAGGTATAGCGTTGCTTGTATTAGATTCTACATCTTTAGGCGTTCAAAGGCACCCTGGCTAGGGTCATGGGTTTTATTGGGCTGCGTGACATAGTGGTACGGATACCCTCCACTTCGTGCTTTGGAATTGCAGCGGACTTTGGGCTGGTGTGTTTAGTTAATCGGCATTGAGGGCGCAGGGATCGGGACTGTCTTGATAAAGATGGGGCCTTGCGGCGTGAGTGACGCAAGCAAAATACAATATTTCCACTATTGCAATAAGTTCTGAGATCGTGGCCCTTGACTGTGATGGTGATGTACATTGCTGGGCTGAGCCGCATCGCATCGATGGTGTAGGTAAGGTTTGAGGCGACTGAGGTATGGTTTACACCTTTGGTAGGTGATATAATGACTCGTATAGGCGGTAGTGTATGGGTGCGAAGTATAAACGCTTGGAATGTGCAATATGCCTGGGTGAGATTCGGTGTGGATGTTGCGCTGGGTGTGTTGTTTCGAACGGAGAGCAGGGAGGATATAGAAGGGATATACTGGAGTTCGACAGTGAGTCTTTTGAAACGAGTCTAGCCAACGTCAAAGGTACGTTACGGCTGGTGGGGTTCCGTCACTGTTGTCGTATATCGCTGTGGAAAGTGCTCATCGTATACGTGCCCATAGTATCAAATTTCGTGTGAGGGAATGAGAAAACGCCGTATCCCGCTGAGTGGCTTTCCAAGTGTGCTGTGATCCAGCTGAAGGAGGTGAAACGTAACGAGATTGCTCATATGGCTCAGATTGAGATAGTCCGTGGGAAGAAGACCGAGAGTGCTCATGTGAGGAAGGCTGGGATTGGCCATATGAAGAAAAGCGAGATGGGGAATATAAGAATGTTGGTATGGAATTGTTTTGGGTTTCTCGCATGAAGATGCCCAGGTGAACTGGATGTGAAAGTGTGTATGACGCTGTTTGGGGTTGCACAAAGGAGGCAGAATGGTATTGTCTATGCGAACAAGGCTGAGGCTGAGTAGGTGGTGGAGACTGAGTCTGGCTAAGGGTAGAGGACTGATACTGAGCTGGGGAGTGAGACCGGGTCTGGGTAGACGGGGGATGCGTAGATTGCGAAGTGCTATAGTATGGCTGCTGCGAAGATGTACGCCTGATAAGGTCCTGCGGTGGGGGTGCCGTTGTTTGATACCGTAAGTACTGCCGAGGAGTTCGCTGTAAATAAGTTGCTTAGAGCTCCCGAACACACAGTTTGAACAATTCTGATAACTCTGGTTATTTTGCTTTGTTGAACTTCAGAACAAGCGTGTTATATACCTGCTGTGAGGGTGGACTACTCCGGACTAGCGTGTTTTCGTGCATACGAAGGCGAGTGCGCCCACTTCTGCGAGCCCGCCCTCATTTCTTACGCCTAGGCACATAACCACCGCAGAATTTGCCCTTTTATCTTTCAGCGCCATACTGTGATAGCTTATTGCATTATTTTATGTATGTACGCATGTGAGGCTGCACCTAACTGACGTAAGGTGTCGTTCGACCCGCGACGCTGGCATCTGAGCTGAGCCACGTTCCGGTCAGCCTAGGCCTGTCTCATATATAGGACTGAGTCTTTGGCAACTCTTACGACTGGTAACACCCAAATCGATGTCGCACTACTGAGCAGATCGCTGACAGTGTAACTCAATCGTGATACACTGATCGCAGCCAATCAGAACGACAGAGCAAGTCTCTTAAGCCTATCCACCATCAACCACTTCGTCCAGGATGGTCGGGAAAGAAGGGAAAGAACGCGATAAGACAGCTTCAAGAGATTTCAAACATCATCCGCTTCACGACAAGAGATCCATACGCATCTTGGAGTTACTCCCCGGCCCAACCGGATCTCCACTACAATGCCGGGTCGTCGAAAAGCCGTTAGACTCTTGTGGTAGCTATGAAGCTCTGTCTTACGTTTGGGGCGACCCAGATCTAGTGAAGACGATCGGGCATGACACAAAAATAATTCGCATAACAAGAAACTGCTCGAGAGCACTGCACCATTTACGAAAATCGCGAGATTCGAGGTACTTATGGGTTGATTCGATTTGGTATGTGTTGCCATATTGTCAAGGTATGAGTATATGGCTGGGTCGCTGACACAATTCCTTACGCAACTAGCATCGACCAAAAGTCACCCCTGGAGCGTAATCATCAAGTGGGCATGATGGGCACGGTGTATAGCAAAGCGCGACGTGTTGTCGTATGGCTTGGACGGAGTCAATCCAAGCCAATCAACACCGCCATGACTTATATTCGACACGTCTCTAAACAGGGACTGGTGCCTGAAAAAGGTCAAGTACATCCTTTGTCGCGTTGAGCTGATCCCTAACGCTCGTCTTAGGCCATTATGAGAGCAAGGTACCGGGATTAAATGCGCTCTTTGGGAAGTCCTGGTTTTCCCGCGCTTGGCCAGTTCAAGAGGTTGCTTTTTCACGCGAGTGCAAGATTCTCTGTGGTTACTATTCGATCTCGGCAGACGAGCTCATGAACTTCCTCACACTAGTCAAGGATTACACCATTGTCAATTGGAATCTGCACAGGGCTCATGTACACAGACAGATGTGGAGGTAAGTTTGAAATCTTCGCTAGATGCACTTCGCAAGGTCGCTCTAAAACAGCTAGTTCGCCATGTGTATCAGTGCTAACGCCATGATTTCTTGAAGGTACATCCAGCACGTGCGCTTCCACAGTCAACAAAAACTTACTAACAGCACTGCGATGCTCCTACGAACACAACACCTTGATGCTACAGACCCTAAAGACAAGATATTCGCTGTCCACGGCTTGCTTTCGCAACTTGGAGCTCATTTGCCAGACCCAGACTACTCGAAATCGATCCAACTAGTCTATCAGGAGGCTGCTACTGTTGCCATCAACCACGACAATCGACTGCACATCCTTGCTTCACTTACGGGTGAGAGTGGGATCGAGGGGCTTCCATCATGGGTTCCTGACTGGTCTTGTAATCGACCCATATCCGAAATAGCATCTTGGGACGACTATAACGTAAAAAGAGCGACTAAACCATGGTTCAAGTTTTCGGCAGACGGAAAACGTCTGAAATTATGGGGTGCAGAGGTCGACAAGATCGAGGAGCACTCAATCCCATTCGTAGCTCGCTACAATTTTCACGATGTCGTAGGACATGGTTATCCGATACGCGAGATAAGAATATTGCAAAGATGGTTTGAGAGGCTTGAAGAGGATCCGCACCCAACAAGCTTAGTCGAATTCTTCTCCGGTTTGAGCGAAAAGCCTTGGACACGCATGAAGTCTCAATTCAATCTTTCTACCGATGTACTTTCAAAATACTGGATAAAAGCCATCAAGCGCTTCAAAAAGGACGGATGGACCTACAACGGAGCCCGCTATATTGATGCGGATCTGCGTTGGCGGGCCACCGAAAGCGCTATGAACGACGGCATGAAAGAGAAACATGTAAGGGGAGACATTACACCTTTTCACGATCTCATGCGAACGCTCCTGGACCGCAAGGTTATGTTCGTAACCAAAAGAGGACACCTAGGGATCGCATCCCAAGCTATACAAGATGACGACCGTATCGTCTTCTTCCGTGGGGTAAGTCTGCCCATGGTCGTTCGCCAGGTGAAATCGAAGTGGCGGCTTGTTGCACCAGCATATATACACAACGGGATGGAGGACATATCTAACTCCGAAACAATACTCAATAAACTACAGGCTTTGTTGGTAACAGACCAAGTGCAGAAGTTCGACATCGTCTAGCAACAACGACCGGAAATGGGATCAGTGAGTGGCTGGATATTTTCACTAGCCAAAGTGAGCATGGGGGCCAGGTTCCTCTCCCCCAAGAGCAAGGCTGTGGTGTATGCAACAGCATTGTTGAAGAAGGGCTAATCCGAATGATCGAAGCGTCTAGCGAACTATGTCATCAGCTACTCCTCTGGAGCTAGTCGTGCTGTTCTGATGAGGCATGGGACTGGAGGATCGACTTTGAGCAGTGGAGAACGAGCAGGATGAGCTCCGTACAGTGTTTTCCTGGAGTAAGTGATGAGTGCAAGTACGGTGATTTTCCGGACAATCGCCATTTCGAGAGGGTAATGGCAAAGCTGTATGGTGACTGAAGTGATGGGAGGATAGCAGGGAATGAATCCAAAAACGCCCGGCGATTCCGTTGGCAGAACCATGAGAAAAATCGCGTAGCTGCATTTGCAATTTGTTGGTCTTCCTTCGCGAAACGTCTAGCGGAAGTGCGATTGAGCTTCAAAGCAAAGCCCAAGGTTCGTGAAGTCCACGCAGTTGCTCACAGTGTCTGATCACGTGCTTGCCGAGTACCTCGGCATGTGAACGCTGACTCGTTCCTCCGGATGCTGACTCGCTCCAGTTCATTCACACGACAACATCACCTGGCCTCTCACGTAGCTTCTGCAACTCTCGATTTCTCCCAACTCAGCCCCAATCAAGCGAGGTCTTTCTGTTCAGCTTTGCGCTCTCGTCCATACATCAATCCGCCGCGCGCACCCTTACACCCATTACTTCCATTCCAATATGCCCATCAAGACCTGGCTCACAGAAACCCTGGGGGTTCGCATACCCATCGTCCAGGGCGGCATGATGTGGGTTGGCCGAGCTGGACTCATCTCTGCCGTCGCGAACTCCGGCTGCCTGGGTTTCCTTACTGCCCTCACACAACCAACTCCGGAAGCGCTGCGCGAAGAGATTCGTAAATGTAAATCAATGCTTAAACCCTCCGCCGTACAATTCGGCGTCAATATTACGTTATTACCGGCAATCGTCAGACCCGATTACATGGCGTATGCGCGGGTTGCTGTCGAGGAGGGCATCAAGGTCGTTGAAACGGCGGGTGATCCCTCGCCTATTCTAAAGTATCTAAAAGAGAACGGCGTTGTCGTGATACACAAGTGCGTGGCGCTGAAGCATGCTTTGCGGGCAGAGAAACTGGGTGTAGACGCCGTGTCCATCGATGGTATCGAATGCGCCGGCCACGGCGGCGAGTACGACACTACTTCCTTGATGCTTCTCAGCCTTTGTGCGGAACAGTTGAAGATCCCATATCTTGCAAGTGGAGGGTTCGCAAACGGAAGACAAGTTGCTGCAGCTTTGGCTCTCGGAGCTGCAGGTATAAATATGGGGACGAGGTGGATGTGTACGGTCGAATCACCCATCCACCAGAACGTCAAGGATACCATCGTTAAGGCCACGGAGCACGACACTGTGCTCTGCCTCAGGAAGTTTCGAAATACGAGCCGGTTGCACAAGAACAAAGTCTCGCTTGAAGTGCATCAGATCGAGAATACCAAGCAAGACGTCGAATTCAAGGACGTTGCTCATCTCATGAGTGGCAAGAGAGGAGTAGGCGTATATGAGACCGGCGACGTGGATGCTGGTGTTTGGAGTCTGGGGATGTGTGCTGGTTTGATCCATGATATACCCACTTGTGAAGAACTGGCGAAGAGGTTAGAAAGAGAAGCAGTGGACACACTCAGCAAGACCAACGGACTTGTAGTAGCCGAGGCGAAGTTGTAATCAAGATGATACGTTTGATCAAGACTGGGCACATGGTTCACGATGCCCAAAACAAGCGCCCAACCTGTTCACTTTACTCTGGTGCTGCGTCATATCGATCGATTAACGCCTTCTACGAGCTTCATTACATTAAATCGTGCGTCATGAGTTCCCCTGGCTTCTGGCCCTTGTGTGAGACTAGACTCACTTCGTCCACACCATTGTGGCTGCGTTTGATCGTGTACGACTTTTCCACCACGATCCCGTCCTCTTCATTGAATTCTGTTGATCCATGTTTAACCGGCGAGACCGATGTCCCGATTCGGACGTCATGCGATGTGTTGCTTCGACCTATCTGCTGGAGTTCCTTGCTTTCGTCGCAGTTGTAGTAATGCCTTCGACTGCGAGATGAGGAGCCTTGCAGAATGGGAAACAGCTTAGCGAGAAGCTGACGTACTGTCGGTAGGCAGGCACTACACGTACGTTAGCATGAGTCTTTTGGGTGCAGACCACAGCTGTTGACTTACCACATGATGCCCACACATATTTCGATTGTGCTGTATACTGACACGTCGTAAAACTCCCAACTCGCGTCAGAAGAGGCTGCGAAGTTCATCAAAGCGCGTAACCGCAAGATGCTGACCACAGTGACGAAAGTACCGACGGAGAACATCAGCCCGACGCCAACCTTCTTCTTCCAATGCAATTTGAGGTGTCTCAGTTGCCACATGGGTATCCCAAGGATCCAGATGTCCAATGCGATGCTAATGGCAGCGTGGGTATTCGTGATGGCGTTGATATCCACGCAATGGCCTTCGTGGAGCCCATCCCAGTGCTCCCAGAAATACCGGACGGGCTGGCATTGGAGGAGAGCAGCAAGAACGAAGGTAAAACCCCACGCTACCACAAAGATGACAGTACCCCAAAGCAAGCGCTGGACACTTTTACTGGGAAAGACGCGGATGTAGAAGAAAACCAAGCAGAGTTTCAAGAGCGCAGTCTGCGTGAAGTAGAGTGCCGCCATGACGTAGAAGTACTTCAGCATGGTGGTAATCTCTTCGGGTCGCAGTGCCCAGATATGTTGTCCCAGACCATGCCTGACGGTCCCGTAGACGGTGATGATCGCACTGGGCACGGATATGATCGTTGTAGCCAGTACAGCCCAATCATCCCAGCTAATGTCGACCCGGGTGACTAGTATTTTGAAAGCAAATCGTACAACGACGAAGCCGGCGGCGGTCGAGAACAGCACGTTTGACAGGACGGTGTATTGAGGGCCGCGATTGTGCACAGGAGCTCCACAGCTAGTCAAGCTGCTGTTCTTGGTCGCTAAGGTTGGTCAGTACGTCATCCTTCACAACCATTTCAGAACTTCAGCATACCTAGCTGATCCGGAATCGTGCAGCTCTTGGTTACACAGAGCGTAACGTTGGTTTGGAAGACCTCATTCGTACAGATGCAGGTGAGGTTAGTCGGACTGCAAGTGTTGGTGCCGAATGCCTTGAGAAGGCATGGTTGCTAAAGAATTTAGAAACGCCATAGTATTGTGTAGTGCATGGGACTTACGGCGCATTCAGGAAGTGTAGATTGGGCCGTCGCAACCCACGCAAACGCCAACACCCATATCGAAAGCAGCATTCGGAGAAAGGACACCATGAAGGATGCCGTTCGTCGGAGAATATTCCACAAATGCGCAGGGAAAGCGGGAGCCAGCCCTAATTATGAACCACCCCTTGACCCTCAAAAGACCTAGTCCCCGATGATCTGCGCATCACTAGATTAGCGAAGGGAAAGTGCCGAACAACATGATGTGCGCAAGGCATAGACTCGGGGCAATTCACGCTCCTTTCCCTATTAGCACGTGTCAAAGTTTGGCCGCTTCGACTTAGCGCAGCCGGAGACTTTCGATAGTATGCATTCGGCCAAGAGCAGCTTCTCTGGCACGAAAGGCTGATTTGTGGAGTGTTTCGCCGTTCGCGTATGTCATTGACTGCTGAGAACCCGTGATCACGTGCTGACACGCGAGAGTGGATACATCGGGCAATTTAGCGGTCGCTAGACATGCGCTAAAGCTTAAACATGTACCGGCGTGGGGATGATCCACTATCTGGCACAATGTTATTGCCGGAGCTGGGGACATCACCATGACAGACTTTTGACGGCGCCTAGTCGTTGTAGGTCGACGACGGAAACGACCAAACTTGCATTATTCCTACGCAGAAGCTTGAAGTGTGACTGCGCGTGATGAGAGCAGCTGGCATGATTTGGGTACTATCATCGTGGACATGGAACTACCATGGAATGTAAAATTGCCAGCGTATCACAATTGGTACGCTAGGTGGCCCAACATGGCATTGAAGGCAGGCGTACCAAAGGCCCTTCCTACATGTGAACGTTGGTATGACGGCATGGTCTGGAGCGGCCTACAGAGTATACGACCCTAGCTTATTCTGTAACATCGACCAAACCAAATCAGCAACTGCGTGTGGCTCGCAGAGTGCATTCCGGGGCAACAAAAAGCTTTGATCCAACTACGTATGTGCTTAAAACCTTTCGATGCCCGTTGGGGTGCTTTAACTTGCCTTCTTGGGACTTACCTTTCGAGCCAGAGGACAAATCTTTCTGGACCATGAATTGACTCCATTCTATTCGAGCGTCCACAGTAGTTGTTGTGCACGCCAGCACGATCAGACAAAGTCACGTGATGTCGGCAAAGGACAGTCTGTTGAGAACAGTTGAAGTCTACAGAGATTGTCGATGTTCGCTTAACAAAAGAATGATTACGACTTCCGAACAATATTGAGCCAGAATAAGGAGATAGAAAGCAACGATTGAGCCAAGCGGAGCGAGTCAGACATTCGGACAGTTCCAGCGCCTCACTGTCATGTCTTCTAATAACAGACATTTTAGCACGTAGAGCCAGTAACGCTTGTATGAAATTTACTAAACAAACCCACTTCAAAATCTTCGCTAATCCTGCTTTCGTGTTGCCCTTTGTATTATTTATTCGGAACCCGGGGCCGCGCGCTGAAAACGTAAGCTTTGCTCGAAAACGTACAGAAGCTGCAGAACTGAATGATTACAAATGTTTCTTTCTATACCAGTACTCGTCTTAATCCCACCTCGAGCGGTCTCACAGTCCTTCTCGGGCGGTCGGCAACTGCTTGGCTTCCTTCTACAGGTCAGCCGCAAGGGCAGAATATGCATATCCAGCCGCCGTTTCCACATATATCCGCTTGTACCCAGCCCGCGGGTGTACTGTTGGAGCAAGAGTCCACCGAGACATTATAAACCTAGAATGCATATCATAAAGTAGGAGTATAAAAGCTACAGCATGGTCTTGAGACTAAGTTCCGCTTGAGAAGACAGTAACGAGTCACACCTAGGTAACGTTACACGCTTGACAAGAACTTACAATACCAGAAGATGTCAGTCTTCCTAGTTACAGGTGCCGCCCGCGGCATCGGTCTTGAACTTGTCAACCAACTCTCCTCGAACGCCACTACCACGGTCATTGCCACAGTCCGCACCATTTCACCTGAACTACAGCGTCTCAAAGACGAACGCGAAAATGTCCGCATCACAATCTGCGACATCTCATCTCTCGACTCCATTTCCGCGCTTAGCACATCCCTGGCGGGCATCCTCCCCTCTGGCGAAAAGATCACACATCTCCTCAACAACGCTGGAGTCGTAGCACATCCAGAAGCCAAAGCCACGTCCATGACTGCCGCAGCACTCTCGGAAAATATCACAACAAACGTACTCGGGCCAGCGAAAATCGTCGAAGTGGTACTCCCGTTCCTCGCACCTGGCGCGAGCATCGTGAATATCACCAGTGGCATGGCTTCGTTGCAATTAGTCACCACCAGCATTATACCTGCAGCTGCCACTGCTTATACCATCTCGAAAGCTGCTCTGAATATGCTTACTGTGCATCAAGCGCAAGAGCTGAAGGGGAAATTTCGTGTGGTGTGTCTGGATCCTGGTCATGTGAAAACGAGGCTTGGTGGGGATATGGCAAGTGTTGAGATCCATGAGAGTGCAGCTGGTATCATTAAGGTAGTACGGGGGTTGGATGAGGATAAGGAGGGTGACCGAGAGAACGGAAGGGCAAGATTCATGGAGTTTTCGGGCAAAGAGATGCCATGGTGACAATGGTGACAAAAGCGAGTGTATCTGAGAATTGAATCACGAAAGAGATAGCATTGAGTCATACCGTTGTGATGAGCTGCAGGAAAAGTGTCGCTACCTTTGCTCGCAACGAAACAAGCTTTGGACTTTGGACTTTGGCATGGAATTTGTTATCCTCCATGGCTGACAAGCTTTTTGATCGTCGTGCGTCTCCTCGAAGATCGACCGGCGAAATTGAACTGTATTTGCACGAATCGCGTGTAAATTGTCACGCTGTGCTTGAGCCGGCCACGCAAGTTGACGACTTCTATATGATCACCGTGCATTAGACGCGTCTTTCCACTGATGAATAACAGGAGACTCGTCTAACGAACTGTCATCATTGTCTGCGGACCTTCCTTGGCATTCGTCGCACAACTGTATTCGGGGTTGTTACCGGTGAGCCGCGCATCACTTTTCATCATCACTCACAGAGATACGACACCTATATCAATCCTTCTAAGTTGGCGAACTCCGAAGGGCTGCAATCGTATCATTTGGGCATCTTATGTACATACCCCGTGTCCCGCATAGGCAACGCCGAGCCTCGGAATGAAACAGCGGGGGAGGCTCTAGTAGGTCTCTTATCTCCACCTTTACTCCGAGATGCCTATCACAGTACTCGATCGCACACTGCTGCCAGGACACTTTTGTGATACACGTACGCCCTTCAGGCCTGCATGGTTAAATACACGATCAACGTGTCATTTCTTCGATCTCCACAGCGTATATAAAGAGCCACAAGAAACCCTCGTCTGGTGTTACTCCAAACGCGCCATCCATCATCCCACCACGTCGACTTCACAATGCGACACGCGCGCGCCACGCTTCCAACGCCCACATCTACCAATTCTTTCTGGCACAGCGAGCCAAATGAATTTCTCATCGGTCATCACACAACGGAGGAGCTACCCGCCGAGGCTGATATAGTCATTGTTGGAAGTGGTATCACAGGTACATCTGCGGCAAGATTTCTCGCGGAAGATGAAAGGGCAAATGGCAAAACGATTGTGATGTTAGAGGCGCGAGAGGCATGCTGGGGCGCTACAGGCAGGGTAAGCCAATCCTCCCGCCTCCACCGTTACGAAGACCTTCTACAGAGCAACTGTCCCAATCTTGTGCATAATGAAAAGGCTGGACTAACACCCGCTCTAGAACGGCGGTCATTGCCAGCCCTTGCTTTGGGATCGTGGCGCCGAGATCGCTCTCTTCGAGCTCAAGAACGTTCATACCGTCCGCTCATACATCGAGGAACATAACGTGCCCTGCGAATGGCGAACTGTGTCCGGCTGCCGCCAATTTTGGACCGAGGAAGTGTTGGCCGAAGCAGAGAAAGAAATCGCACATCTCGAGTCAACTGCCCCAGAGCTTGCCAAGCAAGTCCGGATAATCAAAGATAAGGAGGAGCTGAAGGAACACCGCGTCAATCCCGACTGCTTCGGTGCGTCTCTAACAACAGGAGCCGGGAGCTTATGGCCCTACAAGCTCGTTACCTTCATATTAGAAAAGCTGGTCAAGGAGGGCCGCCTAAATCTCCAAACCAAAACTCCCGTTACAGAGATCACTTCCCAAGGGAAATCGCATACCCTCCATACACCACGCGGCGCCATCACCGCTTCCACCGTGATCCTCGCAACCAATGGCTACACCTCCGCTATCCTTCCCCACTTCGCCGACCTCATCGTACCTGTCCGCGGCGAAATGAGCGCCCTCTTCCCACCGGAAAAGTCATCCATTCTACCCGATTCCTACGGCATGATCGCCGCTCTCGGCCAACCAGCGAACAATGACGACTACCTGATACAGCGCCCGTATAGCGGCGTGCCGAATCCTGCTGGGCACTTGATGTTCGGCGGCGGCCGCGGAATGGGAAAGCTACCCTCGATCGGTGTGTCAGACGACACAATTATCGACCCGGACACGGCAGCATATCTGCGCGGCGCGCTGCTGAAGGTTATGGAACTGCCAGGTGAGACGGAAGGGGTGAAAGAGTTGAAGGCTGCGGGTGAGTGGACGGGGATCATGGGGTATTCGAGAGATGACCATCCTTGGGTGGGTAAAGTGCCTGGGAAGGACGGCTTGTGGCTTTCTGGTGGGTATACGGGACATGGAATGCCCAATGGGACGTTGTGTGGAAAGGCGGTCGTGGACATGGTGCTTGGAGAAGCTGCTGGGACTGACATCACAAAGGTGCAGGCCCAGATGGTCGAGAAGGGCGATATACCCCAGAGCTACCTCATTACGCCGGAGAGACTTACGAAAGCTCGATTGTGGCCGACTGTGGAGCAGCAAGATCAGGGAGGTGTGCATATGAATGGTTTGGTGTAAGCCTGCATTACCGTGTCTAGCATTAGAATGGCTTCTATAACCACCCTATCGAGACCTCTACTCGTAACGATGAGCACTTAATACACTGCATGTCTAAGCAATTCCGCCATTCCCGCCAATTCCGTTGTCTCAGAACTGTATACAAAGAGCAGCAGAAGACTCTCACTATTTCCCCTTCTGAATCTAGCGTACCAATCTCACATCATACCAAACTTGCTCAAAGTTTTCCTTTCACAATACTCTCGGCCGTGGAGTTGTAGTTCGATGCATCAACTCCGCGTGCAACGCCCTGCAGGGTCAGTTTCCGGATACGGATGTCAGATTCTCTCCGATCCGCAGCCACCAACTAACCGACCAATCGCAACCGCAAGGTAGACCGACTAATTCTACGGAAGGACACACGTGAGGAAGTACCCCACGTTGGCACGCCATGGCGAGCACGTTTTCGCAGGACTTGTGGTGAGAATATAGTTCATGAATTACAATGAAAGGTGGTAGGGCGTAAACTATGCAAGATATATAAGAGAACAATTAGAACAAACCAGCACAGCACCCACTCTCATCATCAATCAGAACCAGCGCAAGACAACCAGATACAAAGATGGCCCCTCCAAAGCACATCGCCATCATCCTCTTCCCCGGCTTCCAACTCCTCGACATCACCGGCCCCCTCGACGTCCTGAACATCCTCTCCCGCAGCACCACTCTCCGCCTCTCCATCCTAGCCTCCACCCTCGACCCGGTCTCCACTTCCCTCCCCCTCCAAACACCCTACCTCGCCACCCTCAAACCATCCACCCCTCCGAACTCAGACTTTGGACAAGCCATAGTGCCAACGCATACTTTCGCCAATGCCCCAGACGACATCGAAGTCTTAATCATCCCCGGCGGTTTCGGCAGCAGAGCAGAGGAGAACGTCGACCCCATCGTAACTTTCATCAGGGAGTACTACCCCAAGCTCACGTATCTCCTCACCGTCTGCACGGGGTCTGCCATCCTTGCTAAATCCGGGGTTCTCGATGGCCGCCGCGCTACCTCCAATAAGAAGGCGTTCACCTGGGTCAAGCAGCAGAACGAGAAGGTGGACTGGGTGGCCAAGGCAAGGTGGGTTGTTGATGGGAATGTTTGGACAAGCAGCGGGGTTGCGGCGGGTATTGATATGATGTATGCGTGGGTGGAGGAGGTATGGGGCGTGGAGGTGGCGGAGGAATTGGCGGATAGTAGTGAGTATGAGAGGAATAGGGATAGTGCTGGGGATCGGTTTGCGGAGAGGTGGGGGACGGTGTGAGGAAGAGGGTGAAGACTGGGGTGGGACTGTTACAAACTGATATCTAAGGTCCGTAAGCTACGAATAGAGAATGGAAATGAATGCGCCTTCTATTATTAATACTCATAAATCATGACGGATCAAACATTGGTACAGTAGTAAGTAGCAGGTATACAACCTCACCTCTCACCGATCGTCGATGGCACCTCCGTAGCGCCCCAAAACGTGACTACTTTAAAACGGTGTCGCAAACTCCACGATATCATGCTCCAAATGCAAACTCTTAAAGTCCGTTAGATACTCCGGTAGCCTGTCCGCAGGCTTCGCTGCAACGCCAATCATGAAGTCTTCCTCAAACGACTGGATCTCCAATCGCACATCTGTGAGTCTCCTTCTCTTCAGCCAGGCCTCGCTGTCGCTCACCCGCTCGCCCCACGTCCCGTAGGTCGCGCATCTCGCAGGCGCGCCTGGCCGTGGCGCCCGCACATTTTTGAACTCTAGCTCTTTGATCCACTTTGCGAGCAGCGCCTCGCCGTCAAGCTTGATGTACGCTTCCTTGAAGCACCAGTATACGTAGAACTTCCGGAGCTTTGCGTCGATCAAGATGTCGCTGCTGAAGCTGCGCTTTTCTCCCGATGGCAGCGTCGCGAAGATGGGCTGGTTGCGCTTGCACACTCTATCGTATCTTCCCAGCATCTCGGCCGTGACCTCGGTCCCGTCGAGCAGCGGGAACGGATCAACATTGTACTTGATATCCCAACACTCCTCGTCACTGAAAATCTCCTCGTATATGTCGACCCAGCCGTCGAGACCTTCGCGGTCGATGAGCTTGTAGTTGTATTCCAAACGTTCGTTGGTACACACAATGTCGACGCCGAGCTCTGCTTCGGGGCTACTACACCCCACCAGCGCGACGAGGCCATTCTGATGCGATACATTGAACTCTATGGGTGCTTGCGAGCCGTCGGGGAGCAGTGCGCAGGGCTTCCCATGGGTCGGGTCGCGCTTTCGCCCATAGCGCACTTGATTCCAGGGAATGCCGAGGGACTTGGAGACGAACAATCGCTTGAGGAGCGCCGAGGCCAGGCTCATGCGCGCGTCTGCAATGTGGTACTTCCGCGTGCAGTTCTGGCGCTCTTCGGGACTGATGAGTTGGAGCTCGGCGGCGGCCTGTGCGGGTATGTCAGCGTGTTGGTGGGGAGCTTGTCATGAAATACCAACCGCTTCAGTGATCTTTTGGCCGGGCCATAACGAGCGCGTGTCGAGCAGCCAGTATGTGATCTCCAGCTCCCCTTCAGATCGGGTCATGGCGTTGAGGCGGCTCTCAGCCAGCAGTCGTGCTGCGTGTGCTGCTGCGAGTGTTGAACAAAGGCGGTGGGGGTGCGCGTCACTCAGCTTTCCTATCGATAACGGCGGCGCGACTTTTTATACCATCAGTATCCGTGAGCCATCGTCCAACGGCATCCGGACTTCGACTGCGATTCTGACTTTCGCCGCACGGCAGTCCCCACCCATTGCTTGCAAAGCCAGGTAGCTGTACACTTTCGTCATGACCGTGGTAATTCCGGACGTTACTGTGGGAGTGTTGGCGCTGCAGGGCGCCTTCAGCGAGCATGTGCAGCTGTTGCGTTCTGCATCGGAGTCGCTTGCGCTCAAGGGTGCACCTGCGCAATCCCAGGTTAAGTGGAGCTTCATCGAGGTCAGGACGCCGGAAGAGCTGGCTCGCTGCGACGGGCTCATCATACCCGGCGGCGAGAGCACCGCAATGTCGCTCGTGGCTGCGCGCTCTGGCTTGCTAGAGCCGTTGAGGGATTTCGTCAAGTAGGCGTTTCGTACCACGCACTTGTGCCACCGACGACACTGACATTGCGTAGAGTGCTCCGGAAGCCCACGTGGGGGACATGCGCCGGACTGATATTGCTGGCGGAGTCTGCAAACAGGACCAAGAAGGGCGGGCAGGACCTCATTGGAGGGCTCGACGTAAGAGTCAACCGGAACCATTTTGGACGTCAAGTCGAGAGTTTCCAGGCAAATCTCCAGCTTTCTTTCCTTGGCGATACGGTCGATAAGTCCGCCAACGAGCTGTACAGATGCGTTTTCATCCGGGCACCCGTTGTTGAGAAAATACTCCCGCATAAGGACGGTGTTCAGACTGAGGAAGAGTCGCGTGAAGCCACTATTGTTGCACCGTCCAAGGCTCCTGGGGACAAACTTGCTGAGAAGGAAACCACAGCGGCGGTGGAGATAATGGCTACATTGCCGACACAGACGCCTGCGTTGCAAGCCAACCAGGAGCACGAACATGCTGGAACAGAGGACATCATCGCCGTGCGACAAGGAAACGTATTTGGCCTGAGCTTCCATCCAGAACTAACTGCCGATCCGCGCATACACGTGTGGTGGCTAGGAGAGGTGTCGAAGGCGGTCGAGCGCAGGCATCAGTTCGAGGTCGTCGATCGGTCGGCTCCCTAGAAGTCAGTAATCATAGCATCAGTGGCGCATGTGACTGCAAGCGGTTGGCGTTGAAAAGGGCATATGCATGAAGGTATCTGATTTGTTAGATCATCACCTATATAGAGCTCCGCTGGTTGAGCACTACGTGCAGAAGACAGTGACGGTCTGTCTTCTGTCATGCAGAGTCCTACCCTTGGGAGGGTACGAAGGCTCCCGCTTGTAAAAATAGATCTCCTCTTAAACGTTGGGATCCGCAAACCGCAGAATGGCGCCCTGATCAAACCCAAATAACGCCCGGCGCCTGCCATGCTGGTATTTCCATATCGCTGCTCGCCACGGCAGAGATAGCAACTTATCTGTACTCGTCTGCGTAAGATTCCTCCTCCTGTATAGCTCTGCCGTATCCGCCACGGCCCGGGTCGTACTCGTCGCGGTACTCGTCGCGCACTTGGCCGCCAGACTTTCCGCGCCTGCTCACAATTTAGTCGATACGCTGAAAGGTAAACCTGTTGCACGTACCCATATTGCCTTCCCTCAGCGAAGCCCTCGTCCAGGTCGGTACGGATGATGCGCTCATCCAGCTTGGTGCCTCCAATATATTTCATGCAATCCAGAGCATCTTGGTGAGTGTAGTACTCTACAAAGCAGAATCCGCATGGCGTCTTCTGGAAGCGATCGAGGCCCATAACCAGACGCTTGATCTCGCCGCACTTTGAGAACAGTTCGTGTATCTGCTCTTCGGTGGTGTAGAAAGATAAATTGCCGACATAGAGGGTAGTCGCGTCTTTGAGCTTTTCGTCTTCGGGCGTAGGCTCGCGCTCGCGTTGGCCATCGCGGCGGTTCTGGTTACGTCGCCTATTCTATAGGAAGTGTCAGCGTACATCATAGCATATAGCAAAAGGTATCGTACCTTTGACGAGGCATACGAGCTCGCCTTGTCCAAGCGCTCGACAGTGCTCTTCTTCCTTAGAGCAGGCATCGCGGCGCAATGTGTCCTATGTGAACAAGGATATTGATTTCAATGCTCTGAAGCACTTCTTATAGAGTCCCCGAAGCGCCGCGCAGTAGGGCTGAGAAGTGTACAGCGAAAGTAAAGGTGGGGAGTGATGTTGGCGGAGCTCTTGTTGAAGCTTCCCCAAAAAGTCGCGCCAGGCCAACCAGGAAGGCGCGCGTAGGGCCCGTGCGTCGACTTTCTCGCGGTCGTTGTTTGTGAGCTTGAGCTTGTTGCTCTCATTCATAGCGCATTTGCGCCGCCTTCACCACCAATTGCCTCTCACCTCGTCCTCTGCTTAATCTATACGATTCGACATGCCAAAAGTTCTCAGTCACACGCCGCGCTGGCTGCAGCGACCGAGCCGCGGCCACGAACTGTTTGCGCCAAAAGCTTCCAACGGTCGAGCTTTGGCCCAAAAAGAGAGGGCGCCAGGACTTCGCAAGACTATCGCCGCACGAAACTCCGAGGTTTTCGTCGCCGTGGGAAATGAGATACGATGGGCAGATCTCGAGAACTTGAAGGAGGGCGAGGATCCCATGTACCGCACACTGAAGATCTCAATACCGCTGCCGATTGAGCGCCTGGACATATCCCCGAATGGCGAATACCTAGCTGTTTCCACATCGCATACCGTTCACATCGTCGTCCTTCCCGAAGCCTCGCTACTATTGAACGGCGACGACTCGCCTATAAAGCCGAAGACCTTCCAGGTTGGTCCTACTGCCCACGTGCTGGAAGAATCGCCTATTGCTTCTATACTTTGGCATCCGCTAGGGTATCAAGGGCGCTGCTTGGTCACAATCACACAATCGGGTGTGGTGCGGTTATGGGAAATCAACCGGGCAGATCGGTCAAGCTTCTGTGAAACATCATTGTCAATCGACCTACAGAAGCTCGCGAACGCGAAGAATGACCAAGAAAATTTGAGCGCATCGCAGTATGGAGCTACTAAAGGATTCTCACCCGATGCGGCAGATCTTGAGGTGGCTTCCGCTTGCTTTGGAGACTCGCCCGACCAGGAAGGCGTCCACGGCTGGGCGCCTATGACACTATGGATCGCCACTGTTTCTGGCGACGTCTATGCATTGTGTCCTCTACTCCCGTCGAAGTGGCAGCTGGTGAATTCAGCAGGCGCGGAAACTTTTAAGCAGACGCTCATCACCACAATCAACATCAACCATGCCGATATCACCGAAAATAATACTGCGCCGAGAGAGGATATGGCTCTTGCGGATAAGCAGATCAAATGGCTCAGTGACATAATATATCAGGAGCCATTTACGGAGCAACTCTCGAATGACGACACCATCACTGTGTTCAACCGACCAACCAGCGTGCCCGCTGTGCCACTATTGCAAGGGCCATTCTCTGTTGTTCCGGAGGTAGAAGACTTCGAACTCAGTGACATGATTGTATACTCGCTCAAGACATTCTCGGAAGGTGGAGAAGAAGAGATTGCCGAGGGATTACCTTCGGCGGTGGTTTGTTTGCTCACTGACACATGTGAGGTGCACATATGTCTCGACCTAGAAGGCATCGTAGGACGGTGGCTACCATCTGCTGAGGTAAGCCTAAATATGCCCTGTTTGTTTCCTGAGCTAACTTCGCCAGGACGGATATGTACCAGAACCTCCGGAGCATGTTCTTGCTGTTGTTGAGACCGTTGCTTTGGCGAACGACGGCGTCTCTTCGTCATACCAAAGCATAACCCCCGACGTTCGCACTGACTTCTCCTTCTTCGTTTCGCACGTCAGTGGGGTCTTCTATGTGTCCCTGGAGCCATGGATCCGTAAACTTGAGAATGAACTATATGAACCACAGACCGAAGGCGCAGACTTCCGGCTACAGCGGTTATTAGAATCTGCGAACACTGTTGCGGAGCGATGCATACGCCGCAATGCCAGAGATACGACCAAGGATGTCACAGCATGCGTTGTCATTGAAGAGACAAGCGTCGGCTACATGGTGCTCACCACTTTCGACAACGAGCCGCAAGCTGTCCTCTTGGATGCGCCAGTAGAGGGTGCTCCTACCGACGAGGAACTCAAAGACTACATGCAATGGGAGACTCCTGCAAGCGATAATAGGGAGCCTTGGCAACCGCCGAAGGAGTTCTGGGACAACTTTAGCTTGCATGCATCCCTTCAGGGTGTTCGTCGCTCCAAAGCTTCCTGGGATGAGGAAATCAAGCTATCGCCTGCCAACCTCGAGGTCCTCATGACGGCGCACCGTGTTCTCGCCGAGCATACTGAGACTCTTCAGCTCAGGGTGTCGGACCTTTTCAACAGGTGCCAACGCCTCCAAGATGAGTACCGCGACCAGATTACTAGGGCTGCACAAGTCATGGAGAAAGTCGATACGGTCACCGGAAGGGATGACGAACAAAGCGGCCCCGGCCTTTACGGCAACAGAAAGATCGAAGACCGACTAGAAAAAGTGCAAGCCAAGCAAGAAGCGCAGAAGCAGCGCTATCTAGCCCTGCGCCGAAAGATGGCTTCCATCAACACCACACAACTCAGCGACAAGGAAGTCCAGTTCGTTGAAGAGCTGCGTACAATGGAGGGTAGTCTCGACAAAACCGAGCAGAGGTTGACAGATAATGCAGATGGCAGCGAAGTGCCCGTGTGGGAGCGCGTCGATAAGGTCAAGGACATGCAGCAGACGCTATCCGAAGAAGTGGAAGGAGGGGTGAAGGCATCGGGGGAACAGCGATCGACATCGAGCATGAAGGTTCCGTCGCATTCCCGCAAACAGGAGCACGAGCAGATACAGGCAATGCTCCAGCATCAGACGGATCTCCTGCAGGCGACGGCAGACCGGCTGAGGAGTAATGGTGTTTCGATACCGTTGGTAGCGGAAGATGGCGCGAGTTGAGGGCTGGACGTGCAAGTTGGAAGCACTGTGTGGCAGCTAGATTGGAAGCTCTTCTCAATTTGGCCTCACTGATGTTGCTTAAGTTGATCACATAGGCAGAAAAAGGAGGGTCTTGCACGTGCGAGCTCTGCGTAGTTTCGCGCAATCTACTCGTGTTTTCGCCGTCTTAGTATTTGATGTCTCGATACTTAGTTGGCGTGAAGGTATTCCAAAAGTGCTTCCAACAGACTGACATGTGTCACGAAGACCGGGTGAGTGCAGATTGCTAAGCATTACGTCGCCCATGGTATCGGAGAGGGGACAAGCATTGCATCGTACGATGTTGAGCTCGTATACCAACACCAAGCATTTTGGCATCGAGGTACAGGCTTGGGTCAGATCTATATCATCACGAGCTTGCATGCATCGAACTAACATTCCAACCTCGACTAAAAGGTGGTTGCAGAGAGAGAGCACTTAAGTCGGTCGCGCTTTCCTTGAGTGTATGCGATGACTGCTAGAGGCACCTTCCGCCCGACACTCGCTCACTCTTACAATCAACATCAAACGCTGATTTCTCATACTTTCTGCATGACGGCGACCACGGCTTCCACCCCCATATGCAACTGTGCCCCTCAACCCACAGCGAATTGCAGCATCCATCACACAGAAGACTGGCGAAGCGCATACAACAGCCAAGCGAAGCGAATCGGGACGTGGCGCACGTTCTCGACTGTGCCCACGCTGCCAGGGACAAGAAGACCTGCACCAAACTAGCTGCGAATAAGAAGCGCGCCGGGAAACAAGCTCCCAATCATGCGCACCGAACAAGCGACTTCATGCACTTATATTGATACCGTCGCTGCCGTGCCCTTTCCCCAGGGCTGAGTATTGCATGCATTGCGTCGAAGAAGGCAGATTCCAGGCGGATGGATTAATATAGGGACGAGCGCAGCGATGCGCGGCTGACGGGTGTGGTTGTACACGGATCGAGGTTTGGGGGCGGATGCTGATGCTACTTCAGCACCATGTGGAGTCGAGCACGCTGGCAGTGGCGATGTCCACTTCTCAGTGTACGTTCGCACCGCGGAACAGCATGTCCATCATGCAGCAGTCACATCACCGCAGCGGCTACGCTTTACAACCTCCCTTTTCCATCAATTACGCTATGGAATATGGAGCATTTCTGCGCTTCGGCGGCGCGGGTGGGCACGGCGCGTAGACGCCCTCTCATCTTTACCGAGCCCTGCATCGCCCATCACACCAGTGGGCACCCCAGCACTCCCGTCCCGCCCGCTCGTTGGCTGGAACCCCTACCACACTAATATCATCGTCAAGTGCCTATTGGCATGGCGTCGCTGACAAGCTGCGTATTCCCAAGACGTCGGGAGCTTGATGGGTCGAATTAAGTTACGGCGAGGCGTTGCACAAGGACTGCGGGCTGCCAGCGAGCGACTTAAGGCCATGCCGCCCCGCCACCCGTGCGTGAGCTTGTGTTCTTCGCTATTGTGTGTTCCCAGCTTACAGTCGCGATTTCGTGAACATATCCTATTGTGGGTTACGTTGAGACCTACTTCGGACGAAAGGACCCCTCCTACGCATACACTGCGCTCAGTGTCCTTTGAGAAGCAAGAGTTGGATCTCAGAGAGAAGGCTGAGGGCCAGAGCTGAAAGGATCCACCGCCAACATGTTTCGTTTCGCGCACATTGTTTCGCTCGTCGCATGCGCTTCGCTCACCGCCGCACATACCGTCATCGTCTACCCCGGCTGGAGAGGGAACAACATCCACACCAATGGTACCGTCTCCAAAGATGATGCGAGCATAAAACCGGGCAGCTTGGGTATTAATTACGAGGAAGATGGGTCCTATGGGTTTCCGTACGGAATGCAGTGGATGTATCCTTGTATGCTTTCCCCTCCTCTTCTCCTTCGCATACAGTAGAAGTGAAAGATCAATATGCATATGTACTTACAAGAAACAGGCGGCGGCATGCCCATGTCCTCAAACCGCACCAAATGGCCCATCTCCGGCGGCGCGGTTAGCATCCAACCCGGCTGGTTTCCAGGCCATTCCGCCGCCCAATTCTACATCAACATGGGCTTCGAGAACGAACCGCTCAACTACTCCCACACTATGGTCCCTGTTTTCAGCATAACCGGTCCTTCAAACGTGCAGTACAACGGCACCTTTTGCCTCCCGCAGGTGCCGCTGCCGGCAAACTACACGCCCAAGGTGGGAGACAATGCGACCATTCAGGTTATCGAGGTTGCGCAACATGGCGCTTCGTTATACAACGTGAGTAGTGCACTCGGCTTGTGCATACGGTCGTAAATGCTAATTAACGGTAGTGCGCGGACATCACCTTTGCGGAAGACGGCGACCCAGAGATCCCCAATGTCAACACGACAAACTGCTTCAACTCGACGCAGCCGGACCAGCATATCGGCTTCCAGCAGGTGTACACCACTACGTCAAACCCGGCGCCGCTTTCTATCCCGTTCAACCCTTACCTCTCGCTTCTTGCGCCGCTGATGCTTGGTGCGGCGAGCGCGCTGACGTGGCTCTGAGCATCTAATCAGCCTTTGTTTTTATCTTTGCAGGTTTGAATCGGATTGGATTTCGACTAAGCGGGCGTTTGGGCGCATGATATCCACCTTGTGTACACCATTTCGTTCATTGCTTTTCTGGACTGGACGTGGGCTTTTAGGGGAGAAGAGTGGGAGAAGACGGTAATCCCGCAGTGCTGACCAAGGCACCGTTCACTTGGCCGAGGGACCACTGGGGAGGATGTGTGGAAAGGGAGAGAGGGAAGCAGGGGCTGCTGACACGGCTGCCATACTGTACATTTGCACGGCGCTGGGGTTCCGGTTTCCTTATCTTATCCTGCCCTATCCTGTTCTGTTCGATGTATATCGTTGGTAGTGTAATGCGAGATGTTCAAGAATGAAACCCCTCTGGCTTGTTCATAATCAGCTTATAGCAATTGTGCTTCTAAAGAGATCTTTTGATAATGGACGGTGAAGTGAGATGGTGTGTGCAACGATGTGACGCCATCTGTAGTGCGATGCGGTAGAAGAGGGAAACGGTAGTGCGCACGCCAGTCACGGGTGGTGGCGTTGTCGGAGTAGTTTGCGCGACCCTCGTACTGCTTGCCCTGCGTCTGTCGGTGTTGGACGCCTTATAAGGGAGTTCCCGCGGTGGTGGGCGCCTTATCCAGGCCCTGAAGGGGTCACGGTGGGCGCTTGGGTAGGCGCGCGGCCGCGTCTATATATGCGTATGCTGTGAGTGGACGTGTGAGACCGTCCTGTATGTGGGTAACAACGGGATGAAGGGGCTGAGATATACCGCTCATTTCAGTTGCTGAGTATTTGGCTGCGATACGTTTCGTGTAGGTGGTGGGATTTGCCCTGGGTCGTTAGATCAAGAGAGAGAGCTACTGTGTCTACCTTTTCTGGACGATTGGTATGGACGTGTGAGCGCGTTCCTTCAGGCCGATGCTTGGAAAGATGGGGTACTTTGCTCTCGTGTCGTTGTTGGTGGGATGTTGGGTTGGTCTTTTGAAGCGTTGGTGTGGTTTAGAGGCTCAATGTGGTGTGGAAAACGTGTTCTGGCTACGGTGACCACATAGGTAGGTTTACTTAGAGTTGTGAATGAAATTATAGTGTAGAGTTTGATTTCCTATAGGAAGAGGCTGGGCGTCGTGAGGGAAAATGGGTTTATGATGTAGATTTGATTGCAGTCGACTGCAAAAGTCCCATTTTCGTAGATCTGGTTACAGCTTTCCTGTTGTCTTGTAAAGATGTGTTCTACGGACAGCTAATTTTTAGCCTACTTGACATTTGAAAAGCTTAGGGCACTATTTCAACGTCTACCAGGCGTGGACATACAGATTCAACGGAATCTGGGCAATAATCAGCCTCTTGTAGTACACAGATTAGCTAAAAGTGTGTGGAAAAGGTACCTAGATCCAGGAAAAGCCAGGGGAGGAACTTCTGTGAGGCCGAACAAAGACACGCGTGCTGGCGCAGTCTGCGAACGACGAGGCATCATAACTAGCACAGCCCCCACCAAGCAAGGTGAAATACAAATGCAGCTCTGGCCCCGCACACCTCAGCCGCGCCTTTGAATTTCTTGAATGCCAAAGATCGAACGCCAGCTAGCTCACTCATGCAAGTGGTTTTTGATTTTTCGTAGCCCCTCGGTGAACGCGTTAGCAATGACAGGACCGTACGAACGAGCTCGATTTTCTCGGCGTGGTGATCAGATAAGGCTGCTGCAAGTTCGCCACAGCGATATACATAAGATACAATGCTGGTTCGAAGTATTTCCGATCCATCAATGTCCCGAGTACTCTGCCCTTTCCTATACCTGGAGTACCGATGAAGACCGTCGGAATAATGACAGCAAGGACGATGGCGGCGACTCGGGTAGTATCTGGTTGGAAAACAATCGGTTCTCGGTTGGAAAGAATCTCTATCGTTTTCTTGAGCGTGTCAGTCGAGAGGAGTCGAATTGCCGATATTGGATCGACGCGCTTTGCATCAACCAGAACGACGATCTGGAGAAGAGCGTCCAGATTCCGTTGATGAAAAACATATACACTGGTGCCTCGCAAGTAGTTGTATGGCTTGGGCAACTAAACGGAACCAGCGAAGAGACGATGGGTTTAATCAGGCAATCAAGGGAAGACATCACTTCCCAGTACTGGCAAGTCACCACAACCCCAATCTTTAACGAACTATATTCACTGTGCACGAACCCATACTGGTCTCGGGTGTGGATTGTCCAAGAAGTGATCTGCGCGCGAGAACTGTGCATCTATTATCGGGACCGCAGCATCGAGTGGAGCGCATTTGTACAGTTCTTCAGAGTTCTCAAATCGTTGCCGCTTCCTGCTGGATTCGGGCATATCATCCAAAGTCCAGCGGAGAATATTCTCAATGCGAAAAATTGCTGGAAGGGGAATCTCCCGCTTCATGAGTTGATCAACACTTATCGCGATATGAGGTGTTCAAAGGAGCAGGACAGCGTCTACGGTCTGATGGGGCTCGCTAGGGTAGAAAGCACTGTGGCCGTCGACTATGAGAAGTCCAAGATTCAAGTGCTGGAGGAAGTGCTAGTTAAGGCCTGTCAGGCTGGATACTTCCCCGACTGGCGTGATGCTTTGCCGGTTATCAATCGAATGTTGATTACTCACTCCGACCACTCTCGGCTGGAGAACGCCGAAAACGTGCTCGACCGGGCTGGCTTAACAGAAGCCAAGGCTGAGCAAATTCGAGAGTACGATAATCGTTGTTGGTGTAAGTACGCAGATTGGTGTGGTGCAAAGCCATTCGGGACGGTCGATGACCTAGTTCGACACATGAAAGATTGTCACCCAAGGATTTTACCAGAAGGAAGCAGACAGGTTTGAGAAGGTGACTTGTATTGTGTGCCGAACTCAGAGTTGCTTCATTGTAAATCGCAGGCCCACTCTGATGTCGGAGCAGGACACAGTGGCCGACATAATAGACTGAACTTCATCGCTGCTAGATTCTGAGGTCGATGTATTAAGACGTTGGGCAATTGGCTGCAAGCTTGGTAGCTAATAGTGTAGCCTGGGATAACTTGCTCTATAATACGTGTTCAAAGTTATAACCTGATAGTTATACCGGTATCTCCTGCTGGCGCAAGAGCTATCTCAAGTCTTAGTGTCGGCCACTGGGGGAAGTTGCACCAGATTAGTAAGGGGGCAGTGCAAAGGTGGATTTGACGGCGTAACTATCCGAACCTCGACCTCATTCCTCCTACCTCTCACGGACATCGCATCGACTGAAGTTGAGAGGGCGCTGCACTTTGCATCTTGCGAATGTGTAGTGCGCAATAAGGGCGCACCATATCATCACGCTTTTGAGAACACTCATCGTTATCAGGCAATACACTGCACTTTGCGTGTCGGACTAGGTATCATTACTCTGCACTAATATACATGCGATAGAAAATGAACGCTAAGGCTATGCATGCTTCAAAAACAGTAAGAGCGAAGGAAACCACTGCTCTGCAAACAGCGGGCATTATCCTCAACAGCGAGGGTCTACTCAACGTACTTAACAGACGGTCTTCATCAATACCATAACGAGTCGTGAAAGGCCACCGGACACCCAGCGAGTGTAAAGCTTGCCAGCAGCTATCTGGCCAAGATCGCAAGATGAGTCGCAGACTGTCCTGCCTGCGCCGTAGTACTACGATGACTTTCGACCGAACGCCCCCTTCGCGGTCTCGGTGAATGAGAAGTCGTTGAAGAGCCAGGAGTTGGAATGACGCCCGCGCCACATGTCGCTGTTGCTCGTGCTGCGTCTTGAGGGTGTTGTTGGCATAGTAGGACGCGGTGCCTTCGCTGTCGACGACCCAATGGAGCCTTGGCTGGCGGAGGAGACATGTCGTGGCTGCTTGGGTCGCTGCGTGGCGTATGTGGGACTGATGGGATGCGCGGTGGAGGTGGAGTGCTCCGGTGACCCCGCACGAGACCGACTGCGCGAGCGACCACGTATCTTTGCGCTGATGGCACTGAAGAATGTGTCTTCGGCTGGGCTGGTCGGCGAGCGCGAGTACATTGAGGTGGGCGATGCCATGACTGGCGATGCTGTCCCGGAGGACTGCGACTTCTGCGAACCGCTCGTTGCGGTGCGAATAGGCGGCGGGGGCTGGAAGTTGTCGTAGGACGGCATTATTGGCAGTATGCGTGGAACAAGTGGTTATGGGACGTTCAGCTTCAGTCCTATCTATCCAGCTGTTGAAAGTCGGGGCTAGAGACGTGTTGAAATAGAATCACAATAGCGGAGGAGTCAGACTTCAGGACAGATTTGCATAGACTCGCCGCAACATGTGCCGCCTCCTCATCTTATGTATCTTGATTATCTACCTCGCAGGACACAAAAGACACAGTCCCACGCTTGGCGTGCGTCCTCGCATATCCCACCGCGATGGCTTGTCGGTGAGCACGAACCGTCACCAGCCAATCATATGTGTTGTAGGGCATCCCGCCCACACAAACAGCACGCAGGACTGGCCTTCAACAGCCCAGTACACCGACTCCCCGCTTCGAGGATGTGCAGCCTTAGCGGGCTCGTCCGCCTGCAACGACAGCGCATCCAGCCGAGAGGAGTAACCTAGAACGTGACGGTCCCCGGGGCCAGATACAAGGCTGACGACCGCAAAACCAATCCGGGCAGCACAGGCGAGGCTGCTGCCTTGGAACCAAGGTTTGTGTACGACGTATGGGTGGCATCGCGTGCACTCTTCGTCACCTGAATCCGTATGATGCCTCTATGCGTCGCGGTTCTGGACTGAAACGGGCCTGTGCCGCGGGCGGAATGCATTGATTATTGTTTTGAAACGAGGCATGTGTGTGCGGGGTCGGCTTTTTGGACAGATGGCTACCGCATGATGGTTTCTGAGTGGTGATGGGGTGAGTCCTTGAGGAAGGATGCGCGTCCTCAAGTTTTCGGTCGCGCCGACGCAGTGGCCGAACTGCAGCAGGTGATCGACTGCAAGTCACTGTCCATACGATAGTCTCGTCTGTATGATAGCAAAAACATTGTCTTGCGCGTATGCGGCGTCACTGTCGCATGGGCAAGACGCAGGCAAGCCAACCGCAACACCACAACTCCAAAAAGATTGCATCCAACGGGAGTCGAACCCGTGCCAATCGCTAACTGGCCTTCTTTCGAAGGTGGAAGGCGATTATCCTACCGCTGGACCATGGATGCGGTCCGTTATTGAGTAACTAACTCAGGCAGATGTTGTGTTGGATGGCAAAATGAAAAAATATTGCATATATATAACAGCATTACCATAGAACAGGATCATGATGGTGGAATGGCCCCACACCGAGAGCACACACTAACATCTCACTTGCAAGGTTAGTCTGTGGAACGATTAGAAATGATGTGGGTGGATCGCCTCTTCGTTAGCCCGACTAGCCGACGCTTCCCTGTCCAACCACATCTCTCCTACTTCTGTAACTTGTCTCTGAGAGTTTAAATCATCACAAGCTACAACAATACTGTGTGCCAGCTTTAGCCCCAAAGCTGGACTCAATTACGGACCGCATCCACGGCCCAGCGGTAGGATAATCGCCTTCCACCTTCGAAAGAAGGCCAGTTAGCGATTGGCAAGCGATGCGCTTCGCGCATCGCTCTGTTTAAATGTTGACCACAACACTGAACGATCTTCATTGCAGCTGGGCCTAGAAGGAAGGACTCACTGCTCGTTATATAGCAATACTGGTCCCCAGGGTGGAAATGCGCCTGATATGGCTATTTGTCTGTGATGCAAAGGCCTTTCCTGTCTAGGTTCAAGTGTATTGATTTCATGTCGCATACAGCCACAAACAGCCACAAACACACGCAGACTTTGTACATAACCATCTCACAATGAAAGAAGATGTCCAAAAGTGCTATGGGCCCGTTCCAAAAGCCATACTTTCAGTTAGACTAGTTTTGCGCAAAGTAAGAGACTTGCAACAAAGATGCACTGGACATAATCTGCGATAGATACGACGTACTCCTACAAACTTGAATTACCGACTATGAATGAAACATTCTACACTCAATGGCCTTTTCCCCCCTTTCTTTTATGGACATTCGCCCAGGGACACAGGAATGCATTTGGCACGTGGCCATTGCAAACTCACGCCTTCTTTTGTTTTTCCCATATTTCTTCCACACTAAAAGTTGAGATCATACCACAAAGCAAAAATGTATCTGCAAGAAATGCGCCTCCTGCTCCTCCCAATGCGACACTTGATGAAGTAGATACATCAGCTTGCAACCCATTGATCCAGTCGCGCAAGATCGAGCAGTCACGGATACATCATCAACGCAATAGGCAAGATACTCAAAGCTTACCCTGGAATAACTCGCATAATAATACGACTGAAGAGTAGGCGAGGAAATTAACACCCTGGCAGCACTTGCATAGAGCACAAAATGTGGTAGAAAGTCATCAGGTTGGTGCAATGGGGTGGACGGCCGCACGAACGCTGGGATTATGAGCTCGTTTCTTCAGCATGGCGCGCCATTGGGCCTGCGGTCACGCTTCATAGAAGTTGTGTCATGGGTTACGAAAGTGTATTGGTTCATAATCAATGCTAGGGATGAAATACCCCTGGAGATCAAGCATAGATGGAGGTGAGGTTAACACGATTGATTTCGCGTAGGTAAGAGACACCGAAAGTGAAAATGACATTTTGGAATGTGGGAACCTGCAATGATGTTATTTTCATGTACTATATACTAATATCGTAGATGATAACTTGGCGAGAGTAGCCGTAGGAGACGTGCTTGAGAATGCGACGATTCAAGAAGAGGAATGAATGCACGGTCAGATATTCCGACTTCACGTGTATTTGACATTGGGAGATTGAGTCGGTGGACAATACACTAAAGAAACTTGAAGATGTATCAAGACAGGCCATGTCTCCTCTGAAAATAAGCATAGAATGTAACCATATCTCGAGAAGTATATACAAAGTAAAGAAACAGGCGCAGTACATATGTTTTCGAAATGAAGGTAGCATGTCGCACGCTGGTGCAAGAATTCCAGCCGGAAATCAGGAAATAGAAAAACATGAAGTGAAGATGGTAATATATATCCCTGCAGTAAGTCTTATGAGTCAGAGTCAAAAGTCAGGATATGCCGTCCGTGGGAGTAAATGCTGTTGCGTAAATTGGTAGCGAAAATCGGACGCTGTAGATCAGTGGAAGGTGGGAAGGCTTTCAGGTATATCGAACATTGGGGTGTTGCGTTGGCGGCAAGTACCTTCGCTTCCGGGTGGTGTCGAAGTACGCTGTGCTATCGTCGAGCCAATCCACAAGAGAATTGAAGCGTTTGACGAAGTTTTCGGAGTTTGCGGTGAGCCAACAGGACCATTCTTGGCCATTCGGTCGTTTGCCCCCAAATTTCACTCCCAGGGAATGGCATGCATCACCGGGATCGGACCCTTTGAGTAGGTTTCGGGTCACCCGGTGTGGGTGACGCTGACCGTCCGGGAGCAGTTCGCAGTGTACGTAGCCGTATCTGGATCAATGGTTTTGTAATCTGCAGTCTTCATGATGATCTGGACTCTGAAGATCTTGAGCTGGGTTTGCGTCGCATTGTCCATCTGGAAAGGCACGAACGTCTGGCAGATTTCTCTGCAAATCGTATGGAAGTAAAAAGAGGAGAAGGGGAATCCCCCACATCTCGAGGATATTCATGACGGTTCCGGGCTTGAGGGATACATCATCCACGAGCAAAAGAAATTCATCCGAGTGAGCGCGGTCGAGGTACGAGTAATGGAGGCTTGGGTGGTTCTTGCGATAGTTGGCGGTCTGGTGGCGCCAGACAATGCGGTCGTGGCCATTGTCTGCCTGCCCAACATAGCGTTTGCAACCTTCCTCCAACCACATTAAGTGAAGGTAAATCACGCCATGCTTCGGATACTGGTCGCTAGGATGTGTATGAAATTGGATGCTATGCAGGAATCAGCAGGCGTGGTTCTTCCTCGTGAAAGTCCGCCTGAAAGGACTCACTTCGCTGTGCAATCCCCAATCTGCTTTCTATAACGGGAACCTGGATGGTAGTAGGTATCAACAACTTCCCGTAGTGCATTTAGAGAGGAGCGGCCTCTTCAGCTCAGATGGTGGCGGCGAGGGCGACGAGGCAACTGGAGCGCAACGCGCTGGGGTTGACGCCGGGCTTCAGCATTACGTGAAGAAGCAGATGGTATACTGGTTTCCTGCAGGTCAGCTCCGAACGGGTCTCTTCTACGGCGTGGCCTTCTTCTTGCTGACTGCACGGTGTCACTGCGCGACGGGGTTGCGATATCACCGCGGGCAGGCTGCAACACCGGTGATGCGAGCGACGGCGAGAGTCGGACCTCGACGAAGGAGGCGGGAGAGGATATAGTAACTGTAGAGGGCTTTCTGAAAGGTGCGTTTTTGACCTCGAGCCATTTTGAGAAGTACGTAATAAGCCGTGAGTAACGCAGCTTAAGCTGGCGGAGTGGGCGTCTTAAGTAACGCTATGACGTGAGACACGTGTTCCGCCTGTAGCAGGAACAGAATATGGTGAAGGCGTAAAGGACAGCCAAGGTGAAGGCGCATTCGAGTAAGAGAAAGCGGAGGAAGGCGTGCGTCGGCTTCACCCAAGAATTACTTGACGTCACCCGTGAAATGCTGAACTCAACAAAGCTACCGCTATCACGACAGCGCCTCGAGATCTTCATTCTCACCATCTTGTAGTCACAGCGCAGCATCTTTAGGCGTTGTTGTTCACTCTGGATTACCTATGTGACGTGAGAATTGAGTTACGTCATGAACCATATCAACACAGGCTTCGCATACACGGGGGCAACGAGACCGTACAACAGAAACGTAAAATTAAAAAATGCGCCTGTTGTGGTTCATTTACTCAAAAAGAGTCATGAACTAAATGCATTAGCCTATCCACATATGACTGTGGTACGCGAGAGACGTACAGACGACCGTGAGGAAACTTGCAACATGATACCATTGAAGCGTGTCCCGGGAAAGGCCAATCCTGTGAGCACTCGCACAGAGCACACCTCATGGACATAAATTCAGAAGGCCAGTCTACATAGCTTGCAAAGTTGAAGTCCACCGCATAACTTCTGGGTCACCTGCAGTCTTGCTGATGGAGTGGTGCACATCACTAGAACCTTGGATGTATTTGGCCACAAGCTTTATATAACGGGCCAGCATAAGGTCTGCCATAGCTACACTGATTTAATTTGAATGTTGAAAAAGTATTCTTAACTATACAGCAACCGTGACAGGTGATCTCTAACGCTGTGTGGCGTGAATAGAACCTGCTCGACATGCCCTTCAGTTTGATTCCCCTCTGTTCCCGCTGCCTGCTACTCATCAACTTCCAAGTCCGGCTCCTGAGTTTTTGTGTCGCCTTCAACTGCCGCCCCCGAAATTGAAAAAGCAGTTTGTTGCAGCTGGTCCAACAGTGCTTTGTTTCCACCGAAGATCTCTAGTAGTCTGGTAAGTTTCTCTTATGCGTTATGGCGAGCGCAGTTTCGAAACCCTGCGGGAAACCCTTATCCACCATCCGCTGGTCAGACTTTCTACTGCGCTTGGGAGTAGGCTCTGGATCTCGCTGTGCGAGTTGATCACAAGGCGCGCTTTTCCAGCGTGGGCTTGTGCACTTCGGGCAGGTCTTCGTAGCCCACTGTCCTCAGCATGCCTGCCTGCCTCTCGTGTTTGGGTGAGACGTGCAGACAATCCCAGGCAGGCCCATACTGCCTTACAGCTGTGTGTCCGAGAAGTACTGGGTCTGATCCGTTCCGGTTAAGAAAAAACATGCGGTAGAGACATCTAGTTTGCTAGGCACCATGACCTCGTGCGTGACGGCGTATCGTACCGAAGTAAATTGCGTCTATCCAACCGGCGGAACCAGTGCAGAGGTGGAGGCTGCCAAATTCGACACTTCGGATCCAAGGCTGGTAGACCACGGAATTCTAAGCATCCAAGAGCGTTGTCGATGCTTGTCCAATTCACGTACCCTGTGCAGTTCTTCCGCTCTTTACCGTCATCCATGGTCATGGTGCCGCTGTGCTGGTGGTTCCGCTGGACGAAACGTCTGATTCTGTCGATGTGGCTAGGCATGTAGTCCCGTCGATCTCTCATGGTGTTGCAAATGCTGGCGGAATCGGGTCGCAACTTCAGCAGCTTTCCAGCGTAACTGCCAATAGTTGCCGGATCGGTGCCCTCAGCTGGTCCATCGGCGTCTTCTTCGTCCGTCATGCCATCATGTTCGAAAATCTCGTCGTCATACTGGAATAGCAGTCGGTTTATGTTGGAAAGACCGCCGGCATTCTCGGCGGCCTCATCTACGTCTGTAGTGCCCGCGATTATCTTCTCCCTTGTTGAGACTCGGATTTGCGCTTTTTCTGTGCCTGAAGCAGCTTCTTATCGCCCTTCACCGGCACATCTTTGCGGATCTGCTGATAGATTGGCACGCCATCCCTTGTCATGAATCCAGCGCCAGATTGTGTATCGAACTCTACCCAGTCCATATCCTGGATTTCGAACGACTTGGCCGAGGATCATGCCTCTGGCGCGCTGCTAAGCCCAGTGTTTGCTATCCTGGAGGATATCTCTTGCGCTTTTGTGGTATTTCGACCTTGGGCGACATGGGGGCGCCGCGAGACGAGCGGATGGCGTTTAAGTGTGAAAGTACAGCATAGCCAAGGAAACATGTTTCGAGTAGCAAAAATGTAGCTGTAAACCCAATCGCAAGAGGAAGGTAGAGTGCAGGAGGTGCGGTTAGTGTTGATGATCATTGGGCGTAACGTGCACTATTTGATTGTTTTCCTGCACCGTGTGTGAGGATCAGACTCGAATTCATCTGGACACGAATCAAAGTGAAGGTGCGAAGGCGCGTCGAAGTGACAGAAGCGCCGGAAGGTACGCGTGGGCACGTGATCGGATATGTATCCGTGATTGAAAAGCACTTGCCTAAAGACGATTCACGAAATACAGGCGAGAGTAACATGAGCCTCCCTTTTGAAAATACATAGCGTTAGGTGGTCGTCTTAATCTGGAAAGTCGTTCATATTGGGTGGTGTTTCATCAGTGGAGTGCGTTTCGTTATGATAAGACCCACGTTAGTGTGAGACATCAGAGCAAAGGAAAAAGGGCTTTCAGGAACGTTCAATGAAGAGTATATAAATATCTTATAGGTCCTGCAGAAATCGCAAAATCTCCTTCGCGACCCTCTCGGGCTGTTCCTGCTGTGGCCAGTGACCCGCACCCTCGATCATCTTGACGCCCTTGAATTGCGAGCAGGCCTTTGGTAAGCTCTCGAGCGCCCCTGGTTCTTGGTAATTACCCCAGTCCTTCGCGCCTGATATGAAAATTGAAGGACATTCGATTTTCTTACCCGCGAACAGATCCATATCCTTCTTCTTCTCAGGGTCTGTCATTGTCCGATACCAGTTGAGTCCACCTTGGAAACCCGTACGCCTCCACTCCTGGACGTACACTTGCAGCGCTTCTTCTGACAGCCAGCTCTTGGTTTTGTCTGCGTCTTCGTCTTTCATCATCAACTCGATGGTCTCAGGCATGGACTTGTTGAAGGGCATGATGTAGTAGAAAGGCATCTTGGCTAGTTCTTGTGCACTCCAAGCTTGGAGAGGCTGTGGATCATTTCCTGCCCAGTCTGCGCTCTTGACATGCCAGTAGCCGCGCAGGAAGGTCTCGAGGCCCTGGTTCGGAGAATACCAGTGCATTGCAGCGGTCGACGTGGAATTGTACCACTTGTAGTGTTTTCGCGGCTCAGGCAGCTTCGCCAGCTCGGTCTGCATATCCACCTGCGGCGAAGGCTCGGTACCGTCACCGTGGACGAGATTGAAAGGTAGGCCGGGGTGCTGCTTGAATGGGTGAGACATCATGACCACGCTTTCGAAGAGGTCCGGCCGCATCCACGCACACATGGAAGAGGTAACGGCGCCGAAGTCGTGGCCGACAATGCATTTCACCTCGCGGTATCCTAGAGCGTGTACGAGTACGACTACATCTCGTACTAGATTGGTGACGGTAAACTCAGACATATTTGTTTTGGGAAAGGACGAGTCGTCCCACCCGGTCGTCCTGCCATATCCTGGCTGGTCGAAGGCCACGACATAGTATCCAGCGTCTGCGAGAGCCGGCATTATCTTTCTCCATGAGAAGGCAAGTTCTGGATATCCATGAACGAGTATCACGAGGGGTCTTTCCTTTTCCGGTGCATATCCGGCCTCGAGAAGATGGAAGGTGAGACCATTGGAAGGACAATGAACATAGTTTTCAACGACGCCATGTGGGAGAGGTAGAGGCGGGAGTCCCTGTGTTTGTGCTGCTTGCGGCATGATCAAGTTCGGTAAGGTTTAGTGTTGCTCTTGGCTGGTTGGTTCACACTGTTCTGGATGAGAGAAGACGGCACCTGGGGAAAGCGGGGCTGCTTCTCCGACCTCATCCGCCACCATGAGCCCGCTACGGCGAATCAGGCGTTCGTAGAAAAGGCCCATTGGTTGACTGCAACGGTCTTATGTATGGCGCCCGTCGAGACTTCAACACGGAGGCGCGGGGAGAGGAGGCGGCGGCGAGGCAACACTCGGAAGCTTGAGCCATTGAGTCAGGCAAGATGCTGCTGACATGCCGCGGTGCTTGATCTTGGTTATCGAGTCAAGAGTTTGCTACGCGTTTAGTTCCCGAGCGCCTCCTGGAGTGCTTCAAGGTGTTTTGCACGAGGCGTCCCTGTTTGGGACATGCAGACGTGGCCCCCTTCACACCTGTCAGACACAGCAGCTGCCACGAGCACTGCCCGCAGACATGCACGCGCCTTACGCCAGGGTTGCAAGATCGAAGCGCCCTGTTTCACGACAGATAGATGCGATACTGTGGAGAAAGGCAGAAAGGAAACGCATCGAGGCCGGCCCGGCTCGCGATCTGCAATGACGATGCCAGCGCCAAGCCTCCGATGAGGTCTGGCCGTGAATCCTTGCGGACTGATCCTCGCAGCGATGCTGACTGCGGCCCCGTCGCGTCTTCAGGCCCGCTGCTTTTCCTCTCTCCGTTTCCTCGTGCCTGTGCGCTTGTGCTCATTGTTACCATTCATTAGTTTCTCGACGAATCGCGTCGTCCTTGTTCCGGTCGCCCTCACTAGCTCCTGCCGGCGTTTCCCATGACTCCTTACATGACATCACTGGCGTAGCTTCCCTTTTGCGCAAATCCACATCGCCGACCGCAATATCACTTGCAAAGGGGATGCAGTCGCGCTTTCTTCAATAACGCACCACCATGCTGCGCAGTAGACGACGGGCGTCGTCGAGCCCCGTACGTGCCTTCCCCCTCACCCAAGCGCACATTCCCACGCGCGCTCAGTTGCCGCCTTCGTGCGCAGACCGCTAATCTTCTCTCAATGCAGGCCTCGAATAAACCCGCGAGCGCGTCCGCCTCCCTTGCTGCCACCAAGGCCTTCCTCCGCGACCGTGAATCCAATGGCGCTTTGTCCAATGCCGCGGCGGCGGCTGCCCTTCGCACTCACACCACGACTCCGACCCCCGTCGGCGAGACGGTGACGAAGCGGATGGTACGGAAAGGCTCAGTATCCTCTCAAGGCAGCGGCAGCCAGCAACGTCCGGGCTTGCGCCGACATTCAAGCTCTGGTTCCATGACTGAGCGCTCGTTTCGTGCTCCATCCCCGAGCAGGAGCAGCCCAGTCGATCCCAATGCGCCTCCGGTTCCGGCTGTACCGAAGGACGTCCCCCAAGTCAGCGTCGTACACCGACGAAATGCGAGCCTTGAGCCGCCGGCACGTGGAGGGTCACCCGTCGGAAGAGGTGGAGGTCGAGGGTTGAGCTTGGATCGGGGAACATCCAACGCCGGAAATCGCGGTCGGGGGCAACCGCGAGCGCCGGCCCTCTCCAGAGTGGTAGAGGATGAGCAAGATGGAGCACAGAGGTCCTCTATCAATTTCTCCCGTCCCATTTCTCCTCCAGTGGCATCATCGCCCACACCAAAACCAGTGGCCTCGGCACGCGCCGGACAAAGCGGCTGGTTCGGCGGTCCGGTTGTAAACACAGAACAATCTTTTAGAGGTGAAAAATCGCGACCGAAGACGTCGGATGGCACCTCTGCGTATGCCACTCAGCAAGCCGCCCAGAACGTTCAGAATGCCGCGGTTCGGCCCGTCTCGACCAGAGCAGCACACATGTCGACTGGCGTGGAAGGCGCACGACTGGCCACGGGTAGCATGCGAGCCAAACCGAGCGGAGGAGCCGTACAATCGCAGCCGACGTACACCGCGGCCAAAGACCGCCCGGTGCGTATCGTGGATCCCAATTCGCCATTCGCCGTATATGACCCGTCAAGTAGGAAGTTCATCCATAAGCAGGATGCAATGAACCTGCACCGGGCGATGAGTGACGCAGAAGATCCTGCACCGCCGTATGAGCCTCAGCGAGCAGTACATCAGACCCACTACGAGGCACCACAATTCAGTCAGCCGGCCAGACAAGCTCCCCAGATCAGGGACATAGCTCCGCGGTACGCTAGCGCCTCCCCAACACCTGAGGCTCCACAGCCAGCGTCTTACACGGAGTATGCTGAGGATCCTGCTCCTGCTGCAAGTCCTAGACAGCATGGTGTTGCATTTCCTCAAGATGAACCTGCTACGTTCACAGCGCAAGATTTCACTGAAGTAGAAGACCGATTCCCCGCAGGCGCAAACACCAGTCGAAAGTTGGAGTCTCCCTCTCCTGAGCCGATTGAAGAACCTGAAGATACTGTATCACCCAAATTCGCCCCAAACCAAGGCAGCTCTTATCCACACCTTGCACCACCGGCCCCATCTGGCCCTCCGAGTACGCAGGGAAGCGAACGGTCTGCGAGGACGCATTCGTTGAGCCCTCCGCGCAGTGCGCATTTCGCAGCAGTTGCTGCGGACCTATCAAATGGCATCAAGCACCAACCGCCAGGCCGTTCAGTGTCTCCCGCAAAGTCCGCCCTGAAAGCCTCGCCATCAGTATCTGGTCGAAGCCATTCGCCGCTCGCCAATAACGGTCGTATGGTCAACCGAGGAGCACCAAGCCTGGCGTCCGACGCCGCTTCGGAAGACGGTGGAAAGAAAAAGAAGAAGGTTCGCATCAGCTTCGATGAGGAACCCACAGTGGTCGATATTCCACCATACGGCGATTCTGACGTGTCACATCTGCCGGTTGCGGATGATCTGGATTCAGAAGAGGATCTCGACGACATTCTGAAGCCCACTCCAGTGCTTCCATCATTTGGTAGTATTCGGGACAAGAATCGCCGCTCAAGGGACGACCCAGAAAAGGTCACGGAAACCGTGTCTTCGTCGCTGTCGAATTCTGCTACGCTGATGGGAGAGTCAGAGCTTTCGAGCGACCACAAAATCGGCGGCATCCTTGCCCAGGACTTTGCTGCGAAGTCAGCGGAACACTCATCTGGAAATGATCCTCTTCCGCCGGAGGTAACGTCCGTGGAGGGCAGCGGCTACTACTCAGAATCAAGTGAAAGCGAAGCTGACGTGCCCATCGTTGAACCTCACAAGACACTCAAACCAGAAGGAGTGCAATCAACACCGGAACCAGAACCGAAAACCTTAACTAATCCTGTCGAGACGCGTGCAGCGCCGCTCGAAGTACCAATTATTGCGGTGCAACCGGCCAGTCCTCCCATTCCCCAGGAACCTGCGACCCAACCGTCATATATTACTCAGCCGGTCGTGGCACCTCAGCCTGCACCGAAAGCACCACGTCCATTCGTACCGGGTGGATGGGACGACGATGATGCCTCGGAGCCTGAAGTCGAAGTCAAGGCGCCTGAGCCAACTTATTCGGCCCCTAGCCAGCCATCCATTACAATCCAGATACCTGAGCGTCCGGTCGACGACGATTCTTCCGACGATAACAGCAGCGTCTACAGTGACGCTTACGAAGATCTCGAAGAGGGCGAGGGCTTTGCCTCCATTGATGCAATCATGGAAAGTCCTATCGTAGCACCAACCTCTCGGTTCGCATCAAACAACTCCTCCCCTAACACATATAAGACGGGACTTGAGAGTTCAAGGTGGGCTCCCACCAATCCAGACGACATTCAAGAAAGGGTTATTCAGGACCAACGGAAGGCGCAGCCTAACAATGATTGGGAGACTTCTCAGCAGTCTTGGAGCGAAATGAATGACTCGCGAAAACCGCAGCCTCAATCCGGGCTACTCATCAATAATCTCGCTGCAGTAGAAGAGCCGAAGAGCGCTCCCCGGACAGCGGCACCTGCCACGCAGACAAGAGCCGAGCCCAAGCCTACTCTGCAGGAAGTGTCTGTACCAATACCTGCGAAATCGAAAGAGCGTAGAGTCAAGGTCGAGCCTACCGTCGCTCAAGTTAAAGCGCCTCCCACACAACCTGCGAAGACGGCAGCACAACCTCGCAAATCCGCTTTGAAAAAGGCTACGCCTACTTCGCCCCCAGCTGAGGTTCCTTTGAAGAAGACGATGCGTGACCGCGCACCAGTTTCAAATGGCCCTGAACCCCAAATGCGAATGACCATGCGTGGAGCTAGCGGTGGATTTGCCGGCAGAGGCTCATCCGCACCAGCTACGCAGCGACAGAGCATGCCGCCACTGGATACTAAGCCACCCAGAGGTGCCCTGCAGAAGAGACATCTTCCGGCGGCGGCAGCTGGTGCAGCAGCCAGACCTCGACCACAAAGCGCTTCAGGTGTCCCTGCTAAACCCAAAGCTTTCGTCCCCCCGGCGCCGACTTACGATAGCGACTCTGATGCCTCGGTCAGCAGCTTCCAGCGTGAGCGCCAGCGGAATCGTGCATCACGGAGTAACAACAACGGCGGCCAATATACCATGCGTGCATCCATGCGCTCGGGTCCCACACCAACGATGCGGGCCGCGCCTCCTGTACGATCGATTTCGCCCCCTCGCACTGCAACGTCACCTCCGCCATCAACGCTCAGGAAGTCTATGCGACCTTCTTCTCCGACACCGGAATCACCTGAGAAGGTGAAGTCCTCTCGCTTTAGCATAAGATCTTTATCTCCTGCAGGCCGTTTCAGACGTAGCAGTACCTTCGATGCCGCACCACCCATGCCGCCTCCACCTGTACAGGCTCCTCCGCCAAAGGCCAAGAAGTCGATGTTCGCCAAATCAGCTCCTGCAAAAGCCCCAGCAAAGGCAACAAAGGCAGCAAAGCCTTTCAAGAGCCGAATCAACGACTCCAGTGACGAAGAAGAGGACCGACCACGAAGATTCCAGAGCAGATTTGCAGATTCAGACTCAGACTCAGAAGATTTCGAGCTTCCTACCGGTCTTACACCAGTCCGAGGAATTCCGAAACGTTCCGGCGAGGAAGACGGCGATTCTACGGATCTCGAAGACGAGGCGAGCGACAACGAACCCACACCAGCACCAGTCACGAATGGCAATGGTAAGGGCAAGAGTGCGACCACCAATGGATCGACCAATGCGCAGGGTGCAAGTCTTGCGGCAGGGTCTCTACGCCAGCCGGGGGCAGTCCCGCCTTTAGATGCTGGACAGAAGAAGCCAAAGCGAGGCTTGTTCGGCTTTGGCAAGAAGAAGAACTCTTACCTTGCCGACGCGAACAGCAGTACTCAGCCTGCGGACTTCGGGATTCCCATGCCTCCAGCGCAGCAGAATCGTGATCTCAACCGACCGCTTACCCCGATCGGTGAGCTCGACGACGTTGACGCTGGCAACGCGCCAATGAACCCCCCTCCAAAGTCGGGTCGTCGCACACCACTCGAGCGTTCGACCTCCGACTCGTGGCCACTGCCGTCTCCCACTCCTGCCTTTGCACAGGACGAACGACCCCAGAGCGCCGATGGCCCTGTCAAACGAAGACTATCTTCTGGCCGACCCACTCTCGTCAAACGAAACCCTTCTCAGCTGTCGCAAACACATACCGAGCTTGATCCGAAGACTGGCAAAGAGGTTTCCTTCGGGAGGACAGGCAAAAAGAAGAAGTTTCAAGGATTGAGGCGGGTCTTGGGCCTCAACGATTGAGCGTGTGTAGCGTCATGCTGACACCGTTCATAGAGCTCTAAAGCCGCATATTGCGTCGCAGCGTGCGGAACCCCGCCATGACAGGCACCGCCGTAGACGCAAGATGTCTTCGAGGATGTCAGGGCAAAGCGTTGACTCGTTCGTGAGAGCCAGCGTCATACTTCTGGGTTGCTATCGACCCGAAACTGAACAACACGATTGATGTACATCACACACGTTTCTTTATCTTGATCGAGCGCGTATTACCCACCCGGTCCCGACTACCTTCGGGTTCTCTTTTCTTTCCTTTTTTCGATTATGCAGGGTGGACGTTTGTTTAGTAGCTGGGTTGGGCACAAAAGAGATACCAATTTGGCTGCGCGGGGTCGACCTTTCGCTGGCAGCGCGACAGACTAGCGCGTTCTTGTAGATGCTTGATGATTTGACTTGATGGGATATATATACTTGTACGATTTTGGGGGGGTAGGTAATATCTAATTCTAAATCTTGCTCAAACTTAAGTGTGGAAGTGTCTCATCTCAGCTTGTGACGATTAGCGTGCTCGAACGGAGGGTATGGGTGTGTTTTGCCTGCTTGTTTTTACGGAGCACAGCAGCAGGCGTGGAGTTGTACAGGATGGGTGTCGTTGCACGTCGAGAACTTGAAACCGCGAGTTTCACAGGTTGCAAAGGCGTGCAGAAATGGACGCCATCACACGCTGTATCAAGCTCAAAGCTTCACAACGTACGACAAGGTTCGCGACGGGTAAGACTTCTTCACTGAATGTCTGTTCTTACCGTTGGGATCTACACGGGCAGGTAGGTACATGAGTGTCGTTGCGCAGCATACCAGCTGCTGTGCTCAATGGGACGTAGCATGCTAAATGGTGGAACCGCGCGCAGAGTACACGAGCGTATAAGAATAGAGTGGAAGCCCGCTCTGTCGCATCCTCGGTCATATCATCTGTTGAACTACGAACTAACTTCTGCTACTTGAAATGAACATGCTCATCGCCCTGCTCGTCGCTGTCGCTAAAGCCAATGCCCTCGGCCGCATGATTGTCTACAATGGCTGTTCCGAGAATATCTGTGCGTTTGCCTTGTCCTGCCCGCTCTAGAATCTGACATCTGCGATGAAAGACCTCCGCGATGGCCGCGAGTCCATCGGTAGCGAAGCCTTCGAGATTGAAAAGGATGCGTCATACAAGGAACGATTCGAGGTCGACGGCGCCATGCTTTTCGTTGGTAGTGATCCATCGTTCAGCATTAACACGTCTGATGCGACGGCGCCGAGTGGCATCAGGTTTATGGCCCGGCCGAGCCTCGATCAAGCGGAGTTGGTCTTCTGGAGCTTGGCTGATGGCGCGTCGCATCCCTTCGTCGGACGGATGGTTAGTGTGAAGCCGACTGATCCGGGCTGTGTAGGCGTTGTGTGGAGCAGTGGGACGCCGCCGATGGGAGCTGGGGCTGGGCAGGCGCATGGGGAAGAGATGGTGTGTGGGAGTGAGGTGGACTTGGTGCTTAGTGTGTGTATGGGGTCTTAGAGAAAGAGTTGTGGTGTTCAATGTGCATGTGGGAGAGGAGTGAGGGAATAAGATAGGCTTGCCATAGATACGATTGATAGTCACAGGTGCAGATTGTGGCAAGTGCCATCACGGATTATGTAAAGTAAAACATGCATTTCAAGTTCCGTAATCGCACCCTTCGTAAAGCTCACTGTATACCCGTTTTCGATATTGAGAGTCTATACCCTTGTATCATTCATTGCGCTGACAAGTTCCCGTCGCCATCCTTTTTGTCGATACAGTAGAGACGTGAAGGAAGAGTTTCATCATTCCGCTTCTCTCCGTTCCCTTAGGACCTAGCACTTCAGGCCTCTTTTTCCGCCAGTTTCTGATGAAGCTCTTCGATGAGCTTATCTCGTAGAGCGATCTCAAAGAGGAGTTGCGCTTCATTGGGCGTCTGGAAGTCACCATCTCCAGATTTGGCGGAGTTGTATTCCACCGCCCGCTCGCTGATTCCAGTGGTTGTCGTTGTGTTCCAGGTGTCGGCAGCCTTGCGGTAAGCTAGAAGAGTTGCGCCATGCTTGGATGTGATCATGGTCTCGATACACTTCAGCTCGGGCAGGAGGACACGCTTCGGTAAGATCCACTTTTGCCAGCTGTGAACCTCCGCGGTCGGGTATAGTAGGCGCAATGACTGGAGCGTTGCGGGAAGGACGGTACTGTCGATGGTGCGTGGCTCGTTGTGCTGAATAAGCTCCGGACTCTGCGTGTCGATAAGATTGCGTGGAAATATTAGGGCTTGAGGAAGCCATAGGACCTTGAGCTTGCGGAACCTTTTCAGCGTACCAACTGGGAATGGTTTGACATGATCCAAGAATCGTGTGTCAGTTCCATGGGCTACTGTCAGATAGAATTCTTCGAGCGTATGTGCGATGGGTTTGAGCCGCGCCGAAAGCATGCTAGCGGCACCTGAGGCCTCCTTGGTGATTATGTCGATAGGCTTCTCGGTGTCGAGCCAACGTAGGTACCTATCGTAGTTGTCGAGGTCGATGTTCAAGCGCCGAAGTCCTGCAAAGGGCGACGGCCTCCCTAATCCACTAAAAGCTATGGTCCGGATGGTCCGCCGAGTTGCCTGTGTTAAGAGCACATCTGTCGAAAGTGCCATGGAGATCTCATTTACGCTCAAGGAAGGGTGAGACTGATGATGCTCCATGAACTTGACCCTTTGGTCGAGCCACATTCGTTCCAGCTTTGGCAGGTAACACCACTCTCCACTGGCTTCTACGCATTGCAAGCCCAACTCCTTCAACCCACACAAGCCGGGCACTAAGCTGAAGTCCATTTTGGGAGCCATGAAAACGTTTTCCAGGGCTCCGACGTTCAAGTGATGATATGGAAGATCTACAGCACGGTTCAAGAAGCAAGCATACAGTGTTTCCAAGCTCGGCAGCATGTAAAGCAGCAGACCAAGCCAGGCCACATTGTCGGCATCACATAATTGTTGTAGCCATGCCTTGTTGTTGCGCTGTGAACCCAAGGGCAGAGAGTCGGGAATATTCTCCACGATGCTGGCACTCAGTGCCCGCATGGGGCCCATGTGAATGGAGTCTTCTAATGCCATATAGATGTAGGCGACGTTAATGCTGATGTCCAGCGCCGTGATACCATCAGCGAGGTCTGGTCGCGTTGTGAGTGTGCGCGCGAACAAGAGGATGTGGTTGTCCCCTTGTTTTGGCCTCTCCAACGGCATCGGTAGGCGGATAGTCTTATATAAGAAGGGGTAAGATACCGTCGCGAGCCTTCGCGAGGTGAGGGCGAGCGCATGAAGAGCGCCGGTTGGAAGGAAGTCCGCGACCTGGCAGAGCAGCTCGTTCGGGAGGTGCTCGAATGCGCACATGGTGGTCGAGTCGAGCGATTGAAAAGGTTGAGTGAGCTGTTCAGTCGCTGTCGAGGGGCTCTTTATGGTGCACCGGGGAGCGGCGCCCAGGCGCTAAACACCGCACGTGACCTCGACGTTCGCCCTCAAGGGGCCTGACCTTCACCATACCTGGCGCAAGGCCACGAAGGTGAGCTATCCTCTTTTTGGACTCGTCCTGACACTGATTTCAATCTGGAGATATAGTCAGCATTTGTTATTCTGGTATCCGTTAGAGGCAAGACTCACACCTATTATCGGTATGCGTCTGTATTCTCCATGATTTATATATCTCTTCGAGGCCATCTAGCGTCCCAAGGAGCACAGTAAAATAGCCACCAGAACATTCTCAAGATCGTTCTGCGTATGAAGGTATGCTTCGAGTTCCATGACAACTGTATTCTGTAAGGTATCGAGTCAAGTCTCGCTATAAACTTCCAGTGGGAATGCCTGAAAGATACCAGAAACTCCTGTTGGGGACTGGGCAGCTCTCAGACATGCATGCATGGAACCTTCAAAATTAGGCTCAAGCTTTATACATGCTGAGAATAAGGCGTAAGCACCGAGCTGGCACCCAAACACTTAAGCAAAGTCAGACAACGAAACAATCAGCTCGCTAGCATACAATAAGCCATCACACATTGCTTGTGAGCTGGGCTATTTGTTGAGACGTCAAGCCATCCTTAGACGACTAAGATCCGAAGTTTGCAAAAGATGATGTTGCTAGGCTCTGATCTATCTATTGTCCCTATAATCGTGTGTATGGTTGTTAAGACCCATAGTTGTCATGCTTTAGCGCTGTGGTTAGGAATCGTCAATCTCATACGAAAGAGTAATGAACTTTAGATGGCACACCTCAAGAGCGACGCCGTTCACTCTAATTACCATGCCTCACGCCTCTCTATGACACAATACTGAAATGAATCTGAGAAGCTATACAAATGAAAGAAGCCCGTCACTTGGCTATTTATCTTACCTGAAACAGCTCGATTCAACGACCCGAAGCGGAGAACAATTTAGCCATCTACATGCATCATCCCATGTTCTACACAGATTTATCTTGACACTGACGAAGCCCCCCTATCGACTTGAAGACGAGCGCGCGCGCAACGCACTGTACACGAGCTCACCGGGAAACGAACTAACGCAGGAGATGTATCATGTAGTGGAGGAATATGGTGGATCCGTCATAAGTGTGGGTACGCAACGTTGCTTGCCAAGTTGAGTCCGTGTGGGGTTGACCCGTCAGGCAAGATCAGGATTAGTTCTACACGTTATATTGGGGGCCTCATTGTGTTGCCCGCAGGAGGCTTTGAACATGCCTGCGGGGAAGAACCTTCGTTGGAGATAATCTTGAGAGTGTGGCGAAATGCACTGATTGAACCAGGGCAGGTTGGAGGCACAATGGTGAAGAGGATCAATTATCTACCTGAGTACGCATCATGATCTGTAACTTGCGGGGCATAAGGCTGCCAATAGAGGCCCTTATCATTGATCCTGGTAAGTAGAACTTGGTTTCCGCAACCGATACATTATGCATCGTCTCCCCTCATGCTGTTTGTACACATCGACCATGTCTCGCAGGCGCCAATATGAAGCCATTTCGTTCGGTGAGTCCGTCTTCCACCAACATCCCAGGTATGAAGTTAATTCTCTCGGTCCGCCAACTGTTCCTCGAGCTCCTGTATGCGTCGGTCTCGCAGGGCAATCTCGAAGAGAAGTCGTTCATTCTCGGTGGATGGCAATGCACACTGGCCAGATTTGATGGTGTTGCAACCGATGACACGGGTTTTGATATCGTAAGATGCGATCACGTTCCAAACTTCAGCGTCTTCAGCATTGTACCCCGTAACGTAGGTATCATGCTCGGAGGCAATCATCAACTCGATGTGTTGGAGGCGAGTCAGGCGGTAGCGGTGTGCCACGAGTTCCTTCAACCAACTATGAATCTTCACAGTCGGCTATGAGATCTGCAGTGCTTCCAGTGTCGTAGGAAGATAACTGTAGTCGGTCATAGAGAAGTCGCTACGACTGGCCAAGTGATCAAAACCTCGAGGAAGGATCAGCGCTTGTGGTACCTCCAGTACCTTCAGCTTGTAGAATCGATTAAGAGAGTCTACAGGCACGGGATCGACGAGGTTCAGGAACACCGGATAGGTACCTTGAAGTACCGTCACACGAAGTTCCTCGAGTGTGTGTACCATTGGTTCAATCTTCGGCAGCAGATTTGCGAAGGAGCCGATGTTCTCTGCGTCAATATGGCCCCAACCGTTGTCTAGGCTGATACTCAATCGTCGAAGTGTAGAGAAAGATGTTGACCTGAGGTGTCGCTCATGGAGAAACATGGGCTGGGCTGGTGGCAATAGAATACCTGACGCCTGTTCCGTATATATCTCTTCTACCTGAGACGAAGGCTCGCAAATCTCATAATGCAGAGAGAGGTCGACGTTTGGACCAAGCCGCATGCGCTTCAGGTTCGGCAAGCAGCATAACTTCCAGGTTGAAGCCTTGCAGTGCAGCTCCAGGTTCTTCACCTTGCGCAGGCCGGGGACTGTGTTGAGATCGATTTCAGGATCTTCGAACAGTGCACGAAAGCTTGCGTTTTCGGCCATGGGAGGGTACTCGTCATGTCTGTCGAAGAAGCGAGCGGTAAGGTCCTCCAAATTTGGTAGCATATATAGGAGAAGTCCAAGCCAGGCTTCACTACTGGCGCTGTACACTTCCCGCACCCACCTTTCGTTAGCCAGCTGTGAACCTACCGGCACGACGTCAAGAATGCGACCGATGGCGGAGCTACCAGCGGCGATTGGGCCGCCTGAGTGCAAATCGTCATTTCGCGAGCATACACTAACATCGAGCTCCACGATGCGCTCAGCTAGATGCGGCCGCATTGACAAAGTGCGCACCAGAAAGAAGATACGATGTGACCAGTCGGAGGCGTTGCCGTCCGGGGTTGGGAGATGTAGCTTCTTGTAAAGCTCATCATAAGCAGCGGTGCTCAGTTCCTTAGATGTGAGCGCCAGTGAGTGAAGGGCACCGCTCGGCAGGTAGCTGGCGATGAAAAGCAGCAATTCGGTCGAGAGATCTTTCAGTCCCGTCATGGTGGACGTCGGCAAGGTATGAGAGGGTGTTGAGTGTTATGCGGTGTTTGAGGTGCGGTCCAATGGCTCTTTATAGGGTAGGGGAGAGCGACTCAAGCGCAAGGACACCACGTGATCTGACTTTCACCGTACCCGCACTGTTAGACTTCCTATTGTGGAAACATGGGCTAAGCGAAATGAGAGTTTTTCCAGGTTAGGGGCGTCAGAAGGGGCAAGTAGTGCAGCCGAAGTGAATAAGTGTCCCGCTGCCACTAGAGATCTTGTGGACAGACTAAAGCTATGCCTGTGGCCGAGAGAGGCTGAGCATTACACATAGAACCAATCCAAGCCATAATAATATAGAAGAGCATCAGTAAGACTAACAGTAAGTGCTGACCCAAATTGAATAGATTCGAGCCGTGTACACCCGGGGTCCGCTCGAGATATATGCATGCCCAAGGTGAGATGCAAACACTTAAATAGATAGCCACTCACTCTTCGCAAGGCCAAACCCTTATGAGAATCAAACGATTTGCTCGACGGCGCTCCTCAAATCTCGCAAAACGATTGTGAGATTGCTCAACTCAAAGAGATTCACCATATTCTTGCTGCTTACAGCTATTGCCATATACGATAAAATTGATTGCATGAGAGACCTCAGTAATTGGATGCACTAATCACCTCGATGTAGAGTTACAGCGTACGTTGGCATCAATTACGATGTCATCTTTGGAGAGCAGATATGAAGCACCAATGTACTTTGACTGGGAAGCGTAATTTGCCAGCTCTGTCGTAATCCCAGCCTATAGACTGTCGAAAATGGCGAGGCCCCAACTCAGATGCTTCTCTTGCATGATGCGGTCATGCTACCCGATTTGAAGCGCAAAGCAAGTCGGCGGCCCTCAAACATCCGGACGAAATGCCACCATATAAAAACGAGCCAAACATTCACAAACTGCCTGAGGCGGTCACGTTTATAGGCAATTGAAGATATCCGCGTAGTTTCCACAAGGATCACAAATACGACAGCATACAAGATTAATTTCGTTGCGTACTACGGCTAAAAAGACTCCGCTCGATGGTCTATGTTCGCATTCTGAGGGCGTAAATAGATGGCGTGCATACTGCCTACGATTACGTCTGCAAAACGATCAGGTGGGATTCCCAAATACCTGTGCGAACCAACAGCCCAAGCTCTTAGGAGCCTAGGAGAGATTTAAAATGAAAGAGTTTCTCTGTCGCCATTGTAGTCCGACATTCGACTCAGGACTTTGGTGCTATAAAATTTTGCCAGCTAGTACGTTTACCACTGTCACGTCATATCTATGGTCAATAAGTCATTTCCTTGTCTATACATGTTTTCTGAGCCCTTGGTATGCCCTTGCCTTCCACGGAGTGCAGTGTACGTCGTTTTCGCGACTGTCGTGCACGTTCGGGTGATCGTTCCGATATGTCGTCATTACCGTCATAACCTCCGCGCTGCGCGGCTCCTCTTTATTCCCACATTGCTAGCTCGTAACAGGTAAGCTTCTGATGTAAAGACCTAATGCAGTTGAAAACGTCCAGTCGGAGGTGATCTCTCGACGCGTTACTGTATCGTCATTGAATATGCGGCAGACTGTTGTACACGCGGGCTGGTCCTCATAATAAAGCACACATTCGATTGCTTCTCATGCCCAGTCTCGTTCATTCTATTTTGGCCACAATGCTGTCCAAAATATACGTGATATTGCTTTTGGTATTTTGCGTCGCATCTCGGAATTTCACCAACGAGTACGACTATGTGATTGCAGGTGCGGGTACTGCTGGGCTGCTGCTAGCGAACATCTTATCCGAGGACCCCAATGTCAAGGTCTTGGTACTAGAGGCAGGTTCCGACTCCAGGAAAGAAGCAAATGTGACGGATCCAGAACGGCGAGGTAAGTGCTCGGTAATGTCTGGCAAAGTAGCATTGATTCGAGTGGCGGTACAGGGACAATACAGCACACACAGTATGACTGGGGTTTTGAATCAACACTGCAACCAGGACTATACGACAACGGTACCGGAGGATCCCAGTACGTGCCGCGAGGCAAGACTATTGGTGGAACGAGCGCCATGAACTGGATGTAAGAGTTTCTAGACAAGTACTTGCATCGGAAGCACGTTAAGACGCTATAGGATACATAACGAAGACTCGCGTGTCCAATTGGACATATGGGAGAGTGTCCTCAATCTGACCGGCTGGAACTGGGAGTCCATGTCAACAGCTTTTCGAGAGTCTGAAACTATGTATGCTCCGTCTACGGATCTTGCAGATGTTCTCCCATACGATGCTTCCCTGCATGGAGGCGCCGGTCCCATTGAATCGACTTTCCAGCGCAGTGTGTACACCTTGTACTCCCAGTACGTGTCGCCAACACTGGAATCGCAAGGCTTCACGCCCACGCATGATGGGAACAACGGGGATGCCAACGGACCCAACTTCCTTCCTTTCGCAATCTATCCATTCAACTACACGCGCTCCTACGCGGGGTCCGCATACACAGCCGTGGAGTATCGACCGAACATGGAGGTCAGAACAAATTGCCAGGTTACCGGGATAACGTGGGCATCTACAGGAGCCAACGTGACCGCGTCTGGACTAAAATACGTTCCTGCAGACGGATCTACGAATCAAACGACTCAAGTTGCTGGTCGCGAAATTGTTATTAGCGCAGGGGCTATTCAATCGCCTCAAATTCTCGAGCTGAGTGGCATTGGTGATCCAGAAATCCTACAAGCCGTCAATGTCACGCCCGTGGTCAACCTCACGAATGTCGGCACCAGTCTACGCGATCCTCCAATGACCAACTACTGGCCCATACAGTTCAAGATCAATAGATCTGTGAACTTGACCGGTAACGAATTTATTCAGAACTTCATCGACCTCGAGCCAGCATCCAAGATTCTCTCTCCTGCAGATTACTACGCAGCATCGACATGGTTGAACAGCACAACCACAATTCCCGGATTAGGAGATGCACAGCTGGCAGTGTTCAAAGAACTTTGGTACACCAACCAGCCACTCATAGAGTTTGCGTGGCAGTATAAGACGGCAAACGTTACGCCTTACTGCCTTGTGCCGCTTTCGCAAGGCACAGTGCACATCAACTCTAGTGATCCACTGCATCCTCCAGCCATCAATCCGAACTACAACGTGGTCAATGCGACTATTAACGGAACTGTCGTGCAGTGGGATATGTGGTTCCTCGCAAAAGCAGCTCAGTACTACACGGAGCTACTTGCTACCTCAGCACCTATGAGCTTGATAGTTACCTCCACGGTACCAGATTACAACCTGCCCTTCGCGGAGTGGTACGAAGCCATCTTCCAGCAAACCGGTTCGTCACAGCATTTGACGGGCGGCAACCCAATGCTAGAGAGGGAAGCTGGCGGTGTTGTGGATACGGAGTTGAAGGTCTACGGGACGAACAACGTCAGGGTGGTTGATGGAAGTGTTTTCCCGTACCAACCAAGTGCGCATCCGATGGGGGTCACATATGCGCTTGCTGTTCGTGCGGCAAGAATTTTCCAGGCTGGTAAGTATACGGAAACTACTGATCTACCGTCGAGTAATGCGAGTGCAAACGCGACTGCAACGTTCCCACCGGGTGGAAGTGGGAGCGGGAATGGGTCATCAGTCACTACTGGGGTTCCATCTTCCTACACAGGTGGGGCGAATATAGTGGGTCTTGAAAGGCTTGGGTGGGGGATGTTCAGCGCGTTTGTCTTCGCGATCAGCCAGTTCGTGTAAAAAAGCGGCGGTCGCAAAGTTCGCAAAGTATTTACTCGTTACTAGGGATGCGCGTTAGGCCGACATATGAGTCAGTTCAAGGCGTGAGACTACTCAGGCGGTGGAGGACTTAGCACATCAGGCTTATCTCCGGGCTACCGTTTCTGCGGCATGTTGTAACTATGTCATCTGTATCGGTACATATCACAGTGCCTTCCGCGTGTTGAATACCACAGATATATATCGAGTCTCGCAGCTCGTCTTTTTACCTTCGCAAGTGTTACAACAACGCTGTCATACCGAGCCGCCCCCACCCGGCCATAGCATCTCTCCCGCCACAAGAAATTCATTGCGATCAGTTTTAAAAAAACCTCATCACAACCTCCCATAATCCCATTGTCCATGAGCCTTCCGCAGCATGATCCACAATTCTACATTCGCGGTTACGCAAAACAATGCGCCGTGCACAACGGCCCCAAAATCTCACCCGAGAAGGCAACAAGTATCCAAAGCATGTATGTGGTGTCGCGAATATCGAATAAAATGCGATACTGCTATTCCATGTCGGAATTGTAGAGCAAAGGGGCGAAAGTGCACATCTGGACGTGGACAGAAGGAAGTGCGCACCTTTTCAGGGGCGATCAGGTTGGTCAAAACCGCTGTCAGAATGAACCATGGCTGACTCTCCGCGCGACACAGAGAAATAGATCGTCTAAATGATTATGTGAAAGAGCTCGAAGAAAAGCTGCGGAAGTTGCAGCCGGACGAGACAAGAAAAGAAAATGTCGAAGTCGAGACGATAAAGAGCCAATCGCCCGGAAGACGATCTCTAAAGCATGATCGAGCACCGGCAGTACCTACGTATCTGGATCCACTTGCGGAGCTAGGTGTTAACAAGAAGTACTACAACTGGGATGTGGTATCAATACGAAAGCCTCAAACCCACCAGCAAACGTACGGGACGTCTTCTTCTTTTTACTACATCAATCAGATGACAGTCTATATGAACGCTGTCTTAAGAGAAAAGCTCAACCATGCGCGCCTTGACACTGTCTACAAACCATATCACGCCGGTCCCGATGGCGATGCGCTCCACAGCAGTCACGATGGTAGCCATCTGACAGCATCCAAGGATGGGTTTGACTTGTCCAGATTTGCAGAGGAGACTTATCTGTCTGGATTCTGGACTGATTTTGATAACGTCGCTCTCATCGTCAGTCGAGACGAATTTGAAAGACGCTTTGATTCACTTTGGCAATCTTTTCGAGCTCTACGACTTCCTTCGGCTCTTGTGGACGTCATACTCGCTTTGTGCATGCAACGCAGTGCTCAAATATCTTCGACAAATTTAAAACACCATGGCTTACAAAACCCGGAAGTGGCTGGTCTATGGTGGCATCGCAGGAGTCAACGGCTTCTCGTCGACGATCTTGAAGAGCCTTCTATCGCGACCTTTCAGTGTCACCTGCTGAGTGTAATGTGGCTCTCGAATGCAGGGCTTCACAACACTGCACACAGCGTCATGGCGAGTGGCATCCGGGTTGGCATCATCTTAGGTCTTCACCTCGAAACTCCGGAGACCCTATCTCTTGAGCACCGCGAGTTCAGGAAGCGACTATGGTGGACTACGTACGCGCTGGAGATGAAATTCGCCATGGACCTCGGACGTCCTATTGCTGTTAATTGCAAACAGGTCACCTGCTGCCTACCGTCTGAGAAAGCTCCCATTCCCGACAGTGCAAAGAGTGCGTTGTCGTACAATATCCACCTGATCAAGTTGCTTTTGGCAGGTCGGGCCGTCTACATTACGTTTTATCGCCGATGCGCAGAAGAGCTTGATTCAAGCGGCAAGGAAACGATCTACGAAGACCTCGCCGTACTAGAAGAATGCGCAAAGTTTCTCGCTTCTAACATCATCTACCTGCGGACTTGGGCGAAACATGTTCCAAGCGCACTTCAAACGATCCCCGGTAAAGCATTCTCAGTCGACGATATAAAGCTGGACTTCAGCGATAGTGAAATATACATTCCTTTAAGACGACAAAGCATACTTCTGGAACTCCACTATCACACTATGGCGATGAACTTGTTCCGCCCATTCATCGCCTTCTCGACATCACAACGCCCAGCAATGCCGAATACACAGACACATGCTCTCTCCTGCGCCAAGCATGCAGCCGCTATAACTAGCATCCTGGAACAAACGTGCACTAAGTCGAATTACCTAGACGGCATGCTCGAAGTGTGGCAATGGCAGTGGTCTGCAGCACTGTCCCTCGTCGGCTATATCCTGGCATATCCTCACAATCCCGTTTCCCCTTCCGTTCGCCGCTCTATCGATACCGCAATCTCTATTTTGCGCACCTGTTCAAAGGACGTCGCAGCTGAGGTCATCCATGAGCTAGTCGCCAAAGCCGACGCTTTACACCCCGGAGTCCAGCACTCGTGCGAGACTGTAGACTCCACAAATTTAGCGGAGCAAGGTACACAATCCCTGGAGACATTAGTATCCGGTGGATTGGGTTGGGATTTTGGGGACGATTTCCATAACGTGGCTGAAGGCTTGGACGATCTGTCGGGTGGAAGCAGCGTGATGTGTGGAGCAGGCTCATCTTTTGCGCTTGAAGGCCTTGATTGTGGCGATCAGAGCATGTTCGACCTCTTGGACTTTGAAGGCGTGGATAATCTTGAGCAATAATCAGTAGCAGCTATAGGGCATGTGTAGAATCGAACACTGGGACGTGCTTCGCATGTGGTATCGTTAGCGTATCCGCGGTTCTACGAAGACGTCATCGCACAAGTGGTCGATTCCCCGGTTGTGAAAGGCAAGATGATGCGAAGCTTGAAGGCCTCGACGGCAAAAGAATTAACAATGACCGATTCGAGTGTAGCTGCGTCGCAAGCGGCCACTGCATCAACGCCGTCGCTGTCATGTGACACAAACCCCGATATTTCGTCCTATCGATCCAATTAGATTCTATCGGACATTTCCCGGTAGGCTCAATAAGGTATTGTGGGTACAGCTGACCTTGAGGCGCGCCGGCTGACAAACTACTCCGCACGCGTATCGAGGGCGGAATCACCCGCCCCCACCTGCGCCAGCCTTACCAATATTCTTGGTCAACAGTTTGCAATCAAGGAGCTCCGCACGGAAGAGCTTCTACAAAGCCAAGCCAAGTCTAGATTGAACTCCTATTCTAGTCTGAAAATCCTTCTGGAGAAGCGTCTCAGATTAGCCTCCTCGATCATGACAATGCGCGCTTGGATGCTTGACGGGCCGGGGGACCCTTCTTCCTTCTATATCAAAGAGATACCTATACCGGACGTACAACAAGGCTGGGTGTTGATCCAAGTGAAAGCTTTCGGGCTGAACCGAAGCGAACATCACACGCTGATAGGTAATGCGATACCTCAGAAAACGGACTGAGCTGTCAAAGCTGATGATAAAAGGTCTCGCGGAAGGTGTCACATTCCCCCGAGTGCTCGGTATCGAAGCCACCGGAATAGTAGTTTCAGCCCCAGGCGGAGAGTTCAAGAAAGGCCAACAGGTGTGCGCGACGATGGGCGGCATGGGCAGACAGTTTGATGGAGGTTATGCAGGTGATGATACGCCCTGCAGATAGGCTTACGAGAGCATGCCTAACATTCGGGTGAACAGAATATACGTGCGTACGGTCGGAGCACGTTGTCGCATTCCGTTCTTCGTTAGACTGGGGTATCTTAGGAGGCGTACCCGAGATGCTGCATACCACTTGGGGGGCTCTTGAGATCGGCATGGATGCTAAGAAAGGCCAGTCGATACTCATTCGAGGTGGCACTTCGTCTATTGGAATGGCGACTGCTGTCTTGGCCAAACAACTACTGATGACGGTTTATTCTACAACTAGGAATGAGCGGAAGAAAGACGCACTTCAAAAAGTCGGAGTTGACCACGTCCTGATGGATGATGGAAATGTTTCTGCACAGGTCCGGGCGATTGCTCCTGAGGGTGTCGACTGTGCGATAGAGCTCATTGGAACGGATGCGTTACCGGATACGTTGAAAGCCTGCAAGGTCAAAGGCGTCACTTGTTTCGTCGGAATGCTATCCAATCAGTGGACCGTCAAGGAGTTTTACCCGATGTAAGTCTCTTGGTATTCTACCAAAGGTAGAAACCAATCTAATACGCTGTCTTAGTGGATACCTTCCTCACGGCGTAAGGCTTTCCGGTTACGCCAGCGGAGTGGACCAGCTTCCAGAGCACGTGATTCAGGAGTTTCTCGATGCTGTAGAAGCGGGAAGAGCCGTTGTGCCGATCGACAAGGTTTTCCAATTTGAAGGGTTGAAAGAAGCTCATGAGAGGATGGAAGCCGGTTCAGCGGTGGGCAAGATGGTGGTCCTCACGGGTACGTGAGCTAGACATGCCCGTTTCTGAGCTGCAGTAAAATTGAATGATAATCTCGCCGCGATATTTCCATGGCATCTGATAGTTACGTGCGTTTTCGCAGTCCCACTGGCCCCCAATGGGTCGCTCGTGTGCGCGTCACGGATGTGGGGCGTAACCGCTCGCTTGGTTGTGTAATGGTCAGACATACGAACATATGTTACATCTTCTCGGCGAAGGATCGATTGATCTCTTGGAAGGGGGCCAGTCGGTCTCGTAAAGGGGCCGAAGGTAGGATCAAAGCAGTAATTCGCACAGCGGTTTCCGCTTCGACAGCTCTTACCTGCCCAAAGTACTATGGTATACAAACCCACACGGGCCTCTAGGTGGCGGATCAGTGAATCCAAGTCTTCCAGGCCCTGGGGCCAGATGCAATCTTCGGCATGATTGCAGTTTGATGAGCTTCGAAGATCCGACAATTGTTAGTTGCTGCATGTGCTAGCGATTTCTAATTAATCACGCTTGACGACTGACTAGCTACATTTGGACACTAGCGTCAGCTTAAGCGCCGTTCGAGCCTTGCACACCTCCTCGATCACGACAAGTACCATCAACCGAGCGGATCCGGCTCCTCCCGCCCCCAATCTGCGTTGGAAATACGCCCTGCCCCAGCTCACGAGGCGGTTTCCTCTACCTTGGCTCTCAGCCGCATATCGCCCCTGATCAACTTACACAGTACCACAGGTAGCTTACGCGTTGGTTCTCAAAGTCCCGGACAGCGAACCAAAAGATTTCCAAGTGCAAGCTTTACTGCTTGAAGCAGACTGATACCAGGACGTACAAAGATTTTTCCGAGCAGTGAGATTCTTACTGTGTTCCCGCGTCCCCACTCGCTTCAGCTGCTGTGCAAGTGCCCCTGGTTGTTCGGGCTTTATCCGACGAATGAACGTTAGCTTGCCGATGCACGAAGCTATTTCTCCTTCTGATCATCCGATTTCGACACCCTGGTCAGCTTCTGAAATTTTCCAATGAACACCTGTGTTCTCTATGTCGGTATCACGGTCCCAGCACAGCACGTGTGCATCGGGCTGCAGGTGGACCGCACCCTCTCTCTGGAACCCGACAGTTCGTTCTGCTGATATCATATTGCCTGTTGTGGTCGCTCCTGAATCCATGGCCCAGAATTATGTTAGCCTTGTCCTCGCTAGGAGAATACAGATACCCTAAGCCATGAAGGATTGATAACGTGTGCGGACACTAACGATCAACGGATGTCTCCGTGCTGAATGGCGTAGACGAAAAGTACCAGGATCATGCCTTGGGGCTAAACGTTGAACCTCTAGCACCTACATCTAGTAGTTAAAGATACCGGCATCCTCACCATGCTCAGCGGTTGTCGTCGATCCCTTCTTTGATACCTCTGGTCGTGGTGCCACCTCTCCACAAGAATGTCTGAGGTAGAGTCCGAATTCGTCAAGCGAGGCCTATGGGTGAACTGGAGCCAAGGACCGGTCATGGGCCACACCCTGACGATTGACTCTTCAGCAGCCAACGCAGTGGTTGCCCTCCTCGCAATATGTACTTCCATAGGTACAGCGCAGTTCTTCAATCTTGTCATCTTTCTATACCACCAGCTCCGCGCTCACGGAGGCCCGTCGGATGGACTTTATTGGCAACAGCAGGCTCTCTTGCGAACCCTTCCTACGCCCACGGCATTGGTGGCGGATTACCTAAAGTTATGGTGGAGCTGGCGGACCAAAAGCAAGAAAGGTACGTGAATTTGCGTCATTAGTGGCCGCGGCGTTCCTCCGTGTACGTATGATCGATCTAACTTAAGTGACATTCTCTAGCAATCCTGCGTTCCTGGATCCCGGCCATCATTGTTCTCTGTTACGCCATTGCGGCAATAGCTGCCGGAATCAGCACCTCCTACGTGGTAGATAACACCAATCTCGAAGTACTTGTCGACAGTCCCCTATGCCGGCTCGTTGATGTTCCCAAGCTCGCTGCCGATGCGAATGCATCGACAGCATTTGCGACTGGGATGATCCCATATACACACACATACACGCAGAGCTGCTACCAAAATACCTCTGCAGCATCTGCAACTTGTCGAAACATCTACATACAACCCAAAGTTTCTCTGAAAGTTGAGGCGGCCGCCTGTCCATGGCAATCCTCTCTTTGTCTGGGTGGTGAAAATCCCGCTACATCCATGGACTCCGGGCTGTTGGATGTCAGCGAAGCATTCGGATGGAACTTGAAGGCAAGAGATAACCTATGGGTACGCCGACGCACAACGTGCAATGTGTTACCCTTGGAGGGCCACGAGGAACAAATCGACTTGTCTTCACTACCCAGTGCCGTCTTATCATTCAAACCACTTCCCAACGAACCAGGTTTTGGATACCTCTTTGGCAATTACACTGATTTACCTCCTGAGATGCACCCGGAATACACTTACAAAGTCAGCCAACTCTCTGCTAACCGCACCAATACATACAGTTCCACGTAAGTCCAACCTGAGGGAGGCGGACCTATTATCGAAGTCTACTGACATGTGCCGCAGAAGCACCATCACCCGCGTACATAGCCCTTCATTCATGTGGGGACTGAACTGGCGGACGCTCGACGAGATGAATCGAACCGACGCTGACGTAGCTCTAAACTTCATGTCTCTAAACAACGTGCTGTACCACAGACCCGTTGCAGATCCTCTGTTTTCGGCACATCAAAAAGTTTCCTATGGTAGTGAGGGGCCTTTATCTCGCGTGGAATACAGATCCGATAATCTTGCTGGAGCCATAGGCTGTGCTGTCCAGGTATGGCACGGCATCATCATCATGTTGGGTAATTCGCTAACACTGACCCTTCCAGCATCAATTCTGCGCGTCAAATTCCAGTGATGATAAGAGCTGCACTTCATTGACTGCTCTGCCATCTGACGACTCATCTCTTGCTGCGCAATTTCCGGAGCTTACTGGATTACAAAAGTCGCTAATGAAACTTCTGTGGGCAGCCAGCTTCCTCAATGATGTGACAAACGGAGCATCTGCAGATGAGCTATTAGTTGCTGGTACGTACTGTCCCACAGCCCGAATGTTTCGAACGAGGTAGTTGAAGCATACAAGACGATGGCATGCTGGCAGACCCTGGTGACGAAGTCGCTGTTCATTATCGAACATTGCTAATAAGGCCATGTCAAACAGGTCTCAACATGAATGGTCTTGTGACCGAGCTACCGGACGACCAATGGGTCAAAGAGGTAGTGAATTGGGAAAATTACGCATGGGCGGGCTTCCAAATTATGCTCTCAGACGCAGCCGTTGGCCCGATTCTACGCACCGAGTTGGCAGATAGCTACACCGACGCACCAGCAACAGCCGCTGATACCACACTATGCCATTCGATGAAGATGCGTAAAGCTGGTGGCTTCGCGTAAGTTCATTCACACCGATGTGCCAATCCAGGCCGACGCTGACCACTTTCCAGCAACGTCAACGTCTTCGGCCTCGCTTTCATCCTGACTTTCTCCGCCATCATATCCATCATCAACTACTTCATCCTCCGCTTCTTCATCTTCCTTAAGCGGTTCCGTAGGTCCCTTGCACCGCGACTAGATCGCTGGGTCAACGACGGCATCTTCCAGCTGCAGAGGCGAGCTTTCGAAGCGAATGAGAGCACCATGTGGATGGATCTGGAGAAGGAGATACCAGTCACGGTGCATGACATGGCGATGTCGGAACTGCCTACGCACAGGCGCACGATCAGGCGCTCTGCGACGGCTGCTACGCTTGTCGACAATAGTGCGGTGCTGAAGTGGGAGTTGGAGGAGCGGCAGCCGACAGTGACGGAATCGCAGCGCTCGATGACTGCAGGGTCTGATGCGTCTGTGACGGATAGAGGACTTGTATCGCAGGGGGAGATCAGTCTAGTGCAGCACTCGTCTCCTGGCGCGGGTTCGCGTTGAGGTCTTTCTTTTGTCTGTTGTTGGTTTGCTTCACAACAGACTATTCATGAATAGAAGATTCTCCCATTCCTGTCGATGCGCTTGAATTCTTCGTTCGCATGCTCGCGGACATGTATCATGCTGTATTCACCGTGTGCCTCGTTACAGTTTCGGACCTCTGCAACATGGCGAAGGACACAGGATTCATCGCGTATGACAAGAATGGGCGGTATCGACATGAAATTACTACACCTCTGGCCGAGATAGTCCACCACGTGCTCCGAAAGCAAGCATGGGAAAGAGAAACTGCTGTAGGCATGGTACGCATTAGAGTTGCAAGGAACAAGAACCACAAGTCAAACTAAAGCTGACCAAAACTGTTCGGGATACGTGGCATGAAGGCATGCTGGGGATATACAAATATTTAACAAGTTTGTTACATCATAGACTATGCAGTGTTAGATTTGCTATCACGGCAATCACTTCTGCAGTACGTGTGCGATGCTGAAAATGAAATTCATACGATTATCTTGTCGTTCAAACGACCAGTACTGACCATATCATCATGCTTGAGCTCCTAAAGGTTGCATCAATTTGCACACAAGCTCGATACGCATGCTGCACTTGTTCCTGCTCCTTAGCCAGAGCCCCAAAAGAATAGCTCCTGTCGCTCACCTAGGCTCTCTTCCTCTCCATGCGCAAAGCCGTCACTCAGTGCCTGACTCGTCGTATCCTGAAACGCTCTCGCCATCTTTGTGCTCGTCCTCCTCTCCATCCGCATCCGAGACGTTCTGCTCGTTCTTCTCGAAGCTGCTCACATTCCTGTATCTGACGAACTTCAATGTTTGCGCCACATTTTGACCGACCTCAGAATATACAATCAGGGGTGTGGAGGAGCTCGGTCCCATATATGTGCTCGGGTGGTTGCTTGTGAGCGCGGGATATGCGTCGATGGGCGGCGGCTCCAGAGGCATATGCGCGTCGAGTGGATGCTCAAGAGACTGCTCAGAGGCCGGGACTTCTTGCGGTACATCATAGGTCGCGAGCATCTGGAGCTGGGTAGAGTCAGCGCCTTGACTGTGCGCTGATCGAGTTTGCGCTTTGAACTCGCGGATTCGGCGCCTAGCCGTATAGATCGCTTCAATTGTTTCTTGCCGCTCTTTTGCGACCCCTTCTTTGTGCTGCAGCAGTTCCTCCTTCTTGCGAGTGTACAGATCGATCAGCTGCAGAGTGTGGCCATCCTTGGATGGCTTCAGCTCTTTAGGCAGCACGATAACAGGCTCAAAGATGGGTAGATGGTCTGCGGTCGACTGCTCCTGGCCTTGACGACCTAAGGTTTCTGGAGCCTCGTTCAGCTTCGCTTTTAGCTGCTCGTTCTGTTCCTGTAGCTCTTCGACCCTATCCATGACCTCAATGTAGTGGTTCGTGTCGAAAGTGTTCGCGGTCTGAAGTTGCTCTCGATGATTGCTCATTGTTATGCGCAATTGCTTCTGCAATTCCGCAACCTGCGCCTCTAACTCCTGCTCGCGGCTGCTCGGAGTGTCTCCATTTCCCTGGATTGCGTTCTGCTGGCGGCCTGGCTTCTGTTTTGGAGGCATTTCTCAACTTCCTGTACTAGCTCGTCGAGGTGGGAGATCGGGGCGCTACGACACCAGTTAGTCAAACACGCAGGAAGCACGCAGCAATAATTTTGATAGCGAGCTGTCCAGCTTCAAAAGACGTACCGGGAGGTTTGGAGTTTGCGCGAACGCGAACAGGCAAGGTAGAGAGTTGGTCTAGTCGGGAGCTTATGAGGCTTCGTATGGAATGGCCAAGTGGCTTGAGCACTGATCCACTGGCCTTAGTGTCAGAGTGAATTGACGAGGTCGCTGTCCACTCACATAATACAAGGTCGTGACGCACATCTTTAAAAATCTCTAGCCTTGACGCACCCTCCCCAAACACCCGCCCTGGAACTTGACCACCACAAGTAGAGTCAACCTAGTCTATCACGGCCTTTCGGACGGTAAGTGACTCAGTTCACTTGAGACACGAGTAACAGGCGCAAGCAGGACTCGGCTAACCACCTTTTCCAGCTCATCTCCCTTCACATTTATCAACCCGACTAAACACTTTACCCCTGTTCGCAAGCGCGTGCAGCGAAACAGTAACTTTCTGCAATTGTACGATTCTCTCAAGAACTCGAAACCTAGGGGTCCAGTTCCAAAAGCGCTCAGGAGTCAGTGGCCACAGATCCACCCAACGCTCGTGGGTACCACGCTGGCTGGGAGAGCGTGAGGTGCGCGGGATGGCGCAGCCCTCGCACGAGTCCGGCCCGGGGCCTTCTCTTCTTGCGCTGAGTAAGATACTGCAACGATCTTACTTTAAAGCCTGCGTCGAGCTAGACGAGGACATTGAGGAACTGTGGGACCGGCAGACCGTGCTCAAGCAAAGCTTCTGGGCATTGAACGCGAAATACGGTAAGCTTGATGACGACACAACGAAAGAGATTCTTGCATTGCGGATACAACTTGTCAAGGCAGATCACGGTCAGAATACGGCGACACATGCAACCGCAGCGGAGGATCAGGAGTTGCACAAGCTATATGAGAAGGCTTTGTCGGAACTCAAAGTGCGAGAGTTACGTCGGCTGAAAGAACGATATCGACATGAACATGCCTCCGAAGGTTTTGAAGAAAAGCATCAGCGCGAATTGGGGGTACTGTACGAGCAATGGGCAGACGATCTGGACCAGCACATAAAGCGTCTGTTGCATGAGCACGCAACTGCAATTAGGTCGAACGAGCAATCTGCACGAAACAGCGAGAGGGAGGCCTGCGAAAAGGCACAGCTCGAAATGCTATCCAACCTCAAGAACTACCACGCACTTGAGGTCGCAACACTCGAGCAAACTGCACGGGCGAACGAACGGAAAGCCTGCGACGAGAAACACCACGCAGCAATCGACCGACTCAAAGGCTGGCTTACGACCGAGGGCGAGACGCGCGAACAAGCTGCACGGACACAGGAAAGGGAGATCTGCGAGAAGGAACGCGATGCGACAATCGTTCAACTCAAGAAGAAGCATGCGACTGAGATCGAGGCACGCGAACAGTCTGCACGGACAAAGGAGAGAAATGTCTCCGAGGAGGAACGCAGTGCGATAATCATCCAGCTGAAGAAGCAGCATGAAACAGAGCTCTCAACATGCCGCAGCGAGAACATCGCGGCATTATCTCACAACAATAAAGCTTACGAAGCCAAGGTTCTGGAACTGAAGACTGAAAAGGCAAAGAGTCTTAGAGACCGGAACGACAAGAACAGTATGGTTCAACATCAGCAAGATGAGAAGAAACTCTGGCAGAAAAGGATTGATGAGCTAGAACGAGAGCATGACCAGGAGATTGCGAATTTACGAAAGAAGTACGAGCGAAAGGTCACCGATCTTGAAGCGGAGGTACGACAGCTTCAGAAGGATGAAAACCGAGTACAAAAGCTCCTTAACCAAGCGGAAGAATACAAATCCAAGTCAACCGCCGTGCAGAAGAGCTACGATAGAGCGCTAGAGTCTCTACAGTCAGCAAGGACTGAGATCGAGCGCCGAATTGGACTTTGCCAAGACTCTGAAACGAAAAACAAGGCACTAGAACAGCATCATTCCCAGGTACTCAGCCAGTTGGATGCAAAGCATTCCGCTGGAACTTTGCATCTACGTGAAGAGGCCAAGGCTCTTAGGTCGGAACTCCAAAGCCTGCGATTGAAGCTCGCCTACAACGTCCAACATGTCGAAGACCTCAAAGCAAACGAAGGTGTATTGTGGGAGAAGCTGTCCATCCAAACTGCGGAGAACTTCTCGTTGAAGGTACAATCAGACAAAGTAGAGAAAGAGCGCGCTAGAAATGATGGCGCACTCACTCTGCTGCAGTTCAAACATGATGCTAGATTTGAGCAAGCTCTGCAGGAAAACTCGGGAGCATTCGCGCCCCTGCCTAGCCAGCAAGGAGAGGAGACGAATCAGGAAGAACACGAACAGATCGGAGACGACCAGCTGATATCGCAGGAGAGCACAGTGGACGGTCTGAAGGAGGACCTAGCTGAGGCCCAGAACCAGATTGACGAGCTCACCTCGCTTCTGTCCGATAGCCAGGCGAAGATCAACACACTCCAAGAGCAACAAGACGTTCTGCTTCAGCACCAGTTGCGTAACTGGGTTACCGAAACCACAATGGCACAAACCCGCCCGAACCCTCCCGAGCCTTCCCACGAGGGTACAATCCCAGTAACGGTTCGTCTCCCTCTAGATACAGACGAGGCGAAGAGCCATGAGCAGGTTTTGCAGCAGATTATCGCGGACTGCGAGACCCTGGAAGAAGAATGCCAGGGTGACGAGGCAGCTTTGGGAACTAGCAAGGCTGAACTGCGTAAGCTGAATGCGGAACTCAAGGCGCTGGAGAAGGAGCATGTGGATGAGTTCTCGTGGAAGGCTGCGAAGAAGAAGCCGGTGGAGAAATCGGTTAACGAGTGAGCCTGAGCGCGCGGCGTGGGAAGGGAGCGGATGGATGACCTGTTACTGTGCGGACAACGACAGACACTAGCTGTGGCAGGTGTTATGAAGGAATGAATGAATGATTGGCTGTGATGGGTGTTGGGCGAAATGACGGACGGCATGAGAAGCGGTCAGCGTCGAGTGTTGTCGTTCATCATGCGTTTCTTGTTATCAGCTTAGTAGTTTTGGGCTTTTTTGATGAACTTTGTTTTGTGCGATTGTCCACTTTTTGCCTACCTCTTGCTGTACTAGAAAGTAATCATTACACTCTAGAGATGCGACCTAGCCTGTCTCTTAGTCGCCCTCTTCCTCTTGGAAGTTTGTCCCTGGGACGCAGGCCCTGGTCCAAAATCAGGCGTTCCGCCCATACTCCCCAGAACATCCCCGACATAGTTCGTAGCATTGACTCCTTGCGCAAATGTTTCATTCCACCCACCCACAATCCCTCCGATGATCTTCACACCGGCCAAGTAAAGATTCTTCAGCGCAGGCGGATAGCCACCTTGATTGCTATACCACATATTCGTTGTCGCCGCTTGTCCAGGATATGGTCGGTCCATGTCGCTAGCAGTACGCATGATAATGATGCGGGAAAAGTCCACCAGTCCAGCAATATGGCCACGCAACAAAGCTTCCAGTGTAGCATTGTCTTCCTGCGCTGTGTTGCAGTAAACTCCAGTCCCGTTCGTAAGCACTTTCGTGTAGTTGCTGAACGCTTCGCCGAGCAATCTGCCGCTGAACCAATTGTCGCTTGTTGTTACGTCGCATTCGACTACACTTGGAGGTTCCGTCCCAGCCTTATAGATCCCTTCTGGTGTGTCATATAGTGCCCGATACGCAACAGCCTCTGTGCTGTCGTTCAGAACAGCAGTTCTAGCAAATCCTGCAGCGAATTTTCGAAGGGCGTCGTTGACTTCGAACACCTCGGTACCATATATAGAGCCTGGGTACACATTCGGTTCGTAGCTTCCTTGAGGCACATATCCAGTTGAAAAGTTTGCAGGTAACTCGCGAGGGTCAAACTCATACTGCAAAGCAACCTGTACGGCATAGCGCGCGAGCGTAACTGATCCCAATGTCGCAACCTCTGGATTGATACCACCGACGCCAGCTACGAGGAAGTAGGTTGATGTCAAGTCGAACAATGGCGATAAAAATAGCGAGGTTATGGTGACTGCCGCATTGATTTCCCCCATTGCAGTGACAACCTGGCAAATGGATCCATCTGCAGTGCAATGCGCAGCTGGGAATTGTGGCGAGAAGCCGGTGACTGTTATGTTCTGGGCCAGTATGTCGAATTCTGGGATGCCGAACCAGATTTCTTCCTCCCCATCAAACATACTGATTATCACCACTTTTGGTGCCACCTTCTGTGTGGAATATCCATCTCTTGTAGCTATCGCTGGTGCATTTTGGTGACCGCCATTGATAGACGATTCGGAGCTGACAAAGGGAACGATGAGCGCAGCAAGTGCCGTGATGGAACGAGTAAGCATGCTGCCTCTCTTGATATAGCCTTGAAACTGTTTCACAAACGAGGAAGCAAATGGATGTTATAAATCAGTTCGCAAGCAAGATCCCGAAAAAAAGGTAACCTCCGAAGGTACACATCCATGTTCTTCAGCCGCGTGGTTAGTGGTCTGGTTTAGGCTTAGGCGATGTAGCGCGATAAGCAGGCATTGTTACGTACACAGTAGTTGGAGATAACGGTAGCTGAAGTAGTTAGTAAAAATAAAATACGTTTATTCGCTGTGGTGATCTGAATCAGTACAACCATCCAGGTCTCACCGTCTTACTGCACGCCGTAAGTGAAGTACGACGTGGTATTCAAGAGTCACCACGATACTAGGCCGCGACAACAACTTGAATAGCAGCAAGTGTCCCACAACCCGCAATGTTGGCAACGACTCAATGTCTCAATCTCGAGACAACAATGTCGAATGGCGGATAATGCAGATCGACATCATCCCCACTTTCGACAAACACAATTTTACCCAGCGGCCAAGCATTGTTATCCAGATAGCTACATCGCGCACGGCACAATTAGCCTCTTTCACACATAATTTCGTTTTGCTTGCGTACTCACCCGTCAAAATCAAACCAGTCGCAAACGTCAAGCCCAGGAATCATCATTCTCCACACCTGAGTGCCCGGTCCAAATTGCTCGTTTTCTGCCGCACCCTCTGCCGGCGTCAACGCAACCCCGGCAGGCGTGGAGAAATATCTCCCTTGGTAATCGTCTGTCCAGCTGAGGCGATCTAGACCTTCCAATGCGCTACTGCCGTTCACGACGAGCTCCCGCAGGTATAGAATTTGGCCCTCAAGCTCGACTTTTGCGTAGGTTGTGGAGTTCGTCCCGTTGTTCTTGACCACATCTGCAATCAGGCCACTGTCCTCTCCTTGTCCGTACCATCCGGCGAAGCGTTTCTCCACTTGGCTCGTCAACGCCTCCGCAAATGCGGGCATGAGGTGTTGATGAAATTCAGCCTTCAGAGCCGACGGCGAGATGGAAACGTAATCAGCAGATCCGGACACTTGCGTAAGAATTACAAGTCCATATCCCAAGTCAGGAATCAGGTCGATCCAGGAGTGCCAGCCTCCTCCATCGCCAGCTTTGCCGTATGATGCATATGTTTTGTTGGTCGCAGACGCATTGGCTGAGGTTGGCACATCGAACAAGTCTATTTCCCAACCGGGTCCTACAAGTTGCTTCCCGTCTGGTAGCGCTACGTTGGGCTGCAATGAAAGTCGACGTTGCGGAAGACTAATGAGATGAAGCGGGTCTGGACGAAGCCATATATTGTAAAGAAATTTACTGAGGTCGTTGGCCGAGCTCTGCGGGTTGAATATTTTAGTTTCAATTTCCCGATGAGGATTTAGAAGAACGCACCCACATGCCAGCTGCAGGATCATATCCAAGGCCCACCACGAGGTCTGCCCAATTAGGGCCTCCGGGTACACCAATATCTGGAAGTAGCGCATCCGGGATCGGGCCAAAGAAGCTGTGTGTCATGCAAAGCGGAGACAAGATCTGATCCATCGTAAGCTGACTCCAGTTCAGATCGGATCCTGTGAGATTGTTGTAATAGTTCACAACGGCGCCTAAGTACAGCCTTAGTAATGAATGTGGAGCCGCTATAATGATACCTACTTGCGAGTATAGACATCCCAACATTTGAGTCTATGTCTCATCAGTGGAGGAAATTTTTGCGGGTCGTTTGTATGACCTACACCCCGCCCGTTGCCCAGGTGCGAACATCAAATTCGTCTTCGCAGCATGCTCGATGACTCCTTCCGGCGTTGCAGCGGCCCATTTTGCTCCGATAGTGTCTGCATCTGCTTTGCCCGTGGCAAGAACCATATTGAAGTCAGTGCTATAACCTTCTCGTGATAAACCGGAGCTGTGACTAGCGAGCATGCGTAGTGAGATGTCGCGCCCTCCATCGTTCCAGTCCGCCTCAGGAAGCCGAAACTGCGGTAACACTTTACGAACAGGAGTATCTAGACTGAACCCCAAAGCGACATCTGATTGTGCCTTGGCTAAATTCTCTACCACAAGCGCTGAGAACACCGCGAAACTTTTCGATATTGAGTTTATGCGAAATATCGAATCACTCGTCACTTCATTATCGTTACCGTAGGGAATTGTTTCGTTCATTTTAAGTATGCCATGATTATAGGCGAAGACATTGTCGGGACTGGACGCATGAACCTTATCATTCTCGTTAGCATTGCACAATATTCACTCTGATGGACTTACAATCACAAAGCTGAGTGCATCTCGGGTCGTATTTACGAACAACTCATCTAAGCTTTGCTCGATCGCTCGGAATGCTGAGACGACAGCCGGATGTTCCAGGAGAACCGGTTGGGATAATAGCTTCTGTGGGGCCTCTGGTATACAGGCAGAATCCACCGCAGAGGTAAGGACCGCGACCGCGAGAGCGCATACAGTAGCAATGCGCATATTGACCGCAGATGGCTCTTCACGAGCGCGCAGAGGGCTCTCGTTCTGCCTGCTTCTAATGTACCTCGAAGCTCAAGTAGGAGCTGAGAATGCGAGGTTGGCGATCCTTGGCGATCCTTGTCGCCCCCGCGCAACACAAGACATCCGCTGTGCCGATCATAGCAGTCGTGGGACGTACCTAATCAGCTTCAAGACCAAAGCATGGGACCTTCCGTTCTGAGGCAATTCACGATAAGATATCGAAGTAGTTATCATACCGTGCCAAGTGAGAGCTGGCAGGAGGAGTCGACCAAGTTATTCTGTACAAGACTGGTTAGAGCCCAACACAACTAATCAACCAATCTCGTCAGACCGCTTTCTCAACCGGCGCACTACGCTAGCACCTACTGACTGTCTTGGCGATGTCGAACCACTTGCTTCGGAGGCTTGCTCGACAATCGAAATGTGGACCCATTCACGGCCAAGACACGTTGGGGCCCCACAGCTTCGGGCATGCGCGCGGTCAAAACATAGGCCCGCCGGCAGTGGCTTCCGCGATAGATGCATCCCATGTAGCCTAGATTGATCAGCAGTTGTGCTTTCCTGGTGTGGAGGGGTAAAATCCATACCCAGTCGAATCCTGCGTCTGTCAAGCCAACATCGTAGAGGGTCTCTCCGTCAGGATCAAAATATGTTCCAAAAAGCCCAGGATCCAGGCTCAGATTGGTATCATCTGGACATGGAGTATCCAAGGATTTGTTCGCCCATGTACGGCAAGCAGCTAGCATCCTCACAAGAAGCTGGTAGATGCTCCATGTTTCTTCACAAACATGCATTGCTTCTGCCCAAGAGTTCGCTGAGTTCTCCAGAATGTTCAAGAGGTAATTGCTTTCCGGTGAAGCTTCATGCTTCGTGTCGTTCTTCCTTAGCTCCAGTTCCAAGAACAAGAGCATCGCCGCAAGAGCAAACGTTTGCCTTGTTCGCGACATCTTGTAGAATTTGGGGTCCAAACTCTGCTGAAAGGTTAAGAGAGAGACTGAACAAGAGACACATCGCTCTCTAGACAGGCTAAAGCGGGTATTTTCTCTTGCTCTTGCCATAAACCGTCTGTGCAAATTACACATACCCAAATAATATCCATGCATTAGACTGAACGTTGGAGTATTCGCAGTTGTTGGAGCTGCGAAGTCATCGTTGGCAAGGGCAGCTTTAACAAAAGGCTGGAGATCCTCAAATTCTTGCTGCAGGGCGCGATCAACGTCGATGACATTCTCATATGAGCTCAGCTGGGGACTGCTGTTCAAATCTGTAATTCGGCCCAAAGCTTTATATAGTCGTCCCTTAGCGATCAGATACGTGACTGACGTTAGCTCAGACAGCGGTCTGCTCGTAGGCAAAGCGGCTACATTTCCTAGTAGTTCCCAATCATGTACATTGAGAGGCTCCTTGGTGTCTGAGTATGACTCGGGTACCATGCGGGGAAAGTCAACTTGAAATGAAGCTATGTTGTCCATACTGACAACGGAGAGCCATACACGTCTCCGATATTCCGCTTCCACATTTGACATAGGAGCAGAGTGGGAAGGATCACGGTGGTAGCCCATGTTGATGGCGGCGCGGACGATAACTCCAGTTGTCATCCATAACGTGCGCCGATTATCATCTTTTCTATTCAGCTCAGCAGTAGCATTGAGACGTAGCGTTTCCACCGTGTATGGTAGGCATTTAGCGATGTCTCCGCGTTGTAAGCATTGGCCTGTGCGGGTGCGATACAGTTGGAACAACGACTCAGAACGGCCTTCGTACTCTGGTGACTCGCCGTGCTGGTGATATGCAAGCATGGTGATACCAAGAATGGAGAAGAGGAGGCCCAGCCAGATCAGGTCCGTTTGAGATGGATCTCTCCAGTGATAGTCTATTTTGTGTCTAAAAGTCGGTTCATGAAGGATAGCTGAGCAATTTATGAGCATCCTGCAGGTTTGGTGGAGGATGTCTAGCTACTTACGAGGAATGGTGACTGGAAAGTTTTCAGAATCGAAAAACCAAGATACTAACCGATCAACTTCTGATCGAGGTGGCAAATTAGAAAGCATCTCTAAACGCTCGGTTGGTGCAGGCTGGGTAAAGAGAAGGCTTGATCCATCTGCTGCAGGTGAGTGTAGATGATCGAACATAAGATCAACATCGCTGTCCTGTTCATGAAGTAGGCTACTCTTGAGGTCGCTGATCTATCTTGGGTCAGTCAAACCCAGATAGAATGGTTACAGACCAAGAAACGGTACACTACTTCTTGTAGCACAACGTGCCAGTCATTGCCTCCATGATATACTGAGTGGGCACCGTCCAGCACAGTCTGTCCAATTGCAGCCGGGGTGATGGTTTCAGCCACTCCATCCGGAGTTGGCTGGTCTTTCTGGGAATCGGCACTCCTTGACGTTTCCTTTTCTCCTTCACTTGCTGAAATAGAAGCTCGATCAGGAACCAGTCGTTTAACCAGACGCTCTAAATGATCGACACGCTGCCGCATCGCACTATCATCCCCTCTGCGACGGCTGACTGGTGGCGCGGCATCCTTATGTCCGCGGTAGTTGCATGCGTCCTGCTGAGCGCGCGCTATGCAGTTTTGGCACGGCTTGTCACGATTACATTTCAATATGTGTGTGCGTCAACGCGAGCTCACGGCTCACAGAACCTGTGAGTACTTACTTCCTGGTTCGACAAGGCTCGCACGACAAAGGAATACGAGTTCGTCGATGTGTTGGCTGCATGTTGGTTGTAGAAATCACCCCTCGCTGAACGATGGCAAAGGCGACCCACAGGATGACTCAGCAAAGAGACTAGACTAAAGCGGAAGCCAGGGTTCCTCCTGTACACGCTCGCAAACTGATGGATCACAGCGAAGTGCCACTTGGGTTGTTCATTATGTGTAGTCTTGTTCCTTGCATAGAGCATGATATCGAAGCTGACCTCCCGCCTGCGCCCCGAGACGCGTCAGCCACGTGACTGACACGCTTCAGCTAAGTCCGCGGACTTTCGGTAGTCGTCCGATCTGAGCTGTGCCTGGCTCAAGTCCATGGCTTTGCTGTGTAGAGAGGGAAAGAGTTTGCGAATAACAAAGAGTATAAACATGGCTGCCTTCGCTCAAACAGCGGACGCTTTGATTCAGACAGTTGAGCTTGAATAAAGTTGATCATGGTAAGCTTCGAGACGCAGAGCCTTGCTTTGAAGTCCTAACAATTTCCGGCAGCCCACAGCAAGGGACTTCTTTTACACGCAATATTTTGCCAAAATTCCCAAGCCCGCCGCTTCTTTCGCAGATAAGACTGTCATTGTCACAGGTGGCAACCGCGGACTCGGCAAAGAAACAGTGAAGCATATTGTTCGCCTGGCGGCCAACAAGGTCATTATCGGCTGCCGCAATGAACCACACGGTCAGGTGGCAAAACGAGAGATTGAAGCCATCACCAAATGTAAACCCGACATATTGGAGATCTGGGAACTTGACATAGAGTCGCCTCAGTCAATCCGAAGCTTCGTTGAGCGCGCCAATCAATTGTCTCGACTGGACGTCTTGATCAACAATGCTGGTATCTCAGCCTTCAATTTCAAGGTCGTTTACGACACGGAACGTACACTCGCTGTCAACAATATCGGGACGTTCTTGCTCGCCTTCCAGCTCATCCCGAAATTGAAGGAGACCGCTCGCAGATACCAAGTAACACCTGTCATGACTACCGTGGCGTCCGCTCTATACGATGCCGCCAAGTACCCCGAGAATCATGGAGACGATCTTTTTGGTTGGTTCAAAGACCAGTCGCACGTGAATAAGTTCAACCAGTGAGCACATTTTCCAACCTTATTCTCATGTCCCGCGTGGACTCTAACCATACCAGATACAATCTGTCCAAATTGCTGCAGATATACACAATCAGGAAGTTGGCCACCATCGTTGATCCGCCCACGACGACCAATGCACATCCAATTGTTATTAACGCCATGGATCCAATGTTCTGCAAATCCGATCTTGGGAGCGAGGTCAAAGGCGCTATCAAGGTTGCCGGTGGCGTCTTTAGATCACTCACCGCTCGCTCCACTGAGGAAGGATCACGACTCATTGTAAAGGCTGCGTCAGCAGGTCGGGAAACGCACGGCCTCTATATGCGTACCGGTGCCGTGCAAGAATATGCCGCGGTAGCGAAGGACGAGAAGAGAGCTACGTATGTCTGGGATTCACTTTGCAAGAGGCTGGAACAGCTCCAACCGGGCATTATGCACAATTTACAATAGGTAATTGAACTGTCTTTTCCACTCCAGGTGGATCACACACATTCTGTTCGAGCACATAATAGTGAGTAAATTGACTTTATGGGCGCGCCTGTTCTATTCTTCGAATGGTGCATAATGCGATTTGATCGCAATGTCGTCACTGAAAACGTTCACTCTCACCTTTCGTTTGCAGGCGTTTGCCGAGGTGAAACCTGCCAGCACCTTAGTAGCTATTCAACGTCTGAATTTGGACCGCCTCTCCACCAAACCTACCTCCACTCCTGTGAGGTATCTCACAAATTAGTTCCTTCCTTTCTCCACACGATGGCGTCGGAACTGACAGCTCTCGCAACGCTGACGCCCAAGCAGAAACATGATCGCTTGAAGTATGTATCTGAAAATTTTCCGCTATCAGACAGCGTCGCTGACGGGTCTTAGACTGTTCGAGTCCGGAGCGATCGCGGATGTGACACTGCGCATTGCCGAAAAGGACGAAATCCTGGCTCATAGAGCCATCCTTGGCCCCGAGTCAGAAGTGCTGAGAGAATTGTTTTCTCAGAAATCTCACGTGAGTAGGAACGCAGGACGCATCTGATCTTTTAGAGCTAAGGGTCAACAGTATGATGAGCACTTCTTTATCCTCCTACCGCCAGACACCTCAATGAAAGCACTCAAAGCCTTGGTGCGCTTCTGCTATTGTGGAGACTATCCGGGGACCGCTACACTTCTTGCGACTGTCAAAGAGAAGGCGGAGCTTCACTTTCAAGTTCATGCCTTGGCTAAAACCTACAATATAATCTCACTTTGCCGTCACGTCGCAGTTCGAATCGCCCGCGACTGCAAAGAGTGCCACGCTCACGAGGTGCTTGATTGGGTTAAACACCTGCTGGATCACACCGAAGCCAGTATCCGAAAAGCCGGTGTCGAAATATTGGACGATTACTTGAAGCAAGATGCCCGTAGTTACACAAGCTCTGATGACTTCGTGGATATTAACATGGGAGATCCGGACCTGAACAAGCTACTGTTGAGCGCCATCTACAGTAGGGCGCACGATGACGGTGCCGACATATAGAGCCGCTTGTGAATAAGCGCCAGGCTTAGGAAGATACCTTGGTTGCTGGCTTTGGTATTTCGAATAAGTTGGGCGTCCAGAAATATCTTGAAATAGAGTTGTCAGGAAACGTGCCTCCTATGGTCGGAAGTACTCGACTGCATATCGCAGCTGGACGGAAATTTCCTTGAAAATGTATCGATGGGAATTTTTGGGATGGCTTGTACACAGAAATGGCGATCCAATACAGCTCTTACTCTCCACTCTCCATTCAGAGAGATGTTCTAGGTTTTGAGTTCTGTTCCCATCACATCGAAAATGAGCATTGTGACGTCCAAATGTTGCTCTTGGCATTCATTTTCTACAAAGTGAGTATGCTCACCTTTCTTTTCGTGTCGTCTTCGCGGCAGGCTTTGGTCTAAATTTTCTTATCCGGTTCCTCTCACTTTCACAATCACCTTCGCTTAGCATAGTACTTCACTTCCTGCCTCCACCAGAGGCTTTCGAAATTTCTTCGCTGATCGCCTTGGACTCCCACATAACATCCGCAACGTCGTGGCCGATAGAAGTCGCCATGTCTTCCGGTATCATGGTTGCCGCTGCAGGCCAGGAGACAAAGTCAGGTTCAAAAGACTTCTACGCCGAGTGAGTTGAAACTGCGACCTTGAATTGCTGCTAGAGCGCTGACATTGAATCTAGGCTCTTAAAGACGGGAATGTTCTCTGACCTCACCCTCGAAGTGGCGGGTCAAAAGCTCAAGGCGCATTCCGTCGTCCTGGTCGCAAAATCACCTTTGTTCGCCGAGCGTATCGCAAAATTGAAAGAGGTAGGCAAGCGGGAAGGTGCTTTGTGCCTGGAACCAACCTAACATGGCCGCGACTAGGATCGCACAATTACTCTGTACACCGTAAGCACTATCCTTGAGGTACGCTCAATCGACATCGTCAAGAACGCCCTCTCGTACTGCTACACCGGATCTTACGCCGTTCCAGGCTCGATGCCCGGCGATAATCGTGCCGAAACCACCTCCGAGGTTCGACTGCATGCGGTCATCTACATGTTCAGTGATTGTCTCAAAATCGCAGGACTCTCAGAGCATTCGCTGAAGGCGTTCTCCACGACAGCGACGCGACATCTTCAAGATCCCGAGACGAAGAAGGCCTGCCGAGGAACCATCAAGGCTATCCTAAGCACCGGCGGTTCAACGCTTGTCGACAATCCTCAATTCTTGGAGACGGTCTCCCAGCTTCACGGCTTCGATTTATTTGATGAGTCGTCCACCTGGGGAGAGATCAAGAATATCGTTGGATATGCCGCGACAACAGCCGACAAAATCTCTACCCTCATCGATACCAAAGGAAAGATTCATAATTTTTCATCATGGAAGTGCCCCCGTTGCGGGACCATCATTCATCTTGACAAGTCGGGGAAAGATACATCGCCCACGAGCTGTGATAGACCATGCCCCTACTGTCCTGCCTACGGCAATGACATGAAACAGGGACTCACAGTGACATTGACCATGTGGAAATGTCCTTGTGGGGCGGTCTGGCGCACCGATCGTACCCAGACACAGACAGATGTTCTGGTCGACTGTCCTAGTTGTGTATCCGGTCCTCGGTACTGTCTACAAAAAACGGACGTATCCGTCGCGGTGGACTTGGAGTGGATCTGTATCCAGTGCAAAGCACTCTGGCGAGCAGATGTGGTGGTCAATTCCTGCTCAGAGCCGGAGCTGAAGTCGTGTATCTGCTGTCCGAAGGATATTCATGGTGTCTAGAACTTGTTGAAAGCCTACTTTCATACCTGGAGCTATACGCACATAGTGTATCTTCTAAGCATATCAATGGTGCAGCTTTCAAGCCTTGGGTGGAGATGTGCGCACATTCATGTTCTCGGATAAAACCTTGAGATCAAAGATCGTATTTCACTTCTCTACAGCAGCTTTGAGCATCCACGGCCACTCAAAGTACGAGGATGCTCCATTGCCATAGTTCCACACTTAAATCAGCTCAAGGGTTCTTGACTGTCCCGACAGTGTCTCTTTAAACGTAGATTCGAATGTCGATTACTTTCCCTATTGACTAGTCTGTGGCACGTCCAATCTACTGCACTCAAAGCCTCAAGCCTCCCGGGTACACACTGTATGTTTCCAGGTCCATAGAGGCTGTTCAATAATACTTTTCATCAATCAAAACAAATTTTCTGCGTTTACCATCGATAAAGAAAAAAGGCTCAGCGACGATGGTCTTGAAGATGTATGCAACATTTATCGATACCGCTGTAATTCACGTCCGCATTTCACTACCACCTAATTTTACAGGACACTATTTTAGGCTTGTTGACTTGATCACTTACTTGCGCCTTTACGTGGCGTCGTAGCTTTCGTGGCGCAAAGTGAAGGCAGGAAGGCTCTGCCGCTGGTAAACGACCGCTTACCTGACGACTTACTGTCCCTGTTTCGTCTCTAAAACACTTCTCACTCCGTCTACCCTCTGTCCCTCAAATTTTCCTCAGCTCGAATCTACCGTACTCCGTCATGGCGGGATCAGTCCAGCGTGAAAACTGGACACCACCGAAAGACTTCAACAAACAGTAAGTACTCATTAGGAAAACCCCACAATGTTTAGTATGATGATGCATAGCGGGGGTACTTAGAGTGGAAGATACTGACTGTGTACTCCAGTCTCTTCAGAACCGGCATGTTCTACGACGTCACTATCGAGCACGGCAAAGGCCACGTCTTCAAGGCGCATTCAACAATTCTCTCAGCAAAGTCCTCGTGGTTTGCCGACCGTCTTGTTGGTCGTCCTTTCATCGACCGTATCCGAGTACTCGGTCATCACCCGAGCGATGTCAAGCTGTTTGGCCAATTGTTCAGTGACACTCTCTGTAATTGCGTCGTACCCGAGAACACGGCACCCTGCGCCTCCTGGGCTTGTTTTCTTGAATTGCTGCAATTCTGCTACACCGGAGAATACGTACCGGTGGTAGTGGAAGATGCAAGCAAGATCTTCTACCAATGTACAAAGCACGTTTATCTGTACGTACTAGGAAAGCGGTATGGCATCCCTGACGGATTGCCGCCTGCCGTGGCATTCTTCGCCATTGATATCGACCGCGTCAGAAAGACCAGCATTGACAACGCCATCTCTCTAGTCAATGCGGTGTATGAATCGCTCGGTTCTGACACGGACGATGCACTCGTCGCTGAGGCGAGGAAGATAGCAATGCGTATGATAGATAGCATGGATGTGCGTGTGTCAGATGAAGATATCTTGAAGATCAAGAAAGGCCACATCAAAGACAGGATGCCCAAAGCGAGCGCCGACCTATTCGACCGCGGTTACGAACCTCAGTTCCTCGCAACTGGGAACACTTTCACCTCTTCGACGTCGCAACGTAGAGACAGCGATGCCTGCTTCCGTTGCCGCATCGCTACGCCCGTCAAGGACACCCGTCTCTGTCGCCAGTGCACTGATATGCCTGTTCTGGTATCGAACGTAACTTATGCGCCCAAGTACCACCAGAAGACTGGTAATTTCTGGGGACCACCATTGGCAGGCACACGTCACAAATTCCAGGCCGGTATGACGTGCACTTTTTGGGCATGCATCGGATGTGACAGAATTTGGCAGGGCCAGGGATTGCACCAATCAGAGATTGAGATGAAGGAATGTCCGGCTTGTGACCCAGAGGGCAAATATACCTATCCCAGGGATAAGAACGGGGTGCGGAGGATCTACTGGAAATGTCACAGCTGCCTGACAGTATGGGTAGCACACGATTTCGAGCGCAAGAAGATGAGCAACATGGACAGTTGTGTGTGATGCCCTAAGAAGAAAGGGTAGAAGGACAGCAAGGCGATGCAGATGAATCCGGCATTGGGTAACATGATCTGGATGTACGACCCAGGTCCCTTCATGTCGGCATTGGATTCAGCGGAAATATCTTCACTAAGAATCAAACACGAACATCGGCACACCACCTGGATTTTGTAGCTCTGTACCCGTTTCTCAGGGTATCGACATCGTGGCTGGGTGGTGCAATGCGGTAGCTTCGACAGAGTCCTCATTAGGACCGAATGACGCTATATCTTTCAACGAGCACAATTGCATGTATTATTCATTTCTTCCTTCTCTTAACCATATGAGCCTTCACTCACACTGCAGCTTTGTCGTCAGGTAGAACTCAAGTTTATCTTCTCCACTCACATATGCCCACTCCGTGCAAGCAGCATCTACCCCTCTGTTTAGTGTACCACTTCTCACGATTCCATCGCAAACACACCACTCAGAAACCATCATGACCTACACCAGCAAGACGATCATGATGCGCCAACAGCCACCGACTCTCAGAATCACGAGTTCAATGCCATCAGCTAATTATCGGGACTACCATTTTATTTCATCTACTTCCTATTTCCCCTATTTCTTCCCCTTGCCCCTCGCGTTAAACGTCTTCAGCGGATCAATTTTGCCATTCCTGCCGCGCACCACCTTCTTCCCCTTGCCCTTCACGAATCTCCTCTTCGGTTTGTCCAAGGCCACGAAGCCGATGTCCTGCGGTTTCTTTCCACCGGGAAGTAGGTAATCGGGTACTGTGACACAGTCAGTTGCTACCCCGAAAGTCAAGAATAGTAGATAGGGAACGTACCATGCTTAAGATGCGGCTGAATGCGCGCCGGGTGGTTCAAAGTCTGATCATGCCTGAGGTGCTCCAATTCCTCTGGGTTCTCCTCAAAGTATCTAGACAGCTTTTGGGACTTTGTAAGCTCCATGCGGATTTCCTTGATGCGCGCCTCGCGCACGGCGATCCTTGTCACGGCCCTCAGCGCGTCTGCAAAGCGATAACGGAACGGCTCCAGCCTCTTCATGTCGAAAGTCCAGTCTTCTATTTTCTGGCCTGGTTGCTGGTGCTTGTCAATCTTCTTCAGGATCTCTTCGTCGTTTTCGGAGCCAGCGAAGGTGGTGCTCTTGTGCTTGCGGTACTGGTCCTTGGGTATCATGAAGGAGATCGCGGTACCGCTCTTGCCGGCGCGGGCCGTCCTGCCTATCCTGTGGAAATATGCGCGATATGTTGTCGGCAAATCGAAGTTGACTACGCAGCTAGAAGAAAGTCAGTGCTTGTCTCATGTGTGAGGGGATGGTCCTTTGGTAACAAGGTACGACCCTTTCATAGTCGGGCGACTCACCTAACGTCACGGAAATCAATGCCGCGCGAGACTCCAGAGTCCGTCTTGCCGCCTTCGAGCTTGGCTTTCTTCTTCCGCGGGCGAGATTCTGATTCCGAATCTTTGGTGATCGAGCCTACCAGCTCGGTATCATCCGAAGTGATCAGAATGTTGTATATGTTCTTGTTGAACTCTTCCACGATATGAAGCCGCGATGCTATGCGATCTTAGTATCGTAACATGATTTTTATACGCAAGACTACTTACCGAGAGGGAGTTCGCTGTTGAGCACACAGCTCTTGATTGCGAACTGCTCGAGGAATAGCTTTAGCCGGTAACTGCGATCGGTGTCTCCGACGAAAACGATCGTCTTCCCTCGAATAAGCTGCAACTTGAATAGAGAGTATGCCAGCAGGAACTTGTCTTGCTCGGCACATGGAATGACATATTGCTTAACCAATTGCGCGTCCTTCTCAAGGTCGTCCAATTTCAGTATGACCGGGTCTCGGCAGAAAAGTGCTTGTACGGCTTCGACATCGGTACTGAGTGTTGCGCTCATGAGGAAAATCTGGACACCCTTGGGCATGTTCTGCGACACAATTTCCAGGTCGTCCTTGAACCCGTATCCGAATATCAGATCGGCTTCATCGACGACGAGTGTGGCCAGGGACTTCAATGATAGCGCTCCAATGTTCGCAGCCGCCCGTGCGGGTGTTGCTACCACAATGTCAGGAAGCTCGGCAAGCTTGGCCCGCTGGACGGCGTCTGATTCTTTGCCCGCCAGATTCTGGACTCGCACATCTTGACCACAGTAGGCGGCGAGCCTTACAGCCAGTCTCGAAACTTGCAGAGCGAGCTCTTTCGTCGGAACGAGTATGAGGGACGACGTAACGCGCTTTTCTGTGCGACGAAGTATTTTGTCAAGTATAGGAAGCAGGTACGCCGCCGTCTTGCCGGTGCCGGTGCCAGACCTAGCCAAGATGTCTTTTCCCTCCAGTGCTAACGGTACAACCTTCTCTTGTACGGTTGTTGGCGCGGACCATTTCTGGTTTCGAATGCCCTGGAGCAGGCGGGGCTCCAGGCCGAAGGACGAAAACGTGGGCTTCTCGGTCTGTTCTTGGGTATCATCGTTCTTCGTCGGTGTTGCGGAGGGCGAAGACGGCTCAGAAGCCTCTGGGACGTCGTGCGCATTGAGCTTTCGCTTCGACATGGTGTGCGTACTGCGGTGTAGCGCAATTGAGATCGCGGGTCTCGCCCTGAGTGGTGTGGGAGTCGAAATCGGTGGTGGGTTATGTTCGCTTTGCCGTTGCCGTGTATCTATCCCCTGCGACTGGGAAGAAATTTGAACGGTGGAGGCTTGCAAGTTTGAAGTCGCTGCTCACGAGCGTTCGGTTCAAAAAAGTTCACGGCCGACATCTTTTCCAGTTAGCGCGGCCCCGCCACGGGGCTTGGCACTCCACGCGCCGCGCGCTAAGACTCGTGCCTCGACATTTCCTTTCTCATGCTCAATTCGACACCTCAATGTCTATTCCTCTACTTCAGACCGTTCTTGAATGGATCTACTTCGGCTGTTGGGCCAGCAGTGCTATTTACTCCGTTATCCGCTACGACGGCTGAACGTATGGAGCCCTAGGTCAATTGTTCGCGTATAGGACAGGTTCTAGGTCTTAATGATATCAAACGGTTCTTCCATTTCCGATCATGACACTTGCGCCTCTGTTCTCTGTCGTTCTCTTGTTTTCAATGTCGTTCTCCCCTTTCACCAACTGTCGCTGTCGAACCAAATGTTCTTTTTTTCTTGTCCTCAAGAATGAGGACGGCAGCGCTGGTCGCACCGCCACAACGTGCCATTGCGTGGAGGCTGAGTTCAACCGTGTGCTTACGATATAGGGGTCAGGCTTCTAATGTACAAAAGATTTTACTTCACTGATGGCCGCCTCGATCACCATAAACGTTGTCGTACATATTGTTAATGATCCAGTATGCCAATTAAGCTACGTGACCTTCACAAAGCATCTGCGCCTTCGCCGCAACAGCCATTCAAGTACAAATCGCTAGGTAAACGACCATTACGTGCATCTGTGCCTGCTATACGCCTACTACACGTTGTCTCTGGGCCATCGGAGGAAGCGATTGCAATTCGACTAGGCTGGCACTTCGGCTCGGTTTCCACGCAACGAAGGAGTCGATCCCAAAAAGTCTCTCAAAGCCAAGATTTCACGGAGTATCGGTGCGTCTCGTATACGTGGGGCGATCCCAATGTGCAACATCAGATTCTTGTCAATGGTCACCCTTTCTGGGTTCGTGAGAACCTATATCGGTTTCTGCGAATGGCTCGCGAACGATTTCCGGATCAGGCACTCTGGATCGACGCCATATGCATCAATCAGGACGACATCTCAGAAAAGAATCACGAGGTCCAACGCATGTCGTCTATCTACAGTGCCGCAAAGGAGGTGCTCATCTGGCTTGGAGAAGAAGGCGATCTGACCGGAACATTTCAGTGGCTCAGTGAGGGTGACTGGAGGACCTGGCATTGTGCACACGAGATTTCTCTTGAAGGAATGTCGCTGATCTGCTCCAACGTGTATTGGAAACGTACATGGATCGTGCAGGAGGTACTTCTGGCTCAGACCGCACGCGTGTTACATGGGCTCCTCGAGGTGCCTTTTCGCAATCTTTGCACAGCGCTGGCTCTATCAGAGACTCATTCACTTTCGGCTCCCGTCCAATTCAGTAGGATTGGAACGGGTGGCACTTCGCTCTGGAACCTCCTTCGATTATGCAGGCACTCTCAATGCTTCGACAAAAGAGATCGTATCTATGCAATTCTTTCGCTTATCCGCGATGGATCGACATTCACTGTAGATTATCAAGAGGATGTTCTTTCCCTCTTCTGGAGAGCAAGCCAACATTTCCTTGCCTGGCAGGATGGTGAATACATATCTCGGCTACGGCAAGCTCTTGGACTCGAGTGGGACACAATACTTGAAGACGCACGACACAAGACCGTGTCCTTTCCCGCATTAGTTTCGTCCTTCCCAGCGATTAAGTCGACGGCCCGGCATCGAGTCCATTTTCAATCAACAAAATCAGAACATGGACATGTTGGGAACGTCGGTGCGCGTCTCAAACAACTGCTCTTGTTTCGAGAACTGCATTGGTTCACCGAAGTCTACTGCAATCACTGTGTGAGAATTTTACACGTAGAGCGCGAAGGGAACGTACTTTGTCTGATCCGGGATGATATTACAACAGAGCTCGAGGGTGGCATTACGAACTCTGGTATCTTGGCCAAATACTCCCACTGCCTGGTACATAAGTCTCTCGGTATCACGCTATTCCCGTTCACAGAAGAGAGATATGCATCTTCCGCTGCCTCTGTCCATGTTCCGGGGGCTCAGCTCAATGTCAAGTGGCGCAACTTCAAGGAAATATTGACGGCGATCCCTTTTTATTCGACCAAACAACTGCAGTTGCGTTTGCCCGCATTTTGGGTCTTGCAACAACTAGAACGTCTCGAAAAAGAGATGCCGCGCTCGTGACTTCTCTTTCCAAGATTGTCTTGGCCTCAGAAACCGCAGCAGCGTTGTCCAATGGACCACCGAACGTGGCTACCACAAGGGAGCGACGAACTCACAATGTCGGTGAGGTCACCACAACACACATTCAATGAAAGCACATACATCTGCACAATGCCGTTTCCTCATCTTGCACAATGGCCAGACAGGTTTGCGGACTACAAGAGACACATTGCCTCCTTCATCATACAGCAGAAAAGGCAAAGTTACCTCAGCACCAAAACAACAACACCAAGCTCAGAGCCTAAAGACTAACGCAATGATTAAGATTGACGTTTCCCAATGTGACGATTCGCAGAGCCGATCAGTCCTTAAGAAGCAGCTCCACAACAGCATCGTCAGGCGTGAAAGGGTCCTTCAAGGCATTCTCAAATCACTCGATGAATCCGAGGACTCGTACCGCCTTCAAGGGACGCTCTACCATACGACCAACCTCCCAGCCCGTACCTCGTCCCACACGAGTCCTGATGCTCAGCAACGCCTCCGAGCAGCATTCCTAGACTTCGAGGTCTGGAATAAACCATTGCTTGAGATCCGCGAGCTCGCAATCAAGGTGCTATGGGAATGTCGGCCCAACGGCACGCTGGAAGCTCTGCTGGAGCGTGAGAAGGCGGCGGCTGCTCTGTGCATTCCGTTGCGAGAGGCGATTGAGGCTCTTGAGGGTCATAGCGACGACCTGTACCTGTTAGAAGCCGTGAACAACAACCTGACTCGCTTTAGCTGGTACCTCTATGATAATGAGGCCGATAAAGAGCGTGGTTTCCGCCTACCGGCTGACAAGGGCCCCGAGTGGGAAGCCTTCCGAGAGTGGGTCTCTACACTCCCGGAAACGCGCAAGTCGATGTCTGACAAGCATGATCCTAGGTCATTGGACGTTCTCGCGAGCGAGATGCTGTATAAGCATTGCCCAGTGCTGTGGGATGGGCATCGGAACGCTCCTAGGCCTGAGGTGAGTGCCGAACCTGGGAACTATGATGTTTTCTCGATGTCTGACCTCGAAGCACTCATGGGCTGCGTCAACTATGGCTATGGCGGTGGCGGCGGCTATAGCGGTCCAGCGGCTGGCGTCTTTAACGTCTATGTCGCTAAAGTGCTCAATGTTGGTGTAGTTGATTCACGCCGACGTGCGGCTTTGGTGGCTAGTTACGCCAACGCTCCTGAGGCCAATGGAGAACCTCACTGAGGATGAGTTCTACTTCCCACGGGATACCATCTTCGGTAACATCCCGATTGCTTCCCCCCGGGGGTAAGGTTTTCAAGTTCTTATCTCAGTAAATCGTGATATTGCTTGTGCAGCATTTTCGCGACCTACTAATAATTCATATCGGTTGATTAGCATCTGCATTTCACTTCCACCACGCCATATCAATAGAATGTCAAAACAAAACTTGTGCCACATATCTACATTATGCTTTCGTGACTTGACTTTTAGTTGTTGACAAGCTGGGGACCTGCACCGGACCTCTCACCAGAGAAAGAGCGCAGTCGCACCTCCAACCATCAAGTGGAACACGAGATATTCGCCATTAACGACCATTGTTAGCTATGATTTCATCACCATCGAATGATATAAACAAATCTCACGTTATCAAACACTTCGCTACTATACAAGATTGCGTTTAGTTGTCTACACGGCGCAGAAAGTGTAATACAGCACGATAATGGAAGCTCATCGCAATATTCACTACTTACCATGAGAGTAGCACGTCATTGTGGGCCGCACAGATGTCATGAATATACGAAAACCAATGTCAATTAGTCAAGTGAATGACCTACAAAAACGCTCAGCAATAGACTTGCCAACGCCCAGGACAGAGCTCAACTCTGTCAACAATACCCCAAAGCTCAGGAAGAGGCTGTCTATCTGCTCGTCGACCGACGGGAGATCCAGCTCCATGGCTTGCTTTGACCCTTTTGCTATCTTGATGTGACAGTGGGACTTCGTGTTCCATATGTACCCATTTATTAGGCTTGCGGTGAAAAGACACAATGTTCCTTGATATCGATGCCAGAATAGCAGCATTTGCTGTGATGGCGGCACAATGCTGCTCAACGAAACATGTAAGTCATGGATAACCTCCAGGCAACACATCACAAGCTTGCCCTTGGCTGGCACACATCTCGGTTGTATGCTACATGGTATATTCATACTCGTCTCACAGCTACCCACTCTCCATGCCTTCGTCTATTCAAACATAATCTTCTTCCCCTTAAAAACCAATCCTCCAAGTAGTTTTCCCACCGCCCACCCAACATACGCCCCACTAACAATCGTAACCGGCCACTTCTGCCACTCCCTATCCCAATCCAACGGTATCGGAATTGCGCCCAACCACGCGCCTACCACCGTCCCAATCATCCCACCATACACCTCATCCACGGGCCTCAACAGCGCGATGATCTCCCTCCAGGTAGCGCCGTCGACGCCATGTACGTATACGAGCGGCAGCGTGGAGAGGAAGGAAATGTGTGCGCCAGCGAGGAGCGTGTGTGCGTGGTGTGTAGTAAGCGGGGCGCCGAAGAGGACGAGGGTTGCGGTGAGGAGCGGGGTGGAGAGGATGGTGGCGGTTATGAGGGAGAGGAATGCGGGCTGTTGTACTTGTCAGCTTGCATGGCCTCCATTCGCTTTTATCCCAGCTGCGACACATCTGCTCGTCATGCTGGAGGGGTATGACCTACCACTATCGTCTTCGCAAGGCTTCCCTCGACCTTCTTCTTCTCCCCTGGCTTCTTCTTATCTATTACCGGCGTCGCTGTGCCGCCGGTCGGCGGTAGACATATTGCTACGTATGCAATCTGTAGTGCGGCGAGCGGGATGAGGGTTTTGATGAGAGCGGGGACAGGATCTGCGACGATGGAGGGAAATTGGAACGCATAGATCGAGAGGACTAGGATCGGATGTATGTGCGTGTATAGGCGAGCTGTGTCGCTGTTCAAGATGTCAATGGGGTGCGCCGGCGGGCGAGGCTTGGTTTGCGAGGATATGACAGTAGCCATTGAGAGGGGGCCCGAGGCCGGGAGCGGCGATGGTGTGTAGACTGGTGTTGCTGTGTAAGAGGTCGTAAACCAGAATACTCCTCTTCGTGGGCGAAGAATTGTTGGTGCTGTTCATCAGTTTTCTGCATCCGTCGCGTCGATGTCGCGAGTTTCGGAAGTTTCGCGGAAACCGCGGCCGTGCTTGGGCGTGTGGCGGTGCACTCAGCCAGCAAGGTGTTATTATCGTTGCAAATGTTTTGAACCCTCAGCGATCAAATTTTGGCTCTCTTTCAGGTTATAACACCGGGATTTTGAACATCACTTGACGTTTCTCTCGTCGTGAGTGATCACAGCCCAGGGTGTGGTTAGCGCCACGATCCCTGCGCCACACGTTTTTCATACAGCACCACCCCCTCCTTACTCGCCCTTCTTCGGCACCAAATTCCTCAGTGACAAGTCGTAGACCACATCCTCGACATCCTTGACCCTGTACTTCAGCCCATCGCTCTTCCTCCGTAAGATATCATTCTTCAGGTTCAGGATTTGGAAGCCCGCAAACACATCCTTCACGAACTGGTTGATGAGCAGAGGGCGCTCGTAGTCACCCAGGGTGACGGCATTGCGCGCAAGACGGGTCTAGTGGGTATGTTAATAATGTATTCCAATGATAAAGGAGAGTGTAAAGGGCATACCAGCTCTTCCACAAGCGAGGTGAGTGCCAGAAGGTATTCTTCGATGGTGATATGAAATTCGTCCTTGTCCTTGAGATTGGTAGGTACTGCGAATTATTAGATTACATAGTATCTACGAATGTCAATGGATGTGCGTACCTTTCAGGACCTCGCCAAGCTCCTCGAGCGTGAGCAGGCGACCGCATTTTGCCTCGTTGCCGTTGTAGTCCTTGCCACCGAGCCAAGCCCAGAACAAGATACCTTGTAGCTACGATGAAATCAGTGGACGTTCATTTAAGTTGTTAATTTTGAACATACCGCATCCTGCACCTGTCGGGACCACATGCTGTTGAATTTGTAATAAGGCTGCTTTGACGCTGCCTGTGCAAGGTTTCCAACGGTCTCGATGGCATTTTGAATGGATTCTTCGGAGGCCTTCAGAACGCTAGGGACTGTATCTCCTGTTAGCGACGCGTCTCAAGGGTGCAAGCGTTGCAACGTACGGTCTGCGTAAGGTGTCGAATGCGCTCTTGAAAGGACGAAGGAGATATTGCGATCTACGAAAGGTTAGCCACATATCCTTTCGCTGGGCAATTCCATACTCTGCTTCTCCAGCGCCTGGATGATGTCCTTGAGCTCCTGTCGCGCTGTCAGTACGCTGTCACGTGCGGCTCGGCTAGCGGAATGTGTGCGCTCACATCGCGGACGGCCGTATCCTCATCGACCTTTGTCTGCAGGCCCTCGAAGATGGCGGGATCGATCATTCCTGAAGGTGCCGACATTTTGAACAGTTGTTGTTGTCGTCAAGGAAGTGAAGGAGAGGTGCCGCACGTCTGAAAGTTTCGTTGTGGTACCTAGCAAACAAAAACCTCGCCAAAAAGCAGCGACTACCGTCACGCATCACGCCGCCACAGCACTACACCTCTCGCAAATATAAACCCAGACAAAACACTAGATCTGCTTTTTATGGGAAACTTTAAAGTCGTATACTGCAACATGGCTTCTAAAGATAGGGTTCATTTGTTACCATCATGACGTGCATCCGTGAGCAACGCTTTATGCAGTGTGCATCACTGTAGATTAGGGTCACAAGTTTCAAGATATCAATCTACATATGTGCTCTAGACCTAGTCCCATTTAAAGATAAATACTTCATGTTGTCTGGGTTGAAAAATCTCCTTACTCTTTTTACCTATCTTCTTCCCCATCCCTTTCCGTACAAAATTCTACGTTAATGTGGCGCATCGAACGCTATCCCGATACTGCCAGAAGGGAGGCTCAGGTTGTGAAAGCTCATTTATCTCGCTCTTGGAATGGTGGCTGTTCGTCATCAACATCATTCAGTTCAAGCTCTTGCGGTCGTTCTGAAGTGTCTAACTCAACCGGCACTTGGTTGATCACATGGACCGCCTTAGGATCCAATTCCTGCCGCTGGTTCTCGGCAGGCATCTCGTTTCGCCATTTTCCAAACAAATACCACTTCTTGTTTGAGTGTACCTCGTCCCGATCCTCCATTTCTGGAATGGGTTCGCTCTCATGCGGTTCGTTAGCCTTTCGCGACTTTCGTCTTCTGTATAAAACCAGTGCTCCAATAGCTGCGATGACGACGGCGCTTGTAGTAATTCCGACCCCAATGCCTGCTTTAGCCCCAGTACTGAGACCAGCGTTATCTGCGGGCGTAGATGGCGGACTGGTTTGTACAGGTAGACTGGGAGTGCTTGCTGCAGTGGGCGCGTTGGACGTGGTTGTAGCAGCGGTCCAGGTCCTATTATACCGCTTCGCCATTGACGAGACGTAGTCCACTGGAAAGGACAGTAAGTCCTGTTCTTGAAAGCCAACCACGATAGGGTCTGCGCCTATAAACCCGGATGTTGCGGTAGAGATATTGGAGAACGTGCTGGTCGAGTAGCCGTCCGCTCCATAAGTATCAGCGACGAATGCCCGGCCTGCGTATTCATATGCCGTTATTGCCGCGCCGTCTATGGTCGTTGTGAAGGGAGTGAAAATCGGGAGAGGCGTAGAGATGTTACTGACACATGCGCTCTCCCACTCGGCTCTGAAAGCCATACCACTGGATGGTCATTTTGTCAGCGAATTGTGGCACAGTGACTCTGTAAGATGTAATCTACCTCTGGCAACAACTCGCTTCGAACCTAGTCGCAACGCTTCCTGACGTAGTCGAATAGTGGTACTCCGTGATTTCTGCGACAGTCTGGCCCTGGGGACATATGCCCGGACTATAGTGATTTGGAGCGCCATGAGGCTGACAGGAAATGTAAGAGGCATCGTAAAGCGCGCCAGAGCTTGTATTAGGTGGATTCGTACTAAAAGCGACGAATGTTCCAGAATACGGGGCTGCTCTCCCGGTCTCTGGCGTTGTGATGATGGGGGCAAAGGTCGGGTCACTTGTTCCACGTCGTATCGGTGCAGGCGTGCCAACCGGAGGATCTGGGCTATTTCGAGTCGTTTCTAATATTGCGGTGATGAGATCTGCCATCCATCTGTTGGAACAGCCCGACGGAGGCGTCCAAAACGTGGTAAGGGTCGGTACATTTTCCACTTGGTAGGTGGGTAGATCTGTAGTGAAGATAGTACTATGGTACCAATCACGCTTAGAGCCGATTGTTGTTACAGTTCCCTCTGATGTCCCCTCTTCAACGGGAGCCCCAGAGATAGGCATGGCAGGCGCGCTAAGATGCCTCAGCAGGTAGGCTGGGCGACGAAGAGGGTGCGATAAAGGCTGGGCTGGAGTGAGCTTATATGGGTCAATGGGTCCGCATGACGTCCGCTGCAGCATATAGTATCTGCACACAGCGCGTCAGACGCAACAACCATCCCGATGCTTCGCAACGAGGCCGACCAAGCAATGATAAGAATTCGTGAACACGGTTCTCTTAACAAGAAACAGAATAGTTTTCCCAGCTTCGTTCTACTAATCTCTGTGTCGTCCGCTTCACGTTTAGGGGAGAAAGCACAAGGACAAGGTAGCGCAAGGCTGCGATTTCGAAGAGGCCGGCTTGGCTGCAGCTTAAGTTGTGGATGGTTCTTTGCTGCCATCACTACATCGTTGTTGGCCTCCGAGGCTACCAAATATCAGGTCTGACCGATATGAAGCACCAACCCAGGCATTGAGTGCTAGATCCATCGAGTACGCTTCAATCTTCCTTTGTCATCGGTGGGTTCGTCTGTAAACTGGTTTCACCCAAAGCGAGGCTGGGATGAGGGGTAAGCTTCGCCGTTCCTTGTGAGGCCTGGAAAAAGCCACAAGGTGTCCGTAATACCACTGCGCGCCTCTACACTTCGTTAAAGCGTTTGCATTCATTTAGCATCAGATACCATGGCACAATTAGATCTAGCCAATCAGTGGTATCCATAGCCCATTAGAAAGCTCGACAGCAACAATGAGACTACCCTATCAAATGGGCGTCTGTCGTGCGAATTTCTAGTGATGGGACAAGCACATCGATCGAGACGTCTGCTCTGCGCTTTTGCACGTCGTTCTTGTGTCTTCAGATCCTAAGGGGTCAGATCTGACCTGGAGAAATTTGTGTCGTACTCACCAATTGCGGTGTATGTCCCCCTTTCTTTTCGATTTTCCACTATCGCCGCGGCGTTCAGCATTCGCGAACGTCCGGGGAGGTATTATAACACGAGGCTGGAATATTTCGGAGCCGCCGTGGTTATAGAGGGGCAACAATATCTTTCGAAACCTTGTCGAGCGTCCTCAGACAACAGACGCTGTCTCCTTCGGATTTTAAGCTGCCAGGTAGCATCAGTAATGGCGGATCATAGTCAGGGTATGTCGCTGCTCTCAGAACAGTTGTGGCATCGAACAGCATGTGCCTCGCGATATCACTACCGGTACTCGTCAAGCAAAGCCCTGCGTCGATATCCATGCTCTGGGAGTGCAAGACTGGCGGTTGTGGACTGGTCAAGGTCAGAGTGGATTAGCCCCACGGGAGGACGGATCCGCGCAGCGAACAAAATCACGTGCACCATCTTGGCATCTCACCCTCCGCGACTTCCATCTCAACCGTGGCATAATCATCAAAATGGACAGCCATATAACTCATGCGCCTTACGAAGGTGTAGATTGTGCTTTTCACTGTGCCGCGTCAGGCGCCTCATAGCTGTGCGTGGGATGCTTCCTTTGACCCTTCCAGAAAACGTTACTACGCCGTTTCTATGCTTTGGCGCGATGCGCGTCATCGAAAACAGCTTGCAAAATGCCTAAATAGGTTTCAATGTTCCCTTTTCGTCGAGTATTATCTATCTCCAACAACGCGTTTATACAACACGAGAGGCACGACCGGCTGACCGCACCGACTGCCATCTTTAGAACACGCCGCAATACTGACTACTTTCCATCTCGTCCTGATGACAGGCGTTTGACTCGTGGGTTCCCATGAGCAAACGTCTATTGGCGCATTTGGATGGACTCCTCAATACAACAGGCAGCCACTACAGTTTACCCGGTCCGTTGGACCGTAGGGCTGAGAGTATGGGGTACGCCACACGCATTTACTCCAAACTCCATAGTGAGCATATGTGGAAAGCAAACGATTGGAAGCTAATGTGATTTCTTGGTGCCGCATTGCTGCACGGATCGCGTGCTCAGCTCACAGTAGTCTATATACAGCATCCACATGGTGCTCCTGCATTCTTGATCTTCGGCGCCCGTTCCCATTGCGATACCAGGTAATCACTCCCCGGTTTTGTACATTCACTATGGTCGGTAAGGTCCTGGACCTGGGAAAAGATGATTCGCAGTCGGTGTACATCGAAGCGCCCCATCTACGTAAGGTGGATTGGAAACGGGATCCCGGGCTAAGAAAGCTGTACTTTTGGGCGTTTATCCTTTGCATTGCATCAGCTACTACTGGATACGATGCGTATGTATGCTTCACCCTACAAGACCGAGTTCCGCTGATTCGCTAGTTCGATGCTAAACAACCTACGGATGCTTCATCATTTCAACGACTACTTCGGCAATCCGAAAGGCTCGACACTCGGCCTCTTGACTGCGCTCTATTCGATCGGCTCTATCATCTCGCTACCCGTAGTCCCCTTCGTAGCTGATCATATGGGTCGAAAGGCTGCAATAGCCCTTGGTTGCATAGTGATGATCATAGGCGCTTCGATTCAGGGCACAGCAACAGGTCTCACTCGCTTTATGGTGGGACGATCGATGATGGGTTTTGGTAACTCTCTGTCGCAGCTTTCATCTCCATTGCTGCTCACTGAGTTATGTCATCCACAGCACAGAGGTCGTGTTACCGCGACATACAACTGTCTATGGAACGTCGGAGCGATAATCTGCACCTGGCTTACCTTTGGCACAAAGCGGCTGGATAGTAACTGGTCGTGGCGAGTGCCAGCTTTGACTCAAGCTCTCCCCTCGATTGTTCAGCTACTATTCATCTTCTTCATACCGGAGTCGCCACGCTGGCTCGTTGCTCGAGGTCGTAATCAGGAGGCTTTGAACATCCTTGGCAAGTACCACGCAAATGGCGACAACACAGATCCAACCGTCCAGTATGAATTCCACGAGATTCGTGAAACGCTACAAATCGAATTCCAATATCAAACCGGTTCATCCTACCTCGACTTCTTCCGCACACGTGGAAACAGATATAGGCTTCTTCTATTGGCATCTCTAGGTCTCTTTTCCCAATGGTCTGGCAATGGACTAGTGAGCTATTATGCGACGGATGTATACGCCAGCATAGGAATCAAGGATGCGGATACGCAGCTTGGCCTTAATGGGGGGATTACCGTCATGTCGCTGATCGTCTCCGTGTCTTGTTCACTGCTTGTTGACCGCGTTGGACGACGGCCCCTCTTTACCATTGCCACAGCATCAATGTGTGGTTGCTTCATTATATGGACCGTAGCATCATCGCTTCAAGAGGAGAAGCACAGTATACCAGCCGGTCGAGCGGTCATAGCGTTCATCTGGATCTTTCAGTTCTGTTACTCCGTCGCTTGGACCGGTCTGCTAGTCGCCTACACCGTCGAAATTTTACCTTTCAGGATCCGTGCAAAGGGCCTGATGATCATGAATGTCTTCATACAGGTGGCTCTGACAATCAATCAGTACGTCAATCCGCTTGGCTTCGAACATCTGAAGCCCGCTTGGAAGTTGTACACGATTTACGCCGTAAGTACTTGCTGTTCTTGCTCGTCTTCGGGTACCTTTATGCTAACGCGAATAGGTCTGGATTTTTCTCGAGCTTATCTTCGTCTACTTTATGTACATCGAGACGCGCGGCCCTACGCTTGAGGAAATCGCGAAGATCATTGACGGCGACGAAGCTAAAGTAGTTCCCGCCGACATCGAGCGCCTCCATGATCGCGTCAGCTCTCCGGGCCTAGAGAAGGAACATACTATTCGCTACGAAGATATTAAGCTTGAACAACTGTGACCTGGTCATCCTACTTCGAGGACAATATCGTGCATCTGCGTAATACGGATGGATTTCTAGGCGAAGCTAGATCGAATGGGCACATGCGAGCCGACCAATCGCGACAAGCAGGCTCCACAGGTGGTTTCTCACAGGCAGTGCTTCTGGTCGCAAGGCTTCCTATATAAGCTCTGAGTCCGCGGCATGCATGCGCTGCGATACACGCTTGCAGGCTAAACCGGCCCCCACGGCCCTCCCGCCTCCGTAGGCAACATGTAGGCATCCCAACTAGACGACAGCGCCAATGGAATCAGCTTTTCGCTCGCTTGGTCCACTCGAAATGTCGCCAACATATTCATGCCGGCTTCAGGATGCCTAGTAATCCCCAAACCAGCTTATAAAGCCTGCAAAGAAACCATTCGAAGTCGGGCAGGCAAGAACGCGGATCCACTCGCTTATGATGCTATCCTGAATGCAGCACAAAGATACTTCCAGGATGGGAAAACCGTCGTCAGAACCTTTGCCGCCTGATGTAATCCCCAGTTGCAGCATGAGGCGACAGGGAACGACGTAATATAAAAGGCCGCTGAATCTGCGAAATACGAAGGCACTCTTCATCATTTTATCTGGTCCGTATATCATCAAAATCGAACACCACTCGAAATGTCTCCACCCCGCCGCGCCCTCATTGCGGTTACCTCCGCGCATGCCTCGCTCTTCGCTCCCAACGGCCACACAACGGGTGTCTTCATCGGCGAAGCGCTACACCCATACAATGTGCTCAAAGCAGCAGGCTTCGAAGTCGACATCGCATCGGAAAAGGGCACGTGGACCGAGGACTGGCTTTCTCTGCAGCCAGGTTTTCTAAGCGAGGACGAGCGGAAGCAGTACGACAACAAGGAGAGCGATTTCAGGACAGAGATAGACAAGAAGCGCAAAGCCGAGGATCTGGATGGCAGTCGGGTAAGTGTTAAGGCCTTTCGTGGAGGTGAAAATGAACGCGGGGTTGACTGACGACGTGATGCAGTACGGCGTGTTCTTCGCGAGCGCTGGACATGCTGCTCTGATCGACTACCCACATGCTACGCATCTCCAAGCCATTGCCTCAAAGGTATGGGCTAACGGTGGTGTCGTGTCCGCTGTTTGTCACGGCCCTGCTATCTTCCCAGGCATCAATGATGCCGATGGTCAACCCATCATTAAGGGCAGGAAGATTACTGGATTCACTACGCAAGCAGAGCACGATATGAAGATCATGGATGCGCTGAAGAGCTGGGGCGAGCCGCTTGTGGACGAGCATGCTAAGGCTCTTGGTGCTGAATGTAAGCTGTTCCGCCCTTGCGTTGGTCAAAATGAAGGTAGCTAACCAGTGATGTAGATGTCCGTGCGGATGGAGTATGGGATGATTTCCACATTGTGGACGGAAGGGTCGTCACGGGTATGAACCCTCAGAGTGCGAAGAGCACTACTGAGGCGGTGGTCAAGGTGTTTGAGGGACTCTGAAGGGCCTGTTTTGCATCCACCGTGTACCAGGATGACTGGGATGATTTACTCTCCTGACATACTTCATAGAAATGCTTTTGGGTTACTGAGTTCAATCACAACTCAACTTTATCAAAATGCATGAGGACCTTACATCTGTCAAGAATTCGTATCAAAGCCACATTTCTAAATTCCTACAGGTCTAGGCGTTTGCTGGCTAGTGTGTGCTACCCCAGATTATGTTGACAACTGGTCCTTGCCGGAGGACACAGACCGGCCAATGAGGATCCAAGAAATCAGCAGACGAAGCTCAGTGTATACGGCGGATGCGGACAAAGCTGTTTCGGGCCGGGTGAGAAGGTTTCACATCGCTCTGTTGGTGGACCATTCCTGCGACAAGCAATACATATAGTTAGACGCATGTATGAACGTCGACCTGACATGGGTATCGTTGCCGCGAACAAGGTTCTAGAGTGTCTTAATGGCTGATCTTATATGTATCGCTCCTACAGCAAAACGTAGATTCCTGGACGAAATACTGATAAGAACGATATCATCCAAGATACCCTGATGGCATGGAGTGCAGGTCCGATGTTCGGCCCGCGGGAGTATTCCTTCACGCATGTGGTGACCGCGAGGGCGTTGCAGAGATAAGATTTTGCGAGAGCAGCTGGCCTAGACACACGAAGAAACATCTACCAAATCATACGTTGGGGTGAGGTGTTAGAGGCGCAAGTTGTCGAAGGTCTGTATCGTCCTACGCGTCGGTGTTTGCTCCCCGCAAATGCGGGGGAAGGTTTCTACACCCAGTGGAGATCGGTCCGAGATATCGGCATTGTCGCCGACAGCGCATAAGCTACGTCAACGTGGGATAAAGGTTCGCGCGCCGCTGCAGGGTAATGATTCTTGTGACTGTTAGTACTTGCTCTATTGTTGTTTCACTTCTGGCAGTAAGGACTCTCTTGCCGATCCATCCACCTTCTCAACGATCACAATGACGCAACGAGCCGCTCTCCTCATCGGCGCGCTCACGCACACAAGAAAAGAGTGGGAGCAGATAAGAAGCATCGCCTCGAAGTTGTACGAGTACCCCTCCGGCACACGAGAAGAGTTCATCTCCAAGTGCAAGTCCGGAGCATTCGATGGCATATATGCGTTGTACCGCTCAAATGATTCAAATAAGTACACTGGAAACTTTAACGACGAGCTTCTTGATGTGCTTCCGAAGTCACTGAAGTTCATATGCCACAATGGCGCGGGCTACGATAACATCGACGTTCCGGCATGTACGAAGCGTGGTATCTCTGTCAGCAGCACGCCAATCGCTGTGGACGATGCCACGGCAGATGTGGCGATATTCCTGATGTTAGGCGCGTTGCGGAACATCACGCATTCTTTCCAAGCTGTTAGACAAGGTGCGCTCAATGTAGCTATGCTTTGGAGGGAGCTGACCTGGCGATACAGGCAAATGGCGCGGTAACTTCGCACTCGGCCACGACCCCAAGAACAAGGTGCTCGGAATATTGGGTATGGGCGGAATCGGTTCCGCTGTTGCACATCGTGCAAAGGCCTTTGGTATGAAGATTCAATACCATAACCGGAAACAGCTGCCAGCGGAGAAAGAGGAAGGTTCGAAGTATGTGACTTTCGACGAGCTGCTCGAAACGTCCGACGTGCTCAGTCTCAACTTGTCGCTCAACGCGTCTACGAGACACATCATCGGCAAAGACGAATTTGACAAAATGAAGGATGGAATCATCATCGTTAATACCGCGCGCGGTCCGTTGATTGACGAGGCTGCATTGGTGGATGCGTTGAAGAGCGGGAAGGTCTGGAGTGCAGGACTTGACGTCTTCGAAGAGGAGCCCAAGATCCATCCGGGTCTCCTTGAAGCTGAGAATGTGGTGCTGTTGCCTCACATGGGCACTGCGACGTATGAAACGCAGCGTGATATGGAGCTCTTGGTTTTGGATAACCTGAAAGCGGCCCTACAGAGTGACACGCTGTTAACACAAGTGCCGGAGCAGAAGCAAGAGTCGGCGAGGATATAGTGTAGATTCGAACGATCCTTTGCACGTTAACGAAGCGCTAGATTGGTCGATGATAGAACGAATACGAGCCTGATAAATGTTATAGCTTCGAGGTGAGCCAGCCAGGTGCTGTAAGCTATCGTCACTCAGAAAAACGTATGATGTGTTGAAACTGAGATGCAGCGAGCAGTCCCCCGTGGAGCAGATGCCCATACACTTTGCGGCAATTGATATCAAAGCTCTCATAAAATCGAGGACGCGCAAATTACGAGCATGCGAGATGGTGATACTCAGCAAAAGCGATACCTTAACGCAAACATGACACGCACTACGGTGAGGTAAAGACTGATATTATAGCAACGTGTGCCCTTGCGTGGCTAGCAACAAAGCGATATTAGGACTACGACATGTCGATGAGGACTTTGACTAGGTCAAAGATAATGTCTCCTCAACCAAAGACATCTCAAATTGTTCGAGCATCGCCGCAGCGTCAGAGTTTTCAATCTTCGACAAACCGGGTCGTCGACCAATCCTCCACAAACCGAGTCGTCTCCATGTAAGGACTTCGCCGTCAGCTTCTCGATCAGGGACTAGGACAAGACCAATATATATCCAAATTAACATATATCTTGTGTTCGTGCCGACGACTGCGAGTTTCACTTTTTCCATATTGAACGATTGCTCTGTGTCGTCTGGCCAGTACTGGGTGTATATGTTTTCTTGAAATGTTAGTAGGGTTGATTGTACCGAGTCATTGGAATTCTGAGTCAAAGTTGCATATACAGTTCTCATGGACAAGTCAATGCGTGCCCCTCGTACATTGTGATGGTTATGCAACCCATTGGGGAGGGATACCGCAACAACACGCGCCCAGCTCCAGCTTTTCAGTTCAAAGTGTACCCACGACAACCACGTCGCCGACAGTGTCATATAGCTGTACGTGCCTGGCGCGGCCAGCTTTGAACTGAATCACGACCAACTAGGGACCTCGTCCGTCGATAGTTTGCGCAAATCTTCGTGTTTCTGTTTATGCCAAAGGAGGCCTGGCTGAAGATACTCTTTCCAAAGGCCCGCAACATAGGTCAAAGCGTGAGTATTTTGCATGGCTTCCGCAATTCCTGTAAATGCCATGACTCTATCGCTCTCTTGCGTCAAAAACATCGCTGCATAATTCGAGCAGAGACATTGCCACATTTCAAGGAACGAGTACAGTCTCTGCCAATCTTCATGGTTTTCTGGTGGAATGTCCAGGCCTGAGATGCTGAGATGAGGCGCTTCACGCATAATGTCAGGTTTGTCCAAATTGTCGTAGGATGCTTGAATGGGCCATTGCACGGACCCGTAATCGCCAATAAGCTCATCGCTGAACGTCTGGAAGCATTCCCATATCAGGTTTTGATGACCAAGATAGATAGTACGTCGACATAGTAGCCTCTCTTGCATGACCCAAGCCCGATGAAGCAGGGGCCAATCAGCTCGCTCCAACCAATAAAATGCGCGGCCCCAAGGAGGTTGGGAGCGAGATACATATATTCCATCAGACTGACGAGATGCTCGACGCACAATGCATGGAGCATAGCATCTAGGGTCTTCGCGTGGCTTCGGCGGAGGGTTCTCCGGAGGAAATAGATATGCTAAGTTGCACATTGCGTGACCATAGGTGGCAGCCATCTTGCTAGCCTCTCGTGTCCAATCCGCCTTAGAGTCCTGAATTATGCAGAGTGAGTCGATCCACAGATAACAAAGTCCTAAAGCGCGAGCAGTCCGAATAGCTTCGACATAAATATGTGAGATCTCGGTTTCTGAAATGTCTTTCTGGAACTCTTCGAGGCGGTCTTGTACCAAACGTAGCTGGTGCGCTGGGTTTGATCCCCACATATGACTTAAAGTCGCATATTGGAAATTGGAAAACTCGCGGTCGTATCGCCGATCATCAATATCGCAACGTAGTCGAACTTGCCCGTTTGCGATGTTGAGTATCCTCTTAGGGCGAGTGAATTTGTTATTAGAAACTTTCTTAGAAGCCATGCATTGAGGGTGCCAGTATAGACATCTATTAAGCCAGCCCTTCAACGCAGACATGTTCTGGCGGGGATCTTGAGGTACGTGTGTCCAATCTAATGCGAGTGGCCTCTTATAGTCGTTCCGTTCCGTAGCACGCCCTGAAATCAACGTCAGCCTGACGTTGTCGAGTAGCGTGTAGAAGTTTAGCGAGCATTCTGACATTTGTATGTTTGGAAGGTGAGGCCGGTATCAAGACGGTCCGCATCGTCAGGATCAATGGAACAATAGACACAATTGGTGTTGGAGCCTTGAAACAGCGTAAATCCCGCTCCAGTCTCACTGTGTACCCCTTTGGTGTTATGACAAGCTGCTATCAGCTTGCAAAGATGACAAGGATTGGCTTCATCAGTCAGTTGTCCTATGGTCCAGAGCTTGCATTTTTCAGGCAATAATAGTAGTTCATAGCGCCCGTTTCTCCTGAGCTGTTCGAGTACTTTACTCTCTCGCGTGAAGGTCAAGCACCTATCACAAAGCTGGTGAAGCGGCACCGAATCACTGGGGGCGGACCCGACTCGACGACGTTTGGGCATGCTGAAGGAAGGAAGTTCGTGTAGATTGTTTGACAATCGTAGAGGATCATGGAAGGCTTTCGCTGATGAAAACTTCCGCGTCTGCCTGTATTTAGGCACCAGGAAAGCGGGGTCTGAACGACCAGGCTGTGGTGGCTCAGTATCATGCTGTGTATCTTCGCTTACCCTGGACTGCATAGAAAGTCGTAACGAGGCTACGTTCGTGAGACTTTTGCACCCGTTGAGCAAGCAATGGTGGATGCCTGCAAGATTTGCCATACGGAATGAAAAGAGAAGCAGACACAGAAGGGGAGGCACTTGTCTGTCGATATTTCAAGATCCGAAGGGTACTCCAGGCACGGAAGAAGGATCAAAAGGAACGCTGACCTTGAATTGCGACCTGAACAAAGAGAAAAAGCAATTCTTCAACGAGGGCAATCTGTCATGGTTCCTCACATACATAATGGGCGACGGTAGCACGTGGGTAGCTATACATAAACAAGGAAGGAACCGCAAGCGCAAGCCGACAACACCCGACCTGCCGACGTGGTGGAACTCCGCCAACTACACTCCACCAGAGCGTAAAGCTCCACTGCACTTGCTCGTAAAGACGGACGATATAGGATCCTTCGCACAATTTTTCCAAATGTCACGAAAAAGATGTGGGCCATCTTCGGAGGGCGGCAGTGCGTAGGTGTTTGACTCAACCAGGCCGCTAAAGAACAGAAGAGTATAAGAGCGCAAAAAAGACGCATTGCCGTCAATTGCAACATCTAAGTCTTAATTCGACTCTCGTCCGAAGCTTCGATACCCTCAAATTCGACTGCGATAACGTTTCCGCATCGTTAACCCGGTTTCCCAGATATCAAGATGACCACCCCAATCCCCGCATACGAAGCCGTCATAAACATCATCTACAAACGCACACCCGGCTTCAGGCTCGACATCGACTATCTTCTCCAAACCCACATTCCCATGGTCGCCAAAGAATGGGCCCCACACGGCTTGCTGGGCGCCACCGTTACCGAAGCGCCTGCCGACTCAGAGTACGCGTATATAGTTGCTGTCCGATTCAAGACGTTAGAAGGGTGGCAGAAAGTGTCGGCGGACCCTGAGCAGATGGGTCTATTGATGGCGGATGTCCCGAACTTTACGAACGGGACGCCGGATTTTGTGGTGGGGACGGTGGTGAAGGGAGGGATAATTGAGGCGCCGTAGGAAACACCTATATAATGTATATATGTGTATCGGCGTATCGGCGTGTCGATATTCATGTAAAAGTCCTCATGTCGCTTTGTTGCAATCGTAGTCTATCGTCTCCGAAACGTGTTCATCGTGGTAGTCCGTTTCCAGCTCCCCCTGCGCTCGCCTGTGCAGTGGAAGTAGGCAGAGCTACACTAGCGCTCGCACTGCCAGCACCAGGCCTTCTCCTCAGTGCTAGCATCACAGGCTCGTCCCGAGTCTGCAGCGCTGCCGCTCTGGAGCTCGCACCTGCCGGTCCGGCATTGGTGCCGCTAGTTGTGCCATCCGCGGGTGCTCTTCTCGCTATCTCGTCGAGCCCTAGGTCGCGCCAGTGTATCTCCTTCTTGCCCTGCGTCGCGCGCTGAATGCCAAATGCAGCGTGCTGGTCTGGCACCACGTCGTCTTCGTCCTCGGGGTTCAGCGGCTGGAGATAATGCGGGACAAGGATCTCTTCATCGGGTAGCTGGGTGTTAGACTGCGTGAAGTCCTCGAGGAGATCGGCGTGGTGTGAGGCGTGGAAGTGGAGGTAGGTTGCGTTGGAGTCGCGAGACTGTGAACGTGAGCTAATTGTAACCCGCCCAGGAAGAAACACCTACCATGATTAGGTGGTTTGGATCAATTATCGAGCTCAGGATCGAGAATAATGAACCACAGTAATAGCAGCGCAACGCAGGTGTGAACATCAAAGACGTCCAGATGCACCCCACACGATCCCGCGTAAACATTGACTTATGTAACCCGCACGCTAGCCATAAGCAGGCAAGTCTGATCTCTACACCCTGCACATTACTCCACCTTGTTCACCCTCGTTAAGTCCGGACTGTCGCACTTTGGAATCACATTAGATCACTAATACTCAATTCCCCATTCTGAAAACGAGCCTATCCAGCAGCATGGAACCAATTCCGCCCTCTTCTCGCTACTCCTCCCCAAAGGAGCACCGGATCTCCACATAAACCCACCTTACCTCCGGACACCGAGCCCACGCCTTAGTCTAGCATGCCCTCACGATCGCCAGGACCCCGCAATCGCGGGGACGTTTCCCCTATGTATATACTCAAATACCGCGCCGTCGACGCTCCATCAAGGTCCTCACTCTACCCTAGCTTAGCATAGAATACTTCGTTTCATTGGATTAGAATGTCTACCACAGGTCGCTGCAACTGCTCCAGCATAACCGTCACGCTGGATGAATTACCGCCGAAGAGTACGATATGCTATTGGTAGGTTTTCCCACTTGCTGCGTGATTAACAGAGTAGAATTGACACATCTGGATAGCTCGAATTGCAAACGCGCGGGTTCAGGACTGTGCTCTATCGTGTACAGTAAGTGCACCCTCCCGCCCACCATAATACCACACAATTAATCATGTACTGTAAATCATAGTCCTAGACCGTTCAACCATCAAAGTCAACGACCCCAAGTCCCTCCTCAAAACATACGCAGACAACGACACGCGGAGCGGAAACACAGTGTACCGCTCTTTCTGCAGCAATTGCGGGAGTCCTATGTATTCGACCATGGGACCGGACGCTCCGAAAGTCATTTTGAAAGGTGGGATCTTCGATGCGTATTCGGAGCCTAGCTTTGAGAATTTTCCCGAAGAGAGGCCCGGGTGGTTGAATGTGAAGGCGGAGGTGTAACGATTTGGTACATGTAGGGGGAAGGTGGTTGTCGGCGCAGCGTTGTAGTAGTGCGCGCACAAGCATTTCACAGTGATTGACATATTCATGAAGCGATAGTGTTCATCCAAGAAATAAATATGGTACATTGCATCGTATATCGTTAGCCTTTCTCGCTCACCCTATCCCTATATATACTTGATGGCGAAGGTCTCCGTCTCCGTAACGTCGTAGTCGCTCTCCTTGGCCATGTCTCCAAAGATGTGCAACGCGCTGACCTTGAACGTGTACGACCCTGCCGGCGCAAAAGATCCATCCTCCAATTGTCCGTTGAACTCCCAGACTGAACCTCCGCGCGGCAGATACACCTGCGGGAAGCCGAAGATGTTGCCGAGCGAAGAGGTATTGTATCCAGTTTGCGGGATGACCTCGAGTTTGACGTAGGAGCTTCCAAGCGCAAGGCCGAGGAAAACTTCTGGGTAGGCGGTACCGTTGGGTGCAGTGCCGTTATTGGAGGGGATAGTGAAGGTCTGGTTGCCGCTGATGGGGTTGGCGTTGGGGTCGGCAGAGGTGGTAAGGTATGTGTCGGCTGCACTGAGAACGGTTGCGTTCTTCATGCTGCCTACTACGCCTAGGTAGGGGAGGCTCAACGAGTCACTGGTCGAGTTCAAGGTGATGTATCCGCTGTATACTGGAAGACGGGTTGCGTCGAGCGCAGGAGGCGACACGGTGACCGAGACGACTGCAGATCCACCGGCTGGGACAGTGACTTTGTCTTCGCTGAAACTCAGAGTGGCGCCAGTGGTGTCCAGCTCGTTGGGGAAAGGGCTTGGGAAGATGGTGCCCGCCTCCAGAGTATAGCCGGTAGCCGCAACGACGTTAGCGAGGTCAAACGTGACTTCATCACCACCAGTATTTTGGATAGTGAAGTTCGTGGTTTGAACGAGGTTAGCAGTGTCGTTGAAGGAGATGCTGGAAACGCTGAGGACGGTCTTCGCGTATGCAGCGTCGTAGGCTTGAAGCAGTCCACTACCTTGCTGGGCGACAGGAGCAAGGACAGGGTAAGTTGAGGCACCGTCGTTGAAAAGATTAGGGTTGGACGTTGCCGAAAGGACATTCTCGAGTTCCACTGGGTCGAATGTACCGCGAACCTCCGCGACCAAGGCAGTGATAGCAGCCGCGAGAGGGCATGCCATTGAAGTACCAGAGAGAACAGCATAGCTGCCGAGAGCACGTGGGTATGTCGAAAGGATCATGCCACCCGGCGCTGCGAGCTGGGGTTTGACGTCGACCTCGTACGTAGGACCCCAGGAAGTGTAAGTGCTGAGGAATCCACCAGTTACGTCATTTGGCTGAGAAACAATGTAGATCGGGGCAACCTTCGGGTCGACAATGTTCACGGTGACGGTGATGCCACTCGCCAAGTCGGCGACCCACTCCTCGCCCTGTTCCGCTGTCACCATGCCTGTTCCTTCGATACCATCAACGGCGGCAGAAACCGAAATGAGTCTGCTCAGACATTAGGACACTGTAGAGCTGTAGAGCTGTATCGTACTTACCCTTCGACATTGTTATAGAACAGGACGTATTTCGCTCCGTAGGCGGCCGCATTGGTTGCCTTCTGGACGAAGGTGCACGTTCCTCTACGGATCAACACGATGTAGCCAGAAAGATCAGGGGTGTCGGCCGGGTACGCATCGCAACCATTCGCGGTGTCGGTCGGATCGTTGTTTACATTCCATAGCGGAAGGCTGACGTTGGGCCAGTTGGCTGGGCTACCAGGTGTCCATCCGAACGACTCGGTCGAAGAATTACCGGTGCTGTATGTTGCGTTGGTGAGGACCTGAGGGGACTGAGTGTTATCAACTGAGGCGATTGCCGTTACGCCTTTGCCGTTGGCTGCCGTGCTGGCGTAGAACAAGCCTTGGTCGCTGGAAATGTGTTAGCTAAAGACTAGATATAACTTGAGATTGTACGCACCCATCGTTACCAGCACTAACAGTGCATGGAACACCCGCCTCGACGATGCGCTGGACAGCGACAGCCCAGGGGTCTTCCGTCCATCCAGAGGCTCCGCCAATGGAAGCGGTGATGATGTCGCTACCATCTTCGTAGGCTTGATTGTAGGCCGCAATGAGGACATCGTTGCCGGCACTGCCTCCACAACCAAAGACTCTGTATGCTCCAAGTGTGACGTCGGGCGCGGCGCCCGTAAAGCCATAGGGGTTTTCTTGTGCGGCAATGATACCAGCAACGTGGCTTCCATGGCCTTCGCACTCGTCGATCGGATCTGGGTCAGGTACCGGTGTGTTGAAGCCAGTGTAGTCGTCGCCAACAAGGTCCGTGCCGTACGATACCAAATGACCGGCGCCGAAACCACCACCTAGTGCAGGATGAAGATAGTCTATGCCAGTGTCGATGACTGCAATCTTGATGCCTGATCCTGTCACACCCTCTTGACGAAGCTGGTTTACTTGCGTCATGACGTGCGTCGAAAATGTGTCGGTGGTGGCATTTCCGGATTGTCGCTTCTTCAGCGCTGCCTGCGCAAACTCGGTGCGACCATCGGTGCCTTTCCAGATAACCTCGTCTTTCGGCACATTGAAGATGCGTACAGGCCACATTCGCATGACCATGTCCATGTTGGCGATCTTCGCCGCGGCACCATCCATGTCCGAAACATTCTTCAATTGGAACGAGGTACCTTTGAAGAGCTTGTAGTCCAGCTTGAGGCGGTGCTTCACAGCAACATCATCGCTTCCGAGCGTGCTGTAGAAAGAATCCGAGTCATGGTTATCAGCCAATTCCACGATGTAAGCACCTGGAACTACCTGCGCTGAAGGCAATTTCGAGGTTGCAGCAGCAGCGACGGAGACTGCGCTCCCAAGAAGGGGCAGAAAAGACGTCCAGTGCACCATGGTGGGCAACTCGGAAACGAAACGAAACGAGAAGTGAACGAAAGTCCCAAGGATCCGCGTTGGATGAAGACGTGTCCAGCGAGAGCTATTGCATAGTTATATATCTAGATAGCTCGGCAGACGCGATGCAGCGTGATTCGGCCTCGGGAGGGCGCATACAGATCCCGCCATTGCTCCTCTGGGCGTCTTGGGTGACTACACCCGATGAGAAAGGTATTAATCAAAAGCACGCGCAACACAGATGCACGCCGTGAGACATGTATACCGGGGGGCGAGGCGGAACATCCATAGAAGACGGATTAGGAAGGTGAGTATAGCCATGTGCAGGGGTAGCTAGGAAAGACTTGAGCGGAAGAGGCAGGATAGGCGCTGCCAAGAAGAGCTTCGCAATGCTCATCCTTATCAAGATATGCAGGTACTCGTAGGCCGGTGAAATTGCGGGCACAGGCGAGCAACCAGTTCTGGAGTGTGTAGAAGGCGCGCACTGTGTAGGCAGCTGACCTGCTCCATCGAGTTTAGCATCACGGTAACGAAAACACCAGGTGGGTACCAAATCCGCCTTTGAGGGATCGAGGCTTGCGAACTTGAGTCCAAACCTAAAGTCCATGGACGATGGCTTTGATCAGGATGCCGAACTCAAATGGGCTGATCCAGGCGCTGTGGAGGGGAGGGGTGGAGTGCATCATGGCCCGACGCGCATGCAATAAAACACGCTCATGGTCAGCCCTGAGGGTGCATGCGCGCCGGGTGTTCCGTCTACCAGGGTAGCTGAGATTGGATTTGCGGAGGCGGCGAAATCCAGATGCGATTGTCGGAGGTCGTTATCAGGCCTCTCCTCCGGCCGCCATTGGAGAGGGGGTGCACATGGGCTTGCCGGCTCAGTGGCGCAAGTGCTAGAAAACCATAGCTCTCGGTAGTATAGCTCTTGTACAGAATGCCTCCTTATCTTCAGCAGGCCTTTACGGACTTCGTCATGGTGATTCATGTAAAGCCTCGTCACCCGATCCGGGAAATGGTTGTACATTATCCTCTTCTGGGGACTCGTCGAATGGTGGGCGGAGCTGAGGTCCCTTTTCTCAGTGCCGGCCGGCTGTTCACCGTCTCCGTAATGGGAGAAGGAAAGAGTCAGCCGCAAGGTTGAATACCATGGTACGAGCAGCGATCACAACAAGCCACAATGCGCCTTAGACGTAGGCAATAATGTGTTCGGGATCTTGAGGTGGAGAGGTGGGGAACGAGGTGGTGAGCGGCCTGGGACGGACCGCAAGGAACGGCGATCGAGGGCGCTAAGCCCTTTTGATGGCCATCGTGCCACCGCATAAGGAACGCCCGACTCACCACCAAGAATTATTTTTTGCAAGACAAAATGAAGATCGTGTGAAGAACCGTACACCCCGTCCACTCGTTCGCGTCACGATACTGCATCAGCTCTTGCGACCAACATGAATATGAACAACTTCAGCTTATAGACAATTTCACTCTCCCCCAACCAATAGGTAACGAATGCATATATACACGAAGTGTTGCGGAATCACGGGCTTTGTGTCCAGGCCTTTTCCAATGATGTAAGCATTGGTCCTACTCCTGTCGCAACCCCCACCTCATCTGCCTCTTTTTCAACCCCGTCAAGAAGCTCTTTATACTGGCGACGAACCCAGGGTTCGTCCAAGCCTGAGACGCATCCCACATCATCACACCGCCGAAGCTAGAGAACTGCGCGCTGTACTGAATGACCGGCTGTAGAGCGGTTGCCGTTTGGTAGTATCCTGCGCCAGCTGCTCCAGTGTTTGCCGGCACCCCGAGGAGGACCTTCGCAGCTGGGTTCTTCGACGCCTTGGCCCATGTATCCCACTGCTGGAAGTTGAAATTATTTTGAGTATTCGTTCCAGGGGTGTACGACCTAGTAGCGCAATAGTTGTTATAGAACTGGACGTTGACCCAGTCCAGAGGCACATTAGTGAGGATATCCTTTCTGTTATAAGTAGCCATATAATATATCTAAAGAGGCAGCGCTTACCAAATTATAAGCATCGGGGTAGAAGCATTGCGGCGCGGCGCTGAGGTACCTCTTTCCAGTCGCAGCATTCATGCGGGTACGTAGTTGATTTGCGAAGGTGGCCATGTTGGAAACGTTCGCCTAAAGACTTAGTACTCTACGTAGAGGATCGATGGACAGAGCGTACCTCAAAATCAAAATCGAACCCATCTAAGACACTGTCTGCAAATGGGCGAAGGGCACCACTGCTAGACTGAACAGGGCCAAACATTGCCCAGATCTTGTCCGCAGCGGCCGTGGCAAGAGCAGCCGACGTGAAGCCACCTTCGTTGTAAGAGTCACCGCCAATCGAAAGCATGATGGTCTTCCCCTTGCCCTGGCATGTTTTGATATCCGCTCTGTGCAGCAAATTAACAAGGCCCTGTTGGAGAAAAGGGGTTAGAGGAGGAAGGATCGTAGCCATAGCTAGAGTATACCTAGGTATGTGGTGCAGGCCACAGCGTCATGAAAAAAAAGAAGAGTACAGGGCACTTACGCGATCTGAGGGCAATTAAATGTCTCTGTGCCTGCGAAAAGGGTACAATTGTCCCCCGCGTTGGCAAAGTTCAGGATAGGTTGGCCGTTAGTGCCACTGAAGCGAAGCAAGAACGAGAGAAGGAGGACCTGTACTGTTGGTCAGCTAGCCTCAGAAAGGCCCGTGCTACTTTCCAACATACGTCAACATTAGCATCTGTACAGTTACAATTAGCGACATGAAGAAGAACGTCGGCAACTTGAACCTACCGCAATAGGTCGATAGACGAGACTGTGTGCTCTGCTGTCCCGCAGAGTTCTGTCCCCAGTAAAGGACGACGTTAGATTTACTGGCTGCGTTGTATCCGGCGCGAACGGAGGCCGCGGCAGCCAAGATGATGGAGAAGCTTGCAAAAAGGCCCATGGTGGTAATATGTACAACGAAGCAGAGAAGTTAGCAGAGAGGTGTTTCCAGAGGAAGCTGTCTTCAAGAAGCGCAGGATGGTCAATAACGGCCGGCTTTATACCTGCACCGGAGGTTTAATGGTAGATCACGCTTCACGCTGAGTCCTAGGTTTCGACCACTTATCTCTCACGGCAGTGCTCCCCAGTACGTACTGAGTACGACCACGCACGGGGACGGTAGTTTTGCGGCAGTGTAGACAGACCACAGTATGAACAGTGCCATTACGACAAACCTACGGTCCCCGTGCGTCGTCACACCCAGTACGTAGTGTCGGGTCCCAGCGTTGACTCACGTAGCGGCGGTAATGTTGGGTTGCGATGGCATTCGATTGGTGAAAGTAGAGCGAGCTTCCCCAACGGTGGATAATAGGTTACAATTCTTCTCCCTCGACGGTGCGGCGTGACGGGGGTTGAGCGTCAATGTAACTAGGCGTTAAGACCGGTGACAGTGTGAAGCTGGTGTAGGGCACTCCAGGGGTGCACACTGGGATATACAACCCATCTATGGTCAGCCATGCGGCAAGAGAGATTGGACTGAGACTTGTCATGCGGGCGCTTCTCAGAGGGGGGTTCAACAAAAGCCATGTATGAGCATTGCGCTGGTTTTGAAACGTCGAGTTACGACAGGAAAAAGTGAAAGGTGAGGATATGAGTTCGTTTGTAATACTCGATAGACAATGTCCATCGTAGCACAAAAGTTCAATTTGGGTATCTAAAACATAGTAGCCATGAAGTTGGAGCTGGCTATCTGGATAAGCTCATCAGCCGAAGGACACATGCCAGTATGCGGTTTCGGCGAACTATCCAACTGAGCCAATGAGAAGGGGCGATTACTCGACATTGGGCCCTATCACGAGTGGATATCCCGTCCCAAAGCTGCAGGAACAGAATGGAGTGTACTTGCAATTGGACGGAGTTCGCAAGGGTCTTCAGGAGTCCAGCGCTTTGACGATACCTTCCTTTTTCGGTAATGCCATGTGCAACATCAACGTGAGTGCCTTGCGTTGAGCCTTTATGAACGGGAGGGTCAAGAAGATGTCCAGCGGCTTTTGAGTGAGCCCGTTAGAAGTGCAGTGCCTGGAGGAAACATGTGTCCCGCGCGAACCGTATGTTTTGCTCTCTGTCCTTCTGATCGTCCCCTAAAGAAGACCTTTACTGTCTCGTGCTATGTCTGCGAAGACTTCCTGGATGACCATCTCTGCACGCCAGATGAACAAGCTGCTCAGGTCGGGAGATGCGCTCTTCGAAGTTATGTTGAGCACCAGTAACGTGTTCCTCCGAGTCTGCCCTCTACTGCCGGAACACCGCAGAGGGACAAATTGCGCACCGTAGGGAACGACTCTGAAGTCCCGATGTATTCATCGGCTAGCCTCCATTGGGTTGTACGTTGATCGTGTAGCGCCCCGAATGCAACTCTGGCCGGCAAGCCCCAATTGGTGGGGGACGATAAGTATTTCTAGTCCGATGATACGTGCGGCCAGCTTGTAGCGAAGCCCCACTACTGGTGTTTTAGGTGGAAAGGCTGGCTAGACCAAAGGTATCATCGCAGCGTGAGTATTTGTGAGTCCACCGTCGCAAAGTACTCCTCCAGTTTCTTAAAAGCTCGGTCACATGGACTGTAAGCGCGACCAATCCTAACGTAAGGGTTTCTTTCTGGGTTGACGACGTTGCTCGCGATAAGGAAAAACCAATGTCGATCCGTCCCTCCGATAAGTATGAGTTGAACTGTGGTATTGTCGTAGTACGAATCAGGAATGTCCACACGTTCGAATAGAGCCACTTTCGAAGAGCCACCCATGTCGACGTAAAGCGACGATTGAGACGGTTCTCGAGCATGGTAGGTAAGAGTTCCTTTGAGCACTTTCGCCCTCAATAAGAGCTCCGCAATCTCGAGAGAAGACCCAAATTCGACCTGCGACCAACAAATGCGGGGATGTATGAGTTCGATCTTTTTTGAAGTAAGGCGGAAGCTCGGGTATTGCACAGCTCCTGGTAAGCTCATCCATGTCCAGGATGGATATGGAGCGATTCTTCTTCGCGCTGCTGGCTCATCCCAGATTCCTCTTTCCCACAGCAGTCCCTCGGCGAGATCTTGCTTCCAAAGACCAAGCAGCGGCTCATCTTTCTTTAGGTCCTGTACAAAGGTGATCAAACCAAGAAGTGCGATCCACTGATTCTCATCATTATGCTTTTTCTGCATCGAATATTCCGACACCCAGTACGCCCAGCTCCTTCGGAGGTCGACGGGATTCGATGCAGAGACCGGGGTGGATGATTGACGCTGCGCAGCCACAAAAAAGTCGAGAAGAGTTTGACAACCTTGACAACTCTTGCTGGATATTCTCAATCTCGAGATGCGCGGCACTTTTCGCCTAGCTAGTCCAATGGGTTTGAAAGTATCGTAACATTCTTGGCAGAGACCGTCTCCTGTTCCAGTTGGCGTGGTTGGGAAGTCATCCAGCTGGAAGGTGATCTTGACCGGAGGATCCATGACATTGGCGGTTACAAGTTCGCTTGCATTCGAGTGACGGATCTTTCGGGAAAGACTGAAGGTTGATGAAGATTACGCCGAACTTGGCACGGAGGCTGGCTAGCAACTCAGGGGCGGGCCGATGTCAACGCTAGACGTAGAGCCACACAGACAATAGTTGCTAGACGGCGGGTCTTGAAACCATAGCGTGTGCAGCAACACATGGGACTCCCAAATATGCGTGTGCTGGAGGATGACGAGGATGCTGTTGCTCGGCCTTTCTGATGGGGCGGGGTCTGCAGATGCCCATGTTGCTGTGGAACGTGACCCGCAGCCAGATCATTGGGCGCTAATACGCGCGCTCAATTCTCCTTGTTTCTTCACACAATTCGTGTGCACAATTGTGAACGCGTCCTAGAGACGAGTGGCTTGCTCACTGAATCGCAACTGTCGTATGTTCAAGGGGCAGTCGAAAGCTCCCCTAAGCCCAAACCTCAGGCAAATCTTAGGGCACGGCCAGCGATGTACATATGCATGCGTAGCATTATTTTGACATCGCCAACTGGTTCCCGGTCCCTTTCCGATCGCGAAGGTGTCTGGTAGTGTAAGGTGTTCCTGTGCGCAGACGTTCGTGCGAGCACGCAGGACGTCTTCCGCGGCCAGGATTCTCTTCGAAGAACGCACGATTGACGCGGTTGTATCGGCTGCCCCATACAAGGTACGAAGTGTCTCTGTCAGGTTAGAAGGTCGTATAAAAGAGTGCAACAAGGCCGCAGTCCAGATCTACAAGATGCTGGTCTCAGTGCTGGGTACCTGCCGATCGCCTGCCGATCATCTGTGGCTGTGCTGGCCCGGGCTCAGGCCTTTTCGGAATGTGACGGCAATGGCGCCTGCGATCAGTACTCCATGCATGCACCGCGCGTGCCACATTCTTCACATTGTTCACCATGTCGTCTGATTGATGATATACAAATGCGTATCGGAGATGACCTCGGACTTTGTCCAGATGTCCGTGGGAAGGCCTTGAAAACGCTCCTTCGGCAGCATGGTGTTTAGGGGGAGGCCGAGTAAGGCCTGCTTCGCATGCCGTGGAAGACGTATCAAGGTATGCAAGTGCGTTCAGTTGATTCACGTCGACACTGTGTTCATTGCGCTGCAGTCTTTCCATCCCGACAATGGCATAGAATGGGCCAGGCTATTCTAGAGGTCGCCCTGAGATCATAGCATGCGCACGAACTTAGGAACAATAATTCATTGCTGACAAGCCCTTAGTGTGACAGGGCCAAGGCGGGTTGCGGTCAATGTTCACGCATGGACATACCTTGCCCGGGCTATCCGGACCCTCTGGAGCAAGGCTATAGAGATCAGAGCGAACTGGTCATGAAGAAAGCCGAAGCGAGCTACAAGAGAAAAGTGCGCCGCGAAGGAAAGCCTAAGCTGTCTCCGTCCAGTCCCTCAAGTATGGTGACATCTACTGCATCAGAAGACTCTTCTGGAGCAGACCTGATGATAGGACTGCTGTGTCGCAATCCATCACTACATCTCGACACAATCGCGGTAACAGAGTTCATGGCTTCTTACGTACCACAAAGTCCCTTTGACTACCTACCGGTCATCTATACAGACTCGCAACCAGGATCGTCTTTGAGTGTCAACGTACAAGCGGTTTCGCTCGCTATGACTGCTAGCAAGCTAAAGGATCCTCACGTCCTGCATCTTGCAAGGCAACTCTATACGACCGCACTGTCCGATACAAACACTGCGCTCAGAAACCCAGAGAAAGCCATACAAAACAGTACTTTCATATCAGTTCTTCTCCTGGGTCTATTCGAGGCTCTTGCTTGTCAAATAACGGGAACTTCCAGCAATTGGGCAGCGCACACTCGAGGTGCCCTTACCTTGCTTCGATTGCGTGGAAAGGAGCAATTCCGTAGCGCGCTCGGTCGCCGACTGTTCGAACAGATGTGTGCCATACTAACGTTCGAGACCGTGTTGCGTAAAACATCAATGTCGCCGGATCTACTAGAACTTGTGTCCATTGCAGAATTAGTGCATGGGGAAAGTCTCAAGACATCTTTCACTAAACTCATTGGCGAAATAACAGAATCACCTTCTGTGCTATGGGACTGTGATATGCTGCCATCAGCGAAGGTAACGAAGGCTCTGTGGCTCGATCACAGGGTATCACAGTTTGCCAAAGAACTACCTTCGGACTATAAATATCAAGAAATGCACCGAGAGGTGCAAGATACACTCAGCTCAGGCTGGGAGATACACGGTTACACTATACACCAGTATCAGCATCACCATGCAGCAAGGCTGTGGAACGCTTGCAGAGTATTACGCATAATGCTCAACGGTGTCATTCACCGAAACCTGAGCGACCTCCCATCATCAGCTTTACTAACACAGCATGACTGGAAATCAGCTCTGCAACGCGCGACAGAGAACATAAAGGATGCCGCAACGGACATCTGCGCCAGCGTCCCCCCAATTTCTCAACCCCGAAAAATACGACAAGATCCGCATAGAAGCATCCGACGAAGCACGCGTTGCGACTCTGATAGCCGCGCTATCGGTGACGAAAGCGGAGCCGCTGGCACCCTCGACCGCGAAAAGCTTTGCTGGAGACCGACTGAAATATCTGGGGAAGAAATTCAAGGTTCCTCAGGCGGAGAGTGCGGCGGCTGGCATGGGGCTTAACGTGCTTCATAGCGGGTTCCACATGTTTTACGTGTACTGAACTGTATGTATGCTACAGCTGTATGCTCCGCACAACACGACTTGTATACGCGTTGACTGCGCTATGCAGCGAGTTGCTGTATCGCACTGTAGCACAGGGAAAGGGATGGGTCGCGGCGGTAGTGGCTTCCGCCTGTAGCGCGGATCGCGCTTTCCGGGCATATTCACGACCGCATGCAGTCACTACAAGCGCCGGACGCCATCCGCTAATACCTCCACGACGCCCACATGCGTATCGAAAACCAGCCAAATATCGTGTCTACTAGATGTTCCTATGCATCGGAGGTACAACATGCGACACGCCGACGCGTCTGGTCTCGCCCGTCGTCCTTTGTCTTCACGAAGAGCTAACTCCGGGAAGGAAGACAGAAGCGAAGTGCGAGGCAAGGCACACCGAAGTCTCCTCATGAGGTCCATCTCCCCAGAGTCTGGCATGCTGGATCTTCCTCGAAGTCCACGCGTACTGTACGCACGGGCGACTTGTCTCACTGACTGGCTTCCTTCTTGGGCAGCATCCCACCAGCAACAATAGACTCTGGATTTCAGCATTTGCTTAAGCTCAATCAAGATCTTGATCCCACAGCACGAACCAAGTTCAGTCTCCGAGCGCCTGTCGAGCGTCACTACGAAGTGTCTATCCATGAGAGGGGGTGCCGAGACTGACCACCACATCCGGCCAAGCGCATTCCAAACACCGTCTTCTAGCCAGGTAACTGGAATGTCCATAATTAACCAGAGAGCTTTTATGGGTCAGCCAATCAAATCCTGACGGATAGCTTTGACATCGTCTTGCTCCGTTGCTACCGTTTCTACACCAGCAATAAATGTCGCCGCGGATGTTCGCCTCACGTATGCTTCTAGTTTAGGGCTAGAGAAGCCTCGCCGAGTCAACCGGAAACAGCCATCCAAAAAGCATTGCATGGACCGCGCCAATCGCGCCAATCGATTGTTGCACGGGATGTTGGACCTAATGCTTATACGGGTGCGACACGAGATACATGAGAACATGAGGTGCATACCTGGAAATCTGCATATTTACTCGACGCTTTGAGATGTCTCTTATTGAACAAAAGCATCTCGACACACGATAAGGATTCGAGCGCATCCGATTCATCAATCATGGTTATCAATCAATCGACAAGCCTGTTGTCTCACAAATGGAGTACTTCCACATTACCATCAGACTCCAGATCAAGCATGCCAATATGTAACACAGAGGATCCAGAGAAGCCATCGTTATCCCTCTCGATCCCACTTTCTGCTCACTGCATTGAGCAAAAGTACGACTCCGGTACAGGAAGCTACCCATCCACCGCCAACAGTCTCAATTTACTTCTCCTCCGGCCATCACCTGCACCAACATTACCTGGTTTACCGTCAAAAAGTTGGCAAAAAGAAGTAGCGTTCATCTGCATTACAGGCGTTGCGCAGTTTCTTGCTCTGGGTGCCTTGAACCAGACGGTTTCGCCCGTACTGGTGCTCGCGCAGTACTTTGATGTTGAAGACTACGGGAACTTAAGCTGGTTCTCCGCCTCCTATAGCATGAGTGTTGGCACTTTTATACTACCTGCTGGTTTGTGATGTTCCATCTGAGTGCGTTGACCTCTCACTGACCAGTTCCAGGGCGATTAGGAGACATGTACGGCTACAAGAAGATATACCTTATCGGATGGCTCTGGTTTAGTATCTGGTCTATCATCACAGGTTTCTCATACACCTCCAACCACATCATGTTTAGCGCTTGCCGCGCACTTCAAGGCATTGGGCCAGCTCTTCTTATCCCAAATGCTGTGGCCCTGATCGGACGGACACTTCCAGTCGGCAAGCAGCGAATGATAGGCTTTGCATGCTTCGGTGCATGCGGACCTCTAGGTGCAACTGCTGGTGCCGTTTTCTCTGCTTTGATCGCCGAACTGGCTTGGTGGCCGTGGATGTTTTGGGTGCTCGGGATAGTATGCCTCATCGTAATGGGACTCGCCTACATTATCCTGCCCGATGAAAATCAAGAACAGGTTTCTGGACCCGTCAGCGCTAAGCCGCCAAAGTTCGATTATTGGGGGACCATAACAGGAGTGTCAGGCCTCATCCTTATCAACACTGCTCTCAATCAGGCGCCTATTGTGCTCTGGCCAACTCCATACGTTGGCACTCTTCTCGGGTTCGGCTGTCTTCTGCTAGTCGTCTTCGTTTTCGTAGAACTTCACGCCACGGACGACCCTCTCATACCTATCCGCGGCCTGGGCAAGGATGCCATCTTCGCTCTAACATGCATCGTAACCGGATGGGCTTCCCACGGCATCTGGGCGTACTACTTGTACCTCTTCCTTGAGGGTCTTCGAGGACAATCCGCCCTGCTGACCTCGGCTCAGACCTCGCCCGTCGCTATCACCGGCGTGCTCTTCGCCTTCTCGACGGTCTGGCTGATACATCGCTTCGGAGTCAGCTATGTCATGTTCATCGCCATGACATGCTTCATGGTTGGCGCGCTCCTCCTCGCCACGATGCCCATTCACCAGACATATTGGCTACATGCCTTCTTCTCAATCCTCATCATGCCGGGCGCCATGAATTTATCCTACCCCGCAGCCAACATGCTCATGTCCTCAGCGCTGCCCAAAGAGAAGCAAGGCATTGCAGCAAGCCTTGTCAGCACGATGGTAAACTATAGCATTAGCTCGGGTTGGGTATTGCCGGCACGATCGACCGCTACGTGACCGAAGCTGCGGCGAACAAGGAGGGCCTGCTGCACGCACCGCCGCTGAGCGATGAGAGCGCCGAGCTGTCGGAGATCAGGCTTACTGGGTTCAGGGCGAGCTTTTGGTGTGCGGTTGCGTTCAGTGCGCTGGGCGTGATTGTTGCAAGTGTTTTCATTGGGGTTACTGAGAAGAGGAAGAGGGCTCAGAGGAGAGAGGTGACGGTTGCATGAGTGCGCCGTGTCGCTGTTAGGTCTCGGGCCATCACGCTTATTGTTTGGAACTGCAGCCACCATCAGAGATACCATTCTCGACTTTGGAAAAGGTCATGAGAAGCTTCTAGGCTTCCAAAACCATGCGCATCCTTTCTGCATTTGTTGGCGTCAAGAATCAGATACACGACCAGCAGCTTTCGAAAAGTCGCCGTGTGACTCACGAACGTAAGATCGTCTACATTGATCGACCTTTAGTTTCACGCGTGCCTTCGCGGAATGCCGGGTCACAGTCGCTGTCCCCGCTACTCTCGGCGCCATGCAGTGGCTTTGTAATACCACACCACACCAGAGACCCTGCGTGCCTGCATCGTCGTCCCAATTAGGCTATTCTACCAGCTTTGCGCCAGCTAACCATACAAGACTTTTAACTCCGATAGACCACTACCACAGATCACACCGACATCTAGACAGAGTCTTACACAGGCCAAAACCTCAAAGGGCGCAGTCCGCCCTCCAACAACCTATAATTCGTGCCCCTCGCCCGACCGTTACCCTAGAAAACGCTACACTCGCCGTCCCGCCCCACCTCGACCATTTCGTCATTGTTTATTCCACTCCCTACTATTTATCCTTACCCCTCATTGAACACAAACATCTACTCCTCGAATCTTCGTAAAGCTTGCTTCCTTACAAAAGAGAAAAAAAGAATCCCAATCCTTAGCAAAATTCCAACATGGCCATCGGCATCGCCCTCATCGGCAGCGGCATCTTCGCCAAAGAAGAGCACCTCCCCGCGATCCGCGCCGCATCTTCCTCCCTCTCGCTAAACGCCATCTACTCGCGCAGTCTCAGCTCTGCGAAGGCGCTAGCTGCCGAGGCGGGAGACGTAGAGCTGTACAGCGAAGATCAGGAGGGGAAGGGATACGATGAGCTGCTAAAGAGAGACGACGTGCAGGGCGTTGTAATCGCGTAAGTTCATTCATCAATCGATTTTATTTTTATATAGGACATGCATAGGGGTATCATGTAATGCTAATGGTGGTGTTAACGCTACACAGCCTCCCCATCCTTGTCCAGCCTTCGTACATAAAAAAAGCCCTCTCAGCAGGGAAACACGTCCTCGCCGAGAAGCCCATCGCCAAAGACGTCGCCACCGCCTCCGAGCTGATCACGTGGTACAAGAGCACCATCTCGGGCCCCACCTTCAGCATCGCAGAGAACTTCCGCTTCCTGGCGTCCTTCGACTACGCGGCGGCGCAAGTATCGCAGCTCGGCCGCCTGCTTGGCTTCCGCATGCGTGTGCAGAACTTCGTCAAGCCGGGCGGCAAGTACTTCGAGACGGCGTGGCGCAAGAAGCCTGAGTACCAGGGCGGGTTCCTGCTGGATGGCGGCGTGCACTTCATCGCTGGGACGCGGGTTGTGCTGGAGGGAGCGGGAGTGAAGCCCGTGGCGACTAGTGCTTTTTCGACGCAGCTGCAGGAGCATCTTCCGCCGGTTGATACGGTGGATGCTACGGTGAAGCTTAGCAACGGGGCGAGCGGGACTATGTCCATGTCTTTTGGTACTACATTCTCGGGATCTGAGTATGTGTTTGCTGCAGAGAAGGGAACTGTGACGGTGTCCAGGGGCAAAGTTACAGTGGTTAGGGATGGGAAGGAGGAGTCGAAGGAGTTCCCTGAGGAGGGCAACGGCGTGAAGCAGGAGATTGCAGCTTGGGGCAAGGCGTTGGGCGAGGGCAAGCCGGACCCAAGGCAGAGCGCGGAAGAGGCGCTGCGGGATCTGCAGGTGCTCGAGGCTTTGCTACAAAGCGGGGAGAAGGGTGGAGCACCTGTAGAACTCAAGCTGTGAGGTTGCGCTGCTACTGTGTAGATACGAGTGTTGGTATTGTCGGCATTCCTGTTGCGGCTCCTCCGTGAGCTTGGATCCGAGTGCAAGATCTTGCAATGTAGACGGCGTCGGCTATGGGACCTCCGACATCGATATACTGAAGCTGCAGCATGTGACACAAACAGCATGTGATACTGGTGAACGGCATGTTGTTGAAGTGAGCTTAAGCAGCTGCCAGTATAAAGGCGGCCCTAGCGCTGACCGCGTACCTGGACAATTCCACGCTTTCAAGCCCCGGCGGCGGCGGCGGCGGCGACCGGAGGACCGATCTCTTCAACCCCATTGCTTGTACCTTGCAGCGTTCCGTTCTTTGCATCTCCTTTATCTCCGTCGTCTTCAAGACCAAGCTTCTTAAGATCGACGGTAAGCGGATCTGACTCCTGCGTCGGTTCTGTAGCGCCTTCGTACCCTGGTGGTGGTAGAGCCCAATCTGGCAAGCCAGTCTCGTAGTCCCACTTGCCCTCTTCGCAGCGGTACCTCCTGGCATGCAAATAGATGCCCAGCTCGTGCACGCCGGGATCGCTGTACAGTGGGGTGTCGCAGACGCTGCATGTTTCGCCAGTCATCTTCTCGGCCTTTCTCTTGTTGTATGCATCCACCATCTCGTCGTGGTATGCTACTGCGTCTGCGATTTCCTCCTTGCCCATACGTGAGAGGCGAGTCATAATGTCATCATCATTCTCATCCTCCGATTGACCCTGGCCGAGCGACGGACCGAAGACGCGCTGGTTTGCGTATATGGGATCGTTGGAGATGGGGTGCCCAAGGAATTGAAGATGAACGCGGAGCTGGTGCGTGCGACCGGTTATGGGCATGCAGCGCACAATGGAGTAGCCACGCTTCTTCTTCCACTCCATGCCCTCGTGGTTTGCGCCGTTCTCGGATGCAGATTCATCTTTGTCGTCCTTGGGCGGATAGTATGCAAGTCGCTTGAACACTGTCTTTGCTTCCTTTCCATTTGCGCGCACCCGATTCAGGCCCAGTTTTGGACTGATTTGGAGGATGGGCTTCTCACAGATGATCTCGCCTTCAGGGAATTCGCCCACCACACGCGTGATGTACTCCTTCTTGACCGTCCTCCCACGTATCTGCGCGCTCATATCCTCAGCTGCCTGCCTGTGTTTCCCTATGAACATGATGCCGCTTGTGAGCCTGTCCAGGCGATTGCACGGCAGCGGGTTCCACCCATAACCCCTGTCTGCCCTCATAATTTCAATGACCGAGTTGAAGTTGTATCGTCCTGCAGGATGCACCGGCACGCCCGCTGGCTTGTCAATAACAATCAGATCGTCGTCCTCGTGCACGATGCCAATGGGCTTTGCGCTGCATGGAGGCTCGTGCCGGTGCAGCGTATGCGATATAACATCCCCATTCCTAACAGGGGTCTTAGTCGACGGCACCTGCTTGCCATTTAGCACCACTCTTCCCTCAATGATGGCGTTCTCGTAGTATTCCGCTGGCCTGTCCCTGAACTCGCTCGCGAAAATGTCGAGGATCTCTCTGTCGCGCCATCTCTGTTTGCAGAATGTGTTGTACGTGTAGTGGTACGGCGTGACCTTGCGCAGGTTGTCTTCGAGGTAGTATGGCGGCGGCCATGGATCGCAGGGCGTGATGGCCACGGCCGGGGGCTCCTTCCACGGAAATTTGTCCTCAGGCATGGGCGGGTATTTGTCTCTCTGCGGGCAGACGACAAGGGCCAGGACGGGCTTCGCATGCACGGGCAGGCGCCCTTTACTGGCGAGGAAGGCGAGGATGCGGGGAGAAGGCGCCAGTGTGCAGGATGGCGGAGTGTTTTTGGTGGTGAACTTTTATTTCTGCGAGCCATGACGGGTCCACCCGCACCAGCGCGGAGCTAGGCGGGAGTGCTCGAGCCTCCTACACGACACCACCACCCCAAGCTTCTCGTCCAGAAGCTGCGACCTATTGTTGCATACGTGGAACGATGGCGAAGTAGGACCGCACGCTCATCGAACGCGCGTCTCGCGCCTATCCTGTTGCAGGGGAAAGTACACAAAACTCTGCGAGTAACGACAACAACTGTTAAGCCTACGTCTTACAAATGTCCTCTGTTACTGACATACTTGGCCTAGACCAAGCACATTTCATTCCATGACATACGCGTATACACAAGAGATGGAAAGCGAGGCAGACAAGTCGTGTCGCTGCCGTCTGTCAAAGAGCCACTCGGAGAATAGACACCCCAACGGTCCAGGTATCTGGACGTATCGACGCCTGCTCTTGCACTGACGCCTGGACGAGCTGTGTTCTCTTGCAAGTCTCGCAGTAGTCCTCTGAAATTCACATGGTTACGGATAAATTGCTCATTGACACCTCCACGAAAGACACTTCGCAGAGTCTTCTCACATGCACGGACACATGTATCATGATACGAGTCCAAGACTCTAGTCAGTTCGTACGGATTCCATATACATGCTGACCGCATATCAGCCTGCTTGCCACGTTGGTGTGCCAGCTGGCTGTCTCAGTGCCACGAGCATGATACGGACCTGCGAGCTGAGCATCAAAGCTTGAGCTGAAGCTTTTTCGTACATTGACCAATGATTTTACTGGCGTTACAAAGCTCAAGGCCGCCTCAATTCCGAAGTCTAGACTTTTCTTTCGGCATCCGACGCCACACCTCGCTACACTTCGTTGGAAATGCTCCACCATCTAGTTCATGATATTCTATTCGCCTAAGAATCTAGAAGAACGGTACCCTTTGACCATGATCCTTCGGTTGTGGACTTCTGGTACTTCACCTTCGCTTCACGATTGGATCTCTATCCAATGTCGTACGAGATGGAGATACGTGATCTCACTGTCACCCTGCACAGGCGAAAGTCCTGATTTCAATACCCATCTTACCGGACCATCGAAACCGTCCAGCTAACTTGCATTTTTCGCATGCAGCATGTTCAAAAGCGTATCGATAGTAATTCCGTGGTTGTGGTGTTGAAGACAAGTCAACTCGAGCATAAGGAAACCCACCAAGTTGAACGCTATTCGCCCTCTAGATCTCTGGGAACCCAGCAGAATGACTACCCAAGCTACAGTTTGCGACATGTTGCTCGCCGGAATATCAGAATCCCGTCTCATCTGCACGGTCTACTTCGCCCAACGCACAAGCGTCGTTATGGTTCGTATAAGCATGGACCTACATGGCGAGACTTACCCGCGCTTCTGCTTCGCTTGCCTGTGGCTTGCAGTATCGATAGAGCAAGTCCCACGTTGACCTTCGTAGCTGACATGGAGACGAAGTCGCCGGGCAACTGTGTTCCCGGTCACTTCTCGAACAGCGAGCAATGCGTGTATAAAAGAGCCTGGTCACCCGCACGACTTCTAGATTTTTAGCTTTCTCTTTTACTCTCGAGACTTCCTGGTAGCTTCTGAGGGTTGTCTTCTTCTTTCTCTTTCAAGCCCGAAGTATAGTTTAGCTGTCTGAGTCCAATCCAGCTCAACTACCAAGATGAGATTCGCTTCTATTCTCCTCCTCGCTTCCGCCGCTTCCGCCTTTTCGTTCCCAGATACGTCGAGTTTGTCTCAACTGCTTCGCCGCAAGGATGGGGGTAGCGGAGGCGGCGGCGCATGTCCTGCTGTCTGGACGTCGATAAGCACGGAATTGACTCAGAAGTTCTTGTCTGGGGGCCAGTGCAACCCAGATGCTCGAGCTGCCATTCGCCTAGTCTTCCATGACTGTGGAGGTCAGTACACATATCTTAAATGACTATTGACCCTGACCAAACCCAGCTTGGAACAAAGCTCAGGGTGCCATTGGCGGCTGCGATGGCAGCCTAGTACTCAACGCAGAAGAAGGTAGCCGCTCAGAGAACAAGGGTCTCGAAAAGATTGCCGCCGATATGAAGGCCCTAGCCACCAAGTACAGCGTGTCCGTTGCAGACCTTGTAGTCTTCGCCGGCAACCACGCCGTCGTAACCTGCCCCGGCGGACCCAGAACGAAAACCTGGATCGGCCGCAAATCTAGCAGCACTGCCGCACCCAACGGCCTCCTCCCGGACGTCAACGCCCCAGCTGCTTCCCTCTCGCAACTCTTCATCGACAAGGGCTTTGACGACCGGGACCTCGCTGCACTTCTCGGCGCGCACACCTCAAGCAACCAGTTCAACTTTGATACGACCAATGTCGGCGCCTCGCAGGATTCTACACCCGGTGTCTGGGACGTCAAGTACTACTCCGAAACCCTTAACCCGCCGAAGGGCGTTGTTGTGTTCCCTTCTGACAGCAAGCTCGCGAACTATGCGGGTGTTGGGAAGGAGTTTAAAGGGTTTGTGAACAATCAGGGAAAGTGGAGTGGGAAGTTTGCGGACGCGATGGAAAAGATGGTTATGTTTGGAAGTAGTGGGACGAGTGGTATGGTGGATTGTACGGATGCGCTGCCGAAGAGTACGAATGCGAAGAGGGATCTTAAGGGGATGAATCCGTTTATGCCTAGGGAATGAGGTGTTCTAATGATGTTCTTCGGCAGGGTAGATTTTCTTTTCAAACGGCTTGATGATCAAGGGCACTCACCCCATGTATATAACTCTTTACGACGCTTGGTGCCGCTCTTGTTACAAATGTACCCACGCTTGCTATGATGTTCTCCACGTTCGTCCACAGTGGTCATGCTTTCCTCCGCATCCGTTCCGCTAGCACCGATGCAGTGTGAACCAGGGTGCGCCTGATGTCCTCTTTTAACCGGCTCGCTTCCAATCTAAATACCATCGATTACCTCCACTCACTATAAGCCCTGATGCCGATGCCTAATTCACAATGAGCCAAGTAGCAATATAGCAGTAGTGTAGCCCCCATCATGGAAGGCTCGGTGCCGAAACGTGGCTTTCGTGCTGCACGCACCCTCATATTGCTCGAAATTCGTCACCATGCATCGTCATAGAACTCGTCTCTTTTTGTTTTGCCCAGTATGAAGCTGTCACCCACTAGAAAACACGCAGTACTTCTCACATTGCTCGCAATACCGCCGCTCAGCACGGCGGGCCCTCTTGAACCCGATTTGATCGGCAGCAGTCCGCAGATCCAAGATGGCCTCGTACATCGTCCGCCGAGCGTGTGCCCAGTTGTGCAAGATGGCTCAACGTCCACAACCTTCCCCTGGACACACGCGCCTACCTGCCTCTCACTCATCTTGCCTTCTTCTTCGCACTCTGGTAGACACGGAACATTCTGCGTGTATACAAATGCCGCCTTCAGTAATGGTCGAGGGATCTCCATTGTCACAAGTCCAGAAAGCGCAGCCGAGTTATCAAGCGAGGTGTGGGAGACTGGCCTTGGACGAGAAACCGCACAGGACGGGCAGTGGGAAGCGAAAGAGACAGAAGGGAAGGGCATCGGGCTGTTTGCTACGCGTCCAATCGATTCTGGCGAGACGATGATCTTGCAAAGCCCGGTGTTGGTGGTTAGCAGAGAGGTCCTGAGCAGCGTGAGCCATTCGCGGAGGAAAGCGCTGCTTGAGAAAGCAGTGCAGCAGCTACCTGGGAGAACAAGGGAATTGTTTCTGGCGCTGAGTAGAAGAGGAGGCGAGAACAAAATCGAGGATATCGTCAATGTGAATGCGATGAGGGCGAAGGTTTGGGACGGCACTTCCCACCTAATAGTCGTGCCTGAGGCAGCGGTACGTTCTCCTCCTCGCTCTCCTCCCACTCCACCCAAGCGCAAAACACTAACACTAGAGAACCACAGAGAATCAACCACGCCTGCCGCCCAAACGCCTACTACCGCTTCTCCGACGCCCAACTCTCCCTCACCGTCTTCGCGCTATCCCCCATCCTCCCAGGCGAAGAATTAACTTTCAGCTACGGCTTCTCGCACGCTCCGCATGCAGAGCGCAGAGAAGCTCTCAGGCAAACTTGGGGCTTCACATGCGCGTGCCGCCTCTGCTCTTCTGCGCCCGCTAATATCTCTGCATCTGATACCAGATTGGCGGACATCGCCGGGCTGAAAGATGCTCTCCCGACTGACCTGGGGGATATACCGCAGTACATTGCGCTCATTCCACGACTAGTGTCTCTGCTGGAAGAAGAAGGGTTATATGCAGAATTGCCGATGTATGAGGAGATTTTGGCGTATGCGTGGAGTGCTGTTGGAGAAGAGGGGCGAGCGAAGGCTTGGGCGGAGAGGGCGGAGATTCATTGGGGTATTGTTGCTGGGAAGGATAGTTGGGAGACGAGGAGGGTGGGGAGTTGGCTGGGAATGTTAAAGGGCATTATACCTGGGGACTTGGGAGGGCGATATATGGGAGGGCGTGGGGCAGGGACATCCATGGGATGAGCATGGGGATGATGGACATGAACATTGAGTGAGTATTGAGCTGGTAGGAATGGGGACGGGTATTGCCCGGGGCCCTGACTTCGGTGGAAGGGCATGATGCTAGGAGACGGTCTGTTCCAGGGTGCTGGGCGTCGGGAGTCACGAACGTCTCTCGATCAACATGTTTTTGTTTCAAGCAGCTCACTTTGCAAAAGAGTACATGTGTATAAGAGCATTATAGGAATAACGTAGCTATGCAACGTCCGCGGGACTAACTATGTACGCCACGCCATGGTATCAAGCCGCCCAGAAACGCCGTCAACAAAATCTCCGCCACTCATGCCCATAGCAATAACATACGTACCATCATCACTCATCACGTGAAAAGGAAAACATCGCCCCAGCCCTCCACCCTCACCCTCACCAACCGCAAAACACCCGCATCGTCAGTATGAGAACCCTATTCCCTCACATGCCCATACCCACGACTCAGTATGCGATTAACCTCCTCGCCCTCCATCTCCGCGCCGATCGTCGGCCTGCCTTCCACGCCCTGCTCACCAATGCTTCTATCGCGGTTGCGCAACATCTCTCTAACCTGCTCCTCCCTCCGCTCCTCCTCCTTCAGCTTTATAGTTTCTACAACCTGCTTGACAGCATCCTCCTTCCTCCTCTCCTCATTCGTCGCCCTATCCCACCCCATCTGCAGCTCCTCCGCGCTCGCCTCTTCAAACCGCCTCTTAACCTCAGGATCCTTCTCGAGGGCTTGAAACAAGTCTTCGTCCGTGGTGAAGAACGCCGCGCGGAGGGACGACACCGCGAACTCGAAGACGTGCACCGAGGCGACGATCAGGATGAGCGTGAGCCACCACGTGAAGCTGCGGCCGAAGGAGGAGAAGAAGGAGTCGCGGACGAAGTAGATGGGTGTGCCGATGGGGTAGGCCGCCGCGAGGATGATGTTCCAGAGGAACCAGCCGCCGATGGATATGACCAGTGCGGCGAGGTTGGTCGTGGTTTTGGAGTGCGTTTCGATGAATCTGTGTACCAACGTTAGTATAAGCTGATATGAGAAAAGGGGCAGGGGAGGAGGGGGACATACTGCATCTTCATGTTGATCAGGATGATGCAAGCCGTGAAGGTAATGCTGCCGAGCGCAAAGATGGAGTTATCTTCTGTGAAGAGCGCTTGCCCGTAGAGACCTAGCATGCAGAAGTAGACGACCATTGCTTCGGCGCTGGCCATGAACATCCACCCGAGGTAGACTTTGAAGTTGAAGCCGCCGTTGCGCTGGCCCTTTGTGTAGAGCTCGGGTACGGCGAGGAGCGTAGAAGCGGAAAGGTCTTTTTCGAAGATGCCCATGAAGATGACTGCGAGCGAGGTGAAGAGCGTGTTGAAGGTGGTGAGAGACCAGGATTCGTAGAGGGAGGTGCCGGTGTAGCCTACGGAGCGTTGGTAGAGAGCTTGCGTGAGGTAGAACAACTGGATGTCTGTTAGCATCAACTTTACTTATTAGAGCGGATGAGTGGACCTACCATTTCTTTCCAAAATGTGCCGACAGTGTACTTGCACGTGCGGAGATAATTCCACCTGCCATGCACAAGCAGCAACTTAGTCAGAAACCTGAACTGCGCGATTGAGTAATCGCTGGTTCGAGCGGCTTGGAGGCCTTCCTTTCCAGTAATTCCAATGCCCACATGTGCCTCCTGGATCATAGCAATGTCGTTTGCCCCGTCGCCAATGGCAAGTGTTATGCTCTTCTTGACGCGCTTGCGGATATTTTTCACAAGACTAGCCTTCTGGGAGGGTGACGCACGACAACAGATCACCGAGTTTGCTAGGATAGCTAAGTCGTAAAAGAGAAGCTTCAATGGCTCCACCTCGCTGATCTGGGCGAGCGTCTGTCCATCGATGACAACGACGGAATGGGGTACTGTTCCGCCGTTGATGGCTAGCACTGCGGCACCCATACTCTGCTCAACCTGCCCAGTCTCGTGGTCCAGAACGGTAACGGTAGAGTACTCCTTGATCAAGCGGCAGGAGTAACCGATATTGATGGCGGTTTCTCGCTTGTCACCTGTCAGCATCCACATCTTGATGTTCGCTCTACGCAGTTTGTCGATAGCTTCTGGGACACCCTTCTGCAGCTTGTCTTCAATGGCAGTCGCGGCGCACAGCTCGAGATCCTGTTCGATCATATCCCCGGATTCTTCGATCTTTTGTGCGCGGTCGACCAGGCTCGTTGTTGCGTCTAGATGTGCCTTTTTCCAGGTCGCGTATTCGTCTTCGTCAAGGAAGCGGTAGCCATAAAGCAAAGTGCGCAAACCCTCGGTAGCAAAGTCGTTTATGTGCTGTAGACACCGTTCGATGACAGCTGATTCATCGGCGGCAACCTGCTCGTCCACCATCTCATCCATCTCCTCCAACTGTAGCGAACTCCTAGCTTCGGAGAAAGCAAGAGACATCCTACCGAGAGCGAGTGAAGACTGCCGCGGCGTTTGCATAGGCGAGTCCTCGTCGATGGATTCTATCTCGTAGTGATCGCTCTCGCGCTGGCGCAGCCACTGGTCCACATCGCGCACCTTCTGGAGAGAATCCCTGCCATTGTTCGACCGACCTATACCACCCAGGCTAGGGCGTCCAAGCGAAGATCTCCCCGCGATACTAGCACGGGCGTTTTGCGCGAAGCTCTTACGGCCGCCCACGCTACTGTTACGTTCGAGGTGTTCGCTCATACGTGCAATCACGTGCTGTGCTTCCATGCTCTTCCTTTTGTTCGCCCGCCTCTCAATATCGACCATCTTCTTGTTAGCTAGGGTGGCCATCTTCAGCCGCTGCATCACTATAGAGTCTGCACCCTTGCACAAGATGCATACCCTGCGATCGGGGAAGCGGACAATGATCGACATACGTTTCCGCTTGCTAGAGAATTCGATCACGTCAAGGATCTCGTACATTTCCAGGACCGGTTCGGCATCTGTCTCCTCAGGCATGATTTTGAGAGTAATGGTGTGTACGTCGCGGTTAATGAGAAGGAACCCCATATCCTGCGCAGCCTGCACAAGCGCGAGCTCATCAGGAGAAGAAGCCATGAACTGGGTCTTCCCGTCTTCTTGCGCTTCCGGAAGACAAGTGTGGCAAAGGGCCAGCGATAAAAGGAACATACGAGCCTTCTTCGAGAATGGGGTATGCGGTCGGCGCTGGATGTAGCGTAGCATGTCTCGAGTACGTAGCTCACGCTGCGACTTGGCGGGTCTTGCTGACGACTTCCACTGCGTCTCTTGGGCCTCATCGTTCGTACCTTCCATTGGATTTGTTTCTTCTGCGACAGGTGTGGGAGGTTCAAGAGGCGACTGTACATCCTTCGCTGACCGCATGCTCTTTCTGATCGGCTGCTTCCCCTTCTTCCTTTTCTTGTGTTTGAGCTTCGTCTTCTGTGTCTCCTGCAAGTCTGCATCGTGCAACCACGCGGCTCCAGCTACGCTCAGCTTGCGGAATTTCATGGAGTTGTCCGTGAGTGTTCCAGTCTTGTCAGAAAAGATGTAGCTGATCTGTCCAAGCTCTTCGTTGATGGTAGATGTACGTGGCTCGCAGGGTGTGTCTGATACCGGGTCATACATGTCGATATCGATGTGAAGAAAGTACATCTGGAACACTTTGACGATCTCCAGACTGACGTACAACGATAGCGGAATCATGGTATTGAACATGATTACGAACGCCGTAAAACTTGGGAAGAACGACACGGACTGGCCGGCCAGGTAGAAAGCATCGCTTTCGTTGCTCCGCCATATCCTGTAAGCAACGGTATTGAAGATAGAAAGGAGGATGACGAAGACGACGATGAGTATGACGATACGATTGACCAGGGTCTGTAGTGCCGGGGCCTTGATGCGAGGATTTTTGATCGCGTTCATTCGAATGCGGCATTCTTCGCCCGAGTAGATTACCATGCCCACAGCGTCTGGAGTATTGCGCAGTATACTGCCTCGGAAGATGATCTCGTTCAGCGTTAGGGGTGCTGTTTTGCCATCCACCGTGACCTTGCCCTCGAAGCTGTATAGATCTTGGTTCGGATCTTCCACGACAAAGTGAGCGTCACAGTTAAGAATATCCGCCTGGCTGTGAATGGTCTTTGTCATTGAGGCTGTCGTTTGCTTGCTCTTCAGGTTCGTCTCTCCGTCCAAGGCCATGGTCTCCACGAAGGCGACATTGTTCTCTCCGCTCGTATGCAGAAGAGCCAAATCAGCTGGTGCAGCATCGTTGCGGTCCAATTTGACGATGTCTCCCACGTTGAGATCCTGCCACTTGATAGTCTCCCAGTTTAACTGTTCAGTACTTGTAGAGCTCCGATCCCCATCTTCTACGTAAACGCCCGTTGCCCTGCTCGCACGGAAGACCTGAGCCTCCCGGTTGTTCTCTGCTTTATCAAGCCGGTACCGTCTCAAGTCATCATAACCCTCCTTGGCAATGGCAATGGTAACAAAGACTAGAAGTGGAGCAATAGTCGTATACGTTCCTGTGGTACTGAGGCCGGGTATCATTTGAAGAATACTAATACAGAGGAAATAGAAATTCGCAAGCTTTGAGAACTGGGCGATTAACTGTCTCGGCACAAAATTCCAGGCAGAGTAGCGAGTGGAGCGGATCCAATTGGTGATGTATGGCTGATTCGTTCGCTCATCAGTAAGAGGATCCTTCCGAGAGGGATTCAGGTCAATGTGGCGGCCATCTTTGCTGGGTGGTATATCTTTGATCCGAAGAATAAACTTCTTCGCCTGTATTCCAAAGGCTTTAGCTTGCTGTATGTACCGTGACCCCTTCTCTTTGTTTTGCAGCCATGTATCATAGTTCGGAAGTGCGACAGGCCCTTTTCCAAGCTTCGTCTTGGATGGATGATATGGTGCCTCTGCAAAGTCGACATGAGCGGGAGAAATTGTGATAGATGCGTCTCCAGTTTTGTCGGTAGAGTTTGTGCTGTCCAATCCATCCACTTGACCAGTGCCAACTCCTCCTGTTGACGATCCTGGAGACTCCTCTAGCTCGATCGATAGTCCGGGAGACTGAGCCTGTTCATGAACGTTTCTCCTGAAAAGGGCGCTGCGTAGCGAGTACCCGCGGTGACGGCTTGTGGGTGACAATGGCGATCGATTACTGTGCGGGGAGAGCGGTGATATACCGGACGATGAACGGGTAGCGCTCTGTCCGGCAGCAGATGAACCCTCCACGGCTACCTCGCGCGTATCGATTGTAAGTTCCGGTGTCCCAGGGCGATTCTTCAAATCCGCCGTTTTTCCCACACGTGCATCTTCGTCAATTGCGGATGTGGCCGTCGTTGGCCTCGGATGCGCCGGACCATGGCGTTCGATGTCGGTCGAGAACCGGACTCGTGGAGCGTTATCAGTCGAGAGTCGCGAAACGGAAGGCCTCGAAAAGTCTTCTAAGGCCGAAGACTGAGAGGCAGGCACATCGGCATTGGGCGCTGAGGGTTGCGGCGCATCGTACTGGGCCGGCGTGTCAGCGGCTGACACACCCAAGCTCTCGTCGTCTTCGTGATGGGACGTGGACCGTCTGCGAATTCCCCCAGTCGAGCCGTCATCGCCAGCGGCCATGGTGAAGAATCATCCGGATTGCGCGACGCCGCGGGTAGGAGTTGTGCGGATACTGTTGAGCAGGATGGCGGGCTGCCGAGGGCTTGTCGACTAGGCGCGTCAAGTGTTACGCGGCGCAGGCGGACGGGACGCGGGTCATGGTATTGGCCTTCACAGTCCTCCAGAAACAATATAACGGCGAGCCGCAAGGTGGACGTGAAGCTACACCAGCGGTTGGTCTGGGGTTCGCACTGCAACGGCCCACCTTCCTCCAGCTCCACATCATGCGCAAAAGTCACTGTGTACCCCTGCTCCCACGTGTTCCTTATTTTAACATGCTTCCATCCTCTGAGCTAACCACATCCGACCGGCCTTCTCTACAACATGTTCACTTTGTTTCAGCAGACGCGCGCAACATCCCCTCGCGCTTCCAGCTTATCCCGCACGTGCTGTCTTGCTTGTTCTATCCGGACCCGGAGGCTGTGACACGGTATTACCGGACAGTCACCCGCCCACAATCCTCCGGACAGCCGTAATATCCACGTCAATGCGCATGAGCCGACACCTTTATCCTCACATCCACATTGCAACCGTAGCCACGTCGATGAGCTTAACGAAAGATGCATATCAATCTCGATAATTACCAATGCTAAACTATGCTATGCAGGAGATAAATGCAATTGACAAGAACGCCATCCATGACTACTGGCAACTATCACCTGAACGGCGGAGAAGTGATACTATGAAAATGGTGCGTCTGAAATACTTTTCGTTCGCGAATTAGACAAAAGGAACAGCGGCCAGCCACATTACCATAAGCGGAGAAGACAGTCAATTGCAAGCTTCGCTACTGAAGTATGCAAAAGATTTCTCCATTTGCCTTTTTCTTCGTCGCTAGTAATACCCCCCATCGGTGTATTTCACCGATGCCTGTCCACCTCCTCTGAAAAGCAGAAACTTCGCAAACACCGCTTCAACTCCAGAATAAATCTCCTTTCCAAAGGCCACTTGCAGTCTGCAATGTATAAAATAGGTGGTATCCGAGTCGTGACGCTTCATTAGGTATGAGTATGGAATACGAGTTCTCGAGAATATGAGGCCGAGCGCCGTGCAATATGCGGTTAGATAAAAAGGTGCATCCAATGATGATGTTGAAAAGGAATTAACATCCGCCCGCCTAGTTCGCTGCTACGCACCAGTGTCGGTGATAGACCCACGCGCTCTTCTGGCACTCTTTGCTGCAATACTTTGTGCGGCGGCAGCGGCGGCACTTGGCAAACTGTCGTGTGTACTCTTCCCACTTGCCACACTGGTAGTACGCGCACTGGCGGATGCCTCCTCGCGAATCGTCTTTCCTGCAGAGGTTCCGCATGACAACACTAGCCCAGTACTGCATGTCGGACGTGTGGTGTCGCACGGTGAACTTTTCCACAAGAGGAAAAATGTTGAAATCATCCGGCAATTCGTACTCTTCCAACTCTTCCTCGTCTTCTGCCATTGGCGTGGGGCTCGCCGTCTCGCCATCGAGTAACTGTAGGTCACTGCCAATCTTGAGTTTAGGAACCAAGTGCGATTGTTGGAAGTAGGAGCGCAAGTTGCAGTATTTTGAGACGTACGCTAGCAATTGCAGCGACATCAGAACGTCTTCGTCTCGCGGCATGGCGGCCAGCGCACCGGCTGTGGCGGTTCGGTCTTGGTTGTAGCGAGGGTACCATGGTGGAGGAGGGTTGGTGTTGACTACATTAATTGCAGGCTGGACCGGAGAGAAGCCACCAATGGGTGCAGTCGTCTGCGCTGTAGGGTTAATCAAACTTCCGTCCAAAGCAGGGCGGTGTGTGATGTTGAATGTTTCGTGGTTTTCGTCTGCAGCGTCGGATGGTGCAGCAATAGGCACTGGGGTAGCTCCTGCGTCCAACATCTCCGCGTTGTCGACAATGTCTGACATATTAATATCGTTGTTTTGAATGCCCACGATCGGCTCGTTCACAGCGGTACCAGCCGTTGTCGTTGCCTCGGGTGCAATGTCGTCTTGTTGTGCATCGAGATCAGACTCGCCAGACATGGACAGCTGGTGTCGGATGGAGGGGCGGCGTCGGACACGCGCAATAGCGGCGCGAGGGCTGCTTTGCCGCGCTTGTGCGGCACCTGGTGTAGTAGGAGATTCAGGTTGGGAAGTAATCTCCCCCTGCAACGCGGGAAGCATGGAGGGCAACCGATCCGCATCCCGCACGGGCCTTAGAGTAAAGGTCTCGGTTGTCTCCATTGTCGGCAGAGCAGACACTAGCGGCTGGCCGATGTTGCGTGGGTTGGTGCCGACAGCGCCAAACAACTGTCCTCTATTCTCATGGCTTCGATGATGGTGGTGATGTGGTGGGCGTCCGCGGGTGAAGGTGGTCCGCTCGGGCGGTGAGCTCAGAGAGAAGGCCGGCGTAGGGGTGATGTCGCCATTTTGTGACTCCAATGGCACTTGGTTGTGGTTGAAGGCTTGGGGTATCTCGATGGGAGGGGGTACGGCACGTCGTGTACGTTCAGCTCTGTGTCCTGAGCCAGATGCCATCTCGCCGGACCGAGAGGAGTGGTGACGGCTTGAGGTGCCGAGACGAGCGTTCCTTCGCAATTCTGCTTCTGCTCGCTCTCTGCACTTGTCCACTACCTTGATGTAATTGTCGAGGATGGTAGCGATGACAGGCACCATGTCGGCCTCGACCACACGTGTCCGGACATTCTCTGAGCCACGCACGCCAATGTTGAAGATGCACTGGAAGGCGAGGTTCCACTTCCACATGTCCATCATGTCCTTGCTCCTGCCCTCTTTGAGAATGCATATCAACCGTTCGATGCCGCCATCGACGGTGAGAATGTCGCGTATCCGCGCAGAGGATGTGGTGAGGTATGCGAGGTGGTTTAGAGAATTGATGAGGGGGAGGGTGGAGGTGCAGTCGAGGGCGCGGCGATCATACAGGGCGGTCGTGATGTTGACAGAGGCCTTGTTGGCATTCGGGATGGAGAAGTTGACTTCACGCATGGTTGCGGATCGGTGCCGTTGTGGACGAAGGCGGGCCGCAGCTCAGGCGATGAGATGGAACGGATGAGTCGAGGTAAAGGCGTTTCGATGGCCTGGCCGCGTGGGTGGATGAGCCCACAAGCAGTCGGACTCTTCCGATCAGGCCTTGTAGCAGTGCGGGGCCTCGAAAGGGGTGTCGAAATGGCTGGTCGTGGGAGATGAGGTGTTTGCTATGCGTTAGAGCGCAGGCCACGGCAGGAGCAATGCAGCGACGCTCGAGTCGTCCGACGAGCGTGACCAGGGTCTTGAGGCAGCGCGCAGGCGGCGGCGGTAGGCTCGCACTGGGCGAGAGCGGGGTGGGAAGGGCGTGTGCTATGTATGTTGTCGATGAAGCTGCTTGGGATGGATGGAGAGGAGAAGCACCAGTCGGCGGTGGGTGAGTGGAGTGGAGGTGGCGCCTAGCCGGTGGTGCTGGGTCTGGGCAGTGAGAGAAGCTAATTTCACCTTATCTGATGCGGAAACACCACTCAGACCACTCAGAACCCTGATGTCCGTCGGCGCGTTGACGGTGCTCACAGTCGTCCACCGCGCTGTGTAGTCTTGCAGGCAGACCTCTCTCGCGCTCTGCTCGTGCTGCGCTGCGGCGTCGGGCTCCAGCAATGCACAGCACTTCGCAGCTGACAAAGAGCCCATCGTGGCGCCTCTGAAACCCTGTCATGCCGATCCGGACTCGACGAGGCAAATTTGCTGCGCGGACGCGGACAGCCAGCTGAGCAGAGAATTGCAAGAGAATTCCTCATTAGCTGCAGGCAATGCATCCACCAGCGAGCCCCTCGACGCTACAGGAGGCCACGGCTGCGGGTAGACGCGCCGTCCGCGTGAACGTGCAGTCCACGGTAGCACGCATGCTATAGTACATAGCCGACCATGGCGTCGGGAAGGATCCCACCTTCACGAACTGTTCTGTTCGGCCCGTATTCTCCAGCCTGGAGCTACATGCGCTGCGCTCGTCGGCTCGTGGCTCCGACTAAATATAGGATCGATGGGGGGGATGGGGGTTACCTATGCCCGCCGTCGATTGGCTGCAGCTGCACCCGCGACGGTCACGACAAAAAATGTCGTCAAAGCGCTGTAGCGTTGCCGGCCCATTCCCCACGACAGGCATCGTAGGCGCTTTCAGCTGAATCTTCTAGTCGCACGCTGGCGAGCTTCCACTGCATGTCGCGCGCACACAGGGGCCTTTCACTGCAGCCACCGGCTTGCTTCGTGGTCATTTCTTCCAGTCTCTTCGAGCCGCTCCTCCCACCTGGACGTTCCATCCACGGTCGCAACTGCCCCAACACAACACACGCGAGACCTTGACTCAACCCGCCGCGACTCCTTACTCCATGGCTTGAACTAACGACATATTTTCATCTACATTGATTCCAAGTATACAGTACAACGGCCGATCGTGTGCGAGTTTTCCAAGGGGGTACCGCGTCTGACCACCCATCATGGCAACCCCAACAGAACCAGATAATGATCCAAAAGTGCTCGACTTCGCAGCAGCTTCGCCGCCCCAAGACACGCGCCGGCCCCGCTTCAGCGATGCTTCCGCGACCGAGACAATGCCGCGCCTCACAGTTAACACTGAGACTGAGTCGCAGAGTCGCGGACGGAGCTCCAGCCAACTCTCCGCAACAGCTGCTCGTGCCGATGGCAACAGCGTACTTTCGCCGACCCTCTCAATCGATTCGACCCTGCGACGACGGCCTACACGTTCAAACACTATCCGGCACTATCAGAGCCCTCACCACGCCGGCCGTCGCACATGGGAACAACCAGGTGCGGAACCTGGTGTCGACACGAAGAAGGAGCCGGAGGACAACTACAGCAATCTGAAGGCGGAATGCGATATCACCGTGGTGGATTTCTCCGACGAGGGCTACACCTGCATAGAGCTAGATAATGCTACACTAGAGGGGTTTCTACGGGATAAACCGAAAGACTCAACGGAGTGCCGCTGGATCAATGTCAACGGCTTGAGCTTTGATGTCATTCGGACACTTGGGAATTCTCACTCGCTGCACAGACTGGCGATCGAGGATCTAATGAATACACGAGGGCGGACCAAGGTGGATTGGTATTCAGATCAAGCGTTCTGTGAGTGGAAATTGGCAGGGTGCATCAAAGAACAGGACCTCGCGAACGTAATCCACTCTGCACTACCTCAGGATGCGCGGCCGACCGTACAGCTATTGATGCAGTGTCTTGCCAGCGTCATACGTCGAGTACACCCTGAGGCAACATGACGGATATGTTCAAGAGGAACTGCGGTGTTTTCGAGTCACCCACAATCTCTCTAGAGACGACATCGCTAACAGTGCACAGTGCTTTTGACTCTCTCGAAACTCGTTCGTCTCCCAGACGACGATTCGGACAGTGAATCGGACTCCGATGACGACGATTATACACACCCGCACGGTAGAAAACCGTCCTTTGTCGACCGGTTCAGAGGGCGATTCAACTCGCACAGCGACGAAGATTCCTCCTCAAACGGCCGCTCGTGGCGACATAAAGATCACGAGAAGGGCTACGACATGGATGGTCCACCCAGCTACCGCAAAAAAGGACAGCATGCTCCACAGATTCGAACACTGCAACGATACCGAGGTGGTCCCAATCTAGACAGGACCATCTACATGGAACAACACTCGTCTCTTACCAGCCGAAAGCTTGCCGTCAGCGTCGAACAAGTCAGCATATTCTTGTGCAAAGACAACACGGTAATCTCCTTTTTCGAGCATAGTGCACCCGAAATCGAAGAACCTATCATCAAACGTTTGAGCACCGAAGACACAATCCTCCGCCGCAGCGCAGACGGGAGCATGATTTGCCAAGCCATCATCGACGCCATCATTGATCTGGCGATCCCGGTCGTAGCTGCCTACGAAGACGCAATGGGTGAACTCGAACTCGATGTGCTTCGCGACCCTGATATTGGCCATTCGCAACAGCTTTATATTCTGACTTCGGAAATCGCTATTCTACGGAACACCATTCAGCCCATCGTTTCCCTCATCAACGCCCTCCGAGATCACAAATCTGATCCTGTCGCTACCGCTAGCTCCTTTAATGTCCCCACCCGCAAGACCATATCTTCGATCACAATGTCACCTCTTGCGCACACATACCTTGGCGATGTAGAAGATCACTGCATCATGATCACCGCATCGCTCGACCAGATGCGCCGAGCAGCAGACAATCTGATCGATCTCATTTTCAACATGATGGGTGCGTATCAGAACGAATCTATGAAGATCCTTACCGCCGTTACCATTTTCTTCCTTCCTCTCACCTTCTTGGTCGGTTATTTCGGGCAGAACTTTGAAAAATTTCCTGGCGTACAACAGCATAGTGATGAATTCTTTTGGATCATTGCAGTGCCCGTCATGGTAGCTACCATGGTGGTTTTGATGAGTCAGCGGATATGGCGACAGATCAAGAAGTGGAAGGTTGGGCTCAATCTGCGCGCGGCGAAAAAGAAGAATGGACCACTACTTGAGATGCGAAAAGGAGTACACAACGGTATTGGCATTGCTATGGGTCTGCAGAAGGAGCAACGACATCAGCGCAATAAGCACACTCCCCGTAGTAAGAGCGAGTTGAGGAAGAGACAGACGATGTACACGAAGGGTAATATCGGCTCGTTCTGAGCTGGAGGCGCCGCATTCGAGGACGAGGCAATACTAGACTTTAGACTTCCCCTTGGAGTACTTTGAGAGGGACCGCTGCCACCTCCAACCATTGATCCTTTCCTTGCGTAGATTATATTGAGATACCCTTACCTCGAAATGAGAGCATTTGTATAAACGTACTGTACCTGAGATGCGGCGGCGGGCTGAACAACGATGACGTGTGTTTGGATTCAGACGGCAGGAACAACCCAAGCTAGCTTATGGGCTTTTCTTCCCCTGTAAGCATCACCTCGCTCGTGTCATGAACCGATAGTACAATGCATCCAAACATCCAGACATACTCACCGTTCGCAAATCTTTCCTTCTGCCAGGTAACGATCAACTCATGCGACATACAGGTGCGGGTCCGTCCATACTACGCTCTGCGCGACAAGAATCGTTACTAGTATGGGCGTACTATGGCGCCAGGCGCCGTGCTGGAGCCTACAAGTGCGACGAACACTTCAACTCGAGGATTGCGCAGATGGTCCGGCATGCCAAAGACCACTGCTTCCGCCTTGCTCTGGAGATTTATCAAAGGCGCAATTTCGAAGAGTTGCCTGAGTATCATTCTAGCTCTTGCAACCTTCAGCGCGTGCCAGGCGCCATAGGAGCTCTTTCCACCTACACACACTGCCACGCGTCTCAACAGGACACTTATCTTGGTCGACATCTTCCGAACTAGTCTAATGGACATTACACAACATGCAACGTACAGCTTAAGGTCAGCTTCTCCTCGATTTTTGCCCAATGGGCATGCCGCCGTCAAGTACGACGACGCTGCATGGCGCTTCCGGTCAATCAACCCCTGGCTCAGCTCGTTGTTGGCCCCCAAACAAGGCTGATGGATGCAACCATTGCCTAACATTATTAAAGCCCGCGACGCTGCTTCGATTCGATATGCTCATCTTCTATGTCTTTCTCACGAGCACCTCGCTGTTGATATTTCAGCCGATTTCTTCACCCAAGCCCCAGTTTTAGTCAAGTTATTTGCTGTACAAGCATCTTGCCACCTCATCCAGGCGAAGTGGACGCAGCTCGCCAACATGCAGGGCGCAAAACAGGTAGACAATCCTAATTTCGAGCGAATATACTGGGAAAAGGCGAGAAGAAGCTTCAAGGAAGGGAGAAAAGACAAGGATGATGAGAAAAAGTTGGACGAATTCCTAAAAGAACGTTCCACGCCGCAAGAGACCAGAGAGCTCTGCAAGTCGACTCAAAAGAAGGCGGGAAATGAATATTCGCCTTCGCTAGGAGGCATCCTGGAGAAGATTGACATTGCAATGTCGTTTGGCGATCTGGCTGTCAAGAGCGCGCCTGAGTCCGTGGGCTTAGCTTGGATGGGCATCAGACTGTGTCTGCACGCCGTGGCAGATGATTTCGCAACTTTCAACATCTTCGGTCAGTTTCCGATGACATATGGGAGTTGAGTCAAGGCTCTGACCACCTCTAGGGGCCGCTTGTTCGGATATCATTGGCATCATGATTTCCTGTGCTGTATTTGGAAAGATGTATGGACCTTCGCGAGGCATCGATTCTTTTCAAGAGTTTCAAAAGATACAATCCCAAGTCACTGATCGAATTCCATTCATATATACTGAGATCCTGGATTTCTCGTTCTCGGTGAAGAAGTATATGGGTCGCAACAAAGCCGGTAGGCAATCTACGTTTCTTTTAGTTAGCTGTTGATATCCTCTAAACATCAAGCTGACCGGATTTAGCTCGGTGGGCCAAAGGCGTGGTTATCAGCGCTTCGGCGAAATTTGGCATGAAGATCCAAGCCATCAAGGAACACGATATGGCCATGGCAGAGTTCGCACGGAGAGCCCACGAGCAGCTGTCAGATCATTACCTGCACACTGCTCATGACAAGCAGCAAGAAATGCGCGGATCTCTAGACGAGATTCGAGACAAGCTCAACCATTCTGCGAAGTTGGACGAAGCCTACAGACAACAAGTACGCCTTTTGATAGAAGAGCTGGGCAAAAGAAAAGAGATGACACCTCACGATGTATCAATGAAGAACTTTAATGAAAACGTGAAAGCATTGGACGCTATCAGTGACCAGCAGGGCATTTACAACGCCAAGTTGAAACGAAGGTCTCCACCAGAGACATGTACATGGATCTTCGGCAATGAAGCGTTCAAGGCTTGGTTTGAGTCCGAGAAGAGCGATATGTTGTGGGTATCTGGCGGTGGTGGGTTCGGCAAGAGCATTTTGATGGCCGCAGTTGTGAAAGAGCTTCATGTGCGGAGCCAAGACAAAGGTGCACTCGTTCAGTACTTTTTCTGCAATGCCGGTGACGACACTACCAAAAGGACCGAACGGATCTTAAAGCACCTTCTCTACCAGATCTACCAGCTCGTTTCTCAGCATCCTACCGAGACGATCGAAAAGTCAAACAAACTTGTCTCGAGTTATCTGAAGGCAAGCAAGAGCACAAAGTCTGGCCAAGGCGAGTCTAAAAAGGAGAATGTCACCTTCGGAGATGCTTTCCGAGGGATCGTTGTTCTGCTTGGACAGCCTGCTTACATCATTGTGGATGCCCTGGATGAATGCACGGATCGTTCCGAAGGCTTGGTAGCCTCCCTACGAGAACTGGTTGAAGAAGCGCTTCCGATGATTAAAGTGGTGGTCTGTAGTCGACCCGAGGTTGAGGGCCTCGATCAGATTTCGACTATCAAGGTAGAAGGCAACAATGGTCCTGATATCAAGCTAAATGCCGAGACTGAGCTCGCCAGGCTTCCTAGCTTCACAGCCCATGAGCGGGAACTTGCAACCGACAAAATCGTCGAGAAGGCTGGCAGCTACTTTCGATATGTTGACCTCGCCATTGGGTTCCTCAAACAGCCGTGGCAACGACCATTGAAGAAACACCTCGAACAGCTACCAGAAGGACTCGAAGCGTTTTACGAGCAGATCATCAAGAAAACAGACCCTGCTTATCTAGATCTGCTCAAAACTTGTCTCACTTGGGCTATCCTAGCAGATGGCAAAGTCCACGTCGCCGAGGTTACAGACGTTTACAGTCGCGCCTATATGATGGAAGACGAAGACGCGCAACAAGTTCAGGAGCTGGGTCCAGATTTTGAATCCCCGACATCTTCTGAAAAAGAAAAGGCCTCCGATCAACTATTCGTTGCCCAAATTCGGACTGCTGGATCCGCTCTGCTCGATGTGGACAACAAGTCGAAAGTCATCCAACTCAGGCACAACACTGTGGCCGATCATTTCTTAAAAGCACCTTCGCATTCAACTGTAGCCGAGAAGATTAACGATTCCGCCAGCCACTGTGAGACTTGTCGCAAGGCGGGGAAGACTGCAGACAAGTTCATTGTTACGGAAAAGCAAGGCCATTTAGCCATTGCTACTGCCATCCTCAAACATCTCACAAATGAGACTTTCCGGCGAAGGCACCTTGTACTTCTCGAGCGAATTGAGCTTAAACGCAGATTTGAGGGCCAACCCGATGGTTATGTACAGGACGAAGAAATCCAGGAGGACCTGGAAAATGAGAAAAGCGAAAAGGAAATTGACGCAGATATGCCGATGAAGCCTCCTCATGCTGTTCATCTCGCCTCACACGAGCATGACGACGGTTCAGATGTCAACGAGCCTAAACAGGACCGGCCTGCATCAGTCGAGGGCTCAGCATCAGAGAGCAACGTCACTTCTGAGGAAGCAGGCGAAAGCTCTGCAGACACCTCTTCAGTTAAACCAGAGGATGACGCCGCTTCAGATGCTGCGTCTGAAGACAGTGACGACGTGGCAGACATCGACTACATGTACTCTTCTACGGAAGATGATGGTGCGCAGCTCTATCGGTACGAGGTCACTTACTGTGCACATCATCTCAGGCGAGTAGAAGAGCTGTTTGAAACAGAAGATCGTACGAGCCCTGAATGGTGGGAGTTTGAGGCTCTAAGGACTACATTCTTTCAAGACGGTTCGCCCTACTTTCGCAGCTGGGTGAACCTTCTGAATCAGATCCGCTACGGTGAACTCAGCTGGATCGACGATGTTCATACCATTCATCCGATACATGTGGCAGCCTCGAACCGGCTGACGAGTTTGGTAAAGCAACTTCTGAGAGATGGTGCAGACCTGACGCGACTGACTGACGAGGGTTACACCCCACTGGATTTTGCGATTGAGTATTATGCTGGAGCTCAGAAAGACCTTGACAACTGGTACGCCAACAGCATAGAGTTATTCAAAGTACTCCTGGAAGCTGGCGCTAATGTCAACGCTATTTCTATTCGTATGTCCCGCGCGCCTTTCTACCAGTTGTTCTACTACAACCCTAGCTTGGAAGTCGTCCAGTTGTTTTTGGACCATGGAGCCGACCTTCACAAACAGGCAAGTGATTCGAGATCAAGCATACTCCATGTTTTTTGTTCAGTGTGCGACAACGCGGATGTGCTCAGAGAGTTGCTCCGCCGCGGTGCCAAATTGGACGCAGTGGATCAAGCGAAAGAGACGCCGTTACATTCTCTCATGCAAAGATTCGAGGGTGTACCAGTGGAGCTTGTCGAGATCCTCATAGAGGCCGGAGCTAATGTCAGTGATGAAGATGATCTCTCTCAACGTAAGTGTACTAGCAACATCCATCGCAGCATCACTGACATTAGCAGAACCACTCCGAGAGCTCTGTGTGTTTAACGGCTCGTCGGAGGCTGCAGAGCTCCTCATAAAAGCGGGAGCTGATGTTCTCGACGAGGACTTGTCTCGTCAAACAGCTTTGCATATTGCCGCTGAGAACGGACACGTCGACATCGTGAGGCTACTCATCGAAAAGAGAGCAAAGATAGACGCCATGGATGACAGAGGCTGCACACCTCTTTACAAGGCATGTGGAGCAAAATCGGACGACTCCGCTCTTTACATGATCCATCACGCCGAGGATATCAACAAGAGGGCGAACAACGGCAAGACCCCTCTCCAGAAGGCTGCTGCAAGGGGTCATCGCAAGATAGTAGAGGCTATCTTCGAGAAATGCAATCGCGATGTAGCTGTACTCACCAACAAAGACAATAGGGAACGCACGCCTCTTCACGCTGCAGCTCAATACGGACGGAAAGACGTTGTTGAGTACCTACTCCAGCAAGGAGTCTCTGTGACAGTCCAAGACAACAATGGGAAGACCCCGCTTCGAGCATGCTTTGACGATTGGAGCGAAGCCAGGACAACGGATTACGAAGCTATTTGCGTGCTTCTACTCGGAACCGCCCAAATTACGGAGCTTGATGCTGGTCTTCTGCATGTAGCAGCTGCGCGAGGTTCTCTGCTTGTCGTCAAAGAACTTATGAATCGGGGCGCCGATCCGCTAGCTCAAGACGAGCATGGCTGGACGTCGATTCAGATCGCTCAGCAGTTCCGGAAAGAAGAAGCTGTAGACTTGCTCTCCACGACACGTGCGGTCACCGGCTTTCCGCCGAGCGAACTGAGGAACACGTTGCCCAAGCTCTTTCAGCTGTCTGATGATCGACTCGAGGTCAAGAATAGCTCAATACGTATGCGTAAGCCCTTGATCCAAATTTTCATACTGACCTGCTTCCAGAGAATCTAGAAAGTGGAGCGATACTCGCGCAACACCCGGTCCCTGCGGGTGCCTCTAGTTTCTATTTTGAAATCGTGATCGATGCTTCATTACGTAAAGACAATGAGACAACGGAACCGTATGTAATGACAATGCCTTTTTTCGTGAATCAAGTCTGATCCTTCCGCAGTGACGTCGCTCTGGGTTTGTGTGTACAGCCTTCCAAGTCTATTCGAGGCTGGTTTCCAGGCTACCCATGGCGTGGTATCACCGCATAGGCATACCACGGTTATGATGGGCAGTTGTGGTCCTGTTCATCTGGCAGAGCCTCAACAGACCTTGTCCGATACGGCCATGAGGACGTCATCGGTTGCGGACTTGACGTCCGCAGAGACAAGATATTCTTCACTAAGAACGGCGAATTGTTCGAGCTCGAGAAACTCGCGAAGCTTACTCACTATGCCTTCACGGGCGTCACTGGACGGCTGTACCCAGTCATCGGCATATCAAACCCTGGAGTCAAGGTAAAGGTCAACTTCGGGAACGATACGACGTCTATGCCATTCGCCTGGAAGCCTGGAAATGAGGCGGATAACGGGACCGCGCTGGTGAATGAAAAGGAAGAATCGCTAGCACGCAAGCCTCTCCTGAGAAGACGTACCACGCAAGCCGTGATTGGTGCAAGGGAGGGTGAGGATACAGTGGCCGGTGCTGCGACTTCTCCTGCGATTGTCGCTCCAGCTGGCCCGATCGAGGCGACCGCTAAAACTTAGGGACTTGCGCATGGCTTTGCAGTAATGATAGTGTTTTCGTACTCAAGTTAGGCACTTTGTAATCTCCACGATTCGGCTTAATGCTTCTTCCTCTTGGAGAGAACTGACCTGGGGAAAATTTGATGATGGACTCTCTACGGACTAAGGACTATATTTATCGACCTTCTACTTACGATAGAGACATTACTGAGATGCTTTGAAGGCCAGGTAACTCAAAAGGAACAGGTGGAGTTATGTTCAACTTTTACCCCTCGGGTTTACGAGCGCATCCGAATCCTCTATTTCACCGTCGATGGCCATCTCTTGTCCAAAATTGAAAATCATTCACTGCAGCTTGAAAAAGCCCCGCCAGAGTCCCTTCGACGTGAAGATTCCCTCGGGATCGACCTCATTCTGGATCTCAATCAGTTGCTGCCTATTCTCCTCCCCATATCCTGCAAACGGATCCTGGTCGAACTTGGCGTAGTTGACATAGACGTATGGATGATCTGCGTCGTTAGCAACCGCTGCTGCTTGGATCCGGCTAATCACTCGATCAGAAAAGTCGTTCATGGTGCTATCGTCTGCTGCGTCCGACCAAATCAGCGAAAGCAGGCTGACTGTCAAGTCGTCAGTAAATGTAAGGACATATGCTGCTTTTAGATCTTACTGATCAGAGGCGAGTCCTCGTCGATGCCAAGGGCATTGCCTCCTCGCTCTTTCATCGCTACCATTGCGGCCTTCGGAATGGGATATACGATGAGGAATGGAACCAATCCTGTGACGTTGCGAACACTCTGAATTTCTTCTCTGAAAATTTGGACGGCCCTCTTACTAACTTCGAGGGATGGGTAGTAGGTGATCGTGGTGAAAAGGTGGCTGATTTACGGTAAGCAATGGAGTCCTAGTGTGGATTCCCACAACGTACCGATCGACTCCGTTGAAGGGGGCCGAGGCAGACAGATTTGCAAGACTGTCAATGCTAGTGGTAGTCGCCACAGACGCAATTTGGTTCACTCCATCGTACACAGACGGATGTAAAATGGCCTGAGCATATTTCGCTCTAGCAACTGTCGAAAAGCTGTTCGATGCTTGACTATAACTGTCAAAATATTCGAACTCCATATCTGGATCGTCGATTTCAGTGAAGAGCCTTTGAGCCTCTTCTAGAACCGCGTCTGTGTTGTTTGCAGAAAACGTCCACTGCCCAGAAAATAGCGGACCCTGTGGAAACACTCGTACCGTGAAGGTAGTCACAATACCGAAGTTGTTCGCACCACCTCTAAGTGCCCAATATAAAGATGGGTGGGAATGTTGAGATACAGTCACAATAGACGAATTGGCGAGAACGACCTGGACACCGCTTCAGTCACTACAAAACTGCTGTGAGGATGTTGACGCATACCTCGTACTCATAGACGTTGTCCAAAGCCCAGCCCCACCTTGGGGACAACGCTGAAGTCCCACCACCTAGAGTAAACCCACCAATTCCGACACTGCCCACCCTGCCACCAACAAAACCCAAGTTGTAAGGGCCCAGCGCCGCATAGACTTGTTGAGAATCGGCACCTCCACCAATAGCCGCTGCAGTGCGGTTCTCGTTTACCGTCACATGGTTCATCCTCCCCAGATCAACTGTAACTCCGCCCACAGAGTTCGAGTCATCCTCGTGCCGAGAATGCCCTCCACACTTGACTGCGAACCTGCAACTGTTCTGAACGAGAGTCCTCATAATGCTCGAGACATTTGCCGCGCTTGATGGCTCGACGCGGCACGCAGGACGGACGTCCTGTTGCCTGGCGTCCCAGAAAGTAATGTTGTCACCCTCAGGATAGTGTAAAGCGGTGCCGAATGTAGCGGCGAGCTGTTCGCACTGTCGGAATATCAGTACAACGTTGAATGGAAGATGGGAGGAGAGTTTCTTACTGCTTGATGACAGTTGAGAGGAACGGTGGGGTCGGAGTCGGAGACAGCACGAGCTCCTTGGGCGCTCTTCAAGTTACCCAATGCATTGGCTGATGTACTCATGCCAAAGAGGCTGAGTGTCAGGACAACGGGCCACAGCATGCTTGTTGCTTTTCTCAGAAACGAAGGAAGCGCGAAGACAACGGGAAATGGGCGTAGTAAGACGGTCCAACGAACGCATTGCGAATCTTAAGTAGGATATGCTACATGGTAACACATCCGAATTATATCGGTCCCTTTGATAATTCCATTCTTTGGAAGACCAATCTAAGTCAGAGGTCACCTGCCAAGGTTTTCGAAGTACGCAAGTGTTGTGATGGCTGTGGGGCTGCAATCAACATAGATGCACTGCCACAATTTTTCGTTAGAACTTGATTGTTGATTAGTGATCATTATCTTCCCCTACCTAACCATGGACTATCTACAATTCTTCTTATCTGCGGGCTTTGTGGTAAATCCGTTTCTTTTAACTCCGTGCACGGAAGGGATAGTTACCTGAATAGGAAATTCACAGCCGCGAACCTTGGAGTTCATGAGATTGGTTTACGCAGTCACGCGGTGGGGACATGGGAATCGTAGCATAATCAACAGAGAGGTGATGGGATTTGGTTCGATTTAGGAATGTAGCGGTCCTGAGTTGTGAAAGTTTGGGATAGTTGACAAAGTAAACATGCACAAGGAAAACGTCATGATCTATGCCATAGTGTATGGATGAGTAGCCTATTAGGATTAACAGTGATGTCACGTTCTGAAACCCATTTGAGGCTCTGTCCTGATTAACTCGCTAGCAGCTAAGGACCATTGTACCGAGCTTAATGCGCTTTGAAAACTGGTTAATTGAACCTGGGAGCTCGCAATTTCGCTCCAGATCACCGGTTTCCACTGTTTCGCCACCAACAAGTCATATCAAAGCTATTCCCATAAACGTTGCCTAATAGCACGTGATCAGAGTGCCGAAAGAAGACATCTGTTTCGCCAAGAAAGTGACGCTCAGTTCATGCTCTTACGGCACTGATCGTCCTGTGGACGCGTCACGGAGCTTCCGGGCAACGGCAAAAAGGACAAGCTAGACGGAATGGAAGGTGAAGCGACCCATTGAGTAAGGTGTTCGCGTAACGGAGAGTGCTCAATCTTTGGAAAGGTTTTTCAGGGCTTTCCGCAGGAGGCCAAGCAATGCGGAGTGGAATTGCAAGTTTTAGATAGCATTGACGTCGTCGGATGCACATAGACGCTTGACCTAAGGCTCAAGCACATAAACAACAACGACCTCACAAATTTTACAATGAAAAATCGTTTGATGAAAACGTTGTCATTTTGTTGACTCTTCGCGGGATAGTTGCCTGGCTCAACCCGATGGCAGCTTAGGAATTTCATGCAAGCAATTTACTGCTTCGCAGATTGGTAGTTGTCCACAGGAGCTTCATGCTTCACCTTCTGCCACAGCTCATTGATGCCCTCTACAGCTTTCTGGCTCAATGGACCCTTATCGCAAAACAGCAAAGTCTCTTCCAGCTGTGCCAATCTGCTAGCCCCTATCACGATTCCGTCTCCTTCTTCGGCACTAAGGGAGCTGCTGTAAACTACCCATCTGTACGCCAATTCGGCCTTTGAAATGCCCTCGTCCGTTGCAATCCGCTCCCAGTCCTCGAGCCCATCCAACAGTACGTCCTTCACGTACATCTTGTGATACAGCCCATACATTTGATTCGGACTAAACCGTGTCTCACCACTTCCAATCTGGGCACGATCCTTGGTAAGAAAACCGCCAGCGATAGGGGAATAAGCTAGAAAGGCAATGCTGAGCTTCCGAAGGAGAGGGAGAAGCCGTTCCTCTGATGACCGCGCAATGGCGGAATAGTTGCCCTGGTAAACAGTTGGTAGAACGTAGTTCTTTTCTTTGCACACATTGTACACTTGTTGTACATCTTCGGGTGGGAAGTTGGAAACGCCGAACCGACGAAAGTTGCCAGCTCGATAAGCAGCGTTCACGCCTGCCAGAGTCTCTTCGATTGGTGTGTTGTACACGGGTGCATGTAGATAGAAGATGTCGACCTGTGGAACTTTCAGTCTGTCCAGACTCGCCTTCGCGGCTGAAACGATGCCCGCTGTGCTGTTCGCATCCTTCTCACGAGCCCACCCCCCACGCCATTTCGTGTCGATGAGAAAGCCGTGTGTAATGCCTGCCTCAAGCGCGCCGAGCTTGCTCTCTGACCCGTTGTAAGCCTGCGCGCAGTCAAGCTTGTTGTGGCCGTGCTTCTTCAGAAGATCAAAGGCTTCGAGAAGGTTCGAATCCGACTGGCCCCAAAAACTCGTAGGGTCACCGAAGTTGGCCGTGCCCATAACAATCTGGACTCTCTTGTTGCTCTCCATTGTGTAATGATAGATTCTCTTCAGATTCAGTGTTGATATTGCGGTGCCGAGCTTTCTTAGGCTCCTTGCGTAGATATACTACCATGATAACTTCAAACGCTGTTCCACACAGGATCGAGCCGAAATCTTGAAAAGTCGGAATGGTGTCCTGGTGCCGCTGATACTGGGGATAGGAGTTAACTCCGAAAAAATAAGGTTATTCTTCGGAGCGGAAAAGCCGCAGCTTAGCGCAATGCTTGAATGTACCGTCATATTCTAGACTCGGTCCGAATAAGCCAATGGAACTTGCCCTTCCCAATGTTCTTGAGGCGGCGCTGCAATTCTGCTGTGTGTTGGTCATGAGAGGAGGAAACGGCCTTTCCGTGGTACCACCGCGATTCTGCGTGAGCTCCTTGTTAGCAGATCGCTCTAGCGTGAAAACTCATGACACTCATTTCTAGAGATCCATGATAAGATCCACATGAAATTATGGTGTACAATACACTGACACGCTATAGTTCAGCCTCTTATCATGGCGGCAACACTGATGACCTCACAGTATTTGCGTCGTGTTAGCCAAGACGTGGATCCTCGGCCTTCAGCTCACTATCTCCAAACCCCGCCTGCTATCCTAGAAAAAACCCCAGCTGAAGTGAAGCCGAACTCTTAGCACCGATCGAGTACAAAGCCAAGGCTCACTAGTATAGCCTTTTATTTCTCCTTGAAGCTTCGCATTTTCATACATTAAGAACCCACTCATCATCAAACCGAAGAAGGCTGCATCTATTCCTACATCCGTTCACAATTCTATTAGCCACCAACCATGGCGACCTCTCCCGATTCAAACTTGAAGGTTGTCTTTGGCGCAATGACAATCGGCGCGCCTGGTAGGTTTGGGTCAGCCTGAACAAAAGTACGCCTGAGGCTAATGAATTATAAGGGACCCTCGGCGCTCGAGTACATTCACAAGATGATGCAAATGCCATTTTCGACATTTTCCAAAATCATGGACATACAGAAGTGGACACTGCTCGCCTTTATGGCGCGGGTTCTTCCGAAGAGATGCTAGCGAATGGCGACTGGCAGAAGCGCGGTCTTGTGATGGGGACGAAGCTTTACCCGAATTATCATTCGGCTATCCCATCAGGCGAAAGATATACGCACAAGCCGGAAGATGTCCGCCGAGGGCTTATCAAAAGTCTTAAGGCGCTCAAATGCGACAAGGTCGATCTTTTTTATCTCCATGGCCCGGATAGGAACACCCCATTCGAGGATACTCTGCGTGAAGTGAACAAACTGTATGAGGAGGGCTTTTTCAACCGCTGGGGCATCAGCAACTATTATTCTTGGGAGGTCGCTAGCATGGTCGAGATCTGCATCAGAAACAAGTGGGTTAAGCCGACTGTCTACCAGGGCGTTTACAATGCGCTGCAGCGTAACATTGAGGCCGAACTCGTCCCCTGTCTTCACCACTATGGACTTTCCATCTACGCATTCCAGCCTCTCGCCGGTGGGTTCCTGACCGGAAGATATGAGCGCAATCAGAGCGAATTTGAGGCTGGCTCTCGATTCGACCCCCAGCACTGGCAAGGAACGCTCCACCAGGGCCGTTACTGGAACGATTCGTACTTTGACGCCCTAGACATTATCCGCAAGGCTGGAGTGGAGCACAAGTTGACAGTAGCGGAGATCTCTCTAAGATGGTTGAAGCATCACTCGTCACTTAGCCAATCGCTGGGTGATGCAATTATCGTGGGTGCGAGCAGCACGAAGCATCTCGAGCAGAATCTGGTAGATTTGGAGCAGGGTCCGCTACCGGATGAAGTCATCAACGCTCTGGAGTCTGCTTGGATGAAGGCTAAGGCAGTGGCACCCAAGTACTGGCACTGAGAACTTCTCTCGGTGTCGCTAGACCGTTGACACTCGAAGATCGACGGTCTTCTTCGCAGAAAGCAGAGAAGAGAGATCGATCCACATTTGAAGACGGCTTTTGATATACCGGACGGCTCTTCGGTGTGTGTCAGAATTAAAATGCGAGGTGGATGGGGTGGTAGGTCTCGAATAGCATATTTTATTCACTTGTCCAATACCACAAAGACATCCAGCTAATGTTTATCCAAATTTGATCATGTTTCGTCCCCAGACAGCAGTGGCTCTCTATTGCTCGCTCGTTTCTACTAGACGCTTTGTTCCGATGGTTCATCATGCTTAGGGCTGGTTGTATGGTTGACAGTTGACCATGTGTCATCGCGCTCGTTTCATTCCAAAAGTGAGAGCGTCGAAATATCTCTACAAGCAAGGCAGGAAACGCCTGAAATGTCACAAATGGAAGCATGCGGCTGCGTTCACGAAGGCCTTCCACCTGTCTTTGTTAGAGGTCACATTTCACGTGTTGGGCAACGCATGATTACCAATTTCACTTTGCGCACTCGCCAAGTCTGTATTTGCGTCCACCCTGGGTATGTGAAAGCTCAATTGATGATTCGCCAAGAATGTGCTGAAACAAAAAGTTTCTTTCCGAAGCGGAAGATAATAACATGGCTCTGATCCATTGAAAACATTAATAACTACGATGACGATCTTGGGCTGTTTGGTTAGTCGCCGAACAGTGAGACAATGTGGCCCTTAGTGTGGGTACACGCCGAGTATGGACCCGGTCAAAGCCTCTCTTCACGCCGATCTCACGGAGTTAATTGTCGGTTCGAAAGTGTACCGTAGACTTTTTCAACTACCAGCTGAGCTTAATTAGGAGGTTCACTAATCACTTCACGCCATCCTTCCCTGGGCCCGCTTTTACGCTCTTTACCATTATCTGATTAGGCCGCTTATTAGTAGACCTGCCGTTGATTGCAAAAGTCTACAGTATGGGTACATCGTGTAAACTTCGGGGGCTTGGGTACGTGGCAGGGTTTCTCGAATATGTTGCGCGTCTGTCGGGAAACTCCAAGATTAAAGTGCACCGACGTACCGCCGAACAAGTCTGCTCGTCCCAAAGAAGGGATACGGAGAAAAGCACTGAATAGGGAGACTAAAGCTTTTCAGATAGTTCTTTGGCACGGAATTATCGCAGTTAAAGCCGTCCAAGGTGACATGCCAAGCGAAAGGTAGGTAGCGTACACAAACATGTGCTTTGGTCCCAACTCGAGCCTTCTTCTTCAACGACGAAATTCGTTGCCAACGTCTCTTCGGGAATGTCAATGCATCATCATCGTTTGATAATTCTGTATACATGAGATCTGTCTGTGCTATTCAATTCCGCACCAGAAGTCTTTTGTCTTGCTTTTCGGCCTATTCTTGACAACGTAAAATGGACGGCTTTCACGTTCTCACGTTTCTCACGTTTCTCTTCCCTGCCCTCCTGGTCCATTCGGTGACTGCTTCACCTCTCAAAGCATCGTTAGGTGCTATATCTATCGTCAGAGAGGTTTCAGGGCCCATAAATTTGGAGAATCTTTTCGTGCGACAGAGCGGTGACATTCTGGTCACGTCTGTCTCGTCACCTTCTATCTATCAAATCTATCCCGACAACACCACGTCACCTGTCGCCTTGGCGGAAGTGCCGAACGTTACCGGACTGCTTGGAATTGCTGAGCTGGAGAAAGATGTGTTCTACGTCGTTGCGTCAAACCTGACTACATCCGTCAACTCCAACGAAGTATGGAAGCTGGATTTGCGTGCTCAAGCGCTAGAAAATGGCACGGCACACGATGCAGCCCAGCTATCGCTTGTAGCACGGTTCCCTTCTGCCCTGCAGCTCAACGGAATGACGCCACTTGCGAACAACGACACTTCACACGTACTGATCAGCGACTCCGGAGCAGGGACAATCTCCTTGCTCAACGTTGACACCGGAGCGTACGGTGTCGTCATGGCAGACACAACCATGTCTCCATTGTCAACAGGTTTCGGCATCGGCGTGAACGGTATTCGTATGAACGGAAATCGACTCTTTTTCACAAGCTTGGACCAAGGCATCTTCGCGCAGGTCCCTGTTTCGCTTCAAACAGGGGCCGCCACGGGTCCTGTAGAGACCATTCTTAACGGGACGCTCCAGCGCGGACGACTTCGCGCTGTCTCTGGATGGGCGGAAAGCTTGGACCGCTGAGAATGGGCAGGACTCGATTATTGAAGTCGATATCCCCTCGAAGATAGGACGAGTTGCTGTTAATAATACGCTACTCCAGTCCACATCTTCCGCAGCCCTGGGACGAGGCCCGTCAAACTGGGATTCGCTCTTTGTTACTGGCGCTAAAGTTGACGCTGAGGGAAATCCTAGTGAGGGTCGTCTGTTCAAGATATCATTACACTAGTTAGAAATTAACGCTTTGTATTGGAACGAACCAGCATGCAATATCTAAAATTATTTGAAAGTCGGCTAACGATATCTACAAAAGAACGGCTTCTTATCTTACCGAGTCTCCAAAACAGCTTTTCCATCCCACATAAACATCAACCTTCTGTGTCTCCATCACAACGTCTCCGCTCCATCATATCCTTACCATTTCTCGGTTCTCACAAACCTCACCGAGAACATCCAGCAATTTCAAGCGCTTTTCGGACATACTGAATTTACCACTCAAGTCACTCTTACTGTTAGTTTTACTTCCAGACCAAGACCACGAAAGGATTGTTCAGTTTGCCTACAGACAAACTCGACCTGACCCCTTCCACTGAGATCTCCATTTTCGCGCTCTCTCTCTTTTATATCGCGAATCCTTACTCATATAGCATATATTCCTCTAAAACCCCACCAATGGTATCATAAGATAAAACTCAAGGGCACGTGGTCTAGTGGCAGGGCGCTTCGTACCGTTTGAGTAAGGCAAGAGACCCAGGTTCGATTCCTGGCGTGCCCCCTTTTTGACAACACGTCGTGGTTTTGTACTGGAGACAGCCTTTTGTAGAACCGAGTTTCAAGTGGCCTTTACCCTCTTTCTTCTCTTCCCAGGATCACTTCACTGGTAGGTATATCATCTATTCCTTCAATTACCCATCAATTGTACCTTAAGACAGCAGTTGAAGGGCACGTGGTCCAGTGGCAGGGCGGGTCTCCCGGGATTGTGGAAACGGACCGGGTGTCCAGACCCAGGTTCGATTCCTGGCGTGCTCCTTTTTTGGAGCGAATGGTAGCCTTTTTGCGGTATACATGATCGATCCTGTTTATTAGCACGCTGGCATTGCTCCTCTGCTCCAAATTGAACGTTCTCTTTCCTCAGGCTGCTCGTGGGGACCTTTCCTTGGTTAAGAGCAGAAGTCAAGGGATAATTGCTGCTTGTGTGCGGCTGTTTTCCGAGAATATCTAGGGACGGCGGAACTATTTCTTAACCCGTTTAGCGGCATCTTCGGATTGTTCTTTGATAGTACCATCGATGAGATCATGGATTATTATTTCTATATCCCAGCCTGCCCTTCATCCTTCTACATGAACGAAGCCTCAATGCCAGCTCTCACAACATAGATATCCGCTACATCACATAAAATCGATGCTTCGCGCTTTCTTTCCAACCCATCCCAAAACGCCCCAACGCCTACCAATGCAGACTTGAAGCTAGGTTCTCGCAGTCGCCAAAGACTCCTACTCAAAATCCGAAGCAAAGGTTAAACACTGCACGTTACGGTACCTTACTGGACCTGCTTGATCCTGCACTGCCATCCCGACTCCTTCTCGAGAAGAGGAAGACTGCATGTATGTTAGAATTCCGTTCGAAACAATAGACATGGGAGGAGACTCACCTAGCACCCAAACACCACCCCAACTCATTTCCTTTAATCTTCTTTGCGATCTTGACTTCCCTGTCAATCGGCATCTCATACCCAGTGTGCAAGAGCGCCAGCTGGAAGTTCAGATCCAAACACCACTCCGGGCGGTCCCTCAGGTCCTTCATCGCGCCCTCCACGCTCTTGAATGCATCCCACATCTGCTCGCCGTGGCACACGCGGTGCGTCAGGTCCCTAAGTTCCGCAAGCGAGAAAGAGTCCGGCATGCCGAGCGGCTTCGTGCGGTCGTAGAAGTAGCTGAAGAGGAAGACGTCTTCGCGGGCGAAGGTCTTCTCGATGGAGGGTTGGTGCACGCCGCGGAATGCACAGGGCGCGAGTTTGCACTCCGCATCCTTTTCCAGTGTTTTCTCTGCAAAGCCGCGGCACTGGGCCGGGGCGCCGGTAGCGGGGCCGGTCATGTTGACTGTGACGGTGGCGCCGAGGGCGTGGTCTTTCGGCAGGGTGACCTCGACTTTGCGACTCATGCCTGGAGCGATGCATGGGTTGATGATGGGCTTCTTGAGCCATTCGCGGTCGCCGCTCTCTTTGGTGTCTTGGTAGACGGAGTCGATGATGGCGCTGTGGAGGTTATTGCGGGCTTCCATGAGGCCGTAGCCAAGGTAGGAGTGTTGGTAGAGGGTGAAGTCGCGACCGCCGAAGCTGAGCTCGTATTTGTGGTCGCCGTCGGCGAGCTTTTCGGGGAGACCGCCGCTCGCGGACTTGGGGAAGGTCGGCTCGAAGACGATCTGGGTGGAACCGCCGCCAAGATCGAGAATGGCAGCTGTGGGTGTCTTGTCTGGGCCGCCAATCTTGCCGAGGAGGTAGTTGGTGGTGATCCAGGCGTAGACACCTTCCTGCTCACCGGGCATTACCTCTACACCGCCCTTCTCCTCCGAAATGACCGGGAAGGGGTATTTGGTCTCCAGACGCTTACGCACAGCCTTCAAGGTGTTGTTGCTCTTTTCCTCACCGAGCTTGCGAAGACCAGCAGTGGCCTTGACGGCGATGGGCGAGCAGGAGCGGTAGTTCTCAGGTACGCTTTCGAGTGCGTAGTCCATCAAAACATCTAAACTTGCGGCGGCGCCCTCTGCGTCGGCATCGTATGACGAGAGTCCAGAACCCCCCTCCTTCTTCTCAGTCATCTTGAAGAACTCCTGCTCGAGTTCCGGCGTAGGACCGCAATTATTGAATTTGTAGGCGTGGATCCGAGAGCCAGTGCTGCCTGCGTCGATCATGAGGGCATACTGGATGAGCGGCTTGTCCTTGGAATAGGACTTTGTGCATGTTACCGGCCCTGCGCCGGGCGCAGCTGTTTGGCCCTGTCCTTTCGAGATCGATTCTGCCACCGAAAATCAGTGTACATCCCTTGTCACCGTTACAAGCCACATACCGCCCGCTCTCGCCAGGCCATCCCTCGGCGCAATGAAGTATAGTACCAGTATGATAAAGGCGATGAAGCCACCTGTCTTGAGGTACCGCGCCCGCTGCCCGCCGTTCATGGTCGCGGCCGTCTTGTAGTCGTTCATAGAGGTGGAGCGGTGTCGCGAGTGCCTGTCAGGCTTCTCGAAGGGGTCGTCGTTGGCGGTAATAGGTTCGCTGCGAGGGAGCGACACGGAGATACGGCGGCGGGGGCCCGAGAAGGAGAAGTAGGACCAGATGCCAGGACGGGACCGTCGTACGTCAACGCCGCTGGACATATGGGGGTGCGGTCGTCTTTTTAGTGTACGCGCATGCGATGTCTCCAATCGCTTTGGGGCGAACTCTGTAATAATTAGTGGGGCCGCGCCGCCAAACGGAGCATTGAAAGTTGGCGCGACGGGGAAATTGGAGAGTCCAGGGTTCGGATCACGATATATCCCCAAATGGATGCGGAATGCTGCTCGAAATCTGTACAAGTACCCCTGCGTTGCACATGCCGTCTGTTCTTTGGAGGCCTACGGCTTGGCGCAATTCATGGATGCGACATCCCTGCCGCGAGTATGATTGGCCAGGTGGAACAACACATTATGTCAAGAGAATTATTGAATGTCACTTCACATAAAGGTTCTGGAAGATGACTTCTCTAAGAAGTGTGCTCATTCCGCAATTGTATTTCCAGGCCTGGGATCACCTACATAATGACCGATACTTCCCACAGACGTACTCGGCCTCCATCTCAACGAATCTTATGAGTCCCAGCAGATCACATGCCTTTACTTGTTGGCCTCTTCACCGGCCGAGTATGCCTCGAATCCTTCCTCCCGCTCGGTTACTCCTCTTTACACCTTCTTCTTTGACTGCCGCAGTTCCACGATGGGCATCCCCACCCCCCGGCTCTCCGTCTCTGTCCTCCTAGCACCATCGTCCTCCTCTAGGAAATGGTTGACTCCAAGATGCATACCATCCGGGTACCACATCTCCTCTGAAGCCATGGCCCAACGCTTCGGGTGTTTGCTGCCCATCATACCGACCTGGAGATCATCGGACTCAAGGAGATAGCGGCTCGGCCAATGTTCATCATACTCTGCGGTAGTCTTTGGTACGTGCAAATGGTCGTACTTTGCTAACTCCTTGACATGTTTCTGACTGTAGCGATATGTCCCACCTGTCAATTTACCGCCAAATGGCTCAGAAGAAGCGCGGAAATCCCATGCGTAGACTATCTCATTGGTCTGGATGCGCTTAGGTTCTTTACCAGTCGGTTTTCCAAAGGCGTAGTCATATCCATCGAAGTCGGGTTTTCCTGGTCCATAGCACGCGAATGGACCACAGTCTTCAGTGATACGTTCCCATTGTGCATAAGCAAAGTTGTATTCTGATCGAGATTTGTAGGCGGCTGATTTTGGTCCAAGGGTAAAAGCGTCGTCTGCAAGCTTGTTTTCGCAGCTCCGTTGAGCCTTGTCTTCACCGATAACTTCGTGCGGCCACGGGCACGCACAGTCGAGGCCATCACATTGGCCGTAACATTCGCAAGAGCCAACGTACTCGTCGCACCACCAGCCGCACTCATCTGGGTGCGTACATTTCCAATGCTGAGCACAGTCCTCGCGGCACTTTTCGCATCCACTGGGATCGTCGAAGAATCGGCCCTGGCAGTCGTGAGGCTGAACTACACTGGGGTCTTCTGCATATTGTCTACCCTTCCGGTGGTCATCGAAGGCAAGAAACCGCACCCAGTCGGAGCATATAGACATTCCCAGACGTCGGTGCATGGTTTGGAGGTTCGCAAGGATGTTTCCAAGCTTCGCCCGTACCACGGTAGTCTCTGAGTCGTCACTGTTGTAGTCCTCTGAGTCATCATCGGCAGAGCCTTCGGTGTTGGGATCCTGAATCTCGTTGCCTTCGATATCAACAACGTTATGACTTGGACAAGCGAACAAGATCGTCACTTTATCGAACGGCTTTCGAAGAATCCGAACAACATTATTCAGGACGTTACTCTCGGAAGCACCGCCAGACACATCAATATCTAGGCCATAATGCCAATTGAAACGAGTACTTGTACAGTGAAAGTTACGAGTGATGTAGCCGTAGTCTCCGTAGCACTGAACATCTTCGTCGTAACAGAAGCGCACGTCAATCTTGAGGACGATAGATCGGAGCGCTTGCCATCCATCGTGCAAAGGAATGGCTTTGTACAATGTGACAGGACGCTCGTGTTTTTCTTCGAGATCTTTCGAGAAGTTCTTCATCCAGAGCTTCAAATGCCGGGCGGCCGCCTCAGATAGCTCCATGTTCGCTTGCTTGCACGATAATATAAGCCCGCGACAGTCGCGCTGAACGGATTTGGACGCCAGTGGAGGAAGCCATCCGTGCAGGTACTCGTATACAATCATTCGGACGTCCGCATTCAGCTTGTTGAAGAAAGGACTCCCGGTTTGTGAAGCGTCGACGTCATTATCGGCTTGCTGCACCTTCTTGAGTGTTCGTGCACGCTTGTTGTGCGGTGGAGATGTGTTTGTCGACGCGCGGCGCTTGGCCATGTTGATCGCGTGTGCCGAGTCGATTCGCGATGTTCGTGTCGTGGGGTTTGCGTGATAAACCTGGGTGTGAGAGAGTCAAAGTCTGCGAGCTCTATATAGCTGAAGGCCAAACGCAAGTGCACGGGGCCCGCAGGGGATTTGGAAATTGCTCCTCAGCACGAGGCAGGAGCGAGCGCGGTGAAAGGAAGCGACGCAACGGAATTCACAGCTCACTTCCCTGGCTGACCTCAACCTGCACCCCGCCACCACGTGTGACCTTGCGTGTAACCTTTTACGGCAAATTTTGAACCGTTTTCAATGTTTTACTTCCTATCTACCACCTATTATCTTCTCTTCTGTTGTCATCGTCGTCATACCTGGCCTCATCTGTACCATCGTTCTTAGCGTCTTCAATATTGCCTCCGAATCTCTCCACGTTGCGACCTGCCCAACCAGCGGCATCGTCCTGTAAAATTCGACATTAACAAAGGCTTGCTTTCTTTTCCGGCGCGATGTTTGGTCTTTAGTGACGGGAATGTCCTTGACATCATCCACGGCACTATCCCACTTTCACCCAATATCCTCTGGGATATCATCGACCTCTAGCACTTTTCGGTCAGTCCAGCGTGCGGCATCATCTAGGAAATCTCCACCTGTTCTTCTAGTCTACTTCTGTCTTTGTTGATTCGGTCCTCCAAAGCCGATGCTTATCTTATTATACGGACCTCCATCATGTATAACCAACCTTTCTCATCTGTTCAAGTGTTGTAGGATTAGTCTTGTATACATTTCTCAACCTTTTCGGCATCTGATGATCTCTTGTGCGCGAAGACTTCTTAGCTTGAAAGCTCAAGTGGAGCAAGATCTCGTATCCAATTGCGCCCGATGTTTCATCTTTAACACCATGTCGACAATAGACGAATGGGTCTTTGTCTGGCTACACACCGTCGCACAAGTGCAAAGATGACATCGAATCAAGAAAAGCGCACTTTGCATAGTCAATCACAAATATCCCCACCCCACCTCCCGCAGTACTGAAGATCATCCTTCAAAACGTCCATTCTGTGCTGACTCTCAAATTATCGAACGGCAACTATGAGCTCACCAAACCAATGCAAGTCGTACGAGGCTTCTCGACCGAGCCTTGCATATCAGCTGTAAGGTTACACAAGAGCGGGGCTTAGATCCTTGTAACACCTACATATGCCTCTTCAGCCTGAGAGACCCAACCACCCCCAACCACCCCCAACCTCGAAAACGCGAAGTATACGAGAGATACACGTAGTTACCACTCTGATCTCAGCAACCAACAAGAAATCCCGTACTATCATGGCGACGGCTGATCTCGCGGAGTTGACTTCTCCTCCGTTTCACGAAACTCAGCAATTTTTCAAGCTCGAGGCCGAAGACTCCACAGAAATCCAACCCAGAATTCAAGCCGAGCTCGCGAAAGGATTTTTCTTGGCCAATGATCAAGAGTGGACATGTTACCGCCGGAATTACCAGGCCGTGGATTGTTCTTACGTCTTAGTGCCCGACATCAGCGGACAGCTCTATGTCTATCATCATGAAGATGATGCAGAGCTTCCAACGCGGAAGAGCATCAAAGCTATCTCGATGTTGATTCGAGCGGAAGTGGACGGCGTGGTCGGGGTACCCATCGAGTTGTTACAGTTTACTCCACAAAGAGAGAATGGGCCAGTCCTGCAAGTCACACCTGTGCCATTGTGGCCAGTAGCAGGAACGACGGAACACATTCGGAACAGGCTATCTCTACCATTACAAGACATTTTGGGATCAGAACCAAAAACAGATTTTTTTGGTTCCCAAGCCAATACTTTTGAACGTATCCAGTTCAAGTCGGCGACTGCGCAGCAACATCACTTTGCTATGGTTGTGGAGCTTCTTTGCGATATTCGTCAGAGTAGCGATCCTAATCCTGTTTGGATCACGGTAGCTCACAGACGATCATATCCGCTTGTCGTTCGGGGCCGAAGCCCATCTCATTATTGCCGAGACGTAGCACCTCTGGATCTCGATTCTGGACTTACCTCGCCCTACGATACAGTGCCACGAGTGTCACCTCCACTTGATCCGCCTTCGGCCTACGTACATCCGGAAACTATTACAGAAGCAGATCGGACCCCAGAGCCTGTTTCTATGGACCTTGTGAAGGAGGGTTCGAAGGAAAAAGATATGTTAGACGACTCTTCTGTTTCCTCCCACCGATCTCGAGCGGATGGTTCTACTCGGCGATTCTCCGTGTTCTGGATGGTAATTCTTTCGGTAGTGTGTAGCGTGCTTCTCTGTGTACTTTGGGCTACTTTGAAGGGTGATGTGCAGGGGCGTCTGGACTGGGAATTCTAGTGCTCGGTGTGCATTCATTCATTATGGCGGTCTTCATGTTCAGGTTTGGTTGGAGGTCTGCACTGGGCATATATGTGCTGGGGTTACTGGTAGTAGTATCTTTGCAAGGTCTTCTAAATCAACAATATTTTTAAAAGCTCTTGCGCCAACATGAGATATGGTCGTACGATATTAGGTTACAACTTCGAACACGCATTGTAGGGCGAGTTACCCTAGGCTGTAATATCAGCTACTAAGCTTTCAGCCCATTAAACAACGTCTCGACATAGGGAGCTGAGAATCTGGCACCATGAAGTTCATTCTTTAATGTCGGCCACTGTGACAGCTCCCCGCAAGCGACTGATCACATGGGTGCATGGTATGTCATAACCGACTTCACATTCGTTAATCATGCAATAACATAGCTTTTCCCGTCCGCTTGCCCCTATCCTAGGCGCCTCGATATCTCACCATGTGCTCGATGCCTAAAAGTCGAATAACGGTTCATCTCCACTCACCGCTCATCGCCACCATCATCTGTATCGGGGATCTCGTTGCCGTTCTCATCAGTGTAATACCATTCCCAGTCATCATCGTCACCACCATCCTCAGCATCCTCTCCCCCATCAACATTGACAATCGAAGGTGCCGCTTTGGTCGACTGAGCCACCTGCACCTGCAAAGCCGTAGGTTCAGGCGTGGCCTCCGCCTCCACAGGCGCCGCAGCACTCTGTACCGCATCACCATCATCACCACTATAAGGCCCGCTCTTCTCCAACTCATCACTAATCGTCTTAATATGGCTCCAATCCTCGCTATCCTCACCCAAGCTCCACGCCATCGCACCGCCAATCTTGTATTTCCTAATAATCTTGTCGAACTTCTGAGATATAAACTCAGGTGTGTCCCACGTCCAGAAGAGGCTGTTAGCATTGTCGAGGAAGTATTCGCCGCCGGCTACTTCATCCGCAATACCGCCTGCCGCGGCTAACTGCCAGGACCCAGCGATGTCGGGATCGGTGCAGCCGATGCCGAAAGCGTGCTGGCATGCGCCGTTGCAGTGTTCCAAGGTCATACCGCAGTTGCCGTACTGGCTACAGCAAGCTGAGGCGCACTTGGTGCCCTTGTCGGGGCCGCACGTGCCGTCCTGGCTTACGGTCAAGCTGGCATTATCAACGGGGTTCATGTGCGCGGGCTCGAAGGTCCAGGCGCCGGATGTGAGCGTGTCTTTTCCCGTGATCGGGTCTTCGGCGGGGACGATGGGTATACCGAGAGCGGATCCTGAGGAGCCAGCAGATGCGGTTTGGAAGTATTTCGCGTAGAAGGCGAAGCCGAGATTCATCTTTGAAGGGGGCGCGCCGATCGCAAGGTAGTTCTTGACGACGTCGAGGGCGCCTTCGACGCTGGTGTGGTGCGCTGTCTTGGTGTCGCGGCGGTTCATGAGATCGTAGGCCATGAGCTGATGGGTATTGTTAGTTGCAAGTAATGCAGGAAGGAATAGAGAAGTGCAATGGGAAGTCACAGCTCAGAGCGGTAAACTCACGTTAATGTAGTCGACGGAGGGCCAGATAAGAGGACCAGTGTCTGCGGTGTAGGCGATCATATCAACCTTCTTTCCGGGGACGGCAATAGACAGAAGCTTGTCGCTGCCGATGGCCTTGCGAATAGCAGCGAGGACTTTGGGGAATGCCGCAATCTCGTAGACCTTCGCTGAATTGGGAGTCTCCTTGTAATCCGCACCGTTGCCTCCAGGGTACTCCCAATCGATATCTGTCTCTCTATTAGCAGAGCGCACATCAAATGCTAGAAACAATATTGAAAATCTGTGTCCTTACCCACACCATCAGCTCCGGTGGTCGATAACAGACTCGCAATATCCGTACCGAACTTTTGAATGCTCGCGTCGTCTTTCGCTGCCTGGGAGAATCCGATCGTGTCACCCCATCCACCGACTGCGATCATGATCTTGGCGTTGGGATATTCGGATCGCCATGTGGAGATAGGGACCTTTGGCTGGAAAGCGGCAGTGTTGTTGGCCATGGCGAAGGCGAGGACAACATGGTCGATAGCACCGCGGTCGGCGGCCTTAGTGGGACGCGTAGGATGCCACCTAGGGGTGTAGTCAGTTGGAGGAGTTAGAAGAGGAGCGTCTGCACAAGACTTACTCGTCCGAGTACATGACGAATCGGGCTTGCACAGCAGCGAGGAGCAACGCTCCAATCGAAAACAAAGTGAAATGCATGATTCAAGCAGTCGGATGTATGATGCTTGCTCAATGCTGTCTCCTCTTTTTCGGCTACCAAGGTGGTCACAGAAAAGGTTGAGGTCGAGCGAGTGCTGCTTATTCAAGCCAGAGTGCGGTCGTAGTAGTGCGGCACGGCTTCATGTAGCATTCCAGTGCAATGCAATGACCAGCCAAGTGAGCCAAAGCCTCTTTTCCCACACAGTGAAAGATTGCGCAGCAATTCGAAAAGACAATTGGATTGTCACAGTGACCTCTCCCAGAAGGTATCAACGAAGCAAACGAATTACAAGTGACCTCCCTTAACAAAAAGGGTGTGCGCTGCAATTTAGGAGAACAAGCAGACGTACATACCATCCTCTTGCTTTATATCCGACGGAACTTCGCCTCTACAGCCAGCAAGGGCCTCAGGAGCCAGCGGCAAACTCTTCACGGGCATATTCAGGGTCACCCGCTCAACAAGAGGGAAAGCGGATGTCACTGCCTTGCATTCCCGTAAAGGGCGAAGCATGACTGATCAAGACCCACCCATATATCCGGAAGCGGGACTGGAATGGAACATTGGGGTACCCGTATATATTGCCGCGATCCCTGTCGCCGATACTCGAGGAGCTGTTGACCACTGGTAGTCGCCGGAGGAGATGCGGGTTTCTTGTCGATGGTTGAAGTTTGAGGTTTGTGCCAGATACTTGCTGCGAGCCGCCGACAATTGACAGATGTCATTCGCGTGTCAATGTCTCTTTCCGCGACATATGCGCCGCCTCGCTGCATACCAGCCCTACACCGGTTGCCGGAGTGTACGTGGCTTTTGTCGCAGGTAATTCGGAATGTAAGGAGTGACAAGTGGAACTCCAATAGCCAGGTACGGCTGCAAATACGCATCATATCTTCATCTTTCAGACGGACGATGGGCCGATAACAAGGTGTAGTGGAACAATTGTATGCAAGTGTGGAGTCTGAGAGTCTTCTTCGGAGGTGTACTGCATGATGCAGTCAGGCGGATCGCATTCGGATCGCTTGCCGAATGTTTTGTTGGTACTGTGTAACGACTGCTCACCCTGACGAGCACGTCACCCGGGAAACTTTTGATGGAGGCGATGTACAACGATGCCAGTTGCTTTTTTGAGAGATAAATAGTGCTGAGCTATGACAGGCATGCTAGTGTTGAAATGCACGATATGCATACCAACGCTTTCTTCTTTTTTGGGTTCTCGCTGCTTCATAGTTTTCCAGGTCTACTATCGAGGATAAATGGCACAGACAGGTGTCGGCGACAAAAGCAGACAAGATGTGTTGAGCGTTACTCCTGATCCACAGCAACCTCTGTGTCATGCACTGGTCATCCTGAGTACCACATCTAGTTATCCGGCCAACTTGCGCAGATAGCAGAGCCTAGACTATCTCCTTCCAGAAAAAGGCCTGATGCCTAATAATGGAGGTCCGCACTGAAGATTTGGTCTTCTCGATACAATGCAGGTGGGATACATCGAGCCTAGCCTGACAATGACATACCCAAATAAGGCAACGCTGGCGAGTGCACTCCCGCACGGAGTCAGGAGCGCAACGACAGGTTGGACCTCACGAGAGAATAGCGTAGGGAGCTATATTAAGAAGCTACCTAGATCCCGAGCCTAAGGGAGTCTCCGCGGGAAAGAACACTGCTCCCGTGTGACAATACCCAATCCATTGGCTGTCCAAGACGAGGCTGCTGCAACGCAAGATGCTATTGATCCTCGACTGGCATGAAATCCTACATTCAGCCCTACCCGAAACCCAGCGCGATGTTACGTAGGATGTAGTGATGTGTGAAGTCGCACCGGCACCGTGCTCCGCTATTGATCGCGCGAAATCGCGAATATCGCATTTTCAACATCGGTGAAGCGGCTTGGCGTCCCATTCACGGCTCGCGCTCATAGCCAGATTTGGGTCATGGTTGATGAAGTTGAGATTGGCAGCGGCAGGCGCGTTAGGTTGTCTGCTATATAGAGACGGTGCCGAGACAAGTGGACATGGTAAGCTTGCATGCTGGCCACAGAAGGTGAAGCTCATTGGCAAGTGTGGTGCAACAACGGAGCTCTGGAGGCTGTGTCGACCGCTACTACGCCTCCCATTGAGGCTGTTGATCGCAAGTAGTACCTATTCATGTCAACGTTGTCGTTAGGTTAGGTTTGTTGTGCTGCCGGCAGCCTTACGCAACGTGCGCTGCTGCGATGCCGTTGAAGACCAGGGTCGAGCAGGCATCCGAAGGAGCCGATCTTAACCCCTCATAGGAAAGCGCGCGTCCTTTGTGCCAAGCCATTGAACGACCCGACCAATGGAGGGATGCTTACATCGCCACTGCCCGCCTATGTCTGGGACCAGTCTACACTGGATCGGGGCAGTAACTCGGGGCGTAGATTAAAGTCATTGTTTTCCCAGTGGTCCGCTCGTTTGTATAGGAATCGCACAGGACGAAGGGCGTAATACGAAATGACCAGAAGTACTCGCTCGTCAGTAGCAGCGGCCAGAGATAAAGCAAGTGCAGACGAGCCGGTCGAAATCGAGCAGAATGTCGAGAAGTCGGAGAAGATCAAGGGGAAGAACCATCTTCGTAAGAAAGTATGGCGACCTAAAACAAAAACTGGATGCATAACTTGTAGGTGAGTTCAAATACTTTCCTATCTTTTTCGATTGATGGTGCCGTCCGCAAGAATGGTCTCGGAGCCTCATTCGTTCTGGCTACCTGTCACGGTTGCTTTCAGTTAGCATCCGCTGGCGAGAGCAAGCATGCTTGACGCTTGTGCCTCATCAGAACAATGGATCACAGATATGAGCGCAGCGGCGTGGAGGAAGACATTGGCACGTCCCACTTCCCCGGAATGTGCATCGTACCTGGCTGATCCTGATGCGTCATCCCGCGTCTCCGAACCTTAACTCAACCTCAGCGCTGCAATTGTACGAATCAAGAAGGCTGATGCGTTTGCAGGATACGAAGGATCAAATGTGATGAAGCGAAGCCGAGTTGTCAACGGTGCACTTCGACCGGTCGGAAGTGCGATGGCTACCAGACAACGCTCACGAACCCGTCACTTCCAGTCGTATACCAACCTCCACAATTTCTACTCAATCCAACCCTTGCATTAGACATGAATTCGACCGAGGAACAGGAAGCCTTCCATTTCTTCAAATATCAAACCGCATACGAGGTAAGTTTGCAAAATACCACCATCTGGTTGGGTGCTTAGAATTGTAGCTCTCGGGATTCTTTGACTCTGCCTTTTGGCAATTCGAAGTGCTCCAAGCATCGCACACTATCCCGGCAATTCGACATGCTGTCATCGCGATTGCAGCTTTGCATCGCAAATTCATCAGTGGGCGGATGCCTGTGGTTCCTGATGATCTTTCGGATAAACAGATAACGTTCGCTATTGAGCAATCGAATCGTGCCATCCAAGAGTTAACCAAATCGTCCTCTCAAAGAACCATATCAGACATGATGGATATCATGACCGCATGCATTATATTCTATTGTTTATGTTGCTTCCAGGGCCATCAAGCGACCGCTTTGGAACATTTGCACAGTGGCCTGAAAATCTTGCATCAACTGGACCAGGACATTGACCGCCAAAATGATGACCTCGAGGTTCATCCGGTTTCGTTGAAGACGTTGCGAGCTATCTTCGTGACCATGGATGTACAGGCAAGAGGTGTCATGAGCAAGGAAATGCTGGAGACCTGGACGAAAAGACCGAAACGGAATTTTAGTAGCCCCCCGACGAACTTTGTGACATTTGCCCAGGCACGGTATGCTTTCGAAGCCCTATACCATGAGTTAATGGGATTCATGCAATCCCTTGACGTCGAACCACCACCACCAGAAGTTGACGCATCAGAGTGGATTCAAAGCGAATATGAGCAGTTTCAAAGCGTATTTGATGCTCTGAGTATCTGCCTGGACCAATTCCTAGCGCGCTTGTCGAACATCACCGCCCAGGAGGATCGCGACTCCGTACTTGGAATTAAGCTATTTCGTGAACAGATACGGGTCTACCTAAGGCTCTTCAAAGGGTTCGATCCAGTAAAACGCACGCGGGAGATAGAATGGCGTGTAGAAGAAGAGGACATGAGGACCATGTTGGATCTGGCATGTGAGCTGCTCAGGGCGCCGCCGGATGTTAGTGTGCCTGCTGGGGCTCGACCAGACGATTACTATCCGGACAATACCGATCCGGCATATGAAACAAAGAAGGACATTCCAGCATACTCGCGTCCAGTGTTCTCATCCAACTCTGGCCTGTTATCTGCCCTGTGGCTTGTTGTGTCCAAGTCGCAATCGTCTGCTCTACGTCGGCGGGCGATTGCACTCATGCTAGACTTTCCGCGTCGAGAAGGAATCTGGGATGGCGTCGTAGCAGGAAGGGTTGCCTGGGAGATCCTGAGGCTGGAGGAGACAGCAGTGGATGGCTTACTGGGAGTGAGTCCAGAGCAACAAACAGAGACGATACAAGATATCAACAAAGTGCGAGACTGCAACATAAGCTACATCGCCCCGAGGATCATGGAAGTCGAGTTTCGAAGTCTGAGTCAGTGGGAGGCTGGCCCTTCCGCGCGCGGTATCAAAAAAGTCCTTGCGTGGTGATGGATCACCACTCTCAGGCTGTAGCGACTTTTGTTCTGGCTGCAGGACTCTATACTGTACTTAATGTCAATAATTTGCAAAGACCATCTTTAACTTCTGAGATGACACAAGCACATTAAATGACATGCTCCGGAAATCGGCCTGAATCGCAGATGAGAATCTGTCACGACAGCTGCATTTGAGCATAGCAACAGAAGAATTGAGGTAGCAGCATGGGTGTCTTGCTGCAACTAAGCCTGGGGGGCACTCGCTGTTCGAGTGCACATGGGAGCTGGAGGTTGGTAATGCACGTGACCCCGGAAAGGTTGGAACCCAGGTACGCGTCTAGCCATGGGTGCAGCGCCCGGCCGAGCAGCGACGTTCGGGCCGACCAATAATAGCAATTGAGGAGGCGGGAAGCTGTGTGGTAGGCGGATAGGCGGGGCGTCCTCAGCTGAGAAATGGCTCTACCCAACCCACCTGGCTGTGATGCACTATCGGCGGCTGCATGATGAAGCTCCAATTGCGAAGCACCACGAAGTGAGTGGCCCGTCCGGAGGTGGGTGAGATTCACAAGCTGCATTGGCGCCAGAGGGAGCTCCCGGCGACGCGAGTGGAGCCCTCCTGGCGGTCTGCTGGCGATTGCTCGCGCGACTCAGGGCCATCGCCTCGCCAACGCGATCGCCGAGGTGTGCTGGAGGACGGTGGAGCTTCACAAGCCGCCGCGGCTCGAGCGAGACGGAACAAGAGGGGAGTTTGTTGTGCGCGGCGGATGAAAAGGGGAGTCGCGACGGCGCTAGCGTGTAATAGCTGTCTGAAAGAGGCATGGCGTTGTTTATCAGCCCAACCTCGCCTTTTATGCACCCTATGAAACGGCGCAACCCATCGGCCCCCGGCAATCTGACGGACAGTTGTTCTCCTCGTCCTGCAAACGCATTCATCCTCCTCCACTCACCCCACCAATTGCACGATCTTGCCCTATTCGCGCCTTCACGCTGGCTTCTTAAGGCTCTCGCAGCTTCTTCGTTGCCTCTACACAGGAGCACTCAGTCGCTTCTTGTCCTTTCAATTGAGGGGATTAGAAGTGACGCGTCGACTCCGCCAACCTGGATTTTGAAGCCAGAGGTGAGACAGCCCGCCCGCCGCGCCAGACAACAACCCACTGACAACGACAGTTCCGATCCCGTTCAGTGTCTTCCCGTCCAGCTACAAGAACGTCAGCAAGGACGCTGTAAAGGAATCGACAAAGGTCCAGGTAGAAGCAAAGGCAGAGCTACCACAGGCAGGACGGGAAGGTCACTCTGAACATCAGGAATCCTTCTCAGTCCACGTCAATCAGCCTGCTGAGCGACCTGCTAAGCACCGCGACACCTACACAGAGGAAGTTCGAGTATTTGAAGACCGCCAGCGCCGCCCCCAGCAGCCCCAGCAGCACCGCGAGGAAGTCCACATCCACGAGGAGCATCGCTACAGGCAGCCTGAGCAATCCCGCCGCACCGAACGCGTAGAGGTTGACATCCACGAGCACCGCGACTCTCGAGACCGGTAAGTGATTTTTCTTGTTTACCTCGCAGCCTGCCAGCTAGCAGCCGCCCACCGCCCCCTGAAGCACTGGCCCAAGCGAGCTCCTGCCTAACCCAATCTGTTTTATTGTTGTCCGAGCGACACGCATTGCCCCACTTTTCCGCTCTTTTCTCTTCCCTGCTCAAGCTGACCTTCTCCTTCCTCACTACAGCTATCCATCCCAACGTCCTATCGTCGGGAGCCACATCGAATCCCAACCAAGGACCTACGACCGCGACTTCAACGCAGTCCAAGGTGCCCAAGCAGACTACGCTACCACTCAGGTTGACGTCTCCGAACGTCAATTCCGCGAGCGTACCCGTCCCATCGTCGGTGGTTACACACACGACCGCCACAACCTCAGCACCGAGCCCAACTACGAGCAGGCATCCCGCTACAGCAAGGAGTCCTTCGACGCCAAGCACGACACCTACCCATCTCGTCGCCAGGTTGACGCAGTCGACAGCCGCTACCCTCACCGCGAGGAGGTTCGAGTAGAGACTACTCGTTCCACGGTTGACGCCCCCCAAGAAGCACAAGCGTGATATGGGATATTACGACGACGACGGCCACTACCACTCTTTCCGTCACGGTATCAAGGAAGCTGCCCACAAGGTCGCTGATCACATCGCCCACCCTATCCACGGTTCCCGCCACCACCACTCCCACGACCACTCGTCCAAGGCTTCCCAGCACAAGGACATTCGCGAGGACATCGTAGTCAAGGAGAAGTACACCACTACCTCCGCTCCCGCACCTACCTACCGTCCTTCCGCCGGTCCTTCCACCGTCTCTAGCCACAAGACCGTCACCACCCGCAAGATGGCTCCTCCCAACACTATCACCATCCCCTGCCACCACATCCGCATTGGCGATCTCCTGATCCTCCAGGGCCGCCCTTGCCAGGTCATCCGCATCACCACCTCCTCCCAGACCGGCCAGCACCGCTACCTTGGTGTTGACCTGTTCACCAAGCAGCTCCATGAGGAGTCCAGCTTCATCTCCAACCCGGCCCCGTCCGTCGTTGTTCAGAACATGCTTGGTCCTGTCTTCAAGCAGTACCGTGTTCTTGACATCCGTGAGGATGGCCGTGTCGTCGCCATGACCGAGACTGGTGACGTCAAGCAGGGTCTCCCCATCCTTGACCAGAGCAACCTTCTCCAGCGCCTGACCGAGTCCTTCGACAACGGCCGCGGCAGCGTCCGCATCTTGGTCATCAACGATGATGGTATGGAGATGGCTGTCGACTACAAGGTCGTCCACGGTTCGCGGTTGTAGATGACTTCACTTTGTCAATGGTAAGCACAACCTTGCCTCCATTTGAAGGTCGGCTCTAACATACTCAGGTCGCATTTGAGCATACTGTTTGTGTAACGAAACGTTTCGGAGCTTGAACCTAGTCGGCCTTGTCATATCAAATTGTGTTCATATATTCTCTTCGCTTTAATCGCCTGACTGGGCTCACTGCCACCTTGCCGCGGGTCTGCTGGCGTTTTGCGCTCGTCGACTCGCGGCGGGTGCTGCCTTTTTGCATAGCAACTGGCGCAGGGATCTACGGTTCACGTGGTTTGCAAAGTGAAGTACAACTGTGGATAGTTAATGGAGTCTTTGCTTATAACTTGAATCTTCGTGCCGTTCTGTGTTGTTCGTCTTATGATGCTTCGGCCATCTTTAGCTCCTTCGTTAGTGCCTTCACTCCCGTTGCCGGTTCCTGAGCTACCCCGCCTTCTCCATTGTATCTCCACATCCTCGGCTTCTTGTCGGTCAATCTACGGGCGTATGCATCTTTTGTCCTGTCTGTTGTATGAAGCGATAGTGGGGACTATTTGATTGTACGGCGTCACAATATAGCTCAATCGAACTCTAGCACTCGTTTTTGCCTCATCGCCGTATCTCTCACAATGCCGCACTCAGAGCACACATCTTCTCCTATCGCCGATGCTTTCGTTGATCTCCCAAGCTTCCCAGACAACGTGCCTACCGCTCCACTTCTACGCATCTCCCTTGCGAAACTCTTACAGAACGATGTGGACGAGCAAGAACGTTGTTGGCGTGCGTGCTGCGAGCTAGGCTTCTTCTACCTCGATCTGAATACAGACGATGGTAGTGGGGAGGCATTGCTGCAAAATGTTGAGCAATTATTCGAGATCATGAAAGGTTTCTTCGAGCTTCCGGTTGAGGAGAAGACAAAATATGACTTTGCGGACCAGGGTAGTTACTTTGGGTATAAAGGATACGGGAAGGGTATTGTGGATGGGAAGGGTACGAGGGACAAGAACGAGTTCTACAACGTACGTTGGTCCCAACTCTAAACTTGACCACAGTTTGAAGTAGTCACGAAGCTCATATGATTCAAGTAGATCTCCAAAGACGACATCCTCAACCTAAGCGAACAACTCCCCTGCCCAGACACCCTCAACCAGCACCGCCCGCTCTTCGAATCCTACATCCGCTCCTCCCACTCCCTCTGCATGCTCATAACTTCCCTTCTTTCTTCTCACCTCCCGCTCAAACCCGAAACCCGCAACTCGGGCGGCCTGGAATCTCTACACTCCCTTTCCACCACCTCAGGCGACCAAATCCGCTTCGTAAAAGCCCCACCACAACCGCACTCCTCCGCATCCGTTGCTCTCGGCGAACACACAGACTTCGGCTCCGTCACCATCCTATTCAACCGCCTCGGAGGCCTGCAAGTCCGCCTCCCGCCCTCCATCACACCCACGCCGCCTTCATCCTCCGAGCCCTGCTCTGCAGTGGAAAAGAACCTCTGCCAGGACGGGTGGACGTATGTACGCCCCCTACCAGGTCACTGCATCGTCAATCTCGGAGATGCGCTGGTGAAATTTTCTGGGGGTAGACTGAGGAGTAACATCCATCGCGTTGTGCCGCCGCCTGGGGAGCAGGGCAAGTGCGAGAGGTATAGTCTTGTGTATTTTTGTAGGCCGGGGGATGATGTTGTGTTGAGGGCGTTGGTTGAGGGGAGGGGAATGGGGAAGAGGGAGGTGTGAGTGCTAAGGAGTGGATCCTGCGACGAGCATTATTGAGGAGGAGTGCGGATGGATGGAAGGAAAGTAGGGGGACGGAGGGGGTTAGTATGAGCTCTAGGGAGTGACGCAGAGCTTGGAAAGGTTGTATATTTCGCATCACCACGTTAAGCTATTTGTATTGACTTCTATCATACAGAAGATGCACCTAATCACTTCAGCCACATTCGTGGTTCCCATCCATTGTTGCCCCAAAGTTTCAAACCTAAAGAAGGAGCATGCAGACCGTTTGAAGCTTGTCAATGGCTGCGCGTGTTGCGGGTGGCTTGCGGGTACCTCAGCGTGGAACATTGCGAGGGCCATCACATATACACAAGTCTGAGTACAGAACATGACTTCGCTTGTCGTCGAAGATTATCCTAGCAATCAGGACCCACCTTGAGATTCCATAATCTGAGCTTTTGCTTCCCTTCGCAATATCACCTTCATTCCAGGACCTTCCGCTATGCTATTCGTTCTCATATTCACTTTGTTGCCGATATGCATAGCGCAATGCTATTGGCGTGACGGCACTGCGAATCCGTGGTCAACTGATGGAAATGCGACCTATCACCCTTGTAGCAACGATACTATGGATCCACTCTCCAAGATCTGCTGTGCTGACCATGACATCTGCCTGCCAAATGGAATTTGTCAATCAAAGGGGAGCGGACTCTTCTGGCGAGAGTCCTGTATAAAGAGTAATTGGGAGGATGGAAATTGCCAAAGCTTGTGTTCGGACGAGGTACGTTGACAAACACCTAGGTATATCTTCTTAGTGACTGACCAAAACACGCTATCAGACCTTGCAGCGCAACACCGATGTAATTGTTACGCCTTGTGACGGCACAGAATCTTCAGACTTCTGGTGCTGCGGCACGAGCAGGGAATGCTGTGCTCAGGACAGCGGGCTCCGAAAGTATAAGATTGCGAAACGCTTCGGGGATCCTGTCCTGATAGAGACATCGTCCTTACTGAGTCCTGCTTCTGGAACATCTTCCTCGTTATCGACGATGATATCCACGGCGACGCAACTTGCATCAACTTCCACCCCTGAACCAACGTCAAGCATCCCACATGGCCCAAAAAACCCCGCAGATACCCTTTCTACGGGTGCAAAAGTAGGGATAGGTGTTGGTGCTGGAGTCGCAGCTCTGATTCTAGTCACTTTGGGGATCCTGGTGGCGAAAATGGTGGAGCTGAGGAACGCTTTGGATCCAACGTCTGCCGCTGAGCCTGTATCTTCTGAGACTCCAAGGCTGAAGTGGGCCTGTGATACACCGGTTGAGCTGGTCACTGGACCATACTCGCCTCTGGAGATGCCTGATAATACGTTGGCCCAGGGAAGAGCACAGGCTTGAGCGTTGGAACAGAAAGTGCGAGGAAAGAGCAGTGCGCGTCGCAGGGAGCGATCAGAGAGGGCACGTGTTGCCTGAGAAGATCGAAATGAATGTATTGAGAGCAAGAGACTTTTGAAGGGGACCGTGAGGAAAGGATTCCGTGCGTAGTTAGCAACTTTCTGTCAGCGTTCTGCTCGCTCCTTCCTAGTCTTCACCACGCCGCTTCCCCAGCACACGATCGATGACCTCATCAGTCACTCGCCTTCTCCCGCGTATGTTTGCCGCTGTTTGCCGTTGTCTGCTCCCTCGTACATCATTATACTCCGCCACCGCTCGAGCAACCTCATCAACCCAGGACCAGGCCGTTCAAGATGCCGAAGCGTCGCGCATTGTCAGCAAGCGCAGTTGCAATCGACAATATCAAGCGCGCGAAAGTATCTAAGCAGACTGTGAATGAAGCCATCATCAACAACCAAAAGCAGAGCGCTTTCTTCGCAAAGCTGAACTACGATGTTCGCTGTGTCATTTACGACCACTTGTACGAGCACCTCCCTCCACTGGCTCGGAAGTGGCATGCGAATGGAGTCCCTCAAGATGACTGCTGCCAAGGACTCATCCTCTCGTGCAAACTAGCAAATATAGTATGTTGCCCTTCACTGCATCGCGAGAGATGTCTCTGACACCATGATACAGGAACTATTAGACGCAGCCGGCCGACACTGGAAGACGTACTTGAACGGCTTTCAAAAGGAGTTTGAGATATACTATGGAAAGCCCATCACTATCCGCCGAGACATTCCCATGCAACCCGGCTGGGGAGCACTGCGGTCTGTTACGCTCTCGATTGTTGTGAAGTATCTGCACTCTCGAAAGGATCACCCGCTCGGATTTCAACATCGACTAGATATCGATGTGAGACTTCGACACCCATTCAACCCGTTGCGGAGGCTTGTGGAGCGACCGTTCGACAAGGTAACGCTGCTATTTACTTGTCCCGAGATCGAGAGCGCTCCACCGGAAGATGTGATACGCAGCTTATGGCATCATTTGAAGGAGATGCACGACGATGTCGGTGAAATCATAAGTCTGCAGTGTCTAAGATTCATGTGCGAGGATGACAGGGACAAGTTACGTCAGTACCGAGAAAATCCGTCCTTAATCCTACCTCACCACAAATATGACGGCGATGAGTGTTGTCACAAATTCAAATGCAACGGTGCTCATGATTGGCATTGCTGGCATCCAGACAACTGCAAGCCCGGGGTGTGTGAGGATGATTGCGGTGGCAAATGCGATGGTACAGATCTGAATTGCAGATGGGAACCTGAATGCAAACAAATGGGGTGGTGCAAGTACGTTGCAGACGCATATTGTTCGCAAGCCTGTCCGAAACGCCAGGATTACAAGTCAGATGACGAGCATCGCTTCGCTCGTACACAGTGGGATCGCCTGTGCTTACCAAGTTTTCTGGGTGACACGAGGAGCTATGGGGGAGACTACGACGAAGCACACACCGTAAAGCGAATCCAAACAAAGGAGATTGCATTCGCATGGGACTATCGAGGCTCCAGTGGGCCGCTGAATGGGATCCTCCTAGGGAGGAAGCGGCGCTACCAGCAGGCCCGTGTGGAAGAGCTAGCCCAAGAGGATTTGTTGGACCTGCCGATGGACATTGAGGAGTACGATAAGGAGTGGCCATACAAATGCTATCTTGATCTGCAGTGTTGGGACGGTATCCGTAACAACGATTCCGATTCTTTGGCCGGCATGTGGGTTATAGGGCATCCAAAACGATGGATGCTTGCCTCACTAGAGACAATAGATGAGCAATTAGATTGGCACGGAGTAAGGCAAGGGCTTGACCATGGTAGAGTGGAGGAGGTGGAGTGCGAAGGTGTTGGGAAGCCGATCGTGGAGCGAACGATTGAAGCAACACCTTAAGCTGGCCGGAATGCCGACGGATCTCGTCAATGGTTAATAAGTGTAGAGTCGATTCTCGGAACGTCCAATACACGAACAGCACAACGGAAGCACACGATGTATAGGTATTGGGAGGACATGGCAACAACTGCGCAAGACTAGGAATTGTATTGCTCATACCCTTCGCTCTCATACATACACCCTTCTGTCACATTGCATACTCGCTACCGCAACGACTCCAATTTGCACTCGAGATCGATACGTCTTTTATTCAAAGCCTCGGCGGTGCTTTGGTATCAGCTAGACAAGTAATACAACAACCATGGCCAACATGATGGCCACTCCAGTCCTCACTATACAATTCCCTGATGACCATCCTTTTAAATGCATCGACATAACAGCCCTCACCCAATCCAACCCAGCACCAACACCAAAATTAACTGAATCCCTCACAGCCCTTCGCCTCTGTGCAGTCTTCTAATCTCCTACCCCTTGACAGTCTGCTTCTTCGTCCTCTTCTTCGCATCCCTCTCCCTCTCCTTATCCAGATACTTCCTCTGCTCGTCCGCCGTCATGCGGCCGAGCTTCGCATCGCGCTGCTCCTTCTTCAGCTTGTCGGACGCCAGCTTGCGCTCCTCAGCCTTCTCATCGTCATCGAGCTTACGGATCTTGGAGATCTGCTCCTCGCGCGTGGCTTTGATACGGCGCAGGGCTTCGGGGCGGAAGTGCGCTTTCGAGACGAGGAAGTCAGGGAGGCGCAGGAAGTAGGTGAAGAGCGGGAGGGTAGAATCGTAGGGGGTGCCGGCGGATTTGAGCTTCATGGAGAGGTTGATACGTTTGCGCGGGACGGTGTCGTCAAGTCTGGGGATGTTATTAGCATTGGATGCATAGAGGAAAGTAGGGTTTCATACTTCCTGGGCTGGTCCATGGGCTGGTCGGTAATGACCAGAGCCTCGAAGTCGTCTCCAGCGTCATTGATAGCCTTGATGAGCTCGGGAGTAAGAACAGTGTCGGTAACCTCAGCGCTCTCGCTCATAACAGTGACCCAAAGGGGGAGCTTCGCGTGATCTTTGCTGGCGGTCAGGGAGAGGTCGTAACGGTCCTCGCGGAGACGTTTCATGAGGTCCTTGTGCACCACAGCGAATACGAAGCCATCGAAAGTGCTGTTGGAGACTTTCTCTCCGGCACCTCTCGCGATGGCTGGAGCGATCTTTGCTTCCTGGCCGTCAAAGACGTACGCGGTTGCTTCCATACGCTCGACCAGGACGGGCATGCTCTCGAAGAACAGAGAGATGATGAGCTCGCCAAAGCGCATCAGAGGATTAAATCGCTTCACCAGGGTCAACTTGAAGTCGACAAAGGCCACGTTCGCGCGCCCAGTAGCGTACGACGCGAACTCATCGGGCTTCTTCTCGCGGAGGAAATTCGCCGGGTTGATGGCATCCTGCTTAGCCTTCTCAGTCGCTTGTGCGAGTCCCGTGGCGCTCACATCGTCAACGCCAGCTTGAGGGCGCACATATCCAACCTGTGCGAACTCCTGCTGCAAGACTGGCGCATGCGACTTGATCCAGTGGTTCGCCTTGTTCCGGTTGCGGCGCGTACCCCAGAGATGTACGGCGACGACGACAAGGATGAAGGGCAGGACGTAGAGCTCTAGCTTGAAGTCGTCGATAGAAGTGCGCTCCCACACGCGGTACCACGCCGTATACGGGACCTGGCCGACGGTTGAGGTGGGTGCTGCAGATGCAGCGCCCGTGGTAGCGAAGGAGGACAGGGCAGGCGAGGGGTCTGGTGCGCCTGCATAGTCGGCGAAGTCTGCACGCGATGTTAGCTAAATGTTTGTGGAGGTGTGCCAGAATCCAGGTCTGCGGGTCACAGTGTGCGAGGGGAAGGACAGGGGCAAGCGTACCATCGTCGCCGCCCGAGTGCGGCTGGGCGACCTTCTGCTGACCGCCAAAGAGCCCCTTTACGAAGTCGGCCATCTTGACAATGGATCGTGGGGATGTGGAGGTAGGGATCGTGCGGCGAGGCTGGACGAAGCTCGGCTGCACACTGACGTTTCGGTGGTACTGACTAGCCTTAAACGAATTAACCTCAAGGCATTGGCAAGCCCATTGTGGTCTCAGGTATGGCTTCAAGCTGTGAATTCAATGGAACCTGTGTATCTTTAAGCCTTGTGAACACACTGTCTCAATCGGACGACGCGGGCGCTTTCATAGGAATCACTTGCAGCAGCATAGGGATTTCCAGTGATCTGAGTCGTTCTACCAGAAGCCAGGCGATAATCACGGGGTGTCAATCGTCCCATAAGAAGCACTACCGGTGGAAGCAAAATAATGCATAAGATTGGAGTCACAGTGTGTAAAAAACAAAGGGAATCTATGCCATTGGTTCAAGCTCTGCTGACTGTTTGTACATTGTGGCCGATAAACTACCCTCCCCTGTTGCACTCCACTGCTTGCTATTTCACTTATATTGCTTAGTTCTTGCCGAACCAGGTCTTGTGTCCCTATAATATAGGTAAGTATCACGCTTATCCAGTACGAAGGTGGGAATCGTACGAAGACAAGGCGGCCCATCATGTACAAACTGGAGCCGATGCTGGTGTAGAGGACGGCCTTGTAAGCGGGGATCATCCACTTGCCGCGGGACTGTATGAAGCGTTAGTGGTCTAGTCTTTCGTGATCGTCCACGAGCTTCCAATGGCACGGCATGAGTCCTTTCGCAGCCGGAGCATGCGGTTCGCCCATGCCACCAAGCCCATGCCTAGAGCGCCACGCACCTTCATCCACAGTCGTAGGCCGTCATGCTTCTGGAACTCCCTCTGGTACGAGGGGACACGGTTCTCGCGGTAGATCCAGCTGCGGGTCGTTAGTGACAAGCTTTGAGTGGGTGCATAGAAGAGAGGGCGCGGCTATCGCGGGCGCGGCGCGGGCAAGAAGCACGTCGGAAGCTGCAGGGAAGACGTACCCTGCCATTTTGAAGAGCGGAGAGGGTTCGCGGGTGTGGTGCGGGGACAATGGGTCGGTGGTGGTAGTGTTGGATTGACGAGGTGTTGCATCGAACGACCCGAGCAGCGCGCCAAGCGCTGTGGGCCTCATTATGTCAGCGGATTTTTCGAGCTCATGCTTCGTATATCAACGACGCGCCTTCGCCGCCAATGGCTTAATGCGCCCCTTTCGTTGTGCGGATTCATGCCACCGGCCTTGGACAAGCTCCTCGCCAGCCCGTCTGCGTTGAGGCTTCTCTGCACTATCGTCGCTGCTCAAGCGCCACCGACCGCATGGCTGAACGCTGCTCGATGCGTCGCCTGCACCTGCCCTCGCCGCAACTACGCTTCCGTACCGCCGGGCGAGAAGAGATGGATATGGAGGCATTGGGAAGACCAAGAAATACGTCGCCATGCCGAAGACAATCCTAAGCTCCTTACGGGAAAGACACAAGCTCTGGATCAGATTGCAAATGTCAGCGACTTGGCCCACAGATTACAAGAGACAGCAAGACGAAAGGGACGCGAGGGCATCCATGAAGTATGGGTCTCTCGCAATCGGCTCGGCTTGGACTTGCCCACGGACGATACACCAGAAGCCGAGTTTCTATGGGGTACTTTTGTCAAGGACAAGCATGTCGTCATAGAGCTCCTCGACCACGCTGCAGATCTACGCAGACGGACAGGCAACGTCTATCCACGCCTGTATGAACTGTGCATAGCTCACTGGCTTCCAAAATCGGGATACTCCCGGCAGGCACTGGTATACCATCGCTTCATGCGGCGGGAGCTTCAACTGCAGTCACTGCCACTGCAACATTTGGTGCGAATCAACAAAGGACGCTTAACGACAGACATGTACGACATACTATTAGAAATGTATAAGGAGAGCGACGAACTGAACTTGTACGACGAGGTCGTTCCTGAGTTAGAACGCTTTCCTACTCAGGCTTTTAGGTGGCATTCGGCGTGCATCCTGAAAGGTGATCTACCTTCACCCGAGGTCGCCGCGTCTCCTATGGTCCAGGCGTTCCTAGCCCGCAATGCGAGTTCTTCCAATCCCGAAGTTCGGGTCAACGTTGCCATTGCTGCAAGCTTGGGAAGCGAGGATGAGATGGACCATGCTCTACTGCGCCGTCTGCGCGGCCGGGATACTGCTCCCGTTCGCTTTGAAGACTCCTTCTGTGCCAGAATGTTCGCCACCAGAGCAGTCCCACCTGACTCTGTCATCAGAGGGCTAGCCTTGGTTGGCGTCAATGAGATCGGACCTCTGGCTGTACGTGCTATGGCGTCTAGGACAGAGTCAAGCTCTGAGCTGTCTGAGAGATTCGAACAACTGAAAGCGTCAGGTATTGCACTGCAGGGCGGCGTCTTTTCCTTGGCACTAGAGGTTTTTGCGCAAAAGAGGCAACATCTCCTAGTGCGTAGTATGCTGGAGAGCGATCAACATCCCGAAGTCTATGATGATGTCGGGCTTCAGACCAAGCTCCTGAATTACTACCTCGAGCAGCATGACTGGGACCAGGCTCACCGCACGCTGGCAATCCTTAGTCTTTTCCACAAGAAGCGTGCCACGCGGGCTTGGAATCTCCTACTTCGATCTCAGACCACACGATGTGTACCAGACGAAATTGTTCAAACGTTACAGCATATGGCTCAGAATAGGATCACTGTTTCTCCGAGCTCGATAGCGAAGCTGAGAATTAATATTCTCCGCGTCCGGCGACGAGGGCGGCTGCCTGTCCGAAGGACAACAGAACACCGAAAAGGATTCGATGATCTGCGTTTTGTCGCACGCATGTATTTGTTCATCTTGGACAACGATATAGGGTATATTTCTCCTTTCCTGTGGCACGAGATTCTGCGACGTTATGGTATGACTGGCCGCATGCGCGAGCTCCGACGTCTTATCCATTGGCTCTTCTGCTGGTACGCACCCCGAGGAGAGGTCTCGATCCGCACAATCCGCAAACCAGGATTTCTGGACACCGATACTGAAAGATTACGTCTCTCAAATCCTGCCAAAACACAGTTTTGGAGACCATCAGATATTGAGAGTCCGATCCATGCCCAGACACACAAGCACCATCCCCTACGACAATTGTTTCCGGATCGATTCAAGCAAGCACTTATTGTATGGGGATTCAGAGTAGGGCTCCTCCCCAATGCACCGACGGAGCAGTCCATGCTCTCAGGTGTAGCAAGTAAGGAGCACTATCGTGACCGGTTCCGCCGAAGGGGCATACTACAGCGCCTGAACTGGGACATTGGCCTCAAGACGGTGGCGGAACTGCGCTACCTCGGCCTTTACGTCAACTCTAGGACGGTCGTCAAGACACTACAGATGATGTTCATCAATCTGTTTGGTCGAGGTCGTTCTCATATTCGCGCAAACCGCATCATGCAGGCTGTCAACACGACTCCATATGCAGAATACGTCCGCCGGGTGAACGAGATCTGGGATACGCCGTTATTCCCGGAACCAAGGTTGTATGGCAAGTCGAAGCTGCATGCTCTTATGTGGCACCCAAGGTTCGACCGCGTTATCCACAGAAGGGGCCATCTGAAGCTTAGTGACATCGCCTCCGGAATAGGCGAGAAGAAACACGAGGAGGGCCCGAAGATCAGTTATGTACCGACGAACGTACGCCACTCGGGGGACGATTGGCTGGAAAAGGACATGGCGCAGTCTGAGGAGCAAGGTGGTCTGGATGCACATAACCCTGATGCCCTCCATGATATCGCTTCCCACCAGCTTCATGCCACATTTGAGGCGCAAGGTAGGGCCATCAATTCTGATGCGTTCCCGTCTCCGAGGGATTCTACTTCGACAGGACTAGAGGCGCAAGGTAGGACCATCAATTCTGATGCGTCCCCGTCGCCGAGGGAGCCTAGTTCGGCAGGGCTAGAGGCACTAGAGGCCTTGATGAGTTCGCTTCCAGACAGGCGAAAGAGGAAGAAGAAGAAGTAGATTTCGTCGTTCTTGTATATATACGTACTGCTTTGGCATCTTGTACAACACCCTAGTAAACGCTACATTGCATCCTGTACTATGGACACTGTGTTAACGTGAGCTAGACTTCGACTTGGTTTCGCTCAAGTATGTGCTTCGTGTGTGACGTGGGTGTAAGCTTGCTTGCTTTGCGAGTGAATGGTTTTGCCCAGACTGCTGCCTGCCCTTCATGCAATTGAGTTCTGATGTGGTGTATTACACCTACCTAAAGTTATGGCTAATAACCTATCTGCCACCCTATAAATTCTCACGACAAGGTTGAACCTTTACGATACGTATCTCCCTTACTCTGCCCCCAATAGCTGCACGGCTTACAGACGTCGGCCCACGGTGATTGCTGGCCACGTCTTCTCGTATACATGCGACCAGACTTGATAACCTGAAGAAGGCGCATGTAAACCCTCTCACTCTCTGCAGCCATACGGTGTGCCATCCGTGGACTGGAGGTGATGTTTGAAGAAGGGCCCGATTCCAGGTCAGTGGGTCCTTTCTGCGTGGTTTTCGAAGGCGCGATACCGTGGTGAGCATCGGCTACGCTTTTGTTGGGCTGCCCGCTCAGTGTAGGAGATAATTGTCGTTCGTACACCCGAGTCGTTGTTTTGTCGAGATGTAGGACGGAATTAGCGATGTCATTGTTACTGCGCCTAGGCGAGTACACATGTTCTATGAGGCATGTTGTCGGCTGCTTCTTGTTTTATAAGATTGTTGTGCTAACACTCTTGACGAAGCGCTGTAAAGACTAAGGCGTGCCGGGAGCATGGGCTTCTCTTTCGTCGATCTCCCTGCAAGGTGTTGACAGCCCTGTCGATCATGCCCACGTGTGCTTCCTCTGTCGAGGTGCGGGAAGGATTTGCCGACTGCATGTTCAATGCCCTTTCATCCACATTCGACATCTGCAGGAACGTGGGGGCTAAGCTACGTTCGGCGGTCGCTAGTCACAAATCGTACGCAACGTTCTCTTGTTCGACAGTCGGAACCATTTGCGATATGCTTTCTGCGATCGCAGCCTTCTCTACTCGCCACTCGATTGCGTTCATCGCCATCTTCGCCCATTCCCGGAACTCAGGCGTACGTTCTGAGTTTGAGGGCGTTCAAATGCCAGTGATCTTGCCACTATCTGTCACCTTCCGCTCGGTGGTACGACTAAATTGTGTCCCTTGAACCGATGGTCTGCGATAGCTGCTCTGGGTACGAGGATTAAACTTCTGATTGTCGCTTAATCCTCTCCGTGGAATGGCCATTGCCGGCCCAGCCCATATGTTCGTATTCAGAAGTCGGGACACGCGGCCTGCCACTGACTTGTCCCGCGCGTAGTTGACTTATAAGGAAAGTATAGCGCGCACTTCTGTCCCACTTAGCCCCCAGATACACGACAAGAATTGTACGAAGGTAGAAAATACGCTATTAATCGGCTCGCAGCCGAGAATAGTGAGGTCTCCGCGTCCGTCCTAACCGACTAGCACTGCTACGCCATTCGTCTAGATAGTCATCTCAGGGTCCAATATTTTGTTTTCCATCAGGCGTCCAAAGCACAGATTGGTGCGCTTTTTAACATTTTTCACGTACTACCAGAACACTGGAGACGATCTCGTGCGAGTGCTCTCTCCACGGAGACTAGAAAATCACGCAAGAGCATGATTAGCCTGATCATGTCTCCTGCATGGTGGCTTCAACTTATGATGCTATGTCGCGGAGACGTGTCCCCCAAGGAACACCCAGGGAACATTCCATGCACGAAGGATGGTGGCTTCTGTCATATCGTCGCGGTGCAAGCCGCTCGAAAGCCACGAACCTGTTGGACAAGGTTGGTGACGACGAAAGTCTCTTACTTCAATTCTCTCACTCTCTCCACTGACTCAAGGCATTGTTATGTAGCTCGAAGGCTCCGTAGGGTCAATTGAAGTTGAAGCTGTTCGGGGAGTTCGGCACAAGAGACTGGAGGCGGCCGCGGTTGCTATCATCGGTGGGGATTACTGGGGAAGTGGTCCTCTGGGTGGGCCGGTGGAAGCCGCGAAGCGTTTACTAACACCATATTAATTTCTCCCAATATTACGTAAATGTAATGCCTTTCAATTATCTACATGAAACACTTCTTTCGAAGCACCGACGACCTGTTCGTCGGTTTCGATCCTTGATCGACAATCGTGCATTCATGCCACATGGAATGTTCTTCGCGAGATCCAGACTGACGGTGCCTCCACGCGGATCATCATCGCTAATTAAGCGCCTCCAGTAGACTTCCCCGCTAGTTGGTCTCACGCAGAGCCACGAGCCGCGTCCCCTGACACCCCTCGCACCTGCATCGTACGGTGCCATTGTTGGCTGCCGTTCCAAGCCACCTTCTGCCTGCCAATTTGGTCTACAAAGTTTTCGGTAAGTTATACGCCCTCAGGGACTGTGCTGCTTCAGTTGGGCTCCGAGGCCCCACTCGCAAAGACAACACGGGAAGGTAACGCAATGTCAAACACGAGAGCGTGAGTACCGTGGGGGAGCGTTGATGCGATGTTCCCCCTGTAACAAACTCAGTATCGAGATATGTAATATTAGGAATCAGCGCGAGAGCTTGGCTGCCGATACTTTTGCGATGAAACGGACTCATGACAGCCAGCGAGTTTTTTCGAAGTGGTTCTGCGCAGACTGGAGTTGCACTGAGGGAATATAAAACTGTTGTGATGGGCAGCATGGGCAATATGTGATCTTTGTCACCTCGGTACGATGTTGCACCCTGGGCAAGACCTCATCATTGGTTAAAGACAGAGTGGGGGAGCGAGGCGATATTCACGTGAGTGGCATAGGGCGTGGTCGCCAAACAAGGTTCACCCAGCTGATTGGAAGCTAATGCACAAGTGCCTCCGCTAGAATGTCTAGTAGCCTCCGTCCATGCAGGAAGCGTGCGAAGCCAACCAAAAAGGCACCGACAGCACCGAACGCGAATTTTGCTGCTGATTACACAGGCGGCACACATTAATGACAAGCGGGAGCCGCTGTTTCGAAGACCCTCTCCTGACAGACCTGACATCTAAACTTAAGGGTACCGGAGATCCTCCAAATACTACATCATCCAAAGCGAATCGCTACCTAATTATCATCGACACTGTTCTTGTCGATCATCGGCTTCGACCGGCATTCTTGAACCTTATACGATCCCGATCGCGACATCAACCGTTGCCTGCCTACGCCACACGCAACCTCAACCGCAATCCAAAAGCAACTTCGACCACAGCCCAGTTGGATCTTCGACCCTGTGCGCCAACATCCAATGCATCAAGATCCAAACTCGCAATCTTTCTTCTAGACGACGGACCGTCTCTGCTGGCTCACTTGTCATTCTTTTCGAGATACCCTTAATATCATTCTTGTGCGATATCGTTGATGCTAGGCCGATAGAGCCGTCCCTATAACTATTATAGCACCATGTCGACTCTCGAGCCAGAGTCTGGCATTTGGTATGCCGTATGTTGGCTGGTGCTCATAACCCGCCTAATATCCAGAAAGCTCCACCACGGGTCTTGGAAAGCTCTTGGTGCGGATGACTACCTAATCTGCGTTGCTATGGTAAGTCTTACCACTTTCCCTTAAACTGGCCATGGTTAACCACCGCCTTAGGTCGCAATGACTGCCTTGATGGGTGCAATGCATATGGTCGTTCGCAGCAGCAGCAACCTCATTGCTCCTGACGAAGACATCTCCAAATTCTCGGCAGATGAGATCCAGAGACGAATCTATGGATCTAAGCTAGTCCTAGTTGTAGAGCAGATGCAATGCTGCACCATTTGGCTTGTCAAAGCATGCCTGCTATTGATGTACAAGCGCATGACGTAAGTTTTGGTCCTCGCCTCAGTTTGTTCAATTAGGCGCTGACTGGCCCTACAGAGCACTTCTACCACAGCACAAGGCTGTTTTGGTTGTCTCCGCTTACACGGCTCTTGGTTTCGTTGTCATGGAGATCCTGTATCTGGGAGTCTGGTGCCGACCGTTCAACCAATATTGGGCTGTTCCTCCTTCGAATCCTCAGTGCTCCGCAGCTACCAACCACCTCATCACGAATGCTGTGCTCAACATATCTTCGGATATTATGATCATAGCAATTCCTATGCCACTCCTGTTCAAGGTCAAGCTGCCGAAGAAGAACAAAGCGATTCTGATCGGTTTATTCTTGATCGGAACGTTCAATGTGAGTACGCGCCTCTAGCTTAGCCTAGCCTACTTGCTTACGATAGTAGATCATCGCAGCTGTCCTGAACAAGTACTATTCCTTCACCCATCCATTCGGACTCGAATGGACTGCGTGGTACCTACGCGAGTCCTACACCGCCTTCCTTTGCGCGAATCTACCTCTGACGTATCCGCTCCTCCAACGAATCTTCAGGCTCAAAGCCTGGTCGCACAACTCCTACGATGGGCGCTACATGTCTGGATCGCTCCAACGTGCATCAGCATGGCGATCGGGACTGCGGTCGGAGCGGAAATCTAGACTTGGGCTCAAGAGCATCCCAGGAAATGGAGGCATATCGAAGACTGTTAGCGTCAACGTGACGAACTCGAGGAGTCATCACCAAGAGCTGCAGCGGAGTGAGAGTGAAGAGAGGATATACGGACCTCCGACGTCGAGGATACAATTAGAGCAGAAGACGTTCGATGGCACGTCGGAGCAACACCTTTGGGTGCCTAGTGTCACGATCGAGATGGGACCGGTCAGTCCAACGAGTAACAAGGCAGATAGTATGACTACTACTGGGAGCATCAAGAGTCTGGAAGATGCACACGTCAGACATTGAGTTCTCTAATTTGTAATGAATAGACTTTCCCACTTCACCACCTCAGCTTATGCCAATTAAACCTTGAAGTAGCTTACAGTAGCGTATGCTCACCCTACAGCTTACCGTTCGAACTCTCGCTTTTCACAATGCAACCCTTGAAGAAGGCTCTAATGCCATCAAAGTCTTCCAACGCCGTGACTTTCGACACATCTGTTCTCCGTTAGCCTGACACCTATCAAAGTAGCATTCGAGCAGAGCGCTTACATTGATCCGGTCTGACAATGACGACGGCGCCAACCTCCGGATCTACTCCGTACTTCTCATAAGCATGCCCGTGCCCTGAATTGTAATGCTCGTCATCAACGTATACCTTGCGGAGATCTGAACACAGATTAGCAGAAGACTTTCAATCAGATGATAGTCTAACTTGCCTCGTATCCTCCATTTTCCTGTCGCAGGCCAGTAATATCCGGGTATCTGTTCCTGCTGTGTTTCCAGAAATTTGCTCCTCAACACTACGATCGGCTCAATGAGATCGTCGATGTCTGCACCGGCAGGTGTGAGGATACGAGCGAGAGGGTCAAGAAATTGTGCAAGCTGTACACATGAGTGATCTTTCCAAACACGCGTCTGGGGGTCTCTTACCTTCTCAAGCCTCAACCTGTAATCTGACTTATTAATATTACCGGCAAAGACCACAACTCGCCACCGCCCATTGCTCTGCAACACGCGCTGCAATTGCATGGCCTTACAGTCACAGAACCGTATGACCTGCGCACTTGGGAAACGCATGCCAACGGCACAGTTCTTTGCCAATGTCTGCCTGCTACCCTTCGAATCTGTCAACTCCGAGTCTTCATACTGCGCTGTGAATCCCGCAGTGTACCTCCCGCTCTTCACGAAATATTCTGCAAACTCGCCGGGGCGCTCCTCCTTTGACGAGAACTTCTTCGAGAAGACCCGGTCGAAGGCGATTAGGTCTGCGGCGGTCTTTGTACGCTCGAGTACGTACGTGCGCAACAAGGACTGTGGTGATATACCGCGAAGTACTGAAGCTAGCTTCCAGCCAAGATTGTATCCATCCTGCAGCGAGACGTTCATGCCCTGGCCAGCCTTGGGCGAATGTGTGTGGCATGCATCGCCCGTCAGGAAGACGCGATAGTCCTTGTGGAAATTATCGGCTATGCGTTGGCCAATGCTATAGGCGCTCCACCAGAACGTGTCGGCGAAGTTCATGTGATATGGAGCGAAGATCTTCTTTGCAGTATTTTGCAGATCTTCTAGCTTGACGTCTTTTGCTCGTGAGCCAGGAGGCAGTTGAATGTAGAAGCGGACGAGCGAGCCTCCTTCCCGTGGGATGATTAGTATGTTACCTGACGATGAGTGTATTGTGGACTTTCGACGGATATCGGGAAAGTTTGTTTGAGGATAGATGTCCATGACACCCCAGACTGTATCGGTGGTATCGCCGATCATCTCGTAGCCTAGGCTTTTGCGTACGATACTGTGGGCTCCGTCGCATCCCTGAATGTATTAGTCGGTGATATCAGCAATGGTCAGACACTGTTATAACTCACCAAGACGTACTTTGCCAACCACGTCTCCTCTTTCCCGTCTTTCTCTGCCACAACCTTACAGCAGTAATTTTGCGGATCTCCAACCAGCCCTTCATCAACCTCCACCCTCTTAATCTCCCACCCATACTCAATCCTCTTCTCCCCACCACTCAGCTCATCCATCTTCCCCAGCATCAACCCATTCATCCTCGCCTGATTCAAAATAACATGCGGCATATGACTCAATCCATTCTCCGTATCCATCGCCCTGCTCTTCCTTTCAATCCCGCCACTCCCATCATCACCCCAGAAACATACCTCTAGGATATGGTACGCTTCGCGAAGGAGTTCTTCTGACAGGCCAAATGATTCGTAGATCTCGACCGTCCGGCACTGCACGCCGTCTGCTTGGCCGATCTCCATGGGGCCTGCCCGGCGCTCGAGCATCGTGAAGGGAATTCCGTAGCGGGCGAGCCAGGTTCCTGCGAAGATGCCCGCGGAACCGGAGCCGCATATTAGGACGTCGATTTTGTTAACCATTTCGAAGGTGCCTTAGGGGAGAGAGGATCTGTGAGCCCGGCAAAGAGGGAACAGAAACTGCAGCGAAACTTCACACAACGAAATACCAAGACTGCACACCAGAGTTATTACACAGATATATTGGGAGAGGTTCGTACGAAGCCCAATGCTAAGCTTTTGATGGTGAGATTCGAACACCTATGAAGGTGCCGATGCGGGGCCCCGCGCTGCAACCTATGCGGCCCACAACTCGATCACAAGGCAAACGAAAACCTTGAAGGAAGGTGTGCAGCCGATAACTCGGGGACAACCTAGTGCGGTATGCGTCCAATGTCGAGGTTGAGATTCCTTGACGTAACCCGGCAAGTGGTTCGGTTGCTACTGCCTCCGGAGATGACGCGGAGATTGTGGGAGATGGATCGTATCTGGAGCGAGACTGCTCGTATTCCCCCTGTGTATCACAGGGGGGCTATGCACCAGGCAGCCGCGTATATAATTCACAATGACAGCGTGTAGACGAACTACAGTGCGTGTAACGTGCCATCCGGAATGCTATGAATCGACCTACGAGATACGATCATCCTTGTACTCACAACAATGCCGCGATTTCTATTTGCACCGGAGTAGCTCATTTGATAGAGAGACGCCTCACCAAGTCTCATCGAGCCTTGCGCAGTCACCAAACCCACCCTCACCAACACAACGAGGGCGGCGAATCTGAGATTCCAACGAAGAGCAAGGCGTACTCCGCCTCCGATTCCGTGATCTATAGACCAATATGAACCGCTTCAGTTAGCCTACCCAGTGGTGTACCGACATGAATCGCTTGACTTGAGCAAGGCTCAGATCCGCTTGCTCAGGCTCGAAACACCTAGCGATGGCGCCGTCACTGCTAAAGGAAAACGATTCGACATCGGCAATGGATGCCCCACGTACAAGGCCATCTCATATACTTGGGGTACAAATACTGATGGCTGTAAGATCCGGGTGGCGGGACGTGAATTGGCTGTTGGCGAGAACCCATACCGGCTTCTGAATATCCTGCAGTGGGAGAGCTATGGCTGGCTATGGATAGACCAGGTATGCATCGATCAGTCGAATCCAAAGGAACGTAATCATCAGGTTCGGATGATGCATCAGATATACACACGAGCTTCGGGAGTGATTGCATGGCTCGGCGATTCCGGACAAGGCAGCGATGTAGCAATGCAATGCATCGCGAACACAGTAGTCGAAGACAAACAAGATCTTCACGAGAAACGGAAAACCTCATTGCTCCCCAAAGCCACTCAAGCGGCGATGATCTCTCTGGTGCAGAGGCCGTATTGGTCAAGGCTTTGGATACTGCAGGAAATAATTGGTATGTGTCTCCTAGTAAATTGATCCCTACTGATACTAGACGTATCGGCTTACCAAGTGAAATTTATAGCAGCCAAGCAAGTTGACCTCATGTGTGGTCGGAAAAGAGTCGACTGGGTGTGCTTCGAGAGGTTCTTCAAGCAATATCATCCATTTCACCTGAATCGTTACCATGCTTTCAAGCAGGCACATACAATCGTCATATTGCGGGGTCAATCCGAACCAAGGACACTATACTCACTCTTACATAACTTCACTGATTGGCAGTGTAAGGACATGAGAGATAAGGTCTACGGTCTTATTGGACTCGTCCCTTACGATATTGAGCTCTGCATCGACTACTGGAAATCACCCGAAACTGTGCTTTGCGACGTCCTCAAAGCAATATATCAGGATACACATCATAATCATAGTGTGTTGAAAGAGTTATACCCGAGCGCGAAGTTATTCAATATGGTCAACATTGCGCTGCAGCTGAGACACAATCTAGCCCTTTTCCACATCAACACGGTTGACCTGGTCACAAATATATTGCTAATGTATCCCGGCTTATTCTGGGAGGCATACGCGTTAACTCAGCGACGCTCGGCACCGACTGCGTCCGACGTTTCCAGAGAACTACTGCGCGACGTGCCTACCTTACAGAAAAGAAACAGAAAAAAAGATTTGGCTCATAGGACAGCGCAGGGGAGAGTTTTTCATGCTCAGGATACCCCGGCTCAAAATACTTTTCACTCTTGGCTGGACCAAGTTAAAGTTACATCAAAGATTCCACGCCGGATATCCTCAAGTCAGAGAATGTACTCTTTCACCAGTACAATCAACATATCAGCAACTCTTCGGACAAGTCTCAATATATCTGAGAAGCCAATCATTCAGCCACCGTTGACTTCTCGACCACCTCGTCCACCTCGTCCACCCAGCCTTCACCCACTCATGCAGCCACCGTTGACTCCTCGCCCACCTCGCCCTCCTCGCCCACTTCGTCCACCTCGTCCACCCAGCCTCCACTCACTCATCCAATAATCTCCCACTTCGCCCCATACACATTATCCGCGCTTGTTCTCCCACCCACCTTGGACCACGGCGCATGGAACAAATCCAGACTGAACGCACCACCAACACTGCACCCCGGACACTTATCCACAATAACCGCCGTCGCCGTGCGCCCATCCGGATTCGTCAGCCTGACCTTCTTCCCGCAGTAGCTCCCCCAGTTCGGCACATTGGCGTCGAGGGAGACCATCCAGGAGCCCGGGTCGTTCTCGAGGAACCGCGAGTCTGGACCTGCGTAGGCGCATGCGCCGAAGTTGTTCTTGATGCGGGTGAAGGGGTAGTTGTCGACGGCGGAGAAGCGGATGTTGGTGTGAGTTTCGCCGAGAATGCCAGCTTCGGCGGGTAGTGGGGAATGCCCCGATTGGAGGAGAGGTGAGCTGTTGGTGAGGGATGGTGGGTTGCCATGCTGGGGGACAGGGGTGGCGGTGACGAAGAGGGTCAGGAGTGATAGGAGGGTCAGAAGGATGAAGTGCATTCTTGAAGAGAGAATTCTAGATGTAGAGTTGTTGGGCCGTGAAAAGGACGAAGTCTGCGACTCGATTAGACGCTAAGTCACTCCAAAATATAGTATACGCACGCCAATGTGTGAGAGGGATTGTCGAGCTCAGTCGTCAAATGCGATGATTGTCTAGCTCGTGTCGTGGCACGAGGGTCGAAAGAGAAGGGAACTGTAGACAATGGGCTCGAGGGCTGATCTATCAAGGTGTCGAGACACTTGAAGCGTACAGGTGGCCCTAGTTATACCTTCCTTGAGCATCCTACATTGGGCTTGCGATACGCTCGGACGCGGCTTCCTCGACACGCGCTTTGTCACGTTGGCAGACAGCAATCGCACCAGACAGTCGACTGCAAAGCGAGCAAGTTTAGATAGGTGTCGGCGTGCTAACGAAAGGCGATGCACGAGCGGGGCGTCCTCAGCTGAGCCAATGCACGGCCGACTTTATACTCGGCATCGAGAGGGCGGACGTGCTGAATGGCGATACGAGGACAGCACACGACTGTAGAAGTCGAAGTCGACGATGACGCCTTCGACGCCCGAACGCCCCCCCAATAAGTCAAGGCGAGGACCCAGAAGTGCCGGCCGTGTTGATAGCAAACACACGGAGCCGCAAGTCACTCGACCTGTGGAGCGGACGAAGTCCAGGTGACCTCGTGCGGCTTCTTTTACTCAACGGGCATGTCCCGCTGATAGGTACAGATAAGTCAATGGCATCCTGGTGGCGGCACTGGGTAGGAAAGCTACATTACACCCTGCGGATGTAACTGCGGGCGGGAGGGAACGAAACCTTCTCCATGTGAGCAATCAGCCAGCACAAAGCGATTCTCGCGTCGCATCTGTCGTCCCTACGTGCAACCAGCATCATGTCTTATGATAGCAGCTGAGGGTGATGGCCCTGATGCACAGCAGACACAGCTGATGTTGACGCGGGTCAGGGTGAGCCCAAGTCGCTCCTTCCTCGCGAAGCTAAACTTCAGCAACAACAAAAACAGCTACACGCCGGAACGAAACAGACGCGACACAGCACGCTGGAGAGCAGGGCATCAACAGAAGAAGCAGAGCAAACCAGCAACGAGAGATCAACTGCTGACCTACATATCCCACAACCCAGGCCACCTCATCCACCGTCCTCACAACTAACCTCAACCTCACCATAAAGCTCTCTTCCTCAACGCCACAGCCTCGCCGCAGACATCAATGAAAAGTAAAGCAAAGCAAAGCAAAGCAAAGCAAAGCAAAGCATAGCATAGCCCAGACGGCAATGGACCAGCAAAAATTATCCCTACCAGGGCACCATGCGGCACACTGGAGCCACACCCACTCCGCGCCGTGCAATGCAGGCGGATGCGACCACCTGCCCGGAATCTTGAGCTCAGGCAGGTCAAAGAAGGTAAGTATGGCGCTCGAAGGGAGAGCGGGCGAGGGTTTATATAGGCCTGGGGGAGCAGGCAGGTGCCAAGGCGCTAGAGGTCACGTGAGGGTGGGTGCCTTGGATTGAGATGAGGGTGAGTGACCAGGTGAAGTGAAGGCGCGGAGGGCGGTGGGAGGTGAAGGTGAAGGGGGAAGGATTGGGGCGGTCTTGCGACGCTAGGCGAACAGAGTCAATGCAACATCAGCAGTGACAGCGGGAACTTCGAAAATGGTGCTTGCAGATATTAATTGCATTGGTATCGTTTTTTATCTATGTCTGCACAGGCAGCGTACGCAAGTAGTAGCTCGGCATAGCATATGCGCTACCATCTCTCTACAAGCGGCCTGGTGCAGGTATAACCCCGTTTCTGGCCAGTTGTGCTCTTCATAGCGTTCCCTGCCAGTACCGGACGGTAGGTACATGGCCATAAGAATTCAAGACCAATTCATAAAACCATAAAACCGCTGTCACGTCGGCGCTTCACCTATCGGCGCACGATCAGCCAGTCGTTCGCCTCAGCCCACTGCCTCTTCTCCGATTCCTTGAGCGCACTGCCCGAGTTTTTGACTCCGTCATAGACTGCATCCCATAGCTGACCAGCCGTTTGAAGATCCCCGATAAGATCCAGAGCTTGTGGAAAGTAGCGGTTAGCTGCAGTCTCACGTACGCGTTCCTTGGTGTTGGCAGATGTGGGGTCCGGGTCGGTGATCAGTTCGTCGAGATACGACTTCACGGCGATACTGAGGGCGCAGTTGTTCGGCAGGAGGAACGGCAGGCTGGATGTTTTAGCAAATTTCCCACATAACATTGGCTTATTAACTCACTTCATGGCGATCTCCGACAAATTCGTTAGGTCTCGCTTAGCGAAGGCACCCATGAACATTTGCGTTGCAGCAACCTCTACTAGATCACGGAGAGTCTGTCGGACTAGGTTGACAATGGAGCCATACGCTAGCAGGTGCTGGCTAAGAGGTCCTGTGAACCCAATAGCCTTGTGCTGGAGATTACCGAGCCCTGCTACTCGTGATACCAGGAGGTTGAATTGTCTGTCCCGTGCTGGATGCTATTAGTCATACATCTTCAAGACGGACACAGATACGTACTTTCGCCACGCATAGGAGCGCCGTTGTAAGGAAACATATCGAGATCCCAATTGAGAACACCAAGGCGAATGAGTTCGATCGCAACGACTACAGCCTCTTCCAACTCTGGCTTGCCCTTCAGCGCAGTGATGGCAGTCTTCAACACCTTACCCCACGCGGTAAGGTTGTGGTTGTGGTCGATGTATTCTCGTAGTACGAGGAAACGCCAGATGGAGTTGTACAGAATCTCATCAGTCGTGCTCAGGGGCTGAGAAGAATTAGCGAGGGTTCAATCATCGCTAGAACCTGCTTACATTGTTGACATCCTTCTTCGAAACGGACTTCGCAACGAAGTCGGAGTCTTGGAGAGCTAGGATTGCAGAGCCGAGACGACCAGCCGGCTAGACATGTCAGTGATAGGACTTGGGATAGAGTAGCACCATGCATACTTCGTATTGCGCCACGACATCCTTGAAGGTGGCTTCTTTTACATTCCAAGTGTCCACGATCTTGCGCCATTCCGGTAGACCGTTCATGCTGATGGTAGTTGATTGGTGCTTTCCGGTTTGGTCCACCTTGAACCAACACTTCAGATCGATATCCTTGTGCTGATACCAGTTATGAAGTGACGAGGACAACAAATTGATGGCGGTCGTTCGTAGTGGAGTGAGCTTGGTGCTAACCAGGTCCTGGTATGCAGCGCCATCACCACCGTCAATCGGCGGTGCCTCCACAATCTCACTGGCCGCGCGCCAGCTGAGGACGCGCGAGTTGACCAAGCCCCGCGACATGTAGTAGAAGACCTCATCAGGTAACCGCTGCCCTATGAATTCGTGGGAATCGTTGGGAAGCTGACCCTCTAACAAAGGTTGGATCTTGCCGTCAGTCGTGAGGATGGGATGATGCTTCACAGCCAGGCGAGCCCTGCGGTACCTGTCCACGTAATTTGTCCGCTGGAAAATTGGATCATCCCGGTTGTTCAACACCACCGCATGGCCCGTCCTACCGTGGCTCATGATCATCTCAATAGCCCCACTGATTTTGGATACCTTGTTCCTGTTGTTGGGTCCATCCAAGTTGGGTAGTGTGGGTAGGAAGTGAGTGCCAGCGAGTAGGCAGGCATCTACGAAGGTCTCGTCCGCGATCTCGGCGTTTTGGACATATTTCCTCAGATCAGCGACGCATTTTCCGCGCTTTATCCACTTGAACAAGCCCTCTTCGAGATCCCAGGACGTGATGACTCGGTCGCAATCGAAGAGGAGGACTTCAGATGACCCGGAAATAGCTTGGACTTTTTCTTCCCTCTCAAGGTACGATAGCTCATTGGTGTCAGCGCAGAAATTGTAGCAGATAGGGTTGGCACTACCTGAGCCCATGCGCTGTACGGTGCGACGAGGAAAGCAATCTTCTTCTCCGTCAGGAGGGACTGAAGCGCACCGAAGAGGTCTTCTGGGGTGACATATGCTGCTCACTATCAGTGCCTGTCGATGAACATGCGTGTACGGTAGACCTACGTGACTCTCCAAACCTCTGCACTGACTTCTCCGCCTCATGGTTGTCGTACAGATGCCACGCAGCCGCGTTGACTGCCGCACCTTCCTGCCTCGAACGGAATGGATCGTCCTGCTTTGCAATGTCAAGCCCGCTGAATACGAAGAATGGCTCGATCTGAAATTGCGCAAACTTGTTGAGGTCCTCCTCGATGTGTTGCCAAAAGCCTAGCGGCAGACCACCCAATGCAGGTACAAGCGGTTCCGAGATGCGAGGGCGATTGAGAAGGCGGTGGTCGAGGTAATGCGCTGCTTCAATACCGACGCGAAGTCCGCGCAGGTCGTCGAGCTGCGACGCTTCGCCGATTGTGTTATTCCATGTCTGGAAATCGCGAATCATGTTGCGCGGTGCGGAGAGGGCGGGGAGGTTTCGTCAATGTGCACGGGAGGCTAGTGGAGCGGTGCGCCCCATGCAAGAGAGGAAAATAGCTGGAATGCTAGAGATAGAACTCAAGCCGGAGGAGGCGTGGGGAGGAAGAAGCGACAGCTGGTAGTTTTGCAAGTTAATGTTGGTCGTGAGACCCTGGAGCTTCCAAACAATTGAGCTCCCAACACTACCCGCCTGGACCGTGCAGAGAGCCTAACTGGAAGCGCTCAGGTACGGCGGAACCCCTCCATTGGCCAATCTCTATACACAGATTTGCAAGTGGCACTTGATGTTCATCAATCCATAATCCAAGCTGTGCTTCAAGAGCCACTTTTTCATCAGACGCACTATAGAGCACAACTACTTGATCTCATCTTTCTATGACATAAATCGCGTGACCAATATCGGCAGGGAACCATCTCACCCGAGCACCTTTCTTATCTACAACTTCATCCCCATCGTCGCCATTTTCTGAACTACTTACACACACCAAGTCTCAACATGCCACACTCCGAAGCAAATGGCACGCACATACCTATTATCGACATCTCAAAACCCTCACCAGAAGTTGCTCAGCAAGTGCTCGACGCCGCATCAACGCATGGCTTCCTCTTCGTCCAGCAAGACGACTCACTACTTCCTAATGAAGATGTCAACAACATGTTCAAACTTGTCCGTCGCCCTCTCATGCATTTAATCCTCCTTTAACATACCAAGTCCTCCCAATTCTTCCATCAAACCACCACCCAAAAGTCCACCCACGCCATTCACTCCGAAGCCGCCGGCGGTACGTAACACCTGGCTGCGAAGCGAACATGTTTTAGACTTTACAAAAATACGCATCTCACTTGTCCGCCTTACACTAACTGTACACCCGCGCGCCTAGGCATAAATCGCGGCTGGGTCACCATGGCCGGCGAAGCTCTGGACCCCTCCCACCCAGGCGACCCAAAAGAAGCATTCAACATCTCGCCTCCGCATCCAGACCTCCAGCCACTGCCCTCCCCACTCTCACAATCCTCTTCCGAGATCCGCAAGTTCTTAGATTCCTGCCACGCAATCTGTACGAGAATTCTCACGCTTCTAGGTACCGCTTTGGAGATCAAAGAAGAGGAAGGAGGCGAGAAGTGGTTCGCAGCCCGGCACGACGAGTCGCAAGGTCCATCAGGCACTATCTTCCGCATGTTGTACTATCCGAAGACAAAAGCAGCCAGCGCGTCTGAGTCCATCCGTGCAGGCGCGCACTCCGACTACGGAAGTATAACGCTGCTCTTCCGACTCCCTGGTCAGCCCGGGCTCGAGATCCTCAAACCAGACCAGACCTGGGCGCCTGTGCCCGTGAATCCTGCTTCTGCGTCTAACCCGCCCATTCTCGTGAATATTGGGGATTTGTTGAGCTTTTGGACGAACGGCATGTTGAAGAGTACGGTGCATCGCGTGACGTTCAGCGGCGGCGAGGAGCGGTACAGCATGGCGTATTTCTGCCATCCGTTGGATGGTGCGAGGCTGGAGGCTGTGCCGAGCAAGATCATTGAAGCGTTTGGGAGTAAAGGAGCAGAAGAGTTGAAGAGCCAGAGGGAGAGGCTGGGGCTGGGTGGGAGTGGGGGACGCGAGGTCTTGACGGCGAAGGAGCATTTGGATCGGAGGTTGAAGGTTACGTATGGGCTCAAAGACTGATGGGAAAGTGCAAGTATGATACTGGTAGTAATGTATGAGCACCTTGCATACTCAGGATGTGATGATAATGGTACACTACGGTAGCAAAAGAGTACTTGAGGGAGTGGTTTGTGTACGCAACTCGAAAGAGTGAGGAATCCATTTGCTTCTAAGATATCTGAACGCCTCGCTATGCAGTCTGCACAAACACCGTTGCTATGCCTTGTTCTGATCTCCAAAAATAGATCCTCTGCTAGCCAAAAAGCAGATATCTTTCTCCAACGTCGAGTTCTCCATGTCATCCCCTTCTCTTTCTGCTTGGCCTACCCATTCCCAGCGAAGTCTCACTCACCGCATCTTTGACGACCCTTGTTTCTTGAATTATAGGAGATTCGCTTGTAACGTTCCCTCCGATCGCCCGAATCATCTTCTCCCTTGCCCTCTGCGCTCCAGGAGAGTCCCAACCAAGCAACTGACTCGGTTCTGGCGGTTTGAAAGCATCGAGCACATGACCGTCCTCCTCACCCATCTCTTCCTCTTCGACAACCTTTGAGGCCGAAGATTGTCGGGAGAATACGTCATCGGTAGTCGATGTGTTCGAGCGCCCAGATTGCGCACGACCTAACGGGCGCCGTCTTCGTCGGCCTGTTTCATCTTCCTTATCCACAGGAGCAGAAGTCTTCCGCGTAGCGAGCAACTTCGACATGATGTCGGAATAGTCTTTCTCCGGGGGCTGTGCGATCGGCGCCTCGGATAGAGTCTCGATGGGAGGTTCGGTATCAGGCGGGATGACGGAATCTGGAGATGGCTGTCTGACTGGCCTAGTGCTCCGCTGCGCCGGCGCCGGCTTTGTGGGTGGGTCAGCCGGTTTGGGAAACGTAGTTGAATCAGTGGATGAAGTGGAGGGCTTGCGTGGAGAGTTTACACTGGGGTCGACATCCTGTAGAGGGATGGAGGCTGTGCCATCGTAGATCCCTGGGAGTTGCGCGTCTTGTTCAAATCTTAGGCTAGATTGTTTAGATTGGATATCATTTGTATTCAGATTGGTGGATGAGCCAGTAGTCGAAGGAGTTGGAGGTCCGGATGCTGACAGCTCCAGCGCTCCTGGACGACGTGAATTGCTTCGAAAGTCAGAAGCAGGCTTGGCTTTCTGAGCCTCCTTTTGTTGGAACTTGATACTATCTTCCTTGGATAGAGGCGCAGTGGGAACATCTTTGTTCGAAGATTCATTCTGCCTTTGTCTCGGCTTTTGTGGCTGTGATGTATTGGTATTGAGCAAGTATGCGTCGAAGGGATAAATCTCGCTGCTGGTCATGCAATCCCATAGCCAATTCGCATGCACTACAGGTATGCCTTTGTCGGCTGCATACCTGACTTTCTCAGGGTTCGGCTTATCGTTGCGGCAGACTAAGACCGATATCTTTGGTGATAGGATTTCGTCATATGTTGCGCCTACCCTAGTTAGCGACGACTATGATATAGATGGTACTAGTTTCCGCACCGAACAACGCCACCGCCTTCGTGACATGCAACAACTCGATTCCCGCAAAGCCGGTAGAGTTGATCGTGAGACCTTGCAATCCTGCGTAGAATTAGCGCACGAAGACATCATCAGAGTGGAATCAACAAACCACTAATGCTGAGTTTATCGAAAGGCTTACACAGAACGTAGTCTGTGGGGTCCACTAGGCATTTACCGTGGAGACAGCGCTCGACCCACCAGTTGGTTACTACTGACATGGCTCCGGCAGCTTCCGGCAGCGATGTGAGGTCAGGTTGAACATCGTGAGGGACTAACACGAAGCCTTCTCCGAGGTCATCCGAGGCAAAGTTTTCTAATTCAGCAGCGTCACAAATAACTACAGCTCCATTGCTGTCTAGATGTTCTCGTAGGATGTTGGTCTGCTCTGAGTAAGCGCTGGTTACCACTGTAGCTAGTTGGTCAGCGACTACGTACCTTATTATGATCAAAGCCGCGTAGATACACTACTCTGCCTGCAAATATTCCATCATTGTCGTCTGAGAAGGGCCCGCGAGGGCGGGATGCACGGCCCTTTCTCGGTTGCATATCAACGCGTGTTTCAACTACCGTCGTCGCGCTGGGCTCATGTTCGGGTTGCGGCTCTGGCTCAGCGCCGTTATCTTCAGTCCAATCATCTCCGTCGTTGGGTCTCTTCTCTACGCCTCCAGCGGTAATCCCAGCCCATAGGGCTTCGGTCTGTCCACTCAAGCGGGTACTTGCAGCACGTCGCAGCTTTCGTCGTGAAGGATTGAGGACGGGCTCGGCTTGCTCAGCGGACCGCATGCGCTTCCCAAGCATGGGTGATGTGCTCCTGCGGCGGTCCCACGCTCCGAGACCCCGCTCTTCTACCGCCATTGTAGGATGATAGTAGACCTCATCCAGAGCCATGCCACGCTCGCGGCTCTGCTCGAACCATTCCCACGTGACAATCTTCATACGCCAGTTGACGGCGTGCTCGTACTTGCTTCCCGATGGATTAGCCGCGATAAGATGTGTGACCGCCTTCGTCAGATCACCATGGTACTCAGCACCGTTTCTTGTAACTGTTTCCTGTATATATTTGCGCTGCTCGGCTGTCCGCGATCAGCATATGACTCTCCGATGGGCGTTGCGATCGTACGGTTGTCGAAGCCTGTGAGGCATATCTTCAGGCCGTAGAAGGTTGGTAATCTCCATTGCCCCTCAAGCTCGGATGTGATTGCATCCTCGCCTTCCATCCAGACCTTCTGTACTGCGTGTATCCATTCAGGAAATAGGACCTTGACGTCTTCACGTGCCTTCGCAACATATCGATACTTGGCGCTGTTTGTGTTGCCGACTATGAGATGCGTGACGTCCGAGGTGAGGTCGAGTTTGACTTGTGCGCCCATCTGCGCGCCAATGACGGAGAGCTCTGTCTGTCGCGCTGGATTAGTGACGGTAATGAGACTCGAGCAGATTGGGTGGAATGCGTACGCGCTGCTCTGGGGCTACGGATGTGAAGCACAGAATGGCGCCGGCGAGGGGCATCTGGCTTGTCCCTATGTCGCGTGAGCTACATGTTGAGATAACAAAGCGTCACGGCCTGATTCCTCACCATATGCCCCGGCGGTTGTGATCATTGTGCAGAGAGATGCATGGGGGTGGATCGTCGCGTCGCGTGCCAAATGGCTTTCACTTTTGTCGCGTCGAGCCAAGCATGCGCGTGGCGCGTCCGTTGCGGGGAATCGTCACGTGAGCGCTAGCGGCAAGCTTATGTAAACTCCGAAAGTCGCAGCAAGGCGGTGCCGCATTAAGCGACATCAGATCTTGCCGCTCTGCCGTTAGATCTGGGGCATGCCTGCTCGCCACCACGCCCCTTTTGCGCACTGTTGCGGTGTTTGATTTGATGACGAGGGCTGAGCATTGCGCAGGAATTGTAATTATGAGCCGGCGAGGTGTTTTCTTATCGCTTTGCGCTCTCGTGATCAGTGTGGGCGAAGCATGTCGCCGAACTTTCGTTGTCGATCTCCGCACGTCGACCATCGCGGGACACACTGCATGGGGGGGCCTATTCGAGATGCCCAGGCTGTCGATCACTTACGGCTTTTGGTTATCCGCCAGCATGTGCTCGCCCAACATGGCATTGCTGAACCGGAAATAAAGGTGCCATCTGCTCTTGCTCGCCTGCCCTGCCCTGAGCATTTCTGCGCCTAGCTGCTCTGGCAGCCCAAACAGAGACATGTCATGATCATGATCATGACCCGTGCATTGGCGCCGTGGCTCAGGGCTGCAACACGCCCTCTTCGGCCCCGGCTCGGTGGGCATGCCTCGCGCGAGCACACAAAAGGTGCTTCGCACGAGCTCACGAGATGATGTGCAAGTGCCCAGCGTGGCTCAGTCAGGTGTCTTCGTCAGCCGCTGTCTGGACAACCGCCACGCAGCACAACGGCGTCGCTGGGAGTGGCTTACAGTAGTAGGTACATGCAGCGAGCCGAGCACTCCGGCACACTAGCCCGGAGACGCTGGCTGCGGAGACGGTGCGAGGGCCTTGAAATCTCAAATTGTGACGTAGCGCGGTTATCCGGCGCCCTCAGCAGTCGCCGCCTCACGTCTGTGGTGACAAAACGCACAATGCCTGCATCCGCGGTGACCCAGCAGCCTCTGTCAGTCCCGGTGCGAGACTGGCCGCAGCATCTGATAGAGTCCTGACGCGGCCATTTGCAAGTGCCAGCCCTAACGCCCCTGCCAACCCATTCGTGCTCGTTTACAACCCCACACTGCCGCACTGCGTCATCCGTCCTGCGCGACAACGACCTGTGCCCTGGTTCGAAAAGTCCTTTGCAACGGCCCAGTTTCGGCGTCCCTGTTTAATTGCAGGCCCTGCTCAGCCGGTGTGCGATCTGCCAGAGGCCCTCTCGTCGCCAGCTCATCACTCTTCTAGCAGGGTCTACCCACCCGCACGCTTCCGCACCCTCGCTGACCGCTGCACCATCTTGCAGCTCCTGTGCTCCATAAACACCCTGACAGTACCATGTCTCTGGCGCTACTCTGAGTACATTTTGACGTGAGTCCCTGTCTCATTTTGTCTGGCCCCTTTGTTCCGCAGGGAGCGCTGGACTGCAACCCCTTCCCAAAACATCATCCACCCCAGGACATGGCATTGCAACCGTAGCCAGGATCTCCTTTGTACACCGCTCTCCACTTTGATGAGCTGTCGCACAAGACCCAAAGCTGGCAGCATTGTCCAGTCCACACATGCCCTCTCGTCGTTATAGCTGCTCCTTCGCGCCATCCTCCATGTTCTGCAGTCCCACTGTTGTTGTTGTTGTTGTCGCCCCCGCTTGACATCACGCTTACCCGTCATGACAGCCACTGGAGAATACCTCTCCATATACACGGACCGTGGAACACTCTCGTACATACCCGACCACCTACACGACCCAGAAAGCACACGCCGCTGCCTTTTCCAAGGCCGCAATCGCAGACCTCACCGCATTCACATCGCTCGCGTGGCACCCGACCCGCTACTCTTTAGACGGCAATCCACCAGCAAATCCTACATTATCGAAAAGCTGGCAGGCCCACGCGATAACGCCAAACGTTTCCTTCGGTCTTTCATTGATTCGCACTTTGCGAATCCTCCTCCACAACCCGCCGTCGGCACTACTCCGCGATCGTCGACGAGTAGTGTGAGCACACCCGACTCGTCCCCACCCGAGAGTAGGAGGTGGTCAGTTGCGACAGGCGAGATGAGGTCTACACCGAGAGGCTCTATCGGCCTCAGCGCCGCGGGCGGGCCCCGGCCTGCATTAGTTGAGAGCCATCGTTCGTCTGCGAGGTCGTCAGTAAAAAGCATGATGAGTAGTAGCGTGAAAACGCTTGCCGAGGATAAACCTTTGGCATCTGGAAATGGTGTCAGCGTCGGTGTCACACTTACAGAACCCGTGCTTTTTCTCCAGGGATTCGAACAGTCTGATTCGTCGGATCGTAGCACAGCAATGCTTCGGGGGACACTTAACCTCAAAGTGACGAAACCGACCAAGATCAAGGCCATCACGCTCAAGTTCCGCGGAAAGGCACTCACAAAGTGGCCCGAAGGTAAGCATGCATTCAACGACCACATAAAACTAATCCTGACATCTTCTTCAGGCATACCTCCCAAGAAGACCGAATTTGAAGAAATTGACACGATCATGAGCCATACATGGCCATTCTTTAACGCTCAGTTCCCCACTGCCGAAGCAGGGACCGGCGCGGATCAAGTTGAATTGTTCAAGGGCTCAACTACGAATCTGCAAGCACCGAGAGGCGGTTCGACCAACTCACCGAATGCATCATCTACAAACCTGAGTACCAAGGAAGCAAAGCGACTATCTCTGCAGGTGAACCAATCGCGTAGTTTCGGCAAAGGCGAATCACCGTCAGGTGGGCCCACCATAGCACAGAAAGGTTACCGAAGCTTCAACCCTGGGACGTACATGTACAACTTCGAATTGCCACTCGACAGTCACCTTCCTGAAACAATCGACGTTGAACTTGGCTCTGTAAAATATGAATTGGAGACAACTATCGAACGCGCAGGAGCCTTCCGTGCCAATCTTGTCGGTGTCAAAGAGGTGACCCTTATTCGAGCTCCCGCAGAGGGCTCGCTGGAGCAGGTTGAACCAATAGCCATCAGCCGAAGCTGGGAAGATCAATTGCACTACGACATTGTCATATCCGGAAAATCGTTCCCTCTTGGAGCTCAGGTACCGATTGCGTTCAAGCTGACACCGCTTGCGAAAGTGCAGTGCCACAGAATAAAGGTGTTCGTTACAGAAAACATCGAGTATTTCTGTTCAAACAAGCGGGTACACCGGATGGAACCCGTCCGGAAAGTACAACTATTCGAGAAACGAGCTGATGGTCCAGCGACGAGCACTTTTCCTGGTAGCACGATGCGAATCGTTTCTGGAGGTGGAGTCCCGTACGACCAGAGAGCGGCCGCCTCTCGAGGAGAAGATGTTACAGTCCAGGATCCGACCAATCTATTAGGTGATTTATCCACTGGAGACGTCAACATTGGACCAACAGAGATGGAATTCAACGTTCAGTTGCCGAGCTGTCACAACATGAAGGAGAAGGATAAGACCAGCAGGCTACACTTCGACACGACATATCAGAACATTCAGGTCCACCACTGGATCAAGATCGTAATGCGTCTTTCGAAACCGGACCAGAACGACCCGACGAAGAGGCGCCATTTCGAGATCTCCATTGACTCGCCATTCCACATTCTCTCGTGCCAGGCTACGCAGGCAAACACCGCCCTGCCTGCATATTCATCTCCTGAATCTCCGACGGCAGACCAACAGATGCCGCAATGTGGATGTCCTGGAGCGCCTGTGCGCCGTACCTCGCCTCCTTCGATGGTGCCTACATTGGGCTCCTTGGGACGTTCGCGTGATAACTCGGAGGTTTCTATCCCTAGCCCAGGGCTCGCACGGCCTCAGGCAGCGCACATTGGCGGCCCGACGGACGGGCAGGTTCAACGGCCCATGCACCTCCTTAGAGCGCCCTCGTTCAACCCACCGCCATTTGAAGAGGAAGAGCCTCCGCCACCGCTGGAGACGCCTCCACCACTTTATGAAACGATTGCTTCACCGACACATGGATTGTCGGATTATTTTGCTAGATTATCAGCATACGACGATGATAGCGAAGGAGAGTCAGGAGATAACAGTCCGGGTGGCGGGCGAAGTCGGGTTGAAATTCCGCTGACACCAGGAAGCCGCATCCACAGCCGATCCATGGACGAGAGGCGAACATGGCTACCGGTCGGCAACTGATGCACAACAATGACGTTTCTTCATGACGACACGAACCGGGATGCCAAAAAAACGACACAATGGGTCATTTCAACGACCTCTGCATCGCATAATGTTTTGTTTTGGCGTTTAATGTTGGTTCCTGGGCGAGTAGGCGTCACAATTTCATTTGTTTATCTCCTTTGTTTTGCATCTGGGGTAACCCTGGAGGTGTTTGGTCGGTAGGTCGGTATATCCTAGCACTGTCATTGGTATTGACATTGGGCTTTCGGGGCTTGGGCTGAAATATATGGAGTATGATCGGTGACAGGGTGTTTGACAAGACAGCCTCAACTGTATCTATTGGGCGCTTCTTTTTGGGGTTGACGGACACTGTATCTAGCGCAGCGGGAGCTTGTGCATATAGCGCTTCGCATGTCGATACTCATCGTCTTCAATATCATATTAGACCTTCAGAAGGCTTGCTGAGTATCTGTTCGTGCGGTCCACCTGCAGTGTTATCCCCCCCGCGACCTCTCTCCAGATTGGGACTTTTGGCGTGCCGCACCCCACGCTCGCGGCACCAATAAGCGGGCCTGATTCGTGGACGTTGGCATGATGGATCTTCTGGCTGCAGTTGATGTGCAGTTTACTTGCAGCTCAGCCATCATGTGATGCGAAGAGACTTCGCGAGCTGTATGTTCAGCAAAGGTCAGCCAGTGGCAATCGTGCAAACATGTCTGTCGTTTGCGGCTTCCCGCGTTCGCTTGGAGGTGTACTTGGCGGTTGACAGGGCATTGACGAAACTTCAAGCTTCACTGTGATGAGTCTTCGGTGAGCAAGCTTCGGGATGTGGGACGTGAGATTATTGCTTGTAGGTTTCTGCTGCCGTGTTCCGGTCGAGCAGTTGCTTGCCTGCCTTGTCTTTGCATGGCAGGGAAGCATGTTTCTGCGTGGGGCTCTCGATGTGATCAGCCAAGCGCGAGCCCAGGCGCTCCCAAGACCGTAGACGTGCGCTAGCATCAAAACATGGCTACCATCCTGTGCTTTCGTCACCCATTATCTGCTGCAGACTCTGCGCTGCGAGGCCTCTCCAGCGCGACCTCCGACTTCCAAAGAGCCCAGTTGCGCGCATTGGAGTGCATTGTCGCCGCATTGTGACTGCCCAAGGTTCCGCATCTGGTAGCGACCAAGCAGACGGAAAAGATAGGAAACCCGAGGCCTTTGGGTCCCAATCGTCGAGGAGCCGCTCGTGCCTTAGCCCTCTGTAAGCTACCCGATCGTTCCCGCCAACACCACCTTTTGCCTCTCGTTGCGCAACTTTCACTGACTTGAGCTCGCAAAGAGTACCGCGGCGACAGCACCACGGCTCGCACCTTCCGCATTCACCACCACCTTCCACCAGAACACAAAGAGCCTCCACGGCACGTTGAGGGAGGGCGACTGGGCGACTACATACATGCCTACATTGAAGGCTTCGTTTCTCAACCGCGCGAGCAGCCGAACCTCTGCACCCTCAGAAATCGGCAACGACGTCATCTTGCCCACATAACACACGCTGCACTCGTTTGCATTTCCATTATTCACTTTCTCTAGATTATAAGACCTTGTACGCCTACCACTCGAGTGCGACCGCGTGCCACCCGCCGTTCTTTTGGGGCAAGAGTCCGGTTACACATACACCCGATAGACCTAGAAGATACAGCGCGTCCCCATGGCGTGGGAGCACCTTTCCATAACCAAGCCGCACTTGGTGTACATCATCCTCGGCGGCTTCACCAGCCTGTTCATGTTGTGCTCGTCGGTCATCAAAGAGCGCCTGTACATTGGCGAAGCTACCGTCGCAACATTATGCGGTATCATATTCGGCCCGCACGCCGCAAACCTCATAAACCCTGATGATTGGGGTAACGTCGACCTGATCACGCTGGAATTCTCTCGCATTGTCCTCGTCGTACAATGTTTCGCTGTCGGTGTCGAATTGCCCCGCGCATACATGGAGAAGCACTGGAAGTCGGTCACGCTACTTTTGATCCCGGTCATGACCTTTGGCTGGCTTATCACAAGCTTGTTCATATGGTGGCTGTTTGGAAGCCGTCTGAACTGGCTTGACAGCCTTTGTGTGGCGGCCTGTGTCACCGCTACCGACCCCGTCCTGGCCTCCTCCGTCGTCGGAAAGGGAAAGTTCGCAAAGCGTGTACCCAAACATTTGCGAGATTTGCTTTCCGCTGAGTCTGGCTGCAACGACGGCATGGCCTTCCCGTTTGTTTACCTGGCCATCTACATCATTCGCTATCACCATCACCCTGATAAGGTCGCTTTCCACTGGTTCTGTTACACCATTCTATACGAATGTATCTTTGGTGCTGTTTACGGCGTCTGTGTCGGATATGCGGCTCGTCGCGCCATTCGATATGCACACGACCGTGACCTGGTTGACCGTGAGAGTTTCCTCGTGTTCTATTTCGTTCTGGCCCTGTTCTGTGCTGGTTCTGGAAGTATGCTTGGTATGGACGATCTACTCGTTGGATTTGCCTGCGGAGTTGGCTTTTCAAACGACGGCTGGTTTCTTGAAAAGACGGAAGAGTCGCATGTGTCCAACGTTATCGACTTATTGATCAACTTGGCATTCTTTGTGTTTTTCGGGACTATCATCCCGTGGGAGCAGTTCAACTCGGACGTTCTCGGTATAACGCCGTGGCGACTGGTCGTGCTCGGTCTCCTCGTTCTGTTCTTCCGCCGCATACCGGTCATGCTTGCACTCAAGCCTTTGATACCGGACATCAAGACTTGGCGCGAGGCACTTTTCGCCGGACACTTTGGTCCCATCGGAGTCGGCGGTCTCTTTGTTGCTATTTTGGCGAGAGCAGAACTGGAGACGGAAGAAACAACACCTTTGGCTGAAATACCGCCACCAGGGTTCCCGCACCGCAACGTTATCGAATTGATATGGCCGATTACATGTTTCCTAGTTATTTGCAGTATTCTGGTGCACGGAAGTTCAATAGCGGTTTTCACGCTCGGAAAACACATCAACACGTTGACAATCTCGCTATCTTACACCCAAGCGAACGAGGATGGACCTAGCTGGATGGACCGTCTTCCGCGCATCCAATCGCGCTCCAAATCGTCAATGTCTCTTGGTCGCCGACCTTCCGAGTCCTCGTTCGACGAGAAAGAGACCACCGGACCGGGCGGGCTACCGAGTGTTGGAATCCCAGGCGCATTCCTACGACGTCAGAAGGAGGAAGAAGGGGAAAGCCGTGCCAGTTCTTTGCGGCCTTCTGCTCGCCGAAGGGGCCGAGGTTGGGACAGTGGACGCGGTCCTGGTGGGCCAGTCTCACAGTCCGCCATCATGCCTAATAGGGGGAACCGTGACCCATATGAGACTGCCTCGCCGTTGCAAGAGAGAGACTCGGATACTCTCGCTGTGCCTAGCGACGACTCGCCAGAAGGATCTGCGACCGCTAGAGAGAAGAGAAGGACATTTTCTGAAGAGGAGTTATACCAGGAGGGTGACAAGACTGTAATCGAGGATGAAGAGGGCAACGTTCTGGGTATCCGCGAGAGTCGTCCGGGCGAAGACTCTGAAGAACGGCTAGAGCATGACAACCAGGAAGCAGCACGACTTGCAAGAGTAAAGGACGTTGAGCACGGTGTTGCTCAAACTGAACATGGTGGTGCACTGGAAGAAGCACCTGGAAAAGCAATCAACGCATTGGAACACCCAAGCAAATGGCGCAAACGTATGGAAAGCTTTTCAGGCAGACATCATCACACGGAAGCTGGACCCGCCGAACCCCCCAGGGCTCAGAGGCCGGAGAAGCGAGGCCCTGCGCTTGCTTATCAATTCGGCAACACCATCATTGTTGAAGACGAAGATGGTGAGGTGATCAAGAAGTACGACATTCCCGCTCAACCTAAAGGAGACCGTCCTGGTGTCGATCGTAAGTCTTCGATGGCAGAATCAAGCGGCCGTGCAATGCAGAGCCTACGCAAGATGGGAACGTACGTGGGTGTTCCGGCGCACAAGCAGCATGAGGCTGAGGTTTCGACGAAAGGGCATGGAGAGACTGAAGGCAAAAAGAAGAAGCCTACGGTTGACGCAGATGACGATCGCATTCGTTTCACAGTTACAGCTGGTGGACGACGGATGAGCAAAGCCGAATTCATTCAGCAAATGTCCAGTATGGAGCCAAAGGCACGCGCTAAGTTCATCCAAGAGAGCGACGTCCCCGAAGGTATCAAACGCGAGGCTCATCAAGATGCGAAGGACGCCACTCGCCGAGGCGCCGCTTCCTCCGCGAAAGTACCACCTGTTGTGGGCGAGGAAGGACAAGCCGAAATTCATCGCATCGAGTCGCCAGAAGCGAGACAGGAAGAGCGCAAGCGCGGCCCTGAGGGACTCACCCTTGTCGATAGCGACGACGAGGACATTCCCTTCCACGACGTACGCCAGAACCTTGCAAAATTTTCTATGGACAAAGGTAAAGGCGAAACTGCAGCCCAGCGCCGCCGCCGCGAGGCGACTGAGCAATCGGGCTCTCCAGGCGCACACGCTGGCAATGCGCTAGAAATCTCCGACGACGACGTTGAAGAGACACCAGCAGAGAACAAGCGTCGTATGGCCGCCCTTACGAGCTCCTCATCACCCGCCAACACGGCGCGCCGAACGATTGATCCCTCTCAGCCACCGCCCAAGTCGCACATGGACGTAGGCGAAACCGCAGCTGAGCGCAAGCGTCGTCTCGGTGCGTTGGGCATGGGAAGCGGCGACGAGTCGTCCCCCGAATCGGATTCTGACGCTGAAGAGGGTGGTGACCCCCTCGAGACAGGTCGCGGATCGCACGCAGCGCAACAGCAGGCGGCTGCTCGGAAAGCACCAGGCATCCGGTTCGCAGAGCAGCCGAGAATCCCGACCAAAGACGAGCGAGCACAAGAGGATAAGGACGAGAAGGGGGCGGCTGAGAGTAGCAGGAAGGGCCCGTTGAGTAAGCTGAGGTGGAAGAAGTGAGGTGCCGACGTCCATTCCCTGTCTTTCTCAAGCTTCCGGAGTACATCGGGCGTTTGATCATTATTAGCGGCCCGGCGATCTATCCCACAATTCCTATCATGTTACCAATGCATATGAGGCGGGTGTGGCTGCATGCGTAAGCATAGCGAAGATGTAGGGGCTCTGATCTTTGGAATCTGTTCATTTCATGCGTTGAAGCGGTGCATATACCATCGTAGAGGTAGAGTTGGTTAGAGCGGTTATGATACTACATACATCGACTCTACAGCGGTAGCCTCTTGTCCTTGACTGTGTTTTTGCCTTTAGAAAAACACGCTAAAGTTTTCGATAAAGTTTACCATCGCTTCATTACCTTTTACAGTTGCTGGCCTATTTACCCTGTTTTGTTTAATACTAGGTGAAGGAAATGGTTTGCGAATGAACGGTTAATTACGAGGTACATCAAGCAATATGGGTACAGGGCGAGAACCCGAATGTAGCAGGAACATCACACTCACGCATGCAACGACTGCATTGCATTGCATACAATACGACATCGATGCATACTACAACGTAACTACCTTTTGTAGTCATACGCCCGCTCAGAGCTATAAGAGATGGCGGCCGATCAACACATGGCTTCGGCGACTGTACATCTTTCGCTCATCCAGGGAACCAAGAGAGATCATGATGTGGTCCTCTCTCATCCACAGCACTCCACTCGCACTGCTCACCCTTTGCGTAGTCACTCAATCACTTCCATCCAATACATGCACGCCCCTCGCCAACGGCTACGAAGCCATCGACGACTCCCCCGCCATCAACGACGCCCTCAAACAATGCGGCAACGGCGGCACCATTGTCCTCCCAGCCAACCAATCCTACAGCCTCTTCACCCCCCTCGACTTCTCCCCCTGCCGCAACTGCGACTTCCAAATCGAAGGCACCCTCATCCTCGCCGCCTCCCAACTCACATACTACGCCAACAGGCAGCGCTCCGTCTTCACCATCGCCAACGCGACCGGCGTGCGCATCCGCAGCGTCACCGGCTCGGGCGTCGTCGACGGAAACGCGTACTGGTGGTATCAGCGCACGAACTGGAGCCCGAAGCAGGGCGGATATCCCTTCGTGTGGATTACGAATTCCTCCTCTGACGTCTCCGTGTCGAACCTGCACTTCAAGAACATACAGGACAGAGTGTTCCGCCTGCAGGGAAATAGCTCGGATCTGCACTTCGACAGGTTGAACATCACGGCGGAGGGTATCAATGGGATATACGCTGGTTTCGACAATTTCGCGTTTGAAATGGGGAGCGTGAAGAATGTGTCTATATCTAACGTTGATATCGACTTTCGCGCGGGGCAGAATAATAGGCCTGTGGGCACGTGTCTTGCGTTCGACCACGCGACGGATGGCGTCGAAGTGCGTAATGTAACGTGTAGGCGAGCGTTCATGGGCGCGCAAATCCAATTCGACACGATGCTTAACTCTGCGCCTTCGTCTGCGACCACCAACCTCACTGGTTTCGCGCAGAACATTCTCGTTTCAAACTTCACCTTCGCGGGGGACCATGCTACGGGTGTGGAAAGCTGGTGGACTCTCTCTAGAAAGGTTATTCGAAATGTGATCTGGGAATGGGTTACGGTGGAGGAAGGCACGCCAGCGGACTTTGAAGCGTGCTATGCGAGCCAGAGGAATTCGCAGTATTATCCGGCTTGCGTGAAACAGGCGAGTTATGATGCGGAGGTGGTGTTTAGGCATTATAGGGGGAAGGTGGGGACGCCGCCGAGTGATCCGAATTGGGGGGAGTTTAATAATGAGCTGATGGAGGTGAAGAGTGTATTTGAGGATTGGGTTGCGGATGCGTGATTTTGGAGCGTTTTCTGGAAAGTGTGCCGTGGGTGAGCAATTGGGAGCCATGATAGGAGCCCGCGGGGAAGGCTCGTAGCGTACGTTCACGCCTTCGATATAGTTTACCAGCGCCTGGTTTGCTGTTTGCGGTGACTTGCCTTTACCTGTGCAGGGTAGTGACGTCGACTCCAATGACAGGTAGCGAGGCTAAGAAGTAGATAAGCAGAAGTCCCTTGAGAAACGCCGGCTTCGGATGAATACAACGCCCTTCATGTTTTTAAACCAGAATGCTTCGAGGGAACCAGAACGGACAGGCTAGATTCAACTAAAGCAAGGTTAACAAATCGGCTCATAAGTTGCTTCATAACCCTAGATCACACCCTGGATCAAAGGCCTTTTGCTCAGATATACCCTCCGCGCTTTCCCTTCATTGACCAGATCATGCGTCCACACTCGCACCAAACCGTAGCCCTCTCGTCGGTATAACTGCATCGGCTTATTGGGATCTGCCTGCACGATAATACCGATAAGTGAGTCAGAGAAATTTCTTTCTGCGCAGCCCAGCACAGCTACAGATATCTTGGCTGTGGGTACCAGCGTGATCATAATCAAGGTTATCTCTACTCCTTTATTGGTCAGCATGTAGGGTTGCTCAACGTCGGCGTCGAGGCTGGCTTGGAGCGCTATTATCCTAGGTGTCAAGACTGACGGTGACCTGAAGTCATTTGGATGATTCGCGAAAATTCCACGAACGTTCGTGGGCGTGATGTCGATCTCATTAGACTCAACAAGCTCGTCCGACTTGGTGACTGGTACGTGTCCTTGAAGTTGCATGTATTGGAAGGAGATGTCGTCCATATTCAGTATGTCGGAAGACCCGGCGCTGCTAGGTACCCACGCGAAGATTGTTTGATCGTCAGAGTTCTTCATGATTTCTTCTTGTAGCCGTGTGAATGCTTTCTCACCCTCGCCGTATAGAAGCGGCATATTCACATCGAAGATCCCGAGTAAACAATAAGCAATGTCTTCTGTCCTTGTTGTCTCTCTCTTGCTTGCCCATCTCATCCGTTCCGCCACGCTTACGGATCCTAGATCGGCTCCCATCTGTGCCTCATCAGTAAAAACTTGAGAATCCTAGTTCATGTTCATGAAAACCATAAATGCGCACAGTGCAAGTACCGTAAGTCGACACCGACTAGAACGGTGTACACAGATGCAGTCGGGGTGACCAACGTACCAAGCAGATTGGTTCGATGCCTGTAATGGTGTGCAGCACTTCTCGCATGTTCGCCTTCCTTCCTAGAGGCCTCCACCCGTTCGCAAAGAACATAATTTGTTTTGGCGCGATGAGTTCCTGCAATGTCCAACCTCTCGTGAACCATCGCGCCTTCGCCAGGTATGATCCATTCAAGCTTTCACCTCCTTGCCTCTCCACCTTGGCGTCTTCGCGCATGTAAGAGGTTTCCCTGCCACCTCGGATTGCAACGAAATCACGTATGTCTTCCAGGTAAGCGTAGCATATTGCAGAATTCCTGTACCACTTAAACATACTGTTGATAGCCTCGGAGAGCTCAGCTGAGCTAGTTTTGTCGATGCAACACGTGTCAACCCAGGCGTATTGCTAGATCCGACGGATCGATTAGCAAGGCCTGTCTGGATAGGACCTCGAGGAAGAGGCGGTGAAATCGAAAGAGTGACCTTAAACGGTTTCACAATTTACGGGCACCGCCCATCCAAGACGGCAAGACTTACGAATCCGTCAGCTAATGCTTGCGCACAACATTTCCGAATCTTGTAGAAGCCTTGACTCGGTAGTATGCGTGTGCGTGTTCGTGTAGATTCCGGGTGCGTGCCGATATACTCCAGATCTTGGAAGCTGACCTCCTCCTCGCCCCAAGTGTGGCTCAGGATGGCATAACGCGGCGTGGTCGCTTCATTGTGGAAGGACTCGAGACGGATCGTGGAAGCGTTGAGTAGGCGCATCACGACGAAGTGTCGTTCTGCGGTGGGATACAGTATGGGCTCGGCTGCGAGAGTGAGCAGTAAATGGGTATGGAGGCATGCTGCAGGCGATAGGAATTTGTGGAAGGCTGCAGGTTGGAGATGAGACGAGGCTGTGTTGGTGGGGGCGGGGGTAAGAGCGCAGTGCAGCGCAGCGTGAAAGGCATGAACGACGGACCAAGAATAACAGAGCAAGAACGATTGACAGGGCAAGGGCGTTTATAGCACTTAGCACGGAACACTGATGTAAGGTTTCTTGACGAGGCAAGAGCAAGTGGCAAGGCGAAAAGGATGAACAGGGCAATTGCAACTGGATACTTTGCATTGTACCGACACCAACAAGCGCAACAGCTACAAATATGAATATGATACAAATGGGATTCGTGAGAAAAGGAGTCTAAACAGATCAAGAAACCGTAATGCGCCAGGAACTACAAAGTCGGTTTGTTGCCATAGTCAAATAACGCATCCTGCCAGTTTGAAACTAGGTAGTTCCTACAAGTGCACGTGCTGGATGTGCTAATCTACTCCTGGCGCTCAACGACCTCCTTCTCGACAGCCTCCTCGTAGACGGGAGGAGCATCGTACTCGGGAAGTTCGGCGTAGACCTCCTTTTCGCCGCCGTCCTCGACATCCACAGCCTCCTCTTGGGCGACGCTCTCGTAGACTGATTGGCCGCGGAACTTGGCGACGGCGATAGCGATGACACAGCCAAGAGCCATACCAATGAGGTACGTGAGTGTGCCAGCGAAGATACCGATCAGGATGGGAATGAAGATGGTGAGGAAGGCGCGTCGAAGCATCATGTGGACGCGGTGGTGACGGTGGTGGCGATGGCCGTGATGTCCGCGATGTCCTCCCATGTGTGCGTGTCCAGGGCGGAATCGGTGCGGCGGCTTGCCTTCATAAAGCTCCCCAGCCATGGGGTTGCCCTTGTGCTTGTGGCAGCCTGCCTTGCCACCCATGTGTCCCATGTGCGACTTCAGGCCGTTGATCCTTTCGGCCATAATGGCCTTCCACTTGCAATATAGCGGCCATTTTTGGCACTCCTTCTCCTGATCGATAGGGCTCTTATCCTCAGGCTTCGTGGTCTGGAAGGATGCAATCATGAGCTTGCCGTTCGGGTCCTTGAGAAGGTTGATGGTGAGCGCTGGAGGATTCACTGCCTTTTCTTCGATAGAGTTGATTTGGAAAATCATAGGAATAAGCTCGATGCCCGCCTCAGATACGGTTTCAGCGGAGTTGTAGTGGAATGTGTAGCCGGTGACGCGGAGGGGTAGGTTCTCGCCATCGGGGTTGACCTGGGCGACGCGGAACGGCTGGGCGAAGTAGCCAAAGGTCGGAGGGTACAGCTGGATACCATCGATGGTGAGGGAGTCTTCGTGAGGTCCTACTTCGAAGTCGAGCATCTGCCCACATGTCAGTAGCTGTCATCCGGGTGCAACAGCCGAGAAGCAGCTTACGAAAGAGTTGCCGTTGCGCTGCGTCCACGCAAAGTCGTCTCCATCCTTGGAAGCAAACTCGCAAGTCGCGCAGTCGAGAGAAACACTACGGGGGTATGAGCTGGCAGCGATTTCCATGGCCATATCGTCCCCGAGGTTGAGCTCCGCAGCGGACACCTCGGGAGGGATGAGAATCGCACTCGCCGCCCCTGCGGCGGCCAGCGCCAGGTTCAAAGTGCGCGAGACCATCGTGAAATGGTACAGGAAAGAAGTTGGCAGGTGTAAAGGGGATGGTAGAAGAGAAGATCACGATAGAGGCAGTGCGAGACAAAGGGCCGAGCCAAGGCTACCTGTCAGCGTTCTGGTGTTCCACTGTCTCCGCCGCCTGACCCGGGGTGGACGCGTCATTGTCACGTGAGAAGCTAAGCTTCAGGCCTAAAGATAACTTTAGCGCTAGCCTATTGCACTCACTTCAGTTCACATCACAGACAATGCTCGTTTCACGTAGACGTGAACTCGCCCAGATTAGCCAACACCATAGCAGCCAGGGTAGACAGTAGAAAGCTTCGGTATCATAAACCACGCAAAGTGACTCCCACTGCAAGATAGGTACTGAGTGCTTCTGGCATAATTTCCGTAGACTCGGCCGCGATATTTGCTTTACTCCACTCGATTCACATACGCGTCACATCAGTAAACTAGGAAATTCAATAAAAATAGGTCGTACGCAAGTTGCGAGCGAGCATTTTGAATGGCTAACACAACATTAAGCCGGTTTGTAATGCTATGAAAATCATCGCCGCACGCCCTGCTGTTACGAATCCCTTGAGCTAGGAGACTTATGCACACCCGCGCTTGAGTCGACCATGTATCCAGAGCTTCTCTCGCTCCATGAAGTCAATCTCGGGCAACGCCTCTGCCAACTGTCTCCACACCACTAATCACATCAAGCAACGCAATCATGACTACAATATAATACTATTAGTCAGTCAAAGCTACCAGCTCAAATTGAAGATACGCACCAGTACCGAAGCTCAATATAAAGCTAGCAACCCGTCAAGGCGGTCTGCGCATCACCACCTTTCGCCGTCCAAACAATACCGACAAGACATGAGACGAGCCAGGGGATGCACCCAGCGATTTCGATTCGAGTAGTGTTCCATTCTTCAACAAAGTCCACGGCGTGACGTTTGTACGGTTGGCGAAGTCTAAATATCCACTGAGTCCAGTTTGTCTGGTCACTTACTACAGTGCGATCAGGGTGTCTGAATGCGTAGAACATCTCCTAGAGGACGAAATTGTCCAGTGGGACGATTGTTGGTCGGCGTCCAGGTGAGTGCTTTGCACTTAGTGGAAACCTTCGATTGAAATTCGAACGGGAGCATACCTCGAAGAGTTGGAGACTAATCAGGCCTTTTATTCGCTTTTTTTGATCATAAGCTGGACGGAACAACTATGGTCGTCGACGCCAGGAAGCCTTGCAACGACAAGTACTCCGAGGTGTAAAACGATCAAGCCTAAATTGGGCTGTGCGTTCATTAAATCGGCTCCTACAATCCCACGTGTTGATACACACGAGACTCTTTGGTCCAATAGACTTGAACAATTAGTGGATGATGGGCAAACTTTAGTGTGTCCCTTATGCATCTCCCGTCTGCAAAGCAACACCCAAATCTTAGTAGTGATAAACATTTCAATTCAGCCTGCTCATACGCTCCACTCCCCCTACGCTCCTACTTTCTCCCCATCCTCCTCCAAACCCCATCTACCTCTTCAAATTCTTCTGCTTCTCCGCATCCTTGACCAACACCTCCTGAACCACCATCCCCTTCCTCCTCCTAACCCTCTCCATATACCTCTTCGCCACATTCTCCTTATCAGCCAGCTCCCCCAAATCCTCGAGCTCATCCTCCGTAAACGGCACCCAAAACGGGTCCTCGTCCAGCATCTCAAAGCCCGCAAAGCGCAATTGCGGCGACGCGCTGCCTGAAGAACGCTTCCGGATCTCGTCACTGAAGCCGAAGGACTCAGCCACGGGGAGGAGCGCGCTGATGGTGAACGTCTGGTTGCCCGTTGTAGACGCCGAGGACGTAGATGACAAGGTTTCCGAGAGAATCTGTCCGTGGCGCCGAGTGAGAACGGCGTAGACGCGGCCGAGGACGTCGGTCGAGGCTTGGATTTCGCACGTGTACATTGCGAGGAGCATGCGGGGGGACCAGTCGAGGAAGCCGGCGTGGATGGAAGAGCGCACTGTTTTGATGATTTCGCCCGTTAGGCGGCCCATGCGCTCGGAGCTGTTTTCTGATTCTTCGGGGAGGGAGAGGGTGACTTCTTCGAGGAAGACGGCGATGCCTTGGACGGGCTCGGCACAGAGTGGTCCTTGGGCGGTGGCGAGCTGGAAGGCGTAGGTGATTTTGTCGGTGAGGGATTGCGCGGTTATGGTGGATGTGGATTGCTCTGAGTGTTTTGGGTCGGGCGAGGAAGAGTCGCGAAGGCTGTATGTGTTAGCAGTGATTGAGGGGAGACTCTAGGGGGCTTACGGTTTGGTACAGATGCCCTCTTTAGTCGCATCTACGAGGATGTTGGGCCCTATCCTCCTCGGTCCGAAGGCCGCGATCGTCTCGATGACATTCGTCCACACTTCTCGTTGAGCTTTGTTGTCTTCGTCGTCAAAAGCGTCCTGCAGCTGCTTTTTGAACTCGTCGAAAGTCAAGGTATGGCCCGTCTCCAGCTGTTCGGCTTCCTGCATGCCATCTTGCTCCACGACCGGACCCTCGGCAGGCGTATCATGAGCGATTCGCTGCCGCTCCTCTTCATCCCTTTGATCGCTAAAGAGCCTCTTGATCGCTCCAGCATTCTTACCAAGGAATTCTGTTACGTTTGCTGGCAGTGGACGGACGCGCAGGCGAACAGTGACCTGTTTGCTCACCGTCACACCGATGACAGTTCCACGTGGGAGATTCGGATCCTTTGGCGGGTTCATCTCTGCGGCAGCAACGATTGACTCGCGGTAAGGCACAATAGGAGCACCAGCCTGGATCTCGCATTTTGCGAAGCGCTCTTTGAGATCCTTCAGACACCTTTCGAGATGCAACTCGCCAGCCGTGAGAATGACATGCTCACCACTCGGTAGCACTTCGTATTCGGCACATGGATCGCTTTGAACGAGCAGTTTCAGGCCATTGATCATCTTGTCCAAATCGTATGGATTCTCCGGCTCCAGGGCAACTCGCACGATAGGGTGCGTACCCATGTTGATACCGGCTAGATTGACTGAACCAGGAAGCTGCGAGCACAGCGTCCCTGATTTGAGAACGTGCCCAGCAAGACCACCGATGCCGAAGACGACACCAGCTGGGACCGTGGTCAGCGATTCTAGGCCACGTCCCATCATCAAGTAGAGTGCGGTAACCTTGACTTTCTGTGGCTCAGGTGCAGTATGCGGTCTTGCTGGTGTGAATTTTGGTCCCAGAACGTAGACCTCGTCACCAACGCTCAGCGTGCCCGAGTAGATGCGGGCGAAACCGATCAAATGCTCTGCCTCTTCTTCAGTTTCCTCGTTCTCTTCTGGCGTTTCCGACTCCCCAATCGCAGCTCCGCTGAGTGCTTCGGTCACACTTTCAACATCGTTGGCACCACCACTCGCCAATGCTTGCTGTCGGGCAATCTCTGCGCGCTTCTTGCGACCAAGTTCTCGAGCTTCCTCAGCACTGAGCGCTCCTCCTCTTCGCTTATTCTCCGGCAGCTCGCTCTCTGGTATTGAGACCATCTTGCTCACATAAGCTACCACTGGCGCGTCCTTGGTTTTGAATTCAACCATGGCGTCTCTGACTTCCGGCGCAACATAATCGGCACCGGGAGAGTTGTCAACAATCTCAGGTATCCGTTCCGCTTGAGCTTTGGGAGGCGACGGCAGATGTTCTGTTACGGAGACAAGCAATGCTGTGGACAGAGGAAGCCAAGCTGCGAAAAGAGTAGTCAGAAGTGCTCGTGGATCTCGGGATCGCAAAACATGCGCTGGGATGGTCAGGTTGAGTGACTTGGTGATCTTCTCTACCATTGCGGGATCTCTGTTGTTGCATGTATGAGTATATTGGATAAAGTATGTACAACGAAAAGCAAGAGGAAAGGAAATCCACGCACCCCTTCCCATTGTTACCTCCCGTAGTGGCTTCATACACAGCCCATATGTTGTCGAGTACTAGCTGAACGAACATTGGCTTGAGATGCCGGCCTTTGAGATGTTTGTAGCCCAGTATGCGTTTCGACTTGGGATCTAGGTAGAAGTCGCCCCATAGGACCTTCTCTAATACAGAGCGCTTGATGCCGAGCTTGCGCTCGTACAGGCTCGCAAACTGTCTGACGGTAAATGCCCAACCGTCAATGGCACTACTGAAGATGACGTTGTTGTTTTCAGGAGCGAAGTAGATGTCTTCGTCGTCCTTCTCCTCGTACTCGGCTGGAGTATTAGTTGTGTCTATGCTGTCACCATTGTCGAGGATAGAAGAGTTTGAGCTCTCTTTCTCAGCGGCCGCGGCTTCGAGTCGCTCTTCCATCTTCTCCCGCCAACGGAGGTCGTCCTCCATACGTTCTCCTTGGTAGAAGCTGCCCATGACGGCATTTACCTGCTCCAACAGCTTACTCAGGTGAGTATAGGCTTCCCCTGGACTCATTTTCAATTCTGTGATTAGCCTGTCCATCTTGTTAATGACGAGCAAAGGTTTCAATTTCTCAATCCACGTCTGTCGCAGCACAGTGACAGTCTGGCTACACACGCCTTCCACGGCATCTACAAGGACGACAGCGCCGTCGCACAGGCGCGAGGCGGTCGAGACTTCGTAACTAAAGTCAATGTGTCCGGGCGAATCTATGAGATTTATCAGGAACTCCTTATGTTCGGGTTTTGCGTCGGGTGCAGATCGGCGTAGAAGGGAGAAGTATAGCGAAATGGCAGAAGACTCCATAGTGATGCCTCGCAATTGCTCATCCGGTCTTGAGTCTAAGTATCGTATCTTGCCCGCGAGCTTGGGAGATATGATGCCATTGGTGGCGATGAGCGCGTCGGTGAGCGAGGTCTTGCCATGGTCCTGGTGACTTTAGCAGTGACGATGGACGGGAAGGTGTGAACAGCGTACGACGTGGGCGAGGATGCATATCTACACACTGTTAGTTTGGAGCAAAGGACGAGTGTCGCTGGGGTTTGAGGTACGTTTCTGATGCCTTCAGCCGCCTGCTGCAGCGACACCAGCTTCTCAGGCGCCACGACGGGCATTTTGCTGCCGCGCTGGTCTTCTTCTCTGGTCTAGAGCTTCAGCGGGTGCGTGGTCGAGCAGCGCTGGCGGGGGTGCCTGTGGGATCGCGCGTGGGAGATGTGTTTCACTGCAGGCGATCAAAACCGTCGCGAGGGCGTCAAAAATAGACAAGATTTGAAGGACGCTGGGCGGGAACAGGTGCTCCTGGTGCTGCAGAGAGCGGTTGGCTGTTACTCTTTGTACTGTGAATTTTGTCTGACCCTTCCGCCATCGACCCCACTACTCATAATGACTACTGGCTGGTGGCGGCCGTGTGCGATGCAGACGTACGTCAGAATGCCGCCGCGCCGATCGAACGCGGGAGCTAGCTGTGCCTCTCTCGACGCGTCAACGGTTTTCCCATCCCCAACGTGATCCGCCCTTCCGCGGCATCTGTAAATACTGCGAATGCTGCTGCTGCTGTCAAGGCTCGTGCCCGATGGCCAAGCTCCACCCTCGCATGGCCCTTGCCCCTGCCGCCGGCTGCTGTCGATCTCCCTGCCATAGCACTAACCAAGATCCATAGCGACTCGAACCCCCCAAACATACCGCGGTCTGCAGAACAAACACCCTTCACGCCTCGCCCTCCCCCTCTTCTGGATGCAGCGCATCCGAACATGGCAGTCACAATGACCGATACAAACCTCCAAACACCTCTCAAGCCCATTTCCAAGCCCGCGGCGCTCATGAAGCTGGAGACACCCACCCAGCAGCCGCGCTTCGAAGCCCTGCGCGCGAACAACGCCACCGTCATGTCGCCCGTGAACCAGAATGGCAGCTTCGAGTTTGACCGCGTTATCAAGTCTGGCACCGTCATGAAGCGCACCCGCAAGACCAAGGTATGCGCCCTGTCAGCCTCCTGTTTGCACATTTGTTGACAGCCAGCGCAGCAATGGAAGCCCGTATACATTGTCCTCCGCCCGAACTTACTCTCCATCTACCGCGACAAGGATGAGTCCAAGCTACGCCACCAGATCACCCTCTCTGAGATCACGGCCGTTGCACGCCAGAAGGACTCCAAGAAGAAAATACAGCATGTCTTTGGCGTCTTCTCGCCTGCCCGCAACTACCACCTCGGCGCCGCCACGGAAAAGGAGGCACAACAATGGGTCGATCTTATCCGAGCTGAGGCGCGCATAGACGAGGACGAGGAGGAAATGATTGTCATGAGCCCGACAGGCAAGAAGACCTTCAGCGGCTTTGACAGGTCCAAGAAAGGAGAAGTTGTTGGATCTAGTTCCTCGGAGGTGGAGCGACCCACGAGCTCAGTAACGCTTGAGAACATGCACAGCGCACGACGGCCCTCACACTCTCTCCAATACTCTGGTAACGACTACGGATCGTTTTCCGACTTCTCAGACACGGGCGGACCTGTGCATGCAAAATTCCAAGGCTCCGTGAACTCGCTTCCGCCGCCACAGGAGCTGCAACCTCATAATACTAGTCAACAGAGCAACATTGGTACTGTGCCGGATAATGACCGAGTCGTTTATCACGGCTGGCTTTATGTGCTCAAATCGAAGGGCGGCGTGCGACAGTGGAAGAAGGTCTGGGTGGTGCTTCGACCAAAGGCGCTGGGATTCTACAAGAACGAAGACGAATATTCCGCCAACCTCATCATACCATTTTCGAGCATCATCGACGCTGTTGACATCGATCCTCCGTCCAGGAGCAAGCAACACTGCTTCCAAGTCATCTGTGAAGAGAAGAACTTCCGCTTTAGCGCGCTTAACGAAAATGCCTTGTCCAAATGGCTGGGCGCATTCAAGAGCTTACTAGTCAAAAGGAAGGAGGCTGAACAGCAGCGCGTGCTACAGGCGACAGGGAATACCCAGCCTCCGAGGACGTCGACCAGCACACAGCAAGTCGCCCAGAAGAACCCAATGCCCGCGACCCACCCGCAAGCACCACAACATTAACCACAAGCGATAAATTAGCCACGTCGCGGGTTATGAAGCACCTACCACACCGCGCTGCCTGCTGCCTGATACCTTTCTCACCGCCGCTTCATACTTACTCGTCACAACCACACCATTGTTCCCTGTACATACCCGTTTCCTATGTTTCCACCCACCAAACATCAGCCCCTCGCGACAAGCATTTCCTATCTCTTAGTTTCCACTATCGGGTTGTTTCCAGCGCTTCAGCGAAAGCTCGCCTTCGAGTATTCATGACCTTCTACGAATTACGACTTGAGCATTAGGCTCGTGGGCCTTGCACAGACGGCCCCGGTGGCTTGTTGAATTATGTTGGTGGGGCTTGTAGCGATTGATAACGTGTAGTCTAGTTAGTGTGTAGTTGTACTTTGTAATACGCTCGATGAGAGCTAATTGGATTCTATGACTTTGTGTATTGTGTACGTCTTCTGAGCGATGTACATTGAGACGTACTTTATGAAAGGCTGGGTAGGTGCGGTGATGTGAGGAGGTTGTAGGGCAGTGATATCCGCGCAGCGCGTCCCTTTCTTTCTGGGGAAGAGGCTCCTAGTCGGTGCCTGTATCAATCGAGGCGATTCTTACTACTTCTTTTGTATTTTCTTCAGTAGTTTGAGTGACGGTCTTCGGCACCTCAGAGCGCTCCATGCATTACAAAAGGTACGTAAGATAATAACAGCACAGGAATTATCATAGCTTTGTTCCTCCATGATTCGTTGGTCGATGCCTGAGCATTCGGAGAGTCATGCAGATCAAGTAAAAGACTCAGTGCCTCGTGCAGAAATGGAAAAAGGAAAATAATCAGTACGACGTAGATGTGTAGAATGCCGCGGTAGGGAAGGACTTGTGGGTCGGTTTGAAAGGGAGACATGTGGTACTTTTCGATAATGTCAAAGACACTTAAGCATCGCACAAAGTATCTTTCAAAAGTGATATAGACCTCATTGATATGTTATTGTAGGCAACACACGGCCTCATTCCATCCAACGCGGGTTGTAGAAAATTTGCAAACGCAGTGGGTCGGGCGCGGATAGGGTGTTGAAAAACTCCTCACAGCAAACCAAAAAAACATTTCCCACTCCAACACGGCAAGCCTAGTCACAATCTTCCAATCAACCATCCTCGATGTCTCCTCCTACACACATGAAGCCTTTTTTTCCTGTCCATTCTTGCTATAGATACCGCATTATTGAAATCCTTCCATCAACCAATCACAAATGGTCGGTTAGCTCAGTTGGTTAGAGCGTGGTGCTAATAGCTCCTCTGTTAACGCCAAGGTCGCGGGTTCGACCCCCGTACTGACCACCACATCCGATATGGTCTAGTGGCTAGGATACATCGCTCTCATTCACAGTGTTCACAGAAGAATTTGGATCCCGATGTGGCCCGGGTTCGATTCCCGGTGTCGGAAACACTCTCTTTTTGCTGTTTATTGGATCTGGGATTATCGTGTTGTGATGGGGTGGAGGTGGTGGAGGTGGTGAAGGTGTGGGTTGGTGGCGGGTGGAACAGTGGGCTAGCGTCGGATGCTCTTCTGAGTTACGGGTAGAAGAGCACTATGAAACTCGATCATTTGATGATGTACCCCTTTGCAATTCACGTTTTGATTCAAAGACGGACGGTTTCTTATTTCACTTTAGCATGCATCGCTCCCGTTTGACACTTGTTTCGATGTAACGACTACTGGCTCAACTTTGATTCGGGTTCGATCTCCGGTGCCACAGAGTATTTCTTGACCGCGGGCAGAGCAGTGGTATTCGTGGACTCGTTCTTCAGTGATTCCGGGTTCTGGTTGTAGTCATTGAAGTTTTGCATTGCAACATCTCTTCATCCGTTCACTTTCGATTCCACTAATCTATGGATCAGATGTTCCTCATGCGTACCACTCGTCATCACCCTCATCACCCCACCTCTTTCTTGCTCTCGTCCTTCGCCTCATGTTTTTCTTGCTTCTCCAGACGTACTCGCTTCCACCCGGCCTAGGTTGGTGCTGTGCATTGGTACGTGAGCCCCTTCCTTCCATTAACTCCTTGCTCTGTTCGAACAGCCTATCCGTTTCCCAGTGCTCCAGATACTGCCTGATGATTATGTAGTTTGGATCGCTGTCATCGTAGTCCCAAGGTAGATAAGCGTCGTCGAGGACCGAGGGTACGATATACTTCTTGTGGATCCGCATGTATGTAGGTCTGTCGGGAGGCGGTGGAGGAACATCATATCTTAAGGGACGGGGACGGGGACGGGACATGGCCGTTTGTATTAGCTTGTTCTGCCTCCTCATGACTGCAGGTGGTGGTGGCGGTGGAGATTCAGGCTTCGATCTAAGATCAGGCAAAATTTTGGTTTCTGTGTACGAGTATGGTACGGCGGCAGGCATTTCGATTGTTTGTATTGACGACGGGAAAGCAGGCTTGCGTGCAGAAGATCGCCGCGCAATATCCAGCCGTAGCTCCGCACTATCATCGCCAACGCCCCAGTTCTCCGTGACGAGGCCTTGCCTTGTCTTTCTGGAACGGTCCCACGCGTTGGAGTACCAGGTGTCGTTGTAGTCCGGCTTTGCTTTCGGTGCTGCATACTCCGCATCATCAGCCATAGAAAGTGTGCTCGAGGAGTCTGTTGGGTTCTTCGCCGCGCGTCTCCTTTGTAGCACGCTAATCCCGCGCGCCGAGAGACGGCGGTCCTGCTTTCCGGTCAAGGATCGGTAGATGGAAGAGGTGAAGTCGCGGATCTCGTCACCATTATACGCTATCGCTAGCATAATGGCCATGATGCTAACGGTGAGCGGGAGAGCAATCTCCCAAAATAAACCCTGCTTGTTTTCCATGTCCCTGATGTCGCTAGTATTCATGCCGAGATATGAGGTCACAAAGGATAGAGGAAGGAAGATGACGGTTACCACAGTGAAGACGAGAATGGCTTTGCCGTGATCTTCCTCGTTGATCTCAGCGCTTTGCTTGGTGCTGTTGGATAGAGGTCCACACCGGCGGATTTGATCTTCGTATTCTTCACGCGTGAGAGCGAGATTATCCAGGCAAGAGTTCAGCAGGAGGCGTTCGTACGGATACAGAGCGCGACGAGAAGGGACGTCAATCGGGTAACTGGCATCATCCAGAACAGACATGTAGTTGTTGACGAGTCGGGTTTGCCAGTCATTGACTTGGGCGAGGATTGTAAGTTCTTCCTGCAGGAGATTGATGGAACGTAAAAGACGTTTCGAAGGCCTGTGATTCACTTGGAATTGCTGTGGCGTTGTCATTTAGCGTACGTAAAACTGATCCTGTGGTATTTGACTCACCAGCGTTGACAGGTACTCGCGATACATGTCACCAACAGTCATGCTCTTCTCTAAAGGCTTGACGATCAGCCGTCTTATGAGCCAACTTGAGATCGACTCAGCACCCCACGACATTCTCTCTGTGGCATCATTCGTCGTAGGTGAGCGCACCATTTCGCACAGCTCTTCTCGCGCTTGCAGCACTGACGACTCTACGCTGTCATGGAAGTTGCTTAGAACCTCAAGGCCAGGGTCACTGTAAGGATAGTCCTCCTGATAGCCTCCTCGTTTGGTCTCATCAAAATATTCCTCTGTATAGTGTAGGCTCCGCTCGACGGAGAAGTAGAACACAACAAGGCGATGTAATGTCTCGAGCAGCTTCCGCGGAAATGAATAGAGATCGGAGAGATTGCCTTCTTCGTCTCGCACACCATCGACAAGCTCCTTGAGGTGCTCGAAGATTTTGCCTGCTTCTACGATGGCGCGGTCTAGAACTGCACAGGCGCCAGCCATGGTCGATTCGAGCAAAGCTTGATCGTCGTTACGGATCCAGCCCTTCCAGGTCTCGTTGTCTTTTAAGAAGGAGCTAGAGTTCGAATCGCCTTGCTTGCTAGCCTCAGCTGCAGCATGCTTACGTAGGTGTTTCAGGGCCGCGTTAGGGTCGTCGAACGGTGCTTCTCGCGCGCATCGTTTGCATCTTTTCAAACTGCTGCCGAACTCCTTGTCATCCTCAGGAAGTGGAAGCTTGAACTTCGTTGCATCCGCATTAGCATAAGTGTAAGACATGGAAGGCGTGCGAATTCTCCATGCACGTGTGTTAGTTTTGGGTGTTTTCCAGCCAGGATCGGTATATTCTTTGGGGTCTGGCTCATAGGCTGAATGTTCTCTCAGCCTTTCTACGGCTGCTGCAATGTTGGCAGTTGCTCCCCAAACTTTCTGCATCAATATAGGCTTGTTGACATCCCCGAAGAATAAGCCGAGAGTATCATGCACAACCTTGAAGAACTCGTGGGCTTTGCTAGGTAACTTCGAGGACTGATCGCGCACGATGATTTGATGGTGCGAGCAATGAGATCGATTGGACTCAGCGTCCGTCCTTTGGATCTGTAAAGTTATATTCTTCTCGACCTCTTCGAAAGTGCTTTCGCGTAGGGTTTCGTAGTATTTTGTCGAAGTGAAGGTCTGCTCTACCGGGCCATTCGCCGCAGTTTCTGATAATATTGCGTTCACCATAGCAGCCTCCACCCTTTGAAGGCATTTCGTTGCGTGTTCGATGCCCACAGGGAGAGACAACGAGCGCATCTGATCCTTACTCAGCGCAGAAGGCCAGTGATAGAATGGCGGTACCGAGCCATGGGTCATTGCCGCATCAAGAAGAGCCGGAGGAAGTGTATCAGACACGTTCTCCGGAACGTCCTTTACCAAGACAAGGTCGATGAAAATGACGTGCTGTTGGCGAACTACAGCTGGCCAATTTGCTGGAGTAGCTTTAATCCTGTCTCCCTGGTGTTGCAAGAGTATTTGAACGGCTCCTGCGGACCACGACTCACGGCTAAACCGTCGCAGCTCTCTGATCCTCTGTTCCGCTTGAAAATAGGTACCGCATTCCTGAGGTGAGTATAGTAGTACACGTCCGTCCGGAACACTAAATCGAACCGAGGTTATTGAGTTCTTTGTGCCGGCGCCAAGCTGCTTGAGGTCCTCCTGAAGCACCTTAATGGATTTGGTGAAATCGCTCGAAAGTGGACTATAACCGCAAGTGATCACTGCTCTGCCATCGACATTCAGCATCCATAACGCCGGGACGTGTATCAAACCACCTTCTCGCGCATTTCCAATGCTTATATAAGCTTGTTCCTCGTCTCGATCCCTTACTGGCTCATAAGGATAGTAAGACTGTATAAGGGTCCGTGGGGGGTGTAGACGATCGCTATTTGAGCTGTTGCTCTGCGGTTTCTGTATGTCGAAATACGGTATACAAGAGAAGATCACAGATTGAGGGTCTGTTTGATTGCATTCATCGCCACGCACGACTGTTCCTGGTTCGATAAACAAGCCGCCTAGGAAGGCCTTGACATATTCCTTCTCGATCTTATGCAGCGTCTTAGCGATTAGGTATCGGGTACGCTCAGAAACATCCGGTATTGTCATGCAAGTGGTCTTTATTCGTGTTAGTCAGTTAGGTGTCGAGAAACAGTTTTCCTCACCTTGAACTGGTTCCAGTCTAGGGCCGCTCCATATAGATGGAACCACCGGATCCCGATGCTGGGAGAGAGCGCACTATTCTCCGGACCAGGGAGAGTGTAGACTTCTAAAGTCGTTCGATTCTCTGTTGTGGTAGTGACAGCCTTAGTGATCTTGAGCGTCTCTGTCGTCATTCCGTGGTCCTTGCGGGGGCTCTTCGACAACGACTCTTTGCTGCTGTCCAGCACTTTGCTGGACGTCAATAGCTTAGCGGCCCATCTCGTATCTATCGCAAAAGATAGTGGATTCCCCTCTTCGTCCACGGGCGGGACGACAGCGCGTATCTAGCTTCGGTGAGAAGTGTATCACACTCGTCATACTAGGGCACTTACCGGTTCGGCTGATGGTGCTTCAGAGTTTTCATCCCCACTCATTGTTACTGAATCCCCGTCTTCGATATATTCCTCATCGCCATGAACCGAGCTTTCTGCATCCGACCCTGTATTTTCAAGTGAGACTTCATCTCCACTCGCAAGGCTAACGTCGACATCGACATCCACAAACTCGACTTCCCGATGCTGTGGGAAAAGATCTTCTTGTATCTGTATGGAACGAGGTCTCTTGTCGAAGGAGAACAAGATGCGTACGGCCATCCCTTGTTGAACAAGATCGTTCCAAAGGCTGGGCAGAATCACGCAAACTCCATCGGCCACATCATACGCCACCTCGAACTTATCATTACGAATGTCATTAAGCCTTTCTTCATCGCCTTTTCGCGCGTATATTTCCTCAACATAAGATCTAAAACGCTATGTTGGGAGATATTTAGCTTTCGTAGAACAGACTAGCTGGAAGCCATACGTACCGAAAAGTCCTGAGCGTGTTCCCACAATATAGGATATCTGTTGCCAGTATGATCTACAATCAACAAGAGCGGTGCTGTATGGGATTCATCCTTCCGCTCGAGATCGCTTGACGCCGGTCCTATTGGCTGATCTACGATTGGCGCGCCGCCTGACGCGATCGAAGGATCAAGGGTCGTGGCATCTTCGGCCATAACAACGCAACAAGGATGGACCTGCGCGCGTCGCAAAACTCAAGCGAAGAGATGGAAGAAGAAGCATGGTGGATATTTGATGCCTTCTTGGGCGTCAGTTGCTGTCGCGCCTGGGTCAGCTTCTGATCAGCTGCAGATCGCTAAACCCTGTTCTGCTTGTGGCGTCCTAGTCGCGTGCATCTTATACCCACTGGGCATCCCTTTGAAATAATTGGCCGTACTGGCATGCCGGCCGGCCGTCATTGTTAACATATTGACAACAGCGGTGAGAGCAGTCGAGGCGCGAAGGTTGCGCCAAAAGAGCGACACGAGGAAACTGGCTCGTCTCACTGTGAGTGAATGGACGGGGCACACCGAAAGATTCACAGATGCAGAGAGAAAGGATCAATGTAAAAGAAGGTCAGATTCCATTGCATGAGAATCAAGGCATTATGCGCTTTCTCTGACGTTGGATACGACTATGAACAAAGTGTTCGAATCGACGCTTTCAGCAAGAGCGATACTAACCCAAAGCGCGGACCTAATCAGTCAATGCTGTTGCTTGTACAGTTGCCGATATGGGGGGTTTTTTTTTCCGGATCGTAACAAAAATAGCAGCGGGTGCGGTGTCAAGCTGCAAAAGATAAACTCCACCAAGACAAAGCCTTGTTGGTCCATTAGTATCAAAGGCCTCGTATAAGACACATTGGACACATCCCAGTGCTGGTTGACTGCGAATTGCAGGTCAAAGACGCTCCGAACTGAAGTCTGACGTTGTACGTTCTTGTCAACGCTCGGGCGACGCAGGCGCCACTCGAGACCAATACTTGGTCATGATCCAGGTAAAAAGAGACAAGGTGTCGGCAGAGATTCGACAGACTAGTCTTCACGGTCAATCTTGCCGATAATCAGCCGCACCTTCACCTCAGAAGCTATCTCTTCGAGGCTCGGGAACATCGTCCCCTTTCGCAAGCGTTCCAAGGACTTGTCGGTGAATGATTCAGCGAACCACATTTCGATTCGTGTCATGTCAGCCATCGATTCTCCTGTCGCTTTCTCCTGCATCAGATCTTGTACACACGGGATAGTATCGAAGACCGCATCATGAAGGATGAGATGTTGAAGAGACTGAGGGAGAGATTTGAAGGTGTCTAGGTCTTCATTGACGATGGCGCGGAAAGGCGCGGTCAATGTCTTCAGGCTGGTGAGCATAGCCATAGTTGTTGACTCGAGCTCCGGGCCTGCGATTTTGCGAGGCATTTTCAGAGAGACCAAACGCGAAAGGTCGTTGAGATGTAGTAGGATGAGTTCAGCTGAAGCGTAAGCATAGTTGCGGTTATTATCCCTCGGTCCATCCGAGAGATCCAGGTGCATGAGATTCTCAAATGCAGCGAGCAGCGGTCCGAAATAACCTGTAGGGTGTGTTCTATCCAGACGACCAGGCTTGGGCACAAGCTGTATGTCTGATATCAGGTGCATTAATATTACGAACAACCGCAAGATCGATCGATGATGACTCACCTAGACGGAGTCTGGACACATTTCGGAATTGCACACTTGAGATAGTGGCGGGAGTGAGCCCTGCTCGACGGTTGGGTCGAAACTCCAACCTCAGATGCAGGTCTTGAATACCTGGAAAATACTCTAGCCCGGTTAGAGCAACCGGTGACGGTCCACGAATTATCAACGACTTGACAGAGCGCAGGGCACCAAGGCGATGGAAATAAGCGAGATGGTGAGCCTTAGTGGGCCTTGTACCGAAGAAAGTACAGAGGAAGTCGATGCCATCGTCTTTGAAAGATTCTGTGTCTAGCACAAAGGCCACATGTCTGACGTTCGGCACCAGAGTCAGAATGATGCCAATGAGGCAGTAAGGATATTGCGCCCTCAGCTTCTTGGTCCAGCTTATGCGAAGTCTCCTTGGAATGCCGAGGGTTTTGATATGGGCCGCCGCTCGGCTTAGAATATTGTGCTATCCCACAACGTTAGTGGGTGCAATTTTTCGAGAGGAGTCACATTGTACATACCGCAGGTTTACCTTCCTCCAGGTTGTACAAGGCCATCTCCTTAGCGCAGGACTGGCTTGGGATGAGGACCGTAAGTTGTCGAACCTTGGGGCCAAGATCTGGTCGGTCGAACAATGTGCGGACGAACAGAGCCAAAGGGGATGCTCGCAGGGTCGACCTCCAAGACCCCCAAATATATGCCCCTGGAGTTTCACAGATCATAGCAGACTCGACAAGTAGTTCTTGTGACCATACACCAAGACCTTTGTTGACCAGTGCGGCGCTTCGGTAGTTTTTCGAGTCCCACCTAAACCAATCTTGAAAGACTGATTCATTGGTCTCAGCTTCCTCATCATAGATGGCGGGAGTATCTTCTTTTAGAAATGATAGTACGTTCCTGATGATCTCTGTTGGGAGGGTATCGAGACGGGTGGTGTCTATATGTCGTTGCGTAAGCGAGTCTGCATCAGGATGAACGGAATGGGGACGTCTTGGAGGCCTCACTTTTGATTTCTGTACACGATACTAAGGCCGTGTCAAGCTCGGACACCTATAGATCGTCATTGATTAGCGTAGGTTCGCGAAACTGACCGATGTTCGTACGCTACTTACTGCAGGCTGCGACGCATGTTTCCCATTGCTGCGCAAAAGCGCGAGTCGACCAGGATCCAACTGTCTGTGATCCATAGTGCCTTTTCAAGCAGAGCTATGGAAACAGGATACTGGGCGTCCAGCAACAAGAGTAGAGTGGGGACGAGGTAGTGAAGTAAGAGAGTCGAGAAAGCACTTGAGGTTGCTGACAAAAACAAGCAAACGGCGCAAGCGATATCTGCTTCACCGCTGCTAGCAAATCGTAGCCAGGCTCTCTCACTATCACCTGTAACTCGTGAGTATCATCCCGCGCGGGATATCGGTCTGGTACAACTCAAACAATAGACTCGAAATCGTTGAAGGTGGCTCGGTGTCAGTGAATAGTATACGTGCTAAATGATATGGTGTGAATATGTAGTAATTGCTAGCCTTCAAATTTCCATGTTGTCGTGCGTCCCTCCACATTCAGCAACAGCGCGATCGCTCACGGGAAAGACCTGCCCTCTCATCATATATTGAACCTTCGACTCAATAAAAGTACTCAACCACGCCACACCTTAGGTCCAGCACCCTGCCAGTTCTTTAGCTCCTCCATGGGTTGATATGGTCTGAACAAAGCTTGAGGTAGCCAGATACCTTCTTGCATTAGCATCCAATCTGAAGCCGCCAGTTTTAATCCTAACTTACCGGGATCTTTCGCATCGAATGCACCAGGGAAGTGAGTCACTGGGCCGGGAGTGCCTGTCCAATCTGTCAATCATTCAACCTTATCTGGTCAAGGAAGAGCATGAACACATACCTGTGCCTGAACCAGTAATCTCCACATGTGCACAAGCCTGATACATCTCTGTCGTCTTATAGAAGCCTCCATTCTCCATGTTCAGATGCTCAGCGCGTAGCAAGTACTTGCCCGGCGGGGTAGCAGCTGGGATAGTGAAGTTCATCTCCAAACTTCGTCAGTGTCGAGATCACCTCTAATATTGGTGACACTTACGATGCTGACTTGAGTATCGGGCCTATAGTCCCAGTGCACGCCATCCGATGCAGGCTTCACACCGATTTTGAACCTACGAAAGCTCCCTTAGTCCTGAGTACGAGAGGGAAGAAGTCTACCCACCAATCGCCGTCACCCTTATATTCATTCAAATCCACCGAATCGGGAGCCTTCGACAACCACGCCGTCGCCGGGCCGGGGTGATACATGTAGAAACTGGGGTCGAACTGTCATAAATAGTCAACGAGCCGCACTCACTCAATCAATGCCACTGGTAATGCCTACATCACTCATATCCTTGCTCTCATCTGATGAGAGACGACTCTGTCCTGCCACAGCGAACCCAATGGTGCTCCCCGCGGCTACCTTGAGAGTCTTAACAGGGAACAAGGGGAGCGTGCCATTTTCGCCGCACATGGCGGCTTCGCCTGAGTAGTCCCAGTTCGGAGCGAACTTCTTGGTGGTACTCGGGCTGTGACGGGTCAGCGAGAGGCGATGATTGGAAGGAAAATCTAGTTGGCACATAATACGTACCGAATGTATTCCCAGCGCTTGGAGACCACGCCGTCAAGGACGGTATAAGGGTAGCCATCTGTTGTTTTGCATTAAATGATGCGGATGGTAAGAGGGACAGCAAGATCGAAACAAATGACGTACAGTGAGCGTCGACTTGATGAAGGGTCGCAAGGGCGAGGAGTGTGAGTTGTGGAAGAGAGAACACCATGGTGGCTATAAATGGTACTTAGATATTGTGTCAATTGACTTGAGACGTCGAATCGAACAACAAGGTGTCTCATTGTTGCTTATGCCGAGGTTATATGTCCTTTTCGATGCTTATCTCGGTCCGGCGCAAGGGCCGTCTGGCAAGATATGATTCTCGTACGTATCGGTTTGTGTAGAGTCCGACTGCAGCTGCAGCACAGCGACATGGTAGTTTCCTCCATATTGATGAGTCTAGGATTCGTTCACTGGGTCCATGCAATGCAGAGGCTTGCTTGCTCCGTGTCGCATTGGAAGGATACTGCGGGGAGACGGCTACAAAAAGTGCAGAATGCAATAATTTAGCCATATTAGGGTAGTATCGACAACTTGGTCCCCTCTCTTAGATGTTGACAAATGATGAGAAGTGGTGGGGTGGATTGCCCAAGTTCAACTTCTGTTGGCATAGGTCCTGTGGTAGGAAAATCGTAGTGAGGCGTACAGAAATTACACTGCGGAGCAGGACCCAATATCAGAACGTGAACACTATTGCAGCATCAATGTCTAAGCAACAAAAACACGATGTCTGGTAACAGTCGTGGACGTCATTACGAAGCCAGTGCAAGCGAGGTATAGATCACAAGAAGAATAGCTCCATCAAGACGCTTCCAAGGTACGAGTAGAGCCAAGGTGATGATTTATGCTAGCCTGGGTAGGGCAGGACCTCACCAGTAGCTTCTTGTGCACCTAGGTTTTCACTTTCTCTGGTCCAACCAAATCCCACAGCGCAGCGCTCAATGCTCAATCAGTCACATCATATCTTCCAAAAGCGCACTGTAGAGTCTCCATCTACAGTCACAGCATATCCTTTCTTCTTCAGAAGATAGAAAGCAGATGGTCCCCATGAATGATCCTCGTTACTAACTGTCCAGAGCCACTCGGTGTTCGATTCGAAATCATAGAGGTATTTTCCATCGCGCCACTGCCAGGTGATCTTGTTACCGTTATCGAGCCACGAGATACCTGTGACTTCTAAGCATGAATTTACTGCAGCACGAATCCACGGGGTGCGACTTACCTGTTGCAGTGTAATAGTCGTTAGTAGCATCTACTTGCCAGATCTGAGTGACCTCTTTTGATGGCACTTTGTAGACGCGCAGCCTGCCGTCGTCGCCGATGGCAATCTGTTTGCTTGTAGGACTCCAGTCCAAATATCGCGGCCAGTCGTTGAAGCCCTTGATTTCGATGGGTGCAGCGGTGAGATTAGTGAGAGTGTAGATCTGGACGGTATTGTTACTGCTCCCGAGCGCAAAAGCGACGTACTTGCCATCTGGAGAGAAGCGAGTGAGCCAATTCTGCGCTTTGGTCGCAGGGAACGAGAAGATCTTCTCGCCCGAGGTCGCATTCCACAGATCAGCTGTCTCTTCGTGCCAGCTCACAGATGCCAGATGAACGCCGTCAGGCGCGAAGCTAAAGTCGGTGAGGTCAGGCTGACCCTTCAACGTGGCAATTGGAGTGTTGCTGGTGGTCTCTAGATCGTACACGTATCCGTATGGGGAGACTAGCTTGCCTTGCTTGCTGATGGCGCCGATGGAGCCTTGGTAAACGATAGGCTGGCCAACCGGTTTCAGATCTGACCCGACGTGTTGACGTATGGTTGTATTCGGGGTGTCGTATTTGTATGTCCCGATGCCAGTGAACACATCGTAGCCGCCTTGTGTGGCCGGTCGGACAGTAAGACCCACCGCGAACTGCTTGTCTGGCACCTGAAAGATAAAGCCGGACGCTGTAGCGTTCTTGTCCAGGTCAATGAATTCGACGTACGATCCGTTGGTTATGACGAGGTACTTTTCGTCGTTGGTGACTACAGCGTTGAAGTTGTCCTCTGGATCCGGTATATTGAGTTGATAGTGGAAGTCTTCGAAACCCCACTCCTTGGGATAACCCGATGCCCATTTTGCGGTTGCATTGTTCTTCGTGAAGTCTGACTTCGTCTTGGGAACGACAATGTTGTTGACAAGTACTGTTTTGACGCCAGGGAGCACTGCTGAATGGACTATCTCTAGCAAGCCTGCAGTCGCGAGAAGAAACTTGACGAAGACCATAGTGAGCACCAAAGCGACGGCTTAGTTACAATGAGTTTGTGATGATATGCCAGCGCGGTCGATTATTGTGGAGAAGTCGACCATTTAACATGATCCCGACCTAGCCATGCGTGCTGCTGTACAGACACCTCCGGTTGAGTCGGTCATTGGCATGCTCCGAGGACTAGCCACCTGCTTCTTCTTCGGACTTTTGCATATGACTGTTAGGGGCATTCCATACCATAATGAAAATTCAATATACGATGGAAAAGAAGAATATAGGCGCATGCCTCCGTAGAAAATGGCAAGACGTTTGGCGGTACCTTGCACACACGCATTCGCTAAGTTGCCCTCGATCCAGTAAGGCCCCTAAAAGCTGCATCAATAACGAATCCAGATATTGCAGATCTCTTCCCTGTGCATATCCTTCAGACCGGTCTCAGTCTCCATATTAAGATGCATTTTCGATCGCTGGGTGAAATGCCCTATATAGCCAGCCCTCCACTTCAGTGACCATATGCGTGTCACAATTTAGGTGAGAATGCCAATGCGCTGGAACATGACGAATCGTAGTAGGGGAACAGTGGCCCAGATGAGCTTCAACATATAGGCAGCTAAAGAGTCATGCAATTAATTCTCAGGGTGCAGCAAGCCAATTTAGAGCATGACACAATCCGGTACGTTGGATAGTCCATCAAGCCCGCCCATGGAATTGATGATAGGGCAAAAATCCAGAGTAAATTCGCCAAGCTTGTTGTGTAATCATTGAGGTCCACCGTGTCTGTCGAGTCATAATTTGTCCTTAGGCTTTCGAGGACGACCTCTTTGTGCACTTCGCACGAGAGAAGCGGGGAACTTAAATTGTCTAAGACAGGTTCTTGGTCGCATGTATGCTGCAAGGTAGGGAGGACGCGGATGCGCTCGGGCGAAAGCTGAAGTACGGGGCTTTGTCATTGAAACGGCTTATCTCGCCATACTAAATGGCTTGCTCATCAATGTGGACGTTTTCGGAATATGTAGGATGTCATCGAGGAGAGGTATGAGGACCTTAAAAGGTAGATACGCGAGAGAGCAGTTGGTGTTCTGCCCTTGACTTACTTGGGTTAGCTTCCTCGGGCACTTCTATCTCCCGTGCGTCCCTGTTTCCTACAAACACTCCCATACGCTTGACCGTTGTCGCGCATCGAGGATGTGCCAATGCAGCATGTAATCAGGAACGCCTGTCTCCGTGAACCGAATCTATGGACGAGCGAAGCGACCGCATTGCGGATAAGGTGCAGGCTCTGAGCGATATTGAGCTTGCCACGCTACTCTGCCTGATCACCGACCAGCATTGCATCATTGAGGGGGACAGGCAGTCGCTAGATAAACTCGACCAGGAAATCAGACTGGTATGATGCTAGTACGACATATGCAGACATATATGCTGAAATAAGCAGGTGGCAAGAAATGTATTCGAGCTGACATGGGCGGTACTGGAATGCTCGGAGAGCACCACCGTGGATGAATTTTGCACCGGCATACTTGTCGAAGAGAGTGCCGGGGATTACTTTAGTGTGGCTAATGAAGATCCTAGGGATGATGTAGGTGACAAACGACTTGAGGGTTCGATTGATGATGACGATCACTAACATACGCTAGGATCTAAGTTATGCAGCACGAGCTGGGTCACCGAAGAAGTCGAACGGACGGTACCCAAGGTCTTCTCTCCCTTTCAGCCCTTTGGAAAGTCGGAAGATTGCAAATGTTGTTATTGCGAAGAACCTCAACTTGGCAAGCAGTCAGGTCCAGGTTCAAGCTCTTGAGGTACCTATCTTTTCACTCAGAACATTCGTGAAGCATTGTCCTAAATGATTGTCAGCTCATTCGCGGCAAGCGAAATTTCACGAGAACCGCTGTGCATGCGGCGCCAAAGCCATTCCTCTTCATTGCATTAAATGCAGCTGGAACAGCTAGCCTGTCTTTACATTTGGTGAGCCGGCACACTTTCTGTTACTAGGGAATCGTTTTCTAAACCTCCATAGAATGAACAGCTCTTTATATCACATAGACACCAAATAGAGGACGGCTTTCCGAACCTCGAAGAACTACAAGGAGTAGAGCCCATCTACGAAGACAATGCATCGACGTCGTCCATTGTCCGATCACCCCCGGAGGCCCTTGAGAAGCGGGAAGGCTCTGTTATATTCACAGAAGCGGTAAGTTACCCTTATCCCTCTCTCTCGACCACCTTGTTGACTTGTATCAGGACCTTAACGAGCTTTCAAGTCTCATAACAAAGGTGTCAATCAGTACAGAAGTAAGAGCCTACCTACACAATATAGTAGTCTTCATGAGATTGCATCGAGCGGTCGGAGGAGGCATATCAGCCATGGCTACGCGGCATTTCGATCTGCTGTCGCAGTAAGCTCATCCATTGCTTCCTAATGACTGAGCTAACTTTGGCAGTGCTCTTGCACCTCTGCATGGGCTCTCTTACATCACGCCTGCTCTGGTCGCACTCGCAGCCCGAAAAATATATCCACACCGAATAAGAATAACAACTCCAGAGAATGAACGAAGCTTGCAATGGGGAAGCTCGCTAGATGCTGTCAGGGCGGTTCTTGAAGGTGTTACGCCTGACGATGTGGTCGAAGAGGTGCTTCAATCTGTCGAAGTGCCATTGTAATATCATCAAGCCTTATCTAAAATACTAAACGCGCATTATGCCGATGTATGAGGTTGCTAATCAAGGGATGAGTAACAATGCGGAAGGCTGATGTCATGCCTTGATTGGGTAAGGAGGGGCGAACTGATTGGCCTTGCACCCCGCATCCCGCCGGCGCGTCTCGTTCTGCTCTCTGTACCTGACACCAATTCGCGCATGGTATAAAAGCGGTTCTGCGCTCGCTTACCCATCCAACTGGCTGTGTACCTTCGCCAGCCATGGCTACAGATTATTTCCCCCAGCAGGGTTTGGACCCGCAGGTAGCCGTTGAGGTAAGACATGTCCTATGCCTCCCTCTTGCCCCCAAAGCTAACATCCACTCTGAGGGCGATGCTGGGAAAAGCGACAGCAACAGTGTGCACAGCGATCAAGACGGGCAATTAGAGGTGCCGTAATCTTCGTCCTCCATGCTGGCTAGGTTGATTGAATGTCCTAGGTCGTCTTCGAGCCCAACGACATTCGCCGTCGCAAGTCGTCATTAGTACCTTCGACCGCACCTCGCCCTGCGCACCGCCGCCAAAAGACGCAATGCTTTGTGCACACGCTCCTCGAAAAACCCGACGGAATCTCGGAAAAGGACTGCAACGTGTCATATGAAGGGCTGGCGCAGGAGCGCATGCTGGACAAGGACCCGCACGGTCTCGCCGACGAATCGCATCATTCGCGCCTCCTAACGAAGAAGCAAATATCAGATATGGCATTCGGTATAAGAGAGCTTTCCAAGAAACTGGCACAGATACGGATAAAGCTACACGTGCGCAACATCTTTATACTCGCGAAGGCGCATGACGAGACTTTAATAAAACACACGCGCGAAACGGTAGAGTGGCTTCTAAAGAAAGATCCCAAGTATAGGGTGTACGTCGAAGAAACGCTGGAGCATAATAAGCTATTTGACACAAAGGGCTTGCTGGAGCGGGACTCGTCGTTCGAGGGCAGGTTAAGATTTTGGACAAATGAGCTGTGTCACGACAAGCCGCAGACATTCGATATTGCACTGGCGGTGAGCTTACTACCTTGGAGGCACAACTTGCGAAACTAATCCATCGCAGCTTGGTGGCGACGGCACGGTTCTCTACGCATCATGGCTGTTCCAGCGGATCGTTCCCCCGGTCCTTGCCTTCTCCCTAGGCTCCCTCGGCTTCCTGACCAAATTCGACTACGAACAATATCCTCAAACGCTATCCCGCGCCTTCGATGAAGGCATCACCGCAAGCCTCCGCCTCCGCTTCGAAGCGACCATCATGCGCTCGCAGAACCGCGACGGCGACAACGACAGACGCGATCTCGTCGAAGAGCTCATCGGAGAAGAAAGCGAAGACCATCACACGCACAGGCCTGACAGCACGCATAACATCCTCAATGAAGTTGTCGTAGATCGGGGGCCCAACCCGACGATGTCAAGCATCGAGCTGTTCGGCGATGATGAGCACTTCACTACGGTTCAGGCAGACGGTGTTTGCGTCTCAACACCCACCGGAAGCACAGCATACAACCTCGCGGCGGGCGGCTCGCTTTGCCATCCTGACAACCCTGTTATCTTAGTCACTGCCATCTGCGCACATACGCTCTCTTTCCGCCCCATCATCCTTCCCGATACGATCGTTCTACGTGCTGGAGTTCCCTACGATGCAAGAACAAGCTCATGGGCGAGTTTCGACGGAAGAGAACGCGTCGAGCTGAAGCCGGGAGACTATGTTACGATCAGCGCGTCGAGATTTCCGTTCCCGAGCGTGTTGCCGCTGGATAGGAAGAGTAAGGACTGGATTGATAGTATTTCGAGGACGTTGCAGTGGAATAGTAGGCAGAGGCAGAAAAGCTTCAAGGAGTGGGCATCATGAGGCTTCGGCTGAGCTTAGAGGCTTTGGCTTCGGCTGAGCTTAGAGGCTTTGGCTTCAGCTGAGCTTAGAGGCTTTGGCTTCTTTCAGTATGTAGATCAGTAGTGCGCAAGCGATACACGTATTCTCACCATGGGAAGGTTTTGACCGAACGGCTCGTCATTCATGAATCATACGGCTTTTCTCTATTCGAACACCTTATGTTAATTTTACGTTCATGCAGCAGTAGCCGCGCGCTCTTCTTGCTGCTTTTTCGCTGCCCACAGCTTTTCCTTGTTGATACCCGACAAAATCTTGTCGGCGCCCTTGTCGAGCAGGATTCTCGCAACGTCTCTGCCCAGAACCTCTGCCTCTTCTGTTGACCTAACTTTTCGCGCCGTCTCGTACTCTACGTGCTCCTTCCCGTCTACACTCACCACAAGTGTCTTGAGCACGAGCTCTTGGTCGTCTAGATCGGGCTCGGGCTCTTCAAGCGGCTGTCCATGCTTGTCGAAATCTTTCGGAGGCTGAATGCCAATGGCTAACCCTTTTCCGCCCCGCCACGATGTCTCGACACCAATCGGCACACTGCAACCCCCTTCAAGCGCGCGTAGAAGCGCACGTTCAGCCGAGCATGCGCGCGTCGTCTTCTCACACTTGATCTTCAAGACAAGCTCCTGCATCTTCTCATCATCTTTGCGGATCTCGAGCGCCAGCGCTCCCTGTCCTACCGCGTGCAGCATGCCGCCATTGCCACTGGTGAGGTACTGCGTTATCCTGTTTTCCCATCCCATGCGCTTAATTCCCGCTGCAGCGAGGATAATCGCGGCGTATGGCGAGTCTTCAGCGTCAAGCTTAGCCAACCGCGTCCCAACATTGCCTCTGAGGTCGGCGAACTTGAGCCCTGGGTATAGGCGGCGCAATTGAGCGGACCGGCGAACGGAGGATGTTCCTATCGTAGAGCCCGCTGGGAGCGAAGCTAATATTGTGTCTTTGGGGAGGCGTGGAGAGACGATCAGGACGTCACGGGGGTCTTCGCGCTCGAGGATGACGCCGAGTTTGAGGTCGTCGGGGAGTTGGGTGGGCATATCTGGGTCAGTGGTCAGCTACATCACTATTCATACATGCATTGGGAACTTACCTTTCAGGCAATGCTGGATCATATCCAAGTCGCCCGCAGCCAGCATAGCTTCCAGCTCACCGGTCCATAAGCTCTTCGCATTTTCCCCTTGGCTCAGGATTTGTAGCGGCGTGACCTTGTCTTTGTCACCCTGCGCCAGCACTGGGCATATTTCATACGTCCTGTCCGGATGCACCTTCTTCAGCTGTGCCTCTATCGATCGCGCCTGCACCTGTGCGAGGGCTGAACGGCGCGTCCCGATTTTGATGGCAGGAAACTGCGTGCTCGCTGACGTGTTGGCCGTTTCTGGGGCGGATTGAGAGGGCGCCGAAAGATCTGTAGCTGTTGCTTGAGCCATTGCGAAAGTTACGGGAGTGGCAAGGTATTGTGAAGGTAGGATGTAGAGTCTGAAGTGAGCTAGTGGTGGGCTGGCGGGGCGGCAAGAACCGGCCAGTGACGCAGCTCGGCTGCAATTTGCAGGGTCCAATGTGAGCCATCTTCACCCAAAACTCATGGAAGCATGTAAAGTATCTAAACGACTGACTTCATTTTGGATTGTCTCGCTATTGCAATCCCACTTCAATGTAAAGCCTCCACTCTCTACGGATATCACTCTTTCTCTATGATGTTCCCGAGCATCCAACAAAATCGTTTCCGCTTGCGCCTGTATGAGTGATCTCGCCAGCGCGCTCTCCGTTGGAGTTGAAGACGACACGGTCAGCACCGGGCGAGCCTTGGACATGTTAGTGCGGTGCGCCTTAAAATATGGTGTGAAACCTACCGCCACTGTATGTGCCGCTAGTCAAGAGAGGGAACTCGTAGTAGGGTCCAGATACGGGGAAGTCGAAACCCTCGTAGTTGTTGTACTGATGGGGATAGGTAGAAGAACCGGCAGTGTCTCCTGATTGATAGTACTCATAGCCGGCGCTGTCTGCAGCAGCCACCTCGTCAGACGTGTAGCAGTTTGAGCCACACTGGACCTCGCATTGCCTCTTCACGATCTCGACGCTCTCAGCAGGAGCCTCGGTAACGGAGGTGGGAAGCGCGAACGCGACGGATGCAGCGAGAAGGAGGCTAGAAATGAACTTCATGGTGTCGGTTGCTAGCTAAAAAGCGAGGGATTGCCTGAAAGAACGAAGGATGTTGGACTGAGATCTGACGATTCGGCCTGTCCTCCCATCGATGTCGCCAGGTAGGACTATATACTTTCCCACTGACCTTGAGCCAGTTGGTCGGCTCGGTTTCGTCCTCCCCTGGTCCTAGATCTTCAAGTATCACGGTGATTGTTATACGCAATATTGAACATCATTGGTGGTTTCCTTGGTCCTGACGGGGACTACATTCCACGGCCCTCGACCTAGTTTGTAGTGGTGCAGCTTCGACAAAACGGAACAGGAAGGTCTCTTGGCGTAGCTTCGGAATCATAACTTGAAGAATGCTGTTCGGCTTCAACACCTGCAAGCACATGTGTCACATTGATAGGCTGCTCAGACGCGACGATCACGGACACTTGAATTTGAGCTCACAGAGGCTAGCCGTTTCTGGAAGGTACCGCAGATCAGTGCATGGAGGCTCAGCTTTGGTGGTGTATGTTTTGTCCTGTCTCATATTACGCCGTTCTACCCCCGACAGTATTCGAGCACGTGTGCATCTGACTTGGCATTATTCCTTGCTCCCCTTCCCAAGGTATGATGTGGGGCATATCCTATTCTAGGCAGCCAATGCCCGCGGCCCAAACTAACTTCACCTTGGAAGGCCACAACCACGCACACGTCCACTAATCAAAGCGCCCTCTTCACAGACCGTGTGCCACACTGATCTGGACAATGATCTGTGACACGTGCCTGGAAATATTCGCTGAACGGAAGCTTTGGGTCCGTTCCATCCGAGGCCGCCACCATCCCAACCTCGCCAGCCTGAAATCTGCGCCTGAAGAGTGCCGCATTTGCCACGCAATATGGCTCGAATGTGTTGTTGGATTTGGAAAAGAAGATTGGTCGGGCGCACAGATTTGCACAGATTACACAGTCATACATGAGAGTGAGTGCGTTGGGGATGCTGTTGAGCAGGGACTCGAGCTGGAGCTGCGGATCAAGATCACAAGGACGATGGGTAATGATGACATAGAAAGAGACATGCTATTCAATCTGCTGCCATGTACGTGGGATCAGAAACAAGGTGGTTGCGTGATGAGGCACTTACATATCATATGCAGACAACCCGGTCGAGCACGTTGCTTCTGATACCGCGGGTTCCGTTACTTCAGGATCGCGGCTGCTCAAATGGTACCAGGGATGCCTAAATCACCACGAAGATTGTCGTCCCATTTTCGATAGCTCGTATAGACCTTCCCGGCTGCTTGATCTTAGACAAGCGCCCTCAGAGCCAGTCAAGCTGGTAGCCTTTGATGGCGAAGACTTAGAATCCTCTAGTCCCGCTTATGCCACCTTGAGCCACTGCTGGGGGTCATCTCAACCGTTGCGGCTACTCACAACGAACATCGAACAATTAAAGGAAGGTATTCCCCGTGATACCATTCCCCGTGTGTTCTCAGAAGCTATCGATGTGTGTTGGCATCTCGGGCTTCGGTACCTGTGGATCGATTCTCTATGCATTCTTCAAGATTCAGTAGAAGACTGGGTACGAGAATCGCAGCTCATGGGCATGATCTACTCCAGGGCCATGATCAATATCGGAGCGACGGGTTCGACGAATTGTAATGGGAGTCTTTTCAACACCGCGCAAGAGGCCCCTTCTGTAGGGCTGGTAGCCTGGGAAGGAGTCGATGACATTAAGTACGTAGTAGTCGAAAACGATATTGAATGGTCCAAAAGCTTTATGGATCAACCATTACTCCGACGAGCTTGGGTCATGCAAGAACGACTTCTCGCAACGCGAATGATTCACTTCGCCCAGTCGCAGCTTGTTTGGGAGTGCCGGACCACTGCAGCCACTGAGGCATATCCGGTTCGGGTACCGGAAGCTCTATGGCCTTTCCACAATCGACGTAACCGCTTTTGGGGCGCAGAATTCACTGAGGATGACGGGGCCTGGTCGGTGCTGGTTGGTGAATACAGCAAGTGCGAACTCACATTCAGCAAAGACAAATTGGTTGCACTGTCTGGTCTTGTTACAGCGCTAGAAGCCACTGGGCTCACTCGCGGTCGCTATTGGGCTGGAATGTGGGAGGCTGATCTGCCGTACTGTCTTCTCTGGACCAGAGGGGCCATTGACCCGAGCCAACAGGAAGCATCTCGTCCATCTGCCTATCGAGCTCCCTCGTGGTCTTGGGCTTCTTTGAATCACCCCATATGGACAGCTTGGGCGTCGGGGTCAGCAGAGTCACCACTTGTCTCTCATTGGGGCGTCAAAGAGGAAAAAGGCCCGAGCTCGTCCGCATCACTGCTCTTACACTACCCTGTTTCTATACATTTGAAAGGTCCACTTGTACAGGTAGAGATTCAGGTCAAGGGACCTCGCGTAGAGGCAATCGGCCGGGGCATTGAGAGGGTCCAAGGAGTCTCGTACAGCATTGCACGAATTGTTAAGAAGAGGTCGACGATCGATTTCCGGGACGATTTCTGGGACGATGCTTGGAACGACGTCGTATTTGACGATTTCGATGAGACTAATCTGATCAAGAAGACCTGGGGTGCTCCAATATATGAATGCGAAGAATGGATAGAAGACGCAGATGACGACATGCGCTTGCTCGGATTGCTACTAGAAGAAGTCGAACACGGAACTTTTCGTCGAATTGGAGCATTTTCAATCGGACACCTTCCTGATCGACAAGCTTTGAAGCGACTAGCGGCTCGTACGTATACGATTATCTAGGCCTACAACGAACAGCGCAACGAGACTTGCACAAGGTCACAACTCTTAGTAATCGGAATCACAACACTGTGCCAAAATACATGCAACCCACTTCTTCACGAAAATCTCTCCAAAGTAAGAGCAGAGTACATGAGCCTCCCATTCCTAAACAGGCTAACCCGATTGATAAGCTTCATCGTGAACATTCAACCCATCTCGCACACATTGAGGACACCAACCAACCCACCTGCGCGTCCGCCTAAATTCCGTATTCTCGCACCAACGCGGGCTCGGGCGCATTTGCAAGCAGTTGTAGCATTTGGAATTCTCGATGAGGCGTGTGTGGTTGCACTCCCTGTAGGTTCCGTAGTTTACTCGGCACATGTTGCTCGTGTGGTACTATGTGATTGTATATTATGTCGATATCAGGGGCTAATTAGATCTGTGTTGTTGCAAATGTAGATGTCAAATATTGCTCAGTGCGCTTGTGTTAATTTCAGGTCCTATATACACACTCCTAACGCAATGCATGGCATGTACAGCGAAGTCATAGACGTGTATTGCAACTAGAGACTTGTGAACCCATGCGATACGAATTGGCAATGCCTTTCCATTTTCAAGCGTGATGCCGTAGCCTCGTGTCAGATAACATGTCCTCACTCATTGGGAATAGAAGGTCACTCTTGCTGAAAGTTCAGCCATCTATGCAATCTTGGCTAGCTGGCGATATCAGTCAAAGAGGTGAAGAAGACGAAGGTGGCATACTACGACAACAACTCGCGTACAAGAGCCGAAGTCAATGATGTGGCATACATCGATAACGCTGTATTATCACATACTGCAGCCATCAGAGCAAGTTCAAGCACACGTCGAGTCCTTGAAGGAAGCGCAACGTACCGCTTCCACACCGTGACAGGGAGACATCACTACTCGAGTAATTCTCCTATAGAAATGCCCGATAACTTCGAAATCTTGAAATCCATCTCGTAAAAATCTGCCTGGAAGAATGTTGGACTTGCAGCAAACGTTTTGTATCTTGGTTAGTCGATTCAGGTAGATACTGTTCTTATTTTAACATGTACAAAGCGACGACTGCGGACAAAGGGACGACGGTGGACAAAGGGATGACTCTGGACAAGGGGACAATTATGGACAAAGGGACAATCATGGACAAAGGGACAACTATGGACAAAGGGACAAAGCTACGACTGTAGACAAAGCGATGACTGTAGACGAAGCGACAACCGTGACGCCACGTTAGCTACGATACAGTCATTGTATGGATGTCCAAAGGTCACGTGCACTCTCTGATGAATCATCAAGGGTGCTCTGTGAAGATGTGACTGTAAGGATGATCGAAACACATCACAAGAGAACCATCATAGCAGTGACAATCTAAGATTGAAAGGACAGTTCGTTATTCATTGCATATCTATCATGTCTATCATAACCCAAAAACGCCTGCCCTAATTTGGTTTTTCGAGCATACAACATCTAAGCCTCCCCAATTTGAAAATACAGCGTCTAAGCGCTGCAAAGCTCGATGCTGACGCCAACGTCGCTGACGGAGTAGCCCTGGAAAGTTCCGCAGCCAGCGTTGGGCTGCTCGGTGGCAGCTGTGGCAGTCGGGTCGCAGTAGCCCTGGGTGCAGCAGTGGGATCCACCGGTGCAGGAGTACGTAGGGCAGCTGCCGATGGCGCCCATGGACCAGCCAGCGCCGGCGCACTGGCTGAAGTCGTCGGAGCCGGAGAGGCAGTCGATGAAGGACATGTCGTACCAGACGTTGCCGGAGACGAGGCCGTATTCGAATTGCATGGGCTTGGAGCTGCCGTCCTTGTAGACCTTCAGGGCGGTGTTGCCGGAGCCGCAGTCGGCGATGGAGTCGGTCCAGGTGGAGCCGGCGGAGATGGTGCCGCTGTTGTCGGATGTGCCGCAGGGGCACAGGTTGTCGTAGGTGACATCGTAGTCGCAGTTGTTCTTGAGAGTCACCTTACCACCAGTGGACCTGGGGATGAAGCTAGCGCCGGTGGGATGAGCCACTCCGGCAGAGTAGGCGCCGGTAGAAGCAGGTCCGGTGTGGTTCCTACCCCAAGGGGCGGCAAGCGCAAGGGCAGGCAGAAGGAGGGTGATGAAGCTTGTGGAGACCATTTTGAATGATTGGCTACTGGATCGGAGATATGTAAAAGGTACGTCGAAGTGACTGTGGTAAAGCTGTCGAAGCTGTGATTGGTCTGATGGCCAAGGAGCGTGTGCCTGACGACGCAAAGGAAGGACTGAACTGGAGTAGTTCGAAAAGAGAGTGTAAAGACTGATGATCGACGGATGCCCACCCCAACAGGGTGATGGGCGTCTACTTATACCTCGAAGACTGGTTTGTGGCAGACGCCATACCGCAGGTTGGAGCAACGGCCCGTCAGTGATTTGCGCTCTGGAACAATTTAGTCGGTTTCAAAAAGTGGTCCTTTGTGCTCGCGTGCCAGCCACGAGGAACAAAAAGACAGACCCCCACAAGTATAAGCAGACTAAAGAAACGGGTTTGCAATGTGGAAATTACGATGTGCGGTAGTGTAAAGGCAAATGTGGATGACAGGCTAGGATGACGGGTTGGTACTCTAGGGGGGGGGTCCGCCCACTAGAGTGGCGTAGGTGTACCTGCGGGCGCGTCTTCAGACAGAACTACCGGGGAAGGGCGGCACACTCGCGGCGCGGCGCCTTATCGGTACCGTTGCTATCGATATGGGATACTGGTACGGTTCGGAGTGCCTTGAGTCGTGACACTGGTCTACAGTAGCATTGTGATGGTGGGTGGGAAGACCACTGCTCCTCCATGGGGTAATTGCCGCGAGCAGACGACTCAAAGACGTGCCAGGTACTGCGTACGTCGGCGGAATGATTATGGTGATTATGTGACGCGTCATCTCGATGCTCCACCGTCATGACCTGGGGGGGGGGGGGGGGGAGCCTCGAAGCTGACAGCAAAAGAAATGTGCTTCGCCGCAAGACCCGAATGGGCCGCCTGCAGCAGCAGAGCAGAAGGCGCCCGATCCATGGAACCTCATGATGTCAGGTCCGAAGTTTGCTTTTGTTCCCTGCTGGCGAATCGCAGTGGTTGACTTGATGTAGGCGCTCGACGGTTGGTGAAGCCATGGAGCGCCGAACATCGGCAGCGGCGGGCGCCTGTCCAATAAGCGAGCCACACGCCGTACCAACGGTCCGCGTTTCCACGGGAGATCGACAGGGACGTGCGGCAATCGTTGCAACGGATCACACAAAGGCCTTGCGATGGGAGGGTGAGCGTGAAAGGCGCAATGCCCGTTTGAAACGCGCGACGACGGTGCAAGGGAGACGAGCAGCGAGAACACGACGCGCGCGTTTGCGCATGCGCAGGCTTCCTCGATGGCGCCGGTCGGGTGTCGCAAACTGGGATGCGCCGGTCCTGAAAACTCTTGCGTAGGTGTGGGGCGGTGCCCGGTGGGAAGGACAGGCGGGAGATGTGCAAATGGGGCATGTGCTCCTGGTTCGCATGAGTCCGCATCCACGCAGGACCAGGGCACACTCGATGTTCTCACGTACGCGAAATCACTCGGCGCAAAATGTCTTCTTGGTTATCTTGGTGGTCGCGTGGCATGCAACAGGTGGTTCGCGGGCCGCCGGGCTTACGCCGCACAAGACCGTGGTTTTGGGCCAGGCCCTGAAGACCCTGCCGAAGATTTCCCTCCAAGGATTTCCAGCACACGAAAAGGCTTTTGAGCAATGGCGAATGAGACTTGGTCAATCAGGATTTTCCACGTGTGCGCGGCAGTTCCCTCGTGGAAATTAGCTCTATTCTCTTGTTTCACAACCCGTACCGTACCATAGGTATACGCGTCCATTGCAGCCTAGGGCAGGAACTCCAACCATGATGAGCCTCTGCGTGGCCTGGCATCGTATTGCAAGAACTTCGGATAGCATCGCACAAAGTCTTGATACCAGGATCCAAAGCTTGCGTCGAGATGATACTCAGTCATGGGATATCTGTGGTTTTCAAGACCAAGGCCAGCGCAACATGTCTCAGCGTAGCTGCTTCGACATCTACACTGCAGCAGGTCACCAAAGCGGCAATTCCTACATGGAACCCCACGTCAAGATACTACAAGGTGAGGCCTGAGGCAGGTTGCACAACAGGAAGTGGCCCCAATGTGTAGTGTTCCGAAGCCTTGGGTGTGATACTGCATTTGGCTATCTGGAAAGACATGTGAACCATGCGTTGCATAAGGTAGATCGCATACTAGTCTTGTGTGCCTGGGAACAAAGTGAGGTATACTCCTGCTGCACGTCTGGGGAGAAGAGTTCCCATGTGCGCAACGCGCAGTCTTCTTGATCCCAAACTCAGTGAGCCGTGACACCATGAAACTTCCCCAATGACTCAACAAACACGCATCAGAACCATCAGAGCGACCTCAACTGAAAGGTGAACTTATCAAGCAAAACCTCATCCCTGTGAGGTCCACACAACACTGACAGCGGGGAGCTGAACCCACCCACTGCACGAAACTCTCGCACTTCCCGTTGACATCCACCAAAAACCCACAGTCCACGAGCTTTGAGTAAACTACAACTGTCTGAAACAAGCCGTCGCGGGATGAGAAAGCTGCTAACACCGGTCCGATCCTCTAGCTACGGCTCCGTGACAGCTTCTCCGCACACGGGAAGCATCCCCCTAAGCTATATTGATGTGCGCGTTCGTGGACGCGATGTGGGCCATGGCTTCCAACGCAGATCGCAGATGGGGAAGCTAAGCAGGTTATCGTTATCGTCGTCGAGGTCGTGTGGGTCGTTGTAGAGATAGTTGCGGGGGAAGCTTTTACTTGTGCGGGTGTGTTAGGACTGCGATATAAAAGTATGGCGGCGGGTGCTTAGATTGGCAGCACACGTAGTACTTGAAGTAGGGTTTAAACTGATCAGCTCGGGATAACGTATATATTGGTCGGGTCATCGTGGGTGTCTGGCGGTAACAGTGTTCGAAACTTTTGGGACCAAGGCAAAAAGACTGTCAAGAACGAAGTTGTGGTCAGGAGGTGCCCTTCATATAGTGTAGAAAGCCGCCTAGCTCTAACGTGTAGCTGTTGACTTGTGCATATATCGTTTGTCTATGATGTTGCATACCTGCGGTAGTCTATCCTTGTTGATGCGAACGCTCGCACCTGCGAGCCAGCGCATCGCACAAAGGTATCTCCTGCGATTATATCCGCCCAATCATATGCATATCCACAGCATATTGGCTGCCACTTGACTCCAAGTATGTGAATCCAAGAGCGCCTGGGCGCCACGATCACTGAGGAGCATGGCCACTTCCTCAACGAGCATCATCCAATGCCCTCCAATTCTGCACCTGTCTTCGCGACCCTCCGACCCTTCGTAGTTCCACATCACAAGAACACTCCGGCTGCGACTGCAGCCATCGCGCCCATGCCAGCGGCACCCAGCCCCGCTCTCGGTGTGGGTTTGGCCGCACCTGGACTGCCTGTGCCCGAAGCGCCCGCGGCCCCGCTTGTTGTATCATCGCCTATTATGCTCCGTATAATACTGAACTGGTCCGACACCTGCTCTTCCTTGAACTGCCTAACGCCCGTGGGCAGCGCATCGTACCAGTCAGGCTTGCTGTAGAAGGTCGTCGCGGCGTCGTCGTTTGTAACATCCGCCGGGATACTGTAGTTGCCGTGGGCAGAGGCAAAGGAGCGGACTTCGGAGGCGGCGGATGATACTGAGGACTCGTAGGTGCTACCGCGGGCTTTGGTGTAAGCGTCCCAACCCAGTTTCGCGTTGAGGAAGACGGAGGTTGTCCATTGACCGCCCTACACAATTGTTAGACACATCGCAAAAGAAAGAATACATTCATAGAGCGAGCGTACAGCGGTGGTAGGAATTGCGCTTGTGGGTATAGGCGGCTCGGTGTAGACCATGAAGTCTGCGTTGACCATTCCAGCGCTCAGTGCCACCGCACCAAGAATCGTCTTCAAGTACATCTTGTAGTCGAACGATGGTATTGAATTAGATAGAAGTGACAGATGCTACGAACGAATGTACCAAACAGTGTTTCAAAGCGAATGTACGAAGTTGGTGGAAGGCGTTGTGTTGCGACGTGCCTTCGTTGATGGAGGAACGAAGCAAGAGCCTCCAAGTGTTGGCGTCATCGGGACCTTCGGATGGTACAACGATCTGATACGAGTTCGCGTCTCACCCTGCCGTTGTCTGCTGCTGATCCCGGCTCCATATTTCTGTTTCTCTAAGCCCTTTGGCGAATGTTGGCTGGAGGCGCAGCAGCGACGCGTTTCCCAAGACGCGCAAGCTGACATCTGAATGGTGCCCTTATCGATAGTGTCGCCCTTGAATATGCGACGTCCATTCAGTTGTTCAAGGACCATCTTCAGTATTTCATCACGACATGGCGCGTGTAACATACAGAACTAAACAGCAGCTATATAATTCCGCAGGAATCATTGCACTATTGTGAGCATTTTCTTCATGCTTGGACAGTTGAACGAGCTGAGTCTTTCTATTGATAGATCACATCTAGTAGCTATTGACTTGTACTCGGTGCAATCGGTGCACTGCGCGCACAGCCTTTTCTCGATCGAGCAGTTTCCTACATAGTATGAGACCGTACGTCTGTGCCGTCCTGGACCTATGCCGTCTCCTTTTATCGGTGTTCTTAGGAAACAGCACCTGGGCTCAACAACCAACACTTAGCTGCATTCGAACCGTAAACACCTTCACCGCTCTCTTCGAATGCGTTGGATTCCCTGTCAGCAGTTCGCGGCTCTCACTTGCCTCTGACTTATTCGCCTTCACCTGGTCACTCACCCTCAAATCAATTCAGGCACCTGCCCGCACGTGACCTTTAGCGCCTTGGCACCTGCCTGATTTCGCAGGCCTATATAAACCCGCCTCCGCTCTCCTTTCGAGAGTCATACTTACCTTGATTTTCTCTGGGCAGCTCAAGAAGAGCCTGGAGGGTCCCGGATCAGCGGCATTGCACAGCGCTGGACTGGTCCGGGTCTAAGGAGTGCCTCTGGTGCTTCTTTAAGTCACAATTTTTGCTTGTCGCCGTCCAAGTGAGATGTTTTCATTGGTGTCGCTGCCGTTGGCGGCGCATTGAGGAAGAAGAGATTCTCGCCAGCTGTAAGAGAGTGCGACGCAGGAATGCACGCCGTCACCATGCGACTGATGTAGCAGTAGGGACCTACGAGTGAACGCAGGCAGTTTGTTCGCACCTCACACCAACACTCACCGTCGCCGCAGTGTGCCCAAACGGCAGCCGCGATGTGTACGCAATATACGCAACGGTTCTGATGACCCTCGATTGGGAAGGAGCTAGCTTGAGAAGTTTATCTCCTTTTATTGTACTACTTTCTACGCCATGTGTCGCCGACAACACGCGTGTATCTCTGCGCATGCTTTCCCTTCCCTCAAGCTACGTCTATCCTCGTACAACCTGTCTGGCCGACTTACGGCGAGCTGCAAAGGCGAGGCCACATTATGCCATCACTTTCGCGATCCTTCCATTTCCAGTCTGAAGCAGGAGAGCATACCATCATCAAGAGATAACAGTCACATTCCCAGTCAAGTTTACACAGTTCATCGGCATCGAGATAACAGGACCCTCGCTCGGGTCAGCTTCATGACTGTAGTTGTACGTCGGATTGAACGCCATGATCTGCCCAACAGTCGTGTTGAACTCCTCGGCCAAGTCTACATACGTGCCGTACGTAAACTTATACGGCTGTACGACGCACTGGCTAGGGCTGCATTGCGGGATCTTGAGCTGTGCATCTGCCTCGAGGACATCATCCTCGGATGTGGACGCGTTTCCTATCGTGGTGATGGAATCAAGACTGACGCGGAATTTGGATGCAATCTTTGCGCGGGTGTCGTTGAACCGGGTGTTGTAAGTATGCAAACCGCCAGGGACACAGGTAGCGGTGTAGGTGGTGTTTGGAATGATGCATGTTGAGTCGTCTGGGTCGCAGGTCTCCGCTGGGATGAGGAGGGTTTCTCCGGCGACCATGAGAGTCGCGTCGCTCATGCGGTTGGCGCGAGCGATATCGCAGACACCACGGCCTGTTTCCGAGGCGATGGTGAATATGGTATCAGTTGAAGTAACTGGCCATGAGCCAATCGTGGTATTGAGTGTACTATTGTCGCAAGTCGATTGAGCCAGGACTGCGTCATGAGAGATCAGAAAGAGAAGCAATGACGACAACGTTGCAGAAAGAGCCATGACTTCCAGAATCCACAATTGCAGTGACTAGTAGGTGTTGAAGATAAATTTTCCTGGAGTAGTTCAGGCTACGAAGTAAGTCTGTGGGCCTCGTCGATGTACTAATAGTCGGCCAATACGTATCTTGCACATTCAATGTGACCGACACCTCTCCTTGGTACGCGTATACTTCTGCTGAACTTCCTTGCGCAGACTGAGCTCATTCTTAGGAAACAGAATAGATCTTCAGGAACGCGTACTCTTTCATTTGGACGACCACATATTGAGCTGCCCGATTCGGCGCTCGTACATCACAAATAGTGTTTTCTACGGAACCCTTGCATAGTTTCAAGAATTGAGGTTGGGTGTTTGCAAACGTGGTGGGGCCCCTGCATTTGCGCTAAGCCTCTCGTACAACAGCACTGTCTATAACTTCAGAAATTTATTAGTGCTAGCCTCGCCGTTGTACGATGCACCACCAACCGGTGTTACGTCCAAATTGTGGACGTCACACTTCCGCGTAACGGATGGCCTGTGCTGGAAGGCAGTAGACTTTCTGTACTGCGCATTAGGTCGACCAGATTGGCGAGGGCGGAGCTTTGGAAAATAGCACCTACTATATATGTGAAGTTTCTTCGTCCCTGAAAACAAAGCCACTACCAACCAGGCCTTCACCGTTTTCTGCATCAGTTCCCTTGATCAAAGATATGCGCCTGCTCACCACCTCAACGGTGCTGGCCGTCGGCGGGCTAGTTCAACAAGGACAAGCGCAGCTGTACGACAAAGTCATTCAAACCCAATATGGCCCAGTAAAAGGGTTCGAATACTTCGACCAATCGACGCTCGAGAAGTATTTCAATGTCTCTACGAGCAATGTGGCAGCCTTTCTGGGAATTCCTTTCGCAGCCGACACGGGCTACCAAAACCGTTGGAAGGCACCACAACCACGCGAACCCTGGAACGAGACACTCAATGCCACCGATTTTGGACCGGGGTGTCCCCCATCTGCCAGAGATTCACCCAGCTACAGCGAGGATTGCTTGAGCTTGAATATCTGGACTAATGCAGCAACGGCAAACGCGTCTTTGCCTGTCCTCGTCTGGAACCAAGGAAGTGATGAGACGAGCAATAAGACATGGTGGTATGGTGGAGGCATGGCCTTGAAGGATGTCATCTTTGTGACCTTCAACCGCCGCGACGACGCTTTTGGATACCTTGCCCATCCCGATTTGAATGCCGAAAGCCTCGCAACAAATGGCCACAATGCTTCGGGCAATTACGGCATCCTCGATCATTTGGAAGTCCTGAAGTGGGTGCAGAAGAACATTGCCAACTTTGGCGGTGATCCTACCAAGGTCACCGTTGCAGGCCAATCATTCGGATCCTCTCAAGCCTACCACGCTGTCAACAGTGACTTGTTCAAGGGTTACTTCCGCGGTGCTATCGCCCAAAGTGGGATCAGATACCCGTACGACACACTCTTGGCAGGTCTCGCAACGTCCTACGTCAACATGTCCACTGCTCTCAAGAACGGCGTCAACTATACGCAATCCCACAATGTCTCTACTATTGCAGAACTACGCACTCTCTCCACGGACGAGATCCTCCAGGGATCCTCGGATCGCGTGGGCAACGAGTCCATCTATTGGATCACGGCGCTGTCAGCCGGTTACCCGCTGAAGTTCAAACCGGTTCTCGATGGCTACGCGATCCCCATGAGATACATCGATGAACTACACGCGGGGCCCGCCAACGATGTTCCTCTCATTACCGGCAACACTCGTGACGAGAGCGGTGCAGAAGTCAGTGCCTCGTACACAGTCGCCGAATACAAAGAGTACTGCGCGATAAAGTACGGCAATCTTTCCACCGAATACTTTAGCTTGTACCCAGCGGGAGACAACACCACGACCGCCTCAGCTGCCTGGAGACAGGCGGCCACCGACACATCCCTCATATCTTCCTGGGCATTCGGCACCGAATGGGTCAAGTCTGCTTCCAGTCCCTTCTACACCTACTACTGGGATCATGCGCCTCCCAGCCAGGACCAGGGCGCCTTCCACCAGTCCGAGATCATGTACGCTATGAATGCGCTTTACGCCAATGCGGACACATATGCCTTCACTGATTACGACTATTATCTTGGTAAAATCATGTCAGACTACTGGGCGAACTTCGTCAAGACGCTGGACCCGAATGACGACGGGACAGGTAGTAGCGGAAACTTGACGCAGTGGAGTCCTAATGATGGAACCGCACAGACGGTTATGCATGTCGGTGATGGGTTTGGGGCGACGAAGATTGCGGATTCGGAGAAGGTGACTTTGATTATGGAGTACTTTGCTCAGCAGAGCCCGTACTGATACATCTGCTGAAGTATGGTCCCAAGCCAAACATATCTCTTTCCGGTGGTTCAAACCCTGCATTGAGTCCCAGACCAGAGCTGGGATTTCAAGCATACTCTCTTGTTTTTGAAGAGGCTCAAGGACCGTCTGACTTTGCGGTCGTAGTCGACGTGGACCCGGTATACGGATTAGGAGAGCCTCAAGGGCGTATTGCAATGACATATATCGCACCTTTCGTGTAGTCGGACTTTATAACAGATAAATGCAATGTTAACCGACTGAGCCATATCGTTGACCTCCAAACTTAAGCCCCCTTTTCGTCATGGAGATGAATTCTGCAGATCGGGCACAGGCACGGCTGCGTTGCGACATGGAGTCAACGCAGGCTCGATAACGGGATCTCAAAAAGCTGGTTGATGTTTTCAAGGTGGCAGGGCAGGGCAGCGTGCAGAAGATTCCCTTCCGAGCCAGGGCAGCTTGCTAAGTCGGCGGTAGTATTTTGGGCATAGTGAGCAGCCGTCCTTTGCTTAAGATCTGGGAGACGGTGGAGTGTGGGAGCCGCGGGGTACTAGCTTCGATTGTAGCTTCCCCGGACTTCCACTGGAAATACCGGGAACGCATATCCGCGCACCTTACATTTGAACAATGGAGATGTCTTCATCCACGATGTCGCTGGATAACATATATCCCCATCCTCGCTCTCAAAGTTCCCCAGTCCCAGTTTTTTGCCAATCTCAACAACCACGGTCACCATGGCGCAACCCATCAAAGGCCCCGGTCTCCTCTACGTGAAAGCCTGCATCAATCCCTCACCTAGCAACCCCCTCACGGAACCGGAGTACATGCACTGGTATGATGATGACCACATCGCCGAAATAGTTGCAACCTCTGGCATGCCCAACGCTTTCCGGTACTTTCACGTCGACAAAACTCCAGACAATGGAAAGCCAACGCCCGAATGCCCACGACCCTACCTAGCCTTCTATCCGATGCCTGATCTAGCGTTCACACAAGGCCAGGAGTTCAAAAGCATTAGGGTCAAAAGTGATATGTTGCCAGGGACAGGGATTTGTTACGACATGGCGGATACTGATGTTGGGTACTTTGCATTGGTTGGACAGAAAGGGGTTGGTAAGAAAGGTAGGTAAAGCGAACAAGGACCGGGTAGGAGCATCTGCTAAGGTTGGACAGGTGTAGGGGAATACCTCGCAACTTCAGAGATTGAACCTGCAAGCGATGTGACGGACGCTGAAGTGAATGCATTCTTCGATCAGGTGAAGTCGTCGTGAGCTCTCCGAGAATTGAGACTAACCAGGTCGCAAGCAAGCGGAGAATGTTTCCAAGTTGGATCACTACCAACGCTCCTTACGCTTCAGGCTGCTGTATGCCCGGACCAACGCCCAGTCACGCATTTTGAAGGGACTTGCGCCAGCGACTGACGAGCCGCTGCCTGAGCCGCCAACATGGTTGCAGTTTCATGAGTTTTCTGCGGAACCGCAATCCGACGTGAGGTCCACGATCAGGGACGACGCGCACGAGGTGCTGAAGAACGCAAAGCAAAGCGAGACGCACGGCTATAGGCTGCAGAGAGCACACGGAAAGAAGAAGTTCTTCGAAGACGCAGAAAATGGCGCACCTTGATAGCCAAGGACGCAAGGATAGCGGTGTGTATCAGACAAACATTAGCATGACGTGATAAACGCATTTGTCCAGCAGCCAAGTTCATTGCGAGACTTCTTCTACGTGAGAAAGGTGCATCAAGCTTCTAGATGACCAGCTTCCTCACCGCGTCACGATCCGCACGCCTTAGCTCGGTAGGGGCATCCGACGTGCATCTTCTCCACCCCACCAACCCCACAATTCCCCAATCCAGTCACCCTCTTGCAACTCCTACTGCACCAGGATAATCTTCTTCCTGAAGTAATGTGCCCCTCGACATCACACTGCACAGACGCAGTTCCCATGTGTGGTGATCGGCAGCAACATTCAATTGCGCTGGAACAGCAACACCCGAGGTCAAACGGGAAGTACATCGTGAAGCTGAGGAAATTGCATCTGAAAGCACGCGTTCCTTGCTTGTGATGAGTGATGAAACGAAAATTACTCGGCGATTCGGCAAACCCCCGGCTGGCCAGACGGAGCGGGCTGGGTTTCCGTGTGGGGTTGACCTCAGACTACCCTCGTACGCTCACCTGATCGGCGCGCGCACCATAAACCACTCAAGCGCCACCATCGCCCATCCATGCGACCGCTAGTCTAGTCCAGTCACACCTCCAGCACAGTCATAGCTACATTAAATATACGGACAGAGCCCGCCCGTGTGTCTTAGACCCCCAACTCCAGCTTTCCCTCTTCCCACACCCACAGCACACTCCCATCGCTAGCAGAGTATATGGAATCGAGACACTGCTACTCCATACCTTCTTTGATCGACCGTAACAAGTTCCTGAGATAAAAGAACCGAGCCGTCATGCCTCCAATCAGCCAATTCCCTCCTGCCCGCGTCTTCTTGAAGACCCCGCAGGCAATCAAATCGCAGGCTAGCAGCAGCTTGAGAAGAAGCTCCTTGACGGCGAGCCCGACGGGCAGAGCCGCTATGATGCCTTCGAATACCTCGACTACGCTTTCGCCGAGGGTGGTTTCTGCGACTAAGTTCTCGACGACTACCTCTATTGGGAGGGAAGCTGGTGAGTCATTACTCATGGATGTGTATTTCATAGTTGGGTCATGCTAATGAGAGAACAGCAAGTGCAGCGTAGAATCCCGCGCCGTATAAAAACTCGCTGTTGGTAGTGTTGGTGGTGCTGCGGGTTGGACCTCGGTTTACGATTGCTCGGCACATCGGTTCATCGCTTGCACCGGCCACCAACTTTGCATCAGCCGTGCGAGACCTCCTTCACAAGTTTTTACATGTAGTCGAGACCGCATGAGATGTAGTAGTGGGAGGTCAGGGGTCGTAGAGCGTGGGGTGTGAAGTCGTATAGTTGTCGTTGGACATGTGCATGGGAGTCTATGTCATTCTGGGCAAGCGCCAGAGATGCTCTATTGTGTGCTTAATAGAAGTACCCCAGAATTGACATGCTCATTGCGCACTCCACAAACGTCTGCCTGCTCTAGTTGTGACTTATGAGATTGCTAATTTGGACAATTCTTCTAGAGGAGTGAACTCAAAAGTATTTAAAGCTGATGATGATAGTCACCACCACTAACCGAGAGATGTATATAAAGTGCCCCCGGTTCCACGCATTACATTCTTCACACGCCCTCTGAGCATTCTTCTGCACGAAAATCATATGCCGCATCCGCTATGTGTCTGATACCAAATTTTGATCAGCTTCGTCACATGTTGCGCGGCCTCCGTGATCCAATTCCGATCCAGTCAGTCTGATGCTCTTCTGCTCTGCACTAAAGGAACACCAACTATCAAACATGTCCTGGGAGGACGGCAAGACTATCAAAAGGGTGGCACTTGTGTTCTGGGCACTCAAAAAGGACGGCTTTGATGTCACATGGTCGTGTTGCTTTGCAGGATAAAACATCAAACACCAAAATAAAATCAGCAATGGCTTATGTGCTGGCTTGTTCCGCGCTGCGCTATCAAAAAGCCCCGTCATCCACGACTATGTCCGCAGGTGGAGTCTGGTGTCGAAAAGTTCAGGCATTTCATACGATGCCTGTCCTTTCGACACGCCCTTCTTTTCTATTGAGAATAGACGAGCATTACGGCACTAAAAGCAGTCAAAGCCTGTGCATGTGCACGAGATTTCAAAAGCCAGCCCCAAACACCTCATGTTGTTGGGCGGATGCTAGAAACCTTCTGTATCACCACAAAAGGGCGGTTCGTGCTCGACATCTTGATGCACAAGTCTTTGGTCCTCATGCATCTCTTAGGCAAAAAGTTCTTCGGTTCGAGTTGATGAGGCTGCACTCTCTAAACTTTGACCATGGGAAATCATGTTTCTGGCGAAATTTCGTCGCCAGAATACTTGTATTTCCTTCCACAAAGGCCTATTTGAAGACTGAAAGATTGGGGCACCCTACGTCATGGGAAGAGATTCGGACTGTTCCAAAAGCACCAAAACACAGCTCAAGAGCACCCATGCGCGGCGCTGTCCAGAAAGATCACCATCGACCCACGAATGTCTTGCGGAGGCAGCTCGACTATGCACCAGCCAAATCGACCTACAAGTCAGACGCAAATGCTAGAGGCTTCAGTGCATGTCTTGGGGGAGCCTGGTAGCACATGGAAGATTCCATTGAAAATAGGGTAGCAGCCTATGATGTGCTGGGTTGTGCGTGAGCGAAAGCCAAACACCCTTAAATCTATGAGTGGACGCGGGATTCTTGCACACAAAACAGCCAGCCGTTTAAAATCATGTGGGAGAGCTGTCTTCAAAGCGAGGTGGTCTGGCCTTATGGGACATTTTCTAGTCTTGAAACCAACAACAGCGCGCGTTATGTGTTCCTCCGCGTTGCTCACAAAACACCTGACAAGCGTTTTTTATGAGCTCGTGGTCTAAACTTTCTCTTGCATGTGTATGGATATATCTTCCTGTGGTTTGGAAGTACAACATGGACGCGTACAGAAATAGCGGTCTCTTTGGAACACGTTGTCCTTCACCTCTTTGAATCATCCCTGATCGAGCAATTACGATGACAGAAACTTGAAAGGGGCCTTTCTATCATATCTGGTGGCTATTTCTCGCTCTTGATGTGGAGTATGGGCGTCTGACCGGCTTCCGTCGGCCATCACCATTGTCGATAATGATCATCATCATCACAAGGTGAGAGCGACGACATTGACTGAAGCCTATAAGTGATTTTGTGATACGAAATGTGTTCCAACCTTTCTTATGTGATGTAGAGGCTGGATCGGAGTCTACATTGCCGACGAAGATCATGTTTGATTTAATTTTACACATCGAGGGGAAATTATTAGAGAAAAAGAATGATCTGAAGCAGTGCTACATGATCTGACTGATCGTGCCGAGGCGATTATCAGTTTGAGGAACGAACGCACCGACAACAAGCACCAATCAACGTCATCGGTAGCACGGGCCCCTGCAAACCTCCGCCCGCAATGGCGGGTTCGCGACGCGCTCAGTCGCGCCGCAAACCGTCGCCCCTCTTCTCAGCCTGCTCCTCCCCGCAACATGCTATTATAACCCGGTCAAAGAAAATGCCCGTCCCAGAGCTTGAAGTGCTCAAACCAGCCAATCCTGCCAGCGATTCGGAAGACTACTTTGTGCTGAGCAACGCACACGTCGTATATGAGAGCAATGGCAAGCCCGCGAGCCTGTTGTCTGCGTACGCGGATGTTCTGCTGCGTGTCGAAGGGCGACTCGAGCCATTAGATCGTAGCATGACTAGATGCCGTATGCCTTACCCTATAAGCAATTCAGCCAGCCTCTCTCAAAGCGTAAATGTGCTAACCTTCGGACTGCAGTAGTGAAGAAACCCTACAAACCCGTCGACGTCGTAATTCGCAAGGTATCGCGCTTTTCCTACGGCCTACAAGGTGACACGGTGGTAATATGGGCTATGGGCGAGGCTGGCTGGTTCGAACTGCGACCGGCACGCCACTACAAGGAGACTTTCGACACCATGGCACAGGCCGTTGAGCTGCTTTACTTTCTGGCAGACATCTACAGCGAGCCGCGGAAGAAGGGTGGCGGACCGAACGCATCATTGATATTCCAGGAATATGCCGAAGACGAGCGATTCGAGTGTAACGATGTTGCAAGCGCCGAACAAATATTTCGCAAACACCACCAATTCTTAATGATGCGGTTCTTGCATCGAGCAGAAGATATTGGGTGGAGCAATACACCGATATATCAGTATTTCAAGAAGCAGTATCCCGTATGTCGCACGCCAATAGTATGGAACTTAGCTGATCCTGTACAGAAAGTCTTCGAATCCATAAAAGCACGAAAAGAAGGCCGCTACGACGAAGTTCCGAAAGAGCCAAGTTCCGTAAAGCCCACAACAGCACCGGCAGCGCAACCGTCCCGCTCGGTCCGTAGTCGGTCGCATGTCGAGAAGCCATCGGCACCACCGAAGAAAGATGACAATTGGTGGGAAGCTGCTGCCATCTACGACTTTATAAGAAGCGCCGTCAATAAGCGCGTGCTGCGGCCTGGGCGGCACCAGATTACTATGGACCGCATTGCAGAACTTATGACCAAGCGATATGAGATCGAGGAAGTAGACACAGCGCGCAATGTACTGCTCGTGCATGCGCAGAACCTCTGCTACAAAATGGACCATCCACGGAGCAAGAGCGCCAGTTTCTTGGCGGACGAGCCTATCTATAGGGAGCTCGAGACCGGGCATGATCTCCCAGCTGCAGATATCAGGAAAGCGCAAGCGGTGGCACTCCGACCACGAAAGGATCACGCGCCGCTTGAGAGCGCCGAATCAGATATTTCCGATTCCGAGACCTCCAACGATGTCGTAGTCACGCCGCAGCGACGAGCAGACGGAAGGAAGAAGAAAGGTCGACTTTCTGTCTTGCGGCCAAGGAGCAGCAAATACTCTGGTAAAGGTAAGACTGTGCAACCCAGGAAAGGGTCAACCTCTGGGACTCGATCCAGTGAAGAAGCGGACTCCAGCGCAGAGTCAGAAGTAGCAGAAGCAGAGCGCGACAGTGACAGTGTTATTGAGATTGACACACCAACACAAGCACTTTCACCAAGTCGCGAAAAGCGCAAATTTATCGACACCAGCGACGATGTGGAAGAAAAGGGGAGGCGGAAACGTGCGGCTTCCTCCTCAGTCTCATCAGAACCGATTCCTTCCAGCTCGGATTCCGATGCACAGGCTGCCGAGAACGAAGTACCACTGCCCTTACGAAATCGCTCGAATAGTAAACCTTCCGGTTCCCAAACGAAGTCAAATCTCGAAACTCCGATAATATCTACACCCCTGCCCACCTACGAAGCGAATGGACCTAGAGATTCCTGGACCTGCACGTTTGACGGTTGCAATCAGAGAATCTACGGCGCATCAAAGCCAATCGGGCGGCAGCTGATCACTGAGCACCTGGAGGATCACGCGAAGAATAGACAACAAGTTGTAGGCGTTGTCTGGAGAGAAAATCAAAAGCTGGCTTTGCCTGTCAAGTTAGTCATTTAGAGACTTATAATTGAGCAGTAGCTGACAACATACAGTAACCTTTTGAAGAAAATTCGCGAGATGAGCGAATCTCAAACGCCACTTTTTCCTTCATTGGGCCCTTCGAATTCAGCTATATCACCGGAGCCGATCAGGCGGATATTGTAGCTTTGAGAACTACTCCGTTCGAACCAGCCCTGTGTTCTCTGAACCGGCTACTCTGCACTGCACTATCTTTTTCTCTACATACCCCTCTTCTTTGATGTTTTCATATGTATCTTTCTTCTCGTGGGCATTTCCGGTTGCATTGTAATGCTTGAAGACTAGCAAATGGTTTTCTCGAAATTTATGTGGTGAGCCGAGGCTTCGGCTTGACATGTCTATCACGCGGACAACGGATGTTATCATTGATCAAAGTTCTATGTAGGCGTTCCCTAACGCCCAGGATGACTGCCTACTATCTTCGCTTAGGTCTCACAATCTTGGGCTTCGGTGACTCATTGGGTCCAGCAAATGATACTATCCTGTCATCCATCACCGATTTCCCACATTTCATGCAGGAACAGATTGTCTTACAGACCAGGATGTACCACCTATCCAACAGCACTGTGACTCACAAACGTCATTGCCAATCTACCAGGAATCGCACACCATAGCTGCATACTGAATTACTTGCTAAACGCTCTACGTCAACCTCCTACCCATCTCCCCTTCGCATACTCTCCAATGGCCCCACTATCCGCACCAGAGCTTCATCAACTTGCCACCAACCTCCAAGCCATCCTATCCACCACCCGCTACGGATGCACCTCCCTCACCCAACTCACCGGCGGAACAACATCCTTCGTCTTCCTCGGCACACTGCACCAACCCCTGCCAGCTACGCACCACGGTGGCAATCAGGAACAAGAAGATAGCGTAATCATAAAGCACGCAGCGCCCTTCGCATCATGCCACACCGGTTTTCTCGTCGATGCAGGTCGTGTAAAGTACGAAGCACTGATGCTGGAGGCCTTGCATCGCTTCGCCCCAAGTAATCAAGCAGTCGCTGTCAAGACGCCGAAGTTGTATCATTATGACGAGAGGGAAAGGGTGCTGGGGATACAGTACATTCCCGATACCAGGTCCCTGCATGAATGTTTAGATCGCTTGAGTAAAGAGCAGGCAGAGAGGATGGGACACGCACTGGGAACATGGCTCTCTGCTTTCCACGCATGGATGGATACGCCCGAGCAGTCGGGGCTGAAAGCGCAGCTCAAGCAAAACAAAAAGGAGGTGGAATTGAAGTGGAAGCTGACGTGGGGACAGGGCACGGAGGTGTTAGACAGGCTGGGAGATGTGGTGGACGAAGAGGATCGGAGAATGTGGGATGCTGCCTGCCTCACTGCCTGGGAGGACTTGGGAAAGGAGGAGAAGAAAGGGCTTGTGCATGGAGACTTTTGGGCGGGCAATATTCTCGTTGCTAATACACTGGCCGCAGAAGGTAGCACCGGAGAATTGCACCTCCACATCATCGACTTTGAGTTCTCGCACTTTGCATCCCGTGCCACGGATCTGGGCCAGTTTTTGGGCGACTTATGCGAGCGATACTACATTCACGCCTCGCCGCCTTTTTCCATACTGCGAGTCATCGTTGGCTTCTTAACCGGCCACGGACCCATCAGCGAGGAGCTGAAGTGGAGGACGGCCGTATATGTGGGCGTGCATATGGTGAACTGGTGGAGTCGGGGACCACCAGGGCGAAAAGATGCGGACGAGAGTAAGAGGGAGAGGGGGCTGGGACTTGTGCGGACGGGAGTGGAGTTCGTAAAAGGAGGACAGGAGCAGGATAGGAGAGTATTCTTGGATACGCCGATAGCCCCTTTGTTCGAGGTCTGATATGTAGAAACCCCTTGGACGCCACTTGGCTCGACTCGACACACTAAGGACACGCGGAATCAAGCTCAGATGGCATAGCGAAGATGGTCGTTATGTTTCTCGATTCCCTAATCCTACCCCTCCTACATGCAGAACGTACACTCGACGCCAACCCATGTTCTATTTTCCGTCCCAAACCTTCGCGACAATGTGGTGTTACATGTGAGAAAATATGGGCAGAAGAGGAGAGTTGGGCTAGTCCATGAGACAAGAACAAAAGCGCCGGAAATGGTGTACAAATAGTTCCAAACATCTTACAATTCCCCTTTCGCATCTTCCTCGGACATTACATTTACTCGAGGACACGGGTGACAAGACCAGTGGCAACGGTGCGTCCACCCTCACGCATGTTGAAGCGCTGGCCAGCCTCAAGCACGTGCGGCTGGTGCAGCTCGCAGACCATCTCTACGTTGTCACCAGGCATGATCTGCTTGTCCTTCTCGACGCCCTCAGGCCAGGTGAGCGCGCAGCTCTCGTCGGCCGTTCGGATGAACATCTGGGGCCTGTAGTTCTCGCCGAAGCCGGTGTGGCGACCACCCTCCTCCTTGCTCAGCACGTACATGGAGACGAGGAACTTCTTGTGTGCCTTGACGGATCCAGGGACGGCGACGACCATACCGCGGCGGACGTCCTCGCGCTTGACTCCACGGAGGAGCAGACCAGAGTTGTCACCAGCGCGCGACTCGTCGCAAGACTTTTTGAACGTTTCGATGTCGGTGACCTTGGTTTTGATGGGTGCGACACCCTTGCCGACGAGCTCCACTTCGGAATCCTTCTTCAAGATACCACGCTCGACACGGCCAGAGCAGACGGTTCCACGACCGGCAATGGAGAAGACGTCCTCAACGGCCATGAGGAAGGGCTTCTCGGTCTCACGCTGGGGTGTGGGGATCCAGGAGTCGACCTGCTCAAGGAGCTCGTCAATCTTCTGCTGGCCAATCTCTGGCTCGCGGCCCTCAAGGGCGCAAAGCGCAGAGCCCATAACAATGGGGGTCTCGTCACCCTCGAAGCCGTACGAGGTGAGCAGCTCGCGCATCTCCATCTCGACGAGCTCCAACATCTCCTTGTCCTCAATAGCATCGACCTTGTTGACGAAGACAACGATCTTCTGGACACCGACCTGACGGGCGAGCAGCAAATGCTCACGGGTCTGGGGCATCTGTCCGTCCGACGCGGCAACAACAATGATGGCACCGTCCATGTTCGCCGCACCCGTAATCATGTTCTTGATGTAATCGGCGTGGCCCGGGCAGTCAACGTGGGCATAATGCCTGTTGTCGGTCGAGTACTCAATGTGTGCTGTGGAGATGGTGATACCGCGCTTTCGCTCTTCAGGGGCCTTGTCGATGGAGCCATATTCGAGGAACTTTGCGTAGCCCTTCTCGGCTTGTCGCTTTGTGATGGCAGCTGTGAGGGTAGTCTATCATCTAATTAGTATGGCGATGGTAAATGGAGACTTCGTGGGGTCGTGCCTTTCCGTGATCGACGTGACCAATAGTACCTGTTGTAATCAGCAAAGTTCCTGGGAGCTTCAGCGAGCTTCAGAAGGACTGCATACCGATGTTTACGTGAGGCTTGTCACGGGAGAAAGCAGCGGCGTAGTTCCTGATCTGGTTGCCGCTCCATGCCTGCTGCACCGGGTTTACGCCCCTCTGGTATCGCAGAGCACACCGCGAGGTGCGCATGAAAGCGCGCGAGAAGGACGACATATTTGTGGTGGAAAGGTTCAATTAAAAGAATGCGTATCCGTACGAAGACAAGGAGAATGAAAGGAGGCGCAATTGGGATGGTAAGGCGCGAGGTTGCACTGGTGCTCCTTAGGACGCGGAGGCGGTTCGATGGTCAGTTAATTTGTTAGCGTCCAAGATTTTGTCTTACGCTGTCACGTGCAGCCCGAGCGCAAGCTCCACCCTTCTGTGCATCGACAGAGCTTCTAGAAAATTGAAGGAAGCGGGAAACCTTTCCCGTGCTGCTTAAGTTTATCTAGCCGATCTCTTTTGTACATTACCCAACGTCATTCCTTCAATCACAAGTCAATTGAGCTTGAAGCATCCCGAATCCCATTTGACCGCGTTTGATCGGACACCCGAGGTCTGTCGGCAGTCTTCTGAACAGCGCCCTCACAACCAGCGCTCCCCATGTCGCTCCGCACATCGATCAGACGAACAGCTGCGCCGCTGAGCTGGGCCTCGCGGACGACTACCTGCACCATGCCTCTGCGCGCAAAGATCACAAATCCCGCTATGCTGAGCGCAAGCCGGCAGGTATGCTCCCCGCAGCTTCTCCGTTCGGCTGTTCGCGGTTTGCTTTGCAACGTCTAACAACAATGCAGTATACTTCCCCCTCTGAGGATCCCGCATTGAGACCGCAACCAAACGACGACCCCGACGATGTCATCTTCACGAACAACTACGGCGTCCGCTCTATCGAGCTTAACCGGCCGAAGAAGCTCAATTCCCTCGACGGCTCCATGGCCCGCAAAATCATCCCGCGGCTTCAAGAGTGGGCAAAATCTGAGTTAGCAGGCGTCGTCGTTATAAAAGGTTCAGGTCGCGCTTTCTGCGCTGGAGGTGATGTCGCCGCGCTCGCGAAATGGAATCAAGAGGGTCCCGAAGGCCAGAAGCGAAGCTCCGACTACTTCGCCCTCGAATACAAGCTGGACCATATGATTGCGACCTACACGAAGCCCTACGTAGCCTTCATGGACGGCATCACCATGGGCGGCGGTGTGGGACTGTCCATCCACGCGCCTTTCCGTATTGCGACCGAAAACACACTCTTCGCGATGCCGGAGACCACCATTGGCTTCTTCCCCGACGTTGGCGCATCCTTCTTCCTCCCGCGCATGGAGGGCGCTCTAGGCACCTATCTCGCACTCACGAGTGAGCAGCTCAAGGGCGTGGACGCCTTCTACCACGGCATCGCAACGCATTACATCCACAGCTCCACTCTACAAGCCCTCGAATCCCGTCTCGCCGAACTCCAGTTCCCGGATTATATGAGCCTCCAAGACCGCTTCAAGAGAATCAACGCCACCATTGAGGAATACGCTACTGGTCTGCCAGCACCGCGCCCGCATATCTCAGGCGCGTTGAGGCAGACGATCGATAGGGTGTTCCACCGGGACCAGCCCAGCATCGAAGCCATCCTCGACTCTCTCGCCGAAGTCCGTGACCAGAGCCCTTCAAAGGAAATCAAGACGTGGGCCACCAAGACGCTGGACACGCTGCAGACACGCTCCCCGATCGCCGTCGCTGTCGCCCTTCAACAGATGCGTGTCGGTCGTCGCTGGTCCATCGCCGAGACTTTCCAGAGGGAACACGATATCGCTACGCATTTCATGGCGCACCCGGATTTCGTCGAGGGTGTAACGGCGAGGCTCGTTGAGCGCAAGAAAGAGCGCCCGAACTGGAAGCCGAACACGCTCCAGGAGGTTAAGATGGAGCAGGTGCATGAGTTCTTCAGCAGGAGCGAGGGCAAGCCGGGGCTAAACCTGCTCAGCTCGGCGAACTACGACGAATATCCGCATGCGTGGATTGGGCTGCCAAAGGACGAGGAGATCTGGAGCGAGGCGAGTGGGAAGTCACCTGAGGATGTTGTTGCGACGTTGTTGGAAAAGTACGAGGGGAAGCAGGGTGTAAGAGAGAAGGTTGCAGAGGCATTGGAGAGATTAAGATAGAAAGCTTCGTGTATAGAACTTGTACAACATTGCACACTCACACCCTTTAACACAATATCCATTATACATACATACCCCCGTCTACCGCTTGCCCATCATCCCCAACAGCCTCTCAATCTCGACCTTCGCGCTTCCGCTCGCCTTGGCTGAGACCTCTTCGAGCAACGCCCTGTCTTTGGCCTTGCTCGCCTCCTCGCCAGCCTTTACTACAAGCCCGCACTTCATCCACATGTCCACGCGCTCCGCTGCACTCAACCCTGTGCACTTCGGAACAAACATGCTCGCCACCCTTGTGTTCCCCGCCCCCAGAATCTCATTGAAGTACGGCTCCCACCCTATCGGGCTCTTCTTCGCCTTGCCCAGCTCTTCCAACTCCGTCCAGTGCCGCGCAGCCACGAACGCTCGGAGCCTTAGCCACGCGTATGTCTTATCCGGAATTTTGAACTCAGATTGGACCTTGAGTGCGCGCTTTGTATGTCCTAGACGAAGCAGAGCGGTGATAGTTTGATGGGCGCTCAGACCGACGAAAGAACTTCCATTGCCGCCTGGCGAAGGCGAAGACGAGCCGTCGCGTGGCCCGAGGTCCTTTTCGAATTGTTCTTGTAATCGGAGAAGCTTTTGAGCGTCGTCGAGCGCATGCCGTTGGAATGTTGCTGCGGAGTCGCGGCTATCTTTTAGATACGTTGATGCGGATTTCAGCTTGTCGATGGCGGATGTGACCGAGGGGGAGGACAGGGCTTGGGAGAGCAGTAGGTTTGAACCATCTAGTCGTCGGTCGTCTTGGTAGTATAAATCCTTGAGGAGTTCGTGGTCCTGGTCTCTTGCGCTGGATTCCACAAGCGCGGAGGCGACCGGGCGGCTGTTGATCACGCGGAAGAAGCTCGCGAGCGGCAGCTTCTTGCGCAGGTGTAGTAGAACGTGGTACACCAGGTCAGTATCCCCGCTTTCTATGGCTTTGTCCAAAGCGATGTTGTCCTCTTTCATGTTAAGTAGAAGCGGGACCTGCTTTCCGGCTCTGGGTTCGTAGTTAAGTAACTCTGTTGCTAAGCGGACACGACCTTCATCGTAGGCTGCATGAGCAATCTCCTCGAAGGAGATCCCAGGCTTGCCATGCAGCTTTTTGACGATAAGCGCACAGATTTCTTCCTCAGTATCTGTGCTCACTCTGACTTTCTGCTGCGCCCAATGACCGTGGATATGACTGGTTGGAAGATGGAGGTAGGACGCTACACGCAGAGCAAGCAAGTACTCGTTGCGATTTGTGAGGCGATCCACGAGTTTCTCGGGCGTGAGCCGGCGGTACTGTTCGTAACTTACTGGCAATCCCACCTCATAGAAGCGGACGGCGTTCAGAACGCGTAAGGTGTCGCATGTATCAACAAAATCGTCGCTAGAATACAGGTCTAGAACCGACTTTCCGAAAGACGCTGCGCGGAGGAGTTGCTTTTGCCAATGGATGTTGTACTCGTTCGCTGCGGCTCTGATGCACGTATCCACTGCTTCGGCGAGGGAAGGTCGGATGAGCTGGATGAGATCGTCTGCCTTTGGAGACTTTTGATCAAGAAGAGATGATGCTTCTAGCAGGTTCGCAGCAGGTGAATCGGAACCTATACGGAATACTTCTACAGAAGCGTCGGGTACTTTATGCAGGTACTCGCACACGTCGTTTGTGAGTAGGCGGAGTCCATCAACGTCTGGTAAGAGATGTATCCAAGCATCGTAGTAGAACTTCGTGACTGCGCCGTTGGGGCCAATTAGGTGAACTTCGTCTTCCCAAGCCAGCGCAACGGCATTGCTGCCACACCATTGCATGTCCTTGGGCACTGTCTTGACTTTGCTGTCATACTCGCTCAGCTTGTCGCTCCAGTCGCCGCTCACAACCCATACCTTCCCGTCGTCCGTGTAGAAAGCGAGGAATTCGCCGCGAGGGCTCACACTTATATGCCTAAATGGTCCAGCGTCGAAATTACGGTTCTCAGCCTCGGTCGCGTCTACCACGTAAAGCGTCTCTCCAATCGCAAGAATCACTTCCACGGAGCGCGACAGTGAGTACGTTGGAGGTATTATTCCCCACGATATAACGGGTTCTGCGGGCGGTATCGCTAGGAGCTTCGGTCGGGGCTCGGTATATGAGGACACAGATATGAGGTTGTTGTTTCCTAGCAGCGCAACGAAACCAGAGCTGTAGAATTTGCAGGACTGCACGCCGTGTTCGTCGGCGCCATGGCCGAGGGTAAACGGAAAGAAGTCGCCTTGGAGATCGTAGTAACACCGCACTGTGCCATCTGCCGTAATAACAAGCAACTTCTCATCTTCCGACCATCCCAGCCCTTTGATTGTGCCTTTGTCCCAGTTGATGCGCCGTATGAGCTTCCCCGCGCAACTGTAGATATCGATGCTCGCTTTATTCGCTTGACCACCCCGGTACGTGGTTATCTTGTTTTCATCGCGGTATATAGCTATCCCATTTCGTTCAGCATGCGCCTCGTTAAAATCGTGGTTGGGGCCGTACCTACAGCGCCGCTGTACGGAGCCCCCACCGCATTGTAGTTCTCAAGCTCGAGATCCTGATCAAATACGGCCGTGTAAAGCTGGATCTTGCGGTAGAATTTGTCGCCTAGCTTCTCCCAGTTCGCAGTGGGTTTCGACATGTCATACGGGTGTTGTGGCGTGTATCATTGGGATGTGGTGTAGGTATGCGGAGGAGCTGCGGCCTGCGTTGCCGGTAGGTGCGCACAGGCCACCCATGACCTCAAAGCTGGAACGGCATGCTAATAGAGAGCCATTTAGGATATTACGAATAGACAATCTGATTTAAGGGTAGTCGCTATATACTGAACCAAGGAAGACCAAACGCTTCAAGCAAAACGCCGTCGCTCAATGCTATCGTAACCAATCCGAATCCCATGTCAACCAATTTCAACATCAAACATTGCAACCGCATACGACTTTACAACATCGTTCAAGACATCAAAGCTTCAGGATCAGTTCCCAAAGATCTCATGCAGAGTCTGACGCACACCAAAACGTTCCACATCGCCACCGACCTTCCTGCGGAATAGTCCCAGATCTTTCAGGAAGTCTTGGGCCTCGTTCTGCAGCTCCTGCGCGAGCTCGTCGTGATCGCCTTCATCGTACCCTGAATCCGAGTCATCCCCACTCATCTCATCATCAGAGTGGATGGGGATAGAATTCTCTTTACCTTCCTCGCCCAGCTCCACACCCTTTTTATCGACCCGAATGAAGCCATCTTGTTCGATTTCGGGGGAGCCAGGCTGTGGAGGAGGTAAGACGATAGGATTCTTCAGTTCACCCAGAGCTAGGGCCAAATGACGCCGCAGAGCATCGATTTCGGAGCGTAAGGCGATGTTCACGGGGCGTAATTCTTCGACTTCGGCAGTCAGGGCTTTAATCCTGCAGTCGTTGACCATACGGTTCTCTTCCTCAAGGCGCTGCATCATGCAGACCTGTCGTTGGTACTCTTCCAGTTCTGTGGCTTCCTCTCTCTTCCGGATACTGGCTGCATTGACGCTGACCTGCAGGGAACGTATCTGTTCGGCCATTTCCACAATCTGTGCGTCACGCTGTGCAGCGGACATGCAGTCCTGGTTGACTGAAGCACGCGTACGGATGCGTTTCGCTTGGTCCGCGTATCGAAGGGTGGATAATGTCTCGTCGTAATCCGCAGGAGCAATACATGCTACCATGGCTGTCTTGCTGTTTCCGCCTAAACTGTCCTTGAGAAGCCATGTGAGGACAGAGTCTCGGAACGGTACCACTTCTCTCGGTCTTCGTCCCTTGTTATTCTGTCTCTTTGGGTCTGCTAGCGCAGCAATGACACGCCCTAGTGTTGTCAACGATTTGTTGATCTGGCCCCCTTCCTTCAGGCGCTGGCCTGTGGCTTCTGTAGACTTTGCACGCTCGGAGCCGGCAAGATCCACGAGCCTCATGCGGGCAGTGCGCTCGATGGTTTCGTCTGATAGGAGCGAATGGGTGATTTGCTTGAGGCGGATTGTGAACACGGCGTGCGATCGCGACGATGTGTCGTTCATCTTGGTTGAAGCTGTCGTTCGGCTCTGTTCTTGCACTTAGTATTCGCAATGAAGAATAATGTCTGGAAATCTCACCGAGTCTCCGACCCTCATCAATCGTTCAACATCCGCATAGGACTTGACCTCCGTCTCCGTCAAACCTTGGACGTACACCCCGTCCTTGGGAGATTCGCGAATCTTCAGGAACATAGCAGGATTCGTGCGTGGCGAAAGGAGGTCTCGGACATGCTCGTTGTATACTTCGAAATACGACACCTGTACATGGTAGCTCGTATTCGGTGTCGGCTCGTCTCGAATTCTCTCGAACAGCTCCTCGCAGGTTCGAGGGATCAAACCAGGATTATCTGGCGAGCCCATCATCGTGTAACTCTTCCCTGAACCCGTTTGGCCGTACGCGAAAATGCATGTGTGGTACCCATTGAAGTTGTGATCCAAAAACTCCTCACCAAACGACCGGTAAACATCCTCTTGGTGCGCGTAATATGGGTCGGCTTCATCATGCGACCAGAATGATTTGTCGAATATGAATTCTTTGTCTTCGTATGCTCTTCGCATGTTGGATTCCGAATCGTCAACAGGGGCAAGGAGCGTGGTCTTGTTAGTTGTAGGATCCATTCGGATGAGACATTGCGTGCCCTTCTCTTTCTCTGCGCCAACAATCAGTATCCTGTACCAGTCGCATTGGAGGTGGTTGAGAACATACCTCTCCGTACGAAAGCTCTGCACCGCACGACGACCTTGACATTGCCCGCATCGTCAAGCATAGGCGGCGGCGCCATCATGGCCATCGGTTCGCTTGCCCTCAAAGAGACCGCCGAAGCGGTCGACAAACTCCCATACATGCGCCGGTCCATGGTATTCTCCAGTAACCAAAAAAGATGTTCTTTGAGTGATCGCAACCTGATGATGTTAAAGAGGTGCATCGATACCGTCTCGAGTCGTGCTTGCAACACGGGCAGGCGCTAGTGTTGCCTAATCGAGCTAAAGCACAACAGTTCGTTGCTGGGGAAGGTGAGGCTACGTCACGTTCGGCCCCACATGGAAATCGCGAAATTTTGGTGCGTGCACACCGCAACAAAAGAACCCACTGGACAACGCAACAAAAGACGACGTGTTCGAGGGCTATTGCGCGCAAGCTGAGAGAGACAGTCCAGGGTCGTTTTGCGGAGTTGCTCCCGAGCATTCCTAGCAACGGTTGCTGGGGGGTGCAATCCGCTACCCCGCCAATCACAAGGTCTGCATCTAAGAACTCCTCAGGCGTGCTACAGTGGACCACAAGTGAGGGCGCGACGGTTCGACTAGACACAAGACGAAATGTCTACAGAAAAGACGTATCGCGATGTTGAATCGATCATTCGATTCGCGGATGCATCAGTCAAGGAGTCGGCGTTCGACCATTACTGGAGTATAGTGCAAGGCTCAGCCTCTGGTCTTATCGATCTGGAAGCATTGAGAATCTGTGTCCGTCTCTTGCCTCCAGAACATTCCTCTCCGAATGTAAGTGTGCAGTCTCGTGGTTTGCTGAACTACTACGTACCAAAGGGAGCTTGCAGAAAGAGTTCCTACGAAGGGTATTGAAGCCTCCACATTTGCATGTTACTCGGCTGATACTGAACAGGCGAATGATTCCTACATGCGCATGCATGAATTGGTTTTCGAATACATATCGAAAAAGTGTCACACCGAAGACCATCTTTACTTACTGGCTGAAATATGCCTTAGTGATTCCAAATTTGGATGTCTGGTCTTCGATAAAATCACCAACTACATTGAGGTCGCTTCACAGTGGAACGATATTTCCGCGGCGAGAAAGGAATATCATGAGAGGCAACTAACAAAGGAAGAGAGCACACAGGAACTTCAAGCCTGTTATAAATTTCTGAAATGCTCTTACTGGCTTACTGCAGACCGATACCACTACATCACTCCTGAGCTGGTCTCCCTAATTGTCCGTAGCATTGGAAAGGATGGCGTAGACGACCACGTCCATGACACACTATCTTCTCTGCTCAGTCTACTGGCTAAATCATCTGTCGCCGTGCTTAAGACTGAAAGGCTTTCACACACCTGGGCGGAGCCCGATTGGACTCCTGACAAGCCCATCCTTCTGTCCGGCGTTCTCTCGGACTTCTTCTTTGATCGTCTCCGTGATCTTCCACTGGCATACTTCTCAGAAAGTGCCAGTAAAGCGTTCCGGACTTGGTTCCAATGGATATCGCACGTGAACGCGAATGCAATGAAGACTAGCGCGGTCTACTGGTCGGAGTACTGGTCCGCGTTACGTACTGGACTTTTGAGTGGTCTAGCTGATCAGCGCAAGTATTGTCTAGGTATCTTACAGCAATCGCTGAGCTTGTGCCAAAGAAGTTTCGAGGCATCCGGTATGGCATTCAGCGTCGATGAGAAACAGGCTACCATGGAGCAATATCAAAAATACTGCGCGTTGTTCGAAATCATTGTTCTGGATCGATACCCAAACCAAGTGCAGGCGTGTCTACCTGAACTTACAGCGTTGCTAGGATCGACATCATTGATCTCTCCGGAATGGACAACGGCACTTCTAGCAGCTGCTCTCAACTCGCAGATCCAGGAAGGTGTTAGGAAGCTCATCGGAAACTGGTACCTAAACTATGCCACCTCACAACCGGAATCATGCACTACCCACACATCCTTCCTCGTAAAGGGTTTCCTCCCATGGGTGACCCAGGGTAGTCTTTTCACTACATCCTTTATATCGACTCGCACTTGGACCGTGTGTCCCCACGGAGAAGCTCTGGCAGAGGCCTTCGCTAAACTTGTCATAGCAGCGAACGGAACAGCGCCCAAGTCTGAAGCATACAGTCCGTACTCTCATAACCGGCCAGTGGTCTCAGAGAAACAAGCCATCATCAGGGGAGCCCTGCAATATGTTACAGACACGGAAGGTAGGATATTCTCTCCCGCGGTCCTCTATCTTCTAGAGGGGCTTCTCAAAGGCATCGGCCACGGTGGTATTCTCTTGGACATCGCTGAAATTAATATGATTGTATCGATATCCAGGATGCCTGCTTTGCCGGAAATCGCTGCCGATCTGTGCCGCACTTATTGTGTGGAACTTTGCGGTTATCGCGGCCCACAGATACTGGACGCAGAATTTCTACCTGCTCAAGCCTTTCTCGACAAAGCGCTTGGGAACGTACAAGAGTGGACTGGTGATGAAATAGACACGCCCGCGGAAGCAGATATCAACTCGGAGAGGTTACCATCCTTAAAGGCATTCCTCGAGGAACTAGATCGCTCACAGCATAAGATCATCCAAAACGAAAAATTCGTGCCTGGCTGTGCCCAGATCACTTCGCTGCTGGAAAATGGCACTACCCGCTCGTTCTTACCAGATGAAGTATTTCAGATATTAAATGCATTTTGGGAAGAGGCAGACAGACAAGACTATTGCCGACCCGTTGCTATCAGACTGGCCGCTCTGTTCTTCCACCCAACCAGCGTACAAAATTGTCTCCGGCAGAAAGAAAACGAACCCGAGGCTGCGACCTCCCTGACAGCATTACTAACGAGAGCGCTAACTTCTCTTCACCGAATTGCAGAAGGTCGAACGTACCTTGTGTCGGCACTAGCAACATCTCTACGCAGAGCTATGTTCCTGCATCCGGGCATACTGAACGTAATACCTTCGGAAGAATTCTTTGTTCGCTTCATCGAGAATCCTCCTGTGCCCAAGAAGGAATTCCTCTTTGAAGTAGCAGCTGCGCAAAAGCTCCAAGAACATCTACCCCGTCTAAACCACGGAAAGCCTGTCCCAAAACGGGACTATGAAGCATACTATGGACAGCGCGAATGGTTTGGATACGCAGCAGTCATCGATTCGCTCAACCGTATCCCAGAAAATCAAGTGGACGTCGCAAAACAGGTGATGAAGCGCCTGTTGGAACCCTGGAGAACGCAGAAAGCACCCATACCGATCATCAGCAAGTCAAAGAATGTCCTCCAACTGCAAATCATGCTGTTATTGACAGAGTCATGCGTAAGCGAAGAGGACGCTGACTGGTATCTGGACTCCTTCATGCACGCCTTAGTCCTCGAACCGTGGCCTCGGTATCGATACTTGCTGGACTGGATCATTACCCGCATCTACTTCCGCTTCCCGAGCAAAGCAGGTCGTATACTGGACGACCTTGCTAATCTAGATGACAACAGCCCCGTGCATATTTCAAGTCTCATGAAGCTCGCCCTCCTCGCAGCCCCATTCCTAGACTCGGACGAGTTCGCGCTGAGGCTCATGGTCCAGCTCATTCCCTTTTCTGCTAGCCCAAAGATTCAGATTAGGCATGAGGCACACTGGTCTTTCCCAACGCTTTTCGATCTCGCGGAAGAGAGGAAGTGGACGTCCATTACAGGAAATCCAGCCTTTGTCGCATTAGATAGGCACGTGCGCAGTCTCGACAAGTTCAATGCTCCTCCCTCCACTATTCGCACATTGAGGCTAGACGCTGTGAATGACTTTACACTCACCAACATCTTCCAAGGTCGTTACCTTAGGATCGAGACCCCTGATATGGAGTACGTTGCACACGAAGACTTCGTCTCGCTCACTGATTCCGACACTTCCTGGACATTGCAATCCTGCGCTTCACCACCACGCGTTCCCCTAGGAGAACCGCTACCCACCACCGCCCTCACACCAGTCATTCCAGTCTGGAAAAAACAAACCGGACGAGACCCAACCTTAACCCCAACAACAGAATCCACACCCACATTCCACCAAACCAAATCCGGCTTCGACATCGCCTCGCTCCTCCCCTCAGCTGGCCCACCAAGCGCTCAACAAACCCGCCCCGCTTCCGTCATCCTCATCGCCTCTCTAATAGACAACCCCACCAACCTCGGCGGCCTCTCCCGCATCTCCGAGTCCTTTGGCCTCGAAGCCCTCTACATCGACGACCTCAAGAAAACGGCACACAAAGACTTCAAAGCTACCTCCGTAACGAGCGAGAAGCACTTCCCAATCAGGGAGCTTAAGATTCCTTCCATCCCTTCCTTCGTAACCGAGAAGAAAAGAGAGGGGTATGAAGTCGTGGGTATCGAGCAAACAGATAGGTCCGGTATGCTTGGGGAAGAAGGAGATGGGGGAAAGGGGCTGGGCACGCTGCCGCGGAAATGCGTACTAGTGCTGGGAGCCGAGAGGAGCGGGATAACGGCAGAGGTGTTGGCGGTTGTGGATCGGTGTGTAGAGATAAAAACGGTCGGGGTGACGAGGAGTTTGAATGTGCAGACGGCGGGAGGGATTGCAGTGTACGAATGGTGGAGGGAGTGGGGTGGGAAGGTATGAGGGCTAGCTTCGATCGAGCCATATGCATGTTGAGGCCTTTGATACGCCTTTGAAAACAAGATATCCGTCAAGATCACTCAAACCCTCAAATTGCAAGCTTGACAGACGTTTGAGTTACAGTGCTTTGCGCCGCTATGCAGGAACGCTAGATGAAATGCCTGACCGATAAACGCCTACCAATGCGGGTACACTACGCTATAACCAATCTAGGATCCGACCAAGACGCCGCTTAGTCTTGCCCTCCTGCTTGTCAGGCTTCTCAACCTTCTCATGCTTGCCGCCATGCTCACTATGGTGCCGACGTTGGTGATGATGAACATGATTTCCTGCTCGAACTTTCTTCTGATCACCGACGCTCTGGTCGACTTCACTCTTCTTCTCCACCCTGATATATAGCATAAGCTATATTCTCAATCACAAATCATTTCGCCCTTGGGTATCATTCAATCACCTTCCAGCCTCTATCGCTCGAGGTCGTCGGTCACGGTCGCGTTCGCTGTCCCGGTCGTAGTCGTCATAGTCTCTATCATAGTCGTCGTGGTCTCGACGTCTATCCCTGTCTTCTTCGCGATGGCCATGGTGACCGTGCCGATCATGATCTCGGTCTGGGTCCCGTCCTTCATGATGTTCAAATTCATCCTCTGGGAAATTGTTAGTCTATGATTCAGGAAGATGCAGAATCAGACTCTTACCTCTAACTTCACGAATCTTTTTGGTACGATCCGCCAGCTTCTGGATGTCTTCCTTTGTTAAGACCCGCAGAACAATGACACAGTCTAGGCGCTCCTCGAATCGTTCTTTTGCTTCCTCAAGAGCCTGCGGATTCACAAGCCTTCGATCGATTTTTGTCCATCGAGCGTTTGTAGGGATGTCCTTGCCTTTCAGTTGGCTTTTATGAGGGGCAACACCCTCGCGGATGGGCTCAGGGTCTTCAGGGAATTTCTCAGTCGGTTTGCGTAGGATACCTTTGGGAGCAGCAGGAGCTTCCTTAGGGGGTGTGACGATCTGTACACCCTTGCTTGGTGGGTCATGGTCCGCTAAGGAGTCTGGTTCTTGGACAATGTCGGTGTCAAGAACGCTTGCAGAGCGCTCATCGTAGCGCGAGTGTGGCGGCGCGGGAGCATTGGATCTGGCTTCGCGTAGACGATAATCATCTGCACGCTCGCGAGACTTGTCTCTTTCCTCTTTCCGTCGTCGACGCTCTCGCTCTCGGTCTGAATCGCCATCGTCCCGATCGCGCCCGCTCCGTTCGGCTTCTTGTTGGATACGACGCCTGTATTCCTCGTCTGGGTCGAGTGCGGCCTCTTTTGCAGGTGGCTCCGCTTTGCGTTGGCTATCGACGTAGTGACGGGGTCGTTCATCACCACTACCCTCAGATGATGGTGCCTTGCGTGACCTCCTCTCACGCCTCTCACGCTCCTCATCTTCGTATCCTCGCTCACGAGGATAGCGACTGGGTTCTTGAAGTGAGGCATAAGCGGCGGCAGCAGGCTGTATGCGTTCTTGGAGCGGTCGTTCCTGTCGTTCTTCAGGCATGATTTCGCGCCTGTCGGTACGTCGCTCTCGTTCATCCGAGCCCCTGCCCCGTCGGTCACGTTCGTCCAACTCCTTACGTTGCTCACGTTCTTTTTCCCTCTCCCTTTCGCGCTCGCGTTCCCGATCCCGTTCGCGTTCGCGTTCGCGTTCACGCTCACGTTCACGTTCCTTTTCCCGCTCGCGCTCACGATCGCGCTCTGAATCCCGCTCCCGGTCCTTGTCGCGGGATTTCAAAGCATGGGCAGCACCCAACGTAGCAGCGGCACCTGCAGCAGCACCTGCCACGATTGGAGCAGCACTGGGAACGGGCTGGTTACTATCTCGAGAGGGTCTATCTCGTGGGCGCTCTTCGTACGTTGGAGCCACATCGCGTTCGCGCGGCCTGGCGTCCGGCACTCTCGCATCCGGCATCCTGGGATCCGGCATCCTGGGGTCCGGCATCCTTGCATCGGCACGATTCGAAGAGTAATATTGGCTACCATACCCCTCTGCTCTTCCTCGGCCCACTTCCGGGGGGATTCACGTTATAGATCGGCTGAGGATCAGGAACAGGTTCGCGTACATGACCAGTCGGTGCAATGCCAAACCCGCGGCTGGCCACGTCGCGATCTTCGAATCGATCGGCGTAACGGCGGTTCTCAACGTTTCTATCTCGACGATCGTAGTCATCGTGGTACGTTTCTCGTCGATGCTCCCGAGGCTCTTGATGGATGGCAGGAGTGTGGTGTCGGGTTGAGGAGCTTCGGGAGGGCACAGCATCAGGGTACGAGTCGTATTTGGGAATATCCCTGGACCGATCGTTTGATGAGGACCTATGGTGACGACCGCTGGCGTTGTTAATCTTGTCAAACCCGCGAGTGGAAGGGGGGAGGGCCAAGTTCCCGGGCAGAGCTACGAGGACCACGATCCAGCACTACGCTCGAAGGACGCGCACTACGCTCGGTGCTGTTAGCCCGAGGTCGACGCCATGCTGGCTCGGTCTCGCGATACATGGCTGCAGGGTCCGTGTACGAGAAGCCTTCGTCTCCGAATTCTGTGGCCTTAACCACAGGTTTGTGTTGATGGTAGGTACGGCCACCACTGGTGACGCTATAGTCGCGAGAGTCTCGGTGGCTGGGTTTGACAACGTCTTTCTCTGCGATCAGCTTGGTTGAATGACTTCCGTCGTCCACGCTGTATATTCTCTTGTGCGCCGTATTTCGCGGGGGTGCCGGGGTGGCATAGGCATCTCCTCGGGTGTCCCAAGATCGTGCTAACGGACTCGATGGTCGATCATGAACATTAGTCGCTTGAGTACGAAGTGGAAGGGCTGCGGAAGGAGTGAGCATCGAATGAGGTCGAACCAAGCGCTCGTCCGAGTCATTGAGAGTGTTGCGTCGTGGTCTCCCGGAGTATGAGTCGTATTTGGGCTTAGAAGATCGAGAGCTAGATGAGCTACTGCTTGTGACATAGTTGTCTCGTGGGTAGATCGACCCTCCGAGCCTATCGACGCTCGATCTAGGCGAACTCGGGCGTGCGTAGTAGTTGGAATCGTAGTATGGGTCGAATGTGCCTGTGGACGACCTTGCGGGATTGCTCGCGCGTGATCCTCGGGGCGAGGCGGGGCGATAGTACCGCGAGTCCATCTTTTGTGGTTGGGCTTGGGGTTGGGTAGGGATCGTAGACGCAGACCTTCCCACCGACAGCAACTCCTTCTTCGCGATCAGCTGTAGCTTCTTGCCTAGTTGCTGTTGCTGGCCAGGGGTGACGGGAAGAGAGGACCGGCGAGGTGGTAAAGGCGGCGGCTGCTCGCAGGAGTAGGAGAGTCTCCGCACACGCGACGTTGCCCAGTTCTGGGAAGGAACGACGACACTGCCCGTCATGATGGTCAGCAATGGAAAGAACGTTCGAGAGAGAACTAAATGACAGACGAGAGAGACTCAGACACCAGCTCCAGCGAGGAAGAAAAAGAGCACTGCACTTCCACGTACATCTAGTCGATATATGGCGACTGGCGGGAACGCCTTGATTTGGCTGAGGCCCGCAGGTGCAGGATCGAGGCGAGGACCTCGACGGCAGCCCGAATCGCAGCGAATGTGCGGTCGCAGCCCAAGCGCGCGTGCGGGTATTGGCGCAGCGAGACAGCAGGGGCGAGGGTCCGGCGCTCACAAATTCGACGTGAGGTTTGCAGAGTGTACTGGGGTAGACCCAGGGGCGAGGCGGCCACGGCAGCAAGTGGGGGATGGTTGTGAGGCTGCAGGAGGGGCAGCGCGGCGATCCGGTGTGAGGAAACGGCGGATGTGAGCGCTGCAGCACTGGAGCGGAGCGGCGTGGCGGCGAGAAAAGGGCAGGGAGAAGAATAGGGATATCGTGAATGGTCCTGTGGGCGTAGGGTTTTGGGCAGTTGGGTGCGTGTAGATCTATGCGATGACGCTGACAGGCCAGGGTGCTTGTGCCTGATTGGTGGGGGGCGCAAAAAAGGGTCGCCGCCCGCCCGCAGTTCCAACTCGGGTTCACACATGTCGCATGCCTCAGGGACCCTCGCTACCACGCAATAACAGTACCGGGTTTGTAATATCCAGTGGGCCCATCACCCTCTCCAAGGACCTGAACACCATCAGGACCACCGAGAGTCCGGTCAGTGGCCGCTGTCAGGTCAACGTCCTGCCCCGCTCTGCCTCACTTAACTGCGATCTCCCTGTCGCTGCCCAACTAGTGCACCGGCAGCATCGCGGTATCCAAAGGCCTCACTCATTTCCGCTCTGCTTGCGGCCCGATAGAAAAAGATCTTCATCCCTACATTGACACGTAACTATTCTCGCCTCTATGTCTTAGCCATTCCCCGCCGTCGTTCCCCCATTTGGACGCTGAGCCTGCTCTATGCGTCTTCAACATGCTGCACGCCCGAAACGACTCCCTTATGCGCTGTCGCGCTGCTCTCGGACGCATCGTCGTTGGTAACATGGTGATGCTGCAGCTGCTTTGCGCGAGAGTGGCGAGGAATCGTGTCCTTCACACATCCGGCGATGATGTTCCCTTCAAAGAGGTGATGGATCGACTCCAAAGGCACGTTCTTCGTCTCGGGCACGCAGAAGACTGTGTAGATGCCCATGATCATGCAACAGGTTCCGAAAAGCAAAAACGTCCCATATGTGATACCACTCAGCATAAGTGGAGTGATCTTTGCAATCACCTGAGACTGTGTCAACCTTTGAATTCGTGACAGGAAACACCATGAACTTACAAAATTGAAGAGCCACTGGGTCATCAGTGCTGCCGCCATGATAAGAGACCGAACTATAGCGCGTCAGTGTACTGTACATGCAAGTCGGCAATCGCGCCACGTGAACGTGCACTGCTAGACTTACCGTGATTGGGAGAGCACTCCGAGCTCAGGACGAAAGGAATCGGTCCCCATCCTTACCTTCCCGTTAGCCTGAACCACCAATCCCGGATCGTTCACTTACCGAATGAGTAGAATACTACAAAGAGGTAGACGCAGACAATCGCAAATATGCTATTACCCGTAAGGGCATCCCCCGCCTTTACCGGATTGACGGCTTGATTGACTCCAATGTAAACTAAACCAGCGGGTCCAACAGTCAGCCCATGTTAGAATAGCGGGGTTTGGTACCTCGTGTATATGTTCTTGTGACTAAGTCAGGAAAAGGTCTTTCAAGCCTCGTATTGAACGAGGAAAGACGGACCTTTTCCTGGGCCGCAATGGCATATCCGTTTGGTACCCGGTGGCTTCTTACACATGGCAAATGCTTGTCCGGCAGATCCAATGAGAAGCGACCACTAGATGCTGTGTTAGAATGGATTTCCATGCAGGAAAACGTCGACGGGGGAAGTCGGTAAGGGTATGCAGGTAAACATCGACTGGGTAAAGCCGGTGAGGACATGCAAGCCTGACTCAGACTCAGACGCTAGAGCATCATACATACCTTCCGGCCCATCTGCTCCGTGAATGCCATCAAACCAACCGCTGTAACTACGATCTTGACGATACCGTACACCCCTGTTGCGAACAGCCCGGCCGAGTTACCCTTAAGACCGATCGATTGGAAGATCTGAGGTGCGTAATAGTTAATGCTAGAGGGTGCCACTTATCAGCAGACGGTCCAGTGGATTCTTTGTATGACGTGGCTTACGAGTTGGTTCCGGTCCATTGTTGCCAACTAAACACGCGCGCACAAAGTCAGTGTAAGTCGGAGAAGTGGGGACAGGAAAGAGTCATCTGTGTCTGAGACAATTGACTTGGTACCGGGGCATTACGTACAACATGAGTATGACGGCGAAACTGCTCTGATAGAGCATGCGCTTGTTCGAGCATGCTGCTCGAAGCTGAGCAGTGAGCGGAAGTTTCTCGTGGCCTTCGAAGTCTTTAATAATCTCGTCAAGCTCTTGTATGACGTCCGCGTCATCGACAGGTTTCGCTCGAACCCTGGCTAAGGCTTCTGCAGCATCCTCCAGACGGTTCTTTTCGACTAGCCAACGCGGTGATTCGTTCTGGAAAATGATGCCAACCAGCAAACAAGCACCTGGCAGCATCTGAAGGGCAAAAGGAATCCTCCACTTGGCACTACTGAGAGTCTTGATCTGGAGACTGATACCATAGTTGACGAAGAATGACAGGCAGATCCCTGTTACGTTGAAAAGCTGCATACATCCAATGCATCGACCTCGGATTTCTTTGTTCGCGTTCTCTCCGATGTACGTCGGGACGACTGCAGAGACAAGCCCCACACCGAAGCCTCCGATAACCCGACCGACGTAGAGTTGAGCCAGGCTTGTCGTGTGGATGGCACACAAAGTCTGGACTAATGACCCGATAAGAAAGATTATGTCTGCAATAATCAAAGCCTTCTTGCGCCCAAACGTGTCACTGATGTAGAACGAGGACAATGCTCCAAAAAAGCAACCTGCCTGTCTTGACGTGAGTTTTGGTACATTACAGCATGCTACAAGATCAGGCGTACTTGAAGGACGGACACAATATTGCCTTGTAGATTGGCAAAGTCAGGGCTTTCCTTGTTCAGATTGAACGAATGCTGGAACGCGTCCATGGTTAGTACACCGCCTATTGTGAGGCTGGATTAGTAGTAGCTAGCAGAGGTAGGATGGTTACAAGTTACCGATAAGCCCCGTGTCCCACCCAAAAAGCATTCCTCCGAATGAGGCGACAGCCGTCAATACATAGGCTCTTCGATATTGGACGATGTCCGTCCAAACACGCTTCAGATCGAATTTCGCCATGTTGCACAATGCACTAATCTTGTGTCGCCAGATTTGCCCGGTGGTCAAGTAAGATTTCTAAAAGAAATGTGATGGTGGTACAACTTAAGAGCGGTGTAGTTGCCGATGGTGAACCATTGAAGAAAAGTCCGGGGTATTTAATAGCGAGGGTGAGGTGGGGTGCGGGGAAAGCCGCGGCTTATCGTGCCCAAAAGTACGGCCTCTTCCAGTGCTCTGGAATCGAAGTGCACACGTTGTCGGCTAACTTTTGAGTACCTATTACCGTCTCGCAAATAAAGGGATTGGCGGTGCCTTCCCCTTTTCGTGACATTAGTCACACCTGGGCAATATGAGAAAGACGTTGAGTACGGTCTGGTATGGCATGACAATGCTTGCCGCCAGCCACAACCGGTCGGCAGTCGCGACTTAATTGCCGACATGGTTCAAACGCCGACCCGGATTGCGTCCCAATCGCCCCTTCCAAAAGCCGACCGCTTCACAACCAATACACAGCCATGTGAATTAGTCCTCCAGCTTATTTTTCATGTGCCTGTATTATTGTAGTGCGTTTGAGTTGCATTACCTGATTCTGCAGTACACGAGTAATTGCCAGTACAATGAACGAGTACCTCGGAGGAAGGACTCATATTCTGAACAAAGCTATGGGGACGCATGTTCAACTCGGTCTTCTACCTACGCCAAGGATGTAAGCTCATATAGGTACATTGATAACCAGTTTACTTTCCGATAGACCGTGTAAGCCAGCTAACACTAGGGGACTGAACGCTTCTGCTGCTTGACATCTCGAAGTTCGCGCCAGACTGGCAGCGCTGTAGGCGAGTGTGGACTATTTTGGGTGCTATCAGTGTTGGAAATTAACAAGCTCGATCCCATCCACCATCTCGCGCTTTCGTGTGCATTGAAAAAATAAGCAAATTATCGATACGTCATACATTCCATTAGTACTACAATGGCACCCTTCGGATAACCCAAGTATACCATAGTTACCATACCTAAACACCATCAAACACAATAACAACATTTGTCCCCTAATATTCCTGGCTCGTGGGCAATGCCCGATATGGACCGACCGACTCTGCTGTCCACGCTCGGTACACTGACTTTTGGCCTGGTGCTGCCTATAGGTCTAATCTGCGCATTCACGTATCTCAAAACACTTATCTACTATCAACTCGATGTCCGCAATCGTCCCGATTGTAAAGAGGATATCCAGATTGTCCGAACTCCACCACTCATACCGTACGCTATGCCTGGGCTTGGGTCAACGATCGCCTTCAGCAATCAGACCGTGGGTAGCTTCTGGGCCTTCCTGAAAGCACAAGCAGATCGCTACGGTCATGAAGCCTTTTCCATCATCCTTGCTGGGAAGCGAACACACTTCATCTTTTCTGACGACGGTGTCTCCGCGCTGTTCAAGAGCCGTCAGCTCTCACGCGCAGCGCTAGACCGACAGCTTGCCGTCAATGTGCTCGGAATGTGCAAGGAGGACTCCTTCAAAGCGTTCCCAGATCGCAATGATGAGAAGGAGAAGATGACCACTGAACGGCTTCACTCAGAGCATTTGCTAAGCTCTGCAGCCGTCAATCTACTGACAGAGAAGTTCATGGAAACCTTCCGAGCTCAACTGGATGATGATATCGATCTCACAGATGGCGGAGAAATCAATCTGTATGATTGGCTTTGGCATCGGATTTTCCGTGCATCAACAACCTCCCTCGCTGGTTCAAAGCTCCTTGAGATGTACCCTGATTTCGATGTAGATTATCGAGCGTGGGAGGACAGCCTCCTAGCCCTCCTCTTTGGTACTCCTCGTCTATTCGCACGGCAAGCATATCGCGCACGGGATGCATGCGTGGAGAAACTGGAGAAGTGGCTGCAGACAGGGTATCAGCACCCGGTGAAGGATGGAGAAAATCCCGACTGGACACCCTACTCCGGCGCCCGAATCATGCGAAGACGGCACGACCTTTACAAGCAGCGTGATCTGAGCATTCATGGCCAAGCTGGCTGGGACCTAATCTTCCTCGCCGGTATCCTGTCCAATGCTACGCCAGCCACTGGGTGGTTGCTTATGCACATACTCTCTCCAACAAGCACATTCGACTTCCGTTCGCGCATAATGCAGGAGCTGCAATCATGTAAGCGTTCTAATGGCTCTGTGGACATCCCTGCTTTGACCCGCTTGCCACTCCTCAACTCTGCCTTCCACGAAGTACTCCGTCTGTATGTCGACCTGCTCGTCGTGCGCCAGGTCGACAGCTCGGTAGCCCTTCGAACACACTATGTGAATCAAGGCGAGCAGGTTATGGCACCTACATGGATGACGCATCGAAATCCTGCATTTTTCGAGAGACCTGACGTTTTCGACCCTGAGCGCTTTCTAATTACGGACCCAGAGACCGGCATGCTCAGCTACAGCACGGCTGGCCTTGGTGGCAAGTATTTTCCGTTCGGCGGCGGACATTATATGTGCCCGGGACGAGTGTTTGCCAAGCAAGAGGTATTGGGCACCGTCGCAATGTTACTACTCAACTTCGACATAACATTCACGAAGTTTGTGAAGCACACCAAGGGGGGTTGGGAGGCAGCTGGCAAGAATGACTTTCCAACAATCAAGAACGGCTTCGCTGGCAATCAAGTAGTCGGCATCGAGGGGGTTATGCGGGTTCATATCAAGAGACGACCGTCAGTTTCAACGTAGGATCCGATATGACACTATAGTGCTATCTGAAGGCCTGCTCTATATTGAGAAGCTGTCATGATAGACTTTGTATACTTTATGCTTACGAAAAGTGATGAGACTTCTTGCAACGAAGACATGGTCCATTCTCGTCCATATGGACCAGCTTTTGCATGCTTGAGAGAATGATTCGAATGGTCTAAATACAACCTTCTTCGACATGTAAATACCACTGCATCCCAAGTCAAGCAATACCCTCTGAGTTTGTGAAAAGCTTTTGACCGCAAGACTTGGTCGTAATGGATCTATACTGCTAACAATACTATAGTACGCATCTGAGAGGGATTCTAGCCCCCATGAATCGAAATTGTGCACGAGCCTCCTCGCGTCGGCGCGTCGGAATTGAGAACGCGGGGTCATGTGTTGAGGCTGCAGACTTGCTGTATGAGTTTCAGTGCATTCATGTGCCTGGTGTATTCTTCCTGTCTTTGTCAATAATATTGAGTTCCATCCTTCGCCTTCCGAATTAGTACGGATCTCCGTGCTAGGGTTTTCGCGAGGCTGATTTGAAGATCGTAACAGATGACATGACACGAAGCTAGTTCGTCGGCTTTGGTCCCTCCGAAATCCGCGCTGCTGGTACATATAACCAATGGAACAGTCCACCATTTGATCGCGCTGATCTGCTCAACCCTAATCATCATGCCTAAAATCATACTATACGACTTCCCTAGTAGAGAGCCGTGTGCGGCATGGCTTCCAAGTGCGTGGAAAGGTCGGTCACTTATGACGTCGCGCGGAGCCTGAGAGTTACTGACATGCATGCAGTTCGAATGGCTCTCAATTACAAGGGTCTCGACTATGAAACGCAATGGGTGGAGTACCGTATGTCAAAAACTGGGAATGCTCACTTGTCGTTTACCAGCGATGCTGATTGTTTCGCAGCGGATGTGGCACCAATGGCCAAATCATTGTCAGTATGACCCTTGCAGGCTTCAAGACTAGCCACTCAAAATTCGTAGAGGCATTCCTCCGAATGTGGGACCAGGCCTACCGTACACAATCCCAATCATGAGAACAGCTGATGGATCGCACATCATGGATTCGAAGAAGATCGTGTAACTGCTCTACACTGCACACGGCTACGGGGCATACTGACATGCAGCAGAGACTATCTGGACGAGCATTACGGTCCGCCAGAACATCCTTCTTTGCACCTTGATAGCCCAATGTTGCCTCGTGTTATGGAACAGATGCCTGGAATCATGCAGCGCTGGGCATCGTCTGTTCGTAAGTCATGAGGATCTCTAGCATAGAGATCCTTTCAGCATGCTAGAGATCCTTTCAGCTGACCTAGTCTACAGTGTATCCATTAGTTCCTCGAAACCTCCTCAACCCAAAAAGTGCCGAGTACTACGAACGTACGCGCAAGGAGTTTTTCGGCATGTCTTTGGAGGAGTTCGGACGCCAGAAGTCCGGCGAGGCTTGGGCTTCGCTAGACGCTACTTGGGGTGGAATGGCTGCTTTACTCAAAGAGACGCCAGGGCCGTACTTTTTGGGTGACATCAGTGAGTTGCCAAACCGCAGACATCTCTTCGCATTGCTTTAACGTGTCTACTACAGCATCTTACGCCGACTTTCAACTCGTCGCAATATTGCATTGGGCGAAGCGGGCCGACGAGAACGTTTTCGACCGTCTCGTGGCTTTCGAGCCGGCTTTCAGGGCCATCTACGACGGATATGCGCCCTATTTGAAGCGGGAAACATAGCTCCGTTGGGGAACAATCGAGAAATAGAAAACAAAACAACAGCATCCAAGTTGGACAGTGCAACTCTTCATTGACCAGCTGTGATGAAACCTCCTTTGGAGTCAAATCAAGTCAAAATGTCATCTCTTGAACTGACAAAATGTCCAGTACCAGCTCACATTGCGCCATTACCCATCACCAAGGATTTCTACTGCACAACGCGATGGAGGGCTCGCACAGTGGCTACTCTGCTTGGTAGACAATTATATGTAAAAGGTTTTAGACCGGTAATGGATGCAAGGTCGAATTGAGCGGTCTCCGTTCTTTGTAGTGAGTTTGAAATTCCTCAATTGAAGTACTGATGGAAATTTTGCGGACCGGTACTGGCAATGGAGCAGCAACGACAACATCGTCATGCCCAAGTCCTGAAAGAGCGACAGGGTAGCATCACCCCACGTCCCTTCACGGGATGTCATCGAAATAGTACTCTCGACAGTTACATAAGCCATGATCAGATCGTGCTCGAAGCTACCTTGGGCAAAGCTGAAAGGGCCTTCTGATATCAAGCAAAGTCGGCCTTGTGTCCATTATGTCCTCGAAGAGGCAAACAACGCCACATTACCATTAGCCTTGGCCAAAGTCACGTAACCGACATCAAGAAAGCAGGTCTTGGATCTCATTGGGCGCGGAAGGGTTTGCTCAGTCTATTTGCCTAGTTATCAACCACATGGCGCGAACGTCCGTGAGTGTCTCCGCGTTGCCCTTCCCAAGGAAATAAACACACTGGTCTCGTGCAGACTGCGCGTGGGGACCTGGACTTAGAAATTAAGTTCTTCATTTCGTTATCGTGGCTTCAGCATCCGATGTCTATCTCATGGCACGGCCCTTCGGCAAAGGGTGCACGGCACTGGATGAGCAGCTAGACCAGTGGTTCTGTAGTTTATAGGCGAGAACCGAGGAAAGGAATTAAATGTCTGCTGAATCATAGCAGGCACAAGTTTCTCCTTTGGCCTTTGCATCACATGATGTCACATCACAACAAGAGTCTCCACAACTCTAGCAAGGTTACGCAGCATGCACACAGCGACGTTCTCGCAAGTAACGCAAACAGTACAGCAGAAATCACTGCCAAAAGAAAGTATGTTCCCCCCAACACTCTCCCCTGTGCCAAATATCGGCACAACGAGCGAGCATCGAAGGCATCACCACCCGAAGAAGAAGGTGGGCGATGACTTGGTCAATCTAGCTTCTATGTCCACACTCGTTTCACCGTAGGGTATAACGTACTGACGAGCTCTAGCTAATTAGAAGCAGATGCCGCAAACGCAACAGGTCAATGACGACCGTTGGTTGTGGCTATTTCGCAAACCCGAGGAAGGCTGCGTGTCTCGAACCCACATCCAGGCCAGAAGCATGAGCGGGGTATGACGACGATAAACCCCCAGAAACCACAAAACAAGCCCCCAGAAGCCACAATAGTCAACATCCGAAGGGAAGGACTGCACCACATCTGTGAAGATACTGATGCTAGACATTTCCGCACGCAGGAGCGTCAAACCTACTCATGTTCCCCACGACGGGTACTTGATAATGTGCGATGGGTCTCATAGTGTCTAAACCCATACTTATGAGCCCATTGCAAAGCGACGGCTTGAAGCCTCGACTTTGCCAGTGATGCATCATCGCCGGTGTCTGGTGGTGGTCTCTTCCTACCAGCTCACTGGGCTAGCAATCATCTAATGCGTATGTAAAACATCCATAGTAGTTACCGAGACTTGCTTCGGTATGATATTAGACTGAAAGCGACGGCATGCGCTGACGGAGGGAGGTGAGCCTGCGATAGGCTTCTTCTCGACCTTCATCTGAGATGCCGCACCTTCTCGTCTTGCTTCTTGAACATGTTTACCCAAGAAGACGGGTGCCTTTCAACCAAACGCCAAGGACCTTTCGGCCTGTCAGGAACGCCAATGGCGAATCACTATCTGTTGGCTTCTTTCACCGAGGCCGTCCATAACGATTGCTGGGGGTAAGCCCAGCCTCGAGATGCTCAGCTCGCTCGGTGACGGGGGGCGCCCCCTGGTTGTAAAGGGTCGCTGGGGTTGCGAGGGATTCGAGTCTGCATCGCCATTTGCGATTGCGACATGATCGTAAGAACAAGGCCATCTGTGGCCCGTCTTTCACACCTCTCGCTCTGGGTGGTCCGACTTCTCTGGCTGCACTACGTGTCGCTTTTCTGGCTCCGGGCAACACCTCTGGCTCTCACGTGGATATTTCCGTCACTGGATCTGTGTGTACAGCACATCACAGACTGTATGGGTGACACCACTGGCTCTGGGTGGGACAATGCCTCGAGCATCTTCTGCGTACATGTTTCTGTGCGCTCCGGATAGTGGTTCACACCTCTCGCTCTGGGTGGTTGCTGTGCCCTATTTGTGGCCGGGTCGCTAAGCCTCTCAAAGCCCTATTGGTAGCCGGGATGGAAGGCTTTGTTCTTCGATGGGGATAACCCAAAGATAGGTTTTCATGACCGAGTGCTGCTCGGGACGTCTCCCGGCGCGCGAGCTTGTGAGCTTCTCGATAGTATGCGCGCTCAATGGCAACGCTGAGTGTGGGGGACTGTCCTTTATCAGGAACAGTCTGTAACCAGCCATTCAGGAGCGTCTCGCGCATCCGTCCAAGCGTGGTTACGGACTTTCAGGTGTGTCACACCTTCAGTCGCTGGCCTCTTCAGTAGCTGTACTTCAGAAGCGTTATCTTCAGGGCGTCCTTCAGATAACTAGCCTTCAGAACATTGTGTTCGTCAGGTAGGGTTTCAGGCATCGAGGAGTGGGTTTCACGTCCGTCGAGTCTGTATGATTTCGTAGTGACCTTCGGAGTGTACTTGGACGACACGTCCATCAGGTATACGTGTGGTTTCACAGCGCTCGCAGACGGGGGTTGATCCGTTGAAGGTGTTACTTCCTGGTCCAGAGCGGCTTGGCGCATCTTGGATGTTGGGTCGAACAGGGGTAGTTCATCTGCCGTAAGAGTTGGCGTTATGGCGAAATGGTCAGTCGTGAACGAGCACGCGGCGCGAGGAAGGTGCATTTGGTGGTGGGGAAAGTGAAGGAAAGAAGGCGAGCGCAATCGAGTAAGACATGTAATACGAAGTCTCATGCAACGAAGGCATGAGCGATAAATGTTGGCATGCAAAGCCTAAAGGATTGCGGACTGTGGAGCGTTTAAATATTGACGAAGGTTATGAGAGGAGGTTGGTCAGAGCCGCAATTTTGAGAGACGTGGAGCGCGTGTCGCGCTAAACCGCTTGGCAGAATTGAGCCGAGGCGCGTCATCGACATTCACTACGCAGCGCAGAGGGCTTAGAGAACAGCGCAGCGAGCAACGATCCTCTACAGCCAGATTACCATGGTACATATTACGTCTAATCTCAATCACACGACCATGTCAAGCTAACCGAAGCAGCCTCCTAAACGCCGCGCTCCTTCCTCACGCCAGCCCGCACCTAAACGCCCCTCCAAACTCGCAAAAGAGCACGGCATAACGGCGGACCAAGAAGCCGAGATACGAGAAGCATTTGGTCTCTTTGCAGTCCAACACCCCGATCATGATGACTCAAAAGAAGGCGTACTACGAAGAGACGACGTTCGCCGGTGCTTAATGTACTATAATCATCCTACCTATCGACATCCTTGCGGTCATTTGACTAACTCGGTCGCAGTTCCCTGAACCTAGGCCCCGAAAAGTCTGAGCTCCCTGAAATACTTTCCACAATCGATCCCTTAGAGACCGGCTTTGTGCCTTTCATTCCCTTCCTATCTTACGCTGCCATCGCTATTCACACCAAGGACGACTCAGAAGAGGAAGACAATGGAGATGAGGACGATGACGACAATTATCACGACGAAAATGATCAAGAGCAGGTTAACGCGGCATTCAAGCTCTTCACACACGGTGGACCGGGACCTATAACTCTTGCGCACTTACGACGCGTAGCGAAGGAATTGAAAGAAGATGTACCGGATGATGTGCTGAAAGACATGATTCGCGAAGCAAATGGTGGTGTGAAAGGAAAAGGGAAGGACACTGGCGGCGTCGGCGTCGAAGATTTTGAGAGTGTTTTGAGAAGGGCGGGAGTGTCGTTCGGCTAGGATGATGACGATGGAGAACACGACTTTGATACCCTTGCTTTATGGACTAATACTTCTTACTATGCACTCTCAAACTCGTTCTAGTAGCCCTTCTTCCAATTGCCACAATGAGCTGCTTTCCGCCGACCGGCCTCCCAGCAGGTGCAGCTCCTCTCTTTCCAGGTTTTCCAGCAAACTTCGAGACGAACCCGAAGTGGTAAAGAGGACCTTGAGATTCTCGAGACGCAACAGATCTACAAGCTCGGTCATACAAATCGAAGTGCTAGAGTCGTCAAGCCACTGTACGCCATCGATAACACAGTACACTTTTCCGGGTAAGACACTCTGTACGTCCCGAAACAAGCCCTTGAAGACACCCCACGTCAGCAGTGTTCCGTCAAGTTCCGCGAAACGCTCCTTGGAAAAGTCCCTACTGGTTTCAAATTCCATAGGCAGTAGCTCGATCATCTGGCGTAGCAGGCCATACACCAAAGACACGAATCCTTGAACTTCTGGGCTGTTATTTCCACGCAATTTCTCTCTCCGGCGAATTTCGCAGAAGTAGGAGATGACGGGTACTTTAGACACCGATGCGAAGTCAATAAACTGCGCTGCGAGCATGGACTGTGGAGCATTGAAGTCATTGCCCGAAAAGTCATTAGACGAGATACACAGCATGCGCGGGGACGCGAAGTCCTTCGTCCATTCAGCGAGGGCTGAGACAGCGTCAGAGAAAGTTGGTGTCTCTCCGAAAAGAGATGGATCCAGTTGTACACGGTCTCGGTGAAGGAAGTCTTCTAGGACGGCTGAATCGAGGAGTAGTTGGTCTCGGTTCGCGATAACATTTTCTCCACATAAAGTTCCGATCAACGACCTGCGCTTGCTATTGGGAGATCCCTCTATCGCCAGTGAAGGAACTGAAACGTATTAGCTCCATATTGCGAGTAGTGTGGGAAGACGATAATACCTCTCTCCCTGTTGGACTCGGCAGCATCTGTAAGTAATTTGATCAGGCTTTCATACAACAGCGCATTGTTCGCTCGTTCCTCTCTTCGCTCTTTTCTCTGCATCTCGAACTGGTCCGCGAACTGCCGCGCATAGTATTTTGTCTCGGCATTCTCTCTCAGTATCCCTTCCAGCCCCACTCGCAGGTCTTTACTACTCTCTTCCAGAGTGAGTCTAGTAACGCGTTGCTCTGCCATGGACATCTGAGCCGCTTTCCGCTTGATACGCTCAGACTTCCGGACGATGTTCTCAATCTCAGCCTCGAACCTTTGGAGGAATTTCTCGTTCATAGAGTCTAGTAAGCGCCTGTGACACTTTTTAGTGAACCACGCCAAGGTGTCGTTGAGAAACAAAAAGATATGTGCGTAGAGGTCTGCGATGGCGCTCTGCATCTCTTCGGTTTTGAAAAGCTCCATTTCGATATCGCAAGCGGCGACGTGCTCGCTGATCGTTGTGAGAGCTTGTGAAAGTTCTTCGGCGATGGTTTCATGGTTTGCGCTTGCCTAGACTGGTCAGCTATGCCTGCACTACAAGACAATTATTCACCTTGATGATAGTAGTAATTGTACCTGCGAAGATCGACACATACTCATTTCCTTTCGGTATCACCTCAAGAATATTACTGTGCGCATCGAGTGTCCCGCACAGCCTGTGGAAGTAGATCATTGCTCTGCCTCTCTTTCCAGCCTTTCTTTTACTCTGCCATGTTTTCTCGACGTCTGTTACCATGCTGAATACTCCTGCAATCGTGGGCTCATAGTTTTTGACTTCTAGCTGGTCTTCTTTGGAGTTCTGTTTTCGGAAATCTAGCCATTGCTGCCGCAGCTTTTCTGCTTCTACAGCAAGCACTTTGGTTATTGGATTACTTGCATGTCTTAGCAGTGAACCCGACAAGGCGTCAGTTAGGAGAGTACTTTTCCTCATCCGCAGGTTCCCAAGGCTCGTAGAATCGGCGCCATGGCTGAAGTATGTCTTGAAGAGATGGCTCTTGATCGGTTAGGACGCGGCCGAGCTTGTGTCCATCGCTCTCTGGTGGAAAGCGTTCCTGGGCCCTGAAGCTATAAACTCTCACGATTTTTCTTGGATCATCCATATCATCGCCCATGTTCGAACAAGATCGTCACATTAGATGTGAGATCTCGAATTTAAAGTGGTCGAGAGTTGAAGCCGATCAGGCTGAGCAACAGAGGCAGCGACGACGCACATTACTACTCCAGGCTGACGTCCGGAAGGTGCACAGAAAGATTGGGGGCGAAGCCTGCAGTGGTTCATTGGTTCGCCTATGAGAGAAACCCCCCGCAACTGTTGCAGTGCAGTATCTTGGGTCAAATGCGGTTTAGCGATCTGCTGGGGTGTGGGCTGAAAGTTCTCAAGGTCAGCGAGCCAGCCTGGTCACTTCAATCCCAAAATTTGCTCATCTGCTCCATTTATACATTGGTGACGGCAGTACCATTCTCTGTCTTTGAAATGTCGGCTGAAGGCGTCATCAGTGAGACGATCGTTGTCCCTATTGCGAGCGGAGGGATAGCGGAAAGGATAACCGAGAGCTACAAACCAGCAGCACCCGAAACCCCCGGTTCCACGCAGAAGCGCATCAAATATCGCGTTGAGTATGTGGAGATTACTACAGGGAACGTTCTGCACCGGCATGAAACCAAGGGCCTAAATCTCGACGATGAAGCGGCGTTGGGCGGCGCCGAAACGGTCTTCGAGCTCGTCACTACGATTCGCACAGGGCAGAAGACTTCGGGAGATGAGACTTTGACTAGGGTTCCTCATGCGGGTAGTGCTGCATCGGTTAGCATGCACATCTTGTCTGGTGCAATCATTCATGCACTGCGCAGTGTGGTTCAGTATTACCCTGGCCAAGATCTCTCGAGCGATGTCGTGAAGGTGGCTTCGCCTTACGCAATTTTAGTACATCATTATGATGAACTTATGGAGTATCGCGAGAGAGTGAAATCAGGAGTAGCAGAAGAGAAATGCTATCGAGAAAAAGATGCATACGAACACTTGGGAATATTGAAGGATTTCCTCGACGGACATGTTATGCCTGCAGTAGAGGCAGAACGCGCACGTAACAAACGGGGTGCATACACCTCTGACATGTATTGGGTCATGATGAAGCCGGGTACAACCTTCGTGGCTCAGTGGCTGGAGGACGATGAACATTATGCTGGAGTCGTCCACTCCTTGACAGGAGGCAGCTTCGAAAAACCTTCCGTAGGGTGGAACACGTACTACTGGACGCTACAGTACAACGGAACGTTCGTTGAGCGCGTTTTGCAGAGCTCACATATGGAGAAGTTTGACGGTGAAAACAACATGGTCACAACACCACTGGATCTTGATAATCTGTCAAGTAACGAGGGAGTAGAGGATCTCATAGGCTATGGAAAGCTATACTGGAGTCATTTGAGGAAACAGTGCAGGTACTACAAAGGGAAAACAAAAGAATATCCGCATACTGAGGTTGATGGTCTGGTCATGGTCGACATGGATGCATACCTCGAGGCTTTTCCAGCAAAGAGGCCCGTGGTCTTGGGCAACAGTTCGGATAAGCGTACATGGGTATCTGACTGTACATGTTCGGTTTGCGCGCATAATCGAGACACGGCAGCAGATAAGAAGACAACCGTCTTCGAAAATTACGAGTCGCTTCCGCCGAAGACTAGGGATGAGCTTGACGTCGAGCAATATCTTCTGCTACCTTCTCATGTGTACGCATATGTTTTCAGAACCAGAACATGGGGTAGGCACCACTCAGAACTGTTGGGGATTACTTTACTGACTACAGTCAGAACTTCTTCACGTGAAAGGTCTCGGCGAACCAAATTTCGAAGAGAACATGATCAATCAGCTAGTGATGGATGAGAAGCGCGTGAACACACTTAAAGCCCTCGCAAAGAGCTTCATACGCGTGAACAAGTTTGGAGAGACATCAGACAAAGAACCTTGGTCCGCTGATTTTGTGAAAGGGAAAGGTAACGGACTAATTTTTCTCCTGCATGGGTCACCGGGAACCGGGAAAACTTGTACAGCTGGTCAGTAACTCAGATTGTTCATTTATAATTCCAGGCTAATTTCATCGCAGAGTGCATTGCAGCTTTTACAAGTCGCCCACTCATGGTACTGACAAGCAGCGATATTGGCACTGAACCAACAGATGTTGAGCGTAACTTGACCGAGCATTTCAAGCGAGCCAGAAGTTGGGGCGCTGTGCTCCTAATAGATGAGGCTGACGTGTTCATGGAAAGGCGTACGACTGCTGACCTCACTCGTAACAGCTTGGTCGCGGGTAAGTTGGCAAACCCATGAGATGCGCGTGAGTGCTCATCATCGTACAGGCTTTCTCCGTGCTCTCGAATTTTACGACGGAATACTCTTTCTGACAACAAACCGAATCGGGTCGTTTGACGACGCCTTCATCTCTCGCATCCACTTCCTGCTGGGTTACCCTGAATTTACGGACGAAAGCCGTCGTAAGGTGTGGCAGACCTTCATTAGCAAACTCCAACGAGAAAGAGGGGACTACATCCGATTGAACATAGATGCAAAGGAGTATCTTGATGGCAAGGAATTGAGATCGGTGAAATGGAATGGGAGGGAGATACGAAACGGTTAGTTAGATCGATCGAATGATTGAGGGCTCTACGCTAACATTGGGCCAGCTTTCCAGACTGCCGTCGCTCTTGCAGAGTATGAGGCGACCAAAGACTCGGAAGGTAAGATCATCATGAATGATTCACACCTGAGGTCGGTAGTCGAGATGTCCCGTGATTTCAAAGAATATTTGAAAGATTTGCATCGAGGAGATGAGGGCAAGCGGGCAGAAAGGAGATTCGAACGACTGGACAAATAGGAGACGTAGGGCGCGGCACAAATATCAAAAGTTGACGATTGAACAATTGACAGCGGCGGATGATGTTGCGCCCGATGTGAGATGTGCTGCATAATTTCGGAGGAAGAACGAGCGGGACCATGAAATTCGAATAACTTTAAGAGCGGACAGGAAGAATGCACCCTGTCTTTCCTGATTCATTATCTTGTTTTCGCATGCAACGTTTCCGTCTGCTTCTCTCAATTCCATGTTCATGTTCGTGCTTGCCCCGGTTCCACCGTAGCCGCCCTCCCCACTTTCAGCGTGGCGCAGCCGACCTAGGAAGTCAGGCGGACCTCACAGGTTGCGTTCTTTCCATTGCCCTTTACATCTCACGAAATCAGAAAGCTGAAAATTTCGGGCTGCATGATCCCATCTTTATTGAGCTTGTGCAAGGACTCGCGCTATCCACTGAGTTGAAGGGGTGACTGCGGTACCTCCCTGCCACTACGGGGCCAGTTTTTCAGGACACTCTACAACGAGTTCGGAGGGCAACCTGAGGCGGTCTGCACAAGATGACTTCTTACACTGCACACAGACAGCCCTGATTATGCAGGCGATGCTGGTCGAGGCATGCTAGCTAGCGTGTCAACTGGCAGCCTTGCCCTTGCCCAGGCGGACTTCATGTTGAGATTGCGCTTTTCCTGTCACGCAGAGAAATTTCCATATACATCGCTTTCAAGGATGTTTTATCTCGAAAGCGAAGGTGCATCACGAGTCATATCATTAGCTCTACCAAACTCGATACTTGTAAGGACTCGCTGACACCGGCGGAAAGGGCGGAGGACAACTGCTGGTAGCATGAGGTTGATTCAAAGTTTCCGATTGTCGTTCGAACATGGGAATGACGTTTCGAGTCGTGTGGCTAGTACGGTCGCCATTGCCCAATTGGCAAAGAACCGCCGCGCGCTTCTCCACAATCCATTGCCTACTCTCACCGCCAGGCTGGATGTGGCTGCGAAGCTCGGCCAATCCGGAGTGAGGCTTGCCTTGAGCTTTGGTATCATCAATGGAATCCCTGTAGACGTTGGCGGATCGCAGACCCACATCATCTTCTACTAATTCCCCACAGCTAGTATCACGAGGTCATTTTCCACGACGAAGCGACACCAGTCTCCACCTTCCAACGTCCTTCTATGACTCTGAGCTGAGTTACTCTGCATAGAAAGCGAAGCGACGAATACAAGTCCTCCAAGTTCCTTTGAGATGATGCAAAGCTTGCTACTAACAAAAGGGCTCCGGTTCGCTCACTCCGAAGGTGAAGGAATAGGGCACAACTTCACGATGCTCGCCCTCTTGGGCCTCAATTTCAGAGCAGCGCAGTCCGCTACTCACTTTCTCTGTCCGTCGTCCCTTCAAAGCGTATAAGAACTGACCAAATTGCCTTTGTTTATTCTTTCCCACTACAAAGCTTCTGAGGAAACCTACAAACAGATACACTGCAGCTCCACCAATACTTCCGAGCCTAGTTATATCTTCTTGACATCACTACACTTCTCTATCTTGACGCCAGCAACCCCTTCCATCTTCTCTTTATATCCATTCAAACACACGAATCGAGCCCCGGTAACTCACTAGTTGACTTCTGTCACTGTACGATAAGACCTAAGCATTCGCCGAAACCTACCTCGAAAACTCTCACCAACATGCACCATTCTCATGAAACGAACTCCTGCAACTGGGAGGCTTCTGCTCCCTACGCCCAATATCCGACCCAACCTTCAGACACGTGGTACTGTTCAGAATGCGGGACTCTCAACTCTTCATGGTACGACCTTTGTCCCGTATGCAACCGGGGTACGAACAGAAGAGCAACCTGCCCGTCTACGACGCCGCCCGCTGTGTACGCCATTTATCATGCCACTTCACACACCAATGTGTGTGGCCAGGCAGGAAAACCAGCCCAAGGGTCGTGGCAATGTTCAAACTGTGGAGCTTCGAATTCCAGTCTCACACCGAACTTTTGTCCTTTGTGTGGTGCGCAGCGTCCTTAAATGGTCCTACCATCTCCCCAAACTTCCTTTGGCGGTGCTTTTATTGTTGAACTTGTTCGGCCGATTTTCCTGTTGTTTGCTCTCCATCTTTTTGCGCTTCACTTGTCCCCTTCTCTCCCTTCTCTCACTTTGTCCTTCCGACCCCCCTTTTTGCTCTCTTCCACTCTCTCTTCTCTTCTTCTCCTTTCTCGACTCGACATCTTTTGATATGATCTGACGGCTTGCGCGAGGATTCGTCTGGGTTTCGGTTTCTCTTCATGATATCCCAGGATCTCGTTAATCGGATCACTTAAAGGAATACCCACATTTTGTAGCCCTTTCTTTGATCTCTCTTTCGTAACTCTTTTCTTTCTCGTCTGTCTTGTTTTTAGTCGCTCGTTTCTTACGTTAATGTTTTCTCTTTATGGGTGCGGTGTCGGGATCTCCAACGCTGTTGGCCTTTAATTCAAATATCAAACCTGTTTATCCCAATCGAGTTAGTAACACAACACTTCAGATACACTGTGAATATCAATACCATGCTCTTGGCTAGTGAATATGCGGTAATTACCGGTTTCTCTCCTAACGATGCCTGGTGGTGACCTGTATGCCCCGTCCGTTAACCCGTCCCTAGCCTCATACTTGTCCTTTCAGATATCGTATCAAATGAGGATAGGGCCCGATTTTAGCCCTCGTTACAAGTCTAGGATACTTGAACACCGTACCCCGTGCAGGAGCTAATGCACATGTCGAACCACATAGGTAGCGCTATTATTATTGCAGAAGTGAGAGCAATGTTGGTTATCATCGTATGAGAGTGACGGCAAAGGTACTGATCGGTATATAGACAACAAGGGAGTCTCGCAAGTTATTTACAGTATCTGAGAAGTTTCACGAGGTGCAGTGAAGGTCAAAACAAGCAGATTCAATTATTATTAGCCTTGATTAAGACTCTTGAGAAATATTTTTGCATTAGGTTCATCTCTTCCCATCGCTGAAAGTACCTGACCCAGCCACCTCTTTGATTCCATCGCCATGAAGTTCCGAAGGTGGAACATACACACTGCTCATGCCTATCTCCTGAGGTGGAAGGGAAGCCTCATGGGAATAGATTTCGTGCTTGACATCTTGAGGTGGAAGCTCCACGGGCGCTGTAACCTCTTGTTGTATACGGCGGTTACGCCTGATAGAAAAGAATACTAGCCCCGCAACAAGAGCTAGACCTACGACACCACCAACCACCCCGCCAGCAATAGCCCCTGTCCTATTCTTACGGGGCCGCTTCGGAAAGGTATATTGCGATGCGGTTGGTGTGCTACTCGATGTCACAGTAGACGAAGAGCTCAACGTGCTTGACGTGCTTGATGCGCGCAATGAGCTTGACGATGACGGAACCTGTTGAGGCGGGTCACAGAAGTCTATGCTGTAATAGACCCAAGAGGCATTGTAGCAGGTGCCGATGCGTGGGAACTCGAGTTGTGTCTCCGAGGAGCAAGACGAGTCAGGATCGCTGTCTTTCCCGTATAGGGTCACTTAAACAATTAGTAGAGCTTCATCGGACCTCGATGCTACTTACCACTGCACCCTTCATCAAGTCCAACAACTTGGAAGCTCTTGTAGGATCCTTTCGTATCCAGCGGCGTACAAGTACCATTGGGGTATCCATTCGGTCCGTTGATGTTTTCTTTCGAGTCTTTACACTTCGCGTCCTCGAAGGTCGCTATGTTCGAGCCTAGCGAGGTATAGATGAAGAAGCACAGTAGAAATCCTAAGAGAGCTCTCTTCGATGCCATAGGAACAAAGCAGTGAAGGAATAATCGTGCGTGTCACTATCGAAAGTTAAATGCAGTTACAGACAAGGCGTGTTCTCAGCTGCGATGCGCTGGTGGAGGTAGAATGGTGAGCTGAGCAGCTCGCAGCGAATCTCCAAAATTGGTTTTCTGGCGATCAGCATATACGAATTGGGCTTTTTCCGGGGATGTGCGATGCGAGGTCCGCCCAATCGCATGAAGCGACTCTTAGCCACTTTCTGCATCCGGCGACAATTTAATATACCCTGGATGTGTAATCACGCCCCCAAGTAGCTGGCAGACACCACTCAAGATGACTTCTGACACTGATCGTCAACTATCGTTTCCACATTGGGGATCCTCTCAAAATTATGTAACATAGTTGCCTTCCATTCGTTTGCCTACTGTCATATAACAATGACCAGAACGGGTATTTATTCGGAGCAAAGAGATCATCCGTATTTCATGTTACCATTGTTGGCCACATTTTCTCCCAGAGTACCTCAGCCTCACGAGAATTCTGAGATTAACCTTGATCTGGAAGCTCATCAGTCAGAGCGTCCTGCGAGTGGTGGGGGGAGTCAACGCAGGACTGAGTAGAGCGTGAGACCTACTGCGTCAAAAGCTATAAAGGTAGTCCTCCTCGCAACCCTCAGAATCATCAGCAATTCATCTAGTCTTCCCTCTAAGATGCTCAGCTCAGCTATTGCAGTTACTTTCGCTGCCCTCGGCCTCGCAGCCGCGGCATGTACCACCGTGGGCAAGGTCACTCACACCCACTACGGCTATCCAGACAATGACCCACCAGGACCCGCCACTGCCTACGACTGCGGTCGCAACTTCAAAGCTGGCGGCACGGGTACCTATGCAGACCCCGTGACGTTCGCTTCCGCTCAGGGAGAGTTCACGAAGTGCGAGATCATCTACGACCCGTACCTTCGCAAATATTTGCGCTACGAGGATTATTGCCAACAGTGCACTGAAGACTGGGCTGCCAGTCCAAAAATCCATCATATTGACGTATGGACTGGCAGTGCAACGGTCAACGGTGGGCAGGAGCAGATCCAGTGCGAGAACGACCTGACCCCGGCCGACAAGAGTCAAACAATCGTTCGGCAGCCAGCAACAAACCTTCCGGTTGACAGTAAGTGTTTTCTCTCTTCTAGGGTGCATCGCGCAAGGCTAACGAGAAACCAGCTACTGCACTGTACGTGAAAGGAGCTAGTCCGGCCTGTCGGGTCAATCATGTGTTTCCGAACTACAACATTGGGGATTATTGCAAGTAGCCATACACAGGCTTTCGTCCTAAGTATGGTGAGTCTTGGTACAAGGTCACTGCGTCGAGCATGCAAAGATAGCGCCTGCTCAGGTGGTTACTGTGCGACAGTCTTTTCTGTGGTGGTAAATTGGAACTAGCGTGGGGATGACGAGCGCTGTGGGGTCTGTAGTGAATTGATCGGGTACCTCGAATCCACAAACGCTCTTTACGTCAGTGGTGATAGCCATCAGTTAGTCGCCGATGGAAAGGCAGATAAATGCGATCGTTAGAACGCCATCGACGTTGGACGACAGTCGTTTCCTGCACTTCTGTGGTACACTACGTCATACGCTGACACGAACATTACTACCCGCCCCTAAATTTAAGCTTCCCACGTCCCGTCTTCGATCGGCGTCGCATAGCTCGAGTCTGTTAAGTCGCGTAGAATATATCCTATTGGTCCATGCGCGTGGCCAGACTGTTCCCCTGGTTTCTGCGCCCTGGCGTTGGGGCCAAAACGTGCCTCTTCTGTATGCAATTCGGGACATACATTTCGCGGACGTCGATCGTTGCGCTGTTGAGCGAATGCGATTTATGAATTGACCACACCTTGTTTCGAGACTGTTTGGTCGGTATCGTTCCCGCTAATCAGGAGGAGGTGGCAACGTCCTGCAGGCAACGGCTATGTACACAGTCATACAAGCTATGCGACTTTAGTAGGGTGAGAGGCCGTTCGATTCCATTTCCATAGATCTTACGCTGTCTGCGCTGAAGATAGATCGTTCCCAGCTGCTCATGCCATCCGAAACCCTACTCATCTAGGCACCCTCCTTCGGTCCCTCGACCAACATGTCCGATCTTGTCTATTACGGTTCATGGATCAACTGGAGTCGTGGAAAGTATAATGGTGGAACAATAACTCTCACACCACGCAATGCCGGCATCCTTATCGCATTCTTGGCCATCTTCGTCTCGATCGCCGGCGGCAGTCTTTGGAGAATCATCGCATTCATTCTTCATCAACGACGAGTCGCGAAAGACCCTCGCGATGGCTTGCATTATCAGCAGCAGGTCATTTTGAGAAACGCAGCAACGCCTGGTGTTGCTTCATGGCAGCTCCTTTGGCTTGTCCCTCCCTGGCGGAGGATATCGAAACGCCCACTCTGGAAGTCTCTTCCCGTTGTCCTCCTTGCGCTCCTTAATCTCTTAACGTTCTTTGCCGCCGGTATTCTGGTTGCTGAGGTTACGCGGACCGCAGGGTCGGAGGTCCTTGTGCGGTCTGCCAACTGCGGCAATTGGACTATCGATGACACGAGACTCGTGTACGGTTTCACGACCAAGACTCAGAACGACACGGTCAGCGCAGCGACATATGCCCGGGCTTGCTATGGAGGCCCTTCCGCTGCTCTCGAGTGCAACCAATACAAAGTAAAGGCCCTGCCATACACCGTTAGCGAGAAGGAATCGTGCCCGTTCGACAAGGATATGTGTCTGAACAAGGTCCCAGTACTGTCATTTGACACTGGTAACATGTCTTCGCATGACCATCTCGGCATCAACGCTCAAACGAAAGACCGTATACTTTACAGAAGAAAGACAACCTGCGCGCCTATCATAGACACCGGTTTTTTTACTTCGTTCAATTACACCGACATAGCAAATGCATCTCTAGGTGACTTTAGAGGGAGTGATGGAGATGTTATAGATTTCTACAATTTTGGAGGGACAGTCCACATTGACGGGAGCAAGGCCAACAACTTCACCTTCGCCTACAACGAACGAATGGCCGCTGTTGGAACTGGCTACGGCTTGGCGTGAGTTCTCCCACAGGACGTTAGACGCTCGCTAATAAGAAGAACAGAGCAATCGATTACAGTTTTGGCTCTCAAAATCTGTGGCAACCCGATAAAGTCCTCCGTCGCGATGATGCAGATATATCACTGATGTTCCTCATGGCGAACGATATACGATACTATGGTCTAGTCGAAGATCCCATCTTTCAAGCAACAGGGGAACTCTTCTCGATAATCGATGCTGGTCAAAATGTAACGCTGTACACGTCTGATTACTTCGTGAACCCTTTAGCATGCATCGACCAGCACCAGTTCTGCAATCCTTCGAACGGAAAATGTACGAAGCTGGATGCATACACTCCGGCCGTTCTCGCTGCCCAAAAGGATTTAGAGTACAACCCAATGCAATACGGTACAATATCGACACTGTCACTTGAGCTGTATCTTTCCACGATTTCGCAAAGTAAGCTGCCTTTGAATGAAATCAAGCAAAGTCCCGCTGACGATGTATAGGTATTGGCGGACGAGGTAGCTCTGCGCTTCGCGCACAAGAGGTTGTTTCTGGACTTTTCTCTGGGCCTTTGCCCAAAGACCAATGGAAGAAAGAGGTACATGCTGCACCTTATTTCATATATCATAAGCTAATGCGCGCAGGTCGAATATTGGTTCACAACAGGTCTTAGTAAGGTACAAAAGTACTTCGTCGATTATGCATCTGGCCCGAGCAACGTCTTCAATGGTACCCACATATCGAAGCCTTACGATGCGCCATCTCGTCAACTTTGCGAGAGTCAGGTCATCAAGGCACCGCCCGGATCTAACGCCACCTCCTTCTCCACTTTAGGTGTAGCTATCATCCTGACTGTGGGCGGTCTGGTTATCCTCGCTCATGTTATCTTGGAGTACATCGTATCCAACGTCGTACCTACTAAGAATTACAAGTTGGTCCGATGGGCACTGGACGACAAGCTGCAGCTCCAGCGCCTCGCGTTTGAAGGTGCAGGCGTGGGCTCATGGCATGCTGGAATAGGAGCTGTTCCCACTACAAAACGTACGCAGACCTTTGGAATGGAGATGAGTGGGGATAAGAGGCATCCGACAATGACTTTTACCGATGACGATGAGGAGAAAAGGGCTGGCACTGTCCTCCTGGATGACGCTGGATCCGTCAGGTCCCACTCGTTTTCTACCTCGAAAGGAAGCGGCCTCCGGACCTGGCCTACAGCAAGCGTGCAAAGGGCTGAGTCTATTCAGATCCCGCCGATACGGTTATTTGAGGATGATAGAGAAATATGGCCGCTGGTGCGGGATACGACGGATAATCCGTACAACTGGAGTGGGAGCGCAGCAGGCTTCGAGTCCCGATGACCTTGGAGGATTAGATCACGGAGCCATGCCCACGAGGGAAATATCTTCTATAACGGCCTTTCTTTTTTCTTTCGATGATACCACCTTCGTTGTCAAGACATATAGATTTTAACTGTTTCTGTTCGTACATTGTTATGATTAGCCAATAGCAGTATCGGTTGAAGAATGAGCTGTCCGACATAGATCATTCCTCCAGCGGCCCATCAACAAATAGCTGCTTTGATTACAGAGATGATGTGGTATAGCACTGTTTTCTACAGTAATCACTTCTCTTTACTTTCAATGTCGTTTCTAGCGCATGTAGACACTACATTTTCGACGAGAACCAGAACAGCCAATGTGGATAGGCCCTTTGTAGATCATATTGCGATACCGTATAGGGACCGCAAAAGCGCCGTGGAAGCTGGAAACAGTAAATGATACGTCACCCGTGCCGGTGAAGCCGAATGCTCTCACCCAGCGCAGACATCTCGTGTACGTATGTTTCGCTGAGCGTATCGTGCACCCAGAGATATCATTGATCGTTATAAGAGGCCACTGATCATGAGCAGTACGATGGTATCAGAGCGTATGAGCAGTTGTGGAGGTGTCATGGAGGCAAGAGCTAACCCCGCGTCTTCTGTGTCGCGCCATCCCAGAACGGCAAGGCCAACCTCAACGCGCCGTATTTACAATATTATCAGATAGCAGGGACAACATGAGACAGAGGATGCGTATCAAAGCTTAGAGACTTACCCAAACAAGAAAAGACCAAGCTCCTTAGAGAATTATCATAGCATCAGAAAGTTTTAGGGAGTCTCCTCTCTCACTTCTTCATTACCACCGACCTCTCAAGAACTATCAATTCTCCGCTCAACTCTCCGCTCAACAGTATTCCCATATCATGGCAATGGCAGGAGATGTCGAGGCTTTGGAGGAGCTCTTTGACGCCATCCAATCTGCCACTGCAGACCGGGTCCGCGTGGTATTGAGGGACATATGTATCTACCAACCAACAGCTTTCGAAGCTGCCTATCAAAAGCTGCTTGTAGATGACGGTGAGACGTTCGATGTCGGCGACGAAGAAGAGGACGAATCCGCACCAGAAGCCAGAGCCTCCCCCAAAACGCCCAAGAGAAGAGTGACAAAAGCAGCACCCAATCTTCAAGCAGGAAGCAAACGTAGGCGATACGAGATCTGCCATCAATGCGACGAGGAGTACGATGCCGTTGCCAACGCCAGAACCTCTTGTGTCTATCATGACGGTACGTTACGACGCAAAGCATTGGTATAACGAATATGAAACTAACTTGGGGTTGATCACAGGCGTATTGGAGGTTGATTGGGATGGAGACTCTTGGGCAGACCATGACGAAGCCTGCCATGGGACGATTGACTCTCAGGAAATGCGTGAAGAGTTTCCGGACGGTTTCAAGTGGAGCTGCTGTAATAGATTGGGGGACAGAACGGGATGCAAAAAGGGACCTCATCGACCGAAGGAGGCCAAGCGGAGGAGGGCGTAGTAAAGAGCGAGGATCTGTGTTCGCGCACCGGAGCAAGAGTATTGGACGTTATGTGTCCAGGATTGCGCTGATGGCGGTTGGAGATACTGCTGGACCTGCTGGTGCTGAGGGAGCTGGAGCGAGTATTGAGACGAGGTCACGCGCTATGTGTTTGACTGGGAGATGAGGCTGAGGAGTACAGTGCGGAGGGCGTTGTGGAGTTACGGAGTGAATTGCTTGTTCCAGAGTGTCATTGGCCATGGCGGGCATTTGTGAAAGCGTTGATGCTAGACGTGAATTTTATGGAATTTTGTACCTTGGATACGACTCACCTCACAGTCCATAGGAGCGAGCTAATCCAACATTGCCGCCTCTGCCTCCATGGTCTGGTACTCGGTAAATACTTCTTTGCCTCGCTTTCGTAACTCGTCTACTAGAGAGAGCTCCATAGGAGCGAGATTGAACTTCAGCTTGACCGTCTAAATTGACCGCGAGCGACCTTCGACCAGAACGGCTGTACGATCAGAGGTAAAGACGTATCAGCCCGTAGGCTTTGGGTCAGTAAACAAGTTGTCTCCCTCAAGGAAGCTGGATGAGCGAATTTCATTTTGCCAAATATACAGTTTGAAATTCCGGAAAGGGTCTATAGCCACGTCCTACTGTACATCGTATACTGCACAGAGTCAAGCAACCCCGTGTCGCGTTCTTCTTCCTCCCTCACACCGCTCACACAACTGAGATTATGGCCTGATTACTCGGAGTCCGTCTTTCGGGGGTGCCGCCGTTCGCTTGAACGACTGCTAAGTGTTAGCAATATAAGGATCTACCTAAGGCCGTTCGACTTACGCTATCGCATTCTTCCCAAGCTCGTCCGGCACCGAATCCGAGACCAACCCATGCGGGCCACGCGCGGCGCTTAAAGAGGAGGACCGAGAAGACGATACCGAAAGAAACACCGAGACCGGAGCGGATGAGCATGGAGGAGAGGCAGCGGTCCCACTACAATTAATGTGTTAGCATTACATCCTGGCCATGTGAAGGGTAGCTCCAAGTCAAGCAGTCGCGTGAGCTTCCCAGAGTCGCAATTGGCCTCTAGGAGTCCTCCCAGCATGCTGATACATGTCGCGCAGCTGTAATTCGAGCTCGGAAAGCGCGTTGATGATTATGGGCTCAAGTGTAGTACCTTCTCGTTAAGCAAAGCTTCGCTCAGAGGGCGGGTAGTACGCGGGATGGGCGCAACGGGCTGCGCGGCCGGCTCGGGAGTTTTGTCGGCCATGGTGAATAGTATTTTGCGGTCGATTGGGCTTTCCGGTGCCGGTATCGACGTGTTCGGGAGAGATGACGCGGGATGTTGTTGCGTTGTGCCTGGCGTCCATGCGGAAAAGCTTCGGGAGAGCCCGAGCTTGGAAGTGGAAGTCCGTGCGTTAATTTTTCCAGAGGAAAGAACTCCCCGCTGCAACTTCCACTTCAGGCCACCGCTTCCATAGCGAAGCGAGACAACAAGATGGCTAGAGCAGTTAAGGTAAATTGTTCGTCTTGGAATGAAGCTTCAGAGAATAACAGCATGTCACAGGCTACTACGAGCCTTCCAGCGTCGACGCGGCCGCGGTTGCAAGCCATCAACCAGGATTATACCGACCTGAACGAGCAGATACACCAGGCCACCCATATCATTGGCCTTCCCGATGACTGGGAAACACTGACAGGCGACGCGCGCTCAAACACCGCCAAGCGCGTTGTCTGCGCAAGAGCAGACTGGGTTTTGCGGTGGATTCTCGAAAAGATGAAAGATACAGCAGATGGTGGCGCAGAGTCGCGGGCGAGCGCAAAGGCATGGAAACTCCTTGATTGGATGGTCGAGATCCTCCCAGTCTCTCGGTGTGCGCCACATCTGAGAGATGCAGGTTTCTTGACGATTCTTGAAAAGGTGCTGGAAGAGAGATACGGCGCCGATGCCACAATCCAGCCAGAGCCAGTACACCAGGGACGCCACCCGCGAGATGACTCAAGCGAGACAGTACAGGAGGACCCTCAGCCCTCACGCAAACGAAAACGAGGCTCCGGCGCAAGTACGCCTTCCAAGAGAACCGCCATCGAATCTGCTGGGTCTCTGGCACTATTCGACGCTGTGACTACCACGGTTCGGTCCATACGAGACAAAGGCGATGGGCAGGCAAAGAGCGAGGTCACGATCCAGTCGGAGCATATGAAGATGGTCTTGAGAACGGAAAGCGCACAGGCAGCGAGGATTCTCAAGCATTGGCTGAACGCAGTCCAGTGGATACAGTCGTCCAGACAGGGTGCATCAGGACTCGATGATTATCTGGATCTCTCGTTGATCGTGGAGATCTGGGAGCTGCGTGCTATCGACAGCAAGGACAACTCTGGTGCTTCCGTAGAACAATTCTCGACCGAGTGCCTGATACCGAGCCTGCTTCTCTCGGAAGCACTACACCAACCAATAACAGATGGCTCTAGACAGTCTGATCACAGGGTTACCTTGTCCATCTTGGATCGATTGATCGTAAAGCATATCCTTATGCCTTCACGAACGGCCTTCTTCAATGTTTCGACCGACAAAGGCACAAAGCAGCACGAAGGGAGTGCAGAGCTTTTGTCTAGCAGTCTAGAGCCGCTCAGTGCAAAGCTTCTTCAAGCTGCCCAAATTCAAGACGGCGGCGTGAAAATGCCGGCCTACTTTACGGCTTTATTCGCCGCTGCCCCACACTTGCTTCACCTTATTATCCGCTCTTCGCCAGCGCGTTCGCCAAAAGCTAGGACCACAGAGAAACCATGGATCCAGGCCGCGTTAGTGGCTCTTGCACAGTGTGTAGGGTGCTCGATGGAGCCCCCAGAATTTGCAGCTCCCAGGGCTTCCATTGCTGCGATTGAGGAATGTATCACTATATTAGCTTCACACAGCATCAGCATAGAAACACAGGTGCTCCGAGATGTCTTCTGGTTCCATTCTGGCCTCAAATATCCGCTGGACCAGAAGAACATCGTAAATTGGCCACTGATCGCAGCTCTGGTGAAGACCGACGCGTCTATCTTTCTAGCCGACCCGAAAGCAACGCCTCCATCACCCGACGGACGACCAAGTGATCTCGCCGCGTTCTTATTCGAGCACGTCCCGGCAGCTAATTTCGAGAACCACAACCTAAATGATGACGATAGCGATCATGCGGCAGTCGCTCGCGCAGTTCTAGGTTCAAACGAAGTGTTCTCAAGAGATGATGTGGTTCAGAAGATTGTTGTACCAATTGTACATACATTTTCGCGCAACCGCCAGCTGCTCGGATTCATAGAACTGTGGGACGAAGAGTTGCGCAGAACAATGCCCGCGAGTCGAGATCCGTTGACCGAAATGCAACCCCGAATTTGGGAGGACCGGCACCTGATTCTAGCCCTGGCCGAAGTATTTGAGCAGTCTTTGACTCTCACACAAATAACGACCCTATTTCAGAAGCATGCCGAACGATTGGAGCAATCCACGACAAAACATCTAAAGAAGGCTCTGAGCAGCGCTGTGATCATTCAAGCAATGCTTCGTTCCATCAAATCGGACCAGATCATCGAGGCGTTACGCCCAGCCATGCTCATTGTGTGGAAGGTTTATGACGCGTGGGTTCAAGATGACGGTCCAAGCCAATCCCCAGCCCTCGAATTGGCTTGGTCATCCCTTTGCTTTTTATTGGGACATCTATGGCCGATATATTTCCATGAGTCTGCAGTACTTCAGAAAGAACTCATCCAACCGCTGCTAGATAGAGCGTCCAAAGACGCTAACTCAGCGCGCAAGGAGGAAAGCAATCGACGTCTTCCATCGTCATGTCGAACGGCCGCTGTCGTCTTCGTTTTCGTCGCCTGCGATTATCTGCTTACAGTGCCTGACACAGCAGAGGTCATCCAAAAGAGGTTGCAGAAGACCTTGAAAGCTATGGGACACAGCCAAATAGAACCGCAGGAGCTATCTACCACCTTGGAATTGTTCTGCATAGAATACGCGCAGCTACTTGCCGCTTTTGATGCAAATGCTACCCAGAAAGTGCTGTCTCGACTGCTGGAAACCATATCTGAGTTCGACGTGCACTTGGGCGGTCCGCTCATAGAGACACTCTCAGCCTCTATATTCAAACAGGGCAACGCCGTTGTCGAAGCGTCCTTTGTCTCTGTGCTCATGAACGTCCTCGATCAAACAGATGAGAACTTGCGCACGACTTCCATGGATGCTCTTCTACATATCTCCCCCACATCTCTTTCGCGGGAGCAAAGAGAGGCTGTACTAGACAAGCTTCTAGGCTTGCTAACAACTGCGCCCACAGCTGCAGCGCCGATTCTGAATATCATGATCAACCTCATGCAGGTTCCGAACGCTACCGCGAAAGTCTCAGCAGACGGTAAAGCACTATTCGACATTGCAAAAGCTTTACACGAAGCTGAATTGGAATTGCTTCCCACCACCCAGCTGTTGCAGGACCTGGTGCAGATGACTCTTGGCCACCTCACGCCGAATAAAGATCAAGCACAGAATAAGGTCTTCTTCACGCAATTCGGAGATCAGATTGCCTCTGCGTTGAAGGAATCCACGACGTGTTCTCCGGCAAGGCTTGCTGTACTTAGCGGAGCATTGCTTGCGACTCAAGAATGGGGATCTTTCCTTCCTCCCAAGCAGTATCTTGATTTTCTGAGTAATGCTATCAACAAATGGCCTACCTCACAAAAGACTGTGTTAGGCGCTTACAATCAAATACCCCCATCGGTGCTACGTAAGGAAGACGCACTGTTCGACTCAGCACGAAAGCACCTTCAGCAATGGATCGATGTCCAATGTCCCACAAATCCTTTGATGAACATTGAGATGCTCCAGATCGATTTGTGGCCTGCCGTCTTTACAGCCATAGCTAAATACCAGCTCTATCAAGGTCTTGGGGGCACGACCTGGCTTCTCGAGCTTGCTTCGAAACTACTCGGAAACCCTTCAATCCAGCAACGTGACTCACAATTGCTGCAGTGCATAAGAGAAACATTCACACCTCTGGAAACCTCGGAGAAGTTGAACGGCGCTTACCACTGCATCTTAATTGCGAAAGAGGGTACACCGCCCCAGATCGCTTATCAACTACTTCACTCTGTTGTAGCTGCCATCAACGATAACGAAGAAGTCGAAGCCGATCTCAAGGCGAGAAAGATGGCTCTGTTACCCCAAATCTGCTCTCTCTTGAGCGAGGTCCGGGGCGACGCAGCCTTTAACGCACTGCTCGACACCCTCAACACCATCCTCCTCCACAAACCCAACATGACCTCCCAGCACAACATCGAGTGCGTCCTCACCACCCTTCTCAAGCTGGCCACGCGAAGCAGCCCCCGTCTCTCTCCTGCCCACGCGCCCGCAATCTACGCTCGCCTCTGCGAAACAGCGCGCCTCGTCCTGCTCCTCCACCGCAGCCGTCTAGGAGGCCGCTTCCACCTCCTTATCCCGGTCCTCCAGAGCCTCCTTCTCTGTCTCTTCATCCCAAATCTAAACCGTGGCGCCGCTCTGCCACCTTGGCTAGACTCCCCTTCGCCCGCGAATCCGACCCGCCTTACTGCCACCAACGCAGCACAATACACCCACCTCCTCAGCACGCTCTGCTCACCTACGCAATCCTCTGTTCAACGCACGCGGAGCGCTACTACCCTCAACGACCCTATCAAGGCTGCACGCGAATATGCATCGCAGTACGTGTACCCACTGCTTAGCTCGTTCTGCCGATTCCAGCTGTACGGCAGGCTGGACGCAGAGGTCAGAGAGAAGCTCATGCCGGGAATCTGGGAGCTTGTGAGTGTGGGACAGCTGAACAAGGAGGCTATCGATGCCATGTTTGCGGGACTGGGCAGGAGCGAGAGGGATGTGTGGAGAGGTGTTTGGGGCGAATGGGTTAGGGTGCATGGGCGGAAGGAGAGGAAGGTTAAGGAGGAGCGGTGAGATGAGTAGCAGGCTACGTTTATGCAGCTGCGATTTTAGATAGATGACCCGGAGGCCTGGTATCATTATCCCGTCTTACGATCATGTACAATCCTTTCAAACCTTATCCCCCTCATGGGATATATCCCTTGTCAATGGCCCTTTACCTTTACCAGCCATCATAATCTCCTCATCATACCGCCCCTCCTCATCGCTAGTGTTGGCGGCGAAATCGTCGCTAATCTGATCTCCAACTTCCAGCCACGTATCGCTCGTGGCTGGTATAGGCGACAGCTTGCAAAGACTCCAGTATATCACCGCCGCGACGCCGAATCCACAGAAATAGTTCAAATCGTAAATATGCTGCGCGGCGACGGGGACCTCGCGACCAATGGCGCCCGCGAACCCCACGACATTGATAGCAATACCCGCGATGTACGCCGCGTACGCACGCCAGTGGAACCCGAAAGTGAAGTAGTACGGCGCCGTCTTCTTACCAGAGTAGAGGTCGTGGATTTGGAGGTAGCCCTTGCGGACGATGTAGTAGTCGCAGATCATGACCCCCGCTATCGAAGACAGAAAGACGGAATATGCGGAGAGATAGGTGGTGAAGTTGTTGCTGCTGGAGAGCAGATGCCAGGGGCACATGACGAGGCCGACGAGCGCGCAAACGTAGCTGCCGCGACGGATGGTGATCCAACGGGGTGCGAGCGCCGTCATGTCTGTGCCTGCGGAGACGGAGTTGGCTGCGATGTTGGTGCCGAGCTGGGCGAGGGTGAAGGCGGCAGCGATGATGAAAACGCCAAAGCGTTGGCCGGAGCCGCCATTCTCGTTGAGGAAGCTTTCGAGGAGGTCGAGAGGGTCCCAGATGGGTGTGCCGCCGAAGATGACGGTTGAGGACGAGGAGACGATAATGCCGATGAAACTGGTAATAGCAAAGCCAACCGGGATGGTGATTAGCTGGGGTAGAAATGCATCGCTTGGTTTACGTGCGAAACGCGCGAAATCTGGGTCGTTGACGATGAGGGTGGCGAAATTTGCAATCGCAGACATGATCCCCTTGATCATCAGCCAGGCAAGGGAAGAGCCGTGAGCTTTACCAGGCTGATGCACGATTGGCCCGATACCTTTCGCACGAACAATAGCCCAGATGAAGAAGGCAACACCAGCCGTGGGAACAAAAAAGGCCTTGACGGTGAATAGATGGCGAATCTTGTGGACTGGGAACCATAAAGCAGGTAGCGAGCCGGCCCAGAAGAGGAAGAACGACACAAAGGCCACGGTGTTTGTGCCTGAGCTAGGGATGCTGTTCTTGATGCCACCGTCGCCAGTGTCATTGCGCCAGTCGTTCCAGATGCTGCGGATCATGAGGTACACGCAGGTTCCACCAATCCATCCTTGTACGCCGTACCAGATACAAGCCATAGCTGCTCGATTGAAAACGGGCCATAACGCACCCCAGATTCCGAAGGATGAGCGACTGACAACCGGAAAGGATATGTGATATGTCGCACCGATACGTCCCGTGAGGCAGACAAAGCAGGCTGCGATTGTGTAGCCAAGCTGCGCACATATTAGATGAAGTGTTAAGCATGGGACCACCGAAAGCAACATACCCATACGCAAACCCAGCTCTGCCACCATGAGAGTCCGTCTGCAATGTTACTTCCCGAAATCATCCATGTGTTGATGTTGAACGAGTCAGCTGGAGGTTGTTAGCGGCATGCCCTTGTGAAGAAGTTACACAATTGCATCGAATAACAAGCAACCTACCGATCCAGAACCCCACAAAATTCCATGCTCCCCATTGCCTCCGCTCATGTTCGACTGGCTTCAAATCATGGTTGCTGTATGATCATAAGATTCCGCTCATCATACATATAGCTCGTACTTACTAAAGCATAAGTTGCGCTGTAGTCAAGTTTTGATCATTCTCTACTGCGAGCTTGTCGGCCCAATGTTTGACCTTTGAGCTCTTCAACTTTCCCATGATGTTCCAGGGGAGGCAGCAGGCTGCTTCGTCGCTGTCGTGGACTTCATGTAGTGCAACGACCGGGGCGGTTTTATATATGAAGTTGGAGCTGCTACTACTGCTGGGCGATATCGCCGACCCATAATCGTTGCTACTGGCAGGAAGAGAATGACGTGGGGGAAATGGTCCTGAAGGGTCTGTGCGGTGCGGGTTTCCGTCCCCTTGCAACAGCGGTTCGTGCTCTGATGGATCCAGCTTGAAGTGGGCCGGTAAAACTAACCGAAGGCGGATCGTGATGCTCCAGTGCAGTGCCGCAGCGGAGGATTCTGGCGTGACCTGGGGTTGACCGTGCTGTGATGTCACAAACAGTGATACAGACGTTGCTCATCTCAGGATCGTCAAAAGGTATGAAGAGGCAAAGATATAACATCAACTGGTCGAGGGCGTTGAGGCATGATAGTGATAACGCAAATGTCGGTCTTAGTCGCGTAACGCGCATCAGTGGAACACACGCGGAGCGTCCCGCCAACCTTATCGGACGAGTAATAGCGCCCGCCATCAGTCAACAGACTCACTTGGGCACTGCGTGACGGACAGATAGACCCTGTGGATATTCGCGGATCAACCTTATCACGCAAATAGACGCGCATCGGACGCATTCACATGGCCGTGGGTAACGCCAACGGACTAGCCCTTTGGGACGCAGTCATCCGCATGCTCACGACAATGTCAGCAGATACGATGTCGGAGAGGGAGACAAATGCTGCTGTGACTCGATAGGATCTTGTCAAATCGTCTGTGCGTATGGGGAAGAGGCTCTTTATCGTGGGCGGAGCGGTTACTCGGACATGGACGCGTGATGTTGCACTTGGAACGTGGAGGGCTAGTGCGCGATAGGCATAGCATTGCGATAGGCGTTGTGGGGTGCGTCGCCGCCTCTGGAGGACCAGTAAAAACCGGGTGCCGGTGCTTAGTATCTATTTGACTCGATGAGATCTCGTAACTAGCTGCCGCATAAGACTATACTTAGTATTGATGGCGCGCCCGACAATAACGCTCCTTTGTTGCCCAACCTTCGGGTGCCGTTGTTCTTTTTACTCGGAAACGTGACCAGAGTATAATATTGGTAAACCTAGACCTATCCTGTCGAGGTCAATGGCCTCACCGTCCCATCGAAATGCGTACTGCGTACTGCAACGTGCAGATTTTCAGCATGTCCCTGGTCGCACCTAGGTCAGGTCAATGGTTTCGATATCCTCTGGCAACAAACGGGGCTCGGTATTTCGATTTGAACGTGTTGATAAGAGTGCGACTTGCGTAGAGATAACAGCTTGCTTGGGCGTGACTTTCTCTCCAACATTGGTGGAGGAGGTGAAGAATCGAAGACGAGCAGCCCTAACCTCTGCTGCGCCCGAGCCTGAACTGCCTTTCGGATATCTGGCTTGAGGAGCTGCTACGGCCGCCGTAGGTGGCGATGTACAAGAAACCTGTGAAGTTCCTTCACGTACAACACTACTGAGGGCAGAGTCGAGCCTAGAGGAGGACTTGGATGCCCCCACGATCGATTTGCTCATCGACCCCGTTCGAGTACATTCGCGGAGAGCCGTAGGCGCATCGGGCTTCTGTAAACTAAGCTGGATAGCTTGGTTCAAGGCTTTATCTTCATCTTCATCTTCCGAGTCTGGCAGACTGTCTCCAAGGTCTATTATACTGGAACGTCTCTGCAATGGAGTGGTGTCCTCTTCGGAATTCGATAGCAAGCTAATACACTCAGTCCCAAAGCGTATGGGTCGGTTACTCCTGGAGTGGCGACCAGGTGTGGAGTCTGGTACGTAGGATCGTCCGCTCATAGTAGGCTCTGGTTGAAACGGGCTAGCACTCGCCCTACGTGTGTTTGCACGCTTGCTTAAGCTTGTGGACAATTCTCGTTCGGTTGCAATGACTGGCGTTATGTTCCTGCTTTCGGCATCTTCCTCTGCCTGTCTCTTTCGCTTGCCAGGGATCCTCTTGGGCTTTAGTGGCGGATCTAGCACGCTTGAGGGCAAGAGCCTCTGCAGTAGGTACGTTGGAATATCTGCATTCACAGTATGTTCCGGCTCGACGTCCTTCTGCTGAAGCTTTGTAAGACCGAAGGGAGAGAATGCAAGTGATCTCAGCAATGGCGGCGGCTGGGACTGAGTGCGTCTCTTTGTGAGCTTGATCTGGTGCAAATGCTCCTTTGGTGACGTTGGATCACGAGCAACTAGAGATTTCGTAAGAAGGACCGGTCCGACCCAATTCATGTAGAATCTACCCCTGATGTTGAAGCGAGAGCTAGTCAACTCTAGGAGCTTGAGTTCGTTAATAGCAACGTTCCAGCCATTGCGTAGCCCACGTAAGTTTTGAAGCTGATCATCTGCCGAGACTTTGGGCCGATAATATTTGTCCAGCGTGTTGATGTCAGGGAAGGCTGGATCCAGTTCGGGTCTGGGCCTGGCCCCTCTTTGCGTCAGGAAGAAATCGAACAGTTTATTTCGCCACAATGCACAGTCTGCCCTGGTTCTGCATTGGCATAGTGATGTACCCAAGCCCGCGCGAACTGCAGCAGTGGCCATCACAGAGCCACAGTTTCGTAGTCCTTTGTCGTAGTCTCCGCCGCAAAGCATAACGAAGAGCACCAATCCTTCGCGATCAAAGTTATGCTTCTCTCGGATGTCATGTCCGTATACGACCTGGGAGCACGAAAGAGATAAGCACAAACTCGCCTAGATGTTACACTTCGTTGGCACTCACCCTTACAGACGTCGCGCTCTTCTTCGTGTTCTCCTTGGAACGGTTGTTGTTGAGTTTGTCCTTCGAGACACGATCGTAACGCACTAAGACGTTACAACCAAACATGAGCGTATCCGAATCCTGTGACCAAACAGCATCGACTACGTCGAGCTGTTGCAGACGAGCACATTCCGCTTCAGCTTCGCCAGGAGCCTCGTGATGTGGGATACGGAAGTAGTCCAACAGCTCTTCGAGTAACCTTCGCTCTTCTTTGTTGATCGTACCTTGTCCACGCTTCCCACGCTTCCAGGGCTTGCCTGAACCATCGAACACGAATCAGAGTTGTACGTTCAACGTAAGAAGCCGGCAAATGTGGTAAAACATGGCTTTTTCGACGCCCTGGAAAGCCGGTTCATCTGCATTTGCAGGGCAATTTCAGCATCAGTAGCAGTATGGCCATCTTTTGACTCACCCTCGCGTATCTTATTTACTTGCTGTGATGTAAGATTGTTGAACCTCCAATCGGGCTCATCAACAGCAATCCGTAAGGGACGGCCATGACGCTTGAAGTGGTCCTCGGCCAACTGAGCGGTTGGCACGCTGTGATCCTCGTTCTTTATCACGTCCCAAAGCCCAATGATACCCATTGGGAGCGACTGCAGGGCTCTGCTGCGCAAGCAACGAAGCGCAAGGGCGTGCAGTAAGGGCTGTGGGAGAGTGATCGACGATGGCTTCGATTGTTATTGTTATGACAGTGGAACAAGCAGAAGGCGTGGGTGTCAATGGATCTATCTACAGGCTAAGCGAAAGAGGGGAAATCGCTGTGGTGTGACAGGAGGAAGCCGTAGTGCCGTGGTACAGTCCTCCTTACCACCCCTGCTAGCGCGGCTTCTCCTCCTGGCCAAACGCGACTTCACATGACCATTTTTCGACGCGTCTGATCCCAGCATGTTTCATCCGCAACGTTTTCACGCCGACGCTGTCCATCTCGTCATTGCATTTTTATATTATTTCGAATTCATGCATTGGCGGCATTGCAGTGCCATGCCGCTACGTGCTCGAAATCTCAAGAACATGCTACAAGCCGATTCGACGTATTGTCTGCTCCTTTGCTAGACGTACACCGTCGGAAACCATGTCGTGTTCAGGAAAAGTTCAAGCTCGACTTCCTTAGGTGTCTAGTCATGTTCGCGTTCGCGTGCCCGTATGGGATGCACTTTAAGAAGTCCAGTCCCTATGTGCTCGACCTGAAGATTCTGTTCATATGCTTTGAAGAAGAGCAAGACATTGTTGCGGTGTGGCTGCTAGATCAGTGATCATGCCGCGAACAACGGACCGCTGGCAAAGAGAAGACATACAGGAGCTGTTGCTGGGCAGGCCAAAGACACCTAGGTAGGTTCGACGGCACGTGTATCTGTCACGTGATGCTAGGCAGCACCTTTAGGCACAGCCTACAAATTATGCGACTTCCCCGCACTTTACTCCTTCTGCACAAATTCAATACACCCATCATGTGTCCACCTGGTGTCGATCAGACGTGTCGCACGTCTCAGCAATGGCACTTGCTAGCACCAAGCCGCCACCAGCGTCTATCGTTAGGTCCCAGGAAAACCCCCGAAGCGTTCTTGCGAGGAGCTGCAATTCAAGGCGATACAACTCTAGGTTTATTTGACAAGCTGGCTTGGCCCTATGCTGCTCTGTCTCAAACAACTTCGAAAGTTAGCGTGCTCGGTGAAAATGTGAGCTTGTCGCCCATCGAACGGCTACCTACTGAGCTTCTCGCCATGATCATGGACGATCAAGAGCTGCAGACTACAGATGTCATCAATATTGGACTATGTTCTCGGTACCTGTGGTCCCACACGATGCTGCACGTTAGGCGCAATGTCAGGGAGAGTCCGCCGGCGTGGGCAAGACAGCCTTTGCTATGCAGTGGAACTTGGTTGACCGAGCTACCTCCGGCCATCTATGAGCGCTACCCTGAGGAGCAGAAAAGGCAGGAAGTTTATCAAAAGCGTGTTGGCCGTTGGTACGGCCCTTGCCCTGCTCGGGTCTGGAACTGGAATGCCGTATCTGTCGACGACGAATTGAACAAGCACATCGACAGATCAATTCGACAAACCTGGTTCGATGCTTTGAAAACATGTGTGGACAGCTCAGATATTTCCGGGGCGATGCTGGAATCGTTATGGGAGGACATGCTGGAAGTCTTCGCATTAGCTGAGGACGATAGCAGCCAACTTATCCTGCGCAATCTGGATACTCGAGAATATTTCAGACTTTCCGTAAGGTCGTCAATTGACCGGCACATGCTGACGATACTTGTCATGGGCTCTGAGTGGCTTACCTTGGACAAAGCCTTGTTGTCCAAGATTTGCTGGGGTACTCCGGTCCGAAATGCACGACCTGGGGACATGGAGTGGAAGCTGAACCATGGTGTATGGGCTGGTCATACGTTCGACGTGATCTCAGACGACACCATCAACATAGATGGATGGAAAGACGTGACGCGCACAATCGTGGAAGACAATCAGATATGGCGGACACAGCACAGGTCATGATGAACGAATTGGCTGGGGTTTGCAACCTAATCCAAGAGCGTTCGCATGCAAATGTGTGGGTAGGCTAGATTGCAACGACACAGCAGGTATGAAGAAGTGTTGTAACTATTGGGAATATGTAAATAAGCCAGACAGGAGTAGAATACAGTTTCGCTCCCACTGTTTGCTTTTGCTGCCCTTCCTGAGCCCTCGTCATTGTGTTGCACAGGAGACACATCAGACTGGATACTCAGTACTTCAATGGCCTCGTCAGGTTGTTGTTTCCGCATGCTCAGCGATTAGATCGAGCAACATTGAGGTACAAGATGTGTGGAAATCCACCCTTGCTTGAGATGCGCCGTACCGACGCTGCAGTATCACGCTAAGTGCCTGTGGCCAGAGCGGAGTGCTCATCGCTAACAGTACTCTCTAGATAATCTGTACTGTAACCTCTCGTTGCATTGCGACGTTCCAAGAGAAGCTTCTGACAGCAGATGTGCCGTCTTGAAGACCCTGATGATGATAACACTATTGTGACGTTGTCATCCGGTTTGCTTCAACGCCATCCACAACTCTGGTTCTGGTTGAGAACAAGTTAAAACGCAACTTGCACAGAAGCGAGTCGAATATAGCGAGGAAATGTCAGATGGCTACTGGACACCTTCTTTAAAGAAGTCATCGAAGAGCCAAGCTATAAGCATGACCTGCTTGAGCCAATGACTGCTGCGTATCGATGCTTCACCCAGCACAGGCTACGGCACTGGGCACCATCGTGGCGAATACGTTGGACCCTATTTCTCGCCTGAGCTTCAACTCTTCTGTGAGCAGATTCGCTGCCGAAAGTGCTTTGTCGGACCTTTGCCCAAGGTATCGCAAGGCTTTGACGCAATTCTCTGCTCTTTTGAACGCATCTTCCTGACCGAGGCTACTCCCATTTGGCGCTGCTGCAGTTCCAGTTAGTACAGCCCCAGCCATCGCGAAAGCCCGCATGAGAACATCAGACCATGGCTCGGACAAGAGCGCCCCTTGGCCTATCGAGAAAAGGTTGCTCTTTGCCTGAGACAAGATCCCATCTTCTTGCGAGCACGCGCATCTCGCGATGTCCGACAGTGAGCGACAGTTCTCTTCCCTAAACCGGGCGATGAAGTTCAAGGAGTCCCTCTCACGACGTCTAGAATCGAATCCAGACTCCGTCTCGTCCATGGTTTCTATAAGGTCTGCCAGCAGTAAAGTGGCCAGATGCCAATGGCCGGCCAAGCAAACGTACCACGACTGCACTCGTTCGGGGAGTTCTTCGTGGTGTTCGATGCAGTTGCGGAGGAAAGGCGCATAGGTCCTCTGCCAGTGTTCGTAAACTTCCAGCGCGCTGTGTACGGCGGCCTCAATTTTCTCACTCCGCGCAGGACGAGCCAGCAGCGTTTGAATCCGCGTCACCTTGCGGAAGAGCAGCACTTTGATTGGAGCTGCTTCACACAAGAGCGAGGCAGCTTCGTCTTCCGAGCAAGGCCATCTCACCTGTGTACGTTGCTTTCGCATGCGCTGACGTCTGAACAACAAGTCATCCCAAACGTCTTCTGCTCTCGGATCTGAAGGAATTGGCGCTACCGGGCTCGATTGACCTTCGCGAACCATATTCCTAATTGCTGGTAGGTCGCTGTCCTCGAGTGAGACGACAAGAGGCCGTTTGTGCATCGCTGATGACAACGTATCAAACATTATACCAAGCCAGAAAAGCACGTCGACGGTCGCTCGATCGGTCGCTTCGAGTCCACTTGTTTGAAGATGCTTCCAGCACCGTGGCTTCTTCTTCCGCCGACCTCCAAAAGCCCCTGACATCGTCATTCTCGAACGTAACGAATGAATCAACCGCAGTCCTTGCTCGAGATGAAGTGGAGGCCCGTCATCTTTCATTGTTAGGTCCAGCTTTGAAAGGAGATCTTCACATTCTTTGATATCTCCGTCCTCGTCTGTTCTAGGCTCCGGCGATTGAGAAATCTGCTCACTTTCGGGTGATGATTTGATCTGTTCTGAATCATCTTCTGGCTTCTGTGTCAATGAGAAGACGATATGAGCGAGCACCACTCGAAACGATTCGATGTCGGCTGCCTCGTGAACTGCTCTACGGGCTTGATGCCATGCAGTCAGCTGGAGAGAACGATCGAACTTAGTCTGATTCGAGGTCGTTTGGCGGGGCTGTTTGATGTACCCTGTTCTCTCATCCACCTGGAAAGGGTATCTGGTTCTTCGTTTTGCGTCTGGTACAGCCCACTGCGATGCAAATGAAAAGATTGCCAAATTTAAAGCTCTGGAAGCTGCTCGGTCTTCCGGCAGGGACAATAGCCTCCCTCGCACCGAAGGTGATTGGTCCAATTTGAACACTCGATGATAGATACGATTCCAGTCTGGGCCACAATTATCCGGGAGAGATACATCGCAATCTTTACTGTAAGGGCAAGTCTTTTCAGTCAACCAGCAGGACAAATGTGTCTCAAAACTATCGTGATATATCCTGAGCAGACCATCCGCTAGGAAAGCAGTGTTCGCCGAGGACAGCAAGTCATTTGTGAGGGCTATGGATGAATGTGAAATCGAGCTCATAGCAGAAGAACCGCGCCGCCTTCGTTTGCGGGGTATGCGCGCGATCCCGCATGAGGATTTTACATCTTCGGAGGAGCCCACATCTGGGCTTGACTCTTCATTGCTGGGAACGACGTCGCTTGGAGAGGTGGAAGAACCGTTACGTGAGTCCCACTCAACCAGAGCAGCATCGTGTGGTTGTTCTAAGTGGTTGCTTGGGCAGGCTCCATCTATCATAGGTGGATTGTCCCATAGGAATTCTGTCGGTACATAATCGTACTGGAACGGAGGAGTCAGGCTATCGCTAAACTGTGCTCCGCATGGGAAGTCTGCGAAGGTCACTCCGAAATTGACCGGCTCAGACGATGGCATGTAATCTACTCCATTGCCCATGTCCGAACCAGCGGACAGTTGTGCGGCTTGCTGACCACATGGTTGGCCGACTGTGTCTTTACGACCTTGTGAGCGATTTCCATTCGTACACCGTTTCTTTGTCGGTGGTACCGAGTTTGGTTGCGGTGTCGATGCTTGCAGGATGCGTTGTGATCGGAGCCATTCGAAGGTACAGGTTTTCTTCGTCTTTTCACAGTTGCCGCACGGCGCGAGGGGCCCAAAAACATCTGTCTCGTCAAATGTCTGCATGAATTTCGGTGGAGATGGGGTGGCATACCACTATAATGGAACGTAACAGGGTTTTCTCCACTGCTAGTGTTCCCATTCAACAACAAGGCATCTTCCAATATGGAGGCGTCGCATGCCCTCTTTCCTTTGCGGCTGCAATAGATGTTAGCATATCTTCACAAACGGGGTAACATATAAAGCAGACTCGCGCTAAACGTCCGACATGTGATCCGTCACGTAGCACGATATGTTTATGAGCAATGCGACTTAATCGCGACATAGTGAAAAGGTTACGTACCACTGGTCGCAGCAACGGTTCTGCTTCCTGCTCGTCCTCGCCGATTTCGGCCCACTCGCCCCAGCCTGAGCGGGCGAAGTCCACGCGTAGTCGAGGAACGATGTGGGCTGGACGTCTACGAAGTTCATGACCGCGACCCGGGATTCGATGGCGAGAATAAGGAAGAAGGTGCGGCTCGCTAGAAGTGGTCACAAATAGGACGGCGGCGGCGGAGGGGCTTGTGCGCCCATGACATGGAAGACGACCCCGCACGTGCTTGTTAGCTCCACTGCCATGCCACTTTGGGTCGATTTGGTATTGCGGGGAAAGGGAAATGCAGGGTCAGGACCCGTCCGCCATGCGATTAAAGGCAGTGATGCACGTTGACCTGGGAAGTATAGCGAGATTCTGTTCTACTTGGGCCTCGAAGGTGCCATTGGAACACTTCGCGAGGGCACAGTCGCTGCTGGTATCAGCATCGCTGCCTGCGATAACACCACCCCACTGTTTGAAGATCGCACTAACCGTTCTTCTGGGCGGCTGCATAAGGCTGACAATCGCCTTCAAAAACTCCAAAGGGTTTAGGGTTTGCATCGGCTAGCTGTACTTTACCCATCCAACGGAAGAGCTGCGATTCCGCGCTCCGACGGGTCGCCGCCTTTTGCAAAGCTCCTTGCTGTACCTTTGGGCAAGGATTGACCTGTAGTATCATATGGGAAGGTCAATGCACCATCCCCGTACATACAGTTACCGAGAGCCTCCAATTGTGGATCCATCGTCACCACATCACTCAGCATTGACGATGTCGTTCAACGCTCGGAGTCATTATGTTCTTATGTACGCGTGTCGGGCGGAGATAGGAGCCAACTCTCAAAACATTCCCCTCGCTTGTCAAGGATCCGGCAAATCTCGGCGAGTGGTCGTAGTGGCTACTGCGATCAAACACGAAGAAGGCCTTAGGCCTACCCAATCGAGCTGATCTGGCGGTTCTACATGCACGTTCCATAATGTTCACAGCTTACGATCGAGTGATACGGAGCCTTGCGGGTGGATGCTAGCGGATGAGCTAAGATTGGTGTCACCGGACCTGATCCGAAGAACGAGCTGTTACCCTGTCCTTCGTACGTTCGTACGAGCTTCTTGGCTTTATATATCGGCGTACTTGGCAAGGAATAGCAGTGCACGTGTTATCCATTGGGAGCTCTATCATTTGACTTGGGCGTATACCTCAACATGGGCGATAGTCAACAATCCAGCCGACGAAAGGAAATTATCCAGCAATTACCGATCCCATCTCGGCAAGGCCACGATGCCATTGTCAATTCCACGTATGTGGAGGATATCGTTACTGCGCTGAACAAATGGGGTTGTCGGCGGGCTGTGATCGTCCACAGTAAAGCTCTCGACTCCGCAACGGATGTTATCAAGAATCTGTCAAGGCAACTGGGTTCACTGGTTGTTGCGACCAGGTCGGGGGTCGGCGCACATTCCCCGTACAAAGATGTGCTTGATATCACAAAACTACTACAAGACAATGATGCAGACAGTCTCATCAGCATCGGTTCCAGCTCTTACTCGGATGCATGCAAAATCGCACGTCTGCTGCACACAAACCTGGCCCCGGAGAATTATACTGTTGATGGCATGGAAGGACTAGTTGATCAAGAAAAAGGCAACACTTTGAACTTGAAAGATCCAAAGGTCAAGCTGATCGTTGTCCCAACAAGTCTAAGCGCGAGCGAGTGGAACCACACAAGCTCAGCCTCAAACCCCAAAACACGCAAGAAGCAACATTTCCAAAACGAAAATGCGATGCCGGATCTCATACTTCTCGATCCAGAGGTAGCTTCGACCTCTCCGCGGAAGTTGTGGTTATCATCTGGGATGCGGGCGGTCGATCACTGCGTGGAGACGATTTGCAATAAAGCATGTACGCCCGAAGCGAGTCAGCATATGGAGAAAACTCTTGCTACGTTGTTGAAAGGACTGAAGGAGTACAAGGAAGGCGAAAACAACGATAACAGAGAGGAACTTTTGGCCGGTATCAGCGAGTGCCAACTCGGAAGCCGAAGCGCCATGATGGGTCTGCTCCAGTACAAAATCCCTATGGGCCCATCGCATGCTATTGGACACCAGCTTGGAAGCAAATGCGGTGTCATGCACGGGGTTACGACATGCATCATGCTGTCTCCTGTCTTGCGCTATATGCGGGACAAAGAGGACCAGCAGATCGAACCCCAGCAGAAAGTGTTGGATGTATTCAATAGGGTTCTGCAATGGAACGAACAGAGCGCTGCAGATGCAGTGGGTAAATTTGTCAAAACCTTGGAGTTGCCGAATTCGTTGAAAGCGGTTGGTGTCGAGGACGAAGACACGCTGCAGGAGATTGCTGAAATGACAATGACGGATGTATGGGGCGGTGGCACGAGACAGATTGAGACCAAGGAGGAGATCCAAGAGGTCTTAGAATTGGCAAGAGGCTAAGTTACTCTCCGATGCAAACTCGATTGAGAACGTTTCGGGGCGATTGATTCGAGGAGGTCGATGGTGTAGAGAAGAACAAGCTGAGGTAGTCTCCATACTACGCGTACACCTTGTTATCTCCGAGCTACGTCCTAGCCTAGCCGAAACCAGCCAGGCACCCAAGCCAACGGCAGCTGCTGTGATCGTCATCCTCTGTCATCCAAACTTCGCGGCCCACATCAGAATTACGCCTTTCTTTTTCTTTCCATGTGTAATCAGAAATGGTCCAGCCTTTAAATATGGAACGGTGGTGCCGAAATACTTGTCAAGACTCGAGGGACCATGCCGGAATGTTGTGGGTAAGCTCGGCCAATGGCATGCCTGCCTATTGTGAGCATGCGGTACCTACACCCATGTAGCAGTGGGCTCTTTTTTTCACATACATCATGACGATGAGGCATCCATGATGCAATCATACCAAAACGCCGCCTGTACGGCAGGCAACATAAGAGGCAGTGGAGTGCCCAGATAGCCGTTGGAAACTTCACCACTAGGATTTTGTTATTTAGCTCCATACAACGTATACAACATGGCCTGCCCGGTATGGATCTCTCAGTGTCTCTGACCTACATGTAGTGCTAATACGATGCATGTGTAGAACCAACGCGGAGACGATGAGCCCATTTACACTTCCGCCGAAGGTGACACGCACGCCTACCTCTACCCAATGCAAGCACTAATTTATATTTCAGGGCGTCCTCTTGCGGATCCGACAACACAACTGGTCCTCCAAGGCCCTAAGGTTCGCGGCGGTAGCCTCGCTTTGCTAGAAGACACGCAGCTTATTGAGACACTCGCCCACTTCCCACGAGAGCGGATACCAGAGCGGTGAGCTCTTAAAACTGCTAATATCTCCATCATTCGCTAATTGCAGCAGCGTCGTGCATGCCAAAGCTGCTGGCGCCTGGGGAGAGTTCGAATGCACCAAGGATATCACCGACATAACTTCAGCATGCATCTTCTCCGAAGTGGGTAAGAAGACAAAGGTCCTTGCACGTATCTCGACAACAAGCGGAGAGAAGGGATTTCCAGACACGGTTCGCGACATCCGTGGCTTCGCCCTGAAGATGTTTACCGAGCAGGGCAATTATGATTTTGTGGGAAACGACCTACCTGTGTTCTTTGTCCGCGACCCCATCAAGTTCCCCTCCCTGAACCGTTCTCATAAGCGTCACCCGCAGACGAACGTACCTGACGCTTCGATGTTTTGGGACTTTCACAACAACAACCAAGAGGGCGCGCATTGTTTGATGCAGCTCTTCGGCCAACGCGGCGTTCCCGCCAGTTTGAGACACATCAACGGGTTCGGCGTGCATACTTTCAAGTTTGGAAAAGTGGACGATGGCACATTCAAATATGTTAAGATGCATTGGAAGCCGGAGAAGATCGAGAACTTGAAGACCGAAGAGGCTGGGAAGCTTGCAGGTCAAGAGCCAGATTATCACGTGAAAGACATGTACAACGCGATCGAGAACGGCGACTACCCTGTCTGGACGCTTAATCTGCAGATTATGGACCCCAAGGAAGCTGAGACCTACCGCTGGAACATCTTCGACGATACGAAGATCTGGCCTCACAAAGATTACCCTCTCATTCCCGTCGGCAAACTCACACTGAACAAGAACCCCGAGAATTTCTTCCAGGACATCGAACAAGCCGCCTTCTCCCCCTCCAATATGATTCCAGGTATCGGTCCCTCTGCAGACTTGATGCTGCAAGCCCGTATGTTCTCGTACCCCGACGCTGCGCGCTACCGCGTAGGACCGAATTACCAACAGCTGCCTTGTAACAAGGCACAATACGTGTACAATCCATACCAGCGCGACGGTCCCGCGCGATACGACGGTAATTACGGTGCCGACCCCGATTACGTGCGTTCGTCATTTCGGAAGATCAAGAGCATCAAGCCCAACGATGTGACTCATGATGAATGGGTGGGCAAGGTGTCGAACTATACATCCAATGTTGAGGACGATGACTGGGTGCAGGCGCTTGACATGTGGAATCTCTTGAAAGACAGCGGCGACGATGAGCTATTCATTGGCAACCTAAGCGGCCATGTAGGCAAGGCATTGCCGGAGGTACAGAAGGAGACGATCAGTAAGTTCAGCAAAAACACTTGTAAGACTACGTGCTAACCGAGGCTAGAAATGTTTGCGAAAGTTCATAAGGAGATCGGCGAGCGTTTGGAGAAAGCACTAGGAAAGGCGAGCGAGGACGGACCAGATCACGTGAAGGCTCCATATGGCCTGCAGTCAGCTGTCGGGGGTGGCTATTAGGCTTAGGTTGTTCATGTTCCTTCTCTACCACAAGTTTGATCACGCCACTGGTGCAATCGCGATGACAACGTCAACTTGTTTCAAATGCGAGTGGCTTCCATAATCCGGACGACATGCTCTCTCCAATGACATACGATACCAAGCTCACGTTAGCTACACGATACACCTTCTCAGGATCTCTTTTGAACTCATCAGGACAAAGGTAACGGTCTTACTTTCCTATGCCCATATCAGACCGACCCTGGTAGATGGGAACTCGGCGTGGTCTCTCCCCTAGAAAGGGCATTACCAATCTATTTGCAGGAATCCAGCTTGCACAGATACCGGGAACAGGTCATAGAACATTAGTTAAATTATTGACGCAGCCATGAATGGTCAAGTGTAACTCCCGGTTCTCCAAAACACTGGAATGCTTGCGCGTATCGACTCGTATAGGCGTATTCAACGCTTCGTATTCGATACGTCGTATTAGATACGCTGTGATTGGACGATACTTCCGAAACAACTTCCGCGTCGTCCGCTACGCAAGTAGACCTACCCATATAAAGCTAGCCTACCTACACACCTCGGCCAAAGCGCTGTCATGGAGACGCCGCGACAGGCTTCACGGCAATGTGAGGAAAGTTGTAAGGCCGTTCGAAGTGTTCGTTGAACACAATTACAACCCGGCACTTGGCAGCGAGTGGCATACCCAAAGTCATCTCGCGAGACACTGGACTCCCGATTATTCAATTCGACTCACTTATTCAGGTCTTCTATGATCTGTACCCCATGATTTGATCGGGCCTGCATAATACATGGCTAAACAGCTCATGGGTACGGAAATCTGGGGCCCCGCGCAGAGATCGAAGATCCCTCGCCGTTGTGCTCCAACAACGGACAGTTGCACCATGACAGGGCATCCACAAGGGTGTCTTAATGAAAAATTCAATAGTTCTCGGTTTCCACCATACCGTCAATATCGAACCGCACATGCAGAGGCAGCAAAGAGTTATAAAGGGAGACTGGTCGTCTACACTTCTATCCCTATCGCAGCCGCTCTCATTGCAGTGCTCATTTGTCTCTGGCCCGGCAATATGCACTTCGCTACTTCTTCGCTGGCGCTCTTTGCTGCTAGCGCTACCGCCTTCCCAGCAACGAGCGTTCTTGACTCTGATCTCCCTCCACCTCCTGCCCCGGAGCCTATCGAGGTGATTGAACTTCCGCTGCCGCCCGTGGCTCCCAGCAATGACACGGGATCTTGCACCCTAGACGTCAACCCCCGGGGCACAGGGTGTATCCTCCGAGGGCTAGGCGACTCCGCATTCCAAGCGGGTGATTTCACGACCGACGGGAACAACGTTATCGTAACTGTTATGTTTGCGGGCGCACCTGCACCGCCTCATCCCGCGAGTATCTACGATGGAGCACAGGTGATATTGGTCAAGGCTGATGGAGCGACGTTCACCAATGGGGATTCTTGGAAGTGTCTCAGCTGCGGCGTTCCTGAAAAACAGCAGCAGTCGCGAGACCCTCAAACAGACTACCCGCACGTGTTTCGCAGTGGTGACAAGGCGCTGTGGGGTCATAAGTAAGTTCATCCAGCCTGAACCTCCATCATATTGCTGACTCTGGAATTAGCATTCTTGATTGCAATGGGCACCAGCTGGCCGACGATGACTGCACGCCTGAGGAAATCTTTATCTACCCAATATACTGGGCGACCATCGAAAACGGCACAGAAGTGAACGGTGCGCCGCGCGAACTGCGTCTTCATCCCGATGACACCCATCTGGGCTTCAGCTCGTTCACGAGTTCGGGAGGACAAAACACCTTCTTCGGTCGTCTTCAGTTCAATCCTAGTCCCACAACCGGCAAAGTTTTGGCCCCGCGTTACGAGCTGGTTGATGTCAATCTGCTACGTGATCCGAGTCGCAGTGAGCGCCTTACCGCGGAAGACGGTGAACTCAAATTCCATGACGACGTCATCTTAGTCGGCGAACTGCGTGGCTTTTCTGGAACAGGCGACGAGATTGTTTACATTGGCGAAACATATGAAGCCAACAACATAGATGTTTCGGCTGTGCATGTCGTCACTGGGGCTGTCCGTCGCTTGACCGAGCATCCGGAATACACCGACCCGATATCATTCTCTGCCGACAACAAGTGGATTATTGCTTTGGACACACGTGGGACCAACCGCCAAATGTTCATGTCCGGCATGCGTCACGTCCCACCCTTGATTGATCTTGTCACTGTGACCGTGGCAGCATCTACCCGTAACAATGGGAACAGACGATTCTTCAATCCGATCCTTATTGACGGATACGGTGATCGAGGAGATTACTTCGGCCAGCATGTCAATGCTGAAGGAGATGGAAGTAATGGTGCAGTAAACGACCCAAACTGGAACGCTCGCGCAGACCCGGCATTCTCGCGCGATGGTACAAAGATTGTGTACTGGCAAGCCATTGTCACGGGACGCGAGTGCGGAGGTGCAAATCCTCTCCCTTGTCCGGTGCCAACAACACAGGGTCAGCGTGAGTACAGACTTATGCTCGCCAAATTGACAAGCCGAACACCTCAAGCAGCGCCACCAGTATTTGACGTACCCGATCAACTGCCCTGGGCCACACCTTTCCCTCCGGGCACACCTTTACCCAACACTACACGTGGGCCTAGTGCTGGCGAGTACCTTCTTCGCGGCAAGCTCTCTGGCGTTGCTCATGTCGAGCTTTCTAACTCAACTGGAGACCAGTCTGGAAGCTTTGACACTGTAGCTGTCAACTATACCGACTACGCCGATGTGGAAGGATATCTGCTGAACGGGTGGGAGAATGCAAAAAGTACGATCCTATGGCCGAATCCATGGAACACCTTGGTGGACTGGTATTCAGACCTTGAAGAGACTGGTGTGGTCACTGCGTCGAAGAAGACCAGCCTCGATGGGTTCCATTTGCAAATCGACGCGATGTTGAATATTTTCAACGCAACCGGTACACTTACAACGACCATCGATGGGGAGGTATATGAGCAGCCCGCCAATGGAACGTAAGAAGTAAGTACCTAGTCTAATGGGTTAGATGATTACATAGCGATTGTGCCCAGATCATGCTCCTCACCGCTATCGTGCTGCAAGATGACCCCTCCTACAACCCTTGTCGCAACTCTTATGTCCTGCGATGTAACAGTTTTCCCCGCCTCATTTATGTGTTAAAACCGATATCGCATATACTTAACACACGGTTGACGGCGAATCTGACATACCGAGAGTTGATGCGGAGTCGTATCGGAGCGAATGAACCAAAAATCTGCCAGCACTTCACCGCTGGATGCAATCGTCGAGTACGGGTCGGTCGCTATTCGGTGGCCGGTGTCCGGTGTCCGGTGTCCCGTTTTGGAGGGATCGCAAGCAGGTACCGAGGCTCAAGCCGGTAGATTGACAACACGAATCCGCTCCGAAGCGTAACCTGAGACAGGACTATCCTGGTTTCAAGTCGTGCTACAGATGTCGTTAACTGTCAGACTTTTTTAGATTGACAGCGAACTGTTGGTGCTCTCGCAATGGTAGTGGGGATCAACCGTGGGGTAGTCTCCGATCTGTAAACTAGCGCAGATCGGCGGTACGTGGCGGTGAGAGCCTCAATTCCAGATATCCAAAGAAACAGAACGGAGTATCAACCGTATGCTTCAAGCTTTGAAGACTCCTTCAACTAATGAGAAATTTTGCGGGTGGAGACGTGGAGATGCTGTCGGGCATCAGGTCGACTGGGATGTTGTTGTCGATGTAGAAAACTTGGAAGTTGTCAATCTGGTCGACAAGCAAGGATCTCCTCGTCTATTGGGCGTTGCGCAACTTCTGAGAACGTCCTTTAGCCCAACGCACTGCTCTAAGAACCTTGGAAACGTTTTTCACGCGTGACTTACCTGTCAAGCTCTCGCATATCGCTGCAACATAGATAACAACATCGATTGCGCAATCGGTCAATGTGTATACGGTGGCAAATCCTACAATGAGGTGAAGGCTTCCTAAGAGGGTGGTGTCGTGGCTTGCTGAGCTGACAATGGACGACCTGAAGTCCGCGTAAGGCGGTCCAGACGGGCTGCGAACATGCTCAGACGCCATATTCCCCAAAGAAGATTCTATATTGAGTGCTGATAAGCGAGATGGTCATGCCTTGTAAGCATGTGAAGAGGCCTCCATCTTTGCACTGAAATCCACACTCGATATGGGGTTGGCTGAATTCTCCAGTCGGAGCACACCGAAATGCAGGGGACGAAGGCCTGCAGGTGACACAATGATAGAGTTCTCACCGCAGGACCCTCGATTCTGGAAACCGGATCGCGCTTCCCACGACACGAATACACCGGAGATAGCCTCGCAATCAGGCGGTGACTCTCCTAAGCTGGCTGAAGAGGAATGGTGTGGGGTGGTAAGCGACACCGATCGTTGCCCTCTTACGCCTACAAGGCACCGAAATGGATCTAGCGGTGGTTATGGTGGTAAGAAGCTGTGAGGCAGTAGTCGCAAAAAGGCTATCGTAGGAGAAGACGAGGTGGCGGTTGGCTCGGACGCGCACTCCGCAAAAGCTAAATGGATACCTCGTGCTCTCTGATGACACAGCGGTCCAGGGTCGAGAGTAAAATCTCCTTACTGTAGTCGCAACCACATGGCTTTGGCGGTCTTCAGGTGATGCTTTGTTCTCAGCAGTGGCCCTAAAGCTCGGAATGGTGTATAGGATGATTGCGCGGTTTGAAACATATTGGCTGCGCCGCACAAGGCGCGCAAATGTGACTCGAAACATGGAGCAGTGCACGAATGGGGAGGAACACCTACCAAACTAGCGTTCACGCTGTGCGCAGCCGTCAAGCTCTATGGGGGAAGGTGGTCCACTGGTACTCAGCCGTGAGCAACTGAAGCGAACGAGGAGTATTGGGACGCATAGTGCGAACGAGCCAAGACTTGTTGAAGTGAGGCTGGGATGCAATCGAGGTGGTGAAGGCATCGTGGTTGCATGCCCCGCCTATGCCCCGCTAATTTCGCCGAGTTGAGTCTGCGATGCCATCACGCTCTGCGATGCTGCTCTTTCAATTACTAGACACCCGCGCCAGCCCCTGCTTCGGCGATCACCATGGCCTGCATTAAGGGCCGTCTGCGCTGCAGCGCCGCGGACATAGTGTGGCCAGTGTGCGGCGTGCGACTGGCGGGTGCGCAGGGATGACCGCGAAGGCTGCATATGACTACAGCCGACCCATCACCAGCCTCTCTCAGCACACCATCAGACCGACTCCTAGCCGTCATGTGTCGACCCAATCCCCACGCGGCTTGTCACCATCCCTCCTTACCTTGGAATTTTGCCCTCAACGCGTCCACGCTGAACTAAGCTTTCCGTCGACTTCCGCTAGTAGGGTGGCTGCATCGTGCAGGTCGCACGAATATGGGCTTGCATGAGCCGCTGATAATCCACTTCGGTGTCTATATAACCACTAGATGCATCCCCCCGTGGGTTCTCATTGCGCCGATGGTCTATATAGAACATCGGACAGGTAACCTCCATTTTGCTCAGTCAGTCTTGCCATTCCTCCCATTAGGCAACGGATAGGCACCACCTCTTGTCTCAGTTTATGATTCATCACCCTCCGCCTACTACGAGTCCACTGCGCCACGGTGATAACAACACGCGGCTCTTCAGAGGCCGTATGCAAGAGTCACGTATATAACCCCGCCGCGTGTACCTCTTTCCAGTCTTTCCCACCCTGCTGGCCTACTTAATCCTCCGTCGCTACAGCACCGTCGATCCTTCCAGGTTCCGACGCGTTACTGCCTCAGGTATCAACCGGCGCCGGGCCGGACAAGAGCAAAAGCTTTTAGAGTGTTCATACTGTCGTTCAGGTTGAGCAAGCGCCATCTCGTACATCAAGCCTACCTCAGATCAGTCAAATACATCCGGTCAGCCATGCCATCCTACCTCAGACACAGCCAGAGCTCGAGGTCTTACTCATTCCCTCCCTGTGTCGACAACCTCGACTATTCTCCACAGTCTGTGAATGATCTTCCCGACATCGATGAGGAACCCTTCGCGCACTTCTTGACACCACTCGCGGAAGAGGATGACCCCTACGACCCAATGTCGCTGAGCGCAGGCATCTTCGTTTCTGATGGACCTCGCGCTACCAAGGCCTCAAAGTTCAAGTCCAACGTGGCCGACAAGTGGGCTCGCTATGTCAAAGGCAACCACACCCAGCTGCACAGCCGTTACCATGTCCCGACGCTCTCAAGCTTGGACGAGGACGATGAGTCCTTCATGCAGCTGGAAGACGATCGCCTTAACGACACACCCCATGTGGTCACGCAAATCGCAACGCCCAGGATCACCATTACCGAACCCACTCGCGGTCGCGCACAAGAGCTCCTCATACGGCGCAACCGCCGGCGATACTCACGGACTCTATCAGGCCATCGTCACTCATGGAGGGAGCCGAGCCCAGACCTATTCACCGTAGACGAGTCGGAATCAGAGGAGGACGACATGCCGGTGCTCCGTCGCACCAAAGTAAAAAAGAGCAAAGACGGTGCCGAACGACGCAGGTCTTCGCGATCACGCGTTCGCTCCGAGGTTGTGGAAAAGTCAAGATTGTGATCATGGGACGCACACACAAGGAGGAAGAATGTTACACAAGAGGGAGTTTGGGGGTCACAAGATGGGACATCATTTGCATTGGGCGGCGTTTCGGCGCGTGAGTGAGATCTGATTTATTGTGGCATTTCATGGCGTTGGTTGCTTCGTCGCATCGCATATTGGGCATTTCTGCGGTGCTTTTGGCTCTTACTATCGAGAAAGTTGCATACGTGCATTGCATTGGGCGGTGTTGGGGTGTGAGCATTTACATTGCATTTACAGACGCATCGTGCGCAAATGGCATGCCTTTCGCTATCATTGAGTCCACCGATACCTATGTGCGTCTTTCGACTTTCGACTCCCGCACCTATGTGTCACCTCGAATGTGCGCAACCCACGCACTACTCGAGATAATCGCCGAACCGCTCTTCACTAACCATGCAAGGTGCCCTTCACCGTGATGGTCGTACGGGACCCCACAGTGAGTACTGTGTACTGCTAGCTGCGTACGCTAACGTAGCGCTGCAGGACATGGAGCCCTGCGTTGCTGCATCGTGACCTCATACTTGAGTACTCCGCCGAGGTAGCGCCTTGATGATAGAGTTGCAGCGCGCCTGCCGCGCGCACATCAACTTCTTCAATTGCGAGTTGTGAAACTGTCGCTTTACATGCATCTCCACAGTGGTCGGTGATCATGTCTGGAAAGTCGAAGGCAGATGTCGATTTTGGTAGGCGGGGTGTGGAGATCAGTGGAGCTTTCACTGCTGTCGTGCTACAGAGGGTACAACAGATAAGATCGGGTAAGTGGGTCGTCCCGAACAGTGAGGCCTATCCGTAGCGATCGCTTGCGTATATGCACCAGACTGCTTGACCGGAGCTCAGTTATCAGGAGCTCGGTTATCAGAACCTAAGTTTCCAGATCTTGTAAGCCTATGAGGCATCACGATAACGAAACTGAGTGGAGAGTACGGACACTATAGAAAGATTGACAAGAATACGTTCGGCCAAATGCATACATAGTATCTTGTCTCAAGCTCGTGGCCCCCCCAAAGTAGCTTTGATTTTCGAGATGGTCGCGAGTCTCTCCGCGGTACTGCCGTAGATGTGCAAAGCGGATACTCGGCAGACTATCTTCTCCTCCAACACCGTGCCAAGCATCACAGGAAGTAAGGATGTTCTCGCAGTTTCGGTTTCAAGAATAAGGAGTATCATTGTCCAGTCAGATAATGGACTTGGATATCAATCTGCAAGTCGACATCATTGAAGGATTAAACCCATGTCTTGACGTCTTCCCCTGCGTATGCACGGCGGCCTGGCGTTGGCAGAGATGGCCTCGTGCTCGAAACCCCGGATAGGCGTTGTATAGCCATATCACATATGGTCGCATGTGGTAATCCGCAGGCTGCTGGCGTGCTAGGCATTCGTGGGGGAGATGCATTATGATGTACTTACTGCAGCAAGGCGGCACAGGGCTGGGGAGTACCGCGGCTGAAAGGGCAAGATGCATGAGGAACATGCTGCAAAATTACGTTGATAGGTTGTCTTGATGAGTCGAGCAAACCCAGAAGATTAGACGTTCATGCAATGTTTTTTCTTCTGTCACAATCTTTCACTGTCGCTGCTTGTACTGCTCGACACTGGTCTCAACTGAGCGAATCGACCTCTTCTGAATATTGCGCGATCAGTCTCCAGTAATTTCCAGCTTCTCCAAACCTTCTCCTACATTCTCCGTGATCGCATGTTCTGTACTTCCCTCAGCATCAGCGCCGAACCCGAGTCCCTTACAACCACCACTGTCGTCGAAGTGGACATTGATGACTTCTTTCGCGACCCAATGAGCAGTCTTCGCGTGCAAGCTGGGCTCGACAAGCACTTCTTTCCTCTTTCCACCGTACACATTGCTCTTCCCTACAGCCAGCGCTTGGAACACCACAAGCTGATCCCGCATATGCTCGTCCACGCACCCAGCGTGTTCAATCTCCTCGATAAGATCGTCAGTTACTTTTTTGACTATGCTTGAGATCACTGTATCAGTTTTGACACCCCTCATACTACGGTCATATAACCAGTCGCGGCCGAGTCTGATTCCAGTAGTAGTAGTAGCTACCAACAGAAGGTAATATCTCTTCTCATGCTTCGAGTCCTCGAAAGTGATGTCCACATTGGGCTCCCTGCTCCCAAAGATTTTCGCCTCCAGTCGCTCGAACATGACGTCCAGCTCGTCACGGAACTGCTGCTCTGTATCTATCGGCGCTAATATCGTTGCTCGAACGCTCTGCACATCTCCTCGATCTAAAAGCTGGAAGGCTGGGAGCGGTTTTCTTAGTGGCGTGAGGATATAGGTGACGCTTCCTAGTGTCGCGCCGCCCTGCGACCAGCCTCTTGAATGAATGTGCGTTTCGATGGGTGGGATGCCAATGAGTGACAGCATAGGAACCAGGACTTGCTCGATGTAATCACAACTCGGTGAGTTCGAAACATTCGTGCCTCCTGTTATCTTCACCCTGACCTTTTCATCCACTTCTGCGTCCTCGCTGCCGAGATTGGCAAACAACATGCATGGCAGCACCGCCTGTAACACCAAGTTGACGCTACCAGGCGTATTCTGCTTAATGTGCACGTCGCCTCCATTTCGCCACTTTAGTCCACTCGTGCTTCGACTTCCGGGCGTGAACGTGATCTCCTTGCTCTTTAATTCGGCGCCAGATATGCGGGCGTTGGAGGCAGTGCCCAGCCACTGCACGGATGTGAGATGTTGCGCTTTGAGGCCGCCGCCACCAGAACGCTTGCCCCGGATATTGGTGATGCTGATGGGTGTGGAGGTCAGTGTTGAGAGGCAGGTTGCTAGGCGAAGGAGTTGGCCGCCTCCTTCGAGGGTGGTGCCTTCGAGGTGTATTGTTCTAGCCATTGTCTGTTGAATGACGATGTTGACGTGAGTGAGAGGCTTTCTATCAGGAATATATCATTCAAAAAAACAGCGCGAGGGATACTAAATATGGGACAGGAAGTTTGACGAAAGATGAGTCGAGATGGAATGGAAGAGTGTGAACAGTCATAGCTGTGGCTGTGCCTAATTATCAAAGCGCTCGCGCGACCTCATGCTAGAAGTTTTGGTACCTTTTGCATGTGTTTGTCGAGGAAGAGTCCCAAGGTCATTGTACGTAGGAGTTTCCCTCTGCAACTACACGCGCATGTTTGTGGGAGGAGTGGTAGTCGTACCTTCCACAAGGTAGCAGAAAAAGCAGGTTGGCATGCCGAGCTCGCCAATCACAGCGTCCTCTCCAAAGCCTACTTCAATTGAAGTAGATTGCAGAAGCTTTCTCTCATGAATTCGACGATATATTTACGATCTCTACAACGCGTCAATAAGAGATAGCGCGTCAAGCATCGGCGCTTTGACGTGTCTGAATCCGACGCCGGTTGGTCCCGCGGCTCAATCAGCTCGTCATCATCCCGTATTTTCACCGAGAATCTGCTCGGAGCTCTCCTACGACCGACCCCTCGTCGTAACTTTCGCGTCTTTCAACAAACAAATATGTCGCATGTTTCTGCGCGTTCTCTCATCCAATTCTGCAGCAGGTAGAGCCCTTTCTACCGCCATTTGAGCGGCATGCGCAGCTCAATGACTTTCACCGCGAGGGCCTGGCACGGTGCCGGCAACGGAGCTCTCTTCGCCCAGATACAACCCCGGATACCCACCGCGTCGCCCGCGATATCGCGTTCTTTTACATCGTCATCCAAATCTCCCATCCTCTCGCGCACACGAAGCCTCATCCCGGCGCCAACGCCTTCACGGCCTGCTCTGACAGGTCTGACGACGGGTACTACGCGGAACAATGGCCTCGACCAACCGATCCGCTCTTTCTGCGCGTCAAGAGCTCTGCTCGAGGCCAAACAAGATGCGAAACCACCAGCAAGGCCACGAAAATCATATAAGCAGGAGATGGCGGAGAAAGGCGTAATGAACGTAGAAGAGACCGAAGGCGAAACAGAGGACACGGGTTTTGCAAAGTCAGAGAAGGCGACCGCGGCAGCGCAGGTCAACCTGAGCGCAAAGCTCTCGAAGGAGGGTGCGACTGCAGGCAACGCTGGAGGAATGAAGGAGATGTGGCGCCTGATCAAGATTGCGAGTCCCGAAGCAAAGACGTTGGGGTGGGCGTTTGTTTTCCTGCTCATGTCGTCGGCTGTAAGCATGTCGGTACCTTTCTCTATTGGCAAGATTTTGGATATTGCAACGCAGCCCGAAGGCTCTAAGGAGCTGCTCTTCGGATTGGACATCAACACTTTCTACGCTGCCTTGGCGGGTGTGCTTGCAACGGGCGCTGCCTGCAACTTTGGTCGCATCATTATTCTCCGAGTCGTAGGAGAGCGCATTGTTGCCCGGCTACGATCTCAACTCTATCGCAAGACCTTTGTCCAGAACGCCGAGTTCTTCGATGCGAACAGGGTCGGCGATCTCATCTCTCGTCTCGGATCGGATACTATCATCGTTGGAAAGGCCATCACGCAGAATCTGTCAGACGGTCTCCGCTCTATTGTGGCTGGTGCCGCTGGTTTCGCCATGATGGGCTGGGTGAGCTTGAAGCTCACAGGCATTCTCGCAACTATTGGTCCACTGGTAGCAATCTCCGCGTTCGTTGCTGGACGGCAATTGCGTAATCTCAGCCGAAAGATCCAGAAGAACCTTGGTACCTTGACTAAAGTTGCTGAAGAGCGCTTGGGCAATGTCCGCACGGCACAAGCATTCGCTGGTGAAGTTCAGGAAGCTGGACGCTACAACCGCCAAATCAAGAGGATCTTTGCGCTCGGAAAGAGGGAAGCCTATGTTGCTGCCACCTTCTTTGGTGTCACTGGTCTCATGGGCAATCTCACTGTCATCGCTGTACTTTACGTCGGAGGCGGTATGGTCAAGTCTGGGGCTATCACCATTGGTGAATTGTCATCGTTCCTAATGTATACCGCCTACGCAGGGTCTAGCATGGTCGGCCTTTCTGGCTTCTGGGGTGAGATGATGAAGGGCGTTGGAGCTGCCAGCCGACTTTTCGAACTGCAGGATCGCAACCCCACAATTTCGCCCACAAAAGGACTGCCCGTCAAGTCTGCCAGAGGCCCGATTGTTTTCACGAATGTTAGCTTTAGCTATCCTACGAGGCCTGCCGTTCCCATCTTCAAGGATCTCAATTTCCGCATTGAACAGGGTACCAACGTTGCCATTGTCGCACCCAGTGGAGCTGGCAAGTCTACAGTAGCTAGCTTACTGCTCCGTTTTTACGTACCAACCGAGGGCACTATCACGATTGACGGACGAGACATTACGACACTGAATGCGAAGCAGCTGAGGAGAAAGATCGGCTTCGTAGGACAGGAGCCCGTCTTGTTTTCTGGAACGGTTGCCGAGAATATTGCATACGGTGTTCCTAACGCTACTCGCGCTGAAATTGTCGCAGCCGCTCGCAAGGCTAATTGCCAATTCATCAGCGATTTCGTGAGTGTAATTCCATCAATAGCGAGATGACTCTGCTGACCAGTGATAGCCTGATGGTCTCGAAACTCACGTTGGTGCACGTGGTACTCAACTCTCAGGTGGTCAAAAGCAGCGCATAGCCATTGCGCGCGCCCTCATCAAGCAGCCTGATATTCTCATCCTCGACGAAGCTACGAGTGCTCTGGACGCTGAATCCGAAACTTTGGTCAATCAAGCATTGGGCAAGCTTCTTCAGGAGAAAAATACTACGATTAGTATTGCGCATCGTCTCTCGACTATTAAGCGATCCGACCGCATCATTTGCATTAATGCCGACGGGCAGGTTGCCGAGGAAGGAACATATCAGGAGCTCTCCAATAACCCCGACGGCGCTTTCAGCAAGCTCATGGAGTGGCAATTGAGCGGCGGAGAAACAAAACCTCACATCAATAGCCCAAAACCCACCGAGGTAGAAGAGATCGAGCAGGAGTTGGAGGATGCCGCAGAGGAAGAGGAAGCTGAACGAGTGAAGAGAAACACGTAGTGTGGACGACGAGCCATTTTCGAGTCGTCACGGAGCATTGGACGGTGGGGCATTGCTCAGTGGTCAGTCGTTGTGGTGGACTGATGCTCAAATCCGCTTTTCATAATGTATGGGTGGAAGGGTTGCATGCACAGAGGTATCACGAGCCACCTCCTTTGCGATATCAGTCAGGAGATCGCTCGGCTCCTCCCGGGTTCCTGCAGCGCAGAACGGTTTTCTTGTGCACAGCGGGAGTCAGCAGACTGCTGCTGCTGGGGGTTGACATTGTGGTGGCGCCACTTTTCGCTTGGCTGGTCACCCCACCGTCTGTGTACAGCACTGATGCGCGCAACACCATCAGACCAGGATGCCGACATCTCCCCACGGCGTTTGTGGTCACGAGAATCATATAGAGGAGGTGGAGATGTTTGCATTGTATATTAGTTTCCTCCTCCCCTTCGATACCTAGCATCAGCATTTCAGCAATCAGTAAATATTACACAATCCTCTACTACTATCGCTCCATCTATATCCAGCGAAAACGACATGTCTAGCTTCGGTTACTACGCTGTCAGTACTGCCTATGGCTCCAACTCGCAGATGCTAGACTGCACACGCACTCCGCACATGCACTACTACTCTGATGAGTTGTTCCACTTCAAGGAGTGGCTGCATATGCCGTCTTCGTTGAGGGCAAGCAAGACCACAACGAGGAATAGGCGATCGAGCAGTATCGACAATTGCAAGGCGTCAGGTCAGCAGGTAACACTTATCATGCCCATGCCACTTAATAAACCGTTAACAATTGTGTAGACGTCTAATTAGTCCAGTCTGAGGTCGCGCAAGGCTGGTAGGTCTCGCGCGCGGTGGTGTGTAAGCGGATGTGGTGTGTGGTGATGTCATCGAACGCGGAGTCGAGCTCTGGACGCGTTCCATGTGCGTAATAGAGACGTGACGGCATTGCGAGATGCGCGCATCTCGAAGCGTAAGACAGCGTACAAATACGCACGTCGCATCATCTCCGCAGAGGCTATCATGTTCAAAAGCTTCCCCCAAGTCATACAACGAAGCTTGAAGCCACGCGCAATCCCTCTTGCAAACCAAACCGCATTCTTCCACACCACGAGAAAGATGTCCGAGTCAAGCAAGGTCCAGGAGTATAAGCAGGCGGGAAACAGGGAGAACAAGCCGCCCAAGCACGAGGCAGTGTACTTTAAGGGGTTGATGAGCGAGAAGAGGGCGTTTGGCGATTTCAGGACGGTGCTGCACACGGGGTTGTATTCGCAGATTGTGGCCATGGAGGTCCCCGTCAACGGAGAGATTGGTGACGAAGTGAGCTATCCCTGTACCTACCTTCCACCTACAATTCCATTTTGGTGTCACAATAGCGCTACTTGTTAGTGATAGAAAGCGTGTGCTAACAGGGCGTGTTTGCAGGTCCACCTCGTCGACCAGATCCTCCTCTTCACCTCCGGAAAAGGCCTCGCGACCGTGGCAGGCAAAGACCAGGAAGTCAGCGCAGGCGACGTGGTCGTTGTACCAGCTGGAACCCAACACCAGTTTGTAACGAAAGGCGACCAGCCGCTGGAGCTTATTACCGTATATGCGCCTGCAGAGCACGATCCGAAGACGATACACAAGACGAAGGAGGAGGGTGACGAGGAGGAAGATGCAGGCCAGGATGAGGCGCCGGAGTGGAGTCATAAGAGCAAGGACGAGAATGAGAAGAAGGGTCTAGTGAAGGAGAGTGGGAAGTACTGAACCAGCGCTCCGCGGGATTGAAGTGGGGGTAGGACATCGCATGTTATGGGATGCATCGCATCTTTCCTACGAGTCCATCATACCGGTTACCATGAATGTAATCTAGGGATAATGTCTAACGCTAGTGAGATTGACAATGCGTGTTGGTGACCACCGGGTAGCACTGCTTGATTCAGATACCAGATGGTCTGGATCTGATTGCGTGAAATCTGATAAACCCCACATTTGCCGGGATTGTACACCGTCGGGTAGCACTGCGTGTCCGAGATCCAGCTACCGATATCGCACCGCAACAGCTGGTGGGTCAAGCAAGGGCCGAGGGGCCGTATGCATGAACACAGCGCAAGCAAACGTTGGTGGGATTTATGTTGGAGCAGTGGACCGAAGACCTCACTTGTCTTCGGCTTGTTCAACCGCGGAGTACGAATCTGGGGGTAATTCATCTGATAATGCGCACCGGCGGTACCTGTGTACGCAATCAGATCGAGGCTCACTTGATGTACCAGCGACGTGGTAAGGCTCGGATCTGATAGTTCTGTGCCGGTAAGAAGATTCATTCTAGAGCTCACGGAATCAGATAAGGGTGGGGACCAAAGGGTTTCGCTAGAAGGTAGCTCTGGCTCGAAGAAGAAAGTCGGTACGCCAGAAGAAACTTGCGGCGGCTTGCTGGTGTCTAGAGCGTACAGTAGCCGCGGCGACCTCCACTGCAGCCAGCACCGAAGCAACCATGTAAAACAGACTGTTGTATCTGGGGGCTTGAATGTGTGAGCAATGGAATTGCCGAGCGAACGGTCACGGTGGCTTCAACGTTGAGGTTGTGGGGCCGCTACTGTACCCCAGTGCTTGGAGAGTACCCAAGTGACCAGCATCGCGTAGAGTACGGATACGTGGACTCGATCGCTCGGAATAGATGGCTGTTTCGCGGCACGTCGTGGCATGATGCTCTGATGTTTCGAAACGGGTGCGCTCGGACCGACGAGAGGCAGTGGTCCGATTCGACGCGCTACCGTCTTGCGTCGTCCTGCGTCCGCTGCGAAGGTGCTTTGCGATGGGATGCAGGGAATGGCGAGAATTGCCATGCCGGGATAGTGTACCCGGCAAGCGAGGGCGGTGGGAGGAGCAGACCTGGAGGAGCATGCGATGGGGACTGCGATTGCTAATCCATCACTAAAGTTCCATAGAGAGGTGCGGAAAGGCAGCAATACTGGACGGTTCACTGCCGCGACCAGCACCCAGCATGCACTCGTTGGGCGCACGGCAGGCTGCGCGGCACAGGGCTGGAAAAGCCCATGTCCAAGCGGGAAACCGACATGTTCCGCGGCTCGGCGGTATGCGCCTCTGATGAGCCTCTGCTTTTCGCTCTGCCCATCAATGCCGGGTGCAAAGAAGCGAGGACCCGCCTCGTCATCACCAGTCACCCACCCCATTTCTCCCTCAGCTACTCCTCCTTTAATACAATCAGCGCCCGCCTACGCCCAGCGAGCGCCCTACCACCGTGTCGCCTATTCATTACACCCACGCCCTGTTGCGGCGGCTGTCACTCCTTCAATCCCGTTCGCCACTGCGAGGTGAGCCAATCCCAGCGCATCCCACGATCTGATAACAAAATTATCTGATTCACATCCCTCTCTGCACGGTCCGAGGGCTTACCCAAGCACACCGACCCGATGCACAATCAATTCACCACCGCCGAAGACACGCCTGCTTCCCTGCTGTCTCCTTACTGAGTCAGGCTTGCTAACATGGTCCGTCGCAGCCGGCGTCTTGGTCGCGCCTTCAAGAGCGCCCTTCCGCCCGCCTTCCCGCTTCCTCACCCACACACCGCCCACAATGGACAACGAACATAGCATACCCACGACCGCAACCTCACATCCTCACGACCCAATTCCTTCCGAACCGCGACACGTTCCTGAGCTCACGCTGAAGCCGTCGAGCCCGCACCAACACGCCGAGCACACGTCGCCACAATCGCTCGGCGAGTCGATGATATGGAGCAACACCAGCAGCGACGACTCCGAGGCGCCATTGACGCCCAACACTGAGCCGGAGCGCCAGATGGACGAGATCGTCGACAAGTTGCAGGAGCTGCCGACTTCGACCGTCAATTTCAACGAGCAACAGCGTCCTCGACGCGCCTCTACCACCCTCATCTCTGAGAACCCCTCCGACATTCGAAGAATACTAGGCGATGGCGAGACGGCCACCCAGCTCATCAGCCAATGCTGCGGAGGCGGCTGCTGTTTGCTCAAGACATTGGCCCCTGACACCGCGTCACCCAACTTCCTGCCCGTTGTCATACCGGATAACAAGGCCTTCAGAAGCTTGAACCTGCGATTGGGACCCCTCGCTCTTGATAGCGAGCTCACAGATACGACGCCGCTGCCTCCGGTCAACATGTCCTTCGAAAAATTACCCTCGACCGAGGCACACCATGTCACCAAGGTTCATAAGGAACCTCCCAAATACATGAAGCCGCACCCGCCCTACGATGTATACTCCGCGCCTTTGTACCACGCCCGCGAATTGACGAAGCCTGGTGCTGAGAAGAGAACCTTCCACTTCGACATCGACGTAACCGACTATCCGGACGAGGGTGGTGTCGAGTTCAAGGTCGGAGGAGCGATTGGCGTCTGTCCGCCGAACTCGCAGGAGATAGTGGACGAATTATTCGACGTGCTCTGCATTCCAAAGTTTGTCCGCGATAAGCCGGCCATCCTCAAGACATTCACCGGTCGTTGGCCTACCATTTGGGGAGATGACCAGGCTCGCGAGCTGGTCACCACGCGTCGAGAGCTACTTACCTGGTGCACAGACTTGCAGTCATTCCCACCTACCAAGAACTTGCTCCGCCTTATGGCCGAATACTCTGATGCGCCAAATGAGAAGAAGATTCTCATGTATCTGACCTCGGCCCAAGGGCAGGCTGCCTTCTGTGATCTCCGCACGACATCTCATATCACCGTACCTCAGCTTCTAAGCGCCTTTCCGTCTGCGAAACCACCCCTCCCCGCTCTGCTCTCAAACCTGAATCAACTCATGCCGCGTTTCTACTCGCTCTCGAACGACCCCCACATCTCAGCCGCTCGTCCTGGCCTACCGGGAAACCGCCGCCTCATCGAAATCGCTGTCACTGTTCATGAATCTCCCGACTGGCATACTGAGAATGGTACCCGTACGGGTGTAGGCAGTGGCTTCATGGAACGCCTAGCCCTTCAGTTCATCAAGGCGGAGAACGAGGGAATCGATCCGAGCATCCTTGATCTCCGCGTACCCATGTTCCGTGGACTCATGTCCAACCCGCTCTCGCGTCAGTTCGGTGGAGATGGTCCAATGGTGCTCATTGGTGCTGGTGTGGGCATGGCACCTTTCCGAGGCTTCATCCTTAACAGGTTAAAGAACGCCAACTGCGCAAACAAGATCTGGTTGATCCAGGGTGTTCGCGACTCTATGGTGGACGAGCTCTACTCTGGTGAACTGGGAGATCATGAGCGCGAGATTAAGAAGGTCGTCCAAAGTCGTAAGGTCAAGGTCGGCGCAAGCGACGCCAAGTACGTTCAGGACGAGGTGCGCACGCAGGCCGACATTGTCTGGTTTGTGATTAACGCCCTTGACGGTCGTATCTTCGTCTGCGGAAGCAGCAAGGGTATGGGCGAGGGTGTCGAGAAGGCACTCATGGATGTGGCCATGCAGAAGGGTGGTATTAGCGAAGCCGAAGCTCATGAGTTTTGGACCAAGAAGAAGGAAGACGGTCAATATATCGCTGTAAGTCTTCCTGATGTCTGGCTCGTGGACCCATACTGACAAACGTTAGGAAACCTGGTAAACCGACTCACAACAATGACGCGCCGCGTTTGTTAAAACTGTACATATTGCATTCCGATGCACCGTTGCGCCTCGTCGACCGCATTGATACCTCACCTTCGTCGCAAATCTTACGCATTATCGGAGTTTTGGAGAATCTAAAGTAGACTAGAAAGCTCCCGCTACCTGCTATTCTTCTTTATACATACATATTTATACGTTCGTTAGGTTGGGTGGAATCTGCTTTTACTGGGCTATGGATTTAAAAGTATCATAGCATGGCGTTTGGATGGCATGGCGGGGTGTTTTGTGTTTGAGCCTGGGCGGAACTTTCGCGTAGTGTCTTGATCTGTACAACAGCTACCAAGCGAATAATATCATGTTGTTGGGAAGTTGTGACTGTTGATCAAGTTTGTTACCTTCCACTCTTCTGAATGGAGCAATGTATGGAAAAAGCGACACTGCTGCAGTCCTCACAGCAACCTCTTTGTCGGCTGCATTGTCCATCACTTCCGCACCTACACGCAGACCACAGTCAGTCTTCGCCAATAGCGACGCATGTCGCAGCATTCTCATCACTGGCAGAAACGATCAACACAGCACCAACAACCCGTCGATCTGACCAAGGTGTCTCTGGCCGAAGTACAGGACTGGCTATCGTTAGATAATTCGTGTACATTCAGGGTATTCATTGCAGCCATATCATGAACGGATTCTCGTCTGAAGTCGCCTTCTAAGCACAATTAATGGAAGTGACGTTGTTAGGAGAGTGTAGACTACTCGTACAGACACCTAGTCCTTCTAACCTGTTCAGGCAAACCACACGCGTGAACGGGATTAACATGCTCGCTTACAGATCATCAATGGTAAATGGTACGTACCCTTACTCGAACTTCAATACATAAAGATATGACTTGGAAAGACATTTCGGTGACCTTCTCTTCCAGACACTATGCAACCCATCAAAACCAAACTCCTAGAAGTCCACTACCTCGACCTGGGCCCACGCGATGGCTGGCCGGTCATCCTCTCCCATGGCTTCCCCTACTCTCCCGATGCCTACACCTCCGTCGCCCCCATCCTCCAAAAAGCTGGCGCGCGCGTCATCGTACCTTACACACGTGGTTATGGCCCAACACGCTTCCTCTCCCCATCAACCATGCGGAGCGGCCAACAAGCCGCCCTAGCAACTGACATCATCGCCCTCATGGACGCCCTCGGTATTCGCAAAGCGCTTCTTGCAGGCTTCGACTGGGGCGGTCTGGCCTCGTGCGCAGCGGCAGCTTTATTCCCTGAGCGCGTGGCGGGGCTGGTGTCGTACGCGGGGTACGACGTCGCGGATGTACAGGGCCAAAAGCATGCTGTTGAACCGGCGCTGGAGCGGGTCATGTGGTATCAGCATCTGTTCCAGAGCGAGCGAGGACGAGAGTGTCTTGTGAATGACAGACGCGCTTTGTGCAAACTTTTGTGGGAGGAGTGGTCGCCTGGTTGGGACAGTGCTTCACGTGATGCGGAGTTTGAGAAGAGTGCGAAAGCGTGGGATAATGAGGATTGGGTTGATGTGGTGATGCATTGTTATCGGTTTCATCTTGGGAATGAGAAGGGCGATCCGGGGTTGGAGGAGCTGGAGGGCAGGTTGGCGACGAAGCCTGTGATAGATGTGCCGACTATTACTTTGGATGGGTTGGAGGATCCTTTGAAGCCTGGGGGTTCGGTGGGGCATGCGAAGTACTTCACTGGGAGACATGAACGGAGGGAAGTGCGTTGTGGTCACGCCTTTCCTCTTGAGGCTCCGGAAGAGTTTGCGGCTGCTGTTATTAAGGTGCAGGAGTGGTCTCAGAGCCTTGAGTGACAGGTATGACGATCTGAGCAACAACATGAGGACTGACCTCTGTTTTTGTAGAAGGAAACTTTAGGACTTGGCCGTCTATATAGCATTCCCTTCGAAATGTGGCTTACACGTACGAACCTCAAAAAATTGAAAAATGGACTTCCCGTTGGCTCAGCGCAGCACAGAAGATTTCCCTTCAAATTCAGGTGATAATCCGAACGCCAGTCGACTCAAGAGGTATTCCAGCAAGGAAGCTGCACAGTCTGTAGGGCCTTGACCACAAATCTTTGAAAATCTAGTACTGTTGCGGGAGCGCCTTCACTGCTATCCGCCGCGAAAGTCCCCAGTAAACATGCCTCTACTGCATCGTGATAGGCTGATCCCATAGTGTGCGTAAGTATCGGTAGTCTTGACTCCAATACTTTCTTCTGTAAATCACGTTGCGACTTTGTATTGAAATTGGCAACAACGTCCCAGAGGCCAATTTCGATCAACACGAGGCCTAAGCTATAATAGTCAAATGTAATCCGAAAGGATTGCCCGCTTCTTGCATTCTGTGAGTCGTAATCCGGATGGTAGTAATGCTGCGCATTCCGGTTGGGAGGAGGACCGGTCGTGAAAGCTTTGGGCTGGTTAGGACGCGCGTAGTTGAAACCGACAAGATACGGGTTGCGCAATGAGAATTCGGTTGATTTGAGGAAGACGATGTTGTTAGAGGAAATGCTCTTGTGAACTAAGGTGGCCTTGTGAAATGCTAGGACTGTAGAAGCGAGTGAGTAGGCGAGTGCGAGCCGGTCCTCAAGGGAGATTCGTTGGTAGCACTTTCGGGTGCTTTTGATGAGTGAATGCAGCGATGTAATAGATACATCTTCAATAATGGGAAGGTCAAACACGAGGCCGAATGCATGTTCATCAGTAGAATGGAAGTAGTGGGAACAATTGAGTGTTCGGAAGCTCCCGGTATGCTTGCTCATTTGGTGCAAACTGTTCGCAATCTTTGCCACGCGCCGGATCATCTCTGTGCGAACATCTCCCTCCCATTCTAGATCATAGCGAATCCATTCGATGAGGACATTGCGAGTGTCTTCACCTCCGCCATGGGATAGAAGTCCTAAGGTATGTTCTCCTGTACCTTTTTCGATCTTGACATCCTGAGGGTCCAATTTGAGTCCCTCAAGGCTGTCGTCTTGCTCAAGCGTCAAGGTTTCGTATTCCATGTTGATCTCTTTCGAAAACTTTATTGCATATGCCAAGGTACCTAGTTGGCTCATAGGGCTCAACTCGTTCGAAAGGTTTCCCGTCATCGCTGAAGATACCAATGCTTCGTTCTGGAGGGTCCTCAAATCCAGATGGGTGATTGCCTCGTCTCTATTACTTCCCGGCAACAGTTCGAATAAAGCGTCACTAAGCTTGCGAAGCTGCATGAAGGTTGTTCGTCCGCAAACTTGATATAGTTCCAACATGCGCTGACCTTCACTGCGATACTGTTGAAGTAATTCAATCGTCCGAGAGTAGTCCAGATGAAATTCTTGACATGTTGTAGCTGGCTGTTGTGCTGAGTCCACGAAACCCAGGGTGTGTTTCCAGCTTCCCAGCTTCTCTAATTCGAGTGCAGCCTGAACTGGCGATATACGAAGAGGGTCCGGAAATGCGAGGTCGACAGATATTAGGAACTCCTGGATAGCTATGAACCGCATCTTTCTCGTCAATGCTTTGGCATTTAGACGCACTGATGGTGTAATGCGAAGCATGTCCCGTATGACATGGAGTAGATGACGTATGGACAGCGTACAACTCTCTTCAATATTGGCCATCAAGGCTAGAACATTGGGGTTAACTTCTTTCCCAGGGCCATGGAATGTTCTTGTCATGAAGGTCGCCTGCACAACGCGTTCTTGACGAAACCTTTGAACACCGGAAGGGCCATCACGCATGTACACAAGGAGCTCCAGGATGACACAACCCAGGGACCAGATATCACCTGACCGTCCCACTAATCCCTTCTGAAAGGTTTGAAGGTCTTCGCACTCCGGGGGAAGGAAGTCTCCTCCGCCTACGCGGAAGGGAGTCTTCGATGTATCGGTCACGGACTTGAATGTCGAAAGTCCAAAATCTGTAAGAAGAAAATCCCCGGCATTGACGAGGATGTTGCTGGGTTTTACATCCCGATGGAGGCCCATGATATTGATATCGAGTTTCTCCGATGCTGAGAAATCATGCAATGCTTCAAGCCCCGAGCAAAGGTTTGCAAGGGCCATATAGATGGCAAGATCGCTCTGTAACTCTGCAGGTCGTATTTCTTTCAAGAAGAGGGCTTCCATGTCCCCAGTTGAAGCCAGAGGAAAGATGAAGTTGTGCTCTTTTTGATGTGTAAAAGATGCCAGGAGCTGTTGTATATGTGGATGCTTCAGGTGGCTGAGTAAGGTAAAGTTCCGTAGCTCCTGCTCATGGCTCTGATCTGAGCCTACTTTCTCGGGAAATCGCTTACGCACACATACCAAGCTCTGTCGGTTGCCTATTAAACCTGGATGCCAGCTCTAGCAGAAGACTCACCGATTCGAAGCCCATCCAAGCAGCGTCCTGATGGGATGGATGTAGTTGGAGACGATAGACAATTCCGAAACCTCCAGATGCAATGAACTCCTGCTTAACGAAAGGAAGCACAGTGAACATATCAAGGATGCGATGTTCTGTCTCTTTGATGAAGATAGGTGCACAAAACTCCCATTGCTTCTCGTAAAATTCGCCGGAAATCTTTGGAACAAGGGTCTCGAGATCTTCTCTTGATATGGGAAGACGATGGTCGATTGGAGAGTTTTGTAGGTTATCATTCTCTATGAACCGAATAATTTCTTGCTCGTTCCCTCCCAGGACAAGGATCGCATAGACTCTCCTTGCGCTAACAAAAATCTTCTGAGAAAGACCCTGTAGGCGCTCTGGTGAAATCGATTTCGCCACGCTGAGCGAAGAACGTATTGCGTCCAGAGTGAGTAGTTGGAATAGATCTTGATGTGGGACAAAGTATTTGGAATCACCATCGACTTGGCACCGCAGGGCTTTGATGTCGGCTCGTAGTGACGGCATGATTGTTCGAGCTTGACAGCTCTACTTCTGGTTTGATTTCTGGTTTGATTGGGAACTGTTAGTAGCCGCCACAGTGGTGGACGTTATGCGGTGGATGTTATGCGAAGGCAGACTACCAATTCGCTGAAGGAATAGATTCCTTTTCGGTCTAGGATCGGCTTAGCCAGGCAGACTACAAGTTCCCGATACCGTAAACCTTACTTACCTCGGTCAAAGCTCTAGGCGATGTAATCTTTACGTGGTCCTCGTCGAGGAACTATGCGCATGATATGTTGGCACGATGCACTCATGCAGCCGATCTAGATTTCGACTAACCTCCACCATGAAGTTCCCAGCACCAAAAAGTCGCACCAGTAGTGCATTCGTGCCTGCTTTGTCTATGTACCTACGCTCAATGACTTCGACCACGACCATAATAGCAGGATCTTCAGCGGCGTCTTAAGGACCTAGAGGAAATGTGAAAGGAACTATAGCAATATCCAATGTACGAGATCTTCATCCTTATCTATATATGTGCTTCTACGCGGTTTACCTGCGGCAATTTGTTTTGCCACGTCGTGCACACCGGAAGCGGGGTACGCCGGTGAAGAAGCAGTGAGATATGCAGCATATGTATCATATACGAGGCAACCATGGTAACACAGCAGCGCGCGTATAACCAGAGTATGATTGGTGCATTCTAAAGCCTGACTTGGGTGCCTCGCATGCATAGTATTGATAACGCAAAGCTGAGGTGAGCTGGCAACCATGCACAGCCTTGAACAATGTATCCAATCAAGACGGAATCTCTTGGCCTAGGATCGAGTTTCGATTGAAGATTTCCTTGTGATCAGGAACTTCAAGCCTTGAACTATATGTTGCACGTCAACGCTTAGGTAAGGAGATTGCTTTGTTGTACGGTCGGAAAACCTCGTCGCACATTCGAGATGGGCAGTAATAGTATCTTGTCTCCACACTACACAGGGTTCTCCTGGAAGCGTTTTCTGGACAGTTCTTCGCGGTTGTTCATATCTCACGACGGTGACCTGGGAGTATGGCTTGTCTCTAAGGTCCACGCGCCCAAACGCGCAGATACATCTACCCAGGCTTATCAGCGTACGTACATCCCACGTGATTGCGCTGCGGCAGACAATTCATCCAAGCTAGGTTTGGAGAAGCTTGACATTCATGACACAGTCGGCCTGGATTCATTTCTTGATGTATGTCTCCTGTTGAACGACTCGAGTTACGGTTGGACACTGATTTTCCAAGAGTGTGGCACTGAGGGAGAGGTCACCCAGTACGATATTTTAGTCAGTAACCCGATACAAGCTGCAAGATGCGGCAGTGATAAGCTAACCTTCGATCTGCAGCATCTTCCGACAACAACATTCATGGGCCCGCTTCAGCTTCAGCAGAGAGATCTGTCAACGGATTCTCGAACGAAACGACGTTTTTGTACCATTCCTTGATTGTCTGAACTCTTTTGGATACAGATCTCGAGAAGATCTTCGGAACTGGGACGGGCTTTACTTTAAGACCCTACCTAACCCAGGTGCAACCCGTACACCCTATGACGACTCGGGTAAGCTAATTCGATGCAAGAATTGTGTTACTCGTTTAGATATTACGAGAGGAACGGTCGGACATCTGGAAATCCCTGGTCATTACGCAGGACCGCGATATATCAAAAGTATAACGAGAAAAAGGATTTGTGGACGTGCATCTTGATTCAGCCGTCGGCGTCAATTCTCTCTCATCTTGAGACAGACTTTCTTCAGAAAGTAAAGTGCAGTACCCGCTGCACTCAACAACTACTTGTTTTCCACGGGATGTATCTCACCCTGGGATTGAGCTTCTTTGGCGAGTACCAAGATGCTGTGCATTCAGAAGTCGTACAGTTGGTAAGCGACATGAGCTGTGAATGTGGTTTATGTCCATTGCTAATGGTCACTAGAGCCATAAGGCTTCCTTCTCGGCCGTCGGACGACAAGCCAAGAGCGATTTCGTTGTTAGCTTCCAAGATCTTCAAAAATTGCAGCTTCTCAAGCAGAAGCTCTTAAGAGCTTCTAATGTCCTACAGGCGACACTGAGCGTAGTTACTAAGCTCCAACGCTATTACTTGACTGAGGCAGCGGCTTTCAACGTAAATGTAGAGCAAGGAGGCTTAGACGAACTGCATAACTGCAGAAGCCTTATTGATATCTACAACCGGAATACCGCGCTATCTTTGAGATTCGCTGAAGACGCTCAGATTCTGGTGAGTTCGAGCATCCATCCTAAAGATCGTACTAAGGGTCATGCAAGCTTTCGAGAGTGCTTGACACCCGCCGCGAGGAAGTTTTACTGCAGACCAGTGCTGCAATGCAGGCCAATCTTGATGTCATGAAGCGCATCGCTTTTCTCAATGGTGAAGAAAACCAGAAACTCTCTAAGATCACCAAAGAAACATCAAAAGACTCCAGAGCAGTGAAAGCACTTACCACTATTGCGACCATGTATTTGCCTGCCAGCCTCATCGCTGTAAGTGTCACAATTGTGGATATAAAAGACTACTGACGATGGATACAAGACCATCTTCAGCTCGAACCTCGTTCACATCCCGTTACAGAACGATGAAGCATCCTATGGAAGATTTGCGGTAGTGAAAGAATTCTGGATTTACGTCCTTGTGACCTTGCTGCTCACTTTGATCACTGTGGCGCTCCTAGTGTTACCCAGAAAGCGGTGGAAGTCTTCTTCTCCCTCGTCGCAAATCCATAGCGTGGGGTGTCCGTAGTTGTGTAACCTCAGAGGCCTATAATTAGAATACCTATCATAAAAATGGCTCAGTAGGGGCACGGTCCAAGCATCATCACCTCAAGTGATCTGGCTTGCTCAACTGTATGAGCCCAAACCTTGAACATCAGTCCTACTCGGGTTATTGCTTATGAACAGTTTTAGCTTCGTGTCAAGGCAGGAGCCTTTCTACCGGCTGGTCCATCATTATAGTGTGCCTACAGCGACCTCGCGCATCACTGGCCATGGCACGAAGAGGATGTTCCGCGAAAAGATCGCAAATATCATCACGCTTCTGTCAGTAACTCATAACTTGCCATTAGATATGGCTTTTGTCACCTGGGAGGCAACACTTGGGGCTATAGGTTCTGGAGCCACTTCCGAGGTACGGCAACGCATGCTCAGCCTGCACAAAAGCATTGCGTTCAAAGCGCCGAGACAACTCACAGATCAAGACAACCTCCAAGCATTTGAAGAGAACGAAGGCCAGCTTCATGGGGACTATCGTAATATCGTGAACGAGATATTTATCCTTTGTTCAGAAGGCCTTCGCTCGCATCCCAACATAATTAACCTCGAGGCCATCACCTGGCACTATGACCAAACTTCAAAGGCTGTTTGGCCTATTCTCATCTTTGAGAAAGCCGAAGAAGGAGACCTTGCGACCTTCATGAATTCGGATCGTGGTCGCACGTTAGGCATTCGAAAACGGCTTGAACTCTGTCAAGACATCGCAATCGCCCTGCTCAACATTCATAGATACTGTGAGCAATATTTCCTGTCAGCCTTTCCCTGCTGATATTTTACAGCTATCATTCACGGCGATATAGGCCCTCGCAATCTTCTTGTCTTCCACGAAGGCGACGATGTCTACATTAAGATGACTGACTTTGGATATGCTGCTCTGATGCATGCTGGAGACCACATTGATATGGCGCGAACATGGCCTTGGCATGCACCAGAAATTGGTTCGCAGTGGGACTTTGATTTTGAAGATGCACGACGAGTCGACTTCTACGCTTTTGGGATGGTATGCGCATGGATTCTGCTAGACACAGAGTATCTGCGCACAAAATCAAACACAGCATCAGCAAATCAGCTCGCAGATACAAAAGAGTACATTGCTGATTTGAGGAAAGAGGACAGTGTTTTGGAGACAGTCATCGAGTTACTCGACAAATTAGACAGTCTGGAAGTGGAACAAAGGCTGGAATTGAAGCTCTTCTTCGAAGGCACCCTCCAAGATCACCCAGAAACACGTAAATTGCATGTGAAGGGGATATTTTACGACTACGGTAAACGAACCGATATTGGCAACTTGACATTTGAGGAGCCACCACGTATCACCTTCCAAATTGAGGAGATACCGTATACGGCTCAATTCAAGGTCAGAACTTTCCTTTCGATATCTGCTGGAGCTGTCTCGTCGAAAAGTTCCAGCTGCCACACTGGCTGTACGCACCACGTGATAAGAAGTCGCTAAAAGACGCAATAGGTCTCCCGAATTTGGTCCCAAGCAATAATTGGAGATTTCCGACTCTGGGACGCCGTTTTCGCTGCGCTCATGATTCAAGCAGAGAACCACCCCGATCAATCCTGCCGGAACAATGCTATGTTCCAATTAGCAATATGCTTCGAGCTTGGCTTTGGGTGCCTACATTCAACCTCCGAGTCTTCTCGATGGCTTTAGCGTTGCTTCAAAACGATGCAAGATGTTCAAACCGAGTTACGTTCACTTAATTCAGTAGTTATATTTCAACCCTTAGGGCGCGATGTGCTCAAATGGAATGCAGCCAACGCCGTGCAAATTTACGTTACAGATGGTATTTTGAAAGAAGCAGAGAGAGTACATCACAGAGCAATGGAAAATTCTCGACGCATTCTAGGAGATCAACACCGCATGGTGCAAGAACAAGGAATCATCGTCTCCGATATCTGGACTAAAATGGGAAGATGGAAGGAAGCATACAATTTGATATCTGAAACGCTGGACCGGAGCAATCAATACGAGCAAGCTTATGCACCAGATCGGACCCTTATACTAGCTCTTGAGTCAAAAAGGTACATTTGCGATCATTTAGGTCGGCTGCGCGAAGCCAAAAGTCTCTTGATCCGTCAGATGGAACTTAGACAGAAAGGGAGACGAGAATCTGAACGCCCGGGACTGGTATTGCCTACAACACTCCAGGAGATGGAGGATTTAAAACATCTTGGACAATATCAGATGGAAGATCGCGATTATGATGCAGCAGAGAAGACAACATTGAGATACATGGAGCTCGTCAAAGAACAGTTCGGCTCAGAGAGCAACCACGTTCTTAGCGCTATGGCTAACCTTGCTGATATGTACATTCGTAGCAACAGAGAGCACAGCAAGCTCTACATACAGGAAGCTCTGGATCTGTGCGAGAAACTCAACACACCATTTTCGCGCGTGCAAAAGCTGAGATTACGCATTATGCGTTGCAATGGACGATTTTACAAAACCTACGACGACTTCGATGAGATGTTTTCAATAGCCGTTCGCAATCTCTCGGACTGTCGCAGCCTAGTTGGCTCCCGCGACAATTATACTTTGGGTGCCACGGAACGTCTCGGTTTCCTCTACCATTATTCAGGTCAACGTGCAGCAGGACGCGCCTTGCTCGAGACGGCAGTGGCGACGTGCGAAATGGCTCTTGGAGAAGAGCCGCTGACTGTATTGATGCGTAGTCGTTTGGCTGTACTGCTATGGCACGATGTGCGGTGGGATGAAGCATTGAGTATTCACGAACGAAGCATTCACCTGCTTCGTGAAAAACTTGGCGAGCACTGTCTCCAAGCGGAAGCTCTTGAAGAGCAATACCGTGAATGGCAGGCCTATAAGACTCAATGGAGCAATGGACTAGGCAGATTGATACCCCTGCAATTCATAATGTGGGCTGGTAGACAACTTAATCTCATAGCATCCTGGAAGACCCGAATGGAACATGCATACCATTCCAAGAAGTTTCGATACTTTAGGTAGTTACGATACTACTTGACTTCAAGCATTTTTCTTCGGTCTGTGACTGCTCCCCAGGAAATGTGATCCACTTCTTCATTTTATATTGCTATGACAAGTACATCAATTGAAGGATGAATTTTAGTGCTTATGTATGTGTCCATTGTAGCAGCTAGATATGAACATTTGCTATACGTGCAACGTGAAGCGCATTGAATAGCTCGATGTGTACCTAATGGCCTTCTTTACACAATCTAAGTATGAGCTACACTAGCCTGGCCGATGCTTGTGGACCCAGCAAAGTCTTGCGGACAATGATACAGAATGAATAATTGAAGGTTTTAGTCGGTCTAGGTACTATTGTGCGGCACTCCTCTATATACAAATCTTCAATTATCCAACTTTTCCCGCGCTTGCCGGCAAATCTCCCGTAGCGCGGGCATTTTAACTTTCGCCTTCTCTCCCGCGGTAATCAGCTCTTCTAGAACCTCTACATCCTGCTTGACAACTTTGTTCCCATGATGAAAAGCATTAAACTCATGATAAGCAAGTGGCAGCGCACCATTGGTCGGAATCTCGATCATCTTCGCCGTTGCCCAGGACCCGATAAACCACGATAGTATCCATCCAGTCCATCCAAATCGCGGCAAAGTCAGGACCTCTTTCTGTGCTCGAAGCAGCAGCGCCCACGACTCGCCCCTGTCCTTGAACTGCGGCCATGCAGGCCAACCCTCATTGTTCCAAACAACGAGCTGCACCATGCCCAACATGACCAGGTTACCAACTATAGCATGCTGTCGATCGATCTTCAATCTGCCGTTCTTGTTGTAAACAGCCTCGATCTTTTTCGTGAGCTCAACGTTCTTGTTGACAACGGCTAGTCCTGTGTCTTTGGCGAGAGGCGAAAACAGCAGGTCCGCCTGCGCGATCAGTTCTCGGTTTGCTTTTGGCGGAACAGAGATCATTGGTGTAGGCTGGTGCGCAAGCATACTCAGTACAAGCACCAGTCGCTCTTTGGGTATGCCTAAAGTGCTGGCATAGTGCTGCTCCATATCGGCACCAATTGCATCGTAAGCAACGAATGTCTTCGGGGCATTGCGAATCAGATCTCCGACACTTTTCAGCGTTGCGACTCCACCTTCAGACTGCGCTGTATGGCCGTCTAGCGTGTCGAGGACGCAGTAGAATTCCTCGTTGGCAACTTCCGTGGTATTTTCGATTACACGATAACCCTCGAAGGTGTGTAACTTTTCTGTCTTGTAATCGTAGAGGCGTTTAGGCGGCGCGAAAGCTCCAGAACGACCTGGCCGAACGAGGTAGGTTATGTCTGCTCCGGCAGAGAGGTGGTATCCTTGTGAAAGTCCAACGGCGCCGCATCCGACAATGAGAATCTTTGGCTTAGACATGCTAGTATATTTGTTGACCCTGGGTGAGCAGTACTTTCTGTGAGACGAATGCAATCGTGTCGCGTGTGCAGTCAGTCAATTAATACCATAGTCATGTCAGGCCAGGTTTAGTGCGGCTTCTGTCCGCTAACTCCGCACGCGGTCGATCATTGCCCAGTTCGTCCGGCACCTCGCTCGGGCAGCTACCACAGTAGGGACGCATCCCTTTCTTGGCCTGTCTGGGCAGCAAGAGCAATACGAAGGAGCTCGTACTTTCGTATCCATTGACTCTTCGCCTTACGTCAGTGCCAAGTTCATACACGTACAACGCAACCATAACATAATATCATAAGAACTTCAGGAATAACCTCTTACCCATAGGATGAAGCTTGAGCCATGCATCAAACGACCTCGAGCGAATCTTTTCACCTGGAAGCATATGCAACGAGTTATCAGGGTCCAATGCTTGCGGTGTCCCATATGGACTCCGCTGATGCGTTGCTTCGCAGGATCTTGTATCTTGATCTGGTCAAATCCCTCTGAAGGCTGAAGGCATGATCCATTGCGTTTAGAGCCTGAATTCAAGATGGGAAGACAAGGAATTTCCGCGGGTGGCTCGTACTCACCGTATTTGAACGGGCCGACTCTGACGTACTAGCCACGTTGAGTAAATAGTCCAGTGAAGGACCGAACCGAAGGCTTTGCGTGATCCATTGGGGCAGACTTCTAGGGTTCAAAAATATCAGTCCAATTACTCCAGTACACGCAGCATCCAATGATCTTTCACAAGCCACAAGCAGAACCCCGCGACTAGTTAGGTAAGCATTGTTGTAGACATGCTTGACTTAGCATCTGGAAGGATGGACGCGCGTGTGAATGTCCAAATTTGATGTTCTACTGTGTACTTTCAACACGGTGGTTGGAATTCCCCTATACACATATTAACGCACCTAGAACACTCTCACAACGCATACCTAAAATGCTTCGCCTCCCCATCCGTCCGATCCTCAAAACCCTCCAAAACAGCCCTCTCATCCTCGCCCTCTCCATACACTCGATCCCTCCTTTTATTCTCCCACGACATCCAGCCCGCCAGAAAACCCGCCATAACAATCATCCCACAATAGCAAGTAATCAACCCTGTCAGCGCGGAATAATACCTTGGCGCCTCTCGAGCGAAGAAGATGTTGGCTCCAGCAATGTTGCCCGCAGCGTAGAACACGAACCACAGACCGTTGGCGGTACTGCGCTTTGTGTGACCTGATATATTCGTGGTGAGGACATTCCAGGAGAGGATGACTGGACCGCCAACCAAGTACTGGAGCCATGTGCAGCCGACGAGCGTCCAGCGTTGGGTGAGAGGTGTAAGGCGGATGCCGAGGAGGCCACCGAGGGGTGGGAGACAAATCAGTGCGAGGATAAGGCAGCGCGTATTCTTGAAGTAAGACGCCGCAATACCGCATAATGGTACCAAGAAGAATTCGAAAGCACCGGTAGGAAGTTGCAGGAGGGTCGTGCTGATACCGGAAAACCCGTAACCCTTGATGAGCGAGGATGCGAAATTCGAAACTCCGCCATTGATGACACCGCAACAAAGTGCGATGAGGCTGAGGCAGTATACTTTGACATCGAGAACTGCTTCAAGGGCTTGTCGTGGTTGGAACTGCTTGGTCTTGACACCGATCATGTTTGAGGCGATGCGGTCGATGGCTACGATGCGCTGCTTGTGGGTGAGGAATTTCGCTGTAGAAGGCGAATCAGGCATGACCCAGAGGAAGACCCAGCTCCATACAAAATTGATCAGCCCGATCACAAGGAAGATGAGCTGCCATGTCTTCAAGCTACTATTATGTGCATGGCCGAGCCCATAGCCTAATAGCGCGCCAACCATCGTAGCCATGCCGTTGAACGCAAGAAAAACACACATCCTTAAGGGTTGTTCGTCACGTGTGTAGAACATCGAAACAATGTTCATGATGGCTGGGCTAATGCTGGCTTCGAACATGCCGAGCAGGAACCGCAGGGCCAACATGCCCGCGTAGTTCTTCGCTGCAACGTGGCAAAGGAGGAGTACAGACCATATGAGAATCATGGCCCCGGTGTACTTGGAGACGGGAAGGCGTTGGATCAGATAGTTCGCTGGAAGAGCCCAGAAGAGGTAGCCGAAGTTGAAGATAGCGGCAACCCAGCTATAGCGTTGACCTTCAAGCCCAAGATCCGGAATGAGAGTGTAAGCCGAAGCGTAGTTCAAACTAAGCTTATCCAAAAATTGTATCGTGTACGTGAAGCAAATCTGCTCTCATTAGCCCAACTCATCTCCACCATGCGATCTCCCTTGATGCATCTCAACTCACCATCGGCATGATCACCCAATCAATTTTCCTCAACACGATTTTCCTCTCTGCCTCTAACTCTTCTCTCGAATACTGTTGCACTTCAAGATACAGTTCTGCGCCAATGTCTCGCATTTGTTTTTGGGCGGCGAGATGACCTTCATCTACGCTTGGAGTGGGGTCGATGTCGATTTCTTGTTCTGATTTCTTAGCCATGTTGTGATCCAGGTGCTAGAGTATAGGACTTGAGTGATATGGCGACCGAAAGATGCTGAGCAGGGGAGCAATGCGGGGTACCCGAGTCGCGTCGGATTCCCGCCAGTATAGTAGATGATGAAGCCGTAAGAACGAGACTCAAAAAAATTATTAAAGCAGTAAGATTGAGAGAAGTGCGTTTGTTGTCCGATTTCCAAAGTGCAGCCTTCAAGGGTCCAATGGTTGCTTGATTAATGACGTTCGGAACCGACACTCAATGGTTGCTCTGGAGGAGTCGCCTCTTCTAGTTTTGAATCGAAATCCCACCTTTGACTACACGCAGAGTCATCCGATATGGAGCTCTTATCACCGTACCTATCAGAGCTTATGCAGGTCTAGCTGTGTAACGTGCATGCAGATCCCACCGGTTAGCCTCATTGGGAAGTACTTGGTTATCGTTGCCTTGGCCGAAGCTAGTCTCGCCTTTTCCGATAACATTGTAATAAGAAGGTTGATACGGACGTGAGGATATAATTGATTGTCCTTAGTGTTTGTATAAAATGGATCAACTCCACGAGAACATTTGGTTCTCACCGATGTATGTGGAGTGCATGTACTAGCCGCGGCTATGCTCAAAGGCTGACTCCCTCTATGTGATCGTTCCAGTCGATACAAAGCTGGACAACACCAGCTGCAACATCCTTCACTGCGTACGTGCCGAAGCACTTGCTACCTCCAGAGGCCATAAGCACCTTGGGTAAATTTCCAAAGCTTGACCGTGCCGTCCTCGCTGCCCGTAGCGTACAGCTTGCCATCGGGCGAGAAGCTCGCAGACCAGATAGGACCGTGATGACCCTTATTCGTCTCCAGCTCCGTCTCCGCGTCAAAGTCCCACATTCTGACCCAAGTGTCATTTTGGTTGCTACCACCAGTGACAAACCTGCGCTGCCCGCTATGTAACGCAACGCTGGCCAACTCGTACGGCGTTTTGATGCTCTTGATGAGCGATGCCGGAGAATTGCCGTTGAAAAAGTAGACGCTGTTTCCAGCGGCCACGCTCAGCACACCGTCTGAGGAGGTGTTATCCAGCTCGCACGTGCCTACAGCGCCTTCGACAGCATACTCGCCGATAGTCGACTGCGTTCGCAGGTCCCACCACCGGATCTTCTTGTCCTCCGACGCAGTGACCAGAATACTGGGATCTGATGTCCACACAATAGACTTGATGGTGTCGCCATGCACGCCCGCGCCGATCTCATAGGGCTGCGACGGGTTGTTGAGGTCGAAAATGCGCAACTTGTTCTCCTTGCCGCCGGTGGCCAGAATCTGCGGTTGGGGCTGGTTCGGGAAAGCGACAGCTCGGACGATATGCTCGTGCGTGAGGGTGTGGAGGGCTTCGCCGGTGTGAGTGTCCCACACTTTGCTACAAGATGTGTCAGTCTAAGTCTTGCTGGCAAAGTCGGCGCGTGGTACGTACGCAGAGAAATCCGCCGAAGCAGTTGCAGCTAGAGTGGCATCGGAGGACAGCCGCGCCTGCCAGACAGCGCCCTTGTGGCCCAAGAAGGTGCCAATCCAGTCGCCGGTCAAGCCATCGCGCAGCATAGGGTTTCCGTCCTTGCAGGCAGAAATGATATAGTACTGCTCTTCATCCTGAAGAGCAGAGAAATGGATATGGGGCACCGGTCGCGAGTGCCCATGGCACGTGAGGGGTACGACCTTCGTGGTCTCGGGCATAGTTGCGATGAATGATGTTTGCGGAACAGAGGAAGAGCTCGCCAATTGCAGCGATCAAAAGTTGGTCTTGTAAAGTGTGCTGAGAGCTCGAAACACGGTGCGCGTCTGTGTCGAATGCGCGGGGTTGCGTGGGGGACGAAGGTGGTAAAGAAAGCTGTTCTAAGTACAATGGACAATGCAACAGGCAGCGAACAGGCAAAAGGATCGTTATGGGTCGTAACTTCGTTAATCTGTGGTGTCTTACAGGAGAGACAAGCCCCTCGATGAAGAAGGGTGAGCCCTGGAGCTAGTCTCCGCCAAGCAAATCCTGAGCCGCGGCCCACCTTCCACAAGGAGCCTCAATCTCTACTTCTCCACACCGTTGGAAGTGCTTTCTGTAGCGTACCAAAGGAGCAAGACAATAATGTGCACTTCTTCAGCAGTACCTACACGCCAGAACTCGGGCCTGCTCATGCCTGATTTTTAATATTCCAGCGCAGTTGCGCCCCAATCTAACGTCGAACACCCCGCTTGGCCGAGACTGGAGGATGATGCTTCATACGAGTTGCACTTGCCATATTAGAGGTTCACTCAACGATGGAGTAAGGTGAGAAACGGAAAGAACCGAGAGACGCAGGAGCTACAGGACCGAATATAGTGCTATGGCTCAGAGTGTACCATCCTACGATGGGCGACGTGGACGTTAAGAGCACCGAAGCAGCTTTGATGAGTGGCAGAGCGACATGCTATGCTCAACAGCCTCAGCAATGCACTTGGTAGCGCGTCTGCTTAAGTAGTCGCACTGGAACGCAACGTGCTGAGGTGCCATCCTTCACCAGATCGCGAAGAAGTGATAAAGAATAGTAAAATAGGTCCCTCCACCTGTAATTCTACTTATTGCGTGCCATGATGCGTGAAAATGGTATTTGCTATACTCAACATGGTAAGCAAGTACCTTACATTGTTTGACAGTGAAACCATTCATTGTCTGACATAGCCCAGGTTCAAACGAGGGTGAACCCGCGCGACAAAGAACCGTGTCGTGCCAACATTGTGTGAGCTCGTGCGGCCTCCTCATTGCTTAGTGACAATGCAAATAAGCTTTTCGAAGGCTATATAGTGTTAATGAGCCATAGTTGCGCCTACAAACATCATTTGACAACCGCATTACGAGCCAATTACAATTCAACCAAACCTACAGCAACCTCACAGCAAACAAGAATGTGTCTATTCCCACAGGTCAAGCATCATTGCGGTCACACAACTTTGATCAGCCATGCGAAGAGCATCGTTTTGTGCGACCAGGCTCTTATATTCGTGAGGCAATACTTTGATCGAGCACCGGCTTTCTGTACCCCTTTGGATGACGATCTAGACAACGAGAATATGATCTTGGATTTGTCCGAGGACTATTCCTGGTGTCCGGACTGCCACGCTAGACAAGCCACACCGGCCTGTGGTGATCAATCGGACCAGACCTGGGAGGCTGCATGCCTGCAGGCTTACAAAGCGGATCTAGCAAAGGTGTTAAAACAAGTCGAGAGGGATTGCCAAATCATTGAATATGACCGGAATATGCCAGCCATCGTAAAGGCGATTCAGCACCCTTGGCTACGCGAAATGCTTCAAATCAACAGCAAGGGTTTCTTTGCGCTCGGCGATGCCGTGATAGATCGTGTGCATGATGTACAGCGGAACATCGAAACAGTGCTTGCCAAGTGCAACGCAGGTATCCCCACCCACTCACTCCACATCGATTTCTACGCTACGGTGCGTAAGTACGACGATGCTTGGTTTTTGATGGATCATTTCCTTCTGATTACCGATCTTCTGAATTATATCTCGAAGCGCAATGATTATCACAATGAGCTCTGCAAGCAGGCTGAAATGTGTAAGTCGTTGCTTGAAGGGCCGCAAGAGGCACCGCAAGGTCTCCATTACTTGGGGCGGGGCTTCAAGACTCCGGAAATGTTCAGGCCGAAGCGCAAATCTCATACCCGACACGTTCAATGCTTCGAGAAATTGGCTCTTGATGACAATTCTGCAGGCAAAGACTACTATGCATCGGCCTTGTCAAAACTACTTCAGCAGTCGGATGTACTTCCCTTTCGACGCCGTGCATCCTACAAGGGCCCGTCGAAGTATGTGAACAAGAAGTGCAGCCCTCCACCAGCGGTCAAGGTGAGTGCTTTGAGCGGCGAAATTCGTGCAAAATTCGGTGAGCTGGAAGTGCACTATTTCAACCAGGTTTCAAAAAAAAAAATTGGTTGATCGGTGCGTAGCATTGTGAAAATGTGAGGTGCTTCAACACATCTGGAGTTTTCGCATATTGCTCAGTCAAATCTTAGTCGCTGAATACTTGCGCGACTGTCACATACAGTAGCACATCCCTCAAGTATCACGTCGGCGATGAGAAGCTTTCCCTTGCTTGTCTTCGCTTGGCGAGGTAACTAAATCAATTCATATTAAACAGTTTCGTAGGGCTACACTCCGTGTACTGCAATAATCAATAAACTCTATCAATTTCTGTCCAATGTAGAACCAGTTGAAATTTCCGGGCGGCGGAGAACATACATCTAGTGGGGCGTTTCTGCTTGCTTTGTGACGTGTAAGATGAGGGGTATTGCGGGAAGGGAGGATCTGGGTTGGAGGGGCAGTAGAGGTGGATACTGGATCCCATGTAGACACAGATTTACGATCTTCTCGAAATGGCAGCTGACGTAGCGTCAACGAATATTTTGTATGCGTAATGTTCATCCAGTGATAAGATGAATAAAGCCAAACATTTCAGAAAAGTATAGTTGAAGAAAATCGAAGTGCTCATTGTGAAATTGTTCTCTCAGCTCTTTTATTGACTTGTTGAAACGGCTACGCGGGAGCTTGTAGTCAGTTTCGGTATCCCGTCTGCAATGTTGGCGCTAACATTGCTGCGGAGGTCAGACCAGCTTCCACAGGTTCAAGTGTGTTGTTGCTGGGAACTGAGCCGCCAGACCTCTTCGCTTTCGACTTTCGAGTGCTGGTTGATAGGGCCTGTTTCTTGGACTTTCCTACCAGTGATGATGTCCTTTTCGAAACAAGTTTTGTGAGCTTGGCCTTGTCGCTATCGTCAGCAGCCATTCCCGAGGTTGAATTGCCGCGCGACTCTCTCTCACGCGAATGTTCCGATGGTGAACTCTCTCTGGAAGTATTCTTTAGATACCGCTCATCTCGGACAATGTAGATCGGTGTTTCGTTTTGTTTAAGCCAAAATTCGTAATCCTGCGTAAAGATAGCCCGGTCGAAGAAGGAAAGATCTCCCGGCTTGTATCGATAGAGCTGCTCATCGTTCTCGCTCTGTTTGGAGAGGATAATACCGAGTGACTGCTCGGAGTCTTCTTTAGTTTTAGCACAGTTTAATGGCAGAAAATAAGTTCCATCTAGCCTCTTGGAAAGCAAGGGCATGATCTTGAGACCTCTGTTTGTCATAGAGAATTCGGGATTAGGGCCTAGAAATCTTCTGTGAACCAGTTCCCCCGCGTGCCTGAACTCTTGCGGCGAGCGGGCCAGAGCACCACGATACTCCTCCTCAGTGTCGGTCGATTCCCATGCAAAAAGCGACATGTCGTTCGTGCTGCTCATAATCGCTTCTTGGAGCCGAAGGAAAGCTTTCTGAGCGCCTTCCCCGTATATAAGCGTAAGATTGACATCGAAGAGTCCAAAAAGACTGTAACACTTGTCTTCGCCGCGTGTGGTATTTCGATTGGCGGCCCATGACGTTCTCTGTGCCACTGAGTATTCGTAAGGCTGAGCTTTCCCATTCAAAACCTCCTCTGGTATCTTGGTGATCTTGCAAATAGCCTTTGCGACGGCCTTCTCAGAGCGTCTACCAAAAGAATGCCAATTGTGGTTGTAAAAGATGACTTCCTTCGGGGCGATGAGTTCTTGAAGCGTCCATCCTCTCGTGAACCATTCCGACTTGGAGAAGTCATATGACTCCACAGAGACCTTCTTGTCATGCGGCTTCGAAGGCCCCTCAAAATCATGCAGATAAACCAAGCATTTAGTCGCTTCTTCATAGTATCGGTACATTGAGTTCAATGCTTCAGTCAGCTCGCTACTATTATCGCGATTGATACAACAACTGTCAATCCAGATATGGGTCGCTCCCTCGTCGCTGGCTAATTTTATAGCCTGAAGAAGCTTATCAAATGCAGCTGTTCGTAGACCAAGCTTCTCGATCTCATCTTTTCGTTTTTCACGATCCTCGATTGCAGCTGCTTGTTTGAGTTTATCCTTCGAATCGTTGAATTCTGTGAAAGTAACGTCTCCGCCATGATCGTCTTGTGAAAGCCCTGTGTCGCAGTATATGAGCGAGAAAGCTTGTGACTGAAAGGCAGAGGTATAAAAAGGAGGCTAGGGACGTTCCCTCTCCTATCCAAACGGCCAACATGAGAACATGCGGATGACTTACATCGATGAGAAAAAATCACATAGTCAGGCCGCTTATGCATGCGGAAGGTGAAGTCTTCGAGTTTCGGGCCCTCGTCCTTGTCCTTGTTGATGTTGATGAGTCTCATATTCGGATTTGCGGGCACGGAGAGATATGGGTTTCGTTACAGTTTCTGCACAAGGTCGTGCGCGTTGTGATGAATCGACTTATTAGCAAAAACTGGCATTTAGCCCTTCTTTTGTATTTCGACTTGCGACGGGAGCTAAAAGATGCGTGCTTCCGCATTGTACAAAGTGGATGGCTGGTGTGATATATGGATGCGATCACCTTCAGAGCTGAACAGATGATAGTGTTCATAGGCCGCGTGATGTCATGGAGAGGGCTGAGCGTGCTGTCGAGGGGCTGAGTTGCAGCAGTTGACCGGTCGGTTATTTACCGGCACCGGTACACCTGCCATTTCATTTGCGCTAAACGCGATTGGGATCCGATACAAGTCAATTCGCTTGCGAGTAGGCTCAACCCAGAGGCACTATAGCATGAATGCACACCAAGCAGTAAGAGGCTCATTCTATGTTGAATCATAGGACTACTGTTCAACATGCGGCAATTCCACCACACAACATGCCAACTGGATGAAGAAGTGGACGCGACATGTCTCGATAAGGAGCGCTATCGAAGTGGTGCAGTATAGGATCAGGCCATGTATCTCAGTGGAGCATCTACACATCAAGTCGTTCATCTGAGACATTACGAAGAACAACGAAGTGACAATTTGGACCTGCAAAACAAATTTGATTTTGCGCGGCTACTACCTATATAATCAAGATTTGGTTGACAACAGTCCGCCGCTTGAACAACATCCCCCTCAATCGCCTTCAATCGCACTGAAAGAGAATAAAACAATCCTTACCATCGTCCCGCCGGGACACACATCGCTCATCTTATCAAAATACCCGACTTCCAAGTGCGGATGTCTATCAAGCTTCTTCGTATCAAGAACATGCCACCCGCAGTTGTTTGTGACGGTGATAGCTCCCACAATGGCTTTAGTCTTGCGAGCCGTCATGTCGCTGCCGTCATAGCTGCACAGGAAGGCAGTCGCGCTGCCCTTGACAGTAGAAATAGACCCGTCTGAAGAGAAAGCCTCCTAAGGTTCTTTTTAGGGAATTAGAAACGAGACTGTACCTAGCTAGGACAATTGGTGCTCTGATCGGAATCCTAATTCGTGATCATTGCGTGTAGATGTTGAGAATTTCGCCCTGAGGGCAGGTATGAGATATACGCTTTGGGATGCTTTTCAGACTGCAAAGAACTTTTTGCATGTCAATGAAGAGGTGCAAGCAATTTATGGTAAGGAGGCATGTCTTCTATAGGTTTTGTCAGCAATCAGTGTTGGGCGTGCTGAGCTGCTTGTAGTTGGGGTGTTTCCAAATCTAGATTATATTAGGAGAACAAACTATCGAAACGCGGTTTCTGAAAGTATGTGAAGAAGACGTTTCAATGATAGTCTAGCAATATCTGGGGAGCTTTCACAAGCATGAGGGATCAGTGCTTCGAAGTTTAGAGGAGATGGCAACCTAGAGAGACTTAGGCAAGGCTTGTGTAAACGAAGACGGGGATCAGCGTGGAATAAGAGCTGAGTGGGGCTCAAAAAACGGAGACCGCAAGTGAAAGCGACTGTAAATAGATTGATCAGTATGCCGGGTATGAGTTTGGTCGCTCAGTGTAGGAGTCCGGCCAATCTTCTTCACATATATGACCCAAAACAGTCACAAAAGATGTATCACTAAGAACATCCCCCTTCCGAAAATACATGCTTCTCTGACATGACCCATTATTAGGATAAGGTATCCGTCCATCACCAAATCCCTCACACCTTTCACTGATTCAAGACACTGGCTATTGGAATACCTATGGCCATCACTGGCGAAGTCTCAGATGTGTCAAATCGAATCTAAATTCTTCATATCAAGCACTGTTCGAAAGTGACACGTCCACGGAGAATGAAAGCGCTATCCATCACATTATGTCTACGAGCTCTTCATGAGAGTAAGAATGAATCGGTACCAGGTTGTCACATTCTCACAGGACTATGTCACAAGCGCCACGAAGTCGTATTGAAGATGGACCAAGACGTCGAAATGCTCGCAGAATCCTACTTCAGAACCACATATCTTCCACCAAACGCAGATAAATAACGTACCATACTTACGGCATAATGCCACACCTATACTACAACGGCCGACGCACCGGCTGTGCAACCAAGAAGTCCTGCCACTCTGGAAACAAGCGTAAGAGTGCTGAAGTTCACGCAGCTGCAATCCCTGCAAAAGTAGCTAGTATCACTTGTAGAAGTCAAGCGCTGCCACACTAACTTTTCCCTAGAACACAACTACCCCTAGCAATCTCGCCGAACCCAAAGCTTCGACGTATCTCACCGTCAAGCTGAGGTCGGACCCCTCCACAACCTGGGCCGAAATTTTTAACTTGCAACAAATGAAGGACGACATGGAGACGGCAGCTACCGGGTACGGCGAGAGCGGCGATTACGCCGTTTACCTCACATATCAGAAGGCGGGCAACACGCCCCTTGGATCGAAAAGGACATACGTCTCCGATTTCTTTGTGCCTCTAACTCTCCGACCCGAAGAGCACGTGAAAATGGAGATCTATAAGAAGACGATGAAGAAGCGGAAGACCTGTCGTTTCTGGGCCATGAGGACTTGCCGCGCGCATTTGGCTGGGGTCGAGTGCGAATACGACCATCCTGAGGGGAAGGGCAGTGTTGAGCAGGACCTGGCCAAGAAAGACAAGATGGAGAAGGTGTGGCGGTAGGTGATACGGACGACCAGTCTGCGGTAACTAGTACGAATGTAGCGTTGGCGCGGCGTGCCCTTGCTTTGACACCTGGTGTATGCCTGGGATGCTTTCTGGCAGGTTGTGAATCTTCTGTAGCTTATTTCCCATAGCGAAGTGTGGATCTCTTATACTACCATATACAGCCGACTAGATTATGACGATGTTCGGCACGAATAGACGCAAGCCCTGGAGGTGATGGTGAAGGAAGGGCTGCACGTGGAAGCAGGGGACGGAGGACGGAATTTCGCGTAGCTTGGTGACCCCACAAAAACGGACTTTGGTCCCTGCGCACTAACACTCAGTTGAGAACACACGACCTCTCCCTCGCAGCATTTCATAGCTTCAACATCAAACCACAGCGTTGCAACTCCTCTGGCAGAACCAATTGCATAGCTGCTGTCAGCGTTCACCACCGTCTCCCCTCTGTTTACTCAAGTAAGTGCGATTGTGCTTGCTGCCCCACTATATCTTCTGAGCTCTTGTGAACACGGTAGCTAACAGCTCCCCGCGTAGCACGACCCATCACGTCACCCGCCGCCCAACGCTATGTCGCTCCTTGAGGCGAAGGTCAAGAGCGTCCTCTCCGGAGACACGGTCATCTTACACAACATCAACAACCCGAAGCAAGAGCGCACGTTGAGCTTGGCCTATGTTACCGCCCCGCGACTGCGGCGGGAAGGAGACGAGGTAGGCTTCATTTCATTCTTCTATCCCCTGCGCACCACACATTGCAGTTGACAAGTCCATGGAAAACACTGACTGCATCTCGGCGTTTACTTTGGGTTCATGCACGAAGCCGTGAGGCTAACGGAAAGTGGCATGCGAGGATCAACGCTACATTGGACTGCAGAGAAATTCGTGATGTAGCTAACAATCTCAGCAATTCGCTTTCGAATCGCGCGACTTCCTCCGCCGTCAGCTTGTAGGCAAGGTCGTACAATTTAAGATCCTGTACAAGATCCCTACGGGCGCCAACCGCGAGTACGGCCTGATTTCGCTACCGAACCGAACAAATCTGCCGGATCTCGCTGTCGCCGAAGGCTGGCTAAAGCTGCGCGATGACGCCGGCCGCAAGGAGGACTCTGAGGAAGCCTCCGCACTCTTGGAGAAGCTCCAGGTGTACGAGGCGCGGGCAAAGGCAGAGTCGAAGGGCCTGTGGCAGGAGTCTGGTGGCAGAATCAGCTCTTCTTCCGAGCTGAGCGATTCGAAACAGTTTGTGGAGGACCACAAGAGCCAAGATCTCACCGGTGGGTACAGAACACGGTTGGAGACGAGCGCAAGATGGCTAACTTATAACAGCAATCGTGGAGAAGGTCCTCGCCGGTGACCGCCTCATCGTCCGCTTCCTCCTCTCGCCGACCGAACATGTGCAGACCCTCGTCCTTATTGCCGGCATCCGGGCACCAGCCACGAAGCGAACAAACCCTTCGGACGGCAAGGAGCAACCAGCAGAGCCTTTTGGTGACGAGGCGCATCAATTCGTCGAGACGCGGTTGTTGCAGCGAAATGTTACCGTCAACGTATTGGGAAATAGCCCTAACGGACAGATTGTAGCGACTATCAAACATCCCACCCAAGGCAGCATTGCGCCATTCTTGCTGAAGGCAGGTCTGGCCAAGTGCACCGACCACCATACTACGTTACTCGGTGGTGAGATGGCCGCACTCAGGCAAGCTGAGAAGAGCGCAAAGGACTCCAGGCAAGGTGTTTATCAAGGTCATGTTGCCCCGAAGGCTTCATCCGCTGGTCAGAACGAAGCCGTCGTGAGCAGAGTCCAGAGTGCCGACACTTTGTTCGTAAGAAACAAAGCTGGCGCAGAGAAGCGCATCAACCTGAGCAGTGTCCGCCAGCCAAAGCCAACCGATCCTAAGCAGTCCCCATGGGTACCTGAGGCAAAGGAATTCTTGCGGAAAAAGTTGATCGGAAAGCATGTCCTGTTTCACGTTGATGGCAAGCGCCCAGCTACTGAGGGCTACGATGAGCGCGAGATGGCCACGGTAACATATCAAGGCCAAAACGTTGGTCTGCTGCTCGTGGAGAATGGTCTGGCTTCCGTGATTCGTCACCGCCAAGACGATACTGACCGTAGCCCTATCTACGACGACCTTCTGCTCGCCGAGTCAGCAGCACAGGAGGCGCAGAAGGGGTTGTGGTCGCCCAAGGCTCCCTCGGCGAAACAATATGTCGATTATTCAGAATCGCTCGAGAAGGCCAAGCGCCAGCTGACTCTCCTCTCACGACAACGCAAGGTCCCCGCTATTGTTGATTTTGTAAAGTCTGGATCTCGCTTCACTGTTCTTGTGCCTCGCGAGAACGCCAAGCTCACCTTCGTACTCTCCGGCATCCGCGCGCCACGCTCTGCACGAAATCCGACTGAGCAGGGCGAGCCATTTGGTCAAGAGGCACATGAGTTCGCCAACAAGCGTTGTCAGCAGCGAGATGTGGAGATTGATGTGGAGGATTGCGACAAAGTGGGTGGCTTTATTGGCGCGCTTTACATCAACCGCGAGAATTTCGCAAAGACCCTGGTCGAAGAAGGTCTCGCAACAGTACACGCCTACTCGGCTGAGAAGTCTGGCAACGCGAACGAGTTGTTCGCTGCCGAGCAACGTGCGAAGGACGCGCGGAAGGGACTGTGGCATGACTATGACCCTTCACAGGATGAGGATGCAGAGCAGGCTGATTCAGGCGCTGATGTCAACGGCCAGAATGGCGATGCAGCAGTGGAGCGCCGGAAAGACTACCGCGATGTACTCGTGACGCACGTTTCCGATGAAGGTCGATTGAAGCTGCAGCAAGTAGGCACTGGTAGCTCCGCCTTGACCGAGCTCATGAACGCTTTCCGCAGCTTCCATCTCAACCCGACGAACAACCAGGGCCTGCCGAACCCCCCGAAGGCCGGCGACTTCGTGGCTGCCAAGTTTACTGCAGACGATGAATGGTACCGAGCTCGTATCCGACGCAATGACAGGGAGGCAAAGAAGGCCGAAGTCGTCTACATTGACTATGGCAACTCGGAGACCATCCCCTGGTCGCGTCTTCGTCCTCTCTCGCAGCCGCAATTCTCTCCGCAAAAGTTGAGAGCCCAGGCTCAAGATGCACAGCTGTCGTTCGCCCAGTTACCCAGCAACCCTGAGTACCTCGCGGATGCTATCCACTTCATTGCGCAAGAGACGGCCGACCGCCAACTCGTCGCTAACGTAGACCAAGTGGACAAGGACGGAACTCTCTGGGTGACCCTGTTCGACCCCAAGCAGAGCGACAAGCCCGACGAGAGCATCAATGCGGAAGTGATTAGCGAGGGTCTCGCGATGGTGCCAAAGAAGCTGAGGGCGTGGGAGCGCAGTGCATCCGACATCCTGGGTGCCCTGAACAAGAGGCAAACCACGGCCAAGGAAGAAAGGAGGGGTCAATGGGAGTATGGCGATCTCACCGAGGACTAATTGCGCACGCACGCCGTTATCAGTTGCTTGTGTGAGGTGCGGGTTGAGTGACAGGAGACATATGCATGTCGGGTGGCACGCGTTGCGCCCTGTTACGAAGAGACGGCCTATGAAGCCGGACTAGGGAGGAATTTGATCTTGCGGCTTGGTAACCCTCTGCTTTTGCTTAGGTCTCTTGTTGAAGATGCATAGCGGAAATCGGAACTAAAAGCATAGTTGGCATGCACAGTAGGATAAGAATAAGACACGATTGAATATGGATATGGAATACGGAAATAGAGATCCGCGGCCAGGTGTGAAGCGAAGCCGCCTCGAATCGATTCCCCGGTTCCGCCCGCGTGATGTCGGCTCCAGCTCTCATGCAGGCCGTACGATGCTCTGCAGCACCCTACATACACGGTGCAGATGGCTGCTCTGCTGCCTACGCTAACTTGATTGCCTTGCCTTAGCCGTGAGTCTGGAGGACCTCTCCTCGCCACTCATTGCACCCAGCTTGCCAGTCTACCCCTCACGCGCTTACACATCGCGTCTGCATATGTTACTTACGGTTTCGTTACGACGCTGCAGGGAGATAGCGCGATAGTGGGTGGCATGTGCCAAGGGATTCGACCGGTGAACAACGTGACTTGTGATATTGGGGTGAGCGAGCCATGATCGGCGGAAGGGGATGAATGGATGGATGGATGACGGCGACGGATTGGAAATCCGGTGCGCGCCGTGCGATTGATGCACGACAGGCGGCCGGTCAGCGAAGACAGCGAGCGAGCCAGCTCAGCAGGGTCGGTCTCGCCGCCGGTTACTATGGATTGCTTGCGGACCGGACGAACAGCGAGATGAAGTGAGATGAGGTGAACATGGAAGTGCTTGCCTCATTCATTCGGTTGCCCTCTTTGGGGCTAGCGCTCACATGATGTAGACGTGTCTCTGGGGCGTTTCAGACTTGTCGAGGTTTAGTGGGCGAGCAGATACGCGGGGGGTGATGTTTGCGATCTGAGCGGGAGGCACGCGCCGACCAGGCGAGGAGATGCGGGCGGGGCCGCCCAGCGGTTAGCCCAGCGGAAGGAGGATCCTTGGTGAGACATGGAGGAGACTGCCTTCGTGGCGAAGATCGCGGTGCACAAAAGAGGGTCTTGTGGGGAATGGATGAGGCGGGAGATGTTCTAGAAGCGTTGGAAACGTGGAAGACGCGGGCGCGTTGCCGAAGGATGAGGGCGCGCGTCGAAGGAAGTGGATGCCGGACGTGAATTGCGATGCTATAGCTCCGTGAGCAATGCGCAAGGGGAATTGACATTGGGACTTTCAGTTACAATGAATGATATTGCTGAGGAATTGGAAAGGGGTCATGATATTTCGTGAACCAAGATCGCATATCCGTCCTGTCAATTTTCGCCTCTACATAGAAGTCCATCCACCTTTTGGGCTGCCGTGTGGCCTATCTTCATTATATCATAGCTGCCATCAGCTCTCATGCCTCATTCTCATCAGCTGCTTCATGAAGTAGGAAAAAGGGGTATTCAAATCCGCCAAGCTCGCAATGCAATGCCTCCCGCGAGGGAGCAGGTATTCGCGAAACGAAGAATAAGGATGTTCGAGAAAGGAAGAAGCCGTATCGCTGATGATAGATAGAGAAGGCGGAAACAAGGATATCGCTCGAATCGCTAGCTCGCTCGCTCAAAAGCTCCACATAAAGGTAAATCGAACCGCGCAAAGTATGGAAAGCGACAGTCGTAACCGATCGTACAGTCTCGTTCCATCGTGAGCCCAAGAAGCCCCACGCATGCAAAACAGATGTGTTGCGCGTGAGCGTCCGTGTCTAGCAAACAATAACATGTGTGACCTGCACTGTCGCGAAAAGGGGGAATCGTGCGGGGAAACAATAAACTCGCCTTGTGAACTTTCCAAGACGCGGAAAGGAATGACGCCCAACTTTTCGACAAAAAAGCTTTTGGTTTCACTCCGGTCCGCCCAATGTAAAGTCAAAAGACAACAACAAGCGGGTATGCGAGGACTTAAGAAATAGTTGAATGGAATAAACTGCAAGCCGAACATGGATGTGGTAGGATTTCGCTTGGGACGCAGCCCGCTTGACCAGATTCCTAGTGGTATCTGGTCTGTCTGATCTCACGCCTGAGAGGTCTTCGCTCTGCCTCCCGATCACGCTCCCCGTATCGTCGGCTTTCGACCTCTCGCTCTCGGCGGCCCTGGCTGCTGCGTCCGCTCTTGACAGAAACTTCTTCGGCTTCACGTCTGGCTGAACCTGCGATCATCGAGTTCCTGCTGCCCCTGATACTGCCTTTCTCGCTACGGTAGACGTCATCTTCCCCGCGTTGGCCGCCGATAACAATATCGGCCATGCCATCTTCCGCAGGGTTGATTTGGAGGGTACGACCTTCCATGTCACCGTTGAAAGAGAGGCTCAGAGGGGCAGAGGTATCGACACGAAGGCGGATCTCGCCATTGTTATTGCCGTTAGTAACTGCCGTGCGAGCTGACTGGCTGATGCGAGTCTTGCGATCGGGGTCCGATGGTACACGTGACGCGCGCTGTTTGGCAACTTTGTGGACCTGCTCGCTCAAGGGTTCGTAGGTTCCGCGTGTGCGTTGCTGGTATGCTTCGACATCGTTCATTACCTGGGCAGTCTCTCTTCCGACCAAGTACTCGGAGCGCTTGATGGAAGCGTCTGTTCGCCGGCGAGGGGGTCTTTCAGTGACGAGGATAGCATCCTCCTCCTCATTGCGATAGACCTTCGAACGACGACGTCGGCGGCGTTCCTCTAGCTCCGAGTCATATTCATCTTCGTACTGCGGCTCGTACTGCGGCTCGTACGCCCGCTCGTATGCTTGGTAAGATTGGCGACGGCTGGTCCTAGGGTTTTCGACCAGTACCCTAGCACGGGGCGTGTCGTAGGCCGACTGTGTCACACGCTTGGGCGGCCCGGGACGACTGGTCGAGATCGACCGCGAAGGTGGTGCAGTGCTGACACGGGATGCTCTGTTGTCCTTTTCCCTGGGACGTTCTGGCAACATCTGTGGCTGAGACACCGATTGGCGACGTTCACGGCGATCGTTGTAGACCTGGGTGACCTGAGTAGTCTTGGCGTGACGGAGAACAGGCCTCTGCTCTTTCTTAGATTTACTCTTGATCTTGGGCGGTGGCATGAGCTGCTTCGGTGGAGGTGCGATAGGGACATCTTCTTCGGATGAAGACTCGTATTCATCGGAGCTCTCAGAATCGTGATGCGCCGTTTGCATAAGTGCCTTCATGGGAAAGCGCTCCTGTCTGGCACTCTGAGGAGCGTTTCCGTAGCGGGCGGATGGCATAGGCGGCTCCGCTTTGTTATTCTCATGGGTCACCATTGCCGGCCCGTATCCAGATACGGGCCTGCGTGCATGGAAGCTGGAGGGGTTGCGAGCCGACAGCGACGGTCTCTGATGTTCGTAGGGTGGTGATGCCTGGGACATGTGCTGAGCTTGAGCTTGAGCCATTGGATGGCCGCCCTGATAGAAATGGGACGGAGGTGTACCCATCATGAACGGCGCCATCTGGGGATGCTGTTGATGGTGCTGTGGCATCGAGTATTGAGCGGACATGGAGGGTGGAGGGCCGAAATCTTGAGGCGGACTAGGGTATGGTGCGGGCATACCCGGCGCATAGTAGTTTGAGCCAGGGTCTCCGTGGTAGCTCATGGGACGGCGAGCAGTCGACGAGACCCGTGGACGTGTCTGGGCGGGCTGCACCATGGTTGAACCTTGCATGTAGGGAGCAGGTTGCCTTTTGTAAGTCGGAGAGGGCGGAGAGGCGTAGGTGGACGGTGCGGGATCCGAGCGCTGCGATCGCACATCGAAAGGGGGGTGGGGAAGGTCGAGGCCAGAGTCCACCGCGACGGATTCGCGCCTGCCACGTCGACGAGGAGGTGCATTGGACCCGCAGTCCGTGCAATTGGGGTCTCTGCACTCATCTGTCTGTGTCTTTGTCTGTGATATAGTCGGTCTCCGAGTAGCAGCTGGTCGTTGTTTAGAGGCAGTCGAGTTGTTGCGCTGCAGCGGCCTGCGCGGGCTCTCGGCAGGCTTCCTCCGGTCCTCGACAACGGTCGGGCGTCGCCTGGAGGCGGCGGGGCTAGGAGGAGGCATGGAGGCAGCGCTCGAGGGGGCAGTGGAGGTTTGCGACGTCTTCGCACTTGGGACCGAATCAGCGCTGCTCATGGTCCCGGCGGTGTGGCTGGAATACCCAGAGTCGCTCTGGAGGTCGATGTGAACCATCTTCTCCTTGTCTGCTTGGGGCTTGTCTGTGCCCAAGTCAGACGGATGGGAGCGTTTTGCGGCGACATTTGCGGCAGGCGAGCGACGGAACGACTCGAGGACGGGGTCCTCGCTGTCGTCCGAGTGGTAGTCCTCGACAGTCGGGTTGAGGTCGCGGTCACTCGACGAGGCGGCCATGGCGACGGCGTGGTGTCGCTGACAGCGGCAGGCTGTCGTGGCGGCGGGTGTGGTTTATGAGGCAGGTGCGGGCGCCCAAGGCTGGGACGGGTCGATATCGATTACGGCTAATAGAAAGTGGCCCGGCCGATCACTCACGGGGCAGCCTCGAGTGCGGAGAGAAGAGAGGGTAGAAGGATGCGTGGGATTGACTCATAGCAGGTAAGATGGCAGTGTGGAGGGCTGGCGGAGGCAGGCAGCAGAGCAGAAGACACTGGGGTTGGCGGGGGTGCGAGGGAATGAAGAGGAGAGAGCAGGCAGCGCGTGCAAAAAGTGCTCAGGCTGGAATGACGACGCCGGACTGCGACAGAGCACAGGCGGGTCGCCGAGTTTACGGAATTTTTCAGTACGGAGGAGGCATTGGGCTGAGGCGCCGGGGTGTGCATGAATCTAGTTGTACTCTAACAGGAGCGGCTAGCAGGAAGGTTGGGCAGCGAACGGCCGGGAGCAAGGTATGCTATGGTTCACTGCTGCAGCGCCCGCGACTCCACTCGCCTCTCGCCGCTCTGGCTCGAGTGCGCTCCGCCGTCACTGGGCGTCTGCGTCTTGCGACTTCAGCCCGTCTGGCAAGCATTCCAGAGGATTCGGCCATGGGGTGACTCGGCAACAACCATGCAGCGTGATTGCCGCCTGGCGAGCGGACGAGTGGCAGCCCGCGAACAGCCTGTCCTGGCTCTTGTCGACATGGCAATATGGATGTCCATGGCCATTGATTGCCGGCGACCAACGCTTGCAAAAGCCCATAGTCTGTCGCTGGTCTCTTTGCTTGTGTAGACACCAGGCAGGCCCACGACGCGCCTTGGGACGCTCTGGCGCCGCAGCAGTGCGACTCCCTGAGGGCGATCTCACGACTCATGGTGATGTGCGTAATATTCGTCTGCCGGCTCGATTGGCTCGCCCGCGGCTGTTTGCAGATGGGGTGCAGCCATTCCACTCGCCAATGGAGAGGCAGAGGGAGGGGTGCTCGTCCCCCCGTATGGCTCTCGACACGACGGCTGCGCTTAACACGCACACATGGACGCACCTGAAACCTCTCTCTCGCTCTCGCTGCCGTTCCGGGCGTGCCCGCGCTCGGTGACGGAGTCGCTCTGCACGCACGCCTCCAGCCAGACGTCGTGCTCACCGCCTCTTGGACTTCTTCTTCTGGGCTTACACATATACCCTAGTCCACACCAAAGCGGCAACTAGCCTTAGCGGTTGCCGTGTTGTTTTCACTCCCCGGCTTAGCTCATCGCCCCGCAACTCCACCACCAACGACAACTGCTCGTGAATCGCATGCTAGACTGCTTCGTGTTCCCGTCTGCCTTTCTCTCCAAGATCCGCCCGGCTGGTTGCCGACGCTGGCGTGCACACGCAATCCGCCGGCGACTGCCCTCTCCACGTCAGGAGCGCCGCACGTGCACCTGCATGAAGCAGGAACGACCGGTCGACCCGCTGACAACGCACCTCCATCCTCGTTTTAATATCGCATCTCTATCGAGCCGACGTTTCGTTCTCGCCACCCACCGCCCACTCCACTGACAGCAGCATGCTACACGTGGTCTTACTGGGACCCCGTGCCCCCTTCAACCGCTTGGTCGCTTAGTTGGTACGTCTGCATCCACCGCAGTCCAACTATATAGAGCCACCTGTATTCCGTGTAACCCGCCTCGTCTTCGACCTCGCTCACTAGCCCGCACCTTCTCTCAACTTCCGGTCAGATCCCAGTCGCCATATCATTCGTGGACTTCCAAACAAGGGATACCGGTGGCGATCTGTAATGGTAGCACAACGAGGCGGGAAATAATCGGCGCCAGCTAGGTATTCATCGTCCGACACAGCATCTGCGAAAGACGTTATCGAAAGCCGAGGTCAATGGTGGCGCGTCAAGTCCATGAAGGCTTCCACGTTCCGATGCCTCGATAATAGATAGAGTTCGAGAAGCCGCACACGCTACGACCTCCAGTGCATTTGCATTTCCGCTTCAGGCGACGGACATGCTCGACATCTCTTAGTCAACCTGCATCGTCTCCTCAATCCCGCCGACGTGCGAAGCAGTGCCATATTGACGCAGATAGGCGTTGTTCGGTGCACTGGTTCGCCCGTCCTGCTTCACGAGCTCTCATCCAGTGTGCCCACACCTTCTATCCAGATTTGCTATGACGTTGCTGCATGGTACTACCGTGGCCTTCTTGGAGCGCAAGCATTCGTTCGCAGATCGCCACCCAAAGGAACACGTACTACCCGACCTTTCACCCGTCTGCTCCCATGCTCAACCCGGTTTTCAACTGCAGTCGTACAACTGATATCTCAACACGGCGCATGGCTAGTGTCGTGAACCAGCATTGACAGCAGGGCCAACGCGGACTAATCCGTCTACTGATGATGGGTGTGTCGAAACAGACAGTTTTCGTGGATGATGAGTTCCATACCTCCACGACTAGAAGTTACGAGCAACTGCTGTCATGCAAATTGTGAGCCTCGATTTCCCGAATTAGGATGAGAGATCTATGGCTTAAGCCACGATCGGATGGGTCTTTCCCTTCATGGCGATATCGGCGTTTCGTACGACAATGACAACCTGGTACATTTTTCCATGCAAGGCAGACGGCAATATCTGACCGTCACCTATCTCAAGAACACCTTCCCCTATCAGGAGCAAGTTAAGACTCAAGCGTGGAGGCGCTGAGCAGGTGTACGCTGTAAGTAGGAGCTGCGTTCAGGGCTTTCCCCTTGGATTGACCTCCCGGTCCTGTTCCACTTCTCTCGGCTTGTGCTCACTGAAGTGAATCTAGTCATGTGATTTAGGGTATACCTAGGTACATAGGGCGGGACTCTACCGAGCAGCCCCGCCGAACATGTCACGAACGGGTGGGTCCACAAAGACTTCCTCACACCAATATTTTGTTCTTCGAGTTTATCTTTACTTCTTCTGAGGAAACCTTCACACTACACAGGCTTTGTATACGTGAGCTCTACGGTATTTCCACAAAAGGCCCTTGACACAGCTCTTTCCAGTCGTTTCCTTGCGCCAATCATACAGGTGTGACTCACTTCACATTTTTCTAACCTCCCCACTTCTGGACGATCTGCTAAATTCGCTGCCCGAAACAACGATTGGGTTCCAAAAAGACGGGATGAGGCTCCGTTGCAGCCCAGCGGTATCCACCCTTGTGCGTGATGTGCTTTGCATCAGCCCAACGTGGACCCACCCCAGCGCCTATTTTGGGCCGCTCCATACCTCTACACCAACACCATGTTTCCCGCCACCACGCCACATGGCCGTACATTAGCCCAAAAGACATGTTTAGAGTTGCTCTGTAGGGCTCAAAGGTGGAGGATCTGCAACTTCGAGCGCGGAATGGGTCTTGCGCTCCACCTGCGCGGCCGGAAATTGAACGGTTGCCAATGCGTCGGACTCTGCGAAAACGTGGCAAGAGTTTGAGATTGAATACGTATGCGTATACATGGGCACGCCAACCGAGAGTGGAATTCAGGGCGTCCGTTTTGCAAGATCCGAACTCCTGGGTCTTTCACTGTCGGCGGGCTTGGCGGTGTGCTTTGACTGACTTGGGAACAGGTTGGGTCACTGCGGAGCTGTCTGGATCCACACAAGTCGACTAAGTTACTGTGAGCTAAGCGCTGGGCTGATCGGTTCAAGGGTCTGCTTTCCAAAATTATGCCTTGTCGGTGCAGAGGAGAGGCAGCATCGTGTGAATTTGAAGTACACTAGGATACACTTTACCAAATTAGGCCATGAAGAGGCTGTACACGACGTCGTATGCACAGCGTTCAGTCAAGCTCTATAATTGCGTCTATATCCTGAGCTTATGGTGCAAAATGATGACTTCGATGGAAGTGTACCCTGGCTTCAAGGCGTCGCCATACGATAGATCTGCATGCTTACTTCAACGTCAGCTTCACAAAATCTTGCTACAGGATTGAGTGCAATCCAGTGGTCTTCTATGCATCTTCCAAAGAGCTCACCCAGGAAGCGAGCATCATGCGGTAGGATCGCGACAAGCATTGAACTTGTTTGATCAACGTTCTGTACACACTCGTGGGACCGCGAACCAGGTAAAACCCTCTAGGATATTCATTTCCGTATACAGTGCCTATGACACTCTCTCCTCACTCCATGCCCAGATCTACAAGTACACAAGCCCTCTCTCCCTACCAGTCCCTCACTGGAAGCTAGTCCAGATTCCAAAAGAAGGTAAAACTACGCTATTAAACACGAAAGGTATACTATGCTACAAACCGCTAAACGACGATGCACTTTCTCTCCCGCTTCCATTTCTTCACTCACTGCAGCTCATGTCTCTGATGGACCTGTGCAGCTGCAACCTTTACGTCAGTGGGAAGAGTATCCAACCTCGGATTGCCTCCAATCTCCGGCGGCTCGGTATGCGCCTCGTGGACTTGCGCGTACTTCACCATGCCGGTCTCGTCGTACCCTGGGGGATATGGGTTGCCTGTCCTTCGTTTTCGGAACAGGAACCATCCAAAGAGTAGGCCGAGGAGGAGGGCGCAGGGAATGCCGACGCCCATGCCAACTTTGGCACCGGTGGAGAGGCCTGAACTTGAGACTGGCTGTGCGTCGCCTGTGGATGTCGCAGCGCCCGTGGAGACTGCCGTGTTGGTGGTCCCAGTCGAGCTTTGTGCTGAAGGGGTTGTGGTTGTAGCGGAGGTCGATGCCACTCCGGCGGTGGGGTTTACGGTTACGGATCGGAGCATCGCGGTGTCGGAGCTTTGGAACATTACTACTATGCCGTTTGCAAATGCGTGCGATGCACCGGCCGAGTATATGCCTGTCAGGCAGCCAGTCAGCTTCAGCTTCCTCTGAATCATGAACGGGGAACGACTTACTGGTGCTCACAGGGCCGATGCTGAGCGTGCCGAACTCATCATTGCCAGGAACAACGTATTTCAGAGTTTGGTCCTCCTTTATGGTCGAGGTACAGACGTGTCCTTGTGTGTAATATGAAAAGCCACTGGAGCGTATCAGTTTCGAGGTCGGTCTACGTTCAGGGTGTCGCGACTGGACTTACGAGGGACAGCAAAGTACGGCAGTGGTACTGGTTCCCACGGATAACGACGTCAACGCGTCATTCTTCGGTATGTTGTCCGAGTATGTGGTGGCCACTGTCCATTCTTTTGGACAGATTGCTGGACTGTCTATGTCCCGTGGTGGTCAGTATCATAGCTTTGGCTGCTTCGCCTAGTTTGGAAAGCAAAGAAACTTACAGTAGTACAGGTCCCATGCACTCGCTGGCTTGATGTCGTTGTACTTCAGGGTTCCCATGGGGTAACACGCGGTGTCTATAACGCCTGATGCGCCCCAGCCATAGTACATATTGGCGTCTTTTGACATTGTGTTCGAGCATGATGGTGCCGGCTCCCAGTACTTTGTGATCGGTCCGCGGTTGAAGGCTTCTATCGACGCCTTGGCCGTGATCATCGTCGTTTCCGGCATGGTCGAAGTGGGGTTTTCGTCCGACATCTTGAAGTCGACTATAAAGACCGTCCCGTGCGCAACGCCGTTATTAAAAATGGTAGTGACAGTGTCGAGGAGGGATCAGTACCACCGTCTGATCGAGTCCTGAGGAGTTCGTCTGGCCACGGGGACGGCTTGCAGAAAACGTTGAGACGAGTCGCACGAGAGCAAGCGAAGGGAGGATGTATCCCATGCAGCAGACACGCGAGTAATGGTTTTCTCGGGAAGACAAGAGGACCTGGGGCTGTGCTGACTGTAGAGGGCCAAAGCGTAGCAGGGCGTAACGGGGCGGACATCCTACGGTTGCTTCAGCCTGCGACAGTTGAGAGATAATTTTCCGCAGCTGCAGTAAAACTGTTGGCAATCTCCTATCCACAAGTCCATCATGCAAGACATTAAAGCCGGCTACTTGATGATGACTATGGTACAAGTGCATATGGTATGTACGGGCGTTGTGTATCTGTAGCAGAGCGCAGCCGTTGGCCCCCGCTTCTACGCGCCGGCGGCTGAATCCTTCGCCTTCCTTACCACAAGCGGGAGTATTTGTTGGCGGGCGTTAGGCACTTCGGGGATCGTGCACTACTCATGGCTTCATGCATTACCGTTTCGGCCCCCATCGCCCGGCAACTAGCGGCTCTATCTGATTTAAGCTTACCTTAAAGAGTTTCGGTTAGCTGAGGGTAGCATTAGCGAAGGCTGGAACCTGGGTCGAACAGGCGGAAACCTCGATGCACGGTCTTTGCTGGCTGAGTTGCGAGATGAGGTAGATCTGGACCCTAGGTGGGTACGCTAGATTCAAGACAAGTCATGAGCGTTGCGTCTTCCTATAGTCATGGAAGCAAAACATAACAGTCGATGCATGTGCAGATGTTGGAAGACGTACCAAAGTTGCGTTTAGATATCCATACAAGGCAAATTGCATGGTGAGGTTCAAGGTGAACGCCAGTGCAACAGATGTAAGATGGGCACGTGCGCAGACCCTTGTAGCAAATCATGCCTTGCCATCGTGTTGTTGTTGGCTCCCGCTATTCCCGAAGACCGCATCCATGTCCGTCCGTGTCCGTACCCACGTCGTGTTTCATGTCTCAATGATACTTAAGGTTGAGAATAGCCCGGTGCTTGAAGCCACAAGCAAGCCTCGTAGACTGCTTGTGGACTGCTCCTATAGACTGCTCGTAGACTGCAGGTAGAAACTGGTTAGACCTATCTAGTAAAAGATAATAGGGGAGTGAGAAGCAGGCAATCCTACGTAAGTCCTGAGATGATCTCAGGTGTTGAAGGCTGAGGGGCAGTGAGCACTCTTTGTGCATCTGAAATGAGAACGCGGCCGGATATTGCGGGTATTGGACAACCAATAAGTAGCCTTATGTTGCCTCTCACGTCAAGATGAAGGTCAGATATGAGCTTACCATCGAACAAATGATTGGGTAAACGCTACCTACAACGACATCTCCTGTGGTGCATCATTCCATAGTAAGTGCTAATAAATCGTACCTGACTGTGCACGATCAATGTTCATGTTCGAACAAGAGGAGGCTGTCCAAAGCTATAGTAAACGTGACATTGTTGCTCCACTGACCGATGTGATGGTTTAGTCGTCCCGAAACCGGTTCCTCGAAGCTCATATGTTGGGTTACTGGGTATATATTCGGATAGCAAGCCACGAATGGTCCAATATTGAAGTACATGTTCTTATCCGCTAAACATACCTAGGTACCGTAAATGATGTAAGACGTTTCTTCCCAATTCGAATTAATTGTACTGTATCACCAGCTCACCCCTTGTCACATCTCATACATACTAAGATCCTACACACGCCCTTTATACCATTGACGTTTGACGGTTGAGCGACAGCCCTCAATGAAATTTGTTCTTCTCAGCACCAACGTCGTTCTCCAGGAATACCTCAATCTTCTCGTCCATCTTGTGCCCGATATCATTACAGAACAGGCATGCGATGATAGCGCAGATTCCAAAACTCAGCGAGCTCAGTGCCGTTGTGCGCAAACCAATTACGTAGCTTTGCGTGAACGCCGCACCGGCTGCTGCAATTATTTCAGAGGTGATGCCTGGGACTTTAGCGAGGGCTTCGGCTCCTAGAGGTAAGGCGGCGAGGAGCGCGGCTACAGAAGAAGCTGGAAGACCGGCAGCAATCGCAGCAGCGGGGACTAAACGGGTGGCGTTGGTAGATTGGACGTTTGTGAGGATCGTGGTGTATACTATCCGCTTGTGAGCAACTCAAAGTTCGACAACCCCGGATCGTGCATACGACGGGATGCGAAACGTACCGGAGATAGCGATAGCACCCCCTGCAAAACGAGACACGCCAGCAAGGCCTCCAGAAATACCCAATTCCACCTGCGGAACGCCAAACTGGATGAACGCAATGGACAGATACTGTGCCCAGCCAAACCCAGTCATTGAAAGGAATACAAAGGCCATTATCATGCCTTTCCTCTCAGGATTGCCTAGTCCAAGAAGCGCACCAAACAAAACCATAACAGTCACTGAAGCGGTAAGAGTCCACTTCCAGTGGCCGATCTTGCTGCCGAAGATCGTTAAAAGGGCAGCCCCGAAGCAGAGACCTACCATTGTCAGTAATAAGCCAGATATCGAGGGACAAGTCTTCTCACCCAGGTTCTGTGGTAGCGTCAATACAATCCCATACTTGAAATCGGTGCTCGCATCCGTGAAAAACACCGCAATCATAGTCGGATAAATAACGTTAGTAGCATAATAAAACATCGTCACCACAAAGCCCACAATGAACGGGAACGTCAACTCCCTTCCCTTATCCCTCGTAAACACATGCGGCGGCGTAAGAGGCTGCTTCAAATCCGCAAATGTCTCCCATAACGCGAACGCAACAAGACAGGCAAAGCCGCTGACAAGCGTGCCGATGACTTTGGGGGAGGAGGAGGGGAGAGTGGTGGTGTAGACGATGCCGACGAGGATAAGGGTTGCGGCAAGGATGAAGAGGATGGCGCCGATATAGTCGAGTTCTTTGAAGGCTTGTTTTGTGGGGAGGCCGCGGGGATGTTTTGGAGGGAAGTAATAGAGGTAGAGGCCGAGGAAGGAGAAGAAGACGGCGATAGCAGGGGCGTAGAAGAGCCAGCGCCACTGGAGGATGGATCAGTTGGTATTGAGAGCGTACGTCAATCGTACACGTGGATAGACTTACGGAGTCTCCATGCTGAGCTGCGAATCTTCCTGCGACTGGTCCAACGACTACTGCGAAGTAGACACCAGCATCTACAGTTCGTTAATTACCTGAAGTGGGTTCGGTAAAGGGGTCTATACCGGCGAGCACAATCGCTGCTGCACGCCATTTATTCGGCAGCAGCTCGGGCAGCGCAAAAGCCGCAAGCTGAGCATTTCCTGCGCCCTACACTGATCAGAAACCTCCTCTCTACTCACGATCATGGACTCACAAATCCAATCAGAGCCATAGCCGCCAGCATCGAAGTATTATTCTTCGCAGATCCACCCACAATAAACCCAACAAACATAATCACGTTTCCAGTCACAATGAACCATCTTCGACCGAACAGGTCGCTGTTGGCACCGCAGACCATAAATGCGATCGTCACAGTCATGGTGTACAAGCTCACATAGAACGCTGCCGCGCTAGGATCACCGAGCTGTGTTGCGGTGACGGTCTGGCATGCACTGATGGATGGGACGATCCAGAAACTGATACCGTAGGACAGGGAGAGGATCCGCAGAGTGCATTAGCGCGCAATTGCAGGAGAGAAATCTCAGGAGGCGTATGGCACTTACAATGACGACACACCATGTTTTGAGAGTGACCTGGTACTGTATATCGCTCTGTGGGTGGTGTGCGGCTGGTGGATTATGGATGTCTTTGGCTATCAAGTCTGCAGGTGTTTTCTCGGCATCTGCGGAATTAGACTGCCGCTCTACATCTGGTTTCTGTTCCGAAGCTGTCATTATGAAAGATATGGTGGAAGCCCAATCGCTTCACGGATATGTTGATTGAACGATACAACTTTCAAAGGACCCGCAGCGAGGGCACGCCGGTGGAAATCTCTCTGCATATATACTTGCTGTACATGTACGAGTTATCGCGGCCTGACTTGCATATAAGCTTATGCGCGAGCGCACGCCAGTGTTTACGCCAGCCTGGCACCACCCACCTGCATCTTTCTTTCTACAGATCTGTGAGCTAAGCTGGATGTGACCGAGCTAGCACGCTCATTGGGGAATAATTCGATCGACAAAGGTTAGAAAAGACACTTGAAGTTCGAATGCAAGGCGCGTGATTCATCGACCCTGACGATCCTCAAGGATATGGTTTTCCGGTCCAATACCCCACGGGGAAGTATCGCCTATAAATCTTCACTACCGGTGCGGGGATATTCAATGTCGGCGAAGCACGTCTTCTGCGGGAAGCTTTCTTTGTGTAGAGTCACCAGCGGACCCTTGCCGTAGATCACTGAGTCGCGTAACTTCATAGGACGAAATTATATGGCGAATATGTGAAGTGCCAACGAAAGGGCGCATAGCATGTGCGTAAGCATAGAAGGAAAGCTCTGTTGGCAGTAAGCATCAGAAGAGGATGCGATGTACGTTATGTGCGAGGGTTGCATTGCGCGTTGAACGGTGAGAGATGTAGTCGAGAGCGTGGTGACAAAAAGCGGAGTAGATACTCGACTTCGTGATGCGCTAATCCATGTTTGGGGAACTGAACTATGGTATTATTTAGGCATAGAGCGGTAGAGCCTAATTATGATAGCTAATGTTCAGTTACACGAATTCGACAGAATTGACCTGCTGGCTTGACTTGTTACGGCAACCATGGTAGACCATAGCGGATTGCGAAGTATCAAAAGGTTGAATCCTTGAGTAGAAGGTTGTGGTTCCGAATCTCGTGCCAGGTGGGTTGATACCTTGATAGTTGCATCTCTATGCTGGCTTCATCTATGATTCTGATCTTATGGGTAAGTGTTGGGCGACATATGAAGTGTAAGCCACGGTTTGATGCAAAACTTGTGGCGGAAACCCTTGAGTAATCCGACTTTGATACAAACGGCCTCAAATGAAAATACATATAGACTGTGACTTCCGAATGAACCTAATGAATCTATTTTTGAGGCTGTCGAAGTTGAAGAATCACAAAAATGAATACCGAGTTAATATCAACGATGAAGTACGTATTAGCCCTTGATACAGCTGTTGCATGACTAAGCAAACTCACTTCTACTATCTGCGACATGGAGTTCCTTCGGAACCAGACCATCCACCGCCGGTCCTTTTCCGGTTTCCGTTCACCTCCCCTGAATAGCAAATGGGCACCGCCAACACCTCGCCGCAACACTGTCAGCCTCGACAGAAGGCCTCACCGGCGGAACTCTTCCACAGCTCCCTTCCTCCCAGCTGTCGTCGCTAACGCTGTCACGCGTAAAGCGAAAGAGGAGGGCCTTCTTGAAGCCGCTCGCCAGGCCAGGCTCCTCGGCACAATGGCCCAGCTCATCTTCGACATGCTCATACATAGCAACGACCATGTACCCAACCCTGATCCCATCTGCGGCATCGTTGGTAAATATCGAGGCTTCTACTGCAAAAAATGCAATATGACATGGACTTTCACTCGCTCCTTTGGTGAACACTTCATTACAGAGCAGCACCTGAACGCAGGTCAACCTGCAGATGCAATGGGATACAATCAATTAATCGAAGCGATCTGGCAGTCGAAAAGTACTTTTTTTAGACGCATGGATCTCTTTAACGATGAAAGCGAACTTCGAAGGCTGGTCATGGACTGCGTGGCGGCCTTGAAGCGGATGAAGGTCAACTGGGAGGCTCTTGGAAGGGAAGATTTCTGGACAAGGTCCATATTCACTAGATACATCCTTGCTGTAAGGTTCGGAAACGGTATCGTGGAATTGTTCGACCTCGACTGGCCTTTCGGCTTCAGAATCGAGGAAAATTGGGGGGATTCTCGGAGGCCACGCATGGTCGAGTATCGTCCGAACAAGTACGATACACCACTTCCAGGCCAGCGTTTCTTCAGGGCGGCAAACGTATTCCAAATTGGGTACTGGTCTGCTTGGCCTGTGCTCAGATGCACTACTCCTGATCTGTGGGTTCGCCAGTTGTTCCCACGAACCCATTATACTGGTGGTGAAGAGACACCGGTTCCTGTAGAGCATAGGCGCGGCGAGGTGCGATGTGGTATCTGCCTCATGTCCTTCGACGAGCCGAGCATCGAAATTGTTGCAGTCAGACAATGCAAGCATATCTTTTGCGGTCGTTGCCTGGACACTTGGTGTGACATGGAGCGAGAGGCGAGCATAACCGTTCCGTGTCCTCTGTGTCGAGGCATCATTGGTTGGGCACCGAGCACCCTAGTCCATGCATACAAACGCTGCAAAGACACGAGGAAGGTGCCTTCTAATTACTGGGCGTATGAAGAGATCGTGTGGTGGAAAGCGTATCTGGAAGAGAAACGAGAGCGTCCGCCGAGCGTTCAGGACGTGGAGTTGTTGCAGTCTGCATGGAGATTTTGAGTTCACGTTAGTTATGGTATGAGTTGCGAATGAAGTGAGCGTGCAGACGGCGAGGAGGGTCGGTGCTTGTTGAGATAAAATTCGATTTTGAGGTACGTCAGCAGTGCGGCGTATTCAATAGATGTTATGACCACAACGCCAACCCAATGCATGCTCTTTACTATACACATCCTACATGCCGCAATTCGTAAATCGCGAACATAGCGCTACCCTCATTTGAAGTTCGCCTGCCCTGGTATATCCTTGATTTCCTCGAACTTTGTACCCATCTTGACGATGGAATACCGTATCAGGCGAGGATCCAAACTCATTGTGCGTCGTAGCGAATGCTGTGTGCGAGCGCTGGCGTCGAAGCGCATGATGAAGTGGTGGCCGACGTTGTGGGAGGACTGCAGCTTTTTGGCGGGCTTCGGGAGGAGGAAGGTGCCCCAGTTGGTAACACCGCGGACGACGCCGTTCCTCTCGAGGACGATCTTGCCGGCGGTCTTTGCGATTCTGGAGGCGCGGGTCAGAAGGGCGCTGGGGTGGGAGAGGAGAGGAGGTTTACTCTTTGACTTCGGAGAGGCGGCCGGGGCGCACCTGTTGCTGTTAGCATCATCGTCGCTTCCATCTCTACGGGAGGATGCGCACCACTCCAATCATCTCGTACAGCATGTTGGCGGGCCGTCGCGATGCGCGTGTGTCTGGGGTGGATTATTTGAGGATTCTCAGATGGTTGCCCGACGGCCGACCGCCGCGCTGCCAGATTTTTCTAAATCAGTATTAGCTCCAACGCGGACGTCCCGCATCATTCGCTGCTAGCTCGACAGCTCCAAGCCCGACTGTCCAGGACATCTTCACCGAATCTCGTCCTCTCCGCTCCTCCAGCACACAAAACACTTTCAAAATGGCCGCCCGCTTCTCCGTTGCCCGCGCCGCCCGTCAATTGACCTCGTCCGCCCGCAGACAATCGCCGTTTGCTTGCCAGTGGCAGAGGTCCAGCGTCCAGCAGCAACGGCTATTCACGGTGTCCGCTCAATGTGCGCACTTTTGCTATCGCACAGTCTGACGAGTGTTACTGATGGCCGCGCAGTGAAGGAGAAGAAATATACCGAAGACCACGAGTGGATTGAGGCTTCTGCCGACGGCAAGACATGTACGTCGCATTGCTCTCACCTTCCCCACCTCCACCACCTCCCCTGCAATTGCATGCTAACAACCTGTCTAGTCACTCTCGGTATTTCGGAGTACGCAGCGAAAGCCCTCGGCGACGTTGTCTACGTAGAGCTTCCCGAAGTCGACCTTGAAGTCGGCTCCGGTGAGGCTATTGGCGCCGTCGAGTCGGTCAAGTCTGCCTCAGACATCCTCAGCCCCATCGGCGGCACTGTTACCGAAGTCAACGACGCGTTACAAGAGAAGCCCGGAAACCTAAACAAGGACCCTGAGGGTGACAGCTGGATTGCTAAGATTGCCATCAGCGGCGAGCCTGAGGGCAAGCTGATGAGCAAGGAGGAGTACACTGCTTTCACCGAGGAGGCATAAGCCGTTGCTGTTGTAAAACTGCAAAGTGTATATGACGAGTCCACAAATTTCAACAAGCCCGCAGCCACCATCTGGTCTGTCTTTAAGACATGTTCGTTCTTATAACGTGCGAACAAGTTGACCTAACAATACTCTCTATCATGACAACAAGCCAACAAACAAACCAACGAACACAAGATACAACCCTTTGAGACGTTTTCCCAATCCCTATTTTCGTCTTCCACAACCTTAGTCACCACTGTTCCCCTCGCATGCCCCGTCGCCGTCTTCGCAAACGCTGTCTCAAAGTGCTCGAGCCTCCATACACTATCGACCCACCCTTCACCAACCCCTTTCATTAAAGCTCCCAATAGCCGCCAACTCACTCCCCATACTGATTAGGAAGGACCAATCGTTCTTCACACCATTTGGCTTCCCGGTCTCAGGTGCCCAGAACCCCGGAGCAACCGAGATGTAAGCGCCGTTATCCTCGATAGCATTTGATCCATCCAGCATCGCCGTCCCACTCACACAGTCAAGCACCAGATCAGATTGTTTCTCCTTTATCGAGGTGGTGATGTTGAAGATGATGGCTTTCTGCTTTTGGGGGAGAGAGGGCATCGTAATGTCGCATGAAGGAAGTTTTGAATTTAGACTGGATTGGATTGTCGGTTGGGTGGTATTGATCTAAGACAGGCCACCAATGCTGATTTTGTTGTTGTGATATCGACACCTCATCGACTTTCGTCTTTTTCACCTCTTATATTTATTTTCTCACCCTCTCCATACGGAGTCTGCTCAAGCCCTAATCTTCCCCTTCCCATGCCATCCTCATTGCCATCCTCACCACCAAACCAAGACCGACACACCGTTGACCGATGCTCAACATGCAGCATCGCGATGTAGTAATCGAGCCTCCCCTTGCCTTGGCCTGCGCACCGCTAACTAACGGCATGTACGTCACACTACCATGTGCAGACGCCAGAACAGCAAAAACATCGTGCATGCAAGGAACTAGCCGTGGTGCTGCAACAAAGAGTCAATAAGCGGCGCCTCGGCCGCCAAGCCTCGGTATCTCGGATGGTTTTGCCTACACAGGAGTATAATCACCATGGAACTACGCGAGCAAAACAAGAAAGCAAAACCGATACGCAAAGAAAAAGATTGCAAAGATCAGATAAGTTCAAGATGAGATGGACGCCATTGACTAAGGCATGACGCGTTTGATAGAAACACACTCCTCCCTATCTACCTATGCTCAGCCGCTTATGCAATCCTGCTATGAAAACATATTTTGTCTCGCCTTCTTTTGGCTTGATGAATCTTCGAACTGTTTCTGAGTCAGTATGGGAGCTGTGAAGTCAACTCGAGTTACACGTACCTCCAAGAATCCGGTGACCTCAACCAGAACCGTGAAGCAGTCCACCAACTCGCTCAGGTCCTCCACTAGAATGCCGTCTTGTCCTATCCCCGCACCGACGTTGACACTCCTCTTGAAAATGGCGACCATGCTGTGTCTGCTCTCCTTGAGGAATTCGCGGGCCGCGAAAACCGTCTGGTCATTGTTGCGTCCACGTGCCAGCACCGCCGCGTTGATCACGCGCAGTACAGCAAGCATGAGCTCATAGTACTTCTTGAGCGCGTTGGGGTCATCGAATTCGAGACCAATATCCGGATCCACGTCAAAAATTCGCGAGTCGCGGGTGGAAGGGAATAGGCCCGCATTGAGTACGGAAGTGGCGCCAACGTGGGTTTGACATATTCTGAGGAGGAGTGCAAGACTGGCGTCGTAGAAGGATAGTAATGTTGATATTTGAGGCCCAGTAGCTGCTTTGAGTTCCTCGGGTATGTGCTTGATATTGTCGACGAGCACACCAGTGAAGTTCAGCGAGCCGAATGTGTCAAGCATATATTTGGATTCCTGGCGAGTGGCTACTGCAACAAGAGCATTGAGCAGGAGCAAAGCTGAGATGCGGCAATTGCCGTCGCCACTGTATGCGTCATCGCATACTACCTCTAAGAGTTGGCTGCCACAGTTCTTAATCGTAGTCAGCGTGTGCCGTCCCAGCAGGGAGCCTCTGGTGGCCTTTTCGAAGGTGCCATGGATATACCGGAAACAGATCTGGTAGCAATATTCTCGAAGCTCGGGGGTTGTGATGGAGCTGTATATGCCTGCTAGAGCTGCACGGAAGAGCTGTGAGAGCCGATCATTTGCCAGATCGCCATTCCTCGTCTTTTCGAAAGCATTGGACTTGAGGTCGATTTTCTCGATGAGGGTCTCGGAAAGACTAGCTAATTGCAATGCAGTGCTCGGGTCCGTTCCGTAAGAAAGCTCGAGTTTAGGGAGAATGACTTGCAAAGCTTGGAGGATGAAAGCCGTTCGTTCACTGTCATCGAATTCACCTGCGTGGAGTGTGACCATCAACAGCTGGACCCACGACTGCAAGATGTCTTTGTGATAGCGAGCGAGTTGTCTGCGACGATTCCAATCCTCAAAGAGCTCAAGCAACATATCACCCTCTTGTACCCTCCTGATCTCTTCTTCACCAGCCAGACCTTCAAATTTTCTCCAATACTTCATCTTCAGCAGCATGACCTGTTCCAAAAGAGGTATTGAATACGTGGCAACGCCGTCCTTGTCTTCCTGACAAGATTCAAGGTTGACTCCGATGAAGAATTCGTGGTGCATTTCGCCTGGCTCGGGGTAGGAAAGTTCCATGAAGTCAAACAGGTTGAAAATGTCTGCGGTGCGTATGGTGTCTTCGCCGGGTCGGATAGCTGTACCGAGCAGAAGGGACTGGATTCTAGTCCTCAAGCTAAAAAGTCCTTCCTTCACACTGTATCGCAATTCACGTGACTCGTAATCCAGGAAAGCGGCGCGGCGCTGTAGGAAAAGTTGGAGTGAAAGAGCAGGCTGGCCTGTGAAGAAGGACGACATCGCACCCGCCGCGACCTCTTCGAGGCCCTGCTGAAGGGACATTCCATCCCAGGGGGTACGCAGGTCAACAACTTGAAGGCGGATCGCCTCCTCGAAGGGCATGCCGAATTCCCGCATCTGCTCCATGACGATGCTGCCAGTCAACGGTGATCTCCACAACCTCTGCAGGATTTCCCAGCACTTAGTCTTGATAACGGACATCCACGCAATGTAATTACCACCATCTTCAGCAGGATAATGGTAAGCAAGTAGTAGAATCGCATGGAATAGAGAACTCTCGTTTTCGAAAAGGCTGTCGGGAGCAACCTTTACCGCGTTGTTCTCGCAGGACAAGCCAAGAAGGATATGGGCTATTGTAGGCCTTTGTGACCCAGCGATGAGGCAGCTGTTGAGAAATTCGAGGATTCGGAGTTTGATGATGTAACCTGGTGCTTCTTGCAGAGCGTCAAGCTCATCCACATTGAACTTGAGAAGGCTGGATAACGATCGACCGATACGTTCTGCTTCGTTGTCTTTCTCGAGAATTCCAACGATCTTGCTACGGCCGGTACGTTGTCCAAAGCCGGCTGGGGATACTGCAAGCTTTCGTGATGATGCCATCTTCTCCAAGAGTTGAAGAGAGGCAATTGTAAGCGACTCGTGTCCGGTACCACAATAGAGGCCAAGATCCACGATGATTTGGAGGTTGTTGAGAATCGCGTCCTCGAAAGAGGCAAGCGAGAGGTTCGAAACGGGTGAACGCTGCATAGAGGTTTGTTGCTTGAGCAGCGGACGGACGATGTCTAGGTAGGTAGCCTGTAGCTTCATGACTAGGTCCATCACCTCTATGCTCAACATCAACGATTGAACTAATGGTGAGTCGGTAGGAGTGGCATCAACTTCGGCCACGTTGTGATGGGACGATGCGAAGAGGGCTTTGATAACCTTATCGTTGAAAAGCCATTCCATGACCCTCGTGAAAGGGTGCAGGGTGACATATACAGCCAACGATGAGGTTTCTATGACTTCGTCAACGGGAATGTGTGACTTGTTAGCAAAGACAACCAGATTCTCGTTGAAAGTCTGCAAGCACGTGACCATGAATTTCAGACAGGTCCATCTCAATACATGGCGCTGCAATGGATCTTGCACTTCCAGGCTTCTGTCTGCAAATACTTGCTGCATGACAAAATCAATGTAGTTCTCGATGCCGGGAATGCGTCGATTCGAGCCCAAAGCTTCTGGGAATGGGAGACTGTCGTTAAGCGTGTCGTTGTCCGGATATGGCTCCACCAGAGCTTGTAACAGGCGTATGAAGGCGATTGACTCGTCATACCCGTCTGCAAGAGTGGCCCATAATTCGTCGCGCGGGTTTGAGTTCAGAGCACTCGTTTGCTTTGAGCTAACATAGAACCCAGAAACCGTCCATTCATCCAGAGCATTCCACGTCGCAGTGGACCGCTCCTTGCCCTTATCCACAAGCAGGGCCGACGCAGCATCGAATGCGGCTGCGCGAAGGCCAGTGACAACTTTGTCAGTGCACAGCCCGAAGCATATACCCACCAGATTATATTCTGGATGTTCTAGAACATAGCGTCGTGCCAAGGCAGACTCGCGACAGAGATGGGCTAGCAAACGCAGGTAGCTTTCGAGCATCGTTGCACTTTCAGGCTCCACAATTTGGTCTACCGCATGTTGTGACGGTGCATACAAGCTACCTTGGATGGTCTTCTTCGGCTCATGAATGTTGAGCTGGAATTCCATCAACTCATTATATATGTGAGTATAGCTGAGAGAGCTGGTACGTCGGATTTTACCAGTAGAGGATGCTCCTTCTTCCAACAAAAAGCGATGCGCAGAGTCGGCGTTGGCGTTTCCAGTAGATATTGCGCGAAGCATTTCGCAGAACATAGCAATCCGCGGCGTAGGTTGACGTTTGGCTGCCCACTGGAGGAAACCGTAGAGGTTGCTCTCCTTGTCGGACCAGAAGTCTTCAGCAGCGTCTGGTGAGCCGTCGTATGCGTAGGAGACGATGACAAGGAACCGCTCGAGATGCAGAGGATATTCTCCTGTGGACTGTTGGAAATGTAGCTGTAGGCGCCTCCGCTGGTCGTCCTCTTCCGCTTTTAATTTCCGTAACGTATCAGGCATGTTAGTGATGAAGGAATCCACGAAGTACTGCAGCTGCTCAGTCACGAGAATTCGAAAGAACTCTTCAGGCTGAGGTGACTCAGGGGCCAAGACGGCCGCATCTTGCAAAAGTGACGAGATCATGCTGGTCTTCTGAGGATCGTACCAACGCGTTGGCCGAACGTCTTGGCTGAAAGAGAGCATGAAATGGAATGCACCGTCGTCGAGAGTACGCATAAAAGCCTCAGAGCGAAAAGTAGCTTCTTGCTCGAAATCTACACCGTTGAGATCGACGTCCTGCTGGTTTGGATCGGTGTATCGTCCACTGTACTCGGCTAACCACCAAGCTAATGTCGCTGCATGCAGACCTCGCTGTGCCCATGGTTCGTTATCCCTGGCAGCAAGCAGTGAGCTATGGAGCGCCCTCGCATCCTTGGTTACCGTATTCGCCTCAGAGGCAATATGTGAGATTAGGCGCATTAAGACGGGGACGTAGTGAATCGTTATGAGGTCGTGTTTATCGATGTTCCTTGCTCGAACGAGGAGGGCCTTCAGGTTTTCCATATTGGCGAAACCCTTTCTGATCATGTGCGTACAGATGGCAGAAAGGTTTTCGTGCTGGCGGGTGAGGCTCTGCAGCTGATAAGTCATTACCTCATTAAAACTCGCAGATTGAGCCTGGCCAACGACTTGGACACTTTGAAGACGTTCCGCAATTTTCTGCAACCAGTTTTCGATATCACCCATGCTGTCTAGGCACTTTCCCCAGAAATGATATGCGGACGCGAAGTTGTTCGTCCCATGAACACCAACGATATAGTCTACGGCCAGTTGCAGCGTGCCAATGTCCGCAATCTCGTCTTCGCCACTGTCTAGCGCCGCCTTCATCAGAATACGCAAGCACAGAAGGATGTATTCGCGGCGACGATGGAAGCGAATAATGGCAGTTTGCGCCTGCGGGCGGTCGAGGTCTTGCGCCTCTTGCTGGGCACCCATGAAGCATGCAGCAGCTTCCAGCTCATCCAGATCCAGCTCTTCGGCTACATTTAGGGCCTCCTGCTTAAATTCGTCGTTTACCTCATACTCTTCTTCGTCAATCGTGATCTTGCCTACACCATAACATCAGCGTCGCTCCTGTCACACTTGACTATTGAATGTGCGCCTACCCGAGCCGAGCGCATTCCTGCTTTGATCGTTCTTTCCCTTTTTGTTTACGAGCGCTTTGAATTCGTCGAGGTGGTCCTCGAGGTTCTGGCGCAGACGATCGAGCGTAGTGAGGCGGTTGTCAATGAGGGCGCAGAGGTCGCGGTGCAGCGCCTCGAGGGCCTGGAGGCTGTCGTCATCAGCCATGGGGAATTCGCAGGGAGGCTCTGCGCATCATGCGCGAGGTGAGGCGGGGAGCAGGTCGTTTATGTGGGATGCTGCGGGCTGCAGCTCAAAGTTTCCTTGACGCGCTTGCTGGGAGCTCGGGCGCGCTTTCCTTTGCGACCCTTGTGGCTTGGCATAACACAAGGTAGGTGCGGAGGCCGCATCACCTCCGAGCGCAAGAGCTTCCGCAAGGCTCAATCCGCACCACACCGAGCCATGCGCAACCTAAAATGCGTTCGAACTGGCCGGTAGAGGCTAGACAATGCCTCCCGCCCTCTCCACTGCTCAGCCGGGGGTGAACTGCCAGCGGCCGCCAGCATGGGCGTCACCAGCATCCAGGACGCGAAGGGTAAGTCCAACCAGTGAGATGCGGTCACGCAGTGCTAACTGCAGGCAGTCCTGATCGCGACGACAAAGGTCAAGGAACGTGGAGCCGGCCTCAAGGATCTTATCCATATCCTAAAGCATAATCATGGCAAATCGAGCCTCGAAACCATCACCAACAAGGCGTACCTGGCGCTATGCGAGACGCTCTTCCAATGCGTGCGAGAAGAACGGTCAGCGTACCAACACGCCAAAACCCACAAGATTAGATCAGTCCAAACGCACGCGAACCTCCTCCAGCTTTCCGCCGCCGCACTCCGCCAGGTTATCAACTCGGCTCTGCGCACCATCAAGACGACCACCGTCGAACTGATCATCGAGACCATTATCGAACTGCTGCCCGGAAATGATGGGACATTCCTGGAGCATCTGGACGAGCTCCCTAAAGCGCTACGGGCTCTGTTGGAATACCAACCCCATGTCGAACGTATGTCACAGGGTTGTTGGGATGACACCGTCAAATTCTGCATTGAGTCTCTCTCCAAGGTCTTCTCTGAATCAGAGGAAGAGCCACAGGATAGCTGGGAGACGACAGTTTCGAGTCGCGCCCGAACCCCCTTCGAGTCCACCGATGGTGTACCTAAGCCCAGTCTGCGAGGCACTGACAGTGCACCAAGAGCCACCCCGCGAGGCACATCGTCCCGGAGCAAACGCTTTACCGACGAGCAGACCATCACAGCTGAGGATCTAGTTCAATGCCTGCGCATGCTCGTCAGGGCTTCCAATGCCCCTATTTCTGACAGCGCAGATGTCCTTCTTAATGCCCTTGTCGCTTTTCTCCAGAAGAGGACGGGTCGTGGAAGCCCCGCCGCGCTTGCTGCAATCAATGCCATCTTACCTCGCACCATAATGTCCAAATCCCAACTCAGTGAACAAGTCGTTAGGGAGCTCCTGCCGCTGCTGAGATCATTGTGGTCCGAACCTGCTATAAGAGACGAGGTCATGATAACCTTGACTTACATCGAAGCGCATCTTTGCCACCTTGTGGCTACCGACAGTGATGATTTACTTAGTATCGATTTAGAAGCATTTGTTGAAGCATTATACAACGACTACAGACGCAGACACGAGACTACAGCCCATCAATTTCTTGAAGAAGATTACTTGTGTTTTCGCAAAGTAGGTGGAATTGTCGCGAGCGCTCACCCGCAGTCAACGCACACGTTTTCCATGAATACTGAGAATGTCCGCTACGAGTCTTTGTGGACTACGGTCGCGACGATGGCAAGACTTTCCGCGATCTTAGACAACAGAAAGCGCACGCTCGCTCATGGTAAGCAACGTGAAGACGGACTAGCCACGAAGCGTCACCGCATCACCCATCATCTTGACGAGTACCTTCGACATGTCTCAGAGCCACGTTCCAACGCAAAACGGTCCGCCCTGCAAGTCCTTGCATTCATGGTGCAGGAAGTTCCGCTTGACGAGGACCAGATTTTGACCATACTAGAGAAATTAACCGTCATCATATCCGCTGAGAACTCCGTGCACTCTTCCTGGGCTATGATTACACTAGCAGCGTAAGTCGTGTGCCCCGGTCCTATGAGCGAACTCTAACGTGAACAGAACCGCTTTCCAAAAGCATGCTAAAAGTCCTGCGCTGAAGCCCTATTGGTCTTCGGTCTGGCAATCTGCATCCCGAGTTATCACATCTCTGTCCTCGTGTCGTGCAGCATGCCATCTGATGGACGTACTGTTGAAGCTCGACGTTGTTTCATTCTCAACAGTCACTACTAGTGTACAAAGCATGTTGTTTTCGGTTGAACTCAGTGGGCCAGCGGTTCTCACGGAGACGAGCGTGGCTTTTATGACTACTTTGATCCGCGAGAGAGTCAAGGAGAACCCCACTAGTCATGGTATGACTGCTGAGAGGATACTCAACTGGTTATTCGGCAAATGGACCCCACGTAAGCACCCTGATAACTTTACTAAGGATTGGCTGACTATGCGAACAGATCTCTGGGCGGAACGAACGTCTACTTCTCTCAACGCGCATCATTGCGATGCCCGTGACATACTCTCGCTATTACACGCTTGTCTCGATCGCCCTTTCACCCCTGTACGAGCTTCCACTTTCCAAACACTGGGCCCCGTAGCTCAGGCACGTCGACGAACCGAGACTTTCGCCGACCTCTCTGCTTATCTCCTACTCCTTGATCCTCAAGAGAAGTTTATCAGGGACTTGCAGCTCGTACCTGATGCCGTCGATTCTACGCCATCCAGTCATGCCGTACAACTTGAAAGCCGTATAGTTGATTTCTGCGTCAGTGAGCTAGAGCGGACCAAATCCCGGTGGAAAGCCATGTCGCAGCAAAATCCACAAGGTATTACGTCCAATATGTGGCGTGTCATCACCAACTTCTGCATTGTTACAGCGGCACTGAGCGCTTTGCTTGAACGCCATGACCGTCCTGTAGCTGCACTAGACATTGCTACAGACAGTATCGCACAATCACTAGGGCAATTGCTCGCGAAACCTCAGACCGAGGAATATAAGATGGAGGCAGTTCTTGAAACGTGTGCTGCGAGCCTACCAGACATCAACTCTCTAAGCACCCTTTCCAAAATGGTGTTTCGTGAGGCTGGTATCTCGTCCTTGGCAAATCACTTGTCCCGCGCTCTCGGGAGCAGACAGGAGACGAAACAGTCCTTTTACCCTGAAAATGATGATTTTATGGAAGTCGATGGAGGTCTTGATTCGCAAATGACCAATGGCACATCTGGACATGAGGTAGATGTGCCACGCCACGACATCCAGGCATATGGAGAAGCCGGTGCACTACACGCATGCTGTGCGGCCTACCTCCACCTGATCTTCTCGGTGGCTGATCAGGTCGAGGATGAGCGAGACAACATACCTTCGGAGTTCGTCGAGCACTTAATCTGCAAGTCCGCGCCCGACTTACTCCGTTCCCGACAACTAGTTCAGAGTCTACTGTGCGGCCACTTCCACATATCAGCAGCAGATTGCCTCAAGCTCCTGGAGAAGCTTATGGAAGCTTTGATAGATCCCACTGCACGAGAGTATAACTCATCAGAAGTAGCCAACTGTATGATGGTCGAATCTCTGGTAGGAATGACAAAAGTGTGGAGTCTTGAAGCCGCCGATCAGAAATCACAGGACGTCAAAGAGCAAACGAAAGCCCTCTACCATTACTATACTAGAGATATGGAGCGAAGTGGATTTCGCGCATCCCCGAGTCTTCAGACCCGTGTGGCCGACTTTTTACACGGCATGCTATGGTTCTACAGTCTCTCGGACGACACCAAATCGCCGTCAGTACGCACAAGACTCTTTGAACTCTTAGCTAGAGGCGAAATGACCGTCAAATTTCACATCGCCAAAAAATTACCGACCATCTTCGAAGTTTGGTCCCTTTCTACGCATGATGACATTTTGCAAGACGTTGACAGTCATCTTCCTGGAGACGGTGAAGACCTCGAAGGGATCGCGATGCGTTTGCTCGTTCTGTCGAAGCTGGCCTCCCGCTGGCATACTCTTCTCAGGCAATGTGTATACCGTGTTTTTGCAACCGCTGGCGTTGTCGCAGCCGCAGCTCAACATGCAAGCCACTGTATATCTGAAGTGGCGCGTGCCAAGAACTTGGGAGACTCTATGTCCTTGTTTCGACTGTTCGCTCCCCAAGTAATCTTCACCTGGCTCGACCGCAAACGGAGGTTCGCCGAGATACCCCACACGATATTCGGCTACGACTCGCTCAAGCATCTTTTACATGATGTCGAGTCAGAAGCCGTCGGGCAGGCCATCATGCTTGGTTTGGAGTTTGAAGTCGACTACATCGCTGGAGAGCTAGGGGTCAGTGTGTCAGAACTACTTGCGAAAAACATAAGCAAAGCCGCCGCGTACACCATATCCTGGGATACCTGTAGAGGATACGGACGGAATCAAGATTTGCCGAGCAATGAACAGCTGCTTTGCAAGCTTCTTAGCAAAAGTGACCACGAACAAAGGGTCAACGGCGACAAAAGCAACAACAGAATGGGCCAAATGGCTGGTACTAAGCATATAGCTTTGGATCAGGAGTATTTTCCACGAGCGCTCGGTCACTTGTTTCAGTCTGTTGACCACGAGGAGAAGATAAAAAAGTCACTTGAGAAGCGTAACTCGTCAGATCCCGCTCTCCATGCCCTGACAAGGATGCTCAAAAATTCCCACTCATCCGTAGACTTCAACGTCGGTATCGAACCATCCTTCTCTGCGTTCTATCTTCCCGATCAAGTCGACCGGCTATGTCGCCGAACATTTGGTGGCATAACAAGCTTTTGGAACCCTACCACATACACGCTTGTCGTGCGGATGCTGCTAGACAGGATCCATCCGGCGCTTGGTTCGCTGTACGCCCGATCCATTATTCGCAAGATCAGAATAGTCGTGGCTTTCGCAGGTCCGGTAGCTTATCAAGGTTACCCTTTGCAGATGACGCTCCAATCTCTGAGGCCTTTTCTCACAGACATCCAGTGTGCCGAAGATACTATCGGCATAATACAATACTTGTTCGAGAATGGTGTGCAATACCTAAGCGGCAATCTCAGCTTCGTGACTGGGATCGGCTTATCTGTTTTGATTTCACTACGGAGCTTTCTTGGATCTTCTCAGGAGGTAATGACGCAACATTCTCAATATGTAGCTTCGATGGATTCTGCAAAAGTATTTCACACATGGCTCACAGCGAAACTCAAAGAATATGCCGAAAGTCTGACTGTCAACGATCGATCTTCAGTCAATGCGTTCAAGCTCATAACGACAGCCGCCTCCCAGGTACGTCTACAGGGTAATTCCATCCGCGACAGTGAAGAAAGCAAACTTCTGCTCGAGATTTTGGAGGATGTCAGATCGGGTCGCAAGCTTTTGAACACGACGTCGCGAGACGTGGCGCTCAACTTGCTGTGCCAAGATTTCCAGCCAGCGCCGACCGCCACGAATGATATACTTGGAAATGACGCGGAGGCTGCGGGCTACGCACCTTTCGTGTGGGATTCATGCCGACGAGGCAACGTGGGTCATGGCTATCTGCGTTGGGCGGCGAGAGTGCTAGGCCGTGCGTTCAGCGCATTTGGCGGTGTCGAGCGAAACACAGCGCATACTCATCCGTGGTCATCTCAGGATCCGAGCACGAAAGGCATCCTCGGCCGAGCTTCACGAGAAGCTATTGTTCAAGAAGTTATAGACATCCTCTACAGCGATGATCGCAAAGATGTGAGCTTAGCAGAAGATGCACTCCGAGTAATAGTCTCCCGACTTTCTCAGCTCCGCCGCGATGAAGCGGATGAAGTTGTACGTAACATTTCGGACCACCTAGCGGAGGCGCTGAAGCTGGATCTGTCGCCATCCTCTACTCCATACCATCCCAATGAATCTTTAAAGAGCATTGCCGCCCCTGCATCGCATACGAGAGCAGCATCAGAATGGATAAAGGACCTTGCCATCGCTCTGTGCAGTGCCGCCTCTCAAGATGAGGTACTAGGGGCGCTTCCCAGGCTTCTCAATGGCATGAGCCACATGGCGGATAAGCTTTTTCCATACATCCTGCATCTTGTCCTGCTCAGGGAATTTGAAGGTGATAGAAGAGTTCGACAGATCATGTCTGATGCAGCAAGGGGCTGGTTCACCAATTGCGAGGCGACAGACGTGCCGTATGTACGCAGCCTTCTTCAAGCCATCCTATACCTTCGTAGCCAGCCGATTCCCAAGGAGATGACGAGAGTCGATCGAGATAGATGGCTGGAAATTGATTTCCTCCGAGCATCAGAAGCCGCTACGACATGTGGTATGTCTCGAACGGCGCTGTTATTTGCGGAAACATTCTCGGGTACACCTGCAGTGAAAAGCGTTCCACGAAGGTCGTCCGTGCTACAAGAGCCTCCGAGACTTCCCGTCAAATTACAGCTTGCGATTTACAAGAACTTGGACGAACCAGATTCATTCTACGGCGTCGACCAAGGTTCCAGTCTCTCATCTGCCATCGATCGGTTCGACTACGAAGGAGATGGACTAAGCAGTATGCTGTTCCGAGGGGCTCGTTTCGGAAGCCAGATGCGCCGCTCAAACGTCCTAGATGCTACCGATTCGCGTGGCTTTATCAGCAGCCTGATCAAGCTGAACATGGACAGTGTCGCCAACGCCCTCCTTTCTACCGATCAGTTGCGGGACATTGGAGACGAGGCGGTAGACTACACCTTACACACAGCGCGGAAGCTTGGAAAGTGGGATATCAAAGCACCGGAGCTAAATCACAGCGAATCTAGTAGTCTCTACAAAGCTTTCCAAGGTCTTCACTACGCTACGAGCGAAGCCAATGCCCAAGCTAGCATCGACAGTCAACTATTGGCGACCATGGAGTTCCTGTCCGGACGCGAAGACTCCACGGCGTTGACCAAAATTCGGCTGCGCACTCTAGCAGCGCTAACTGAAGCTGACGAGCTTGTCCAATGTGGGAGTCCTGACCGACTACTTGATTCTTGGGATCGTATGAAGGGACGTGAAAAGTGGATGCAGACCGGCGAGTAAGTTGCGATGATGATAGCCAATTCAATTAGCAAAACTGACCAATCATCAGGTTCGATGATGTACGCCAGCTGCTATCGTGCCGAGAGACATTGCTGAGTGTTATGGGCTCCAACAACGCCCTTCTGGAATCCATGCACGCAAGGGCTGGCACGCTCCGCAGTATGGAAGTCGAAGCCCTTGTATCTACTTCGACGATCTGCAGAAGACACGGGGCGCTCCAAGAGTCACTCACGAGTGTAACATACCTCAGCGACATTGTGCAGGATTGTAAAGCATTTGGCCTTGATGTCGAGGCCAGTGCAAAATATGAAGAGGCTAATGTGCTGTGGGACCACGGAGAGCAGGAGAAGTCGATACGCATTCGACAAGAGCTGCTCGACTATGGTAACTTTGATTCTCAGGATCAGAAAATAAGCCTTCCTGTATTGTTGGCCAAACTGGTGAGTTCGTTGTAACAAAGTACGACAGAGTTGATTAACTTCTTCAGGGTCATCACTTAGCCGAAGCTCGATCAGCAACGCCTGAAAAGATCATTCAAAACTACCTGAAGCCAGCAATTAAAGAGCTCAAGGGCCAAACACAAGGACCTGATCCTGGACAAGTTTTTCATGAGTTTGCTTTGTTTTGTGATAAACAATTACAGAGCCCAGAAGCCGCCGCCGACAGGGACCGTGCGAAATCTATCATGGATCGAAGAGCTCAGGAGATACAAGATTTTGAGAGACTTATTCGTCCAGAGACAAACAAGCAGATCCGCGACACCTATAAGAGGTCTCACCACAAAGCCCAAGTCTGGTACAAGCTGGATCATGCCGAGTACGAAAGATTACGCAAAGGCCGCGAAGAATTATTGCGCCAATGTTTGGAAAATTATCTACTCTCGCTGCAAGCAAGCGACGAATACAATAGCGATGCGCTCCGAGTATTCTCACTCTGGCTGGAGCATTCCGAGACCACGCTCGCAAACTCAGCAGTACACGCACATATCGACAAAGTTCCTAGCGGGAAGTTTGCATTGCTAATGAATCAGTTGTCTTCCCGTCTTCAATATGACCGGACCGAGTTCCAGAAGTTGTTGACCCACTTAGTCTTCCGCATTTGCATAGAGCATCCCTACCATGGCATGCATCAGATCTTTGCGATGCAGATGAAAACTCCCAATGTGACCAGGGAAGACATCATGAGGTCAAAAGATGAAGCAGCCAAATCCCGCCAAAAGGCTGCAGATCTCATCGCGCGCGAATTGGCAAAAGACAAACGCTCCGCTACTATCTGGAGCTATCTATACCGCTCAAACGAGATCTACCACGCTCTTGCTATGTTCAAGGATGACAAGGAGCAGCGCTCGGGCAGAGATATCCCGCTAGACAGATACCCAGAGTCAAAAGCATTGATGCAAAAGGTCCCTACGTACAAAGTTCCGCCGGCCACTCTACAAATCGAAGTTCGTGCCGATATGGATTACAGCCATCTTCCTAGGATTGTTAGGTTCAAATCCAGAATGAGCATTGCCAACGGACTGAGTGCGCCAAAGGTTATTACAGCTATAGGCTCAGATGGGCAGAGCTACAAGCAATTGGTAAGTACATCTTTGGAATCATGGAAGCTTTCTGACTTTGCACACAGTACAAATCTGGCAATGATGATCTTCGGCAAGACGCGATAATGGAGCAAGTGTTCGATCAAGTTTCTCGCCTGCTCAAGAAGCATACCGCAACACGACTGCGGAATTTAGGTATTCGCACATACAAGGTGCTTCCATTGTCGACGCGCTCTGGTCTCATGGAGTTCGTGCAAAACACGATTCCGCTTCATGGATGGTTGATGCCGGCACATGAGAGATACTATCCGCATGACTATAAGCCTGATAAATGCAGGAAGGAGATTGGAGCTGTTCAGCAAGACTCGCTGCAAAACCGCGTAAAGGTATGGAACAAGATTGCGGAGAATTTCCATCCCGTGATGCGCTACTTCTTCCTCGAACGCTTCCAAGACCCAGACGAATGGTTCGAGCGTCGTCTAGCGTACACTCGGTCCACAGCTGCCATTTCCATCCTAGGGCATGTACTCGGTCTCGGCGACCGGCACTGTCACAACATTCTTCTCGACGAGAAGAGCGGAGAAGTCGTACATATTGATCTTGGTGTCAGCTTCGAAGCCGGCCGTGTCCTGCCTGTGCCTGAGGTTGTACCGTTCCGCCTCACCCGCGACCTTGTCGACGGAATGGGTTACACCGGAACTGAGGGCGTCTTCCGCCGCTGCTGTGAATTCACAATGGACACTCTCCGCGAAGAACGCGAATCTATAATGACTCTCCTTAACGTGCTTCGTTACGATCCCCTCGTCAACTGGAGCGTAACCGCCACAAAAGCAAGACGCATGCAAGAGCAGCAGGACACGAATGCTGTGCATCGTTCTGGCACTGTCGGTCCGGAACGTACGCCTGCGCCGTCTGGTATTTCTGCGGCAGATTTGGAGGTGCAAGGGGACGACAAGAAGAAAGATGAGCAGGCGGGTGAGGCTGGGCGGGCCCTCAGTGTTGTGGAGAAGAAGTTGAGCACGACACTGAGTACGAAAGCGACGGTCAATGAGCTTATTCAGAGTGCGACTGATGAGCGGAATCTAGCAGTGCTGTATATGGGATGGGCTAGCTACGCGTAGCATAGTGTATCAACGCGTAGCTACTTTCATGAGACAAAAGATTCGTAAAAAATTGGGAGGCGTCGTGTGAGAGTTTCTAATGAGGCTAGCTTGGGAATTGGTGGACGCCTCGTGTGTCGATATCCAGTATTGATTGTAGATAGCGGAAGCACCCTCTAGCAAGGAGCCTTCAACAGAGTTTATTTTTCAAAGCTATACTCTTGTGTCCTTTGCGTCGTGTGTAATCGGTCATCAAGATAGCCTGCGGACGGCTCATTTGGCAATGTAAAGCCAAATACAATCCAATTACTGCAGCTAGCCTCCCCGTTTGACTTAGTAATGGGCCTCGTATGATCACGTTACATGCCGGAGCTACGCAACATCGTTGTAATCCGGCGGTGAGGCATACCCCTAGGGGTTAATCCGGGCATCTGATTACCTATGGTAATTCACCCCGACTTCCCGCAACCCCACCCCGCACCCCGCAGAGCTTAGCTCTAGCACCATTTCCTCAAATGATCTAGCTTCTATCTAGCAACCAGACCGGAAACTCCCAACCGCGTGAGCGTGCCATTCCTCCGACGCTGTCTCTTATCCGATGCGTCATGAGGCTGGGAGAAACTTCTATGCCAAGCTAGAATACGGAAGCCCAGACGGCCGACAAAAATTATCACGAAGGGGTCTTTCTACATGTTTTTCCCTCTTGTTCTTGCCCACAATTCTGTAAATGTTCATGATATGTTAACTCTCGAGTCGGCCTTCGCGATTTCAGTCATCACCAGCGACTGTACTGCTACATATTCAGAGCCATGCGCGCGGCAAGATATTATGGGAAAGAAGATATCAGAGTGGAGGAAGTGGAGGTCGACCCGTGTGGAGATGGTCAAGTCAGAGTACGCAGGCCCTTCCGATGTCTCGACTTGTAGACTTGAAAAAGACTGACAACTTAGTTAGGTCGCACCGAGCTACGTCGGAATCTGCGGTACAGATCTCCACGAATTCCTCGGCGGACCCACCTTTGCCCCCGTAACACCACACCCCTTGAGCCGCGAGAGTATTCCCATTACGCTCGGCCACGAGTTTTCCGGCGTCGTCAGCGAGGTCGGGCCTGGCGTGTCGCAATTTAGACCAGGTCAACACGTTGTTGTACAACCAACTCTGTCATGCGGCAGATGTTCGGCGTGTAGCTGTGGGGCAGAAAATGTTTGCGAGAAAGGTGGCTTCATCGGTCTCTCGGGTGGCGGAGGCGGACTAAGCGACTCAGTAGTTGTGCCTCAGGGCTCAGTGCTGAGCTTGCCGGAGCAGATACCGTTGGAAATTGGCGCGCTGGTTGAACCTCTCAGTGTCGCATGGCATGCTGTATCTGCTGCAGCTTTGCTACCCGAATCTACCGTCTTGGTACTAGGAGGAGGGCCCATCGGATTAGCAGTGGTGCAGTGCTTGGTCGCATTGAAGACCAAGAAAATTATCATGAGCGAGGTTTCAAAGACAAGACAACGGTTCGCGAAGGAATTCGGCGCACACCACGTCCTGGATCCGAAGACCTATGATCTAGTGGCCATTTCTCGAGAGCTGAGTGGACAAGGTGGCCCTGATGTAGTTTTCGACTGTGCCGGTGTACCCGCGAGCCTCGTCACGGCGTGCCGAGCCGTGAAACCGCGAGGGACTGTCGTCAATGTTGCAATTTGGGAAAGAGAAGTGCCATTCCAGCCTAATATGCTGGTGTTCAAGGAAGCGCATTATACAGCAGTGTTAGGGTACCAGAGAGAAGACTTCCAGGCTGTTATAGACCATTTGGCCAACGGTAAGTTCCCGAGCATCATTGGACACGAAATTTTGACGAGCTGACGATATCGACTACCATAAGGAACCTTGAAACCCGACAAGATGATAACGAGTACCATATCTTTGGATGATGTAGTTGAAGGAGGCATCAAAGCTCTTATAAAAGACAAGGAAAGTCACGTAAAGATATTAGTGAAAGTGGGTGGGCCATAGAACTGCGGTAGAGGAAGGCGTTTCAAAGATCGGTTTATTTCGATAAACGAAGGACCGTGGGGGAAGTAGTCGTGCGAGTACGCAATACTGGCACAGTAAGTCGTGGATTTCTCGACATATATGTAGCCATTGACGGACGGTATCGACGCGAATGTATCCATGTTTAGACTATGGTATGCAATGAATCGATGTTGCCTTAGTGATCTTCTCCACGTACGGCGGGAAAGGACGGTGACGAGGGGAACAATTCCTCCCTTTGGTATTCCGCAACAAATTCTCGAACCCTGGAAATATATTGTCTCGAGTTCTTGTATCATTAAGTATAGGAATCAGGTGCAGCGAGCAGAGGTTCTTCATCGGATGAATTGGGCTTTTCTCCATCTGGAGCCCGCAAGGCCGATGACGTCATTATCCGAGTGCGTCAGGGCGGGCGCCTGAGGTCGCCCACCTGGAGTATTGGCAAGATCGAATGGATGAAAAGTAATGGTGGTGACGATGAACTGATGTAGATTGGTCTATCGTAGTCGGAATTTAAATTCAAAGCGCTCACTGCGCATTAGACTGTTCTCTGTGAATCCACAGTTGCATTTCTCCATACAACTCTTGCCAGATTCGCTGCTTCCCACTCACAGCATCTGCCATTGTGCACTGCACAGACCCTCGATCATTCCTGAACGAGTGCATAGATTCTCGTGCGTCCTTCATCCATCACTAGATTGCGCACGTCGGGTGCTATGGAGCCTCCAAGCCATGCACGAGGATAAGGTTTGTTGCTGGTGAGTTCTGACGCTCCAGGTATGTATTTTGCTACATATGCATCTGCTAAGCGCTTCAGATCAAATGGCTCCTGATTCAAGTGCGCTCAAGGCAAGCAGTAACCTCCGTCAATAAGTACGTCACTTCCGGTCATGTACGTACTGGCATCACTAGCCAAATATAAGTACAGGCCCTTAATCTCTTTAGTATGCCCCTGTCTTCCAAGCGGAGTCATCCTGTATGCCTCGTTGATGACCTTCTCCCCAGCACCCATTTTAGTATCGAAAAATCCAGGGCTGACGATATTCACTCGCGCAAAGTCCTTCCATTCGTGAGCAAGAGACTTGCCGAAATGGCCAATGAAAGCTTTGGTGCCGTTGTAAACAGGCTGGTCAATAGGAACATTGACAATGCGTGCGGACATTGAGCTGGTGATGATGAGGTTGCCGAATCCCTGACGCTTGAAGTGATGACCAGCGTACTTGGCGCAGTACACAACGCCGTTGACTGCAATGCATTAGTACTATACGCAAAGATGTGAAGATCCGACGGACCGTTTATGGACATTTGCTTATCATATTCTGGCAACGTTGTTTCGAGAATCGATTTCGAGATTGCCATCCCTGCGTTTGCTACAAACACGTCAATCTTGCCAAAATCGCTGACAACTTGGTCCATAGTTTTTTCCACAGCGTCAGCGTTCTCAACAGCCACCTGATACGCCTTGGTCTTGACGCCAAATTCTTTCTCTATCTCTTCTGCTCGTGCAATGGCCGCATCGTTGGAATTGTACCACAGTGCAACGTCTCCTCCAGCTTCAGCCATAGCAGATGCAACCGCCAGACCAATTCCTTCAGCTGCACCGTTCACAACAGTGACTTTTCCCTTCATCTGAAATTGTTCAAGCACATTGCTAGGAGTATTCGGAAATGGCTTGGGAAACCCTGGGCGTGCGACACCGGCTTCCTCGACGGTCATTGACATCTTGAAAACGCAGGATGTGGAGGGTAACGAAGTGGACAAGATTGGACAGCGGCTCGGTAGAGGCAAGATTATCGAACCAAAGAGGAAAGATGCAGATGAAAGTACCGAAGTAACGTGCTTGCTCTATATATGAATAGTCTAAGGACGTGGGTGGACACGTGTGGAGTCAGGACCGCGGAGCGATGTGCGCCGAATCGGACAACAGCCGACCGACACTTGCTACAACCAATCCTAAGCACAAACGTATGCTACCGTGGGCCAATACAGCGCACGTAAGCTGCAAAGAGATTCTATGCTCAATGAGAAAATTTTCCAGTCTACACCATCCTATGAAATGAAAACGTCACAAGTCCAGATGCCCCAAAGGAGGGCGGGCAGGTCACGTGAGAGCAAGTGCTAAATAGTGGGGATGTTGAACTTGCCGAATTTGGTCTTCCAGCATCTCCCCAAACTCCTCTGACATGACAATGCCGCATTATGCGTGCTGCATCGCGAAAGCGAACAGACACGTCCGACCTGGCATGCATCGCCTGTCGTACTCGGAAAACGCGTTGTTTAGTACAGCTTGGTAGCACGTCATGCTCGCACTGTATCCGAGTGAATAAGACGTGTGTTTTCAGTAACCCACCGTCACGGACACCACTTACGCGAAAGAATCTGGATGATCTTGAGGCACGATGCCGCAGTCTGGAAGCCCGGCTGGCCAAGGTCACTCGCGACGCAACTCCGGCTGCGCCTGCACGTTCAACGCAATCTGAGAGCAGTCTACCCAGCATGCCCAAAGGCAGTGCCATTCCGGATTTACTCGCTACTAATGACGACCAGCATCCCGACACACACGGGTCGCTTGAGCAAATTGAGACTACTTTCGAGTGGAATGAGAGACAGACGACGCCCGATGGTGACGCTCGGCACACTGCTGATGGCATGGCTTCGCTCACTGTTGGCAATAGACGACGCGGTTATCTTGGTAAGAAAAGCGCATCGCGTGACACTTTGGCGCTTACCATGGGTAGGAAATAGCTCAGGCTCCTCCCTTCTGGAGAGAATATCGTCCACGCTGCCCGGACGGATGCCGTCCGAATGGGAAATCTCACCTCATCACGCACCCAGTCCAGCCTTCAATATGCAAAGATTAACCATGGCACGTGGAATGAGCAGCTCAACCGTGCGCGAAAGTCTCATTGAAGCTTACTTTCGGCACTACAACACTTCGTATCCCATAATACATCAAGACACATTCCGAAAAGCTTGCAATAAACGAACATCCATATCCCCCAGTTCTACCTGGCACATCATCTACTTTATGGTGCTGGCCATTGGAGAGTGGGTCAATAATTTCAGCGACGATACTCTGTCCTTGTATTACGACGCCGCCCGCTCACGATTAAACATGAACATTCTGGAAGCGGGTACCATTAGCACCGTTCAAGCGCTGTTGCTTTTGAGTAACTACCTTCAAAAGACCGATAGGCCTAATACAGCGTACAATTTCCTCGGCATCGCATATAGAGTGGCCCTTGGTCTGGGCCTCCATCGCGAGACAACAAAGGAGCAAACGCCGGAAACATGTGCGCTTCAGCAACGACGGTTGATTTTCTGGACGCTCTACAGTTTCGATAGCGGTTTTAGCTTGACTACCGGCAGACCTATAATGGTTGCGGACCAGTTCATCGACACGAAGAAGCCTCTGAACATCGACGACTCGGGATGCAAGCCCACGTCCCCTCTTCCATCGGAAGTGTCCTATCCAACTATTTCGGCAGCCATGGTCGCCCAATCGCACCTTGCCGTCATTGCAAATAGGATTCATAGCACCTTCCAATCTGTAAATGGCATTCCAGATCTGGAACACGCGACACTAATCATGAGTCAAGCTTTGAAAGACTGGAAGGAAGCTTTACCATGGTACTTTACGGGCTCAGAAGTACCGGACTGGTTTCTCGGACCACGCGCCATGGTGTTGTGGAAAGCATCCAATATCCATCTTGTTCTTCTCATTGCAAGCCAAAAGAGCTTTGCTGATCCCCATAGCCGTCGAAAGTACAGCAAGAAGAGTTGCCAGGTTGCAATGGAATCCATCAACGAGGTATGCGATTTCTGCGAACTACACAAGAGTCTATTACATCATGGATTCACTTGGTATGTGGTGTACTATCTGCTTCAATGCCTGCTTGCTATCGAGGCTCAACGAACGCATGTCGAAAAAGATCCAGGGCCATTGAGAAAAGTTCAGGTGTTACCAAACGCATTGCCCGAGACAGTTGCACGCGCACACAACTGCTTGCTGGAGTTGAGTCAAAATAATAAACCAGCTGCTCGCGTTTGCCAATTACTCGATCATCTAAGTAAGAGAAGATGCTCGGGTCAACAAGACGTGGTCGACAGCTCCAATGGCAGCCTCAACGCCAGTCAGGCAACGGAAAATAATCTCCTATTCGACTCGGCTCAGCAAACCAGTGTGAGTGAGCTGGGTAATTACCTGCCAGACTCATCCATGACTATGTCCAACGACTCACCTCAGTCTCCTTTTGGAAGCAATATAACCGGAAGAACGTGGATGATGGCTGCAGATCCGTCACTGCACATGTTCATGGATGGCTCGAACGACTTGGGTGATATATTCGACGATCTAGGCGGATTTCCAAGCGCCAATGATGGCGATAACTTCTCCTACTATTTGGGTGGACACCAATTTTAGTCGCGCTATACTCAATCAACGCATTCGAATTAAGCTTCGAGGCGGCACGAACGACTAGAAAGGCCGACTCATCATGGGAATTCATCTCAATTTGCAACAAATGGCATAGTGGTTCGTGCGCACGGATCAATGGAGTGTGCGGCGTGCTGTAAGTTTTCCTTAGACAATCATCCACAATGTGAGCATATCCGGCTGACACTGCTTCCAGAAAGGTTGTGCACGTTAGCGTCTCTATGTCTACCTCTGCTCTGGTCTGGGCATCCGGCCATCAGAAGTGCTCCAAATCTAGATGCTCAAATGACGATCAGCTAATTAGGCGACATGCCCAGCAGCTGAAGGAATGGGGCGAGGCTGTGTTTCAGGCGCGCGTTGTGGTGACGCATCTGGACCAAAGGAGACTTGCGCAATGGGATCAATCACCCTTGGCAGTTCGACAATCGGTGATGATTTCGCTGGACCTGCTTGTCGAATTTTGGTTTGTGGTGCGCACAGAAATCGGTATGCAATGCTTATATGAAGTTTGCAGAGGCTAGTCGGGAATAACACATGATGCGGGGAACCCCACCCTGGAGCAGCAACCTTGCGAGCTGGCTAATGTGTAATTCGACATGGACCGTCCATATGCTCATTGCTTCGCGAAATATTCACAAGCGGTATTTCAGAAATTAATCGTCGTTCTAACGACATGAAAAGACGAAAAGACCTGCCGCATCGCGCGATTTTTGTGGTTGTACTAAGCCCAAATGGCCGAATTCGGACAGAATCATGCCACTTTGTCCGATAAGCGTGGCCACGCATGCGACAAAATTAGGACATCACATGCAGCACAATGGAAAACTCGGTAATCGTTCGGATGAATGGTTTCCAGATGTTTGAAATAAATGTCACTGACTTCCGAAGATCGCTTCTGCAATTCCTCACACGACAACTTTCCATCTTCCGACTTCCAACAGTTCCGGCTTGCGCAGCACACACCACCGCACCTTGTCTTGCTTCAACACCACACGACGCCGCGTTTCAAACTCACCACCACTTCTTCTTTGACTCAAACCCGCTACGGCACACGTTCGACTGATTTGACACGGTCCCGATAGCCGCAATGTTAATCACGCGCGGCTTCTCCCTCACCAACTTCGTCATCGGCTCCTCGGCGCTATGTTTCCAAATCTTTGTTCTCTATCCCTGGCACGAAAAATTAGAAGTCCAGTTCAACAAGTTGACCGACGAGCATGAAAGAATGTTGAAAGAGATGAGGGACAACCACAGACAAGAGCTATCGCAGATACGAAAAGAGCTGGAATTGCTCAACAGAGGGAGGCGTTAATGGAAAATTCTCGGGTCAACGACGGTTGGGGTTTTGTATTATAGTACCGCGTGAGTGGTTGCGGAGGGCTTGGCTGCCAATCATGCGCTATCGTTTGGGTGTAATCAATACATGGTAAGCAGCAGTGAATCTGGCAGCACCTCCGAGATTGATGTTGTGCTTATACGTCCCACAGCGTCTGTTCAGTAACTCCACGCTTGTGGTGATTTCGACATTGCGCACGTGCTGCAGTTCAATGCCTCGCTTTGACGTATTATAGGTGCTTTTTGTAGACCACTGTTGGTAAAGCGCTAGACTGCGTGTGCCATCATAGAGACAAGTCCAAGTCCGCGATCGGTACCTTGAAAGGCAAGGCGTAGGATTTTCGTTAGACGATAACACTCCGACTTGCGTACACCCTGTATGGTAAGCGACCACGCGACCTGGCCTTGACCAGCGTGAATAAGCCTGACTGGTTAATGAAGGACGCATTTCAGTGTTATCACTCCTGCTCGTGCCGCATAAATCAAACAGCATTTCTAGACAAGAATTGCAAGCTTTGGAATTACGGTTCGGTCGACAATGCTAAGCGATCGTGATCTCAAATGTGACGGCGCAGTGTTCTTCGCCTACAAAGAGACGTTTTCACTGTTAAATGATGAAATAAATGGTACTAGTGTGATGTCCTTGAAGCTCGTAGACCAGACTGCGTCTTAAGCTTTCATAGGTAACCACATCCTTCTCAGCGGCTGCATATATCTCTATCATTGGCGAAACCACCCTCTACTGCCAGGATGCGTGCCTCGCGAGCTCCTAGGCGACTGGGAGCAGAGGCTCATCGAGCGAAGATTCACTCATCGATCGAGTAGCGGATTTCAATCGTGGACGTTGGCGGTGAGCGAGCAGCACATGCTGACCACTGTACATGTAGGCGTTCTTGTAGTTACTCTGTCTAATCTCAAAGAGTACACTGTCATCGATATTCGGGTAAACGTGTATCTCGGACGGATAGTCAGCAACATGCACTTAACTACGGTGAGCATGCTCCGAACAAGGTTCCAGGAGAAACCATAGCTTCGGGCCTTTAGGTCTATCTGAATGCTCGTCTTGTTAGCGCTTATGTGCGTTGCGATCTTCCCTACAGCACAATTTCGTTGGAGCAATCCCATCATCTCCGATATCGCAGTGTGCCCTGATGCTTTCCACGGCTGTTGGATCAGTGTCGTTGCCCGAAGCAATAACAGTCAAACTGTTAGTCCCTAGCCTCCTAGCAATCCGAAGACTTCCGCTATCACTCAGGATCTTGGAGATTTGGTCCGAGTCCTTCAACATCCTCAAAGCTCTCCCAACTTCCATAGTGATCAGAACCTTCGAGATAATACGTGAATTCTTTTCCCGGTAGCGCGGCCCAGGAACATCCTATTGGGTATCGTTTCGTCTGCTGCTTTCCCCTTGCTAACGCGTGATGGGGAAGCGTTGCATAGTCAAGGATGGTGCCCAATAAGCTGGAAGCTTTGGCGCAATGTGACAGCAGTCGGCATGTCCATTATCATGCTTTTGATTCTCTCGATCGTCTTTGAACTCTTCAGCCATAAATTACACGTGTAAAACACCGCCATCGAGGCCATACAGGGCAAAGTGGACTTATACTGGCACCTAGCTGGTATGGTAGCTATATGAATGTTGGTTCATAAACTTGTGCACTGCTAGCGATCTGCGACGCTGAAGTTCATGATGACTTCGGCTTGGTGACTCACTATCTCCATGAATCCGACACAACCCTTGGAATGTACGCAAGAGGACGGCACGGCGGCTGCTTCAAAGAAGGTGCAATGCCGGGTCCAGATTGCGGCTTAGCTGTCAGCGGTCTACAAACGAGAGCCGCACATCGCCCCAACCTCCTGAACACCAATGCGTCTGCAGCTAGAACGTTTTGATGTGGGCCATGCATTGATTGATTGATAAGATAGGGTAGTCAAGACGCTAAGTTGTGAACACGGTGGGTACGAGAAGACCCTTCGGAGAAGTCGGAGAAGAGGTCATCGCGGTGTCGGCGCGGGCTTTTCGGCCTTGGACTACAGAAGCCGTAGAACTCAGACCACACGGTTTATAAAGTCTTGAAATTTGCTAATCTCGTGTTCCATTCAGGCGTCCATCCAACCTAATACAGTTTCAATCGTTTCCTTAACGTCTTGATCCCTTCGAGCTATAATAAATACCTTCAAACAATCCATATGAAGATCCTCATCTGCGGCGGAGGCATCGCCGGCAATGCACTTGCATTTTGGCTTTCAAAGACTGGCCATGATGTTACAATACTCGAGCGTTTCACTGAGCTACGAGCCACTGGTCTACAAGTAGACCTTCGTGGGTTTGGAATCCAGGTGTTAAAGCGCATGGGTCTCGAACAAAAGTTTCGCGAGAAAACGGTGAAGGAAGAAGGGCTGGATATAGTCGATGGGAGCGGGAGATCGAAGGCTTACTTTCACGCGAATCGCACGGGGAAAGGAATCCAGAGCCTTACAACCGATTACGAAATCATGAGGGGGGACCTATGCCGCCTGATTTACGACGCCGCCTCTCGTAATGCGACCAAGTATCGTTTCGGAACATCTATCAAGAGCTTCGAACAGCTGGGGGGCTCTATCAGAATTCTGTTCACCGACGGAAAACAGGAAGAATTCGACCTATTGGTTGGTGCCGACGGCCAATGGTCGCGAACACGTCAGATGATGCTTGGGACTGACAAAGCTGACCCCATCACCCTACTCGGTGTCTATATAGCTTATTTCACGATGCCATCACCGATACGAGTAGGCGAAGTCTTTGAGAACAAATTGTTCATTGCGACGGGGAAACGCTTCATCTCTTGCCGAAGGCATGCCAAAGATCGGGTACAGGGCTACTTGGGTTGCGCAGCAAGCACAGGTCGCCTGGACGATGTGAAGAAGGGCGATGTCAAGGCTGAAAAGGACGCAGTGGTTGAGATGTTCAAGGAAGCAGGTTGGCGAACGGATGAGCTGCTCGAGGCCATGGAACGCTCCGATGATTTCTATTGCGAGAGAATGGGCGTTGTCAAGATGGAAACTTGGTCGAAGGGTCGAGTGGCTCTCCTAGGAGATGCCGCCTATTGCCCTTCAGCGACTACCGGAATGGGCACTACGTCTAGCATGGTCGGCGCATACATTCTCGCAGGTGAACTCAACTCGTACAGTCAACACCGCGAAGCTGGGAACGGTGCCAACATTGATGCTGCATTGATGGATTACGAAAGGAAATTTCGACCTTTCATGGATCAGGTCCAGCGTGGGCTCTTCCCAGGGACAACATATTTCCACAAGTCGCCAACCACGGAATTTGGTATTATGATTCTTCGGTTTGTTTTGGGTATCATTGCCTTCTTCAACCTAGACACTTTCACCAAGTATACCCTCCGTGAGGAGGTCACGGATTGGCAACTTCCAGAGTATAGTGGACTTCTTGAATAGAAGCAGTTTTCGGAACACATGTGGAAAAGTTCCAAGCTCCAAGCTCTCTAGCAATTTAGCCGTAGAGAGTTGATGACGAAGTATAGACATGAGTAAATAGACTAGCATTGTAGCTTGACAGAAATGGAAAGACTTACCCTGGAATATCCAGCTGCAGCCAATGACTGCTTGTAACTTTGGAAAGACGCGTATGCTTGCCTTACTGTGACCGGGCATGATCTTATTCCGTCAGCCTTCCGGTCAATGACAATTATTCAGTGCCCGGCGGTATTTTCGGTACGTAGGTTGAGTCTAGTCGGCTTCCAGCTATGAATTATCGGATCGCTACACTCCCGGCGTTCGAGTCATGGCGCAGACGGGAGCACTAAGCTTCCGATCCGTGTTCACTATAGCAGTGGGGTTGAGCGCATGGTTCGTGTGCTTCCTTAACCGAATCTTTGGCACGTAGTGAACTCGTTCAAGCGGCGTCCAGCGCGAGAGAACCATCGGAGAACACGCCCTTCGTGAAACCATGTAAAGCACTCTAAGGACTGTGTTTTATTCGATCGTACAGTGAAGATTCATATTACTTGATAAAAAGCCCTAAATTAACAGGCGCCGGCTTCACTTGGTCCTCCTGGATTTCGTTCAAGAGAGAATTCTCGGGGTACTCATCGATATCTAAGTCGACATATCCTTTGCTTGCCCACTTCCTTGGAGCTATGAATAGCATTCGCCCATTAATGTCAGTCTCACTAAGGAGGCGTAACAGCGCCTGGCCCGCATCTTCTGTTGTGGCTATTTGCACGCCAGCCCTCTCGACCTGGTCGAAGGTCTCCTTGGTAAGGATGTTGGTGCGAACATACCTATGCACGTCAGAACAGGATCTTCATGCAATAAGAAATTGGGAATGTACCAGGGCGATAATACGTTCACGCGACTGCCGTAGAAGCCGGTCGTCCTTCTCAAGGCATGCATCACGCCGCGCATACCCCATTTTGAGCATTGATATTGGGGTCCGCGAGGGCAATCGAGGAATGCAGCTCCAGATCCGATCAGGATCAGGCAAGTGTCAACCTGGTGTGGCGAAGGAGTTGTACCGTTGAGCTTAATGAAATAATGCATTGCAAGCTTAGCCGTGTACAGGACACCTCGAATATTCACATCGATGATGTTCAATTTTGGTTCCTTGGGTTCTGAGTCCGGACCTAATGTCATGTTAGCCTAGTCCAGGTCACGAGAACGTGAACCGACCATCAAAGGAGAATACATCGTCTTTAGTCGCAACTCCAGCATTTGCAACCACATAATGAATCTTTCCAAACTCCTTTTCCGCTTTCTGAAACATATTCAATTGGTCTTCCCACTTGGTGACATCGGTTTGAACAAATCTCGTGCTTAATCAACGTTAGCGTGCGTCTGCGGAATGTATTGTACATTATCTTACCCAGGTAGCTCCGATGCAAGTTTTTCGCCATTCTGCAAGCTTAAGTCACCGATGACGACGTTGGCCCTAAACACAAAGTATTGCTCAGTACTTATTTATCTGAATTTACACCTGCACTTACTTCGCAGCGTGCAACGCTCGGACATATGCTTGTCCCAGCCCATTGGCACCTTTTGCGGAGAAGTTGATCAGTACTTATGATTCTTTCATACTACTGTTTCCTTCAAAGTATTTTCATAATGCTTTGCTTACCTCCCGTGACGATAGCGGTCTTTCCTGCGACGTTGGCGGGATCAAAGTCGATCTCACAATTGATGGGGGTTGCTGGTGTAGAGCCTGGCATCTTGATCAATATGGAAAGGACAAGTCTCAACACAGATCCCGATGATTGCTTCTTGTTCAATTACTCGCAATATTTATGGGTACAAGACAACCTTTTTATGACGTTTAGTGCAGTGCAAGTGAATAGCGTCATTGTGGTTCTATTTCCGAGGCATGCAAGCGGCTGACAACCTAAGTAGAGATTTTTCGTGCTCGTACGAACGTAAGCCTATGTTTCTTGGTCTTTGCAGCGCAAAGGAAGGGTACAGGAATGGTATCTGGTACCATCGTGGGTTGACGTCTCTTAAAGTGGGGCCGATGGCAATCGATCCACTTCCAAGTACGCTACTGCAACCTGCTGACATGCGCTAATGCACGATTCGGCGCGAGGTCAGCGGCTTGCATATAGTTGTCCGCCCCCAGAATCCCACGATTCGTCTAGAGATCAGACATAACTTCAGCATGTCGATTAGCCCCGAAAGCGAATCATCCATACTCGAAGTCGAGCCGATGCCGCAGCAGATCGGTGTGCCTAATGAACTGGATTGGACTGGCGTATCCAATCCTGCCAGACGTAGGAAGCTGCAGAACCGGCTGAACCAAGCAGCATCCAGTAAGTGAAAGTAAATCTCAAACTCCGGCGAGCAGATATCTGAAGAGAGTCCCGAGCTGATTGAGATGATCAAGGAGCTAGACGTCGAGCAGAAAGGTCGCGCCCTGTTCCAGAATTTCCTGCCTCGGCCAAGAGTCGACCGTCATATTCGTTGGCCATACATGAAGAAGAGAGCGGAAATGCCTCGAACATCGATGAAGAGATTACTAATACCGAAAGTGATACACGCCCATCTTACTGTCCCAACGCTGACCCCCGCGTACGCGCTGTAATGACACAATTCAAGCAACACGCATACCAACAATATCAGCAAGGAGTACCTAATCTAGGTCATCTCCACCTTGTCCTCCAGATCAACGTCAACACTGCTTTCGATCACATTGCGAAGACCATCGGTGTGATCTCGGAGTATCACGAATATGATTCCATATCCCCATTGAACAAACAAGGTCCATTATTAGGAAGTAATTACCATTTACATTCCCAGGACTGGCCCGAAAATTTGCGACCAACTACGCTTCAACTTTCCATCGAACACCATCCCTGGATTGATCTTTTCCCCCTTCCACGGCTGCGAGATAACATTTTGATGGCCATTGCACAACCAGGGGTTTGTGACGAGGATGAACTCTGTCGCGACATCTGCCACTATGATGCTGATACAGTTGGCAGAGCGGGTCTTATTGTATGGGGAGAAGCATCAAACCCACTTAATTGGGAAGCAAGTGTAGAATTCCTCGAAAAATGGGGCTACTTATTGTACGAATGCACGGAGCTATTGGAAGCGACGAATCACTGGCGAGCGAGGCGGAAGGAGAAGACAATCTCAAGGAGATTCTTTGCGGAGGCAATGATTAACAGTTGTCCGATGACCCTAAAAATCAATGAAACTTAGAGCCATGTATCTGTAGGTTTTGATATGAGCACGCATCGGGCGAACCAGCCAGCGTATAGCACATTGGCGCATCTGGCGTTTGTTTTCGGGTCTGCTACTCGGGAATTGCGTAAGCTGCGACTTTATTTAGTCTGATTAGCTGCCTGCTGTGCCCGACGCGTCCTTGCTTGACGCTGTCCAGCTGGAAGAGCTCTTGTTGACCTGACGCTGTCAAATCTAACGAGCACAGCCCGCAACAATTGGAGCCTGATGCAGCGCCTGCCGCATGAAGCCCGTCACACATATCTCCATGCTTGATGAGATCGGTTTCGCCACCAGAAGAGGCATGACTGCCGATGGGCGTGGTGGAGTCCCTGGCTGCTCTAGACGGGACTTGCATTGAAAGCATCCAGTGAGAGCATCTACATCATCGCACAGCCTCACCCCCTTTTTCGCCCTTTACTCTCCCCAGAGGTGATCGACAATCTGAATTACCAAAGCTCATCCGTGCACAGCGCTGACAGTTACATTATCATGCCGTAGGAAATACCGAAGCCATATTACCTGCACCCACTAATGCAAGACGCTGACAGCCAATGAAAGATTCGTCACTGCTGTGGACTTGGCTGACGACCATGCGAGGCTGTGTGCAACACCAGCGAGCAAGATTAAAAAACCATATGTTTCCCTAAGTTGTGGTCAGTCTATCGCCAGCCCTTCCTTTCTCTCCTCAGACACGCGGCTCCAGCACTTAAAGACACTACGACAACGATGCGACACAGCGCTTTTCTATTTGGCATCATGGCCGCTACCAGCCCAATGTCAACAACGGCACAAAACATGTCGTACGGAGCCAATAACTTTTACCAGAGCGGCAACGTCACTGTTCAGCCCATTATTTTCCCAAATCAATTCGGGATGAAAGTTTCAGGCAATCTATTTGTCCCCAACGGTCTCGATCGCAACGTCTCTTCATCAGCTATTGTCGTCGGCCATCCTATGGGTGCAGTAAAAGAGCAGAGTGCGAACCTCTACGCCACCAAGTTGGCTGAGCAAGGTTTCGCGACGGTCTCTATTGATGTCTCATTCTGGGGCGGAAGTGCCGGCGAGCCGCGAAACGCCGTGTTGCCGGACCTCTACGCTGAAACCTTCAGTGCTGCTGTGGACTATCTCACCGCGCAGGATTTCGTTGATCGTGAGCGGATCGGGGCCGTCGGAATCTGTGGCAGCGGCTCCTTCGTGATCAGCGCAGCAAAGATCGACCCACGGATCAAAGCTATCGCAACTGCAAGCATGTATGACATGGGCGCCGTGAATCGCAACGGGCTGCAGAAGTCGCAGAGTATCGAGCAACGCAAGGAGGTCATTGCCGCCTCAATCCAGCAGCGCCAGGTCGAAGCAGATGGCGGTGAAACAGCATACACTGGAGGAACGCCAAATGTACTCACAAATGAATCCACGCCAGTTGATATTGAGTTCTTCGACTTCTATCGTACGCCGCGCGGCGAATTTACGCCTGAGGGCTCTTCGCCTAACCTCACGACGCACCCCACGCTCTCGACGAATACGAAATTCATGAACTTCTATCCATTCAATGACATCGACACCATTTCGCCACGGCCTTTGCTATTCATCTCGGGCGATCAAGCGCACTCGCGCGAGTTCAGCGAGGACGCTTACGCTCTCGCAGCTGAACCGAAAGAATTGGTCTGGATACCCGGGGCTGGTCATGTTGACTTGTACGATCGCGTGGAGTTGATCCCTTTCGCAAACTCAGTTTTTCTTGGATAATCTTACCCAGAAAAACGCCAGTCAAATCTCGTCATAAGCCCTCATTTGGTCTCAAGTTGGAAGGAAAATCCGAATGACGACACTCTTGCTATATGCGCCCTATATTAGACGAGCTAGATTAGATTGATAGCATCTCCCGTTGAAATAATAGACAAATGTACTCAAGGCTTCCAGATCGCCTCGATGAGACTTAGCGCCGCTCCCGGCGGCGTAGTAACCCCCTGAAACACAAACCTTCCATCAGCCACCTTAAACAATTCCTTCCAGTCCTCTTCCGTCCTCTCCCGACTATTGTACACACACATCATAAACAAATCCAGGTACCTATCTCACGTGAGCACTTCTCTCTCAGTCCCTTTCACTTCACTTACCTTTCTCGTTTCTTGCTAAGCAGCACATCAATACCATCCTCCATCACATGCTCATACACCATGACCCTCGCCCCGTCCTTCAGCGCTGGGACCAGATTCTGCAGTATGCGCACGCAGTACTTATCGCTCCAGTTATGGAGAATCCACCGAAAGAAATACACGTCAGCCTGCACCTTTTGCTCTGTGAAAAAAGTCGTGGACTTGAAATTCCACCCTTCCTTCCAGCTTCTCAGGTAACAATCTTCTACCCTCTTGGACTTGGGGAGCCATGTCTTGCACAACGAACCGCATGGATTTAGTAGTTTCCGCCAACTTGACGGAAACGCTGCCATGGCCGCCGCCAACGTCAACGACGACGAAGTCCTCACGATCATGTGTGGGAGATGTCCAAGGGAAGGCGGATAGGAGCTGCTGAATGTAGCTCCCGCCATCCCCGCTGAATAATCTCATTGCGCCACCAAACCGCCGTCCCCTCTCCGGATTTTGGGCGAGGAAGTCATAGATACCCAGATCAGTCTTATTGGCGATGTTATACGCTGTTTCGTTTGGTTCTTCGGACGTACCGAAGCGAGTCAATGCGTCAGGGAAGGCGTGTGTCGCAGGTCCGAGTTCGTTTAGAATCATGCCCATGGCATCGAAGGCGTCGGGGTTGGTGGCTAGGAGGCGCGAGGTGTCGGAATGTGCGACATGGGAGGGGGTGGGCTCAGTGAAGAAGCCGAGGGTTACGGCGTAGCGAATGAGGCGGGTTAGTTTGTCAACCGGTACGCCAACTAAGGTTGAGAGCGTGGAGTAGGGGATGGAGTCAGCGTGGGGCACGTGTTGCGGTAATTTGAGGGCATAGATCGTGCGGAGGGCGAATGTGTCGGTTATCTGGGTGGTGAATTAGTGGTAGGAGGAGGGGCGGAGGGGACGCCGCACGCTCCACAGTTGCGAGAACAGGTACGATGTTGGAGGTTGTGCTTCAATCGTGAGTCTGTGTGTTGCGTTGAGGAGCGCGATTCGAGCTTCTCCGACATCCGGCGAAGAGATGGTGTTTGTGTCTTCGATGAGCTCGGCATTGCGAAGAATTTCGCGAGCCAATTCCGTGAGAGATGGCATCGTGTGCGCTTAGGCTTCAGAGTCAAGGTGTGGTACACGAGGAGAGGTGAACTACACTACGAACTGCTCTTACCTGTGTAGGATGAGGGGCGCAGGCAACGTGCCGAACTGTGCCGTATAGGTGGGTCGTCAAGGGTGTCGTCAGTGGATTCCTTGATTTTGTAGTCCATCCTTATTGGGATACGCGACCGCTACGCAGACGCGGTACAAATTTCGGTGAAATACCTGCATGCAGGATTCGATCACTTGGCAATAGGAAAGTACCGACCTGCCACTCACCCATCGACTCTGACCACATGCAAACCAATTATTCGCCCTGCATTGAAGTATTGGGTATTTTGTAAGCATTCTATAGTGCGGCGTGGGCTGAAGCAAGCAGTGAAAGTGATATGGCGTAGTGTAAGAAATAGTACGTAAGATTCCATTGTTTTAGAGGGTGATTCAAAACGAACGGCGCTGGTATCCCGCTTCCACATGAACTACACAGCTGTAAGCAAGCAGGCCAAAGCCCGTGTGCAATCAAAACTACCTTTCGCCGTTGCTCGCTCACGTAAAGTTACACAATGCCTTCATGGAAGCGATCTACACCCCTCTTGATTTCCTTCACAATATCCACTGCATCTTGCTGATTCTGCGCCTCAAAGTCGTACCTCTTCGTCTCCTTCTCCTTGAACACGACCACCCTGAACATCTTCGGATGCTTCTTGCTGACTTTGCTGCCTACCACACTCGAGAAGTGTACAGTAGTCGTTTTCGCTGGCTGATCGAAGATCTGCTTTGTGTTACCTGTTTCACCGGGCATGATGTGGATGTATTCATTATCAAGTGCGAGCGTTCGGGAGGTGGAAGACGCGAAGGACATGGGCTGTTTGCGCAAGACAGGCCAGCGCTTGTAGTAGGACGTTTGCGTAAGGGTGAGTCCGGTGCCTGAATCGCTGTGCTTGGCCAAGGGATGGATGAGCCCGTGGCCGGAGACGGCGGCTGCGGTGCGCTCGCCCTTCTTTGTTTTCTTTGGCGCGCCACCTGTGCCGATGATGAGGGGAGCGTTGGGAGACGAAGAGCCCGGACTGCCAGCGATGCCGAAGACGCCGTCGCCTACGAAGCGACGGCGCACGAGATCAAGATCCATGCGCGAGCCCAGGGCTTCCACGGTACGATCAGGCGGTGCGACCGTAGTGCTGGCGGATACTTTGAGGACGAAGAGGCCTTTGTCAAGCCGTAGGTCACGACATACTTGGTCGAAAACTTCTGCGATGTAAGTGTCCGTGGTGCAAGGGATAGGCATGCGCTTGTTGTTGAAGTGTTCATCTGTGTAGTGCACGGTGAGGGTTTTCGGAGCGCCGGTACGGCTAGCTGATGTTACGTTGGAGATCGTGGGTGCATCTGCCAGATTGGAAGTGTCCTTGCGAGTAGCCGTGGGAGCGAAAGAAGGTCCAGTAATGGGATTGCGGAAGCTCTTGGCGCGAGAGGGCATTGGCTTCGGTGGTGAAGCTTTTGGTCTTGGGGCCTCCTCTGATATTTGAGAAGCTGCCGCCGCCGCAGCGGCTTCGCGACTAAACTCGGGAGTAATTTTCTCGTTCTCGACGATCTCGCGTTCGGTGGCCTGGACAAGACCGAACTCATCCCAGGGCTTTTCCCTGGCGCGGGGTCGCATGCCTCTGCTGTTGTTGGAGGCAAAGTCCATGAGCGGGCGGTTCCTTGTCAAGGGTGGAAACTCATCATCTATCTCCCCGTCATCGTACATGCGCAGCACCCAGCAGTTCACATTGACCTTCCCTGGAGGCAATGCAGGCTCCAGTTTTTCTTCTTGATAGCGCCACAAGGCATAGCCAATGGCTTCGGCCACTGTCACAACCTGGCCATTGTCTGCGGTCTTCCTTATCAGCAGCTCAAGAGCTTTCGAGGGTTTTGAAGAAAATGGGCAGTATAGCTTCACATATATAGGGTTCGAATTGGCCTCGCTCGCCGCGTCCCAAGCAGCGAATCGTTGCAATGGATTTGATGGTTTTTGTTGCTTGGCTTGAAGAGCCTGTGTTAGTGCACTGACTGGTGGTATGAAGCTGATTGGTCTTGGAGGAGGCAGCGCCTGTAAAGTCGGCGTTATTTGTGCCTTTGCCTTCTTCGGAGAGTTGCTAACGAAAGGCGTCAAAGCGGGCATGTTGGGAAGTCCGTTAGGAGGTGATGAATCTAAAGGATCACTCTCGCCTATGAATGATCCACTGTCAGCGGTCCCGGAGAATTCAGACGAGAGTGAGCTGTCTGATTCATTGCCCTCGTCGAGGGCTTCTAATGGCTCCTTTTCATCCTCACTTATGCGCTCTGATAGCAGATGACTAGCTTTGGCAGCCTTGCGAGGGTTGACTCGTCGCTTGTGGAAGGTCAGAGAATCCATCTCGTTCTCGGATGACATTTCGCTGCTCGTAATGGTATCTCGGCGGGGGCGACCACTGGTGATGCTCTGCACGCCATCGGACGAACCACGGCGAAGGCGGCTCTCAGGAGGTCGGGACGGGGATGTGACCATAACGGAGGGTCCTTCGGCTGCTTCATTTAGTCCGCTCCTAAGAGCGGAGCCACGAATGGGCGAGGAACCGGCGCGCGTCCGGACGGGCATTTTCTGGAATTTGATTTGGTTTGCAGGCCTGCGCGCCTTGGTCAGCAGATCCTTAGGAACCAGCACAGATAATCTGACCGTTGCGCATCATCCTCTTCATCGCTTTCGTCGCTCAGATCGCTGCTATCATCCTCTTCCAGTTGCTCGCGCCGCCTTCTTCGCTTCGCATTTAGCGTAGGTCCCACGGTGTCGTTGCTACCCCCACCACCCGTCACCATACCGCCTTCCTCGTCATCTTCAAATCCTGCTGGTGCCTTCAGACCAGCCGATCGCGGGGCCTGGAAGTACTCAGAGGTGATTGCGGTGGGTATCGGCGGGGAATAAGTGCGCTTGATGTCGGCGGCATTGGGCACCCACCCAGCGGCGCGAAATGCAGGATTGTTAAGGACCGAGGTGTTGACGTTTATCAGACGCTCGCCAACGCCGTCTTTGATCGCGGAGAGGTAGGCGGTGCGCAGTTGAAAGAGAACGAAGCTGCGGGGGTTAGCGGAGGCAGCAAGGAGGTTGTGGGGCTTACTCTTCGTTCTGGAGGAGCGACATGGCTGTTCGTCTATCGTCTTATCATATCGTAAGTTTGAGGGTGCGCTTCCAGACCAGCTGAATGCCGTGTCATAAAGTCATGAGTAGTGGGTGTAGTTGGAGTTGCGCGGCGCGTTCCCCCGGATCTAACGTGGACCCTGGCTTGGCTCGAGCTCCACTTTGTGAAACATCCTCTTCTGACCTCATCGTCTCTGCATCACTTAAAACGACTTTCCCCCGTTAACAACGCGCAATGAATCTAACTGGCTATTCCGACTCCGAAGACTCGGGCGACGACGCCCCTACAGTTACCCAGGCCACCGCGAGGCCCACACCGAAAGTCGCATTCCAAAAAGTCGTCGACCGCTCGAATCCAGGCAAGATCAAGCTCAACTTACCAAGCGCATCGCAATCGCACACCGAAAAGGATGATATCGATTCAGAAGCTCGACCAGCGAAAAAAGCGCGCATTGGCGGTAGCGCATTCGGTGGTTTCAATGCGATGCTTCCTGCACCTAAGAAACCAAAAGTGGAAGCGATGACCGCAGACGCACCTTCCGGGAAGAGAGGCTTGGGAAAGGGCTTGGGAGCTGGAGTCAACTTGAAGACAGGTTCAGAGCCAGCTTTCCAACGACAACGGACCCTCGCTCTGGACGAATATGACGAAAATGGGAACCCGGTCAAGCAGGAGGCTCGCAAACAGGAAGACTTTCGCGCACTGCTGAACTTACCCACGCCAAAGGCCGAGACCAAGGCGGCAGAAACACCAGTTGCTACACCTACAGCAACACCTGCCCCATCGGAGCCAGTTGCTCAAGAGCCCACACGGCCTAGGTTTATGCCCAAGGGCATGGGATGGGGAAAGAAAAAGAAGCCTTCAGCCGCCAGACCAGCAGCAGCACCGACACAATCTGACGTTGGGTCGATGTCTCAGTCATCAATCAGCGCGCACAAAACTGAACAAAAACCTCCCCCGAAACCAAAAGTATCACTCTTTGGATCCGTATCACAAGAGATAGATGCACCGGCGAAGCAGACTACCGGCGAATACCAACCCCTAATCTACGGCGCCAAGGAAGACGAAGAAACACCAATGCCCGACTCAGTCTTCCAATCCCATCAACAGGCCATCCCTAACGCGCCCCACCCTTCAAATAACCTCACCAACATTGCCTCGGAGCTGAACCTTACCGAAGCCGAGCGCCGCCAACTCTTTGGCAGGAAAGGACAAGGCCCAGATCTCTCTGGCGCCAAGATTGTGGACTTTAACACAGACCAGGAGTATGCGCACAACGAGAAGCTGCGACAACAAGGCGAGACGATTCAACACAACGCACTTAAATCGATCTCTGGCACTGGAAAGAACAGCTTGAGAAGCTTGATCAATGTCGCGAGTACACAGAAGGACGCCTTGGAGGAACATTTCGCGAGCGGACGGAGGAATAAGAAAGAGGCGGGTAATAAGTATGGATGGTAGGCGGCGAGCTGCTTCCACAGACAACAACCACATAATTACAAGAGAACATTTGTCGTAACCTCGCTTGTCAAGATGCAATGCGAAATGACATGTAGACTATGAAAACTCGTGAAGGAAGAAGGGAATCACTCGCCAGGGTATACATCCACGGGCTGGTCTTTCACCAATCTGTCACATCAACAGCAGACAGCCACAAGTAATACATGCCTAAGTCTTCGCCTCGTCCTTCTGCGCCCTAAGAGCCATCAGATTCTTGATCGTTTCCTTACTCGAGAAACGGAATGATATCCCTCCTTTCCCTTTCCCTTGTTTTCTTCCACGCCTCCATAACGTCCATCGCATCGCCGACCAACCTCTTCGCCATCTTCAATGCCTGGCTACCATACCCCTCCCATCCTAAACCCCTTCTCAACAACCTCATCCAGTGACTCCTCCGTTGTCGACGACTCCACAGTCCCCGTGATCAAACCTCCGATATACGCCTCATGCGCGCTCAACCAATGGCCCGCCAACAGCAACATGTTCGCTCTCGGCCGGCCTATGGCCTTGGCAACCGTGTACAGACAATTCGAGACGGATTCTGTCTATGTAGGTACGCGTAGACTTATGCACTCTACCCCAGTTTCACCTACACAGTCTGGAGACATCAACATAATACCCTCTTTTGATCTAAATCTCTTTTGAACTAAATCGCGCACATTCAATCTCCGGATTCTGGATCTGTGTGGCGTACTCCAGGCTCGTGTAGCATCCAGGTGAATCCACCATGATTCCACTCTCTTGGATGCGCATTCAACGCATTCAACGCATTCAACGCATGCAGAGAATATCATAGGTGTTTATATGATGGAAGGTTGGGGCTCATTAACTGTGATAGAGGATGCGTAATGCGCTATTGCGGCGTGAAATCATGATTCCGTGAGATTTGGCCCCCAATCTGTGCGATCTGAGGGGATTACTGTACCCCGCCACCCCGCCTTTAGACGATTGAACGATCACAAGCGACATAATATCAGCCTCACAACCCAGAGCTGCGGGCATTATTCTTTCTGAAACTGATTCCTGTCACTGAAATGAAATACATGTCTACCCTCTAGCATGTTCGCACTAGTCTTCGACACTTTCTCGTGGCCCGTGTCACGCAACCTGCCGCAGCATGAGGTACTCACACCTTTTCCTTCAGCCTGGTGGCCATCGTACTGACGGTTCTCGACTGCGCCAGCGCCAATCCATCGCATAATGCAATTTTCGAGCGAGCGCGAGACGAATTTCTTCAATCTCTGTCTCCCTCCGAGAAGGGAATCTTCTCGAAATGCCCCTCCGCCGAACAGTTGATCGCAAGCGTTGAAAGATCCGGACAGGCTAGGAAGGATCGGCTATGGGGAAAGCGCATTCTTGCCAGCGTCAGTAGGTTTGGAAGTGCACTCCAACCCTACTTCAAGACGATCGAAATATTTGTTTCGTCTCACCCAGAGTATGCCGCCATCGTATGGGGCGCCTTCCACCTGGTGTTTGTGGTAAGACGCTCCTTATATGTAACGAGCGAGACCTTCTCTTGACGCGGAACTTCCAGCTTGCCGAAAATTATACTTCCTTCTTTACAAAGCTCGCCAAAACATTGGACCGGATCGCCGAGGTACTTCCGCACTATAATGAAATATCAAAGCTGGGGGTCAAGGGCCCCTCTGCACGACTTCAAACTTCATTATGCAAGGTCTACGAGGATTTGTTGCACTTTGTTCAAAGCGTCCTGAGGGTATTCCACAAAGAGGACGGCAGTGAGTATCCCTCGAGGCCTTTCTCTCCTCGACAGCTGATTTGGTGTTTGTAGAAGCGAAACGATCGATACGAGTTGCCACGGGCTTGTTGTGGAAGCCTTTCGATGTACGTTTCGAAGACGTACTCGAAAACTTTAGATTCCATAAGGATCTAGTCAATTCCGAATTACTTCTTGCACAGCTCCTTGAGACCAGAGATGGCAAGGCAAACATTGCGTCGCAGATTCAGGCTCTTCAGGAAGCTCTTCGAAAGCGAGAAGAGCAATTCGCAGCTCGAGACGCACAATCACTCAGCCCACAAGCGGCGGACATGAAGAAAAGTAAGCAGCTTGGCTCCCGAACCCGACCGTTCTTGAGATTAACTATTCATTATAAAGACATAATGGATCGAAAGGTGGCAGAAATCAAGTTCTGGATCAAGACACCACATTTTGACCAACCATACGAGCGCGCGCTTGATCAGAAAGAGCCAGGAACTGCGGAGTGGCTTTTATCACAACAGGTTGCCATGGACTGGCTCAACCGCCATGGTCAAGGCTTACCCGATCCCAAGAGACGAAAATTCGACGAGCAGGCATTCTGGGTACAAGGTACGTCAATCAGAATACCTTGATCTCCAAAAAGTATCTAATCAAGAATAAGGAAATCCTGGCTGCGGCAAAACAATTTTGGCAGCCTCTACTGTAGCAGAATTCAAAACCACACAGATCACAAGTAGTCAATCCCCGCAGGTGTTCTACTTCTTCTTTCAAGACGGACTACCTGAGTTTCAGGATTCAAGTGCACCGCTTCGCGCATTTCTGGCCCAGATGTTCCACATCAAGCGCACCGACGAAGATGTCATAGACCGATTTTCCTTTATCATGGATGAAACTTCATCTGGCTCGCCTGTAGCATCCCGTGGCGCATTGCTGGAGCTTCTGCAACTTTGTATTGGCTATTCTGAAAGCGCCATCTTCGTTATCGATGGCCTCGATGAGTGTGAAGATCCAGAAGCATTCACCAAGGACCTCCTTGCTTTAAGCAACGAGTCTAATCGCATTAAACTCCTCCTCTTCAGTAGACCCAACGTAAGCGCACTCTTCAAGACTGTTCCAGACAAGCAGCATCTCAACATCGGAAATCTCAACAAAGCTGATATCGAGGCTCTCGTACGCTCACAACTGGACGAGATGGATGAAGAAGAGATGTTCCCGGCCACTGTCGACATAACTGAGCTGGGTGATCGAATGATATTTGGCGCTAGTGGTATGTTCCTGTGGGTACGACTGATGGTTGCTTACCTGAACTCCCCCGCCCTGACCAGACGCCAAAGGAGTGAGGCAATCATGAACATCACGACACCTGAGGGTCTTGAACAAATGTACGATCGAATTGTGGTTTTGATAAAAGGCAAAAACAGTGCAGAACGGGACCTCGCATCGCGTATATTCATCTGGCTGCTCCACTCAAAAAGACCCCTGACAACACAAGAGCTTCAAGTGGCCATCTCAGATGATTCTTCGTTGCAATCCGGCGTTGATGACGACTACGTCGATTTCAAACGCAGTGTCATCATGAGTTGTGCAGGTCTTGTCGAGGTTCAGACCACATCCAGTGATACCTTCGCCGCCGACATTCGTTCCTTTCAGTTCATCCATCTCTCAGCAAAAGAGTATATTCTGGACCAACATGTTGGTGATGCAGAGAATACCTCACATGGAAAGAGATCGATGTCCATCACGGCTACCGGTCACGGGGCGAGTCTCGCACAAATTGCCACTCGATGCCTCGCAGTCCTTTGCTACCGACTGCCAGCCGATCCCTTGAGTGGGTCATTGGATTCTAACATCACGCCAACGGAGATACACAAGATGTTCCCCTTTGTGGGCTATGCGGCCTGTCACTGGATTGATCATTGTCTCGATGATTTACGCTCCAATCGCGACGCGGATACGATTCTTGCACCAATGTTTCCGATGTTGGATACATTCATGTCACTGAAGCGACATTTGATGGCATGGATTGAAGCCTCATATGCTTTCCGACGGATACCCAGCGCCAGCAAATTAGAAGAGGTCAGCCGCACCATCTCTTCACTTATCGTCGAAGATGGGCCCAAAAATGATCTCCTAGAGAAGTTGGTTCGTGATACCACTGAGCTAGCACGCTACGCCAACATATTAGAAAACGACTGGGGCCGCCAGTTACTTCAGTCTCCCATAGATGTATGGGAAGAGATCACTGCTTTTACAACAAGTCGACTGGTGGAAGGGACGCGTCATACGCAAGTACATACACTGATAATGGATCCCCCTAAGGCCGAATCAATCGGCTCGCGTTACTTATCGAAGATTTCAGAGCTCAGCGAGGATGGCAAAACCGTAGCGATCCTGAGTATCTGGCCATCGAAGTAAGTGACATTCTGCCTATAGGATCCCTCATCTTCATCTATCCATGCTGAGTTTTGCACAGAGCGTTCGAGCAATGTGCACAGTCCTCCATGAGGCCCGTAGAATCCATGCTACACATGATTTGCACAGACTGGGTAGCTCGATATGAGCTCTGGTCAGTGTCAGATGAACCTCGGTGTATTGCCGACGGCTCCATACCGTTGGATCCCGGGGAAGTACACCTCCAAGTGCAGCGCTCCATGTGGCAACATGACCCCTCATTCAGGGATGGACATTGGAAAATGCAATTTCCAACCGCAATTAGCTCCGATACAAGGCTAATATGCGTCATTCGGACAGTGTACCTCTTTTCCATCACAAAGCGCAACGAAGCCATCATGCACGCCGTGGTACTTCCGTTACACACTGAAGAGGGCCTAGAAGGAATCTGGAATGGACCTTCAAAAACAGAAGAGCCATTGAATGTTGCGAACACGGTTGGCGAAACACGAAGCAGTTCAAGTGGCAGCTTCACAAGCTCATTAAGTGGTCTTTTGAAGCCATTTGCGTCGCATAGACGTTCGAAGTCGTTAACACGAGAGAACGCGAATCACTCACCTAGCACATCACATCTGGATCTGACACCGTCAAAGTCTCCGTCATTATCACAGTCTCTGTCACGACATCGCGCACGTGCTAAAAGTGCGGACCACTCCGTATATCATGGAACCAAAAGATACCGACACTTTGTTGTCTTCGCGCACCATGGCGCATATTTGCTATTCGTGGACCAACTAGCGAAGCAATACTACACTAACGAGCATCCACCAAATACCGTCATACTATTTCAGCTGAGTTTTGAAGAGAATCTTTCGATAACTAAATTGGGAAGCGCCAGAACACCAATCTGTCCTTACGAAGAGCTGTCCCCTCCAAAGGTCACACTTCACCCTAATTCTACTACGTTGGCCCTGTTCTTCCCCAAAGTTATGGACTCTCAAGTCACGCTATGGCACAGGTCTCCACAAAACCGGTTCGAAGATGTTGATGTGCTAGGCGAGACGGTTGAAGATGTCCACTTTTCGCGAGATGGGGACCACCTCGTCATTCAAACAAGTTCGTCTGGCGCGCCTAGGGTTATTCCTGTATCTGTTCCGTACCAAGGACAGACAGCGTCTTCCGCCAGGGGACAAGTAGAGGATCTGACAGCACAAAACAGTGCGCTCTCCAAAAAGCCTTCTTCAGCTCCCATTATCAATTTGCCCGAACACTCGTCCTCCGGCGTTTTTAAGTCTGGAACCTCCATCGCCGAGGATGGGGGAGCTAGTGGTTTGGCTATGGTCCACAGTGGCACACAGATAACGATTCGAAAGTGGTCTAGAGAAGATGCAGCTTCCTCTCAGGATGCCAAAGAAGAGGTATTACAGCTGACGAGACTACCGGGGACGATGTCTTCCGGCTCTGCTGCAGTCAGTGTGCCGCGTCCAGGAGAGGACCAAGTTCACGTAGTGATAAACAAAAATGCGCGGCAGTGGGACGACATGGTCCAAGACGTGGATGTACACCTCCCAGCACTGGTATCAAGAGATATAGGAGATCTGAAGATTGAAGATAGCTCTGGGAGCTCGAAACGGCTTCGTGATGCTGGTCGGGTCGCTATTGGGAAGTAGTAATTGTTGAATTCGTACAAATTTGGGATGTCAAAGTAAAGCGCACATTAAAATCGAAGATGACGACCTTATGCTATTTCCGAAGTGACACTATGAAGATTGATCTACAGATCCGTAGAAACAAGATCAAGGGAGCCACCTCTTCGTCCCAAGATGCGACAAATACTTACCCTGATCGCCATTCTCGATGCTTAGCTTGTCGAGAGTCGACGTCATCTTCTTGACAGCCTCGACGGGCTCATAAGGTCCCGTGAAGCTAGGTGAGTACTGCTGGAACTTCGCAGTAACCTCTTGCAACTTGGCACCCTGTGTGGGGCTCACTGTGAACGTTAGTAAGTACGGCATATTTACATGCCTGTCTGGCGGAAGCTGCGGTACGTACATTTGCTGAAACTTCCAGTGTCGACCATTCCAGGACACATACTCAGGAACAGGACACCATCCTTTTTATACTGCGCACCAAATTTGACATTGACCATGTTCAGCGCAGCTTTGCTTGACGAGTAGAAGATGGCGTGATCGAAGTCATATTCTCTGTTGATTTCGAGGTCACCCATGCCACTGGATATGGACAGGACTTTCTTGGCCTTGCCTTTCAGGATGAATGGCAGGAAAGCTTCGTAGAGGAAAATCTGCGCCAAAACATTCGTGTCCATGAAATTGTGGAATTCTTTCGTGAAGACCTCATGGGAAGATTTGGCGAGTAGCTCGCCGGGACTGTCAAACTGGTCATACAAGGCCAGATAGGCGGCGTTACCAATAAGATAATCGAGAGACCCGCCGGTGATACTGGCGGTATCCGTGGCAGCCTTTCTGATCGCTGCGTCGTCGTTTAGATCGGCTTGGAGAATATGGATGTCTTGAAACAATCAGTGGAAGCTCGTATCACCATTCATAGTCGCGTGAATGAGCGTAAATAAGATATGTGGTGGTTACATACTTTTGCGGTCTGGAAGCTCGTTCTTCACTCGTTCAATGGTTGGGGGCGCATTCCGAACTAGCCCAATGACAGTGTTTGAGGGATCTTCCGAGAGATGCTGGACGAATCCCCACTGATGGCGGTCAGTAGTTGATAGGTGACGGCTTCCCGATTTGCTTACGCCGATACCTCTTGAAGCTCCGGTGATAACATAGGACGGCATCTTGGAGGTGAGATGTTGTAGAGAGTGAGGTTTGCTTATGACTGTTCAGCGGTGAAAGATGTGAAGGATGAGTGCGCTGCTGTCTAGAATATGGATAGTACGGATCCTTTATATACTGACTCTTGGACACATTCTCGATGAGCGCGTCCTCCATGATTCTAGATTAGAAATTCGAACGTGTATCATAACGTTACGGTGGAGGCCTGTGGCTATCCACCGTAGCCATCTGGCAACTTTTTGCGATCCGGAATCCTACTGCGCGCGCAGAATAATACCCTCAGCAAACAGATGCACGACAAGGACAATAATACGACTCCACATATGTTTGCTTATGTCATCGCCACTAGCCTACTCAAATGAGGGATGCTCTGCTAACAATGGTCGGCAGATGGCGCTAGTGGCAGATACGGACTAGTCGCTCACTAGACTACCCCATTCAGCCTTAGTCTACTGCACCATCCTTCGCGCAACGTCCTTCGAGCAACTTTCAGCGATCACGTGTTTGCTTACGACATCGTCCGTGTAAGTCGCTCAAAGTTGCAGCGTTTCTGCCTTCCGCCTCATCATGCATATCAAATTCTCATGGTAAACACTGAGTCCAAGCCCGATCTATCTTAAACCGGACATAGGCAATAACTCGCGGAGATGGGCAAGCCGGCGTTAGCGAAGAGAAGCTGCGGCACCTGCAAAGGTGGGCACGGCCGGTAGATATGAAAGAATGATCACTAACCTGCTCTTCTAGATCGAAAGACTCTCTGCGATAGGATCACACCAGCGTGTTCACAATGTACACGGGCGAAGCGTGTATGCAAGGGTTACGACCTCCGGCTCTCTTGGCCTAGGGACAACGACCGCAGGCGAGCTATCGTGCTCAAGTCATTTCACAATGATCTTAAATCTCGGAACTATCCGATTGGCCATGCAACCATGGTCCGGGCATCGCACTGGGATATCGAGATGTACATGTTTCTGAATTCGTACATCTCCTATGCGCCATGCCTGCATGCACCGGTGACATGGAATCCCCATGGATTGAAGAGGAAAGAGTGGGACTTGCTGAGATACTGTAAGACGTTGGCAGATTTTTAGACTTGACCGACACTGACCATCAGAAAGTTCGATCAGAAGCTTCCCGTTCTCTGACAACGTTCGGGTCTGATCCGAAGCATCTTGCAAACTTGCTTATGAGGATTTCGCAAAGTGGCAATACGCTTGCTTCGACCGCAGTTCTTCACTCCCTGCTCGGCCTGACATCACTGTATCGTTACGGTTGGAATGAGCAAGCCATGGAACTCAAGATATCCAGTCTGCGAGCTCTAGCCAAGGCGTCAGAAACATACAATGAGCACGTGGAAGGCGCGCATCATGTTGCAGCCGGGATGCTACTCTGCTCTTTCGAGGTAGGGCACTACTTTCAGCCTGTTTCAGCTCACCCTTCTTCTATATCACACTAACGCATATCGGGAAAACGTAGGTTCACATGGCCTCCTGCAGCGCCAGCGAGTGGACATGGTACGTCAATGGCATCAAAGAAGTGCTGTACTCAGAACGTCCTCATGTCAAGTGCACCCTCGATGAGGAGAAAAACACCTTACTAAATTGGGTATACTACCACGATGTGATGAAACAATTCAGCATCCGGCACTGGAAAACGACACCAAGAGACAAGAGTGAACCGTCGATAACCCAGCCACAGCTCCAAGACGATAGTAACCGCAAGCAAATCTCCCAACAGGACCTTCTGGTTTGCCACAGAGTGACGCCGTCGGCGCCATGGATAACAGTGATATTGAAACTGATGTCAGAGCTTTGCGACACGGTACCGACGAAACCGCGTCTTGAGACTATGAATGCGCAAGACTTGGAAGAATTTGCAAACCGTATCAGGATTCTCGACTGGCGGATTCGAAACGTCCCAGTGCCGTCGGCAGCTGAGAAGATCAGCTCGAGCGTCCGCCTCTACCAGCTCGCCATGCTAATCTACCTCAACCGAGTCACCGCGAACATTCTTCATCAAGCGTCGAAAATACAAGATTACATTGACAACGCATTTACTTTGCTGGCGGAGCTAGAAACGTGCAAACCACACTTTCCGATGTACATAATAGGCTGGGAGGCAAGCACGGATGAACAACGTGCGACAGTACTTGAGTTGCTGGGGCGGACGAAGAAAGATCCGTCGTCACGATCGATGTTCCATGTGGAGGTATTGGTGCAGGCCGGATGGACGCAAGACGACCTTGCCGAGGGAGAGCTGAATTATTGGGATAAGGTGACCACTCTGATTAGTGTCTGCTCCACTATGCCTAGCTTCGTGTAGGAAGGGAACCGTTCGGGATGATTGTGTATATATTATGCTTTGGCTTGCTATAGATTTTGACCCTCCACGCTCTTCGACCAATCACTTTTGCCAGAGCAAGTTACTATTGACTTAGACGTTGAAGGCTTTTGACAGCTTTTATGCCGGTTCTGAACAATTTGTTGCTTCAAGATCATACCATGTCTAGGTACTCATGTACTCGGCTGTGCTAGCCGTTTACCCACTAGAATCACTACCAAGGTCGGTTACCTCAGTAATAGAACCTTATTTTTGGCGTAATAGAACGTGCTCGCCACTCCTTAGCTAGCTTCTCGTACCGCTAGACCTCTTTATGTTGCACTCCAGCCGCAGCAATATCTGCGCCATGCTCGCGGAAATGCATTCCTTCCTCCCATTCTTCTTCCCACTCATGCTGCTCGATTGGTCGACCCTTGATGATGGGAGTCGACTCTTCGAACCAGGGTTCATGACCTCCACGATCACCGAACACACTCCACGCTGCCATTTGTGACGCTGGCATCTCGTCCACAAATTGAAATATATCCTGCTCCTCCTTTTCGGTAAGTGTTCCGGGTAAAGATGGCACCATGCGCAGCGCGATGGCAATATCCAGCCGTTTGTCGCCAAGCATTTCAACGGCTTCACGCAATCTGAGACGCAAGAGTAACTGAAGAAGATCGGAGCTGAACTCGGTGGCACCGACGCAGGCCACCTCTACTGTTATCCATTCTCTCTGGGACCGGGGCAGGTATTTACGGCGGTTTCTCAGTTGTCTGCCGAAACGCCGCATGATGTCGGATTCGACCTTTTTATCGGGGATATTCGTGGCACTGGCGGTAGCTTCCGCGAAGCTGTCACGATTTTCGGAAGCGTCCCCCCCATGGATCGCGCTCCTCGGATCCCATACCTCCTGGTCCTATGCAGAAAAGCAACTGGACCGGTTGGGTGACGATAACCTTCAGTTTGGCCCTCACAATGGGGCGCGCCTCGTAGTGGACCGCCTTCGAGACACGGAGGATACCTGTGGGTAGTGTCTTGTGGACAAGGATGAGTCTGCCGTCGCTCCGTACCCTCTCAGGATGTTGCACTACGGGTCGCTATAAAGGTCAGTCAAAGACTAAAGCTCGGCCAACGTGACGCTAGACTAGCACGACAGAAGACATTTTGCTACCGACAATGGTTGTAAACGCTAATGGTGACTTACATCCTCACCAAGCGAAGCGCCGTAAGTCTTGGTGGTAACGGGAATACGCTCGTAGACCATGAGTCGAGCCTAGACATGGAACCTGGTCAGTAGTGTTTGTAATTGGTAGGAGCGGCATGTACTGGTTAAGCTCGTCCGCGCTTTTAGGTTCAACATACCTCCTTGGGCAGATCCATGAAACGAAAGGGTTCGGTTGATTCCGCACCGACGTTTTCCATGGCGATGTTCGTGTCACCATCTTTGCCGTACTCAAGGGAGCCCATGATTGCACTCGTGGTGTAGCAAATTGAGGTCGAGCGAGAGGTTGAATATAGACTGTTGATGCTGTTGACATGTCAAACAAATCTTATACCGAAGGCAGGCGCGGTCAGTAAGCTAGTCAGTAAAGGGCTAGCGCCCACCTCGATTACATGCCGTTGAGTGGTTGGGGAGAAGGTGAAGCGGATTTTGTGCCAATGCCAAGGTAGTAAATGCTGAGTTCAGCTGCGTGTAACAGCTTCAGCGACATTTGGATGCTGCAACGTATAGTTCTACACAAGGCCCATGATACCAGAAAAAGCACGCTTATTACTATCCATTCTTAGCCCACTCTTCCCGCGCCATCCCTCACCCCTTCTTACCCACAAACCTACCCCTATCCGCCAAAATACCCTTCGCCATCTGCAATTGTTCATCCGTCTGACAAATCAGCGTCTTAAACTTTGCACCTTCATCACTGACATCAGTCACAACCTCATCCGCAGGACCCTCGTTCTTCTTGGCGTCCAGCTTGAAGCCCAGACACTCCACCCCATTGACGACTTCTTGTCGAAGTTTAGCACCCTTCTCACCGATCCCTCCAGCGAAGACCAGCGCATCCACCTTGCCGTTGAGTTTGGTAAAGTACGGTCCGACGTAGTTGAGTATCCGATCAACGAAGATGTCGAAAGCGAGTTTGTGGCTGTCTTTTTCACTCGCACTAATCTCGCCAAAGTCCGTCGTCCCCGTGAGCGCCTTCCACCCAGACTTCTTGTTCAAGATTTCCTCGGCCTGCGTGATATGCATGTGGCTAGAGGCAGAGTGGGAAATCGAACCGGCGGAGTGCGTGAAGTGAAACATCAGGGAGGGGTCGATGGAGCCGGAGCGGGTGGCGCCAGGGAGGCCAGCGAGGGGTGTGAGACCCATGGATGTGTCGTGGGACCGGCCGGCTTTGATGCAGCAGGCGGAGGCGCCGGAGCCGAGGTGGAGGGCTATGATATTGAGCTTTTCTGCTGGTTTGTTCAGATGTGAAGCAACCTGCGGTGGAACTTAGTCGGATTTTGACTTGAATGGCTTGGGTTGTGGGGTGGGAGCAGGACAGAGGGAAAGTGGAAAGGAGACATGAAAAAAGAACGGAGGGTATACGCACGGCATCCGTGATGAACTGATAGCTGATCCCGTGGAACCCATATTTCCTCAGTCTATTCTTCTCCGCAACCTCTTGATCGATCGGGTACGTGCAAATATGCTTCGGGATAGTCGCGTGGAAACTACTATCAAAGTACGCCACGTTCTTCGCATGCGGCAGAATCTCGCTCACCGCCCTCACAATGCTCAATGCCGGCGCATTATGTAGCGGCGCAAGATCGCTCAGCTCCTCGATGTGGTGGTACGTCTCCTTGTCGATGATCTGCGCGCGTGGATAGTCGCCGCCATGCACGACGCGATGACACGTGAAATGTATGTCCTCGGTCTTGGAGAGCTCAGGTAGTCCGTCGTCTTTTTGAAGATGGGAGAGAATGTATTTGAAGGCGTCTTCTTGCGAGTTGATGTTCTCTAACTCTTTTCCTTTGATCTTCTGGTCGCCGCGGGAGTACTTCAATTTCGCGGGAGGAGCGGTCAGGCCTTCGACGGTGGCTTCGGCGAGCTGCTGAGGTGTGGTAGATGAGGGCTCAGCTTTGTAGACGGAGATTTTGACGCTAGATGATCCGGCGTTGATGGAGAGGACGACTTCCATCTTAACGGATCCTTGATCGTTCGAGAAAAATGACGAACTGTCAGAACCAATACGTGTTCAAGTAAATGGCTCAGAATGTGGTGTCCAAACAGTACGATATCGAGCGATTAGAAGGCTAATGTAAAGTCGTGTTTCAATGGCTTGTGAACGAAAACTTCGATCGGGCCATGCAGTCAAACGATCGGAAGTCGCGGAGCCTCGCCAGCTACTACAGCATTTCGTCATCCCGCTGCAGCTATGCAGCCCTGCAGATCCATGCGAGTGATGATCAGGAACGGTACCACACATACACACGTGTTTTACAATTGAGCCGCATCGTCGGACCCCACAATTGGTATCTTGTTCGCGTGGGATGAGGTCGGAAATAGAGACATGACGTCACCGCATCTGAGCACCGCTAGTGACGCGCATGTGGTTTTGTGATGTGTAGCTCCGTAACAGTGGTGAGGTGGCACGGTTAAAAGAACGCGTCATGAGCAATTTGATAAGTACTTACTTGACAAACAGAGAGAATCACCTCTCACAGAACATGATACGGCGGCTTATTTGATTTTGAATATACCTAGATACGAATGTAAGACCTGATGAAAAGCTTTTGGGCTGTCTCAATATATATTACGCATCCCGGCTGAGGCAAAATACTCGACTGACATGCAACGTAACACCTGTATATTCTACAAATCTCGTTACGCTCCTCAAGGACTCCCCTCTTCACGTCCATCCTCTTACAACTTGTTCTATATCTTGCAGAGCGACTGGAGCGCTTCCTTCGTACTCTCAGCAGACTCTTTCACAACCTTTATGATCTCTTTGAATTCCGCTATCTTTGCATCGCCCATGACCTCGTACATCCAGCATTCACTGGTCAAGACCTGGGCACCCGCGTGCCGTAGCCTCGCCAGTGCAATGGGAACTTCCTCCTTGTTCACGCTGCTCACGCCATCCGCGATCACGTACACGTTGTGGCCTTCGCTCAGGAGGTCGAGTGCTGTTTGGGTTACGCAGATATGGGATTCGATGCCGACGATGACGCACGAGAGGCGCGAGTTGAGCGAGTTGAGCGAGGCTATACCCGCGCGGACTTCAGGCGTGCTGAGAACGAACGCAGTCAGCGCTACTTGCTCAGGGGTACGAGGCCGGGGAAGCGTATAGCGTACAGCATAGAGAAGAGGGTCTTGTCAGCGTGGACGACAGTCCTGATGCCGCCTGGTGCATCAAGCATTAACTCGGGCACTGTTTCACCCAACCTAGCCTTATTCTGCGTGGTCGCGAATACGGGGATGTGGAGGATCTGACCTGGGGTGCCTCATTAGCATAGCCAAGACACGTGGGGATTGACCCTAGAGCCGGCACGCCTTCTTGATTTTGGCCCCCTTCGATCAGCCGCCTATGATGGAGACGGTTGGGATGCATAAGCGCATCCGCCCCAGTGATATTATGATGGTTGAGGTGGTATAGGTGGGGTTAGCATACTTGCTCTCAGCAGCTTCTGGGTGGTCGCGACGACTTTCGGGAACTCATGGATGGCAGGTCGGAACTTTTCCTGCAGGTCGCAGATGCTGGCAACACCTCAGCACACGGAAGCTGTCCGCAATTGAATGATTAGTGGACGTCCTGCAACATACCCCGGGATACTCACCAAGCTTGTCGAGGACAGCATACAAGAGAGCGGGGTTGTCTACCTGGCTGTGAGCGCGCGTCGAGGAGCCAGCCTGGGGGCGTCTTACTGATCCTGCGCTGGGCCATTGTGCTGTACGTGAGAGCCCTGATGTGGCTCGACGAAGTGCTGATTTGTGCAACGCGCGGGAACACTCGCAGCATGGTTTGGTAGTCAGCGGTGCCTCAGGACGACATGGCGGCCCGCGTGAGCTCGGCGCGGGGAAGTCACAAGCCATTGCGTGTCAGCACAAGTGCCCCCGCCGTAGCAGCAGCCCCGCCCCAGGCCCGCCCAGCGGCCGTTCGAAACGGCATCGAACGCTCAGCAGCGAGCTAATTGCTCCGTTTTCGCTGCGCATTTCTGATTGGTGACGCGGTGCACGTCGTCCACGCTGCACCCTCGAGATTCCAGGCCAATCTAGGAGCGGAAGAGCGGGAGGCTTGCTGCCGGAAGCCATGGCGCCGGCCGTTTCCCGTACGGTGGGTGGTGAACCTTGGGACGCAGCATCAGCGTCTTACGGTTTGACAGACTGCTAAGTATGGATGCTGAAGCCAGCGCCAGCTACGTACGGCTGCAGGTGAATAAACACCATCCTGGGCATCTCGCAGGTACGACGCAGGTCCGGTACTCGACAGCTTGCGTGCGCCAGTCCTGGCGCTCTTCACTTGAAACAAGGACCCTATGCGATTATTTCGCCGTCATCGCCCAGGGTCGAGACATCCCTGATCGCCACGAATGCATACTGCCCTGAAGCCCTCGAGCGACCACTGCACGATCGGCCCGCTGACAGTACAATACCTAGTGCTGGCCGCGCCTTGTATTAGCGGAAGGGTCAGAGGTGCAGACGCTCCAGGGCTCGTCTCAGCTCAGCTGTCTAGGGAATCCGTCAGCACGACTGCTTCCGAGCAGCAAACAGCGTCCGGACATGGCAAATGAGAAGCGGTGCGCAGTGGACCAGCACGTGTTTGCTCAGCACGGAACGCTGGAGCCGGTGCTCGCATGGCCAGCATCTCGTAGATTGGCAGCGTGCCCCTTCTGAAGACGCTGAGGCGCGGGCTGGACGCTGCTGGTGCGACCTGAGGATGATCAGACTGCCCACCGTCTCGACTGGCTTCAGCTTGGACCGGGAGCGAGGCGAGGCGTTGTCGAGGCGCTCTGCGGGTTTGTTGTCTAAGATGGGTCGGCTCCAGGGCCTGTTCTTTGAGGGTCAACGCCGCAGGAGACTGCCAGAACAGTAATCAGGAAGGTGCGAGAACAACCCATCCAGGTCGCGGCCGGAGCGCGTAGAGGAGACTCAGGAGAGCAAGTAGCCCCCGGCAGAGCAATTGCAGCACGGCGGGCCATATAAGCAGCAAGCGGATCCGGGTCACACATCTATAATAAAGGGCGTTACTCATAACGCGCAGTGAGAGGGTCGCACTCCACCGTGCGAGTACCTCATACCTCTTTCCGTGCCAGACGCGGGTCCGTGCGCTCCGCGATTTCGTAGTTGCCCACCCGTGCCTTCTCTCGCTGCGACTGCGTCCACGGCTCTGCACCCTTCCTTTGCCTGTGCCGTGAATCATCTCGCTGCGTGTGCTCTCTTCGCCCCAGAAGCCTGCCGTACGGCGACACCACCATCCCCCACGGCTGTATTCCTTTAGCGCTCGTCGTCGCCCTCGCCCCTCGTTCAGCGAATCGACTTCCACGACCTCCACAAGGGGCCGCTTGGATTCCCTCGCACGGCGTTCACGGCACCTCTGCTCGTCCTGCACGCGCTGAGCCTCGCTTTCACCTTCACACTCATCGGACTCGCCTATATCACCGCGACTCGCCAGCGCTGCCACCGGCCTTCGAGCACCCTCGCGCCGCGACTTCCTTTGACCGCGAGGTCATATGAACGACCCCCGCCACGCCAGCGTACAGTGCACATATCTCTACGACCCGCATCTCACCCACATTCATTCGGCACACGCTCGGATTGGAGGCGAAGCCATTGCGATTGGACAAGATCCCGCGGGATTCGCACCAAAGGGTAGGTACCAGGGCACCTTGAGTGCTGTCCCCCGTGCCTTATTGCCCACGCAGCTGCTCCCACAGCTGCAACACCCGCACAGTAAACCAGTGCACTCTACTAGACCTAACCCCACCGTAAAGGTGTCGGGTCCACCGTCCACGGCCGTGCAGGCCCACGACTCACAGCGGGATCTAGCTCGTCCACATAACACGGAACCGACGCCGGCTCGCGAGGACCTCCATGGGAGAAAAGCCGGGTCACACAGCGTTCGCAGTAGCGCATTGCCGATGACGTCCAACGGCGTACACAACATGGGAAGCAAACGCGACGAAGGCCACCCCTTTGCGAGGGCGCAACGCCCTTCGATCGTGTCTCACCACTCGAACTCGGTGCCTTCCACGCCTCTACAGAATGCCCGCCAGTATGAGTCGCGATCACGATCGCCGTCTCCTAGTGGCGGTCTCGGTAGCCATTCGCCTCGTTCAGTGTCGTCCGAAGCCAATCCTGCCATCCCGCCCATACGCATTGGACGCACCCTACGATGCAAATACGAGACTAGCACCCAGTTTGGAAGGAGGCGAATGCCATATGACTCGTCCGATATTCTTGACAAGGCCAAGGATAAGCCGAAGAACTCGTTAGATCCTCATGAGGACGACAAATTGAGCGGTGACATGCGTGAGCTGTACGATCGGTTACAGCCGACAAAGGAGAATACGCAGCGGAGGGACAATTTTGTCAAGAAGCTCCAAAATATTCTCGAGATTGAATTCCCTGGAAACGAGTTCAAGGTGCACGTATTTGGCTCGTCGGGGAATCAGCTGTACACAAGCGAAAGTGATGGTAAGCTTTCTTGCCAGAACCTTGGTACGGGTCACTGCTGACACCTGTATTAGTCGATGTCTGCATACAAACCCCAATGACGAGGTTGGAGGACATGCACCCACTGGCTGAGGCCCTCGCAAAACGTACGGTGTAGTGGAAATCCCACCTGGTCACACAAGCTGACACAATGATAGATGGCATGGAGAAAGTTGTGTGCATACCGCAAGCCAAGGTACGAATCGTCAAAATCTGGGACCCAGTTTTGAAGCTTTCGTGCGACATGAATGTAAACAACACGCCCGCGTTGGAAAACACGCGTATGATCAAGACCTACGTTCAGATAGACGATCGCGTCCGACCTTTGGCAATGATCATCAAGCACTGGACCAAACAGCGGATATTGAACGACGCTGGTAAGTTGAATTTGCTTCTTCAGAGCCATGTCTGATTTGTTGCAGCACTTGGAGGCACTATTAGCTCCTACACTTGGATATGCATGATCTTGAACTTTCTTCAGACGCGCAATCCGCCAGTCTTGCCCGCACTTCACACCCTCCCCCATCGGGCAGTCGACAAGGCAACAGGCAAGCCTTCGCACTCCGACTTCGCCGATGATTTGGAAGCATTGAAGGGCTTTGGTAAAAAGAACACCGAGTCGCTGGGTCAGCTCCTGTTCCAGTTCTTTCGCCACTATGGGCATGAAGTCGATTACGAGAAATACGTTGTGTCCGTACGAGAGGGACGTTTACTCACTCGCTACGAGAAGAACTGGCACCGGGCTGGTCTTCAGAAGGAGGCTAGGAACCGCCTTTGCGTCGAGGAGCCCTTCAATACCGATCGAAACCTAGGCAATTCGGCAGATGAATTTGCCTGGCGTGGTATTCACCTGGAGATTCGGCGGGCATTCGACTTCCTCTCCGATGGCCAGCAGCTGGGAACGGCATGCGAGCAATTTGAGTTTCCACCTGCGCCTCCTCCGGAAGAAAGACCACGGCCTCCAAAATCGACGGCTCCAAAGGTTACCTTAGCACCAAGTGTGCCCAATAATCGCAACGGTCGCAATCAGGGTAATCATCGCGGTGGGCGTGGCGGCATGAACAACAAGGGAGGCGGGTACGGACGACGATCATCAAGTGGAGCCGCGTTCAACCGTCCGCCACTGCTGCACAGTCCTCCAATCGGCGCGATGGCAGCTCAGCAAGAGTACGGCTTCCCACAAGGGCTCAACGACCGGCTACACGATCAACTGATTCAGCAATATCAAATGCTAGAAATACAGTCCAACTCGTTAAGGCAGCAGCTCGTCGCGCAGCAACGTGCACAGCAGGCACATCAAGCACAGGCTGCGCATATGCATGCACAAGCTCTAGCTCAAGCGCAAGCGCAGGCGCAACACAATCGTGGACATAGCAGCGCAAACGGGTCTCCGCAGAAGTCGCCGTACATCAACGGTCGCTCCAGCCCCCGACTTGGCGAGGCTGGTATCCCACCAAATGCCATGCCACAGGGCTTCCTTTACCACTACCCAGCATTTTTCGACCCCTCGCAGCAAGGGTCAGCTGTCGCAGATGGCCCCCGTACCAATCCTTCTTCGCCTTCGCTTCCCCACAGCCTGCCTGGTCCACGGCGACAAGCACATAGAGCGTCCAATGCGAGCGAAACAGGATCCATGCGTTCACAATCACAACCGGCACGAGGGATGCCACAGAATCCGGTCATGGCTGGGTATCCTCCCATGCCGTACTTTGATCCTTCTCTCGTCGCTGGGTACCCTATCGCGCGCTCCACACCGGAAGCGCCAGGCTCGCAAGCAACCACAGACACGCCCTACAGCCCTGTTGTTGGCTACCCTGAAGCTGCGCCGTCATCCGAGAGTAGCATTCCTAGGGAGTATGTTGGTTACTATGTCGATGAGCAAGCAACGCCGCGCTCTTTGCAAGACTATGCAGTCCCCCAGATTCCTTCATTCAATGAACTCGCACAGCGACGGAGGCGCGTGTCTTCCGAGATCACACAACCGCTTCTCAACACTGCTCTGAGGCGCGTATCGCGCTCACCGTCACCTCTCGGTGGTCACGTACGGAGCTATTCGACGAATGTGCCTCATCCACTTAGTCAGACTGCCGAAGCCCGAAAGGACCGTACTGATTCAGCGCGCCCTCCTGGTGATAGTGGCCCTGTCATTGTCAATGGCTCTTTCCCGCAACAGCCACGTGAGGCGCGTTCCAGGAGCGACACGATCGACTCTTTCCAATCAATCGATACAGCCAGCTCCGCGAATCTCGGTATTTTCACGGACCAGGATCAATATCGGAACGCCAGCCATGAGCAACGGCAAGCATTGGTTCTAGAGGAGATGCAAAGACAGCGCGGTGACAATGGCCATGGTACTGCCTTCGCGAATGGGTCGATGAACGGTGTATCGCCTGTCGACATCAATAGCTTGACGCGAGTACCAAGTGGCAACCAACAGTATTACCCTATGCTTCCAGAAGCGTGGATGAACTACGAACTCGGGAATGGTCGGCGGCCGAACCAGACTGAAGACATTTCACCAACCAAGACGCAGCCCTCGCAGTGGCGGAATGTGCCCTACAATAACGGTCTTACGACGTTAGATACTCTAAATGCGCCACGGGCACCGCCGCAGGAGATAAAGTCCGCCACATTACCCTTGCTCTCCCCCGTTTTCGAGACAAGAACGCCTTCTCCGACCGTAAACCGACAAATAGAAGCTGGTGGTAAGGCAGTCAACGGTGGCAAGAGTCAGTCCAAGGAGAATAATCACCAAGCCCGTCGAGCATCACACTCCGTTGCGCAAACCTCTAATCATAAGGAGAACAACAAGCAACACCAGGCCAAAGGCGGTTCGCAGCCAAACGACAAGAATAGCAAGGCGAATGCAAGCATCAACAACAACAGTTCGAACAACAATTCGAACGCCTGGCAGCAGGGATCCTCGCGGAACAAGAAGAGAAAAGGCAAGGGAGGGAACAAATCGAACGATACGAAGACGTCGGGCGAGCCACTACCAGCGAATGCCGCCGACCGTAAAGGAGGCTAGATTGTCTATGGTGTCGCCGTTCCCTGGGTCTACTGGCTTGTGTCTTGACGTTGTACGTCCGCTTGCCATGAGCTATTTTCTGGATACTTACGCGAGTTCCACGCTTGTCACCTCCGACTTTCGCGTTCGTTTAGGATCTGCCGACTCGCGAAGTTGACCACATCGTGCAACTTGCTATGCGTGGATTCACACGCGACAACACAAAATTACTTCCGCCAACCTCAACTAGAACACAGTCTTTCCGACTGTACTTGCGGAAAGGTATACTGACCATGTTCAATTTTGAACAAAGCGTTCTATGCTTGCAATTTCCTATGAATCAAAAGCGAGCAGCCCGAACTTTGAAGAAAGACGAGCAACAAAAGCAACGATACAAAACATCCACAAAGAGCAAGATGTTTTACACGGCATCTTCTGTGGTCGCCTTCTGATTTTCCTTTCTGCATGCACCCTGATAAAGGGGGTTAGCACCTCGGCATGGTGCGTTGGAGTTGTGCAAAGTGAGTTTGTCTCTGCTTTTTCTTGGTACGCATTGCATGTACTTTCAGCACAGCATGAGGAGGAGTTTGACTCCATGTCTTGTTTCACTTGTTTCCTCTAACCCGGCAGGATTGGTGTCGGGCGGGTCATTGCAGATGTATCAGATTTTACTCCATACACGGCGAGCGCTCTAAATGCCTCGTCTATCTGTACGGTGCTGGTGGTCATCATCTTGATTTTTGTGATGTATTGGCTTAGGTGCACTGGGATGGGTCAGGCGCTCTGCCAATTGTTACTACCGGTATGGGAAGACTCATGTATAGATAAAACGATGGATGAGACGGAAAGAGGCTTCGCTGTAGGCGGCGAGTCGAATAGCTAAGAAACGAGGAACAAAAAAGATGTAAAATTGACATATCTCGGTACACTATGCGTGAGTCGCAGCAACCGGCAACACTATGTTGCACCACTTCAAGGCAAGCATCAAGACCTCGCTTCATCCTTCGAGGCCAGCCATGTCTACGTCACAAGCTTATCGCGCGGGGTAGTTTGTCGACCCCAAGGTACTACACCGTCGGACAGAAGCTATTCAGAATTCCCGCGAAACTATGTTGAAGATGATATGTCCCTCACGTCTCACGTTCTGGTTCGTAGCTTTACTTTGTCTGGATCGACACGTCGCGAGCTGTTCGCAGCAGATTCTCAGGTCTCCATTGCGCCTCCGCGATGCCACTCTAGCGGACGCCGACGACATAGCTGAAGTCATGATCGCTGCATTCTCCCCTCTTCCATGGTGGAACTATACCTACCAGTTCCGCGAAGATTTCCCACACGAACACAGCAGATGCGTGCGATTAAGTGTCACTCAATTGCTGTCAGATGCCAACGCGTACATCGAAGTAATTGAAGCACCCACAGACAGCGACGTATCGCTGGTAGCTGCTGCGATGTGGACGCAGAGATCTTTGCAGGAGCAACTGTACTTCCGGGCTATATCTGGTAAGATACTTCAATGAGCTGGCTTGAATGGAATGACTGGGGCTGAATGGAAGCAGGCGCATGCACGCACAAAGACATGAACATCACACGAGCCCTTGACTTCGATCACAAGTTCACGACTGCGAAGCGGGAATATGTTGACGATGAACTCGGAACAGACCAACTGTATCTTCAGATGCTCGGGACACATCCGGATTTTCAAGGGCGGGGAGCGGGTTCGCGGCTTATTAAGTCGGGCCTGGAGCGTGGGAGGAAGGAGAAGGCGAATGTTACGTTGATTGCGCAGCCTACGGCTGAAGGTTTCTATTTGAAAATGAATTTTACGGAGGTTGTGAATATTAGTATTCCGAGTGTAGATGGTGATCGGGATTTCCGATATAATGTTATGATGTACGAGTACCATGATGAGATTTCCGAAGAGGTGGTACACGATTCGGTCATGAGTTAGCAAGCCAAAGATACAAGTGAGCTCATGGATCGAGAATTCAGAAGCAATCCATTTAGAGTCCAGAGTAATGAATCCACCTATGCCCCTCATCAAGCACATCGATACTCTTTTGCAGCCACGCATCATACTTTTCCTCTTCCTTCTTCACGTACCCCTCCGGCCCACAAACATATAACTCTGCACTTCCGCTTCCCTCAATCATATCCATAAATGAATCTACCACCCCATCAATTGACACCAGAATCCCATCCTTCTCGACGCTCTTGTAGAATGCCTCGGTATTGATGCTCGTCCGCGCAATCCCAGGACACACTGCATTGACAGTGATGCCCTCTGTCGGAAGCATCTTCCCATACGTGCGCGTCAGGCCCACAACGCCGTACTTTGCAGCCGAATACACAGGGACTGCGGGTACAGGGGAGAACCCGCAAATACTCGCCACGAGACCGAGTTTACCTTTCCAGCCTCGCTCATCTTTCTCCTGGCGGCGAAACTGCTGCACTGCTAGCGCAACAGTGTACAACACGCCCGTCAAATCGACCTCAAGCGTTTGCAGGTTAGGTTTGACGAAGTCACCCTCTGCGCTCTCCTCGGCGAAGGGAAGCCATCGGCGCTCGCCGATGCCGGCGATGGGGAAGACGTAGTCGATGCGGCCTTTAAGGGCTTGGAGGGCTTGCTTGAAGGCGGAGAGTTGGGAGTCCCAGGAAGACACGTCGGCGCCGGCGTAGTGAACTTTGCTGACAGACGGCGTGTTGTGGGTTGTGGCCAATTCTTTTGCACCATCCAAAGAGATGTCGGCGATGAAGATGTGGTAGTTTTGGGAAAGGAGACGCTGGGCGAGGGCATAGCCTAGGCCGCTTGACCCGCCTGATAATCTTCAGCATGGAATGTATCAGCTGTGGGGTTGGAAGTGGTACCTGTGATGAATGCTGTGCGTGGTCGTGGAGTCATGGTACCCGTTTCAGAAGCTTTTGGAAGTGATGTTGATGTAAAAGAAATGAATCAAATTTATAGACTGAGATGCTAAGCATGCACTTCCCCGCACTGTGGTGTTGTGCCAGGCGGGGTAGCGCGTGACGCTCAGTTTACCGCTGAGGAAAGGCAACAGTCTTATCCTGTCTCCATACCAGAAGTTGCACGGTTGAGTTATGCTCGAGCTCGATCTCGAGGGATTTCGGTCTACACATTTCGGTGATGGCACCTGAGAAATGCGAATACGAAAGCATCACATCGTTACAGCGTGTGCTACTGAAGAATCTCGACCTTTGGTGGCGCACTGTCAAGGCATGCCTCCGTTTTGGTGCTCTCAGTTACTGAGCGCATTCGAATAGGAGATTAAATGACCTGTATATCGCCCAGCTTGCCTGGACGCATTCGTCTTGATGTAGACATTGGTGTCCCATTGTGCGCATTACCTCGCTTTCAAAAAAGCTGATCAAAACGCGATGAGGCAACTGTATAGCAGATTGCATGACGAAGAAGTGCAGTTCGTAACAAGACAATGCGAAGGGAAGAGAAGCAGGTGGATGGGCCGGGGTTGATGATCCGGCTTGGGGGTCGTCGCCTTCGTTGTCAGCGTCCTTGGCGTGTTCGGCTGGGGAGTCGGCGGGGGCCTGGGTAGACTTGGGGGATGATACTCGCGCTGAAGTCTTGTTAGTTAGGGATGCCCAGGGGTGATGCTGGGATAAGTCACCTTTTTCTTTGCCTTTTTGGGCTTCTCGTTGATTCGGGCTAGCGCATGTCCATTTGCCTAAAGAGGCAGCAAAACGCAATTTATTACCGGGAATTAGTGGCTGCCCGCGTAACATTACAGACTCCCAAAAGCGCTCCCCTTCCCTTTCTCTCTCTCAACCCACATAAATTACAAATGGCGCCGGTATATACAGTCCCAAAATCAAAGGCATGCCAAGGTTGTGCGAGTGCGAAAGTCAAATGCGAACTGGGCATTGACTACGCGAGATGCAAAAGGTATGTCAGGCGAGCTCTCTACCGTATACGGACACGGCTAAGAACGTAGATGCACTACTCAGGACATTGCATGCATCACGCGGGCTGCAGAGCCGCGAAAGCGCCAGAGGCAAGTGTCGTCTACCGAAAACGGAAGTATTGCGATTCCGGGAGGCGTCGTCAACCACGCGACTCCCTTAGGTTCCTGTCGTCTTTTCGAGATTGAGCGTGGGATGAGTTACTATCGAACATCACTATTCGAATTCTTCCCATTTGTGATTATGCCAGACGTCAAGCAGTCAGCGGCAGACTTCGCACAAACAAGGCCGTTCTTGACATTGATAGTGGCCATGCTCGGTTGCACGAAGGATCGGGCTAGGCAGCGCGAGTTGACTGCCCATGCTAGAGCGTACATCGGCACTCATATGGTTCTGAATGGTCAGAAAACTTTAGACCTGCTGCAAGGCCTGCTGTTGTTGATTCACTGGTAAGGCTACCACACTGTATGGATGTCTATGAGCTGAACGGATAAACCTAGGTCACACTTACAGCTCGAGCTGCGCGGTCAACGAAGTGTCTTCATGCATATGGCAATGAGCTTGCTGGTCGATTTGAATCTTAGTCGATCGCCGTTTGCAAGACGTCACTTTGTCACGGCGACCGAGAGCACAGATGGCTTTGAACTACGCACCGAATACCATGCTGAGAATCTCACTGAACATACCTTGGAAGAGCGACGCACCTTCTTGGGTTGCATCTTTCTATCTTCTGTGTATGCATGGTCTTGCCTTCGACATGTTATGTACGAGCAACTGACGAGCAAACAGCCTATCGAACACGTCGGTAAACCTAAATCCAGTCAAATTCGGCGACTACGCGGAGCAATGCTGCAACATCTTGGAGAAAAGCGGTATTTATACAGATGCGACTCTAGTTAGCTTGTGTCGCCTACAACACTCTGTCGAGCAGTTCCGAGTTGTCAACTGCTGGTTCAACATGACACAGCGCCAGCGGGGCAGCGGCTACGAGTTCATATACAACATATTCCGTCAGTCGGAGTCCAGCGAAGACATATTACACCACGTCAGATCCTGGGATGCTAAAATCTCTGGGCAGTGGAATGCCATTCCGGAAAGCGTGAAATCGAGTGAGTTGCATTAAGTCAAAGGAATGGACTACACTGACTGAGACGAGGACTACTGACAGTCCAATACGGCTATGCTCGCGTCTGCCTCTACGAGTGCTGTCTCGAAGAGTCGCTCTTCCCGTCGGCGGAGGCACGCCACGAAGTTCTACGCAACTGCATCTCCGCGATCAAGTTCCTCAACAATGCATTCGTACCGGTGTCGCTTGATCCTCGCGTGCTACTCGACGTACCAGCGCACATATTCGCTCAGTCTAACCACAACACTTTCTTAGCGTTGCTTTTGTGCTCTGTAAAGTGCGGAGATAACTCCACCGAGACAGTCGACCGAGAGCTTCAACTGCGCGACTACTTTGCTAGGACATCTGATAGGTTGGCTGCTTTGCTTGCTGAGCCGTCGGAAGAGATTCCAGCTTTTTACCGGAAGTTGATTCCTATGGCGAGGGGAGTACAGAAGTGGTTCGCCGCCAAATTGAGCAATGGAGAGGAGATCGAAGGCGAGAACGGCGTGGAGAACGGCCCAGGCGTGGTCGGGGCGGATGTGGATGTCGACTTTTGGGGGCAATTTCTGAATATGGATGGTGACGAGTGGTTGCAGGATGTTTTGGCGATGGATCGCTCGAATACTGCTACGATATAGTACTCAATTGCCACAGACACAATTCATTAAGAATGGAGGACTGGCCGATGTTGAAGCTATTGGCAATTACATATTCAGCCTAGATCCTCGCCTTCATCTCTCGCTGCCTAAAGAACTTTCCCCTCCACTGCAGGATGATCGTAGGAACCACGCTAACGACGACGAGCATAGCAACCGCCACACCCGCGCTGTTCGCGATTCCAACATTTTCAAACATCTGCGGGAACCAGAACGGCCCAATGAATCCCCATATTTGCCTCACAAAGCTAATGAATACGCCGATACTTCCAGCCTCCTCGTGGTAGCAGTCAACAGCATACGTGATCAAAACGGTGGTGACGATCTGATTCCCTGCTGCGGCGATCGCGACGCCCACAATGGGTGTGACATTCCACTTCAGAGGGGCGGCCTGCTCGATGCGCACGAGGAAAACAACAATCCCGCAGATTACCAGCGCGTACCCAAGGTAGGTGAGCCAGAGGCGGAACTCTGGTGCCGGCCTGCCATCTGGACGCTTCCTACCTCCCCTCCGCATCCAGACGTCGCTGGTGCGGCCGCCAATCTGTTCACCGATGAGCGACCCAATGATCAAGCCGAGGAATTGCAAGCCGATTTGCTGGGCGTTGAGGTGGAACTTCTCGCCGAAAAGCTGCGGGATTTCAACGGTGGCGAGCACCGAGGCGAAGAGGAAAACCATGGCGTAGGCCGCAGCGGGGATCATGACGCAGGGATACATGGCCATGCGCAAGGGCGAGATGAACTCGTATGCGGTGATAGGCGTAGGATCGATGCGGCGGAACTTGAAGTACGAGTCTTTAAAGCTAGGAAGCTCTTGCACCGTCTTGTGGTGTCGGAGGAAGCGCGTCTCCGGACCGAAGAACACATACAAGACGAGTTGGACGCCGTTGATGATGGTGAAGATCCAGTAGATCCAGCGGTAGCCGACATTGTATGTGACGAAGCCGAAGATGAAGGGCGCTAGGGGGACGCCGAGCGTCAACATGATGGTCCATATGCCCATGAATTTGGCTCGTTCGTGCCTGAAGAACGTTTCTACGACAACGGCGGAGCCAATGGCAGCAGCTGGAGAGATAAAGAAGGCGACGAACGCGCGGCATGTTGCCATAGCCGCATACGTGTCGGTCTTCGCGCATCCGATGTTGAAGCATATGCTGCCAATCAGCGAGACGATGAAGATGGGGCGACGTCCAAAGCGGGTCGAAAGAGGTCTCCAAAATAGCGGTGCTCCTCCGATAATAGCTATCTGTAAAGAAGTAAGGTAAGAAGTCTGCTGTAGGGAGACTCCAAGGTCCTCAGATATGTTCTCGTAGGCTGGAATGATGCCAGCAGCCATAAAGGTCGACATAAGCGCATGGAAAGCTACCAGCAGGAGGTTGATGACTTTACGAGGTCGTGGCCAATTGTAAGGGTCTGCATCGGCCATAGAGGGAACGGGATCGAGTTCAAGAGTGCCGTGTCTTTGAAGAAGATATTGGCGATGCTCCTCTGACAGCCCGGCTATCTCATCTCCCTGAAGGTAAGTGCCGTGCGTGTTGGCATGTTCCAACTCGGAGTCAACCCCATTCTGCTTTGGATCGTGGAAGGTAGTGCTCTTCTCGATTTCCGACATGATTGGCCACGCCGATAAGATCCAAGCTCAGAACAGAATGGTTGACGATGCAGAAAGAAAAGAGCAAGGAAAGAGAGACCTCAGCCCTCCGACATGAGGTGGATCCTTTGCCCCTTTGTATTCTCCTTCCACCTCCCGCATGCAAGTCCCTGGTTCGCCCAACAAAGTTCTGAGGGGTGTGGAGTCCCCGGGTTCGCTCAGCGTCCCATGGGGTCTAGACAGGGATCGCAACGGTCTGTCGTCAGAATGAACATGTTAGCCCTTACTCGCCACGCTCTGGCTTGCACGCTAGTCCAACAGCAGGAGCACGCCGGCTGCACCACGATTGAAAGGAAGAGATCGCTCATCATTAGTTGTCAAGGAGGACATCGGATCCAGATCTCGGTATGTGCAATCGATAAACATCCAACTAGGAGGAGGCCGCGCGGCTGCACGCTTTACTGCTGCAGCGTGTGTTTCGGGTTGGTTATTGGGTGTGACCTATGGAGCTGTGGCTTTTCCTACTGAATCTGGCGACGGAACAGGGATGCATGTACGAGAGTTGTGATGGAGAGGCTGATACCAAGGCGGGAGGCGGCGAATCGTTCGGCTCCTCAAAAGCTTGTCGCTTCCACAACAAGCGCCGATGTCCGCTCAACGTCTCCGTACATCACAGTCGCGGAACTGTCCCGGTCTTTCGCAACATCGACTCCAATTACTCGTGTAGATGGAGAATTGATGCAAAGGTAAAAACCATGATTCCGGCGGTGCGGCACGCCAGCAGTGTCATTCTCACTGCCGTTGTGGAACCCCGTGGGCCCCCACGGTCTATTGTTGCGGGTCATTTTAGGCCGAGGCTTGATTTATACAACACCGGATTATGAATGGCGCATCTGAGGTCCGAGGAGCAAAGACTCAATCATGAGTCTTGCCTATTTTCTACTAGTACGCTAGTGGCGGGTTTTCCGGAGGGTACACGGCCATCGGAATGTCCGGAGTGAAGGATTGTCTTATCACGCACCACAGAGCGGGAAAGATGCTTGTCAAAACCTGGTTCATGCATAGATCACTAAAGTATGCAACAAGAAGGCTACAGCCGCCAACGCAAGCTTCCAAAACCTTAACAGCCCGTGAAGAGACAACTCACAACTTCGCAACGAAACCCTCTTCCTTACAAAGATTCTCTGCCTCAGCCGTAATGTCAACTCCATAGATCATCCGTTGCACATCTGCGTCAGCCCACTTGTCCGGCACAGGCCCTTTGCCGCTTTTCAAAGCTGCAAAGATCTTGTCGCGCTCTTCCTTCGCCTTCCCAGAACCCAGGTGCATTGACCGTCCGTTCTCCGCGGCCAACTCGACCAACGCCTCTGCTCGCTCTTTCCGCACCTTTTCGTAGATCTTGAGCGCTTTGTTGATGGTAGCTGGTTCGCAGTCTGCGATGCGCTTGGGATCGAGCACGACGCCGAGCACCGCTCCGTCCTCGATTGCTTGTGCCGCTCCCTGAGCAAGATGTGGCAGCGTAGGGTGGCATGCATCGCCAACTAGCGCTGTGGAGTCAAGCACCCACGTGCTGAGTGGTTCGTGTACGCGCAGCTTCCATTCGACAACTTCACCGTCTGGCACAAGGTCCAGCATCCTGTGGATCATGGGGCAGAAGTCTCCATACACGTCCATCATCGCGGTCTTGGAACCCTTGGTCGTGTATGTTGAATTCGGTGCGCCTGCGAAGTTGACATCGGGCTGTGCAGTGGAGATATTGTATATCTGCTTGTTGTGAATGGGGTAGGCAATAATGTGCTTCTTCTCGCCAATCCAGCGCGTGACACTGTCTGCATCAAGAAGCGCGATGAGCTCTGGGTCGTGTTGCATTTGCTCCCGCGTCAGCATGATACGGTATGCAGCCTGTCCCGAATCTTTCACATCTGCTGTCTCCCCAAGAGTTTGCAGCAAGGACACACGTGTTTGGCTCTTGACTCCATCGCAAGCCAGCAGGATGTCGCATTCTACACGTCGCTCCTCATCCGGACTCTTCAACGGCGTCAATTTGAAGCTAGGCTTCGCTCCGAATTCAGCTTCCGTTATCACACTGCCTAGCTCAAATTTGATTCCAGACTCCTTCAGACATCCATCGTACATGGCACCCGCTAAACTTGCTCGGTGCCCAACCATGTGTGGATATCCGTAGGTCTTCTCCACGTATTCTAACGTTACGTGGCCTAGCTCCTTGTCCGAACTGCCTTCCCGGATAGACGTGTCTGCGCACTGGACTGCTTCGGCGGCAATTTGCTTCCAGCAATCGAGTCGGTCAAGAATGCGCGCCATGTTGGGAGCGAGCTGGATTCCTGCGCCTACGAAGCCGAGACCAGGTGCCGTTTCGTAGATGGTGATGTTCTTGTGGCCGGCTTTTGCTAGAGAGAGTGCGGTGGCAAGGCCACCCATGCCTGTAGATGGGCGTTAGATACTTTGCAAACAGGTATACTTGTGATAAACCGTACCTGCGCCGATAATTGCTATCCTCAAATTTTCAGCCATTATGGCTTTGAGATTTGAACGAGTAAGAAATTGTGTAGGGAAAAGTCGCGCTGGGTATCAAAGTGGAAAGGGAATGCGCGGCGCAAAAAACCTCCTTGCGGTCTTCTATACTTCTATATTTTGGCACCTTGATTTCGTATCCAATGTATCCACCGACGCGTAAACGTTCGTACAATGCAATTGCTGTGTATCCACAGGCGCCGAGAAATCGGAGCTAGACCTTGGATAAAAGTATCTACGCGTACAACGAGCGGACAAAAGTTCGCTTGGGCAGTGACGTTAGACCTAGGTTCACGGCAGCAAGGTCGGCATCCTTAAGTCCACTTCTACAGTCAGCTGATCGCGCGCTTTCCAAGTAGCGTTGCGTGGTGGCGGGGAACCGCGGAGGAGGAGTCTTGGAGAATTTGTTTCTCAAATGCCGATCAACAGGGCCGGCGTTAAGCACGCTTGTCCCACACTTGCAGCTTCCCCGCACCCGCCCCACCCGCGAATGAGTGCAATCTTGCGGCTCAACATCGGGTTCCTGGCAAGGGGCTGTCAGCAACACCAAACATATTCACCAAGCACACAGATTGCGGACATGTGCTAAGCGAAGGCGCTAAAACTGTCATTGTTCTAGATGTGGTGTCTACGTCGGGAGCTCCAGCTGATGTCTCGAACCAATAGCTCAATATGCGACCGTGGAGGAGCACTGGAATTGCTTTCGCCCTCCAGGTGCCTGGTACCTTGACGACCGGGATATCCGCAGGACATCCAGGTAGCCTCCGATCCCTTCACTTTAAGGCAACGCGTCCGATGCTAGTCAAATGCACTCGCGTTCAATAACACTTTTAAAGATGTCATTACCTCAAGATGCCCTGCGTTCGCACCAGCCGACCAGCTTCTGTCCCAGAAGCTCTGCTTTGATAGTCAATATACGCTCGCAGACATGCGAACCTCGTTTCTAGGCTATGGTGCGCTCGTAGGAGCTGCGAGTGCACTCGAATGTACACCCACTGCGATCCAAGGCGCACTGCCTTCCAACGCGACCGTCAACTTTGCATACCCAGTCTCGGCCAATGGGACATTCCAGGTACCAACAGGCGACACAGGCTACCCCACTAGCCCGGTAGGACTGCCTGCGTTGTGTGCCGTCTCAGTGCAGGTACAGTCAGTCGGTAACACGACCTTCGGTTTTGGTCTGTTTCTTCCAAGCGACTGGAATGGGCGGTTTCTTGCCGTTGGAAACGGAGGTTTCGCTGGTGGTATCAATTGGATGGATATGGTTTGTGGAGAGGCTCACTGATCCATACACGTCACTGACATCATTTAGGCTCCAGGAAGCCGGTATGGCTTTGCGACTATGTCCACCGACACTGGCCACAACTCTTCTTCGAGCGACGGAACTTGGGCGTACAATCAGCCAGGGAAGGTGGAGAATTGGGGTCACCTGGCCATGCATGGATCAGTCGTTGCAGCGAAAACCGTCACAGCAGCATTCTACGAGAAGGAAATATCTTACAATTATTACTCGGGATGCTCGACTGGTGGACGTCAAGGTCTGAAGGAGGCGGAGAAGTATCCTGAGGATTTCGATGGTATCGTGGCGGGCGCACCTGCATGGTGGACGTCTCATCTTCAACCCTGGACTGTCAAAGTGGCTCTCTACAATTTGCCAACCACCGCGGACTACCACATCCCGTCGACATTGCTTCCCACGATCGCCGCTGAAGTTTTGAAGCAATGCGATCCTCAAGATGGCCTCAAAGACAACATCATCTCCGACCCTCAAGGCTGCAACTTCCGCCCAGAAGAGCTTCTCTGCGCCTCCAATGTCACAAACGGCACAGCCGCCAGCTGCCTGACGTCACCACAGATTGATACTCTGTATAAGATCTACACTGACTCCATCGGCGACAATCAAACCTTCATCTTCCCGCACCTCAACCTCGGAAGCGAAGGGCAGTGGATCTTGGTTTCAGGCGACAAGCCAAACAACCTGGGCCCAGACTACGTAAAGTACTTTCTCGGCCTAGGTCCGGACTGGGACTTCTACGACTACAGCGAGGATATCCAGCGGTTGGCCGACAAGGTGCAGCCCGGCAACGCGACCGTTGGGTTCGATCTTTCCGCCTTCCACGCCAAAGGTGGCAAGCTCTTGTCGTACCACGGCCAGGCTGATGGCCTCATCCCCACTGGCTCGACACCCTACTTCTACAACCACGTCACGCGCACGCTGCAACCGCGTGGCATCGACGTTGACGAGTTCTTCCGCTTCTTCTTCGTGCCTGGCATGGGTCACTGCGCAGGCACTTTTGCGAACGTGAACGCGCCATGGTACTTCGCTGGAGCCAATCAAGCGCTTAACCTGGGTAACACTGTATATGGAGTGCCAGGCTTTAGGGACGAGAAGCACGACGCGCTGCTTGCGATGGTGGCCTGGGTTGAGAATGGCACGGCGCCAGAACAGATCGTTGGGACTAAGTGGGTCAATGACACGACGCAGGCGGAGGTGATGAGGCAGAGACCGTTGTGCATGTACCCGAAGCAGGCGAAGTATTCGGGGAGCGGAGATGTGGATGCTGCGAGCAGCTGGGAGTGCAAACTTCCGTATTGAGACTTGATGACGTTCCTTGTAAAATTTACAAGTCGTTGTATTACAATCAAATAACGTATCATGTCGACTATCTTCTGATATGTTCTAATCGTCTATGTCTATACAAAAGCTGTTCAAACTCCCACCACGGCCCTACTCTAGGTCCACTGAGTCTAGTAAGGGCGGCACATTTTCCAGCAAATACTCTACAATAGCATCTGGTCCTCTCTCTACCTGCAAGCCTTGCGGTATCGCGTGTGTTTTGATACCTATAAGAAGAATCGATCAGAATCTATGAATCTGATCCATCTCAGATGATAGCCACTGACCTGGTCGTTCTCTCTCCGCAATCGCCCGAATCTTTCCAGCTTCCTCCGGCGACCACATCGAAGCCGAGAACTGTCTTATGCGTCAGTATCCGTTTCCAAGCCTCGGCAATTTTTGAACAACTCACCAAGATATTCGGTTGATGCTGCCGTACCTTGGCCGCGACTTGATCGATAGCAGTGCAATTGTCAACATGTGTGATGTCGTAGCGATCTTGCAGCCCCTCAATCATGCGCCCGATGAGTTTCTTCGCGCGATCGGGCGCTGTGTTGACGGTGACCAGTGTATATGGCCCTTTGCGTGACTCTGGCATGGCTTTGTGCTTCATAGAACTTTCTGTCATCGTAAGGATGGGTTTCACAGAGTTTCAAAGTCCTTGAGTGGCGTAGCAAATATGATCCATTGCTTAGTCTGGTCTATATACAAGCGCCTTCTTCCGGATTTTCCATCGCAAGCCGACGATAGGAGTCACGATAGTCTTTCCGCAGTGCCAAGTTCGCAGCCGGACCTTTTTGTACGAACGCGTGGTGAGTCTCGGGAGTAGATAAAGCGCCGACCGAGGCCGGCGTACTATGACGGCAGTGGGGAAGGGTCATGGTGGGGCAGATGGAAGGCGCGAGGCTGGTGCGGGGCAGGTGCGATCGCAATTGCAAACACTGAGCGCTTTCATCGTACGATGCGTTAGAGGGACATTTTTGCGGTCCAAAGGAGCTCTCATTGTACGAAGCAGACGCGGCAAAAGCTGTCGGATTAAGATTGAGCCGTACCCTCAAGTAGTGACGCGGGTTATCCGGCACAGCGGGATCAGGGAAGATACGTTGAGGTCGGAGCCAGAAATTAAATACCCCTATAAGGACGTCGCGCTGAGAAGACAGTACATACCGATTGGACTTCATCGCTGCGCGGAAGCATCATCACGTTTGAACCACTATGACTTCGACTCTAAAACGCAAGTCATCGTTCGAGGAGGCTTCGGCCGCCTTCCGCGAACATCTTCCCGATATCTCCACCCCGCGCTTCACGACCGCAGCGAAGCAAGACGTCTACGAATACGCGAAGTTCTTTCAAGACAACCGCGCACCACCGTGGTTGCACGACCTCACGCAGGCATGGGCAAAATTGTATGAGGAACCTTTCAAGGGCGTTACAAGCGATGGCACTGTGAAGGAGGGCTTGTTCGAGGCGAAGGATGAGGGTGTGGACATCGAAAACATAGTGAAGAAAGCGGACGACTTGTTAAGCAAGTTGGATGAGCAGCAAAGCAAGAAGTTAAAGTATCCTGTCAATGCGAAAGAATGGAGAGCGTGGTCGAACCCAGAGATACTTCTGAGGCCGTTCGGACTGAGACTTGAGGAAGGTAGGTGTCACTGCGCCTAATCGTTCCTCTAGGAAGTTTGTTCACACCTAGACAGTACCCGAACCGCTAAATGATGCCATCCACAAAGTCATTGAAGCCTCTCTGTCCAAGGAAGGCTATCAGAAAGCTCTCGCCTCAATGCGGATAAATCACTTCTTAGGGGAATGTGTCAAATTACCGCAGATCATGAACAAAGACTCGTACAACTTCCTCCTTTTCGGTACCCCATCCACATCTACATCGTCACCTTGGGGTTGGCTCCTCTACGGCCACCATCTCGATATCGCGTGCTTCTTCCGCGGACCGCAAATAATCATCAGCCCAACTTTCACTGGTGCCGAGCCCAACGTCATCGATGCCGGACCCTGGAAGGGCACGGCAATCTTGCACAAGGAGGGAAACATCGGGTTGAAGCTAATGCAGAGTTTGACACCTGAGCAGCAAAAGAAAGCGCAGATTTTTAAGAATCTCAGGGATGACGGCATGAAGCAGACAGGCGATCTGACAACAGACCGTTGGAACAAAGATGACCAGCGCCACCTCTGTGGCGCCTTCCGCGACAATCGCGTCGTTCCGTACGAAGGCGTCACTGCGTCTTCACTCACGCCCGAACAACAGTCCTTCATCCTCGAAATCGCGGAGGAGATGCTGCTATATCTACCTACTAAATCACGACAGCTACGGCTCGAGCAAATCAAGTCCCATTTCGACGAAACGTATTTCAGCTGGATCGGCGGGTATGGCGACGACGATGCGTTCTACTACCGGATACAGAGTCCAGTGGTAATCCTGGAATTTGACCATCATTCGGGTGTCTTCTTGAGTAATACAGAGCCGAAGAAGTTCCATACGCATACGATTGTGAGGACGCCGAATGCGGGGGATTATGGCCAGGCGATCAGAGAGAAGGAGCATAAGCTGTAAGAGAGTATGCGTCCACTTCTGTATGAAAGACTCGGACTCTCTTTTCATGATTGGTATTCGAATGCGCAGGGTATCTGGCTAGGCGAAACGAAGAAAGAAATTCAACACATTGCAGCATTGGTTTCGGAGGGTAGTACCGCAGGCATGTAAAGAGATTATCGTAGGCTTGGATTGTTAAGATCTGTTAGCATGAAAGAGGCGTTGTGGAAGTGGATTACAAGCGGAGAGCAATCGAAAACCTGGTTTAAGTAGGGGACGGATTGGAGTAGAAGGTTGTCTCTGCATGTTTACAGTACGAGCCACGACATCTAATCGAGATTATAGCGTTACGTCCCAACGAATGAGAAGATTTGATTATGCATCGTATCGTGCAGCAATATTTGCGTACTCCTCGAGCTTTCTCAGCCGCACCTTTGCCTGACCGACCGTGTGGCGCTCTCAGATAGCTGCCGGAGTTAGCAGTCTTGCCAATGGTCCAGAACATCCAGCAAGAATCGGCTCGGTGAGACACTTCAGTTCGTGACAGACGTCGCCTTGCGCCTTACCATTTGTTGGTCTTGCACCGCCGGGGATGTGATACGCCAAGAGTACGCCCGATCAAGCGTCTTTTTGACCGGTCATAAGAAGATTGATGAACCAATCATAACTACAGTCGCTCCTCCGCGGCCCCTTTCGAAATGCATACGTCTCGCACGAAGTTGTAACGTCCCAGGCAAGGCAACACTGCCATGTCAGCAGACATGAATTAGAGCTCGAGACGCGCTAGGTAGCCTTTGAAAACTCAGCAGCACCCCGTTCGATGCGATATCTCATCGTCCCTTGATCTTGTTGGGAGTGCTTGGAGAGTCCACCGTCGAATCTAACGTGGCATGCATTGCGATGCTGTGTCTAGATGTCGAAGCCATCCTGAAACGGGGCTCAGGGCGGCAATGCACGGACGCCTTCTTAGTACAGTCATCACGAGCCAATGGTTCGAACGCGCTCAGCCCCTGCCCACTCGTGGGAGGCTGGCTGGGACCATTTGAGCTTCGAGTCGCCTTGACCCAAACCTCACTCTTACAAGACGCGGTGCCTGTAGGGCAGCACACTGTAGTCTTTCAAACCCACACGTAACTCCAGCGGGCGCGAGCTCGCTTCACAGAATGAACTTCGACGAGAATCAGTGGTACCATGTGTACATCGGTAGCAACAAGAACAACGCTTTCGTAGGAACGCCACTCGTTTTTGGCGACCCTCTCCTTGAAGACACAACCAAGCACAACACAACCACCGGCTCCGTGTTCAAGTCCACAAACCAGATAGAGTTCGACGAAGACACGCAAAAATGGCAAATCGTTCCTATCGACTCGGAATATTATGTCTTGAGGACATTGGGCGGAGGAGTCCACGGATATCTATCCACAAACTACGCAGCAGACCGGTCAAACCTGACAAGCCGTACGCTGGGGCGCATGACCAGAGATAATGTTTCGGACGCCTCGGTGTACTGGAAGATCACGTCGTGGCGCGACGGCACGTTCCAGCTGACAAACAAAGCGAATGGGACAGACTGGCTCCTAGAAATTGGTGGTGAACACGATGAGGACGACGGTACAGAAGCGCATATGTCGTCGAACTTTACCGTCATTCCTAGGAGGTCGTTCTCGTTTGAAGCGATCGAGCCGGTCAATGGGACAGACATCGGAAAAATCGACAACCCAGATTTCGCCAAAGCTTCGATAAGTGTAAGTAAACTTGATATGGTAAATCATGAGATCGTGACGCTGATGCTCTTGTAGTTACCGGCCACAACGACACAAGCCTCAACGGGATCGTCTGCTACGCCGTCTTCCTCGAATACCTCGAACAATTCGGGGAGCGCAACGCCTACCAACGCATCATCAGGCGGTCTTAGTACAGGCGCCAAAGCGGGTATTGGTGCCGGCGTGGGTGCTGTCGCATTAATTGCACTCGTGGTACTGGGCCTCTTCCTCTTCCGAAGGAGAAAACGGCGCACCGCATCAGGTACCCACGAATTGGCCCCGAACCCCTACATGCAAGGATACAATACCCAAGTCGTTGAAGGCGGCGCGACAAAGTACGGACGCGTGGGAGTCGCCGAGAAAGCGGAACTCGACACAGGCGTGCAGAGGGCTGAGCTGCCTCAACAACCGCCCGCTGAGCTCTCTGGTGGGGATGTGCCGAAGCAAGGAGTGTCGGGAGCACTTTCGAGCAAGTACAAACCCGATCGAAGGCTCGATGGAACAGGATAATGCGATGGGTTGCTATGAGATAGAGATGGCGAGAATGAACCTACATGTACTAATAGCGGGTGGTAGGGGAAAGAGGATGACTAATTTTGGCCACGTGATACCCATGGATCTTAAAATAATCCTTAGTTAGATAAAATAACATTTGGGGGCATTTTCAAGAACACTATGGTCTCACATGGCGACCCATATCTACCCGCAACCTGCAATATCAGATTCGAGCCCTTATAAGACCTGAGCTCAAGATCGTTTTAAGAGAGGGAGGGACCGTCCCGCTTGAGCCACTCGAAACCTTGGAATAACGCACCATAGGCTTGGACGCAGCGAGACCGGCGGGTGCTCTGAAGATGTGAAATGGGCTATGGTTGCGGAAGGGCTCGGAGCTTAAGCTGGGGATGCGGAGAGGAAGCCGAAGGAGGTGCTTGGAGGAGAACGACCGAGCACTATTGATTTGCTGTTGAGCTCACAGCCGATGCATCCGGGACAACGGCGATGTTGGGCATGACCGATGATCCGAACGTGTGTTGTGCCGAATTATGATATTGTGCCGAGGGCTCATTGCAAATTGTGATCATTGTAGCGAGCAGTAGCGTTAGAAGTCTTGCTGTCAGATTTTCAATACGCACCAATTTTTTAGCGAATAGGATATCCGTTCGCGTTCATGAGGAAACATACCTACTCGGAAGTCGTATGGTCGGAAGACATGGGCTCGCCTCGATGAGGTGGGTGCCTGAGTACGTAAGCCGATCCTACGGTACTTCAGGCCCGAGGGACTGGTTCCACCTTCCAACGTCCCACCTCCATCGCACCATCACAATACTCATCGGCCGAGTGTAAATATGAGAGATCTAATCAAGGTCTCGCCGTTTTGCTATCGCCATCATAGGGAGACATCTAATCGTGCGATACATGCGATCCTTCTCGCTTCTGCAGTGTAACCGGTCCAGAGTCCGCAGCTTTTGGCTGAATACGAAATTGAGGTCGAAGACAAATTGTGCAGTCCTCACAACACGCATTCGATGCAGTTTAGCGGCAGGTGAATACGAGATGATAACGATCCGGATTCTTGCGGACGAATCATCAAACGTACGTCCGCGTCTTCCGCCTGACTAGCGTAGGGCCATCGAGCTGAACGCTCTCACACTACTTCTCGAAACAGCCCGGAGGGTCCGGACGTTAACGTACTTCACGACTCCTTTCATATACGCGATTTTCGAGAGGTGGCCACCGATGTCATCGCAGGCCGGTCTCGCCATCGCCTGTGCAAGCGAGCGAAGGCGCTACCACGTGGACTGACAGGCGCTAAATCCTGTAATACGAAAACGGCTTCATTTAACGAATTCGTATGCATACTATCTTGCATCCATCCTCAAAACCTGGTTGACAGGTGCGGAAGGGCCGTGTTCGGCCCTTTTGGGTAGCAGATGTGGGGATGACATGACAAGAATAGAGCTCCGCGAAGGTCGCATAACGAAGCTCGCGCGACCTCTTCGGGATGTGGATAGTTGAATCAGGGGTATTGACTCGGTATGCTTTTGGTCGCGAGGCGGTCTGGGTACAAGGCGCCGTGTACGCCGTCGGATGATCTGTCAGGCACCAGTATAAAAGGTCCAGGCCGGGTCTTTGGGCTTTGTGGCCGTGTCCGAGATGGCGGTATCGATGACTTGGGTCGCGTTGCTCTGCTTTGCGTTTCTTGCGCAGCTCGTTCAATCCGCTCCTATAGATCGAAAGAGTATCCTCGGCTTGTTGCTCGATCTACTGACGAAGAAGAACGACAATGTCTGCGTACGTTCGGAAACTGCCTTGCGACTGTTGTACAAGACCTGACTGTTCAAAAGTGCACAGCACTCGATCACTTCCTCCCTGGGAAAGTTTCTTTCCCAACCAATTTGACCTACACGTCTTCCCAGATCACTTTCTGGTCAGCACAAGAGCAGAGTTTGCGTCCATCATGCATTGTCATCCCAACCACTACCGAAGATGTGTCCACCGCAGTCTCAGTCCTTAATGTTGGCTACCAGGCATCTATCTCTGGTTGCAAGTTTGCAGTAAGAGGTGCAGGGTAATTCAGACTCGTCCGCGTGGTATTGAATTCTTTACTAAGATGATCTCAGCCACACGCCTCACGCTGGCGCTGCCAATATTGATGGTGGGGTCACAATTGATACACAGAGCCTCAATCAGGTGAATGTATCAAGTGATCAGAAAACGGTCAGTGTCGGACCGGGCAACAGGTGGGGAAACGTATACGGCGTTCTTGATGACCTGAACGTTGCTATGGTCGGCGGTCGCTTAAGCCAAGTAGGCGTGGCCGGCCTAGTCACTGGAGGTCTGTATCTCGAATTACAGTCCTATTCCCAGCTCTAATATTTGCTTTAGGCGGCGTCTCCTTCTTCTCGGGTCGCTACGGCTTCGCCTGCAACAACATCAAAGCCTACGAGGTCGTCCTAGGCAACGGTACCACCGTGACCGCCACTAGCACACGCAACCCACGCCTCTTTCGGGCTCTCAAGGGCGGCAGCAACAACTTCGGCATTGTTACTCGCTTCGATGCCACGATCCGTCCGCAAGATGCCTTCTGGGGCGGCCAAATCGATCAGCCCATCACCAACAAGGAGGCCTACTTCGCTTTCATGGCCGACTTCACCCAAAGCTCGAAGTATGACCCCTTTTCAGCCCTCATCACCGTCTTCGCTTGGGTTTCAGGCATCCCCGTCACCATCATGCACACGGCGACTTACACCAACGGCTCCGCGACCTGGCCGCCCCCCACCTTCGCACCGCTTGACGCAATGCCCAAACTCAGCTCTACCATCCGCAAAGCAAAGCTCAGCAGCATCGCCAACGAGATCGGTACCGATGCGGCGGTCTCCCAGGGAAGGAATAACTTTTTCGTGACGATGACCTTCGTCAATGATCCTGATGTTACACCGACGTTCATGGCACAGGTCTACGAGCTCGTCGACGCCGCAGCCCAGGATCTCTTCCTTGCGCTGGGGCTCGCCGTCACAATGGCGTTCCAGCCGTTGCCGCATGTGCTGTACTCGCAGGGCGCTGCGGACAACGTGTTGGGACTGGGTCGGTTCCAGGACGACCTGATTAATCTGCTGTTCACGATCATCTGGCCGAATCCGCTGGATAACGAGCGTGTGTATGCTAGGATGCGCACGCTTGAGGATGACTTGATTGCACTGGCGAAGGATCAGGGTGTCTACAATGAGTGGGTGTATTTGAACTATGCGAGTCAGTGGCAGGATCCGATAGCTGCGTATGGAGCAAGTGAGGTGTCGTTTTTGAAGAGTGTGAGTAAGGAGTATGACCCGCAGGGAATCTCTCAGAAGGCGGTGCCGGGAGGATTCAAGCTTGGCCTGTAGAGACGATTCGTAAATGTCAGGAAGAACGAGTCTTGCATGAGAAGACGTTGACAAGGCACGATGGCATGATCGAAAGGATCGTGAAAAGGCCTTTGTAACAATCTGACATTTATCGTAACATCAGCGGCTTCGTAGTCAAACTATAGCTTTGCTCGCTCGCCTTCTAAGCTTTTCACCACTTCATTGTACCGCGCGTAGCAGTCTTTTTCCGAGTCAAAGTTTAACAGCCACGCCTCTCTCGCTAGGTGAATGGCTTCAGGCGTGTTTCGAATCTCATCCCAATTCGCCTTGTGCCACCTTTCTCTCGTCTTCACACCTGTAGCTTGCGCTTTATGTACTCTACCATAGCGGATCTTCTCATGCGCCTTGACAGCAAGCGGGATATTATTCTTGCCCGCGAGCTCCAGGCATGAAGCCAGCACGACACCATCCTCAATCGACTGGCTCGCTCCTTGTATCGAAGTCGGGAGAAATGGGTGTGCTGCATCGCCAATGAGTACAATGCGAGCTTTTGGGGATATGAAAGTTGGCAATGGATCCCGAAAGACGAGCTTGTGATCGATGAGCCTCGCGTCCTTCGGTGTTGCTCGCACAATCTCTTGGACCACAGGTGCCCAGCCTTCCACGTACTTTAGGCAGTCTTCGATCTTACCAGGAAACTGCCAGCTTTCTTCTATATTACCGTCATCGACATGTGTGAAGACCCAGTTGAACTCCTTGCCGTCTTTAAGCGAGGAAACAAGAAAATGCAGGTCTGGGCCGATGAATCCGGAATGGGTATCCCCGTTAACGACGAGGTGTCTGATGAGAGCGTTGTCTTTGATCGCATCGCCGTTGAACCAGCACCGATACACAGCGTATCCGGAGGATTTCGGCTTGTCGTCGAATCCCAGTACGATTTTTCGGCCACGTGACCGGACACCTTCCGCGGCGATAACAACATCGGCCTCCATCCTCTCTCCGTCGACAACTACGCCAGCCTTATCGTCGTCCTCAAAGTAATCTGTGACCCTCTGCCCAAGTCTGATATCCAGTCCTCTATCTTTCGCATGCTGGTAAATGATATCGTACAACTCCCCTCTATGGCCATTAATCCTCGGACCCCAGCTCTTCTCCTCTGCAAATGACTGCCGCGTGACGAACTCGCCTTTCCAATGGTACAGGTCCAGCCAAGAGGTCTTGCGCGCTACTTTGTACATAGCCTCAATGACGCCGGGCCAGCGCTCAAAGAGGCGCGCGCCATTGGGATCGAAGCTGATGATGTCGCCGAAGCGTGTAATTTCTTCGATGGACTCGGCCTTTTCGAGAAGAGTAACAGTGTGCCCTTTGCGGTCGCATTCTATGGCTGCGGCGATGCCGGCGAAACCTGCGCCGACGATGATTACTTTGATGTCTGATGGCGGACGACGCGGGAATTGTGCCATTGTTGTTAGTGTTCAGGGTTCGACAACGAACAGCTAGTTAGTTCAATGAAGTGATGGATCGCTTTTGAAGCCTTGTGGTGGTGCTGATGAATGTCGCGCGGATGTGGCGGTGGGGTCGGCTAAAGTGAATTGCTGTACGCCCGCGATGCTCATTGCCCTGGCCCCACATGCTGGCATTCTGCTGCTCGTCACGCTCTGAAGATGAGATGACCTTTCTATGCAATAGATGGCCTCTCAGAAATTGGCTCTCCGCGCTAAATGTTTGGTGTTGTGATCCACAAACGTTGCTTGTCCATGTCTCCGGGCTAATGGCGCTAGGAGTAGGCGTGCCGGAGCGATCCGGCCACTCGCATGGGAAGCAATTTCCTTTACATCAACGCACCCTCGGCTCGTCTAGGCATGCCAGCCATGGTTGTGTTGCGTGGCCGTTTCCGTCATGGCAATCAATCGTCACGATCCTGCTTGGTGCCACTTGTGTTGCGAACATGTCCCACAGTGGCCTGAACATGATAAGACGAGCACCATGTGCTTGTCAGTCATCGAGGCTGACTGGGAAGCTGAGAGTCTGACTGCTGTCGAGGATCATGTTGCACCAATAGCAGGAGATAGAATCTGAGACCATGCGAGTTCGACTCAACACCTTTCAGACATCTGGACTGCTCTCATGCGTCTGGTCGACAGCTGCCATGGCCGGACTGTGATGTATTAGCCCGCACGAACTTCCTCTTTCACCGCCACAATCGCGGATCACAGATGCAGAGTGAAAAGCGAGCCCCTTGGCCCGGGCTCCAGATCAGGATCGTTCGTGTAGGGCGGACCAGTCGCCAATCAAGGAGAGGCTGGCCTTGGCGCGCACGAACCTCCTGGAATGCGACCGTTTCGGCGGTCTCTCATCACCTGTCGCTCTTCATAATCACGGTTCAGACTCTTTTCATCGTCAGCTTGCATCTGGGCGCTCGTTGTCTGACTTCTTTGCGCGTTCTGAACCATCGATTGTCGTCTGCAGTCCAGAGCCTGGTCCAGACCACTTTCATTCGTTCAGCCAGCGCAGCAGCCGAGCGCCCGACTGACAGCGCGACTCTTCATATTTTGACGCCGGGATTCGACTCCAAGTTCTGCGCAAATGGCGCGCGACAGTCCATCTTTCCAGCGCGATGATCTGTTGCAAATTGACGACCATCTTCTCGACGAAGGATTCGGGTTCCTCATGTCACTTTTGCCACGGGAGCTCTTTCAATTGTACAACGAACGCATCATCATCAATGCGAGCATGCATGAATTACACCCTCAGGATGAGAGCGAGAGCATGGTGCTCGCCTGGGTTACAGAATCAGATGAACAAGTGCGATCTTTCAATGTAGGCGTAGATGCCGACGCCTTCACGAAGCATCATTTCCCACCATCATCGAAACGGAGAAAGGGCGACCCACATGTCGAGCTTGTCCGCATAGGAAGTGCAGAGATCGATGCTTTCAGAAAAGTTCCACCACTTTCATGGCACGACACACTGGACCCTGCCTACGAGCGTACGCCAGAGTGCCGCGATCACACCATCGCTCTCATCAAGTATTACCTGCTGGTCTGGGCGTCAAAGAACGAATACGACGGCCCACTGCCACAACCCAACCAACAACATCTTGTCGCAGCCTTTGAACGACTAAGGACCACGCATCATTACAGAAATAAAGAGGTAATTAACGAAGATGAAGAGCGGGTAGATGTGCAGATGTGCTTACGCAAAGTTGAGGACTTTCGCCCTCTCGACCGTCGACTTTCAAACGGTCAACGAGAGCCTGCGATGGTCGATTTGAACAGGGATGAAGCCGAAGCCGGGCATAGCACTCGCACAAGCCGAGAGTCCTCAAGATCCTCTCAAAAACCTGGAGAGAGCGAGCAAAGTCGGCAGCTCATCAACGCCGCGAAACTCCCCACACCTCACCAAACCCCCAAGCTATCAACACTAGATATAGACATGGTCGACAGTACTGAAGTATCCACTCGTGCAGCAAGCGTGGCTTCCGCTGGTGACGCTGCGCCGGGTGCCGGGCTTGCCGCAATGAATTCGTTCAGCACCGATGTGACCTTGAGTCAGGAGACGGAAGCACTTATTCGACAGTCTCTCCCGACGCCAGATACGCTGATGGAAGAGGCTATTGTCGAAACTGATCCCACGTTGAGGGACATCCATAAGAAGATGGGGCACGACATGCTGTCGCTCCTGCCGCCTTTGGCGACCTGCACGTTCAAAAAGATCCAGAAACCGGGCCCAGGCTTCCTCATTCTACGCCTCCTTCTTGGTACATTCCAAGAAGACACATCACGACCGGAGCTCAAAGACTGCGAGGCCTGGGCTGCTTTCAAGATGCACGACAAAAACGACCGTGCTGCTCCACGCATGCACGTTCACGCCTACCGTGCCGACACCGACCAGGTCATCGATGATGACCTGAAAATCAAAGATGTCCTGCCTGATCTGAAATTAGGCCCAGCTTTCAACAGCATTCAAGGTGGAGATCGAGCCGAAGAGCTTTTGTTGAAAGCGTTAGTCAAGTATTTTTTCATCATCGCCGCGAGAGACAAGTTGCTCGGATTCGACAAGCACAAAATGCCCTACAACGGTTCGTTTGTGGACCAGCTCAAAATCGCTTGCAAGCGACTCCAGATGCACGACACATCGAGAAATGATCAGCGCGCACACAGCCGGCCTTTCAAGCGTGTTAAGCGATCTCACAACCCTACCCCAAGAGCCTCCGCATCACTATCCGATGCAGACGATGATGTTCCGGCGATACGTACGCGCGATGCGCGACGATCCGGACGCCGAGTGGGCCAACCATCAAGCGCCGCCGTTAGCGAGAGCGAAGACAACGTCCCCGTGTTTGTTCCGGCTGTCCCCCAATACCTCCCTCGCCGGCTCGCTCTAGGTGTGCGGATAGTTCCACTCATGGAGGGGCCTGCGGTGAACGAATTTCTCGACCCCGACGCCGAACCCGCAGATTCAGATGGCGACTCTGGCGACGAGATTCCACCACCCCTGTCTAATGACATGTGCGCCTTCCTTCAGAAACGACATGCTTTCCGAGAGCAGATGAAATCTGTCGGCGAATCAGTCAAGTACTACCGGAACCGAAAAGAAAGCACGATCATGGGTATCCGCAAGGTCAAGGGCATGCTAAACAAAAACGTCATGGGACCCGCGGACCGTTTAGAGGCCGAACGAGGGCTTGAGCACCGCCGTATGTGCGAGACAGCAATAGGGACGCATCTAGCGATGAAAGAGTATGCACTAGAGGGCTGGAAAGCACGGGTGAAGGAGAAAAACAAAGAAGCGGCGGATATTGATCCGAAAGTTATGGAAACATGGGACGCGATGTATAAGTTCTAACTTTGCGGTTTGTCAGTTTAGTTGCGGTTTTGCGGCATTTGCTATCATGGACCGGCGTTATGAGGCACACGATATATCCTAGGTACGGCGACTTCCATCAGCTCTGTTTTATCATGCAAAGCACAAATACTACTGCATAATTATCTATTGCTGGAAGTTTTCGTGGTCACCGGCGTGAAGTTTTCGTGAGGTTGGATTCGAGGACGGACGGGTCATTCACATTCACCTGGCCATAGCCGGCCCACACACTGTATAAAAAGTCTGCCGTCATCTCCAACCCTTTGAGGCCACGTTCCACAACCCAACGACCTGCAAACACTCGACACAATATCTTCCACCTACAGCAAGAACATTGGCGAGATGAGCACGGACAAAGGTACGCTTCCACCAACAGATCGCGACGAACCCTCATTGATATCCATCCAGAGCCCGCAAAGGGTTCCAAGTCCTCCCACAACGGCGACAACGGGGGGCCCGATAAAGGTAAAGGAAAAGGTAATTATCCCCACTTTCACTACCTGGGCATCCCTAACTAACACTTCTTCAGCGCGAGCATCCTCCTACGAGTCTACCCAAGCTTACTCCACCTCCCCTACCGACGACGCCGACTACGAAGACGACGACCCCCGAGCCAGCCAGATCGGCCGCTTCGCGCGCACCAGATCAACTACACCAGGCCGCTCACCATCCGGCACCTACGCTTGCCCGCAGTGTTCCCGAACCTACGCGCGCGCCGACGGCCTAAATCGACATGTTAAGAACGTGCACGACACCGCGCAGCGCAAATTTTACCAGTGCCCCCACTGCCCTCACTCCTCCGTCCGCTCAGACAACCTCGCCAAGCACATCCGGAACAAGCACGGCGTGGGTAGCGAGAGGATCACGTGCCAGTTGGACGACTGCGACGTTGGGGTGCTGAGGGCGGACAAGTACCTCGTGCACGTGGCGGACGTGCACGCCGATGACATTGGGGAGATTCTATACGAGACGGGGAAGAAGGCGTATTACGGGAGGCGGGAGGATAAGGACGAGACTGAGGATGAGGGGTACGGCGAGGAGAGTGACGAGAGCGAGGACGAATACGCGGACGAGGATGAGTACGATGTGGATTATGAGTAGGGAGAGAGCGCTTGGTCACGCCTGAGGGTCCTCTGGAGGATCTTTCGGATAGCGGACTTGGTTTTGCAACGGCGTTCTTGATACGATACCCGGCGGATTGGGCCTTTAGGATGACGTATAGAGGTGGAGTTATAGACTGGGAAATCGAGTACTTCCAGAAAACTTTCCGGACCCTTACGATATCTGTGAGCCGCGTTGGAGAAGCGATCATCAGGGAAATTGATGGTATAAGAAGCCGCGAGTTAGCACTAGGTGACTTGAAGGGAGCAAGCTGAGCGATTGATGCGTATATACTAAAAGTGCGAAGGCTTAGATATTAGAAAGAACCGCCAGGGGAGTTGCGAGAGGAGCTTTAATAAAACGATCGCGTGAGTGTACTTGCTTGCTGTTGGTAGAAATAACCTTATGTTTGCTACGTCATCTGACCTTGATAGACTGGAAGGTTTGCTACGTTTGGACAGCGCCCGCGGTATCAAGCCCTGGAGTGTGCGTGTGTTCTGGTAGAAACGCACGGACAAGCGAATGGTGCACTCTACCTGACCATATCACGACGATTTCTGTACAAGGAGTCTCTTTCATAGACCGTGGGCGTTGGGAGAGCTCTTACTTGGTTGTTTTCCATGATTGCGTTGTTGGCGTGTCTCCGTGATACCTCACGGTATCGTTGCGCTTTATCAGAATCGATACTTTTCAACTTCGATATGTAAGAGCACAATCTTGGTGACTGAAGCGAAATATTTGGTCGGGAGGATTTTCAAATGAGATACATGATTCTCGGTCACAGTGGTCCCAATCTTATTTATTCAACCTGTCGAAAACCAATTGGGAAATCTCGGTGAAACCATTTTCCTCGAACTGCTCTTCACTTGGCACTGCCGTCTCTATCACGTATATAAAACCTCGCCGGCACTCAGTATCAGTCAACCAATTCCAAAGCAGCAGACAGATCCAATCTCGACAACCACAGCTCTAACTCGATCTGTTACTACAAGCCCGAACCACAACCAACAACTCTGCCAAATTCTCTCTCGATTCAACCCTCGACACCACTACAACCTCTCTCAATTTCCAAGATGTCCACCCAGAGATTCTTCGCCAAGGGCAAGGGTAAGTTGTCCTCATTACATTCCTAGAAGCTCCTACTGACACCTCCGAGCTGCCGAGACCTACGAGTCCGACCAGGGCTCCAACACCAAAGCCGATTCGCAGCAGGCGAAAATAGCCGGCGCTTCCGAGGGCACTACCGAGCAGAAGGGCAAGGGCAAGGGCAAAAGTGGGTACCCAACGTGATACAACTGGCGAACTTGACTGACGCGAGTGCAGCTGCCGCTACAACCACGGAGTCCAACCAGAACACCTCAGACAACGGCGACAATGGCGACGACGAGAATGATTCTGGCGGCTATATCTGCCCTCACTGCGGCAAGAAGTACGCGCATGAGCACAATCTCAAGCGCCACATTCACATCAACCACGGCAAGGGCGACAAGCCATTCGCCTGCCCTGCCTGCGCGCACACTTCCGCCCGCAAAGACAACCTCAAGAAACACATGAAGCTGATGCACGGCGCAGACTGGGGTCAGGTTATCTACGACGCTGCTGCGGGCATCAGCTCTGATGAGTCTTCGGATGAGAACGGCGAGGCTTCTGGCACAGGCGGATGAAAAGGCGAGGAGGATGGGGAAGATGACCAGAAGTAGGAAGAGGAGAGTTGTATGCCCTGTGTGCGGCTCGGAGGCTTCTTGAGTGCAAAGAGTGGACATTTCAAGACGGATTAAGTCCTGTGTGGCTAGACTACACGGGGGGCGCCTGATATGAAAGGCGAAATCTTGACAGTGGAATGATATATGGGATAAGAACTCGGTGTGACACTCTTGACTAAGTGACAGGACTTTATGAGAACGGCCGGCCGACCTCCTTCATTCGGATCGAATATATAAAGGTTTAGGGATATACTCTTACTAGGTGAGCAGTATTGAATGGTATATATACCTTATGTATGCGTCCCGTGAGTAGACTTGCTTGCTGGCAACGAGTGCGGTCTGATGTTTGCAAGGTCATCAGGCCAGAGGAAACAAGTCGGGTTGCTGGTTTACTCAATCAGGCACGAGGCGTTCATGCGACCTTACCAATTTTGGCGACAGAAGTTCTTATAATCAGATACATGATACGGCTTATGTCGATATGGAGCTTGGTCCTCGGGTAGATAGCTCTGTCCATGGATAGCAATGAAACAATACATGGGAAAAATCAGTTGTGATTCTGCTACATGTGCAGATTGTGACTTCACTAAGGCCACGTTTGCATTGGACGTGGGCTACTGAAGGCCGGGAGAATTTATCAGACTGCGTTTTTCCCGATTTTTCCTGGAACTAGGCCATTCGACGAAACGTGGGTTCGAAAATCTTTGACCAGGGTCGCTTTTTGTGTAAGGAGGCCTCTGCCATTCGCTCGAGCAGATCATGGATACCGTTGTAGGGGTGAAAGGTGAAGTCCCATGGTGTCCAGCTGACCAAGGCATATTCCAAATTCAGTAGAACGTCAAGACTGCCATACATTTCCTGGACAACCCGGTCGAGTTGATCTCGTTGAGATTGGCTCCGCTTTTCATATGTCTCAAACAAGTAGTCTTTGCTCGGCTGAATGATCTCACGGTGTAGAAGGAAGAGAGAACCGTTGGTGTCTTGCTTGCTCTCTTCGCCATGTAGGCAGATGCATCTGAATTTCTTGGGTAGCTCAGGCCAATCGAGCCTATCAGGAGGGTATGGACTTGGATCGTCGTCGCGCAATAGAGAAAGAGCGTTTCCTTCCAAAAATTCGATGTCTTGCCAACACACGTCTTGGGCACGAGCTAAGTAGTCAACCACATTCTGCCCGTCCCACATTGATCCCAGTCCATCTGTGACGCTCAGGAACTCTTTATAGTCGGTAGGGAGTTCTACGCCCAGTCGCTCTTCCAAGGCCTTGATCTCTGATGGCGAGCAGCCTGGACGTAGCAGGCCATGTTCCGATCCTGGACCAATGCGTGGGTTGTCTGGCGGACGAAACGCTGCTAAAACGTCGTAGGGACAGTTCCGGAACGTGTTTGTGCTCACAGTTCGAGCGAGACTGCCAATATCGTAGTTCCTGTATCGACGCGTTGGTAACGTGTCTAGTCGTTGTTCGGTCATAAGCACTGCTCGAGTCACTGCCGTCCTGAGTTTTGCTGCGGGGGTTTGGAGTAGATCCAGTAGTGGTCGATCCGGCGCTGTTAAGTACGATTTCCAAGCGGCTCGTGAGCAGGCCAGTTGCTCGACTTGTTCTTCCATGTGAAACCGCCCACAGACTTTCTCAAGCACATCTCGCGCTTTATCGTGCTGATCCAAACGCAGGTACACGTCAAGAGCAATAATAAGTCCAGCAGTACGATATATCTGTACGTAGGGGTAGGGATAGATGCCTTGGCGCCACCACATGGCCCATTTGGCGTATCGGAAATTCATTGGGCCGTTGGGATTTGCAGCGTAGGAGAATTCGCCATTCCTCCACATATTCTCAGCCTGGCTGACCTGTCCGGCAAGCGTACCGTCGAAGTTGGGCAAAGTAGTAGTGACGCCATTATAGGCCATTTCCATTGCTTTCATAGCGGCTGCCTCTTCTAGGACCCAATCTTCACTGAAACGCTCCAACCACGGACCACGGCCCTGTGTTTCTAACTCCTGTAAATTGTCTTCACTGCGCTCTTCATCGGGTACCCATGCGGGCCATGACGAGGTGGCATCCCACGCGAAGTACATGCAAGGCTTGAGAAAGGGGTAATCTCGGTCCGATCGCTGGAAAGGATCTATGCCGCGGTCGCGCAGCGTCTCTAGGAGCCTCGTAGCCCCCTCAATCTCACCCACCACGGCAAAACCCAGAGCCATTTCGATGATATTGGATACGACTTCCGAAAGAAAGCGACCGTCGGCAATGCTGGGTTCATCGTCGACATGCCGTAGGAGGAATTCGAGATTGAACTTTCTAGGCTTGGGCTCGGCCTCATTGACGGACATTGCCATGTGGATTGCACTTGTGATTTCTGTATAAGGATAATTGACGATGCAACGCGTTCCAAGTGCGGCTGACAGAGAGTGAGCAGGCTATAAGAGGCTAGCGCTGACGTCATGCTGTGGTTGTCTTGCAACGACGTTGACTCACAAAAGAGAAACCTTCAACCTCACCAACGTTGGGAACATGATCTGGACATCTCCAACGGCTCCAATCGCGCCCGATGGTCCACTCTCATCACCATGTAAATGATCGTAAACGCGTTCTTGAAGCCAAGGATCTTAATATGACATTTCCTTAGTCTCCCTCCATTTTCAAAAAAACATACAATGTCGATGATGGCTTCAAGGTAATCTAGTTAGGCAAGCCTAACTGCCATGTATCGATGTGCTGTGTCATATGAAGAGGATAAAATAGCCCGGTGAAGATTTGATCGTTTCATTGCCTAGTACTTGGTCAGCGACGAATACACAGCCCTAGTGTACAACCTGCGGCAACGTTTGTCTGCTAACAGTAAACTCATAGAAAATGGGCCTGCAGATGTAAGATGCCCCAAGTCCGGTATACAATATTGTGTGCTAGGTGCGACACTGATCTGCCGGGCCTCGTGAAGACGCAGCTGCCCTACTGCAACTCTCTGGCTACACTCCCCTACATTTCTAGAATCACCACACTTCCAAGACAAATCTAAACCTAGTTACACATAAAATATTGGCGGTTGTCAACTGTCATGTCTTGTCATCGTGGGCGTCTTCTTGCCAAACCTATCGAAATCTCGGTGCTCAACAAACATGACGCGGATGCGGGAAGAGATAATCTTCTGAACCTGCTTCGACCTGTACTGTTTTCAATCCGACAGAAGTTTGCAAGAGAGTTTGTTCACCTGATCTTCTAGCTCTAGTAGTCCGAATCGTATGCCTGTGCTCGCGAATTGTTCAGAACTTTCACCCTAGGCCTCTCTCTCTTGAGCTACCAATTCACGGATAGTCACCATAAGCTCTGGCCCCTGCGCGAGATCCACGATCTCTACTAATATAAGAACGGCCTCCGTTACAAGGACCGCTGGCAACCCACGGCACACCGATCAAGTTGATGCGCTCAATATCGTATTCGAAAACATCGAAACCGTCCATACTACAGAATGTCTACCACTGAAGGCAACTCTAATGACGTCGCCACATGGAACACTATCAATACGAAAAGTAATTGCAAAAGCTTGTCTTACATACACCGGGCTGTGATTGCTGACAAGCGGTACAGGCTTTGCGATGGGCGTCGATACAGATCAGGACAGCGAGCTGAGCGACCCGCCTACGGATCTCTTAAGCGAAGACGGCGAGTCAAAATTTAACAAGCACAAGGGTATGTACCTAATCACCTATTCTCTAGCTACCTTGTCTGATTCATGAACAGGCCGACCGGAAGCCTCTGACTTAGATCAGGCAGACTTCGACACCGATCTGGAGACTGATCAGGCCACCGCTGCTGATGGTTTTGGGGAGGACAGTGGGTACGAGGCTCAGAATGAGTCCGAAGAAGATGATGAACGTGTGGAGCACGTCGAATCACTCGAGGACTCCGAAGATGAATGGCTTCCGTTCACCCGCACAACAAGCTCCAAGGCAACTGCGCTGCCACTCAAGAAGACGAAGAAGGCGTCTAAGACTAAGAAGGATACCAAGACTAACTACACAAAACATTACCTCTGTCCTTGGCCCGCCTGCGGCCAACGCTTCGGTCGCAAAGACCATCTCAAGCGACATGTGGACAGTCATAGTGAGACGAAGTCTTTCAGGTGCCCGGCGCCTTTTTGCGGCCATGCGACGAAGCGCAAGGATAACCTCAAAGAGCATTTGAAGCTTCGACACAATTTAAGTGCAACAGCGGCCGCACGAGGCGTTGACCAGGCGGCTCGAGCTGCTGTTGCAGAAACACATGCTCTTGCTGCTACTGTTAATGCAGCAATAGCAGCTGCGGAGCGCATTAGAGATGCTGGGTCTAGTCGGAAAGTCGCTAACGGTAGTGGCGGTATGAAGAAGGGCCGCAGCGGCGCCGCAACTAGCAGCAGGAAACCGAAAGTTGCCACGAGCAGCGAAGGTGCTAGACAGACTGGCACAGGACAACAAGCTGCAATTGACTATGAGGGCCAGACCAAGGACGAGAACCAGAGCGGCGCTATGAACAGCAATCGAGGTGCACGTGTTGGCTCAGGTGATGACGGCGACAGTCCCGGGGCGGCTCTGCTATGAGCTGCATATGAGGCATGGGGCTCGGATAGCGACTTTGATATGGACAATCTTTTGAAAGCCAGCAACGACGACGATGATAATAACGACATTGACGAGAGGGAGACTGTCAGGAGGAACATGAAGAGGAAGCGAGGCGAGAGTAACGAGGACATCGTTGGAAGCAAGAAGGCGAGGAACGGGAAGGACGTGGCGGTCTAAGCGGAGAAACATGGAAGCGAGGCCACACCAAGTCTGCCCGTGGGATAGAGCTTTCGTGTCAGTATAGGGCCTTCATAGCTCTGGGGTATGTCATTTTAAACATTTCACAGCAGTGTGATAGTCAGAAAGAAGATGAAGATGAGAATGAGCTCGACACGAGCAGTAATGCACATGGACACGAAGCTTTGTAAGGTCCAAGGATAAGAGGCATCGAGTATCCCACAATGATTATTCTGACCGTCCGAGGGACGATGAAGTGCAACGCGAAAGAGTTATCTCACTAGTCAGACGCTCTGCTGCACGGGCCAGCTGGTAGCGCGTGGCCTCCTAATCGCTTACAGAGCGTCTAAGGGATAGTTAGCCACATTTTAGTGTAAAAATCAACATTTCCTCACTAAAACATGGTCTTTTTTTAATAATATATTTTATTACTATAATAGCCTCTTTTTATCCTTTTAAAATGCTTATTTATTAGAAAAAGTAGTAGAAAATAGCTAGAACTAATATTTTAAGTATAAAATATAAATAAAAAGGTATATTTTATATAAAAAAAGAATTTTCTTAGTAAAAAAATCTAAATTTTAAATAAAGAGGCCTTATAAGGGTATTTTTTAACTATATACTTTTATTAGGGGTATCTAGCTATAAGAGGCTAAGAGCCTTCTTAAGTACTTAGTTATCTAAACCTTAGAAGCTTAATAGGGGTAACTAAGCTTATATTATATCTAAACTTTAGAAGCTTAATAGGGGTAATTAAGCTTATATTAATATATAAAACCTAAGCTAGAATATAGATAGAAACCTTATTAATCTATAAAAGTTTTACTTTAGCTATTTTAGCTTACTAAGCACCTAGCCCCTTATATTAGATTAATTACTTTTATATACTATAGGGTATATAGACTTTACTAGTTACTAAAAACCTTATAGTTAAATAAGAAGTATAGAAGAAGACCTCTTATTAGAAGTTACTAACCTTATATAAAGAAAATATATAATAAAATAGTACCTATAAACCCCTAAGAGTACTATAAAAAAAATAGTTAGAAAAGAAGAGTATAAAATAAAGAATAGAACTTTTTACTAAAGGATACTACCTTAGTATAAATAATTATATATAAAGAGCTATTAATCTATAAAATATTAAAGGCTAGGGTAATAAAAGAATTCTTACCTAGTTTAGAATTAAACTATAAGAACTTTAAATTAAGGAAAATAATATATAGTAGTTCTTAATATAAGTAGAAAGCCTAGTTAACTACTAGAATAAGCTTAAAGTAAAAATAGAAATAAGTAGAGAACTCTCTAAACCTTTATAAATAAGCTTCTAGCCTCCCCTAGTAAGAGAGGCCTAATAAGGCCTAATAGTACTAAGGATAGTAACCTAAGTACTTATTATATAAGATAAAGTAATAAATAGTAGAATAGTACTACTTAAAAACCTTATTCTTTAGCTAGTAAGCTAGAATAGTAGAAGCTATAGGACTTAAATTATAAACCTAGTATACTTTAATAGAGATTAGTATAACTATTAAAGATTCTACTAAGTTATAGCCTTTAAAATAGATAAAGACTAAGAAGTTCTTAGTAAGGTAATAGGGTATATTATAAGCTAACTATCTAAGTGTATAGCTATAGTAGGACTATTATACCTAGAATATAACCTAGGTTACTTAGAAACTAAGTTTTAGGCTTATTTAGACTAAAATTTCTATAATAATCTAGTAGAAAAAGTTACTTATAACTAGCTTTTTATAATATAATAAGGAAACTAGAAGCTATATAACTTTAACCTAGACTTTAATAATTATATAGTAGAGGCTAAAAAACTAAACTAGAAAATATTAAAAAATATCTACTTCTAAGCTCTCTAAGATAATTTTTAGAACCTTATAATTATAGTTAAGGTTAATTAGAGCTAGAACCTTATTAATAAGAATATTTACTATAATAAATTATATATTTTATATACCCTAGTAAGCTCTAGTTAGCCTAATAATATAGACTAGGAACCTACTAAAGCTTATATAAAATATATTCCTAGTAACTAAAAGAAGCTAAAGAGTACTAAATCTACTACTAGCTAAAAATAGGCTATTTAGGTCCTAAGGGAGGAGCTAGAGAAGAGAAGATATAAGAGTATATACTTCTATTATAGAAAGACTAAGTACTAATTCTCTTAGTATAGGCTTCTTTTACTAAAGAAATCTACCTAGGTATACTTAGTAAGACTAGCCTTATTAGCTAAGAATAAGGAGAAAAACCTTAAAGAAACCTCTAATAAGTTAAAAAACTAGGACCTTCTAGTATAAGTTATAGCTAGAAGGATAAAGTAGAAAGAAGCCTTTAGAAATATTTTAATAACTTCTAAAGATTATAGCTAGATTTAATACTAGTAACTATATACTTATTAGTTAATAATATTAAGTTTATATCTACTTTAATTAATTTAGGGTACCTAATATTTAGATTTATATTAAATAAGTTTATAAATAAGGCCTACCTATAATATATAATCCTACTAGCCCCTAGGGAGGTAAAAGGGATTAGAGGTATAAGCCTTTAGATATAAGAAATAATTAAATTTAAAATTAACCTAAAAAAGTATATATAAACTATATAGGTTTACGTTTTACTAGATAATAATACCTATAACTTTATCTTAGGGCTTCTATTACGGCTGCTACGCTATAATAGAATTATGGGAATTATATTAATAATAGTAGTAACTAATTAGATTATATAGGAGAAGAATACGATTATAGGTTAGATACTAAGTATAATATAGATATATAAAAAGTTACGTAATTAGATCTATAGACCTATAGATACTAAGAATATAGAGCTATAGAGCTAGGATCTATAGATCTATAAAAATCTATAAATAGAGCCTATAGAGCTATTATTAGATAGTAGTATATAGAGATAATAGATTACTATAGGGTAAGCCTTTATTATTAATCTATAATATAGTTTACTATATCTAGTTTTCTTATAGAAGATTACTATTAAGTCTTTAGTAATATATTTTTATAGTAGTAATTAATTAATATTTATACTATATATAATCTATACTACCCTATACACTACTTATCTCTTACTAGAACCCTAATAGGGCTATAGCTAGTAATAAAGTCCTAGAGGCCCTATTATACTTTAATAATTATATCTTAAGAGTCTCTATAGATATATACCTAGATTACTAGTATTAATAATAGCTCCTATAGTAAACTAACTAATATTATTAGACCTAATAGACCTAGTCTAGATAAAGAAATAACTTAACTACCTTAATAAAGAAAATACTAGGGCTAAAAAAGCCTATAAGTAATTAGTTAAGTAAGTTAGAGTTATATTAGAAGGAATAGGGGGAAGAGCTAATAATATAATAAAAGAATAGATCTAGTAAATAGAACTCTAAATAAGAAATAGACTACTAAAACTTATAAATCTAGAGAAGTTTAATAGTACTTAGACTAAACTTAGGGAATTCCTAGCCTTAATATTTCTTTACCTAGATCTAAATTAAGAATATCTTAGAAATAAAGACTAGAAAGTAGCCTATATAGCTACCTACTTTACTAGAAAAGTAATAGACTAGTTTAATAGTTACCTTATAGATTAGAGGATAAGCTAAGTTAATAACTAGAAAATAGAAACTAACCTTATCTTTATAAGTTATACTTATTTTAAGGAAAAACTATAGTTAACCTTTAGTAATATTAATGCAAAATACATAGCTAAATAGAAACTTTTAAAACTCTAATAAACTAAGATAGTAGTAGCTTATATATTAGTATTTAAGTAGCTAGCTAATAAGGTCTTAAATTATAGAGAAAGGGCCCTAATATAAAGATTCTATAAAGGACTAAAGTTAGATATTAGGTATAAAATAATTAGAATAGAGAAGCTAATAACTCTATCTATAATAATTAAATAAGCTATCTAAGTAGATAATAAGTTATTCCTATAGAAATAAGATAATAAAGGAGAAAATAGATATAGCATAAATAGCTAAAACTATAAAATCTATAATAAGGGGACCTAATAGTCTTAGATACTAATAAGGAAAAGGGATTAAGTTAGGATATAATAAAGAAGAAGTAATATAAAGAAGGTACCTACTTTAGCTATAGTAAAAAAAGTTATATAGCTAGAAACTACCTAAGTAAAAGCTAGGATAAGTCTATAAAGGGTACTAAAGAGGAACTAAGGAAATAAGAAACTTTAAGAAATACTAAGGAGAAACTAGCTAGTAGTAAGGAATATAAGGCTACCTATTAGGCTAAGTACTCCTAGAATATATATATATTATATATAAAGATAAAGAAAGATATAGAATACTAGCTAATAGATAAAAGGCTAGTAGTAACCTAAGAAGAATAAATAATTCTATAGCTTAAGAAATAAAATACCTAAGTCCTAGAATTCTTTAATATAAGCGACTTAAATAGTAAGTTAGATAATAAGGAATAGAAGAGTAGTTTAAATAAATTAGTTAATACTCTATTCTAGTTAACCCTCTAAGGGGAGGAACCCTTCTCCTTATTACCTATATAAAAAGCACCTATATCTCCTAGAAAAAATATCTATATTAGAGAAATAGAATACTTCTAGCTAGAAGAACTAGCCCTTAAGGTAGCTAAGATAATTAGGTTAGCTAACTTTAGATAATAAATTAAGGGGATATGCTTTTTCTATAGAAACTTATATAGGGAAATAATCTATAAAGTTTATAAGGGCTAGAAGATCTAGTTCCTAAGAAATACTAAGTTTACTAGCTTTAATAAGTAGGTTAAAAGGAATATAATTCTAGCGGTAGAAATACTAGATAGTTAGACCTAGGCTTAAATAGCTAATAAAATTAGGTAGGTAGACAAAGCATATATACCCTAAATTATAATAAAATACTAGATTCTAATTAAGGAAAAATATTTAGAGAATAAAATTAAATCTATAGAGGGGGATAACCCCTAAATACTAACTAAATACCTAGTGTA